GTTACTTGATCGACTGGGAAACATCATGCAAGATCAACGAACACGGTGAAGCGATTGAAGTCGGACGAGTGGTGAGTGCGTCGCGGTACTGATTCTGCGCATTCTGACCTCGTATGTGCAGGGCACGTGGCGATTCATGTCCATACGCGTCCTAGTGTGGATCAAGGAGGACCAAGGGCGCCTCAAATTCGTGGACGACATGGAATCTCTTCTCTACGTCGTGATGTACAGCGCCCTGATGTGGCAGCCGCACCATTTCCCCGCCGTCGCGGTCTCAAGAATCGTAGGCTATGTTTTCGACCAATACACCCGTATCCCGGCCTTGAACGTGTTCAACGGCGGATCCGGTAAAATTGCGAACGCACGATGTCGGTTGCGGGTGTACGGTCACGCCTTCAAAAGTCCGGCGTTCGCCAAATGGCTGTCGGACATGATGGCCTACCACGTCCCGGATTCGGATGACGACAAAGCGTACAGAGGCAAGTGGCAGAACACGGAGTTCATATACAACTACTGGAGCGACTTCCTCCGCCTGCACTCTTTGGAGCGGGACAACCGCGTGGACAACCTGGCCGGGTACTCGGAACCACCCGACCCTTCGCCATCCACGATCGCACGCGAACTTTTTCCAGCGACATCGAGCCGGGAACACTCGGATGCGGAATTCCATCGCCGCCGAGAGACGAGCGAGTCTGCAGCGAAGGCCCTGAAGCGCAAACGAAGCAGGCGCGAGGTGTCTCAGCCGTCAGCTCCTCGCCGTAGTTTTCGGATCCAGGAGAAGGAGGAGGCACGAGCGCAGGCGCAGGCGCAGACGTGAGCCGGGCTGGACGGTGCTGAGCGTGGTCGCTGATCGTCAAGTCGGGGCCGGAACAGAGGGCGAGCCCGTCACCGTGGCCAGTCCTGACAAACGTCTGCCAGGTTTCTTACCCGGGTTGCATTCCATTGTTTGACGCAACGTGTCGTCTCCGCCGGATGTAATACTGTAAATTTCATGTGTTCACTACTGCTACATTATGCCCAATTAATGACAGGACCGAACAAGGCAAGCAAATCGTCACCCGCCCCACCTAGACTCAAGAATGCGCCGTGGTTCTGCCCCGTTGCCCCTGAATCCGGGCACTGCGACGCAAGACGACCGGTCCTGAGTCCTCCACTTTCGCCCGTTTCTTCCTCGCCGGCCGCGCACATGGGGATGCGGACAGTGGGCGTTTGTTCGATGGTTCCTCCACAGTCACCTTGGCTTCGGTCGCCGCTGAAGCCTCGAGGGACGGCGAATGGCGCGGCGACCAGTCGATCGTCCACTTCGTCATCGATCTTGTATCGTAATCGTAAATGTTGTCCAACACGTGTTCCGCGCGATTCGACGGCTCGAGAGCGTGAGTTGCAAGGAATTCCGTCCAAAACTTGTCCACGTGCGCTGCCGTCCACTTGCCCCGGAACTCGTCACCGTGGATGTTGAGAGGAGCATGGAATGCCATCATGGTGTCGAGCCACTCCTTCAGAGCGGAACTATTGAATCCAACGCCGCCGGTAAAGTCCCGCTCCTTGGCGTTGTTGATCTTGGACGTCCCACCAAAAATGTAGCCCCCCGGGTGTCTGTACTCGAAGTTGAACATCAAAAGACACGACTCTAGTGCGGGAGGGGTGAGGTCGTGCGGTTGCCACAGGAATGCACTGTAGACGACGGTGGCTCCTCTAATCCCCTCCCCCACCGCACACACGTGTACGTATTGCATGTATAACAATCAAAACATGTTTCTGGGATGCAATTAAGCACTCTGGCCGAGTTTGGTGTCAATCAGGTCTGGCGTAGCTGAGTAATTCAGCGAACACCTTTCCGGGTGGTCTAGTCACGTGTATAGTTTGAATTTCAACATTATATGATTACGCGTTCTGGTCAACTTCTGGAGTCCGCGCACTGCTACCCCACTTGGTTCATCTCGCATTTTTGTCTCTACCGTCTGCATGTACGAGTGCTGTAGTCCAGAATAGCGCACGTTGCTAGCATTGCGTAGCGAGCGATGTCGTGTCCCACGAAGGCTAGTACATGTTGCCGGAGAATGACAACATGGCGCACATCTTCGAGCACAACCACCACATTGATGCGATCGGGTTTGAAACGTTGAAATCGCGCGGGCAGCGTGGCCCGCGCAAAGCCTGCTAACTTAGCTTATGGGATGAGTGGACCTTGGTTGCCAACGAGTTCAGTAGGACTCGCCCATTCGAAGCCGCCATTTCTGCACCTGTGTGAATAGTTCCCATGGTATACATAGATGGGCCGGGTGATGGGCTGCGATGGGACGGTCACGGTACCCCAACTTAATAATAGGAGACCGGAGTACGAATAGTCTTGAGATCTGGGAGGGCGCGCCGGGCTGTGGACGCTTTCAGGTCGTACAAGCCCACGCATAAAACGCGCGAGACGCGTCCCTCGGTACATGCCCACACGTAAGACGCGTCGAGACGCGGTGCGTGGGAGGTGAGAGGAGGAGCGTATGGACGCTCGCGCGGGAAAGATCGAGCGCGGGCTGAATGCGTTCGTTTCGACCGTGGCTCCGCCTTGCGCCTGACCCGCTCCGGCTCTCGTCTTGCTCTCGATTATCGCTCGCCCGCCCACGATCGCCCAGGTCATCGATAGCGGCGCCCACGATGCGGGTCCCCCCAGCACTCGTCGGCCTCGGCCTCGCCTCCCAGGTCCCCCTCCAGCCGTCCCTCAACTCCTCCACCATGGCCGCCCCCGGCTTTGCCTTCCAGCAAGGCCCCGACCTCTTCTCTCCCATCGACCTCGTCCAGCTCCCCCGCCCCGGCGCCGGTGTCGCGAACCCCGCCGGTGACCTTGTCTTCGTGCCCGTAAGCCAGTACTCTCTCAAGGACAAGAAGTGAGTCCCGTCCACACCCTCTCCCCGCACTCCCCCGAACCCCCGTCGCGCCGCAGGGTCAGCAAGTCCATCCACATCGCCGCCGTCGAGGGCGAGGCCGTCCCGCTCGACTTCCCGCTCGCCACCGGCGGCGAGGCCTTCTGGCTCGACGACCGCACCCTCGCGCACGCCGTCACCGAGGGCAAGGACAAGGACAAGACCATCGCCCTCTACGCGCTCTCCGTTAAGGTCGAGACCCCGGGCAGCATCCTCCCCGACTCGCCCGTGCTCATTGGCTCGTTCCCGACCGACTCAGCAACCAATTTCCGCTATGCCCCCGGCGCCGGCGTCCTTGTCTTCTCGGACTACGTTCACGCGGATGGCGACTTGAAGAAGGCCAAGGAGCACGATGCTGCATGGGAAAACCGCGGCGATACGGCGTTCGTCTACGACGAGACCTTTGAGCGGCACTGGGACACTTGGGTCGGCCCCAAAACGACTTCCCTGTTCAGCGTGAAGCTCGCGAAGGGCAAGGACGGAAAGTGGACGATTGGGACAGAGTTCACGAACTTGCTCCAAGGCTCCGGACTGGTATGTTCGTTCTCATGGTCTGCATCTTGCCCGAGTTCACGTCGCGTTGCAGCATTGTCCTGTCGAGCCTTTCGGTGGCACCGACGACTTTGACATCAGCGACAGCAGCGTGATCTTTACCGCCAAGGACCCTCAGCTCCCCAAGGCATGGCACACGAAGCAAAACGTGAGTCTGCATCGTAGTATGTGCGCAACCTACCCTTAGACGCGAATCTCTGCCAGGTGTACCTCGTCCCCCTCGACGGTTCTGCTGCACCCCATGAGATCACTGCGGGCAAGTTCGGAGCGACGCACGCCCCGGTCTTCAATACTGCAGGAGACATGGCCGCGTGGACCCAGCTCGACAGGGACGGTCACGAATCCGACCGGTGCGTCCTGCATTAACGGCACGCGTTCTGTCCCATCTCATCCGCTGCCCAGCGCGAAGCTCGTCCTCTATGACATCAAGAAGGACGTACGTTTTACGATCACCCAAGGCTGGGACCGGTCGGTTGGTTCCATCGCAGTACGTCCTCTCCTACTCCTTCTACTCCACAATCCCTGAACCCGTTCCAGTTCGCCCGCGACGACAAGACGATCTTCGTCACCGCCGGCGACCACGCCCGCATCAAAATCTTCTCCCTGCCCGTGCCCCCCACTCCCTCCGCCTCGACCGCGACCCCGTCGCTCTCCGCCGAGTTCAGCGCCCCGCGCGCGCTCACCACCGCCGGCGCCGCGTCCGCCGTGCAGCCGCTGCCGAACGGACGGCTGCTCCTCACGCGCTCGTCGCTCACGTCCCCGAACGACGTCTTCGTCCTGCGCGGGCTCGACTCCGCGGGCGCGCCCGCCGTCGACCAGCTCACGCGCTTCGCCGCGCCCGCGATGAAGGGCAAGGCGCTCGCCGAGGGCGAGGACTTCTGGTTCACCGGCGCGGAGGGCAGGAAGGTGCACGGCTGGAAGATCAAGCCGCCCGGGTTCAAGGAGGGCGAGGCGAAGAAGTGGCCGATCCTGCTCCTCATTCACGGGGGCCCTGAGGGCGCGTGGGAGGACCAGTGGTCGAACAGGTGGAACCCGAACAGTGAGTGGTCCTGAGGTACTTGCGCAGTCTATGGGCCGGTGTTGATCGTGCTTCGCAGTCTTCGCTCAGCAGGGATACTATGTGATTGCCATCAACCCCACTGGCTCGACGTCGTTCGGTCAAGGTAAAAACACCGAATCGGACGATCGCTAGGTCGCTTACTTATGTCCAGAGCTCACCGATGCCATTGCCGAAGACTGGGGAGGCAAGCCGTTCGTCGGTACGTCATCCTGGCCTCACTCTATGTTACTTCTGTCTCAATCATGCTTCGCAGACCTCCAGGCAGGGTGGAAGTATATTCTTGATACTGTGCCCGAGGTCGACCCAGAACGCGCGTGGCTGCTGGCGCGAGCTACGGCGGTTACGCTATCAAGTGAGTAGTTAAGCACCCCGGTTGAGATGCATGGACTGAGTGCGTTGCAGTTGGATCCAGGGCCACCCTGAGTTCGGCTTCAACTTCAAGGCACTAGTGTGCCACGACGGTGTACGTATCCGTCCATGCACCGCCAGGCACAGCCATCACTCACGGCATTCCCAGGCATTCGGCGCGCAATACCACGGCTACTCCACCGACGAGCTCTTCTTCGTGAGTTCCGATCCACCGCCCCCAGCACGTCCCAAAGCGAACGTTTGTTTCTAGTTTAACTACGAGTGGGGAGGACGGCCGTGGGAGGCGCGGGCGAAGGAGGTGATCGCGAAATACGACCCGATCAACTTCGTCGACAAGTGGTCGACGCCGATGCTCATCATCCACGGCAGCAAGGACTACCGGCTGCCGGAGACGGACGGGATCGGCGCGTTCCACGCCCTGCAGCAGCTCGGGGTCCCCAGCCGGCTCGTCATCTTCCCGGACGAGAACCACTGGGTGCTGAACCATCAGAACAGGTGCGTCGCCGCGCACTCCGGCCCTTTCGTGAGGCCGCCGGAATCTCATCGCGCTTTGATTCGATTTCAGCATCAAGTGGCACTACGAGGTCTTCCGCTGGCTCGCCCAGTACTCCGGGAAGAGCGAGTAGAGCGGACGTGTTCCGGGATGAAAACACTTACAGGTGTAATGTTCGATTGCGGTGTTCGGGGATTGGGAATACCCTATCTTTTCCAATACCATGTTCGTCCAGCCAGCGTTTGGACTGTGCGTTGGCCGCGAAAGTCAGTCCGAAGCCGACCGGCGCCGGCTGGCGGTCCACCAAGCCCAAAGTTCAAACCCGTATTTGGATGCTTGCAAGGCAGAAGCGGAACACTGGGGTGGTTCGTGCAGATTTTGGTCGCCCAATTGAGGCCCTGCGCTCGTGTCTGCGCGGCGCAGGATGACGAACCTGCGCCACCGCGCGGTACCAAACTCTGCTACGCGTCCACTGTTTGCCGGGCCAACCGTACGACGCCAGTTACGGCGTGCACCTGCAGTGCGCTGCGACGATCGTCGGTCCGTCGCAGTGTAAATCTTTCGGCTCCGTTTACGGTGAGCCGTAGTCCCTCGTCTCGTCGTTCGCCATCGCCATCGCCGACGTGCGTGTTGCTCAATGCGGCGCTTCCAGGGTTCGCGGGCGTCCAGCCATCGCCGAGAGGGCCCGCGTCGCGAGTTCCACCTTCCGGTTCCACCACGCCGCATCTATCCGTGGCGCACGGGCTGTGTGTCACCAGCGACGCCAGGTCTAAACCGCACTCGTCCAACGGCGCCTCCGGACAGTGGGCGTTGAGTAGCCAAGCCGGGCGTCCGGCGCCGGGCCTGTCGATGCGCACGCCAATCTGACGCCTTGCGAGGAACCTGTCGCACCGCCGACTGTGACCGACTTTCGCGGCGAATGCCATTCGCTCCAGCCCTGACCGTCAGACGCTCGATCCTGCTGAGTATTCCAGGTCCCAGGAACCGTTGGCAGTCGCCGTGGTGGCGCTCGTTCACCCAGTGAAGCGTTGGGAATCCTCCGAAGATCTCAGATCTCAAAGTCGTCTGCGCCCAACGGTGAGTGTCTGGATACACAGCTCTGCGCAGTTCAAAACATCTGTTGAGAGCGGGCAGCAGGGACCGAGGTGGACAATCGTCGGTGACATCGTTTCAAGCCCTGGGAGAGCCCTATCGGCGAACGCCTCTGGTATGACGTGATGAACGGGAGGATGAGGCACGGCGACCTCCGACAAATCGTGTTCCATTTCTCGTGTTTACCGGCAGGTGAGCAAGTCCTGGTTTGTGCTGCGCCTGACTGTGTTCCCATCACTGCCGCGCTCTCCTAACTGCTCGCGCAGCTTCTACCCCCCGCGTGCTGGACACGGCGCATGGAAGCGCGTCTACACGCGACCGAACGCGGAACTCGACGGGGGCCAATATCCCATCCATGGCCGTACGCTTGCCTTGTTCTCCCCGGCAGTCGGTCCCGGTCAATCCAGGGACAAGTTAATTAACCAGGTGCGCGTCGCGACTCGCTCGACGGCTCAGACATCGGCCGCTTTTAGCGATCCTCGGCCTCCTCCAATCCCGGTCCATCTTACGCCAGCGATTGGGCCTATAAAGCCAGACTCTCAGCCCAACCTCAAACACTCAATCCCCCTCGCCATGATTGCCATCCACACCCAAGCTGCTGCACCCGCGTTCACCTGCGACGAGTCAGTACCTTCCTTTCTACCATCCTTCGCCCGTAGACTGACCCTCTTCGATACTGTCCAGGACGTCGTGCATCCCCGCTGTCTTGCCTCTGCTGGCCACCCCTCTCCTCCTCCCAGTGCGTTGGCCCAGAGCCGGAACCGTTGACATGACCGCTGACCCCCGCGCCCTTCCCAGACGGCCATCTCTCGCCTCCAAGACGACCTCAAACCGCTCGTCCACCGCTTCATCACCAGCAGCGCCTACCAGTCCCCCCACTCCCCCCGCGACACCCCCTCCGCGCGGCGCTCGCCGCCGAAATCGCGCCATGGTCCACGACCGCGTCGATCGAGCCCGACATGCTCGCGAAGATGCTCGAGACCGCCTGCTCGTACGCCGAGACCGCGTACGCCCACCTCGCGCCCGCGCACCGGCACTACGTCGCGCTCTACACCGCCTGCGTGCTCTACGCCGAGGACCTCGGCGCGCGCGACCCCGCCGCCGTCGCGCACTTCGCGCGGCGCCTCATCGCCGGCGCGCCGCAGCTCTCCCCCGTCTTCGACCGGCTCGCCGCGCTCCTCCGCGGCGCGCACGCGCTCTGGACCGACGCCGGCGCGGACGCGATCATCGCGAGCACGCTCGACGCGCTCAGCGCGACCGCGCTCGAGCACGCCGCCGGCGCGCGCGGCGGGATGGCCGTCGCGCCCGACGCGACGCGCTGGCCGTACTACCTCCGCACGCGCGCGGGCGGCGGGCCGCAGTACACGCACTTCATGTTCATGCGTGGCTGGCGCGAGTCCCCGGAGTCGTACCTCCAGATTCTTCCGTGAGTCCCGGTCTCTGGGGCGTGACGTCCGGCTCGGGTGGATCTGCGACTGACGACGGTTCTGCGCGTGTGATGTAGAGAAGTCGAGCACTGGACGCTCGGGACCAAGTGCGTGTGCCTGTCTGTCGGCTTCCGTGCTTGATGTTGATGCTGACGCGCGGTCTTCCTGTCCAGTGATATGTCAGTGCTCGCGATCGTCGGGATCGTCTCCCTCAAGGCTTTTGTTGTCCACTGACCCTTCACACAGCCTTTCATTCTACAAAGAAGAGCTGGTGGGCGAACGCACCAACTATGTCCACCTGCGCGCGGCCGCCGAGCAGATCACCCCGATGGAGGTCCTCCAGCGGCTGACCGCCGAGGTTCTCGACACAGCGGAACGGATCGAGAGGGTCGTCGGAGACGACCTCGAGCTCCGCGACCTGTGGCACCAGTACAAACAGGTGCGAGGCCCGAGACTGCAGTGTCTTGACGACGTGCTCAGTCCGACTCCTGTGCAGACGTATCTTGAATTCACCATCCGCACGCCACGCTACCGCATGAAGGAGCTCGGAGTGGTTCCGTGAAGGAGGTTTTGCGGCGTGACCTGACGTACCCTTAGATTTAATCTTAGATGCCTGGATTCTGCGCCCTGTGGAGACCACGGTGCACTCACGATGTATAGCTTACCCTGATATAAACCCATGGTGGAACTTTTGTGATACTGCTCATGCCACTCTCGGACGCGGTGGTGGTTCGGATGATTACATACGTTTTGATCAGCATACCTGATTGGGAAACTGGGAAATTTCAAGCAGAGGCAGCGCAAACCTGGGACGGGACGTCTCGTAGTTGAATGTGCTGGTTTCCTCCAGCACGCCTTCATACACCAACTCATGGCCATTGGGCGGCTTTAGCACCTGTTGTGATCCCACGCTGTTCCAAGCGATCTGCATGTGTTGCATGTCGGAGGTGTGTGGGATTGATCTGTGCAGTGGAATTCTCAGAGTAATACTTACGGGCCTCGTGACAACCTCTTGCACAAGCGGTGAAAGACAACAAAAGCCGGACGCTCGCGAACCCTGTTTTGGCAAGCGCGGAGAATGGGTGAAGGCTGTGCCGCTGAGTTCATCTCGTATATTGTCAGTCGTCGCCCCTCCTGTGCACTCGCCTTGGTTTCCTTCTGCAAATTTACCTATGCCGTCGTCGTCGCGAGCCACTGCACGCACTTCGGGCACCGTCAGCGACGAGGACATACTAGCACTTATCAACTCCGGGCAGTCCCTCTCGGACCTCGTCAAGGAGCTGATCTCGCTGCGAAGATGGAAAGCCGAGCAGCTACAGAAGCAGGCCACTGAAGCAAAGCGTGTGGATGTGCTCCTCAACCGCCTTTGTGTACGTGCACTACCTGCTCTATTCGTCGCCTTCACTTACTTTGTTCCAGGACGACTGTAGAGGCACTGCCGCCCGCTGGTTCAATGGACGGGCAGGGCCCACGGACGAACTCCCTGTTGAACTCCTGCACGCCGTCTTCCAGTACGCGTCGCCCCCGTCCCAGCTTGTCGACCCCATCCCGACCCGAGGCTCGCACACGCTCTGGACTCACGTCATGCACTGGAAGTTCAACTTCCTCCGAGTCTGCAAGCACTGGCATCGCGTCGCGCTCGTCTCGATGTACGAAGACGTCGCCCTGCGCTCCGCACGCCAGGTCTACGCTTTCGCCGCCGCCCTGCGTGGCAACCCCGCTCTCGGCCCGCTCGTCAAGCTCCTCCTCATCGACTGCCCCGTCGTGCTTGAGATCCGAGAGCTCGTCGTCCGCGACCTCGTCTACATCGTCACCCAATGCGCCGGCCTCCGCACCCTCATCTTCACCGACAGCCTCTTCACGATGGAGGACGAGCTCCGGCGCGTCGCCCTCTACCCGTTCCACAACCGCCTCGCCGTCGCCGTCTCCCACCTCTCCGACACCCTCACCCGCTTCGAGCAGTGGCCCCAGGGCGGCACCCCGCACTTCACCGCCCCGCTCCACGTCCTCGCCCCCTTCGCCCACCTCCGCACGCTCGCGATCAACGTCGACCACCCCGCCGGCCGCGAGCCCCTCTCCCTGCCCTCGCTCGTCGAGCTCGACCTCTCCAAGGCGTACGACGTCGGCCGCCTCGACCGCCCCGACTCGCCCACGCCTCCACCGCCGCCTCCGCGCAGACCGACGGCACGCCCGAAGCGCCCCCGCCCCCGCCCGCACCGCGCTTCGACCGCTGGGCGCTCCCGCGCCTCACCGCGCTCGTCCTCCCGCTCGTCACGCGCGTTCAGGCGGGCGTGCTCCGCGCGCACGGCGCCACGCTCACCTACCTCGAGTTCCGCGACCACATGGAGATGGGCCTCCGCGACGCCGACGACGACGACGACGGCACGGGCGGCCCCCCCGCGCCCCACCTCGCCCTCCTCCACCTCTGCCCCCGCCTCCGCCACCTCGTCTTCGAGGGCCGCGAGAACGACGTCTCGGACGCGGACCGCCTCCCGCCCCACCCGACCCTCGCCTTCGTCGACGTCTGGGTCTCCACCCCGCGCCGCGCCTCGCCCACCGCCCCCGCGCCGACGGCCACGGCCCGCCGCGCCCGCCCGTGCGCATGCTCGACCGCGCGCTCGCGAGCCTCGCCCTCTGCTCCGTCCCGCGCACCTTCGCCCCGGACACGCCCGAGGCGGCGCTCCCGCGGTGCACCGCGTCGGGCCCGGGCACGCGGTCGTGCAGACGGCGTGGGGGGTGTACCGGAGCGACCTCGACGCGCTGTTCCCGGACGCGCGCGTGCGGCGGGCGTCCGCCGCGACGCTGGCGGACTCGGACTCGGACAGCAACTTTACGCTGAGCTCGAGTGACTACGACACGTCCTCGACCGAGGACGCGGGACGTGGTGGGACTCGGACGACGCGGACGACGTCCTCCTGGAGACCATGGCGCGCTCTGTGCGCTCGGGACGGTCGCGGGCTTGAAGCGGGCCTTGTGTAAGGGTGAGGAAGGATCTCGTCGCATTCTGGATGTAACATACTACAAATACACATGTACCACTCCTAGCGCAACATTTACGACACCACCACCCTCTTCTACTCCCCGTCTTTGCGGCCCAACGCCTCGGCCAGCATCTCGCGCACCGTCCGCGCACCCTCCCCAGCGACGTGCGCCTCCCCGTCCCACGCCAAGAACTGCCGACAGACCTCCTCCGCCTCCGCGAGCCCCCGATGCTCCTCCTCCGTCATCTCCTCGTCCAGGAGCCGGCCGAGCTCGTGCTGGTCGAGCAGCTCGCTGCACGCCACATGAGCGCACAAATCCCGGCCTCCCCACTCCTCGAGCCTCATGTACTCTCATGCACCCACCTGACGTGCTTCGCGCGAGCCGTCACTCGCTTCGGGACGCCGAAGAGCTCTGCGCATGTTATCGCGTGGGAGTGCAGCGAGTAGCCGTTCGCCACCCTGCGGGGACGTGCGTCAACGCGCGCGGCGGCCAGGAGGACGAGCGGAGGGTGACGTTACTTGTACAGGTACGTGATCTTCTCCCCAGGCAGGATGCGCACCGCGCCGTCCTCGTCTCTTGTCTCTGCGTTTCGAGCATGTCGGTGTCGCCTGCGAGAAGGACCTGCATGTGCACGAAGCCGATGGGCAGCTTGCACGGGTCCAGCAGGCCGGGGTGGACAATGTCGTGGAAGTGTGTGGTCGCGATGATTTTCGGGCACTCGTCGCCGCGTTCCAGAAAGTGTTTCAATACACCGCAAAGAAGCCCGGCCCCGTCTGCAGAAAGATCAGATAGAAGTTTCCCGAGAAGACCTCTTGCGCACCTGTGGGGAGCGTTCCCTTCCCGAACTCGTCCAATAATACCATAGAGCGCGGCGTAGAGTTTCGTAGAGCAAGAGATACTTGATTGAGATCAATCATGAACGCAGATTGCACCTGCACACGGTTTTTAGCACGGAAATTTTGCACGTGGTGGGATCCTACTCTGGACACCGATTCTCGGGTCTGGACCCTGGTGAATACTAGGGATCACATCAGCGAAGATCAATTCAAAGGCGTGGGTGATACTTTTGTCTGTTATTCCCAGCGTTGCTGATTCGGCTGGAACGAAGCTTGGGAAACGTCACCATACCGCGTTATCTTCCAGCCGGTGGAAGACTTACCATCCGATCTAGGATCCCATATTATAGCGAGCAGTAGAGACGGCCAATAAGAGTGGACTGACCTGGGCCATGTATTGGATCAAGGCAATCTGCAATGGCTGAGAACTTGGGGAATCTTCGGGAGAACGAAAAGCGACACGACGAACCTGCTTCAAGTACACGCTCTTCACGGAATCAGCAAACGATGAGCACACTTGATGAAAACAAATATACCTTCCCACAAGCATTCGCACCCGTGCATATGACGACGCTTCTTCTTGGGCACTGGACCTCTTCATCGAGAGCGTCGTCTTGATAGAAAACTTCACCTGTTGCTCCGATTCCTGAACCACCTGCGAGGAATGCGTCGTTCGGAACGAAGGTGTCGACGACTAGTTCCTGTAGAGGGTGCCTTGCTCGTTCGCAAGTTGAGCCGGAAGTCAAGCTGAACGCGGTCAACCCCATACCTGCCATTTTTGATGTCAATGATATTGTCGCTCGCAATGATTGGTCTTCGATACTCGTACGCGCGAGTTGCGGAAGAAAAGGATATCAAACAATCTAACTCTGCGCACACATCGCAAGCATGACCCATAGCCTTGTCATGGGCGAGAATCTGCTCCTGTAGCGCTTGTATGATCTCGATTTCGCGGTCTGACATCCTGCTGTGAGTTGCGTCAAATGGGTTAATTGGTAATTTGACCTACCGACAATCGCGGGATGCAAGTCGCCTATATGCACGTCCAGATCTAGCACCTGTGGTCACTATATGCGGGGAGCGTCTATGATCAAGAATTTCACCGTGCATCTCCTGAGACTTGAAGTAAACATGACTTCTACAATGACCATCAGGCCGAATTGTGACGTTAACAGAGACCGTAAAATCTCACTCTGATGAGAACTGCCACGCAAGGGTCAGCACGGGGTAAAGAACAAACGGTCTCGGAGTCACCTGAAATGTCCAGCCTTCCAACACGTCAATACCCGCCTCGGTCTTCCACTCTTCTTTCATCGGTACACAAATCAGAAAGCCTAATGATGCCGTAAACGCAGTGTCATCCCAGACGCGGCCTTCTGCTGACCTAGTTGAGGGAAGTAGACAACGTTCAAGGTCGACGTATAATCTGGAGGGATCGTTGAAGAAACTTTGACTGCAACTTTGGACTACCGAAGGAAACATAAGATACACACGGCATCACGGAGGAACTTCCGCTCACAAGAACACTGTCTATTCCATTGTAGATGTGCTTAAGGTTATCGAGCTCGTCGTCGACGTGCGGTCTGACGCAAATACGATCTGCGCTTGAACTCTCCTCCCAATCAATCTGTTGGCTATTTAGACTCGATTCTGATGCTGCCATCGCGTACGTACCGTCCCGTTGACAGCATTTCCAATCTCCCTGAACTTCGCTGTATCAAGAGCATCGAGGAGCTTCAGAAGATCAATTAGATCCGTTCGCCTGAGTACGTGGGCTCGCACCTGACCAACGATCTGAACGTTACTGGCCCGGTGGAGCTCCAAGACGGCATCGCGCAGCAATAGAGCATGAAATGCGAACTTCAGTCGCCGTAAATTAGCGCATATAGGGACTAACATAATTCCCAGACTCGCCTTAACCAAACCCTGCCAATCTGATCTTTTTCCCTTTCCCGACCGCAGGGCGGCGAGAACCTTCGGGACGTTCTTGATCCCGGCCAAGTGTCCGTGCATCGCTTCCGCGGTCACAATGTTATCCGGCCGAACGAAGCATTCGACAGCATCGTGGCGGCACCCGATGACCTCCGGCGACAACGAAGGGCGAAGGAACCACTGGCGCATGAGGGCGCGACCCAGCGAAGTTTTCGTAGCGTTGAGGATACCGAAGAGCGAAAGCCCCTCCTTGGTCTTGTCCGAGTGAATGGAGGCGTGGTTCTCGTCCTCGAAAATCTGCAATGAGAAAAGGGCGTCTGCATTGATCTGCATGGACTGAAGGAGAAGCAAGGGTTCGATGCTTTGAACTTCGAGGCCTTGTACTACGTCTTCGTCCGGCTCAGATACCGCTCTTGCGCGAAACAAGTGATCAATAAGTGCGCCCACACAGCTGAGCTTCTCCAACGTTGAGCATCGTGAGGTAGAACGGGAGAATACACGTACACACAGGGGGAGCTCTCTACGGAAGTGAAGTTGGCCAGACGAACGGAGGCGTTCCACTTTTGCAGGTTTGGATCCTCCCGAGTTCACGGCGCCGTCGCATGAAGTCATAGGCATTTCGTGGTTCTGTCCCTGAGCTTCCGTCCGAAGAAGGGTGTTGGCATTGACATTGAGTTCAGAAAGTAGTCGCAAAGAGAGAAGCGGTCTCGGCCTTTGATGGGAAGAAAGTCCTTGTGGGGACGGACTTGAATGTTCCTCCGGTGCCATCCACTAGTACTCTTTCTTGGATGCACAGCGTGAATATGGGAGTACAATAGAGCTTACTATGGTCACGAAGCACATCCATGAAATTATCGTCCGCCTTGGAACTGGTGAGAATCATGCTCGGGTTTACTTGCTCGATCACTGGGTATATGCGCGCAAAATGTCAGGACAACGCGTCAAATGGCCCTCCAAGATACTGACAAGCTTTGGTGAGATCAAAGTGGCTGTTATCTGGTGTGTCTTCCAATAGATACAGCGTACAATTGATAGGGTCGTAATAGGCACCGGCCATCCGGCCACTATTTTGACAATCAGAGGGGAGCAAGGACGACCAAAGTACTGGCAACTTACAACTGGTAAGATGTTGCCAAACATACCTGTATACATGTCAGTGTGCGCTATGTCGACGGCAGGCTGTACTCACTTTCTCGTTGCTACCGCTGCTGGATGATTCATCCTCCTCGTCCTCGTCCTCCTCGCCTACTGGCATGGAAAGATTTCCACTCCAGCGAACTCGTTTTGCCTGGCGCACTCTGGTAGTCTCCTTCGAGGTCGTCGTGTCGTCCTCTTCGGTGTCGTCTTGAGCAGATGTAATCGGAGAAGCTGGTCGTGCTTTGCGGCGAGGCATTGCACCGTTGAGATGAGATCAAGTAATGGAGGAGGATACAGGTGTGGGCAAGGCAGGCGCGCAAGCCGCGGCCCTTGTGACCACGTGACCGTGTTTGGAGTGCACCTTCGGAACACGCGTTTGGGACCAAAACGAATTGCACACCCTTCGAAGTTCGCACACACGGGGGACTTCCATCAGACCACGCACGACGCTGGCGGCAACGTGCCTTGGATGCAAGCGGAGAGCGGTGGAAAATAGTGCGATGTACGATACATATGATAGAGATACGGCAGAAGCGGTAGGTCTCCGTTACTTTTTTTGCGCAAGGAGGTCCAAGGTGTCGTCCGTCACTGCAGCCTGATCAGCTTAGACCGTTTGCAAGTCGCACGATGGCACGTACCATTCAACAGAAGACTCTGAGAGTCCAACATGACACGGTTGTCCGACGAGGCGAGGAGAGACGCAATGTCACGAGCCGCCTCAAGCCTGCGCAGCTGCAAGAAGCCCTTGTTCTGACGCACGGCCTCACCGATGAGCTCTGCACTACGTGCCTCACCCTGGGCGCGCACGATGATAGACTGGGCGCAAGCGTTGGTTTGCATAGAACAGTGCACAGAAGGAATCCAGAAGCACGTACCTGCTTCTCCTGGATGGCTTGGTCGACGAGGAACGCTGCTCGGAACGCCGTTTGTTGCGCAACCTGCGTAGACGTAATGAGGGGAGCCCTCTCTCACAGCGTGTTCGAGACCCGGGCACGCACCTGCTTGGCTTCGACAGCGTGTGTGAACTCCGGCGAGAAAGCGACATGTGTAATTGAAACATCGTCCAGCACGATGTTGAACCGGAGCGCACGTCGCGTGAGGTTCTCCCGCACCAGTCGCGACACCTAGTATCCGGACTTATCGGTGGATGGAACGGGGTGGAGAAGCGTCGAAAACGGAATGAAACACGCACCTGTTCACGCTGAGTGATAAGCTGGCTCGCATTGAATTGCGCAACTACACTCTTGAGGACCTCGTTGACTATAGAAGGCAAGACACGCTCATCGAAGTCCGTGCCGAGCTCGCGGTAGATGGTCGGCAGCGCCGACATGTTCGGACGCGAGAGTACACGGCACGTAATGTTGACCATTTGCAGATCTAGAGGCAGATGATTCGCGGGAGGGTAGGACAGTTTTGCTTGTGGACGTACCCTTCGTGCCCGTAAGTGAGGCAATGTTCCTGGGCTTCGCACGGATATCGTAGACAATGGGGGTCTCAAACCATGGGACCTACACGGTGTTAGCATCGAGTTCTCCCGTTCATATCTAGCACATACCATAAGGTGAGTCCCTTCAGGGTAAACTTGGTCCTTGACACCGTTCAACCTGGGAGGCCGGGGACGTGAGAACGAAACCCGAGGAGCACCAAGCGGCTATACTCACCGTGTGTACTTGATTGCGCGGTGACCACCGTCAACTGAACGCGTCAATGTGATAAATGACACGTCGTACAACCAATGCGGGACCATTCCGACGTACCGTTGAACAAACTGGCATTCAACGCAACTCCTCCTGCGACCAGAGTCACGAGTAGTGCCGTGCCAGCGAAGGCACCCTTTGGAGGACCTCCTCGCTTCTGCAGCTCCCGAGACATCTGCTTCCAAAAGTCCTGGGGGTTGCTCATGATGCTAGCGGATGAACGGGAGACAAGGGGAGATGTGAGGGACAGAGAAGAGCAGTCCTGCGGTGGGGACGCGGCGGCACTGACGACACTCCGGCACACTCGCCCGGCATCTGCCGCGGGCGCTCTCGGGCGGTTGCGGCCATCGCCCGAGGCCCGAGCCATTTTGTCCTCCGCCGTCTCCTTTTTCTTCACCTCTGCGCTGCGTCTGAGGTACATCTTTGCTACTGTCTCTTGTGGCACGCTATCGTCGACGGCGGCGCTATGGTCGATGGCGGTAGCCAGGAGCTCGCCAACTTTGTATGCAAACTGGAATATCCACCCCCGAAAGCGAGTTAACCGTTCGCGTTCTATAGTTCGGCTGGGTCTCCATCGCATGCTGGTGAGCTTCCATCCGCTCGGGGGCCGCAGGAAACTCTGATCAAAATATTGTCAAGGCTCGTTGTGTATTCTCCCCAGATTATCGAGAACTACCAGCTGCAGTCAGGCGACGGCCTCAGCGTGGGCTTCGTCGTAATATGGCTTATCGGCGACTTGTGCAATCTTACCGGCGCCGTAATGGCCGACCTGCTGCCCACCGTGATCATCGTGGCCTGCTACGTGAGCACGCCATCTCTTCTGCCGCGACGGGGTGGCATAATGCTAAACGAACGACCCGAGCAGTATACGCTCTGTGACGGAACCCTGCTCGCCCAAATTTACTACTACCGGAGAAAGCGCGCCCGCCGGGGAGCACCACTCCTCGTGGCCGAAGATCCCAGGCTGTCCATGCTCTACGATGAATCTAGTCCGCTCCTGGCGGGAGATGGTACCGCCGAAGAACCGCCCTCGCGTCCGTCCGTGTGGAAGGAGTCCCTGAGTTTGCGGCCGCGCTGGGATTCGTATTTGCTGTCGGCGTCTTGGCGTGGGCAGTGGACAGGGAGCTGCACAGGGACTCCCCTCGTTCGAAGCCGGACGAGGTCGTAGAGTGGCGAAGCCAGGTCCTTGGGTGGATCAGTGCCGCCCTGTTTCGTGAGTGGGCGCGTGCTCTGGAGAAGTTTTCGACGCTGACGGGTCGCCCAAGTCGGAGCGCGGATTCCGCAGATTGGTGCGTGCCTTTAATTAGCGACGTCGCACGGGCACTCACGGGCTCTGCAGTCAAGAATCTGAGCACGCGGTGTGAGGGGCTGTCGCCCTTCCTGTTTGTGTATTCCATTGCGGGCAACACGACGTATACGCTCTCGATACTGGCCGCCTCGTTGGAGTGGCCGCATCTCGTGGTGAACGCGCCTTGGATTGCCGGTGGGTGCGCACGCCGAACTGGACTATGCAACGTCTGATCAGTGCTGGGTCGTGTCGGTGAACGTGCTCGGCAGGGAGCGCTCTGACCGTCTTCCTGGATCTGTTTGTGAGTTTTGAGTTGGTTTGTCTGCGCGCGAGGCAGTGTACTGACGTATGGACGATAGGTGCTCTACCAATTTGCGCACTACCGACGGGAGGATGGGGAGCGGGCGCGGGCGCGGGAGAGGTCGGAGTGAGGGCATTCTGGACATTGTATCGTCGGTGTGGCGAGGGAGGAATAGAGTAGGGGAGGATTCTGATGGTGCGGGCGGGACTGGGAAAGGCGATAAGGCGCGGGCGGGCGGACTGCTGTTGGCCAAGGCGGCCCGTGCGATGGGCGGGGGCAGCGAGGCGGGCGCCAGCGGAGACGTCGCGGCCTCGTTGCCTTCCTCGTGTCCCGAGTCGCCCTCCCACGTTGCAGGTCACCCACAACTCTTCTCTATGGCACCTACCGCTCGGGCAGACATGCACCCAGCCTCGTGTTCCGTCCATCATCCTCAAACGCTTTATCAATGTCGCATCGCGCCCTCTCATATTTTCCTTCGACCCGCCCGCCGTCCGAATCCGCCCCGCCCCCTCTCCTCCAACACCCCGTGCTCGCTCTCCAGCCCGGCACACACCGCCCCGCCATCGTCTGCCCAACGCCTGCCCACGTAGCCCAGCGGTCTGCCTGTCGCCCGTCGCTGTGCTTCTCGCGTTCTCCGCCCAACAAGCCGCGCACCGTGCTTCGGACGTTGCCGTCGTCGTGGCCTGAGGCCTGAGGTGCGTACCGAGTGGCCGCGTCTTGTCTTCCTCATCCCTTGTTCATCTCCTGTTTCAGTCCCGGTCTCGCGCCTACCCCTCCGCGCCCGACCTCGTCCAGCTTGCTACCTCTTGAACACAAGGTCGGCTCCCCCCGTCTCAGCAAACCCGCCCTCTTCGCTCTTGCGAAACACCAAATCGGTCGCCTACGCCAAATCGAGCTAGAGAACGCGCATATACCAAGGAGGCGGCGGCGGCGCCTCGCCTCAAACAACGAGATTCGGAAACCAGTCGATTGTCTGTCCTCGTCCGCGTCTCTGCTATGCACCACACCCCCCTTGTCCAACCCGCTCCCCGTTTACACCCTTCTGCCATGGCCTACGCGACTCTCGAGCCGCCTCGCCAGCTACGCGCGCCGACGACGATGTCCTGGACCTCCGAAGTCTCCGAGCCACCACCGTACGACCCTCAGTACTGCGACCCTGCGACGCTTATGGCCGCCGCTTACGACAAGACCCTGCCTGCGCCCTTCCGTCGCCCTCCAGAGATCCATGCCCCACCACAGCCTCCCTACCCTGCCCTTACCGCTGGACCCAGTTATTCACGCCCACCGCCGCCACCCGCTGTATGGTCGAGCCCCCGGAGATCAACCGCAAACCTGTCGATCCCCCACTTAAGGGAAGCGATTCACAGCTTAGAGTCCAAGATGGCGAAGCTGCTCGACGAGCGGGATCTTCTGGAGTCGCGTTTGGAACAGGCGGTCCGTATGCAGTCTCCCGTCCAGCGCGTTCCCCACGATCTCCTCGCCTCCATTTTCTCCATTGCGGTGGTCGACGGTGACGACGAAGATTCCATCACGCTTTCCAACCTCATGCTCGTATGCCGGTATTGGCGGGATGTGGCGATCGACTCCCCTATGCTCTGGACCCGCGTCCTGATGGGCACGCACCAGTCCACGGATAGGGCCATCCTGAAGCTCGACCGGTCACGAACAGCCCCTCTGTACGTCTGTCTCGACTTCAGTCCGCGTATGGAGCATGGGACCGTGTCCACGGAGAGCATCGTTACGGCAATCGACCTCGTACGACCCGCGATTTGGAGGTGGAAGGCGTTCCATCTCATCGTTCCAAGCCGCCCCCAAGCCCACGCTGCGCTCAGCAGATGCAAGGATCAAGCGCCGCAACTCGAAGTCCTCTCTATCCGCGTCGCTCACTCCATGCAGGAAGACCACTACTCCAAACCGCCCCTCCCCATATTTGAGCGCGCGACTCCACGGCTACGGGCATCCTCCTTTACCTCCTTCAACTTCGGGTGGGACATCGCGCTGCTGAGCAACCTGCGCGTGCTCAAGCTAGGCGGATATTGGAACGGCTTCTCGCCCTCTGTTGATGTCGTCTTGCAAACCTTGCGCGCATGTCCGCATCTGGAAGAGTTCGTCCTGCGGAATATGTCCGATGTGGACCCGGACGGTTGTGATTCTCATGCGCACGAGGCCCCGGATCAGGACGACTACGCTCTTGCTCGCGTATCGGATACCCGCCAGATCCACCTCCCGAAGCTCCGCAAGGCCTCGTTCTACTATTCCGGCAATGTGCGCACGCGCATCGTTCTCGGTCTGCTCTCGTTCCCCGCACTAGAGCACGTCGAACTGTGCTACCTAGACAACGTGTCCCCCATGCTCGAGGCGCTTCGCAGGCAGTCTCTCACCATCCTCTCACTCAAGCATCTCCGGATTGAGTCTTGCTACTTTAGCGAGCTCAAATTTGCCCGGCTTCTCGCGCGACTCCCGGCGTTGACCTCCCTTGAGCTCGTGGACGTTGAAGACGTCACGTCCAACCTCATGCGGGTAAGTGACATGCGGCCGTCCACTGCATGGTGTCCAGGCTCATCTCCGCCTTCCACAGAACCTTGCCACGCCGCCCGTGTCGCAAATGTGGGTCTGCCCGAAGTTGACGGTCCTCTCAGTCGAAGGCTGCACCTCCCTCGACTGGGAAACCCTCCGCGCGATAGTCGAGTCCCGCCTGCCCCCACACGCCCGAGCGTTCCCCCGCCAGCCGCTCCCACACCAGCCCACCCCCAACCGTCGTTCCCTCAACGACCTCCTCCGCCTCCGCGGCCGCCGTCGCGGCGCAGCTCATGTCGCACTCCAGCGCAAGCGCGCCCGCGCACCGCGCCGCGATGTCCGCCTCCTCCGCTTCCTCCGCCACCTCGTCCGCGTCCTCGTTCGCCGAGACGGCCCGCATCCTCTCGCGGCAGCCGTCCGTGCCGGCGCTTTCGTCGGCGTCGCTCGTGTACGGGCGCCCGGTGCGCCTCGCCTCCGTCGACCTTACCCGCTGCCACCAAGTGAGCAAAGAGATGGTGCAGTGGCTGCGGATGTACGTTGCCGACGTGAAGTGCGAGACAGTCAAGAGCGTCTGGGGCGAGCCGTCCCTGCCATGACCCGATCGCGCTGCGAGGCGCCCCCTTCTCCCCCTAGCGCACGCCCTGGAAACCCGGTCTCAACATCGCCACTCAGCATCCCCTGGCACCTCCAGACCCCCACGACCCCCCGGAAGGAAGCGGAACGCGCGGCCGCTGAGCAGCGGCCGAATGTAAGTTAATGAAGCGTGTATTTATCTGGGCTATTGCTATCGCGCGGTGCTCGTCTCGTTTCGTTTCGTTTTGTTCGAGAACAGTCCATGCGGCTATACCCACCGTCCGCCCTACATACATCATGTATCAATACTTTTTTACACCCTCCAATGAAACCTGCCGCAGAACGCGGCGTGCACCGGCACGCGGACGTCTACATCGTGTCGCGCGGTGTCCCTGCGCCCACGAGGCGCGAGAGCTGGGGCGGCAGAAGGGCATCGAGCGGGGATAGACAAACACATGGGCGGACACGATGCAGCGGCCAGGCACCCCGGCCACAATCTAAGCATCTCTGTCGACGCCGCGGAGCACTCGCCAGCAGCACGAACGGCCAGACAGGGCTAGCCGATGCGCGCGCCCGGCGACTGCTTGTACGTTCCGAACGGACCCACCGAGCCGCGCGGGCCACCAGCAACCGCTGCCGGGGGATCGTCGAGAACGCACCGTGCTCGTCGGGCTCGCCGTCGCCGTGTCCCTCGCCTCGCTCTCGGTGTGTCCTCGCCCTCGCTCTGGCCCTCGCCCTCTCCTTCGCCCTCTCCCTCTCCCTCTCCGTCACCTTCGATCGTCGGATGGTCAGGTTCCTGAGGAGGGGCCGAAGCCGGGACTGGGACCGGGGCTGGAGCGGGCGCCGCAGGAGCAGCGGGCTCTGGAGTTTGTGTGGGTAGGGGCTGGAGGAGGCCATTGGCGAGCGCGATGAGCTCTTCATGCTCACGCTCGAGCCGAGCGAGCTCAATCTCCCGCTCAAGGGCCCAGTCCGCCGCGGCGAGCCGTTTCTCCAGGTCGTCTTCCTCCTCCAGCACCCGGTCGAGGTCGAGTTCGACGTCCTCCCCCTTCTCCGCTTCCTCCGCTCGCTCCGCCTCTGCCTCCTCCACCCGACCCTCGCCCACGTCCACCGCGTGCTCATCCGCGCTCGTCTGCCGCGAGCGCACCCCGGCGCTCGCAGCGGACGCCTCCCGGCGCTTCTCGTTCGCGATCGCGTTCTGGTGCGCGACGTACGCCTCGTACGCGGCGACGTCCTCGCCGTGCATGCGGCGCATGACCGCGCGGAGCATGCGCCCCGCGCGGGCGAGGCTCTCCGAGCGCGCGTTGCTCACCCGCAGCGACTCCTCGACCGCCTCCGTCTCGTGCTGGATGAGGATGCGCTCGTAGTGCCGCATGAGCGCGAGCTCGCGCTGCTGCACCTCGTGCTACAGGGAAAGGGAAAGGGGCCCGGCATGAGTGCAGGGCCGGCGGAATGGGGCATGGGGACGCACCGCCCGCGTGCGGAACGTGGCCATCACGTTCTCGAGGGTCTGCTCGTACTCGCGGATGAGGGCGCTGAGCTGCCGGTTGTCGTTGAGGAGGGCGAGGTTCTCGGCGGACATCGCGTTGTTCATCCGCTCCAGCTCGGCGTCGTACACCTCTGTGGGCGCGGGGTTCGGTCATGCGGGGTGATGCGGGCAACGACATAGGTACCTTTCGGCTTGTCCGTGTTGAATCTGTCTCGAAATCAGCATGTATGCTCTGGGGTCGCTGATGCAAGGTGTGCGAGAGGCTCGTTTGGACAACGCAGCGTCGTACATGCGTGTCTTTGACGGATAAAGCAGGCTTACCGGCGTAGGACAAAGCCCGTCTGCGAATGGATCGCTTGCGCCTAGCAGCAACATCAACACTTCGCCCGTTCCTACAGAAGCACATGCGCAGACCTTGGAGCCATCGGAAAGTGAATGCACATTGACGGCGGTGGACCGGTTGTGGCTCAGTTGCTCGGAGACCTCTGAAAGTAGAGTCCAGACACGAAGAATATCGGGGTCGCCAGGTGAGTCCATAGTGTAGCCGGGTCGAATAGCTGCGCCAAGAAGCAGAGGTGACAAAAGTTGCGGCGGAGGAGGTGAGCGGAGATGGTGAGGGTCGCAAGTTGCCACACTCCCGCTGCGTCGGCCGCGGTGTGCCGCACGTGATCTGCATATGTGAGCGCGCTTAGCGAGAAGCACACTCTTCGACTCGGACCTCGACCTACACATCTTCATGGCGACTGTAACTCACTACATCTACTCGCACTATGATCCGCCTCAGAGAAAAGAGGATGAAGAGGCTGTTGCTGATCTCGCTGAGGAGGACGAGGGAGACCCTTGGCTTACGGAATCCACCTTCGGGGCCAGTCGTCGGGTCAAGAACGCCCTCACATTCGTGCCTGCGGTCGTTTCCTATGACGAGGTGAACAACATGATGGGCAGCGCTTCCTCCTCTCTTCCTTGCGCGGAGGAACCCAAAGCCTCTTCGCAAGTGAGCAGTTGGTACAAGTCCTTGACCCGCGCATCCAATACACCCTCAGGCTCTCTCGCTCCCACAACCCAATCATCTCCCAGATTATCACCAGGCCCATCTGCCAGCGCCACCCCTACTCTCCCTGCCCCAACTGTCTCATCCTCATCATCTACCTCCATCTCTGTGAAGCCTCCCAGGGACAAGAACAATTGGTTCATTAGCAATCCCATCAGCTCGAAGCCTTCCTCTTCGCGATCGACCCCTGCCCCCACTCTTGCCGACATACTCTCCCGGGAGCCGCCGCCTGAGCGTACAGAACAGCCCTTTGTTCCACCAGTCTTCCTCCACATCGGCCCGTCGAACAAAGGCTTCGCCATGCTGCAGCGTGGCGGGTGGAGCGAAGGCGAGGCTCTCGGTGCCGGCGCCGCGAGACGCACACCCAGGCAGAAGGCACGGGAGAAGCGGCCGGCCAGGAGCATCTTGGACGACCGAGAGCTCGCCACCAAGACCGAAGAGCAGGAGATTGCGGTCGACGACGACGACGAGATTCGTGAGGTGCGCCGTATCGAGGTCGTCGATCTCACCCTCTCCGAGTCAGAGGAAGAGGAGGAAGCTGAGGCGGTGCCCGACGGTCTGCCTCCCGCGAACGCCGGGACATCGCATAACCCCACCGCGCTGCTCACACCCATCGCCACGGTGCTCAAATCCGATCGGCTCGGAATCGGTCTGAAGGCGAAGCAGGTCGGGCCATTCAAGGAGTCGAAGAAGCGGGTGACCCACAACCAGGCCGCTCTTGTTGCCCACATCAAGGCTAACGAGGCGGTCCGGATGCGCAAAGCAGTACTAGGTCGCGGCACCAAGGCATTCGCTCGCGTTGCGAAAGCCGAAGCGGAGGTCCGTAAGAGACTGCTCTCGGACCTAAATGCGGACTAGCCAGTCGCGTTTGTGTCCCAGGCCTAGAACGCCGTCAAACGCCATCCAACACACACCCTCCCCCGACATCTTCTCCCGTGGCGACAACGGATGGTTGTGTGTGTGCGGAGTTCGACCTTAATGCCGTCGTCACTTCCGCTCACTCGCTGCCGTTGCGAGCACTGGGTTGCGTCAGGTCGTAGCCAGGTTACGCCGGGTAGCATTGGATTTACGTCCATCCATCGCCAACGCGCCCCATGCTGGTGGAAGCGGACGCCGTCCATTCATGATGCATGCGGCTTGCCAACCGAATGTATCCGTCGCTACATCTCCTCCGTGGAGGCCCGACCGAAGCATATGTCGGCGGGAACAGGCGATCTCGTGTCTGTAGTTGCTGTATTTTGTGTGTATCAAAGTATATCGATCTGTCTGTCGCCGGATGCATCCCGACGGAGCGTGCAGTTTTGTTTGACTTTTGGCAGTCTTAGTCTCGACGGAGACGGTTCGCAGGGCGTCGGACTCATCGGAGGCAGCCCAATGTTCGCGTGCCGGGCCGGGGCCTTCGCAGTGGCGCCCAGAGGCCATCTCAAGACGGCGGAGGCAGGACGGGGTTCTCCATCTCCTCCTTCTGCCCACCCTCCGTGTGCAAAGCAGGCTTTGCATCCCGCCGATACCCCGCCGCCCCATCCCCTCCCCGCTCTCCGCCCACCCGCCCACGATGTCTTGGAAGCTCGGCAAGAGCAAGAGCAAGTCCCCCGCGAATGGCCTCTCCATCCAGGACATGGCCATGGACGCTCGTTCCACGACGCCCACACCCGGGAACCCGGATGGAAAGCCCCAGCCCGGTCTCCTCACCATCCGCGTCCTCTGGGCGGAGGATCTCTCTGTCCCTGGTGGTGCTGCCGTCCCGCCCGCCGTCCAGGCCGCGCTCACCTCCCAGCAGGCCAAGGTCGCTGCCTCCGTCTCGCCCTCGAGTGTCACCCAGCACCGGCTCGCCAACCGTCGCAGCAACCGTGACAGCGTCCAACGCACCCAGTGCTGGTGGCTTCCCTACCTCGTCATGGAGTTCGAGGTCAACCAGGTCCTCATCACCCCGCTCGGTGGTGACCTTGGCAAGCCGCTGTACATGTACGAGACCACCTTGTAAGTCCAGTCCACGTTTTGGCAGTACGCCGTCCCATGAGCGGATGCTGAATGCGCCGATCCCGCACAGCGATGTGTCACGGCACTCCGAGATCTCCATCCAATGCTACCTCCGTACCGAGGAACCCAAGCGCGGCGGCGATGGTGTCGCAGACGACATGGGCAACGATATCTTCATGGGCGGCTCCCGTTTCATGCCTGATTTCGACGACCCCGCGGGACAGGACCAATGGTATGATCTCGTTGGCGGCTCCGGCGGTCGCATCCAGATCGGGGTCTCGTTCAGGCCAAGCTTGGTGAGCACGCCCTCTGCAGACTCTCGCGTGTTCCGCAGGGCTCATGTAGCGCTCTCCAGGGCCAATCGCTGACCATCGATGACTTCGAGCTCACCACCGTGATCGGGAAGGGGAGCTTCGGCAAGGTGCGTCGCCTCGCCTTTTGCATGCGCTTCGCGCTCTGTGGGACTCATGCGTGCCCCAGGTCATGCAAGTGCGGAAGCGGGACACGTCGCGTATCTACGCGCTCAAGACTATCCGCAAGCAGTACATCGTTCAGCGTGGCGAGATCACACATACCCTCGCAGAGCGCCTGGTCCTCGCTCGCGTCAACAACCCGTTCATCGTTCCTCTCAAGTTCAGCTTCCAGTCGGAACAAAAGCTTTACCTCGTTCTCGCGTGCGTCGCCATCTGACTTAGAAGGTCGCGTTGCATGCTGACTATAGTTGCAGCTTCGTCAACGGCGGAGAGCTCTTCCACCACCTACAGCGCGAGCAGCGGTTCAACGAGGTTCGGTCTCGGTTCTACAGCGCGGAGCTGCTTCTGGCGTTGGAGCACCTCCATGAACTTGATGTCGTCTACCGGTCAGTGCGGAGTCGTCTAAATCCGCTCACTCAGTTTGACTGATGATGCGAGATCTACACCAGCGACCTCAAGCCTGAGAACATCCTGCTTGACTACACCGGTCACATCGCGCTGTGTGATTTCGGCCTGTGCAAGCTGAACATGAAGGATTCGGACAAGACGAACACTTCTGCGGCACGCCTGAATACCTCGCTCCCGAGATTCTCTGCGGCCAGGGCTACAGTGAGTTCCCTCCAGCGGGAGACGAGAAATTACGACTTACGTCCCCGCAGACAAGACCATCGACTGGTGGACCCTCGGTGTGCTCCTGTACGAGATGCTCTCGGGTCTTCCTCCCTTCTACGATGGTAAGTATTGCGTCTGCGTCGCGTTGACCGTCAATGCTCAGATCATCGTGCAGAGAACACGGACACGATGTACCAGAAGATTCTTCATGACCCGCTGTCTTCGGCGATGACATCGGCGCGGAGGCCCGCAGCATCCTCACTGGATTGCTCACCCGCGACCCGACGCAGCGCCTGGGCGTCAACGGTGCAGAGGAGATCAAGTCGCATCCGTTCTTTGCGAACCACATCGACTTCCAGAAGCTCGTTCAGAAGAAGATCCAGCCGCCGTTCAAACCCAGTGTCTCGTCTCCCGTCGACGTGTCCAACTTCGACACCGTCTTCACCACGGAGGCGCCGATGGACAGCGTCGTCGAGGGCTCGCAGCTCTCCCAAACCGTGCAGGCGCAGTTTGCGGGTGAGTGGTGTGTGCACAGTGGTGCAGCGAGCCAGTTACTGACACGATCGTCGTAGGCTTCTCGTACGACGGCACTGGGATGCCCATGAGCCCGACATAAACTGCATTCTCTTGCCATCGTCCTCGGATTTCGGAATCCTCGCCCTCGTCCCTCGTCATCATGCTCCACTCTCCGCTCATCACATTCATCCTTACACTATCATCTACCTGGAGGAAGGGTCTCTCGCTGTCCACAAACAATGTTGCCCGTATTGATACTGCTACTGATACGCTCGCCCCGGCTCCTGTTTTCGCCCGGCGGTCCTACATATACACTCCTTACACGTACAGCTCCCGCTAATCGCTGTGCTCGTTCACTCATTCGCTCCATCCGTATATTTACTCGCGTGCCTAGCACGCTGCCAGTCGTTCAGAAGTAAAACCAACATATACTATATTGCTATTGTCCGCCGTCGTGTGGTTCCCGACAGCTCGGCACGCCCAATGTGCACGCCCAATGTGCAAGGACAAGGATGAGGGCGCCAGAAGTCTCAAGGGCGGGTGATGGGTCCACAGGGACACAAGGGCGTGGGCAGCGTCGCGCTCGACGGCTTCTCCTTGTGTGCAAGGTGGGAATGTTCAGACTCCAGCCCGAGATCGATCCGCTAACAGACGCGATTATATCTTGCGCACGCATTGCTCTCTCGAGACTCAGAACTACTCTCCATACCCCCCTCCCTGAGATGACCTCCGTCTACAACCTTCCTGTGTCCTACGATGCCGTGGACGGCCCGAGGAAAGCGCCTCAAGGCCACGTGCTCGCAACCATCGACGCCATGGTCGGGCCGATGCCGCCCGCCAGATTTCTGAACCGTTTCCTTCCTCAGCCTGCCTTCTCGATCCCGAACCACCTCCTCCCCAGCAATGACGCCTTCACACACGTACCGGACATGGCCGACAGTGTCGCAGAGATCTACGAGCCCCTGGTAAGTTACCCTCATACACGCTGCGCAACTTAGACATGCTGAGTTGATGTGACAGGCCGCGGCGTTGAATCAACGCACAGAGGGAGGCCCACGCTGTCCAGGTTTCGTGTTCGACATCACCGCGGCGCGGATTGCGCATCCAGACAGGCGCAGATACATGAAGCCGCATATATGCTGCTACAAGGAGCCCAATCTGGAGATCGTCCAGGCCGCCGACAAAGCCTCGCGCATTGATCTCGGGTACGCCGAACTCTTCATCGACGTCTCCCCCGACCCCCTCCGTGACTTCTTCAACAACCCCCCGCCGGACGTCCGGAGATCCAACTACAGCCTGCGAAGCTACCACCACGTGTTCACCGGCCAACGGAGGCACGAGCACGTGGAAGACCTCTTCGGCCAGCACATCGCGCACGTCGTCGAGGTCCTCGCCCGGCAGTCGCGCACCTTCCTCTTCACCGTTGCCATCCATGGCTCGTGCGCGCGGCTCCTCCGCTGGGACCGCTCCGGGTGCGTCGTCTCCGAGGCCTTCGACGTGCGCGCCCGCCCGAACGTCCTCTGCGACTTCCTCTGGCGGTTCTCCCAGACCTCCGACGCCGGTCGCGGCCACGACACCACGGTGGAATACGCGCTTCCATGGGAAGAGGTGCGCTTCCGGGACGCCGTCCGCCTACACATCCTCACACAGCTCGACCCCGGAGAGGACTTGGAGGAGGCCGTCGAGCAGCATTACGCCCCGGGCCAGGTATTCGCCGCCCGAGTCTTGCACCAAGACCATCCGGCTTCCGACGAGCACACGCGACGGTTCCTCTTCTCCCGGCCTGTCGCGTCGTCCCTCGCGCTGCTCGGGCACGGCACGCGCGGTTGCTGGGCCGTGGACGCGGCGACGAGCGAAGTCGCGTTTCTCAAGGACACCTGGCGGAACGTCGGCCGGACGAGGAGGTCGAAGGGCACACCATAGCGGCCCTAAGGCTGCGCGGGGTGCGCTTCGTGCCCTCCGTCGTGTGGCATGGGGACGTGCCGTCCCAGGCGTATCAGCATCCGCCGGTCTATCTGGCAAGTAAGTGCCTGCGCGTTCACTGTCCTCTCCTTTCTCACCGCCCACAATAGACGAAGTGCAGTCGACACGCACCGACGAGCTCCTTGGCCGTCACCGGCCGTCATGGGCATGCGCGCCCATTGACAGCCAAGAATTGAAAATCGCACCGCAAGCACGACGGCATTACCGGCTCGTGTTGGGGACCGTCGGACGGCCTTTCAGCACTCAGCGAGGCACGAAAGAGCTGTTGCATGCTTGCCACGATGTGTTTACTGGTGCGTGCTTCCTTGTGTTACTAGCTCAGTGCTCACGGATCTTGACAGCGATGAGAGACGCCCTTGCGAGAGATCGCCGCCTGCATCGTGATATCAGCACAGGCAATATCGTCCTGGTGCAGGAGCCTGACAGTGAAACGCGACGGGGATATCTCATCGATTGGGAGCTGTCGAGCAGGGTGCGCGCGGATGGGCGCGCGGAGAAGTCCAAATCGGTGGTAAGTCGACTTCTTTCTCACCACACCGGCTGATTCCGAGCGGACACCGTGGCAGGGTACGGCGTGGTTCATGGCAAAGCGCCTCTCCATCCGCCTGCTGGTTCAAGGCTATCCCCACGTCTTACAGGACGACATGGAGTCTTTGCTTTACGTGGTTCTCCACGCCGCTTTGCGGTGGCAGCCGCATGATTTACCCCAGGGCGCGCCCCGGGAAAGGTGGAATGTGTTCTACAAAAGCAACCTGGCCACCGCCGCACGCGACGCCGCGGCGGGCGTCCGGTTCGACAGCGACGCGGTCAGGGAGTGGCTGGACACCATGATGGCCTTCCACGCCCCTCTCCCCACCCACGGCGCCGAGCTCAGGGACAAGTGGACGGGCGACGGCCAGGCGGTCGACGACTTCTGGACCGACTTCCTCGCCACCCGCGACCTCGAACCCGCCAACCGGACGGAGCACGAGTTCCGGGCCGTGGCCTCGCCCACCGCGCCGTTGGCACCGTGGACGTCGGCGAGCCGCCCTCCTATGGGCGAAGGCTGGGTGTCGAGCTCGCGCGAGCTTTCCTCCTTTGCCTCGCCCCGCCCTCGCCCCCGTCGCCCTCGCCATCGCCGTCGGTATATCCCTCTCCCTTCAATTCGCGTTCTCCTACGCCAGTCCCGGAATTGGCGCCGAGGAGGAGGACGAGGCGCAAAGAAGTAGAGTTCTTGGGCCCAGTCGTCCCAGGTCGCTTGCGGACCAAATCCCAGCGCCGTCAGGTGCGTCGGGTATAAGTGAGGGAGGGGTGAATGTGCTGTGCGTTGCTTTCTATGTTTTGTCGCTCTATGCTCTCGGGTCAGTGTGTAGTTGGTTTTGTCGTCGCTGTGTCTGTCGCATCCGTCTCGCATGTCGTCTCCGCTGTATTTACCTGTTGTATGTGTTGTCGCTTTGCCGTCTTATGCACAATGCTCTCGTGTCAATTTCCCTTCGCGCCCGAAATCCAAACATAATCACTTTTGCGATGCAGATCCGTCGAGGAACAAAAAATTGAAACCCAAAACACAGCCCGAGGTGCCAGCCGACGAGGAGATGGTTTGAAGTCACCCGCAAGTATATGAACCGATACTTCGCAGCGCACTATTCTGATCGCAAAGACGTCTATCGTCGTGAACCAACGCGAACCAGGGTACAGCAGTCCATAGATAACAATAAGAACAGCAGACAGGCCCCGACCGAGGGCGCAAATCACGGACTTCGACGTCGCCCCCGCGGCCGTGAGCCATCGAGCACAGGCGCGGCTTTGCTTCTCCTGATGTCCGTCGGCGACGGGATGACGATGGGCGGAAGACGCGGGTTTGCCTGCTCCTGAGATCCCAGGATCCGGGCGCTGCGACGCGGCACCGGGGCAGCCGGCTCGGTCGCCCCCACCCGTCGCTTCTTCTGAGCGGGCCGCGGGTCAGGAGAAGGAAGGCGTCCACGCTTCGGCGTCGCTGACGACGGTAATTCGTCCCGCGGGCCGCGTTGCACCGTGGCCTCGCGTCCCGTCTGCGCCTGCGAGGCGTGCGCAGACGGGATCTTCGAGCTCTTCGACGCGCTCTCTAGTCTTTTGGAGGAGTGGCGTGGGCGGTTCGACGTCTCGAGCGTGTGGGTGCGCAGGAACCGCTTCCAGAACTTCTCGACCTCCCAGCCCGTCCACTTCCCCCTGAACTCGTCGCCGTGCGTCTTCAGAGGGGAATGGAACGCCATCATGGTGTCCAGCCATTCGCTGAGAGCAGGGCTGCCGAACACAATGTCGCGAGTGTGCTTGCGGCTCTTGGCGTTCTCGAGCTTGTATACACCGCCGTAGGCCTTGCCGTTAGGTGCGTAATCTTTGTGGGAGAATATCTTCCAACGCTTTGTAAGCTCGGCCACGGTGAGGTTGTGCGGCTGCCATTCAGGCGCTGTAGAGCACGACGTAGAGCAAAGACTCCATGTCGTCCTGAAGGCGTTTTTGGGGTGGGAGAAAGCTTCTGGAGGAAGCGGATCGACGAGTACCACCACGTGCCCTATGATTTCTCCCGTTGAGCATTTCAGAGGACAAGGGAATAAGCAACTCACTGCTCGGCCGCGTTGCGTCGCGTTGCCCTTTGAGTCAACCTTGGATGACGTTTCCCAGTCGATGAGGTATCCTTTCCGGACCTCACTGTCAGGCTCCTGCACGAGAACTATATTTCCAATGCTGATATCCCGGTGCAGGCGTCTGTTCTTCTTGAATGCGTCTCGCATAGCTACGATATCAGGCGGTGGTTAGCCGAAGGAAACGAGGTCATGTTTTTTATAGACGTACCGATAAATGCGTCATAACACGAGTGCAGTAACTCCTTTGTATCCCGCAGAGTCGTGAACGACCGTCCGACCGTGCTTAGTACCAACCGATAATGTTTTCTACACCACAGCTTGGCGATCTGACCATTGACGAGACAAGCCCAATCTGGGCGATTGCTTGCATCAACACTGCAGAACGTCGTTTGTACCTCGCTCCCTGCAAATCGTTCAGACACTTCGAACCGAGACGGTCGACGCACAAATAACTCACAGTGCAGCGGCCGACGCGAGCTCGACGGGTGTTCCAAGCACGACACGTCTCCGTGCCATTCCAAGGTCGGTACATTCCGCACGCCAGCCTGGTGCAACCCAGCAGGACCTCTCCCTCCAGCTCGAACTCGCCTCCGCTGTAGCGCCAGCCGTCTTTGAGGAAGAACACCTGCCCGTTGACGCATCGACGGCCCAATAGCCACGCGTGGCGTTCCGAAGCAGCGCACCCGGCGACGCGACCGGGCGGGAGAACAAGAACCTTCGCCAGTTCTCCTCGCGTGCGGTCTTGCCCTGGGACAGGATCTGAACTGCGAACACCCGCCCTGGAGCATAGTGCAGACGCACTTCCTGTTCCAGGTCTTCGTCGGGGCTAAGTTGGGTCCTCGCGTATGCGCGAACGGCGTTGCGGAAGGCTCTTTCCTCCACTGGCGTTGCATGCTCCACCGACGGGTCGTGCCCGCGACCGGCGTCGTTGGTTTTCGAGAAACGCCACAGGAAATCGCAGAGATATTCGGGATCGGCACATACGTCGAACGACTCGGAGACCACACACCCCGAGCGGTCCCAGCGGAGGAAGCGAGCCATGGAGCCGTGCATGTCGACAGTGAAGAGAAAGTTGCGGGACTGGCGGGAGAGGACCTCGACGACGTACACGAGGTGCTGACCGAAGTGTTCCTCCACGAGTGCTTGCGAACTTTTCTTCGAAAACCGAGAGAGCAGTTCGTGGGTGGCACGGTCTGCCGTGTCCAGAGGATCGTCAAAGAAGTCCAATAAGGGATCGGGGGATACGTTGATGAAGAACTCGGCGTATGCGAGATCGTAGTACTGGGACCTCTTCGCAGCATCCAGATTGTGGGGCTTATAGCAGCATATATGCGGGTTCGGGTGGTCGGGAGGGGAGCGAGTGGCCGTAGAGTCGAACACAAAGCCAGGGCATCGAAACTTGTCGGGCGTGCACTCATTCAGAGCGGCGATCTTCGAGACAAATCAACAAGACAAAGAGGGCGAAGAACACATCTACCCACAAGTGGTGAAGAGATGCCTTCGGCAGTGGCGGCAACCCGAGGCACACTCTTGAACGCGTCCGTGCTGGGCAGACGATGCATAGAGTGGTCCTTCGGGGTGCCTCTGACAGGGAGGAACCGGTCGAGAAAATCCAAGGGTGGCATCGGGCCAACTGTGGTGCTCTTGCAGCTCTCAACATGCTCCGTTGTGGAAGCTCCGAGCGTCATGTCGGCGTTGAGGGGGAAGGGGAGGTTGTAGACGGTCATGGCGGTGGCGGATGTAGACAGGTGTGTGCGGGTGAGTACGGGCATGGAGAGAAGTGCATGGTGGTAGGTTGATGAGGACAGCAGAATACAAGACGAGGAACAATTGGAGAGTGGCACAGACAACACGGTCCAGGTAGAGTTTGAGCTCTGGCCGTCCAAGCATCCGCTATCTTGCTCGGACCCCAGCCACTCGCTTCCCTTCCGGCCCGGCCCACATCATCCGGTCAAAATGTGCGCATGTATTCGCCGCTTCAACAGAAATAATAGAAGGGAAAGTGGGTCATATCTACATAGGTTAATCCAGAGAGTATGGGAAAGGGTGTGGTTCGAAGCTATCGGAAAGGGCTCTGCCTCAAACCTGAACTGGGACGGTGGCATCGGACCTGTTAACCACGGCCTCATGCGGGTTGCGGGTTCCATGTTCCATGTTCCACGGCTCCGGATGTAACGTTATCGACATCCATATTTTCCGCGCAAAATTGAACGGAGTAGGTGTGTTGTAGACGCATTGTAGCGGCGGTGGTAGTAGGGCCAGGCGGATGGAAGTCGGTGAGCGAACCAGGTAGATAAAGCAAATAGCTGAATGAACGACTCGAGGTCTGCGGTCTGTATGGTGGTGGGGCGGGAACGAGTAGAGAGCTCACAAAAACTGGATGCGACATTCGTTCTCAAATCCAGGACACGGACTCCGCCCCGGGCCGGAATTTCGGGCCGGGCCACATGGTGCGCCGTAAACCCAGCGTCGCTCCGTTCGATGTCTTTGATGTTCGAGTTGTAACTTTCGCTGCCGTTCAACTTCAGTACTACCGACGAAATCGACGCCGTCGGGCGGGGCCCCCGAAAGAAGGTAACAGAATCCATTGTAAATCGAGGACAGATATCAAGTCCATGTTAAATATGTCGACGTCGTCTCCGTGCCAGCCTCGAGGAGCCATCCATCATGCCCCCATTCCTCCTGATATCCGTCGGCGCCGGAATGACTATGGGCGGAATTCGCGACTTGGCCTTCTCCTCGTACTCCTTGAGCCGGGCGCTGCGACGCAGCGTCGGAGGCGCGAGTTCGTTCGACTTCACTCGGCTTTTCTTATTGACGGGCAAAGGGTCCGGCGAAGATGCACGTTTGCGTTTTCCCGTTGCCAATGCCTGGTCCTTGCGGCCGCGCTTCGCCTCGGCGTGGTGGCCGATCCGCGGCTTCGTAGGGCGACGGGTGGATGTTGCAAGTGCGCGAGGCTCTAAGAAATCCTTCCAGAACCCGTCGATCGCCTTGACGTTCCATTTGTTATTGTGTTTGTCGCCGTGCTCCGGTAGAGGAGAGTGATAGGCCATCATGGTATCCAGCCACTCACCAAGGGCAGGGCTGTCGAATCGGACGCCACGAGTGTACTTGCGATTCATGGCATTCTCCATCTTGCCAAGACCGCCATAATGTTCGCCATCTGTATTCACTGATTTTTGCGTGAATATCTGTAGGCGCCGTTCCCGTTGACGATCAGTCAAGTCGGACGAGTGCAGAACCAATGCACTGTAGAGCACAACATAGAGCAGAGACTCCATGTCGTCTTCGAATGTATGTAGTATGTCGGAGGAGGGCATTTGGAGTATGCGCCGCGACATGAACCACCGCGTACCCTATATGATATCCCATTGAGAGCCGTCAAGGTAAGAGATAGAGAAGAACGCACTCTTCGACCACTGCTCAACGCTTCATTGTCCTCGTTCGCCTTGACCGACAAGCCCCAGTCAATCAGGTAACCCTTTCGGATATCGCTGTCGGGTTCTTTGACGAGGACGATATTCCCTGTGCTGATGTCGCAGTGAAGGAGGTTCCCCGTCTCCAACGCCATCTTCATTGCTGAGACTAATCAACAAAAGCTTCGGGAAGAGCGCTGTGACAGACGTACCGGTGAACACGTCATAGCACGAGTGCAATAACTCCTCCGCACTACGTTGAGTATCGAAAGGTCGCCCGGCGGGTCCCATGACCAACCGATAATGTGTCCTTTGCCGCAGTTTTCTTCTTCGGCCGTTCACCCGAGCCGCCCAATCGGGATATTCCACCATGTTCACGGACTTTTGCACTGCGTCGTTGCCTAAGGACGCCTCAGATATTGGGACGGACTGGGGAGAGCACATGCACTCACCTGGTGATGTCCCCTCGGGATACGAGACGTCGCCATGTAACTTCATGACCGGAGCGAACTGCACACTCCGGTGCCTCAGCTCCCGCAGGACTTCCCCTTCCACAGCGACCCCGCCCTCGCTTCTGCGCCAAGTATCTTTCAGGAAGACGACCTCCTTCATCCCATCTTCATGCGCGAGTACTGCCCAATACCCGCGCGTCCCATGGCCAGCAAGGGTGCACGACGAAGCGACGGGGCGGGAAAACAGCATCTTCCGCGGCTTGTCCTCTCGCGTATGCCCGTCGCGTGACAGGAGCTGCACTTCATACACCCGTCTCGGGGCGTAATGTCGCTCTACTTCGCCCTCGAGGTCTTCGCCGGGAAAAAGTTGGGTTGCTGCGTATGCTCGAATAGCGTCGCGGAACGTCTTCTCATCCGGCGGCGCCGCGTGCTTCACCGAGGTGTCGTGTCCCCGTCCGGCGGGGGTAGCTTGCGAGAACCGCCAGAGGAAGTCACAAAGGAGCTCGGGGTGGGTGCGGATGTCGAATGACTCGGAGACCACGCATCCTGAGCGGTCCCAGCGGAGGAAGCGGGTGCTTGAACCGTGCATGGCGACCGTGAAGACGAAGGCGCGGGATTGGCGAGTGAAGACTTCGACCACGTACTCGATATGTTGACCAAATAGTTCTTCGATTTGCCCAGAATTGTTCGGCGACTGAGAGAGTAGCTCGTGCACCGAGCGGTTTGGGGTGTCTTTGGGAAGGGGATCTTCGAAGTAGTCGAGAGAGGGTTCGGGGGAGATATCGAGGAATAGCTCGGCGTACCCGTATTCGACGCGCGGGGAGTCCATCGCATCTCGTACGGCTTCGAAACCGTCTGGGCTGAAGCAACAGACGTGGGCCTTCTTCAGATTCCAGGGCGGAGTCCGAGCAGACTGGAACACAAAGCCGGGACATCTAGAGACGTCCGCTGTACTATGGTTTAAGGTAGCGACCTGCAGTACAGAGTTTAAACAACGAACTATGATATCACGCGGTCACTTACCAGAGCACCTGAGATCTCGTCTGCTGTGGAGGCGACCCGAGGCACGCCATTGAACGCGTCCGTACTCGGGAGGTGACATGAGGTGCCCTTTGAGCTGGAAATGGAAAGAAAGGTGTCCAGGAACTTGAATGGTGGCATTGGTCCGACTACAGTGTTCCTGCAGTTTTTGACATGCTCTTGAGCGGATGGTCTGGTCTCGGGGCCCAGGAAGACGGGGATGTCGTAGACGGGGATCATGGTGTTCTCAGAGGAGACTGAGTGCATGCTGGCCAGATGTAGGAGGCGTAGTACAACTCCATGTTGAGAGTCGAAAGTTGAAGAGATGAATACAAGACGGAGAACAATAGTGAGGTGGATGGTCGCGACCAAGGATAGGATAAAGCAACTCAGGCTGTCCGAGTCCGAGGCGGGCGTCCACATCAGGCCCGGACCCCCGTCACCGCACACACACTGTAGGATAGTCCCGCACATGAAAGTGTGTCTCTATTGGAGCACTGCAGCCAATAGAAAGACGAGATGTAGCAGCACTAAATTCCTCATTACACTAGTACGAGCAACCGCTCCGGCTACTTTTGCGATGACGGCTTCCTTTCCCGTTTCCTTCCAGTGCCAAGTGCAGAGGCAGCGCGCCGAACGCTGCTCCTCGTCCCCAGTTGCGTGTCCAGCTGGCGATCCTGCATCGTGCCTTGCCGCTCTCGGATACTCCCCCTGCGTCGTAGCACAGGCGGCGACGACCTCGACGACAGCCTCCGGGTTGCCGATGGCGAAGAGCGCCTCCGTTTCCTCTCTGGGGGCTCCAGCATCGCACCCGATCCTTCGCCAGTCGAACTAGGCTCGGGAGAGGCGCCCCGTTTCTGGGCGGACGAACTTGAGAATTGCGAACTCCTCCCTTGATCCGACGCGGCGCCCAACTCGGTCTGGTCGTCTTTGACAGAGTCGTCCGCGGGCACATGTTCCACCCGGTTCGCGGTCTCCAAAACGTTGGTGTCGACGAACTTGGTCCAGAACTTGTGGATGAAGGCGTGGTCTGGCCATTTGAACTTGAACTTCGAGGCGTCAGAGCGGAGCGGGGAGCGGTATGCCACCATCATGTCCATCCATTTTTGAAGAGATTCGCTATCAAACTTGAGAGCCGGCATTCCTCCACGCGAGCGCAAATACAGCTCCTTGGAATGTCCACCAAGCCAGGCTTTACCGGCGGGCGACCATACCCGCGCATCGAACAAATCGCGCATCACGTCTCGAAGGGTGATGTCGGAGTAGTTGTGTGGTTGCCACATGAGCGCGCTATAGAAGACGACCCAGAGGAGGGATTCCATGTCGTCCTCGAAGAGATGTCTTTGTTCGTTTGGCTCTACCGATTTGAGGAGACGAAGGGACGTGAATTGCCACGCTCCCTGCACCAGGCCTCAGACTGGAGTGCAAGCTAGGAAAGGACGATCACTCACCGCCCGTCCAGTCACTTTAGCTTCGCCGTATTCTTCGTCCAAGGTACATGAACTTGTCCAGTCGATGAGGTATCCTCTACGCACGTGGTCGTCAGGTTCTTTGACTAACACGATGTTGTCGATGCTAATGTCACGATGAATGCGAGAATCCTTTTGCAGCACGTTTCGCATGGCTACGCGAGTCGGTGAGTACCTGTCCCATACAGAAACGAGTGCAAAACTCACCCGTGAAGACATCGAGGCTACCGTGAAGTAACTCCCACGTTCCACGTACTGTGCTGAGGGGTCTTCCAGCATCCATCAGAACCAGACGATAATGCCGACGCTGACGAAGGGGAGCCCGAACACCATCCACTTGACATCTCCATGGGTAAGAAGTGAAGTTGCTTCCTATCGTGGTTTGCAGTTGGTTATCTGTCTGCACTGAGCTCTCGTATACACCAGAAGGCAACTTCACCCTTACTGTTGAGCACGCAGAGAGATTTTGGGTGCTCCGCAAACCATGAAACGTCTCCGTGCCAAGCAAGGACAGATACGTTGCGAATCTGAAGGTCTCGCAGACGCGTCAGGACAGCGCCCTCGCTCTCCAGCGCGAGGTCCCGCCAGGTATCCTTGAGGAACACGACCGTCCACTTCAGCACGTCAAACGCCCAGAACCCCCGCGTCCCAGAATGCGCTAGCGTGTTCGAGGATGCGACTGGCCGCGAGAAGACATACCGCAGCGTGTTGTCTTCGCACGCGATGGTCCCTGAGTAGAGGACCTCGGTCGCATAGACCTTCCCTGGCACGTAGTGACGATCCAACTCCGCCTTCAGGTCCTCCCCTTCGCCGAGTTGCGTCGCAGCGTGCTCGCGAATTGCCCGTCGGAAAAGCCGCTCCTCCCTCGGCAGTGCGCACTGGATCGTGACATCGTGACCGCGTCCCGTGTCGCCACGGTCGGAGAACCGCCAGAGGAACTCGCAGAGGATGTCTGCGCGCGCGCGTATGTCGAACGTCTCGGAGACGATGCATGCCGAACGGTCCCAGAAAAACATCCGCGCGAGGGAGCCGTGCACTGCGAGCGAAAAGAGGAATATGCGGGGCTGGCGCTCAAAAATCTCCGAGACGTAGGACATGTGCTGGCCTAAGAGATCGTCGATGTACTTCTGCCTCTCCGGAGTAGACGGGCGTGAAAGGAATTCGTGCGTGGAACGGTCCACAAGATCCGATGGAGGGTCGTTGAAGGAGTCGCACAAGGGGTCGGGGGAAACGCCAATGAATAATTCGGCGTACCCGAAGTCGGTGCGCGACGACGCGTCCACAGCTTTGACAGTTTCTGAGTTCGATCGCGTGTAGCAGCAGATGTAGCCGTAGCTCTCTGGGTGAACGGTTCTTGTAGCAGCAACGTCGAATACAAAACCATGGCAGCGCGATGTGTCTTCTGCACTCTCGTTGAGAGCTGCACACTGTTCAAGGGATAAGGAGGACGTAGTAAAGGAGACTATGATAGACGTACCAAGGGAGTGATAATCTCCGTGCTCGTCTCAGCTCGCAATGGGACGTCATTGAATGCGCCTTGATCGGACAGTCTTTGTGAAGAGGCATCTGCAAAAGGCCTTCCGCCAAGAGGAAGGAACCTGTCCATAAATGCGGAGAGGTCCATAGGTCCAGCAATGCTCTGCTTGTTCTGCTTGAGGAGTTGTCTGGCCCGATGTCGCGCCTGTTCAGGGTCTATGCAGTCGGCATAAGAGAGGAGTGTGGGTACATCATAGACGCAGGGCGTAGTGGTGTCGGACATGGTATCAACGAATGGTTGGCAGGACGTGCAGAACTTCGTCAGGTTGTGCTTCAAGTCATCGATCATCGTGGCAACCACGCGCGGCGGGCCGGGCAATCGAGCGCCCAATCCGAGAGGGAGCTGGCCCTGTTTTATACATAGCGTAGATGACTCTCTCTCTCTCTCTCTCTCTCTCTCTCTTTAGTGTCCCCTGGTCAGGCCTTGTTCAAGGAGCGGTATAAGCATAGGCGGCTTATGATTATCTCTCCACGCTACAAGCATGTTGCATAGTATATCCGTGAGCACTGGCGTCCCTCTTGCATTCCTCGTTATTGAAATTACATATATGTTGTGCAATATGAAGCGACTGGCGGCCGCGAAGGGATGAACAAACAAACGTTAAGAAAGAGGATATAGGATAGAACACAGGAAAAAATATCTACGTAAAGATAAAATGGGGAGGGAGGGGTGGGCAGGGGACGCAGGACCTACGGACGGCTCACGCCAACGCAGACGCGATGTCGATAAGCACTCGAGCACAGTCGAGTCGTGCACCTGATTCAAACCACCCCTCTATTCGCCACGCTACCTCCTCAAGTCCGTGCCCCTCCCGCTTGCGCTTGTCCATCGCCGTCCGAAACCGCTCCCGGAAGGCGAAACGGGGCATCTTACCCCCGCGCATCCGAACGCCTCCTGCTTCTCTGTATGATTGTCCTGAGTACGAATGGGGTCGTGCCAGTCGTTGTTGACCAGGTTCCAAACACGAACAATACCCTTGTGCCGACAAGTATGGCGAGCGCGCCAGACCGATGGAAGCGAACTTTGCGATGTCAGGCTTGCTCCCCTTGTCGCCAAAGTAACCCCGCGTGTCACGATGAGAGTGGGCGACGAAGGGACTGGGGGGAACAACAGCCCGTTCGCGTCTTGTTCTCTCGCGCGAGCCGGTCTGGGGACTGGATACGCTCTTTGGTCGGAAGAGCACTTGCACTCTTACATCGGTCCGCAGCCGTTGTGTACGGTCTCTTGAAGTTACGGACATCTTCCCCGTCCAGCGGCGTCGCAGGCTTCCCAGTGTCCTCGACCGGCGTGGGGGGCGGGTGTGCACGTCGAACGAGCAGAAACATCCAGGGTTCATGGTCTTGCCCGGTGGCCGAAAAGGTAGTCGGTGGGGCAAAGGTCTTGGGTGCTTGGATGGGAAGAAGTCGAGAGAGGAATCGGAGAAGACGTCCAAGAACAGTGTAGCATACCGATTCAAAGCGCCGGGGCCCCATCGCGGCTCGAACGGTCCCAAAACCGTCCAGGCTGTCGCGATAGATGTGAACCTTCCTCAGATGCATGACGTTCGAGTACAAGGCCTATGCGTCATATCTTGTCGGCAGCACCGAATTCTAGCCACCAGTGTGTAATACACATATAAGTAACGGTATCAGCATCACACAGGTACTTACCAGAGGGTCGGAGAGATCGTCCGTGGTACTGGCATCCTTCAGCCCACTCCCGCCGGATGCATTCGCGCTGAGAAGGCGATAGGCCTTGTCCTAAAGGATATGACTGGAAATAATTCCTGAGGCGAAATGGATCAGACGACAACTTATTGAATATACTCTTGAGGAGACAGTCCAGGTTCGGGATGAGGAGAACGGGGAGGTCGTCGACGAGGATCATGATGGCCGCAAATACTTGGTCTGAGGACATGCAGGGGGCACAGTAAAAAAAACCATGCCAATAGTTGAATGCCGAAGAGCTGAATACAAGACGGGGGACAAAAGAGAGGTCGGGGTGGACGATGACACCTTGAAGCCCGGAGAAAGAGTCACCCGGACCCCGCCACTGCTGGGCGCTGCACGGGACGGGCCGCCGGGGGCGTATACATCGAATTCGTGGTTTCACAGTGACAGTGGCACCAAAGCCGGTTGATGTCAAGGATTGTATTTCTGGAGAAAGACATGACAAGGTATGTACATCTCCATTTGAACACAGGGTTGTTAACAGCCCGTAGGTCCCATTGAACTTCTACTCGGGCTGGTCTACTCTGACAGCGACCATGCCTTCCGTCCCGTGTGCCAATCCTCTGAATATGCCACCCTCGCCAACTGCGGCCTGAGCTCTCCACAGTGTTGTCATCTTCTGGCCTTGGAGTCGTCCGTGGAAACTTCCCGCGGACGGAGTGTTTGACACATCTATCCTGATGCAATGGCCGCCTTGACGTCCGACTGTGTGGTCCTCATGGTCGTTCCGACGTCGGCGTGAAGTTCGACGGGCCGGGAGAATCGATCGACTGTCTGCCTCCTCTCTCTCGTCTTGACTTGATAACCTTGTGCTTGCATTGGACAGAGTTTGGCATCCTAGTCACCGTCCTGATATATCACATAATCGTCGCCTCGACATGCGATTCTCTCTCAGTGATTCCTGTTTCACCGTTTGTTTACTGCTCTCATAAGGGCACGTTGAAGTTCATTCGACTCTCGGTGTTGTAATTACACGATCCGTCGGTCTGCTGGTTCAACCTTGCGTGCCTGGAGAGTGAGTGAACAAACACTTGACCACGGCGCATTATCTAATATCTTCGTAATAGCGGGTTGCATAGCTTCGAGGCAGAGTCCAGACACTGCTGGCCGCCTGTAATTTAAATTACATAGGACGAATGGACAGCCTTAAATTCTTGTCGTTCACGCGGCACGCAAGAACTGATGCGCTCTTTTTGCGACTCGTTCACAAGCAAGCCGATCCTTGTGAACCGAGTCCTACGTTATGTACTCATGGATTTCACGGCGCATCCTGCGACTTGTCGATGGCAGATAGATGTCGAAGATAAACCGCCAACGTATATCTACTATGAGTGGCGACGGGAAACGTCTTGCAGCTGTTGCTCTACAAGTTTTTTGCTCGCGAAGCAGTACTGTAGTACATACATACGTGAAGTTCAAATCGTATCGGCGCGGTCAAGATCTGATGTGCAGTCGATCTCATAATGTGTCGACGTGAGCTACAAGTTCGTGATGGCGTCGAAAATTGCACCGACGATGTTCGAGTCCACGGACGGACGACTTTGACTGCAGCTACTACATGCATGGCTCGGCTGGCGGGCCGTGGCGACGTCAGCCTCATTGTCGCACTTTGCCGCCGGACGTTGCCGAACCTTCGTCTCCCACTGCTCTCCCCAGCTCATGTCGCCCCCGTATGACACTTAATCCCCGCCCAAGTTGCCTTGGTCTACGACTACCCCGTTTTCTGTTTCCTCATCAATCCCTTGGCCGCTCGCCGACGGCGTGGCCTGTCCGGCGCGTTGAATTCACTACGAATGACGACCGACTGGCCTGATGACCTGTCAACCATGAGCGCGAGCGCGCGAGCATACCTCGGATGGACCGGGAGAAGTACAAGGTCTGCGCGTAAGTTCCCACCAGCGGCAGGATGCCACGAAATTCGCCGTGCTTTTTGTTTGGTGTGAGTGTACTCTTATCTCTCTCCGCCATCCGTTCAGCCCCTCATCCGCTGCTCTCCACATCACCAATCCTGCTCCTACTATCAGTTATCCCCTTTCACCCCTTCGTGCCGGAAGACTCTGTTTATCATAGCCTCGTGAAAGTCCCCAAGCCCCACCTCGATGGACCAACCTGCAAATGTAAGCTCTCTCAGCGCGATGCAGATGCCATTCATATACTCACTGTCTTCGCATGCGCCTTTCCCGGACCCTTCTGTGCGATTTGGCGGCGTGGACCTACAGACAAACACATTTGGAGCCCCAGAGTCGGTCCCGACCGAGTCTCAATCCACGGCTGCCGACTCCGCCGGAAGCACGATCGATGGGAAGCGGCAAGGCAAGGTTGTGGTCCCGCCCGGGTCCTTTCGTATTCCGATGGTCAAGGTGTTGCCAAAGGAAACGAGCTTACAGTCGTATCTAAGCACCGCCGACATGCATTCAAATTCTCATTACAAACGGCTTGCGGTGGAGATGGAGGGCCACTTCCTCGGTCCTATGCCGGTGCAAAGCTTTTTGAGACATTTCCTCGGATTGGATCGCATTGATATGCAGGCTATGCCTTACCCCGTCCACGCCTTCAGAGACGTTCCAAAGGAACCTCCAAGGGAGGGACTCGTGTATTTTCCACTGGTGAGCCTGCCTGTTCTTCGCTCCTGAGTGCGCATGCCCATCATGTGCTAGACCATGGCTTTGAATGCGGATCCAAATACCGACAGAGAGTCTCGATGCCCTGGCTTCGTTTTCTACGTCACTGCCAACCGAGCCGACCAGAGCGGTGCAAAGGATGACGGTTTGAATGCCGTCAAGCCCGACATCTGTGCTTATCCCGAGGCTTTCGTCGCCCGTTTCCACAACCAACTTGATGCTGATGGTTATGCGCCCACCGACATGGGTCTCGCTGCACTCTACATTGAGGTCAAAAAGAATGAAACTGACGACAGTTTCGTCCGAGACTGGTCCCCTGCCGACGCATATCTCCAGCCACCTCCTATCTCATTCACCCGAAGCACCGAACCCGACGAAGATCTTGGCCAGATAATCAACTACGCCTCGGAGATATTCAAGAGGCAGCACCGCCAGCATCTCTTCTCTGTGTCCCTGTGTGGTAGCAAGGCACGCCTCATTCGCTGGGACCGAGCAGGCGCAATCGTGTCCAGGTCGTTCGATATTTTGACTAATCCCGAGTTGCTATGCAATTTTTTTGGTGCTTCTCGAATATCTCTCAGGCCGAACGTGGCTTCGACACCACCGTCGAGCCAGCAACGCCTAATGAGGAGAAGCTTTTCGGTGATGCGATCAACGTGCATCTTTCGAAACAGGTCAAATACTGGCATCAAGGCCCAGCAACCGATGCGGGTACTTTCAATTACTACAAGGACGAACATTATGAGCCATATTCCGTCACCAGCATACCTCTTCCTCATCTTTTCCCCTTTGAAACGTTCCGCGACCCGGACCCGGCGAATTCTCCCGATCCATCACAGTCTCCGCCGCCACGTTTGCTAGTCTCTCGCCCCATCGTTGTCCCTCATTCTTTAACCGGAAGAGGCGTGCGGATCTACTGGGCGGCCCGTATGGAACGCCGTCGTTCTTTGGGGGTGGTTCTCTTGAAGGATTTTTGGAGGTATTCGACGCGCAGGACCGAGGGCGAAGTATTGAAGGAGTTGGACGACTTCAAGGTCACCGACATTCCGACTGCTCTGTACCACTCAGACGTGCCTGGCCACCGCTGTGGTCCCTCAAATGTTGAAGCTTATCCTACGGAATTCGGCTTCGATCCTAACGAGAAAGACGTACTGGAGTACTGCAGTGAGTCGAGCACGACTACAGCATGTCTTCGTATGCTCAAACATGAAGTCTTAAGGTAGACAGGCCACTCTCACGCAAGATTACGCGAACGCCGAATGGGTGTACCCCAGTGTGCGGCAGCAGCTGAAGTTGACAAGGATGGTCCACTATCGCCTCGTGATCGACGAGGCTGGCTACCCTCTTACGCGCGCTGTCGGGACTCAAGAGCTGTTGAGCGGGGCTCGTGACGCACTTCGAGGTACCAACTGCCATCTGCCCACCATTCCCTACAGCTCATAATTTCATGTTATTTCGATGCTGCAGCGATTACGACAGCTTTCTTCAACGTCGCTCGCAATAAACAGAAAGTTGCATGGGTTCATCGGAATGTCAGTCCGCGCAACATCATGTTGTTTCGCGATAGGACCAAGACCTCGAGGTCGGTCAAGAAGGGATACCTGATTAACTGGGACACGTCAAGCAGCGCTCCAAGGCTCACGGCTCAAGGCCCAAGGCTCAGGCCCGATGATGATGACGACCCACCTGTTTCCGTAAGCTCAGTCATCGTCCATTTTTCTGACATTGCTGACCGGGCCTCTGGCGACGTACACAAATTATCCAGGTCGAATACCAGTTCTCTGCCTTCGGACCGATCAATGCCATGTATGCACGCAATACAGGCTGGACCCTCGACTCGCGCCAACCTTCCATCTATTACACGGTCATCGACGACATCGACGCGCTGCTGTACTCGGTCTTGTATTGCGCCTTGAAGTGCACAGATCACAAATTGGGCAAATCTCTCGAGAACCTCATCTTCGGACTGCTATTCCCGGAAGTAGCTAGCACGCCGAGTCCAGGTACCATGGTGGCGCCTCTAGCGAAAGAAAATTTTCGCTCTCGTGTCGCACAGGCCCACTCCATGTGGTCAGTTCAGGCTATGAGGTCCTGGATGACTCTTGCCGCGAACTGGTCAGGTGATCGGGCCAATGGTCACAATGCCGCCGTGGCAGTGGAACCCACGGACGAGCTCCAAAATTACATCGCGGAACTTCGCAAGGGTTGGGACGCCATCAACAACGCCAAAGAGCTCTTTGGCGAGTTCGGGAAGACGAACTCACTCGAACTCACCAAACACCCAACCAACATCAAGTGGCATAAAGCCACGTCCACGGCAACCTCCTTCTCGAGCGCAAACACGACTGTCTCATCTACCTCGAGGGTTGACCCTACTACTTTGGTCTCAGATATTCCCAGAAGGATGGTCCACGTTGACGAGCAGAAAGCCGATAACGACGATGTCATGGACGACTCGACGGCCACCGGCCCTTCCGATAGCACCGTCAGTGGATCGTCGACCCCCACCGCGAGGTCTCAAACTCCCGCTGCGTGGCCGCAAGGAGCATCTTCCAGAGTTGGGCGAACTCGGAGTCCCAGCCCCGGAACCAGCAATAAGAAAAGTCGTGTAGATGACACGTCAAGTTCAGCTGGAGGCGGGCCTCGAAGGAGCTTACGTCCACGCAAGTGAGGGGTTCTCGAATGTCTATTGTTGTTCGCATGCTGACGAAACGAGGCAGATAGGTCGTGAAAGCGCAACCGGATCAATATCGCCATCGCCGAGAGTGTGTTTGGGAGGCTAGTGACGCAGTCAGGGCGTACAAATAGTGGGAGCGCGTCTTGGGGTGTGGAGTTCCATCTGATTACTCGCATATATGTACATGTGGCGTTGCTCTCTGTCGCGAAGGGACGCCTGAAAGCTGTTGAACGCGCTCGAATAACTCCGGTCTCGTTCGCAAAGCGCTTTATAAATGGTGTAGCGTTCGCAAAGCAGTACATCGTCGATCACACCATAAAGTGTAAACAGCGGGAAGAGCGTTGAACGTTGAGGTCACATCCCTACGTGCGGACCACGTGCGAGTCCGGCGCCGACTAGCGGTTCAAACTCGCTCTCGGAGAGTGGAGGATGCGCACCAAGTGGAGACACGTCTCAATCATGTGCTCATGGCACGATAGGAATGCGCAAGATCTATGCCTACAGTAGGTGCAGCTACTATCGTGTCGACCGCCTGTCGACCCTTCCTCTCCCACCTCCCGACGTACTCGGCACAACTTTACCTCGTTTTGAGACCTTTGTCTTCGGTGGCTGAGCATCTTCAGGATGATTTGGCACCACGTCTTGGCGCTGACGTATCCGCGTGCTGCGTCGTAGGACAGGTGGCAACGACCTCGACGCTTGTGCTGGCGAGCTGCGCCGAGTTCGTGTTCTGTCGGCGAGGAGAGCACCCGTTTTCTCTCCGGAGGTGAAGGGGTCGCTACAGGGCTTCCGTGGTCCAAGGCACCTTCGAGCGTCAAGCTCATCGTTCTGGGTGGCGAAGCTGGGAACGGCGGACTCTTGCCTTGATCGGACGCCACGCGTGAGCTCAGGTCGCTCGTATGGAGGACCTCTGCGGGCACGTTTTCCACGCGATTTGCTGTCTCCAAAGTGTGTGTGCTGAGAAAGTCGGTCCAGACTTGGTGAATAAACGCATGGTCGGTCCATTTGTGCTTGAACTTCGAGGCGCCCGAGCGGGGCGGGGAACGGTATGCCATCATCGTGTCCAACCATTCTTGAATGGATTCACTGTTGAATTTCAGAGCAGGGAGTGCGTCACGCGAGCGGAGATACAAGTCCTTGTAAAAACCACCGGACCAGAGGTTACCGGAGGGCGACCATATTCGCGCGTCGAAGAAATCGTATATCACATCTCGAAGAGTGGTGTCGGAGTAGTTGTGCGGTTGCCACATGAGCGCGCCAAAGAACATGACCCATAGGAGTGACTCCATGTCGTCCTGGAAACGATGTCGGTGTTCGTCGGGTTCCGACCAATTGAGGAGGCGAATGGACATGAACCGCCACGTCCCCTGCGACGGGGACTCAAAACTCTACACGCCGGAAAAAAATGATAATCACTCACTGCTCGTCCGATCACTTTAGCATCACCCTCGTCGTTTAGCGCGCATGATAGTTCCCAGTCGATGAGATACCCTCTACGCACGTCGGCGTCCGGTTCTTTGACTAGCACAATGTTGCCCGCGCTGATGTCCCGATGAATGCGAGAATCCTTCTCCAGAGTATCTCGCATGGCTGCCACGCAATTCCGTGAGCATCGCTTCCATGCAGAAACGGCTGCAACGCATACGCACCCCTAAAGACATCGAGGCCGGCATGAAGCAACTCCTTTGTGCCACGTACGGTGCCGAATGATCGTCCAACGGTCCCCAGAACCAGACGATAGTGCCTACGGTGATGAAGAGTAGCTCGAACCCCATCCACTCGACACCTCCATGGGGGAGAAGTGAAGTTGCTTCCTATCGTGGTCTGCAGTTCGTTGACTGTTTGCAATAAGCCCTCGTACACGTCGGAAAGCACTGTCGCTCTTACCGTTGAACTTGCGCCGTGGGACTGGGTATTCCGCAAACCATGAAACGTCTCCCTGCCAGGAAAGCGCGGGTATGTTGCGGACCCCAAGGTTGTGTAACCGTCGTAGGATGTCGCCTTCGCTCTCTGCCTCGAGCTCTCGCCATGTGTCCTTAAGAAACACGACCGTCTTCGTCGCCACGTCTACCGCCCAGTACCCACGCATTCCGGTATGTGCCAGCGCGGTCGAGCTTGCGATTGGCCGCGAAAAGACGTACCGCAGCGTGTTTTCATCGCACGCGCTAAAACCTTGGTGAAGGATGCTGGTTGCATAGACCTTGCCCGACGCATAGTGCCGCTCCACCTCCGCCTCCAGGTCGTCTTCTTCGCCGAGTTGCGTGGCAGCGTACTCGCGAATCGCATCTCGGAATATCTCCTCCTCCTCCGGTAATGCGCGCTGGATACTGACATCGTGACCACGCCCTGTATCGCCTCGGTCGGAGAACCGCCAGAGGAACTCGCAGAGGATGTCGGCCTGCGCGCGCAAGTCGAAGGCCCCGGAGACGATGCACGCCGAATGGTCCCAGAAGAACATCCGCGCGACGGAGCCGTGAACCGCGATCGAGAAGATGAAGACGCGGGATTGACGCGCAAATATCTCCGCGACATAAGACATGTGTTGGCCGAAGTATTCGTCGATGTGCGTTTGCCTGTACGAACTGGACGAGCGTGACAGGAACTCGTGTGTGGACCGGTCGGCGACGTCGGGGGACGGATCGTTGAAGAAGTCGCGAGAGGGGTCGGAGGAAACGTGGATGAATAACTCGGCGTACCCGAGGTCGACGCGCGACGCCACGTCCGCAGCCTTGACAGTCTCCAAGTTGGACGGGGTGTAGCAGCATATGTGGGGCTTCATGAATCCGCGTTTGTCCTGACGGACGGTTCTTGTGGCAGTAATATCGAAAACGTAGCCGTGACATCGCGATCTATGCTTCGTACTTTTGTTCAGGGCCTTCATCTGGGTAGAGAATGAGAAAAATGGGAGTAGGAATATGAGCGATAGACATACCAAGGGAATGTATATCTCCGCGCTCGTCTCGGCTCGCGATGGAACAGCACTGAATGCGCCTCGACTAGACAGTCGTCGGGAAGAGGCGTCCACAAGACACTCGCTATCAGGAGGAAGGAATTTGTCTATGAAAGCTGATGGGTCCATAGGCCCAGCAATGCGACGCTTGGTATGTTCTAAGTGTTGTCTGGCCCGAAGTCGCGCCCGGTCGGGGTTCATGTCGTCGGCATAAGAGAGGGATGTGGGCATATCATGGACGCTAGGCGTAGTGGTGTAAGCCATGGCGATGAAGGGGCTCGCAGGATGCGCAGGACAACATCGTTTGCAGGGCTTTCACCGCGAGGAGTCCACCTCCACGCGCACTTCGCACGGTTGATCCCCGGCGGGCCGGAGAGCCGCTATATGGACCGCCCATAACGCGGGTAGACGCGCGCACCCCATCAGACTGGTGGCTTCAGTGAGCGTTCTAAGTATGTAGGATCGTAAGGATCCACAATCAACATGACCCTCCTGCATTCTTCGCCACATCGCAGTGCTAGCGATACACATGGGTTGTGGGGGGTTGTGGGGGAGGTCGGGCATAGGGATTGTAAACCATACACTTGCAAAAAAACAAGGAAATACACCAGGAAGACTGGGCGCGATAGAGTGTCAGAGGAAAGACCATATGGCCATAGTGCCGGGCATGAGTAAAATCGAAGACGAAGTGTGGATGAACAGAATAACAAACATACCATCCGAGAATGACGCCTCACGCCTCTCACACAACAAATAACTTCATCATCTTCTCCACCCGCCACACCGCCTCCTCCGCTTCGTGCACCTGCCCACGCTCATCCATCGCCACCCGGAGATGATCGATATGATCCCGAAGGCTAGAGCCAGCCGGCGGTTTTGCTCGCGTATTGAGCGCCCACGAACGCGCTTGCGCACTCCTCCGTATCCCCCGCAATCGTCGCTGTGCTCCGCCGTCTGATCGTGGGCAGCGGCTGTACCATGGGGGAAACGTTGTCGATCGGGTTCCGGACGCGGACTACAACCTTGTGACGACGGGGTTGCCATATGGCAAGAGCACCGGTCCCCGAAATACTAGTAGGGGGAGGCGACGCGTGTGCTGACAGTGAGCCCGTCGCCTTGGTGGTTCGCGTCGCCAAGCTTGCCCTCCTTATAATTAGCGAATGCAACGGCCAATAATCTCGCTTGACACAGCAAAGAGTGCACGACGAAGTAGACTGGGCCAGAAAATCGCTCTCCCACATCGTGTCCTCTTGGGCAAGCCGATCTTGTGACTGGGTGTGCTCTTTGCCCGGGATGCACGTTTTCGAAGTTGTATCGCCACGTGTGGCCGAATGACATTGCAGAACCGAGTCGTAGTGACCTCGATGGCCGCCGATGACCTGCGAGAACCGCCGGAGAAAGTCGCAGAGGGCCCCGGGTGGGTGCGTAGGTAATTGAACCCGACAATGACACATCCCTAGCGATTCCAACCGAGGAAGCGGGCAAAGGAGCCGTGTATAGCGAGCGTGAAGACGGAAACACGGGATTAGCGAGCAAAACCGTTCGACATGTGGACGGAACAGGTCTTCGATGGAAGGTGCCATGGCTGTGTCCGTTGACCGAGAGAATAGCTTGTGGGCGGAAGGTTTTGGGTGCTCGAAACGGGACCATCGAAGAAACCCAGAGCCAGATCGGGGGGACGTCGAAGAACAGCGTCGCGGGTTGTTCCAACGGATGTGAGCCAAGTTCGGGTGGCGTGGCGTCCGTGTGATCCAGAACATAAAGCCCGGACATCAAAATATTGTGGGGCAGAGTAGCAACCTGTTAGGATGTAAAAGATAAGCATGCGGCAGTCACTTACGAGGGACCAAATATCTCGCCTGCAGCGCTGGGATTTTTCTACACACAACTAACTGAGCAGGCCGCGAGAGTATGTTCTTAAGCGGACAATCTGGACCGAAGGGACGTGGGCGGGAGTTTGGGCGGAAACCATGGCGGTCACAGATGCAAATGGAAGTGTGTGTATGCGGGAAAGCCGTGGAAGGCGTAGAAAAGCTCCATGTTGGCAATCGAATGACAGGGAGAGCAGTTGAGGGAAGGTGAGAGTCGGAGGGACAAAGCCACTCGAGGCTGGTGATTTTGAGTTCGGGCCGGAGGAAACCCGGACCCCTGTCACCGCTCGCCACCGGAAGCACGCGTGCGGTTTCGCGATTCAAACATTCACGCCGGAGCCATTCATGTCAAGCCCTGTATTGCTGGAAGAAGGCGTAGAAAGGTATGTACATATCCACGGAAGCACATGTTGACAAGCCCGCACACAGATGCTGAGCCACACAACCTGGTCTACTCCGACAACCGCACCGATCCTAAACCTCTGAATACGTATTGCGCCGGAGTCGTCAGCTCTTCAATGACTGCACTGGGTCAGAGTGGTCGCGACGAAGTTGTCTCTTCTCGCCGTTGTCTTCCGTGGCGACGTTCCTCAGACGAAGCGTTCTGAGGACGTCACATCCGGTAACAAGTGCGCACTGGATGGGAGCCATGCCATCCGACTATGGTGCGCCACAGACTTTCGTGCCTGACCTCCGCTTGCCTACGGGCAATGGCATGTCCCTTGCAAGCATGCTCCCATCGCTGGTAGAAATCCCCAACTCAGAGAATGGAAGCGTAGAAGTAGGCGTTGCACTTACCTGCGAACGTATCGTGCAACTTTCCCGCACCTATCACCAACCTGGATGGTGTCGTTGATCTGGTAGCGAAGACGCAACAAACCCAATCAGGAGCGGGTATCGGGAATAGGCGAAGAGACTCACTGCGCAAGGGTCGCCGCGCTTGAGAACAGCTATCAAACACAAGCATCCTACCACAATAACACATACGGTACCAACTCAGTACTCCACCGCTGCAGTAGGTCTTCTCTCTCATTGCCTGTCCTCCCCAGTTCCCTTTGAGTGCCGCTCTCGGCGAGCAAGAATGACCCCGTCGGCCGGGCCCACGGAAAGGCACGTTCTCGGTGTCACAAATAGAATGCTAGTCGAATGAACGTGGACTTTCACCAGTGGCAGATGGTGCCAATTGATCGGCTTCTCGAAGTTGTTGACGGCGTCCACGGAGAGTTTTCGCCGCCTTTGATGTCGTTCCTCTGCGAGAACACCAGGGATGGTTGGCACGTATACCGTTTTGATTACAACGCACCGGGTACAGTCCGACCTGAGGCCTGAGCACTCACCAAGCGGAGAAGCTATGCACTGACGGGTGGGCCTGGCCATCCCGCTGCCTTTGGCCCACCGAGGGCGACAGGGCGCGTCGGAAAGGGAGATCAAAACTGCAGTGAGAGAGTCGGCGGAGCAATCGCATGTGAGGCGTAAAGGAGATGTTGAGGAGTAAGTCGCATGTGGATGAGGTTGACCTATCCGCGTCCTTGAACGAAGTTATGAGGAAGCAACTGGGTGACCGGAACGGGTTACGGCATGCACACAGGTGTGTGGGGGCTGACACAGGACTGCGCGACTTGTACCCCGCGCCGAGGCCGATGTCAGCGTGAAGAACCGTCGGAGAGTAGCAAAGACGTACCATGAACCCAAAACCTGACCGCCCTCCGGTCGTATTAGGACATCCTGAACTACCCTCTCCTCGACGGCCTTCGGGAATGCCGACTCCGGGAAGACACGACCTCCACGCCTTGAGGTGCTCTTGGATTGCCGTAGCGGCTCGGAATCAACACTGGTCTCGCAGACACGTACCGGCGACAGAGAGCTGAAAAATGGATGTGCACAGAGAGCAATGGATTTGGGGAGGCAGACGACGACGGGTGAACTGTGAGCATGGGTTCAGCGCGTCGCACGAGAGTGCGAGTGGGAGAACCAGCTGTCTGGGGTCCGGCTAGATGGCCAGGGTCGTCCGAGTCGGACCTCGGCTCTCTCCTCCTTTTCGTCTTCACTTCGTACCCCTGCCCGTGCTTGCATCTAGAGTCTTCTAGAGTTCGCATTCTCATCTCAGCATCATTTCCAAAACACCTCGCGCTTTCATCATAGAATGCTCTCTCAATTGTGTATTGGCAAGAACGCTCCACACCTGCTACTGAACGCGTTCCAGCATAATGTTATACACCACATGCCTCGACAAGGGGACTGTAAGACATCAAAGCACATGCACGCGAGTGATCACCAGATACTATAAGTTATGCGGAAATTAGGGAAGGGTTACAAGTCACTATCAAGATCATTGTCGTGCTGATCGCTTCCGAGCTCGCGTCCTTACTCCCCCAGAAGTAGGACGGTCACGAAGCCTTTCACTGCGTCGTGGCGGCAACGTCCCCAGCGCACTGTCCGGTATGTTGGGCCGAGACTGACTTGCCGGCGGTGTCGAGAGTACCCGTTTTCTTGTCGAGGCCCTTCTCGCTGGCGAAGGAGAGCGCGAGAGCGTCCGCTCCACGCCGGGGTACTTCGGGAATGGCGGAGTCTTCCATTGTTCTGACGCTACGCGCGAACTCACATCGCTTGCCCGAGTGTTGTCCGTGGGCGTGTGCTCCACGCGATTCGCCGTCTCCAAAGTGGGGGTGTCGAGGAATTCGGTCCAGAACTGGTGAATGAAGCCGTGGTCGGTCCATTTGTCCTTGGGCTTCTTGGCGTGGGTCGGAAGCGGAGAAAGGTACGCCATCATCATCGAGAACCACTGTTGTAGAGAACCACTATCGAACCTAAGATCTGGAAGCGCCCCGCGATTGAGAGCATGTAGGTTCTTCGCTACGCCGCCACGATAGGTCTTCATGAGGGGTAACCATATCCGTGAATCGAAGAAGTCGCGCATCACATCTCGAAGAGTGTCGTCAGAGTAGTTGTGCGGCTGCCACATGAGGGCGCCGTATAGTACCACCCAAAGAAGGGACTCCATGTCGTCCTGGAAGCGGTGTCTTTCTTCATCTGGTTCTGCCCAATCAAGAATGCGGATGGACATGAAACGCCATGTTCCCTGGGGCAGGGACTCAGATTGAGGTTGTGATGACGTGGGCGACCACTTACTGCTCGTCCATACACCTCCGCGTTACCATCGTCGTCCACCGTACATGAAAGCTCCCAGTCGATAAGGATTCCTTTGCGTACATCCGTGCCTTCTTCCGTGACCAGCACGATGTTTCCAGTGCTGATGTCCCGATGAACACGTGAATCCTTCTCCAGTGCGTCTCGCATCGCTGGGTTACTTCGTGAGTATAGTTGCCTCCGATTACGAGTAGAAACCACGCGCACCCGAGAAGACATCATGGCTGGCATGAAGAAGCTCCTTCGTGCCACGTACGGTGCTGAATGGCCGACCAGCTGTCCCCAGAATCAGACGATAGTGCCGACGCGTCGCGACGTCGGACAGTGTTCCATCTACTGGACACCTCCATGAGGAAGTATCATGCCTGTTTGTCAGTGTCGTTTGCAGCTCACTACCTATCGGAAATGAGCTCTCGATCACACAAGAAAGCGACACTGTACTCACTGACAAGTGTCCGCCGCGTATCCGCAGAACGTACCACCCATGGAACATCTCCCTGCCAGACCAGCGAAGGTATGTTGCGAACGCCAAGGTCGTACAGGCGGCGCAAGATGTCGCCTTCTGTTTTTGATGTGAGTTCTCGCCAGGTGTCCTTGAGGAATACAATCGTCTCTGTCGCTACGTCCACAGCCCAGTAGCCGCGCGTTCCATGGGGCGATAGCTCATTCGAGCAAACTACCGGCCTGGAGAAGACGTATCGCCGCGTGTTGTCGTCGCAGGAGCTAAATCCTTGGTGCAGGATGCTTGTCGCATAGATCTGGCCCGGCGCGTAATGGCGGTTCACTTCTTCCTCCAGGTCCTCGCCTTCGCCTATCTGAGTGGCGGCATAGAGGCGAAGCGCATCCCGAAACAACTCCTCCTCCTCCGGCAGCGCAGGTTGGACCGTTACGTCGTGGCCGCGCCCTATATCGCCTCTGTTGGAGAATCGCCAAAGGAACTCGCAGAGGATGTCGGGATCCTTGCGTATGTCGAAAGATTCGGAGACGACGCAGCCCGCACGGTCCCAGAAGAATAGTCTTGCACGTGAGCCGTGGAGGCTGGCCGAAAACACAAATATGCGAGGTTGACGGGTGAACACCTCTGCGACGTACGACATGTGCTGGCCAAAGACGTCTTCGATGTACCTCTGCCGGCGGTGACTAGAAGAACTTGAAAGGAACTCGTGCATAGAACGATCGGCGAGGTCGGATGGGGGATCGCTGAAGAAGTCGCGCGAGGGGTCCGGGGATACGTGGATGAAGAATTCGGCGTACCCAAGGTCGATGCGCGACGATACTTCAGCAGCCCTTACAGTCTCCGAGTTGGACGGGGTGTAGCAGCATATGTGAGGCTTCATGTAGCCGCGCCGATCCTGGCGGAGTGTTCTTGTGGCAGCAATATCGAAGGTAAAGCCGGGGCATCGGGATTTATGCTTCGTGCTCTTGTTAAGAGCTACAGCCTGCATAGGGGATGAGGAGGCGCGTGAGGAAAAGCTACGCGATGGACGTACCAAGGGGGTGAATATCTCCGCGCTGGTCTCGGCATGTGCTGGAATGGAATTGAATGCGCCTCGACTGGACAGTCTATGGAATGCGTTCGGCGAATTCAGCTCGTTAACAGGACAAAATTTGTCCATGAAAACCGAAGGTGACATTGGCCCAACGACTTGATGTTTGTTGCCCTTGAAGTGCTGTCGAGCACGGAGTCGCGCACGTTCGGGTTTCATGTAGTCGCCGTAGGAGAGGGGAGTGGGTATATCATAGACGCAGTCTGAAGCAGTGTCGTTCATCGTGCAGTAGAGAGAAAAAGACGCAGTGGAGGACAGATGTGAGCGTTTTTCGAGTAGACGTCAGAGCGAGGCCCGAGCATCGATATATGTCTGTCATTCCACCTTGTTCCAGGGTTCGGGGTGTCGGCCTGTGGCGCAGACTTGAGACGGCGGAAGACAAGCATACAGCGGTTACTTGGCGGCCTTACAAGGGGATCAAACATCTCACTCGCGGCGGTTGGCATGCTTTTGTGCGGGACAGGCCGAAGAGGTTGTCTTCTTGTTTGGTAACGGAGAGAAAACCGCTGGGATGGTCCAGAGTCAAGACCGATCAAACGACGGTATTCGTGTGGTCTCAGATCTCAGAAGTTGTGCTTGGGCGGATTCAGTGTACGGGTTCGAGGTGAATGTCGACGGTAATCATGGCGGTCGTAAGGGATGAAAGCGTGTGCATGCCAGCAGAACATAGTAAAGGTCCATGCTGGTACTTGGATAGCGGAGAGCACGGAGAACAACAGAAAGCAGGAAAGAGGGTGGCGACCAGGGACAAGACCGCGAGATCTCAGATCTGGGTACAAGGCGTCGGATCCGGACCCCTGTCACCGCTCGGCGCTCAGCTACATAAGAATGGGCGGAGTCGATGAACAATAACACGCACGTCTCAACGTCAACCCTTGATGACATGGATTGCATTCACGGCGAGAGAAACAGAAAGGTATGTACATAAATGCGGTGATGCATATTGACAACTTCGCAACAGATACCAAGCTCCTCACCTATTCCGACATCGACCATGCCAAGTTCCATCTGTACTGGTAAAAGAATGTTACGCCCTCGGCGGTCGGCACAGCGCGCTCAACATTCGTTGCACCGTCTGATCGTCCGTGACGACGTTCCTCCAAGGATGTCGGGTCGATGTCCCAACATGTCGTCCTTGTGGCTGCCGCGATGCTGCTAATCTCGTGCAAGAACTCTGGGTAAGTACCTTTCACTACTTGCCCACAGGCATGGCTGGAGCATGCACGGCTCGCATCGCTGATACGAAACGCCGAATTGAATGTGCAATCCAAAAGGTCTAAGTGTGGTACACACCTACTAGCACTCGTTACCCTCTCAGCAGTGGCGTCATTAAACAGGCAGCAGGGGTGAGTTCCAGACGTAAAAGTTTGGTCGTCAGACTGGCTGTGACGGGCAGTCAAAAGGGTATACCGTGGACGAGTGGAACTACTTACCTCGAAAACGGCTCTCGAGAGTACAGGCACTGTTCCCAACTCAACTGCACAGCGAATCCTCTCTCGCCTCTACCAACTCTATCGCCCAGTTCCCGCGAGTGCCTTGCCCAACGAGCAAGAATGCCCGCGCTGCCCCGGGTCGAGTCTTCGCGCCTTCTCCTCACGCATTGGAGCAGAATGCCGGTCGATCGGACGTGGCTCGTCCGAGAACCGCCATAGGCGTTGACGATGCGGTCCGCGACGCGTTACCGTGTGCAAACAAGCCAAGTCCTTAGCACCATCGTTTGCCTGCGGCAAGTACTATGGAGCGTCAGGGTCGTTCGATGACTCAGTTCCGACGCACCACACATGCTGGCAACCGTGCGCAGGACGCATGGATGGGGAAACGCGCGCTTGGGGGCTGAAGACGTCGGCGACGGAGGGTTATGCGGGCTGAATAGTCCTTCGTGGAAACCTTGCTTCCGCCGGTTGACCGAGTACACTAGCGGTTGATCTGTGGCGACGATATCAAGATTTTCACAAGGTAGCTCAGTTGGAGAGCAAGTAGACCAAACTGAAGTCGACCTACTTTTTCAGTGAGATGGAATGGCGCAGAGCTATACCCGCACGTACCCAATGCTGATAAGGCGCATGCGCCAAGAGCGAAACCGAGGGTAGCGCGACCACACCCCGTGCGGAGGTTGAATACTCCAGCCTGCACATCATAGAGTCGATGGGCTGCCGCTGAGGTGACTTAGCAACGACGTACCACAAGCCCTCATCAATCCTGTCCGCTCTCTGTTTGGTGAGAAAGCACCGTTAAACCCCTCATTGCTCCACTGAACGTCGGCCAATGACGTAGGGTGACAGGGAGTTGTTGAATGTCCGTCCTTGGATTCGAAGTGCGTTTCGGCGATGAGGGGTTACATTATTATAACAAAGACGTGGAAAAGGACTAGTCGAGAGGGAGCTGGGCGATGACGGGGAGAATGTGAAGAATAGGACGAGGAGAGTGCGAGACTCCGAAGGGGAGGATCGGCTGTCTGGGGTCCAGCGCCGAGCGGGGTGGCTGAAAGCCTGGCAGGGCCCGTCACTGTGCCTTGCTCCCTTTCGTCTTGACTTGCTGTGTGCTTTTTTTTTGTCCGGTCGACCTCTCGACGTATCGGCGTGTCGGCGTGCTAGTACTCGGTTTATCATGCTCGTCTTCTCCACTACTTGAATTGCCACCACCTCCCAGCAAGAACGCTCCGCACCATGGATACGTTCTGCCAACCACTCACATACGCAAGCCGACGATGTCAAGCTTGAACATGCAAGACATCGACCCTGACGAGTCTGAATGGTTGCAAGGATAGCCCCTCCGATCCCGTGCCCACCCAACAACTGTGGGATCGACGGTTCTTCTGAATCAGCGAGACTCGACTCAGTTATGTTTTGAATTCAGTGCGCTCGTGTCACCCTCCGAGACGGGTACAGAGGGGCAGTTGTTGCGTCGGTATGTGATCATCGAGTTACCGCTTTTTGCACCTTTAGCTCTCCCCCAAAAACGCTCGTCGTTGTGCTCATCAATTCCTCGAGCACAGCACTCGGCCTCGTCGCAAGGTCCGTCCGCAATGACGGTCGGTCGCGGATGCAGCCTTCCATACGCCTTCCATATGCCGTTCAACTTGGACGTACATTATTCCATGGACGCATTACGGTGTCATTTCGACTTCTTCGAGGATCAACCCAGTGCTCAATGCACACAGACTTTCCGTCACAAATGGTCTCTTTACCTGACTCCGCCGTTTGAACGCCCTCTTCCCTGATTCGGGTGAGTGAGCAAACATTTGACTACATCTCATGTCCTGATATTTTCCAAACAGATATTCGATTCGCCTTAACGCAGACGCTATTGGTTCGTTGTGGGACTGATGAACACCCTTCTCACCCAACGTCCAAGATTGAGTACTGCATGACGACTTCGTGGTCTTCACTGGCGCGTGGCTTTTAGTGCATGTATCTCGTTATTCATTCGTTTGTGATTTGCGAATTGCATCCCCGATCGGTAGAGAACCGTTGCCCGCTGGGCGGACGTCGAAGCTTGAGTGGGAGAATCCATCCGTCCGCCCGTGCTTTCGCTCTCAAGGTGAGTGCGAGCGGTCGGCTCGGGGTACACAGCCGCGGTCGAAAGCTGAGAGACTCCTGGAACGGATTTACGTGACTCCGTCCACAACTATTGTGCTCGTTCTCCGCGATGGGGGAAATGGGGCCACAGCGGTACATCTGCTGCAAGCGACGATCGCAGACACGGTGTCTGATGCTCGGTCAGGTGTTAGGAGCTTCACCACTCCGTTGTCGGCCATGTACGTACACGATACCATCATTCAGATTCCATGCCGTTGATTCGAGCTGTGTGCGCACGATCTTCTGGATACCGAACTCACAAGGGTGTCGAGAGTCGAGACAATGCGTGGGTGTGAGGTTGCGAGAGGGACGCATTGTCTGGAGGCGTGCCAGTGGCGATGTTGGTCCGCGGGCGCTCCGTCGCACTTTGCCGCCTCGGCCGGACGGTCCCGACTGGGGTTGGGAGCATCACGTCCGCCGCCAGCGTCCACTGCTGCACAGGGCGACGTTCAACGTTCAATCTCCACTCCCCCGCATGCTCATCCAGCAATATCATATTCACCCGAGTTGCTCGCAGGTGAATTGCCTATGGCGTGGCGTGGCCTGCTCAGCTCACCGTCAATGTCGACCGGGCCCGGGGACTCCACACACACGATTCCGCATCCGATTGACCCGGCGAAGCACAAAGTCGCGCTCTGCGTGCGAAGACGTCTGCGCGTGAGATCCTGCCAGGAGCTCGGGTTGTAGACGATGCTGTGAGTTTCCTCGTCTCCTGCTATACAATCACTTGTTCATCCCCGGCTCTTGCTGTCTCCTCCGGAAGCCCTGCCCTTACTCCCACTCCATCCTCTCATCGGCTCGTATCCCTGCCGGGGAGGTCGCGTACAGCAAGAAATCCCTGGTCTCTCCGACCTCGTCGAAGGTTTTCCGAGTTCTAGAGAAGATGCACTCGTCCAGTCCGGTGCGCTCTCCCATCACCGTCTATGTACGACTCATTTGCTCATTCTCCCAGTTCGCTTCGTCTTCGTCTTCGGGGCGGCCTTCTGTGCCGCCAAGCATACACTCCGTACTGGCCGGTGCACCCTCCGGCGCATCCCAGAGCGCTCCAGACAGTAACCTTGATCTCCACTCCGATGCACCCACATCGACCACCCTCGGCATCCGACAAGCCGACCCTAAGGCCCCCGCCGCTTCTTATAACATCCCGCTGATCAAGATATGGCCGAAGGAGACGAGCACTCAGTCCTATACGAACTGCTCCGCCGAGCTACGTTCAGCACCTCATTACGCCAGGCTTGCAAAGGAGATGAGGAACCACGTCCTCGGTCCCATGCCCGTGCGGGATTTTATGGTCAGTTTTCTGAGATATGACGATCTCGGAGATGATGAGGGGTTTTGGGCTGGAATGCCGGATGCCGAACACGCCTTCAAGGACGTCCCAAAGTCGCCTGCGAAGGAGGGCCTCATGTACGAACCACTGGTGAGCTTGCTTGATCTTATCTCGTTCTCCGTGCACACGCCAATATATTTCGCTTTCAGGCGAAAGCTTTGAATGCGGACGAGACGACAGGCAAAGTGTCTCGATGCCCAGGCTTCGTGTTCGGCATTACAGGCAACCGAGCAGATACCAGCGGTCCACTGCCAAATGCCCTGGGCTCAACCAAGCCCGATATCTCTGCTTATCTTCAGGAGCATCTAGAGCATATCAGAAAACAGGCTCCCACCGACGACGACGCTTCCACCAAGACACACATGGGGTACGTCGCGCTCTACATCGAGATCAAGAGGGACTGTTCCATGGACTGTTTCGTGGACCCACCTGCCAACGGAGTACCCCCACAACCCCCGCGCTCGTTCATCAACCCTGAATGCACCCAACATCTCGGCCAGATCGTAAACTACGCCTTAGAGATAGTGAAGAGGCAGCACCGTCGGCATGTCTTCTCCATCTCCTTGTGCGGTAGCAAGGCGCGGTTCATTCGCTGGGATCGAGCAGGTGCAATCGTATCGAGATCCTTCGACATCCATGACGATCCTGATTCGCTATGCGAGTTCCTGTGGTGTTTCTCGGCGATCAATCAGACCGACCGTGGCCTCGACTGTACCGTCCAGCCTGGGACACTTGCGGATGCCGCGCTTTTCAAGCAGGCAATCGAAGCACATCTGCGAGAACAACTGGTAGAATTGCTCCCAGGCAACAAAGACGTCCGCGGTTCTCTCAAGTACCACCTCGAGGAGCATTACCAGGAAAACAATGTCACCCGCATCCCCATTCCGGATCCCGTCCACTCTGATCCTAGGTGTCGCAGCCAAAGTCCGGGACCGGGCCCCACGTTGCAACCTCGGTCCCCAGGCTATCTACTGGTCTCTCGTCCCATCACTGTGCCTCACTCGTTGGTCGGCAGAGGCGTGAGGACGTACTGGGCCGTACTCGTCGAAGCAGCCACTCCGGAAGTAGTTCTCCTGAAGGATTACTGGAGGTACGAACCGCGCGACCTCCAACTCGAAGGCGACGTGCTGGAGCATATGGCTCGGGCGGGTTTCGGTCGCGACAACGTTCCTACAAAGAAGTATCATGGAGATGTCCCTGGTTTTGCCTCATACGATCCCGCTGCATCTGATATGCTGATTTACCGCGGTGCGTTGAGTTGAGCACGATCATGCTTACCCTTCCTGTGCTTATGTGACAACTTATTAGGTAAACAGACTACTGTCACGCAGTATTATAAGCACGCGTCGTGGATGGACGCTAGTATAGTACCGCAGAAACTGGAGACGATGGTGACGATGACACACTATCGCCTCATTACGAATGAAGCTGGCTACAATCTCATGCACCTCCGGGGTAGTCAAGAACTGTTGTGGGCAGGGCGAGATGCACTTCGAGGTATACGTTGCTGCGACTCGATTCGGAACACTTACGAAACGTTTGGCCCCTCTACAGCGATCACACGTAATTTCTTCAACCCACGCCCCGAAAAAGGACAACATCCACGGCTACATCGGAATGTCAGCCCAGGCAACATTATGTTGTACCGCCCCACGCCAGACTCGCCCTCCAATGATAAAGGTCTGGAAATTCCACCCAGGACGGGATACCTAATCAATTGGGATTTGTCATGTACCGCCTTGAAGAGTCCGGAACGGCAGGAAGAGAATGACGACCCGCCGACCTCAGTGAGTTCACAGCCGAAGCGTTGTGAGGGAAGGCGACTGATATCGGCACACGCATACAATCCAGGTTCAGTATCAGTTCGCACCCTCTCCCTTGTTCAATGCTATGTACAAACGCAACTCCCTCCATACCCTCAACTCGGAACAAGTCCCCGCCCACTCCACGGTCCTCTTCGACATCGATGCGGTGATCTATTCCGTGCTCTATTGTGTAATTAATTTTACGGATCATGGATTGCCCGACGGACTCGACAAACACATTTCCAAGATGCTATTCACGCGCGTGGAGGAAACGCCGGACGACCCGGCCACCATGCTATCCCCTACGATGAAGGAGAATCTCGCGAGTCGCATCCGACAGGCTGGCACCAGCTGGAGAGTCAAGGGCACGAAGGACTGGATGGATCTCATCAGCGAGTGGTCGGCCGCCCGGCCCTCGGCGCAGATTATAGCAGAAATCCCTTGGACACGTGAACTCGGGACTACGTCAGGCAGCTTCGCAAGCGGTGGACCCACATCATCGAGGACTCGGCGCTGTTCGTCAACGGAACCACGGATTACCTCTATCACAGCGACTTTGCGCCCACCATCCCCCTCCACCAAGCCACGTCCACCGGCTCCTCAGACACGTCCAGGAGATTCATGCCGCCGGCCCGAGTTCCCGTAAGCCGCCTGCCTACGGTGAACGCCGCACCAGGAGCGGACGCAGACGAAGACGAAGAGATGGACGATGGAGCTGTGACCGCCCCTCCCATGAGCATCGTCACCAGCTCGCACTCCAGCACCTCATCCACCCGCACGGTGGTGCCGGAAAGAAGGGCGTCCGAAATCGAACTTTCTCGCCCCAACAAACGAAGTCGAGCCGATACTAGCAAGCAGTCCCCGCATGACACGTCAATTTCAACGGAGCCCACTTCGATCCAGAAGGCTCGACGGACACCCAGGTGAGATCGTCTCGCACGTCTGGTGGCTTTTATAGTAACGAGATTGTGTAGGCTAGCCAAGAAAGGTCCGCATTAGCGCGGACGACGCGGAATCTGGACCACCGTCTATCGTCGGTAGGGGCCGTAGAAGAGTCCGCGGCTGCGGATGTCCTGCGAATGCGCTGTAATTCTGGTACGGCCGTTGAAATAACACGAGGTTATATCTCTATGCGTGTGCATGCTACACGGCTTTGTTTCGCGTGGCTGGTCGGATTTTGGTCTAGTTCTTCCCGAAGGCAAACTTCGCTGGCCCCTCCGTGATGCCTCAGACGAGCTCAAGGCGACGTTCCACATGCAGTGAGCGTTACTGAAGCCGTCGAGCCTGAAAGATGTATGGAGATATGCATCTCAGCGTAGTTGTCGGGACAATATATGGTTAGACGCGTACGCCGAAAAGCCGCTCGCTATTAGTAACAGGGAAGTTGGATCACATATTGTCAAGGGTGCACATCAATGCGGAGGTGGAGTGAAGATAACAGGACGAGATTAAAGCGCGGAATACGCAAGCATGGTAGTAACAGCGACCCAATCACTTTCGTAAAGACTGCGTCCTCCCCCGTGCCCTCCCTGAGCCCACCCTCAACGCAGGAGCGCGAGTGCGCCCAACGTCCAAATCCGCCCCCCTCCCCGGTTGGGCGTCCTGCCGCTCTCGAATCCTGTTACTGCGTCGAAGCACAGTCGGTAGTGTCTTCGACGATGGCTCTGGTGGAGGAACCCTAGATCGCTTCCGAGGCGTTGGCGGGGAAGAGCTTGCGCGTTTTCTCTCCGGGGGCGAGGGGGATGGTGTCAAACTCCTATTTTTGAGCCAAGGGCGCGGTGGAGACTTTGGGAAGGCCGGAGTCTTGCTTTCATCCGATACCTTGCGCGTGCTCAGCTCGCTCTCGCGGATGCCGCCTGCAGGCACGTTCTCTACACGGTTCGCCGTCTCCAAAGCATGCGAGTCGAGGAACTTTTCCCAGAATTGGTGGATGAAGGCGTGATCGGTCCATTTGTCCTTGAAATTCGGGTCGTCGGTGGGGAGCGGAGAGCGGTATGTGACCATAGTGTTTATCCACTCTTGAAGGGATTCGCTCTTGAGCGTGAAAGCTGGAATCGCGCCGCGGGTGCGTGTGTACAGGCCCTTGGAATGACCACCATACCATAGTTTACCGGGACGCGACCACATCCACATATCGAAGAAGTCGCGTATCACGTCCCGAAGGGTGGCGTCGGAGTAGTTGTGCGGTTGCCACAGGAGCGCGCTGTAGAAGATGACCCATAGGAGAGATTCCATGTCATCCTGAAAACGATGCCGGAGCTCGCCATGCCCTTGCCATTCGAGGAGACGAATGGACATAAACCGCCACGTTCCCTGCGTTGAGAGCTCAGAGTTTGCTTGCCGGAGAATGAAGATCACTCACTGCTCGTCCGGTTGCTTCAGCATCACCTTCGTCATTCAGTGTGCATGAAAGTTCCCAGTCGATGAGGTACCCTCTACGCACATCGGACTCCGCTTCTTTAACTAGCACAATGTTGCCGGTGCTAATGTCCCGATGAACGCGAGAGTCTTTCTCCAGTGCATCTCGCATCGCTACGGGGGCCAGTGAATATCTCGTCTCGGAACGAATGCAGCTCATACGTACCCGTCAATACATCGAGGCCAGCGTGAAGGAGTTCCTGTGCCCCACGTACAGTACTGTGTGGTCGTCCAACCGTCCCCAAAACAAGACGATAGTGCCGACGTTCATGAAAGATACGTCGAGCTCCATCTACTCGACATCCCCACTGGCCGGAGGCGTGGCCACTTGCCACGGTTGTACGCAAATCATCGTCTACCGATCATGAGTCCACGAACATAAACGACGTTGTGAACGTACTTACCGTTCAGCGTCCGTCCCTTGGGTGGATGTCGTACCGACCACGGAACGTCTCCATGCCAAGCAAGCGCAGGTATGTTGCGAACCCCAAGGTTGTGCAAACGTCGCAAGATATCGCCTTCGCACTCTGCCTCGAGCTCCCGCCACGTGTCCTTCAGGAACACGACTGCCTTGGTTGCCACATCCATTGCCCAGTACCCCCGCGTTCCGGCATGCGTAAGCGCGTTGAGCAAGTGACCGGCCGCGAAAAGATATACCGCCGCGTGTTCTCCTCGCGGGAGCTGAACCCTTGGTGGAGGATATCGGTCGCATAGATCTGGCCTGGAACGTGGTGTCGGCCTACTTCTGTCTCCACATCGTCCTCTGCATCGATTTGAGAGGCAACGTACTCGCGGATCGCATTTCGGAACACGTCCTCTTCCTCCCGTAGTGCGGGCTGAATTGTAACGTCGTGGCCGCGCCCTATGTCGCCTCGATCGGAGAACCGCCAGAGAAACTCGCAGAGAGTGTCCGGGTGTGTGCGCATGTCGAACGACTCGGACGCAATGCAGCCTGACCGGTCCCAGAAGAGTAGCCGCGTGCGGGAGCCGTGCACGGCAAGTGAGAACACGAACGCGCGGGGTTGGCGTGCGAAAACCTCCGCGACGTAGGACATGTGTTGGCCGAAGAGCTCGTGGATGTATTTGTGCCGGTAAGCGTTGAACGAGCCTGACAGGAACTCGTGATTTGACCGATCGTCGACGTCCGGAGGGGGGTCTTTGAAGAAGTCGCGCGAAGGATCGGGGGAGATGTGGATGAAAAATTCGGCGTACCCGAGGTCGATGCGCGACGACACGTCCGCGGCTCTGACGGTCTCCAGGTTGGACCGGGTGTAGCAGCAGATGTGAGGCTTCATGAATCCGCGTCTGTCCTGTCGGACGGTTCTTGTAGCAGCAACGTCGAAAACAAAGCCGTGACATCGCGATCGATGCTTCGTACTTTTGTTAAGAGCTTTAACCTGCGGAGGAAATGAGAAAACCGCGAGAGGCGAAGATACGCGACGGCCGCACCAAGGGAATGAATATCTCCGCACTGGTCTCAGCTTGCGGTGGAATCGCATTAAACGCGCCTCGATTGGACAGTCGGTGGGTAGAGGCGTCCACAGAGGATGTCCCGAGTGGCAGGAAGGTGTCCATGAAATCGGATGGGTCCATAGGTCCAGCAATACGATGTTTGCTCTGCTCCAGGTGTTGTCTGGCCCGAAGTCGCGCTTGTTCGGGGTTCATGTACTCGGCATAAGAGAGGGGGGTGGGTATATCATAGACACAGCGCGTAGTGGTATCGTCCATGATGGTGATGAATTTCGCGGGATGTGCGGGGCGGGCATGTTGGCCCAGGTCAACGTTTGCTTTGAATTCCATTACCCCCTTCGCACGGTTGGCTTTCCCCGGGCCGGACCAGCCGTCCAATGCGACTTTGACCAAACTTTGACACGCTGATAAGGCGCGTTAACGCCGTCTGAACTTCAGAGCTTCCGACTTCAAAGCTTCAACCGTTTGAACCCTCTGATTTATGGCCGTCCATCAACCAAGAGTATATCGACAAACGCGCGAGCAAGCGGTGATGCACAAAGGGGTCAGGTGGGAAGACGTTTCATTGACAAGGCACACCACACCATCTTCATGTGCACCCTCCGCTACCTCCTCTGCACGGTACACCTCTTGCCGCGCATATCCATCGCCTCTTACAAGAAGCATGAAAAAACGCCCGCTCCCCTCTGCTCATCCATAGCCACCACCTTCATGATCATCGCCTCGATCCCTCGGCCGGGCGCACGCGGGATCGTGCTCGGCACCCCGACCGCGATACACCGATGCGTAGTCGCTGTTGTCGCCCAGCGCCGCGTGGACTCGGGGTGTGACTGATCCTCTTCCAAGGATGACTTGCGAGAACCATCAGGGGAAGTCGCGGAGGAGCTCGAGGTGTTTGCCAGTCTCGAACGACTAGATTACCAACTTTACCCAGTGGCATCAGGGGATAATACGGAACCAAACCTATTGAAAACCTCGGTGCGCTTTGAGGGGATCGTCGAAAGAAGTCAAGAGAGGGATCGGGAGAGATGTTGAACAAGAGCTTGGTGTATCGAATGATAAGTTGATGCGCAGACCTTCTGTCGCCGCTTGAAACCACTGGAAATTCGCCATCTATCTATAAAGAAGGGAGCGGTGGTGTTAGTAAGCCGCGTACGCCGCTTGCAGCGTTACGCGAAATTGCCGAGGGCTAGGAAACTAACCGAGCTTTTGCCATGTCGCTGCCATGTGCGCCGGCGGCCGAGCTTGCGAGGCTGGCGCCTTTGTGTGGCCGAGCTTGCGAGGCCGCCCCAGGTCGGGACTGTCTTTCGGCCGAGTTTACGAGGTCGATGCGCGGGGAGATGAGACCATTTCAGCTGGCTCGATTTTCGTGCACGAGCGCAAGTGGGCCGTGTTCAATTTCGGAGTGGGCCACACTGGTGCGTAGCGCCCTCAGCGCGCATCACCGTGCGAAGTACAGCGTGAGTCCGAGCGCACCGCCGCGAGCACCGCGCGCGCGTGGCGATATCTCTGCGTGCACTGCAGACTCCCCGCGCGCGAGCCTCGCGAGGTATGGCAATAGCACGGCATCGTATCGTGGAATGGCCACTGCACCCGGTGCAAGGTCCTGTTTGGACATGAATCCTCGCGCGCACGCAAAATGCACACGGGTGTTCTGCGGTGCATACAGATATGTCGCCACACGCGTGCGGTGCTTGCGGCGGTGTGCTCGGACTCGCTCTGCACGTCGCGCGGTGGTGCACGAGGGCGCTAAGCACTGTCGCCCGCTCGCGCTCCTGCGCGAAACTGGCTTATCGATATTGGTCCTGGACCAGCTATACGAGGCCGACCCCCCGACGCTTCCGGTCCCTTCTCGCACGGGGGCGCGCACCAGCCGGCGCTACAGTGCACTCCTCGCCTTCAGCTCACCACACGGCGCGTGGGCATGCATTAGAGTGTAACTGAATGGGGTGGGCACATGCCCTGCGGAACTGACTACATACTATACCTCCCCCAGAAGCGGCGGGGGTAACGCCGTTCCGCAAATATATCTCCCCCCTCTCCTCCGTTTGCCTTCCTACTCTGCACGTGGGTGCCGAATCCACATGCCCTCCTATGTACCAAATTTCACGAAGAGCGGACGAGTAGGGACAGATTGCGCAAGGATCCAATACTGGCCCAGAAACAGCGGTTTGGCGCTGGCTCGGGTTACGCCCGGGTCACATAACACCCCACTATCCCGACAGGGTATAAAATTCTGAAATAACTGGCCGATATCACGTTATATAAGAGGGCCAAAGGCCCGCACGCGCCGTGGCAACGCCACGGGTGAGCACTAGTAGATGTGAGGGTTCGCCGAGTGGCCATCCGAGCGAGCTGAACACAAGGCCTGGGCATTGATATATGTATGTCCGTCGCTCCACGGCTCGGGGTATCGATCTGTGGTGCAATGATACTTGAAAAAAAAAAGTGTACGGCGGTTACTTACAAGGGCATCAAACATCTCGTTCGCAGCGCTGAAATCCTTGTGTGTTGGGCAGGCCGTGGGGTTGTCCTTTTGGCTGGTAACGGAGAGAAGATCGCTGGGATGGCCCAGAGTCAAGATCGATCAGACCACGGTATTCGAGTGTGCTTGAGTGGACGGTCTGTACTTGGGTTCCAGGTGAACGTAGACGGGAATCAAGACGGTCGCAAAGGATAAATGTCGGCAGAACGTAGCGGAGGCCCATGTCGGTGCTTGAATATCGGAGAGCGTGATGGCATCGGACCCAGACCCCCGTCACCGCTCGGCGCTCAGGTACATAAGAACGGACAGACACGATGAACGAGAACAATGACGCGCACATCTCAACCCTTCATGTCAAGGACTGCATTCACGGTGAGAGAAACATAAAGGTATGTACATAATGCGGTGATGCGTATTGACAACTTTGGAACAGATACCAAGCTCCTCATCCACTCCGAGCACTCATCCACCATGCCAAGTTCCGTCTGCGACGACGCTGATTGTAAGATGACGCGCTCTCGGCGGTCGGCACAGTGTGATCGACATTCGTGGCGCACTCGTCGTTTCCTAGCCTGATCGTCCATGACCACGTCCCTCCAAGGATGTCGTGTCGGACGACGTCGGGTTGTCCTTGTGGGTGCCGGCGCTGCTATTTTCGTGCATGAAGTCAGGGTATTCTACTGGCCCACAGGCGTGGTCGGAGCGTGCGCGGCTCGCATCGCTGCTAGAACCCAGCGATCAAGTAATTCAAAGGACTGAAGTAAGCGTTCCACTCACCTAGCACCCCGGAGCTCTTCCGTTCCTCGCATGGCGACCACAGCATCGTTGACTGTCCCCTTCAGTGGCGTCGTTAAACACGCAGCAGGGGTAGGTTCTCGACGCAACAGATCCCTCATTGACCGAGAGTTATTCGTCGTCATAGACTGGCTGGGACAGGCAGTCAAAAAGGTGTACTGTCGACCAGTGGAAATACTTACTGTTGAAAACAGCTCTCGAAAGTACAGGCACTGTTCCGAACTCAACTGCACAGCGAATCCTCTCTGCCTCTACCAACTCTGTCGCCAAGTGCCTTTCCCAGCGAGCAAGAATGCCTACGCTGCCCCGGGTCGAGTTTTCACGCGTTCTCCTCGCGCATCGGAGCAGATTGCCGGTCGATAAGACGTAGCCCTTCACAGCACCGTCAAGTCGCCGGTGTGGATATCCGAGAATTGGCATGGATGTTGACGGTGCAGTCCACGAAGGGTTATCGCCACCTTGAATGTCCAGACGAGCCGAGTCCTTGACACCATCGTTTGCCTGCGACAACTGCTATGGAGCGTCAGGGTCGTTCGCAGATCCGAGGCGTCAGTTCCGACGCACCATGGTGGAACATGCGGTCCCATGCTGGAAACTGAGCACAGGTGCGCATGAATAGAGAAACGCACGATTGGGAGCTGCCAAAGACGTCGGCGACGGAGGTGGACGCTGACCGAATAGTCCATCGTGATACAGCGGCGGTTAATACTTGGCGAAAACATCAACATTGTCGTATGCGGGCCCGGGTCTTGGAGAAATGATGGAGATCAAGTGGACGAAGCTGAGGTGGCTTTGCCCGCCGTGCGACCTTCGAGTGAGAAGTTGATTGATATAGAGCTACACCGGCACGTATCCATGGTTTACAAAGCGCATGCGGCAAGAGCGAAGACCAACGCCGGGTAGCGCGATTGCACGTCAGAGGTTGAATCCTCGAGTAGCCTGCACATTATAGACTCGATGAGCTGCCGGTGACTAGCAACGACGTACCATGAGCCGGCCTCAATCCTGTCCGCTCTCCGTTGGTGAGGAAGTACCGCTGAACCCCTCATTGCTACAGAATGTCGGCCAATGGCGACTTGAATGCAGGGAAATATACGGGTGCCAGGGAGCTCTTGAATATCCGTCCTCGAGTTCGAAGTGCGTTTCGGCGATGGGGGGCCATATTATCAGAGCTTAGACGCGAAGAGGGGGCAGTGGGTCCTGGAGGCGGGCAGTGACGGGGAGACTCAGAGTGTGAGGAATAGGACGAGGAGAGTGCAAGATTCCGAAGGGATTGGCTGTCTGGGGTCCAGCGCCAAGCGGGGAGGACTCGCGGGGTGGCTGAAGACTGGCAGTGGCGGGCCCGTCGCTTTGCTCCCTTTCGTCTTGACTTGCTGTGTGCTTGTTTTCGTCCGGTCGACCTCTCGGCGTGCTGCTCGATTTATCATGCTCGTCTCCTCCACCGCTACTTCAATCGTCACCACCTCAGCGGCGAGAACGCTCCGCGCCATGGTCACGTTCTGCCCACCACTCGTATATGCAAGCCGACGATGTCAAGCTTGAACAAAGCTTGAACATGCAAGACATCGACCCTGACGAGTCTGAATGGTTGCAAGGATAGCCCCTCCGATCCCGTGCCCACCCAACAACTGTGGGATCGACGGTTCTTCTGAATCAGCGAGACTTGACACCATTATGTTTTGAATTCAGTGCAGTCATCTCACCCGCCGGGACGGGTACAGAGGGGCAGTCACTGCGTCGGTATGTGGTCATCGAGTTACCGCATTTTGCACCTTTTGCTCTACTCCCAAAAACGCTCGTCGTTGTGCTCATCACTTCCTCGAGCACAACACTCGGCCTCGTCGCACGGTCCGTCCGCAAGGACGGACGGTCACGGATGCATAGGATGCCTTACGGCGCCATCTTGGGTACATCGCCTTCCTGAAGGATCGACCAGTGCCCGATGCATACAGAGATTCCGTCACAAATGGTCCATTTACCCGATTCCGCCGTTTGAACGCTGCCTGTCGTGAGGGTGAGTGAGCAAGCAGTTGGCTGAAGCGCATTTCCTGATATTTTCCAAGATTCGCCTTGACGTAGACATTATTAGGACGGATGGACGCTCAAGCGCTCAAGATTGAGAGCTACACGACGACATTTACTAGTGCGTGGTTTTTGATGAATGCATGTATCTCGTCATCCATTGGTTTGTTATCTGCAAAGTGCATTCGGTCGACAACAAATGGCGAGAGCGAGCGACCCGGATCGCTGCGGTCGAAAGTCACGTTCGTCATCAGCCTTCCAGGAAGAAGATGGATAGATTATGTGATATCTGCCACAGACAACAATTGAGGGAGGCACGGTGTCTGTCATGTGTCGGTAGCTTTACTATTGCTCGGTTGTCGTGCGAAGTACGTACGCGATATCAGCTTTTGTTGCAGTGATATCAACTTGCGCGGCCACGGTCTTCTGGCTTCCGGAGAGACGTGTATGTGCACGAACCGACACGGTTGCCACAGCGGATGAAGTTAGAACAATGCACAGATGAACAAGAGCGAGGTTACGAGAGGGACTCATTGTCTGGTCGTCTGTGGCGGTGTCGGCTCCTGGGCGCTCTCTCGCACTTTGCCGCCCCTGGCCGGACGTTCCCGACTGACGCTCTCACCGTCCTCGACCTGCACCATGCCCACTGCGAATGTCCCCCTGCACAACGCCCAGTGCTGCCCCCGAGCTCGGCCTTCTAGACCTTCCCAGTGACTCCATGATCTAGGCTGCCCTCAGACGAATCGCACTTGGCGTGGCCAGCCTGGGACGTTGACAACGTCGACTGACAGGCTGGTGACTTCCACATGTCGACGAGGGCAAGCGCGCAATTCCGCGCCCGTCTGACTGGGCGGAGCGCAAGGTCGTGCCCTGCGTGCGAAGCCGACTGCGTGTGAGATTTCGCCGGGAGCTCGAGATCGTGAACGCTGAGATATGCCCGTGAGTGTTATTGTATCTCCCGTACATTCGCTTCCTCATTCCCCGTCTCTTCACCCCGCTCTTTTCCTCGGTCACTCGTCCTACCGCCTCGCACCTCCACAATCCGTGCAAATCTTACAGAGAATCCCTTCAGTGTTTCCCGGGGCCTCACTGGTACGAAGTCGAATGGCGCCCCCGAGCGAGGTAAGTTCTTCCGTTATGATACACCTACGAATTGTCTGCTCAGCCCTCTCAGCACCCTTCATCGTCCCGGAGCTATACAGCTAAGGATCCTGACGACAAGGCCGTACCCGCAAGCGAAGAATCCTCCGAATGTGATCTCGATTCCAACAAGTCTCAATCAACGATCCTCCAGGATCATCGACCTCCAATAACTACCATCCCAGCCACGGCCTACAACATACCAATGATCCACGTGTTTCCAAAGGAGACGAGCAGGCAGTCCTATGCTCAACCTTCTGTCAACCTACTTTCGTCGTCTCATTACTCAAGGCTTGCGGGGGAGACGAAGAAGCATATCCTTGGACCCATGCCGGTGCAAACCTTTTTGGAACATTTTCTCAAATGCAACCAAATTGGCAAGGATGATATGTCTGACCCCACCGACGCTTTCATTGGCATCCCAAGTGCGCCATCCAAGGAGGAAGATATCTATAGTCCATTGGTGAGTTTCGTTGCGCCTCAATTCTGTGTGTGCACACCCATATTGCTATCCTGCAGGTCGAAGCCGTGAACAGGACGGCTGACAGAGAATCTCGGTGCCCTGGCTTCGTATTCTGCATCACCGCCAAACGACCGGATACAAGCGAAGCAGGGGAGCATGGTCAAGGTGCTGTCAAGCCCGACGTTTCCGCCTATCCCGAGGTACACTATCACTACCTCTCGAGCAAATATCCGCATAGCGCCGGCGTTCGGACCGACATGGGTTTCGTCGCTCTCTTCATTGAGATCAAGAAAAACAAAAGCGAGGACTGTTTCGTCGACCCCATCGTTGACAACGACTTCGTACCACGACCCGCCTCATTTACAAACAACAATTCGGATGAGCATCTCGGCCAGATCATCAACTACGCCCTGGAGGTAGTGAAGCGACAACATCGTCAGCATGTGTTCTCTGTGTCCCTTTGCGGTACCAGCGCACGGCTCATTCGCTGGGATCGGGCGGGCGCCGTCGTGTCCAGGGCGTTCGATATCCTCACCCATCCGCACCTGCTATGCGAATTCTTGTGGTGTTACGCACGGATCAGTCAGCACGATCGCGGCTTCGATTGTAGCGTCCAGCTTGGAACCCTCGCGGACGACGAGCTCTTCCAAAAGGAGATCACGAAACATATACGAACCCAGGTGGCAAGGCTGCGAATCGGTACATTTAAGGTCCGTGGTTCGAGCGAGTACTACCTGATGGAGCATCGCGATCCAGGAGTCATCTCGAGCATACCTCTTTCCCTCCCCCCTGACCCGGAGTTGATGGAACCGGCCCGTCAAGGCCGTCTACTCATCTCTCGTCCCATCGTTGTCCCTCACTCCTTGACTGGGAGGGGTATGCGGCTGTATTGGGCAGTTCTTGTCGACGGAGGCTCTCATCAGGTCGTTCTCCTGAAGGATATTGGAGGTTCGAGTCTCGCAGGCCCGAGGGCGATATACTGCAGGAGCTGTCCAGTTTCGAGGTCCCCCATATCCCGACAGTGCTGCACCACAAGGACGTTTCTGGCCCACGCTGCGGCCCCTTGAACATCACCGACTACCCTGAGGATTTCGGCCCTAATCCCAAAGAGCACATTTTACTCAAGTACACCGGTGCGTTGCGCCCCACTCTGCAGGATTTTCGTGTACTTACCAAATATTATCAGATACACAAGCGACTCTACACAAGACTATGTGGACGCAGCGTGGGTGTATCCCGAGGTACGCCAGAACCTGGAGACCGTGAGGATGGTCCACTATCGCCTCATTATGAAAGAGGCTGGCTATTTCCTCACGCGCCTTCGGGGGACTCAAGAGCTATTGTACGCGGGTCGCGGTGTACTTCGAGGTACGTGCAACGCTGCACTGCGATTCATCGGACTGATGGTTTACTACAGCACTCACATATGCTTACTTCAATCTTCATCCGACGGAAGAGTTTCCCAACAAAACCCCACGACTCCATCGGAATGTCAGCCCGAACAACATTATGCTATACCGTGATGTCGGTAGCGAAAAGCCTCGCAGGTACCCAAGGACGGGATACCTGATCAACTGGGATGTCTCACACACCGCGCCGACGAACCCGGACGAACCCGAGACCAACGACCCCATGGCCCCGGATGAGAAGAAAGACGTGGCAGCTTCGGTAAGTCCAATGTTCCCTCCCTTGGGCTTCTTAGTCGGCTAACGCACGTATTATCCAGGTCGATTTTCCATTCACCGCCTATCAGCCGCTCTACCACTTGGTTGAACGAAGCATAGGCTTCAAACTCGATTCGAAAGGAATCCCTCTCTACTCGACGATTCTACATGACATCGACTCGCTTCTGTACTCGGTGCTTTACTGTGCCTTGTTCTACACGGAGGACGGCTTGCCCCCAGGAATCAAAGGGGGCGTCACACTCACGTTATTCCCCGACGTACAGAAGGCAGCGCTTCTGCAACCAGGGAATCTTCTGGCCCCTTTAGGGAAGAAGGAATACGGCGAGCGCATCCACCAGACCATTCCGCTCTGGAAAGCTCCGGGCATGCGGTCTTGGGCTGATCTGGTCACCCGCTGGGCGGATATCCGCACTAGGGATTTGAGCACCGCCGTACAGCCAACAGAGGATCTTCAAGAGTACATCAAGTCCCTCCGCTGCTCCTGGACCAGTATCCTCAGCGACAACGCCCTCTTCGCTGAGCATGGACGCTCGGATGCGCGCGACCCCCGGCCGAAGATCAGAAACCACCGAGCGACGTCGACCGCCTCCAGTTCGACAAGCGTCCTCAGCACCATTCCAGAAATCACCGGGGCTCTCGAGGAGGACGATAGTAGTGTCGTTCTGCCCGGCGATGCGTACGACCTCATGGAGGCCGATGAGGACATGATTCTCGAAGATGACGGGTCAGACACTGTTTCCGCTCCCCCCGACACCGCGACGGTCCGAACCACACGGTCTCGTGCCGCCACGGTCTACGCCCGTTCGTCCCGGCCGGACATAACGCCGCCGAGTCCAGGACCTTCGCGCCCCAACGTCGAACATAGGAAGACCCGTGCGGGCTCCCGCTCGAAGCAGCCTATCTTGTCGTGACACGTCTCCAGCTGGCGGGTCGGGCTGAAGGATTGCGCGGCAACACAAGTGAGCTGATGTCAATCCACCACCGTTTAAATCGTGCTGACAGAGTAATGTAGGCCGGTGAATGGATCCGGGCGCGACATCCTGATCGTCCACGCGGCGGAATCGCGAATCCAAACTTTCACCTCGTGGTTGCGATCTAGATTGCCTGTCTTATATACTTGTAACTTAGCGTCGTAAGAATTATTCTCGTGAGGACGGAAGTTCTGCGCGTTGTAGCGATTTAGCACTACTGCAACACGAAACATGGGCGCAGGCCGACGCATAGAAGACGCGCAACAAACATTTAACTCACGTACATGAAGCTGCAACATCGATATGAAGAGACTCAATCCACTACCGTGTCGACAGCCTCCGAGTGCCCCCTCTCCTGCCTCCTGACCTAGCTCTAACACCCCCACTGGTGGCTCTTCTCGTCGGCTCGGCGTCTTGAGGACGATCTTGCACCGCGTCTTGCCGCTCCCGAATCCTCGTACTGCGCCGCACGGGTGGCAGAACCTTCGTTGGCGCAGGTACATCGGGCGGAACCTGTGGTGCTGGCGGCATCGAACGCGCCCGTTTTCTGACCGTAGGCGAGGCGCCTGGCGTCGAGCTCCCGGTGTCCGAAGCAGGCTCGAGCGAGGAATCCTGCCGCTTGCGGGCTTCGGCATCAGAGGTCGGGAAAGGCGGGCTTTTGCTTTCGTCCGGAGCAGCGCGCGAACTCAGGTCGGATTCGCTCATGCTGTCTCCGGGCATGTGCTCGTTGCGGTTCGCCGTTTCCAGGATGTGCGAGCCGAGGAAGTCGGTCCAGAACTGGTGGATGAAGGCGTCATCGGTCCACTTGTCCTGGAACTCCTCCGAGTCGGTGGGGAGCGGGGAGTGATACGAGGTCATCGAGTCGAACCAGTCTTGAAAAGCTGCGCTACCAAACTTGAGAGGAGGGAGCGCCCCGCGGGTGAGGGCTTGCTGCCCCTTGGAATGACCTCCGGACCAGAGTTTTTCTGAGGACAGCCACATCCGCGAATCGAAGAAGCTGCGGATTACCTCCCGAAGGACGGTGTTCGAGTAGTTGTGCGGCTGCCACATGAGCGCGCTGTACAACATCACCCAGAGCAGAGACTCCATGTCGTCCTGGAAGCGGTGCTTGCGCTCGTTGTGCGCTATCCAATTGAGGAGACGAACGGACATGAATCGCCACGTCCCCTGTGCCCGGGTCTTAGGCTTCATATGCTGAGAGGTGATGATTACTTACCACCCGTCCGGTCACCTCGGCGTCGCCTTCGTCAGTCAGCCCACACGAAAGCTCCCAGTCGATGAGATATCCTTTTCGTACGTCCGCGTCCGCTTCTTTGACTAGAACGATGTTCCCGGGGCTGATGTCCCGATGGAGGCGTGAATCTTTCTCCAGGGCATCTCGCATGGCTGCGCTACCCCGTAAGCAAGACAGTCGTCCGAACGCAAGAACAACCCGTACGCACCGGTCAAGACGTCAAGTCCAGCGTTAAGTAACTCCTTCGTTCCACGCACGGTGCTGAATGGCCGTCCAACGGTCCCAGAAACCAGGCGATAGTGTCGACGTTGGCGAAGGTGAGACCGACTTCCATCCACTTGACATCGCCACGAGGAAGACGTTTCGTTGTTGGCTACTGTCGTCTGGAACTCTCTGTCTATTGGTCCTCAGCCCTCAATCATAAGAGGAGGCAGAATCGTACTCACTAGTGAGTGTACGCCGCACTTTCGGGTAGTGTATCACCCAAGCAACGTCCCCATGCCAAACCAGCACCGGTGTGTTGCGTGCCCCGAGGTTTTGCAAGCGCCGCAGGATGTCGCCCTCCGCCTCCAATGCCGGTTCCCGCCACGTATCCTTGAGGAATACCACCGTCTTCGTCGTCACATCCACGGCCCAGTAGCCGCGCGTCCCCGTGTGCGACAGCTCGTGCGAGCAGGCAATCGGTCTCGAGAAAACGTATCTCCGTGTGTTCTCGTCACAAGCGCTGAAGCCGCGGTGGAGGATCTGTGCCGCGTAAATCTGGCCTGGAGCATAGTGTCGGTTAATTTCTTCCTCCAGGTCGTCGTCGTCGCCAACTTGAGTCTCGGCATATTCGCGGAGAGCGTCCCGGAACAACTCCTCTTCCGCCGACAGCGCAGGTTGGACCGTGACGTCGTGGCCGCGCCCCAAGTCTCCTTTGTCGGAGAATCGCCAGAGGAACTCGCAGAGGATGTCGGGATCTTTCCGTATGTCGAACGATTCGGAGACGACGCAGCCCGCGCGATCCCAGAAGAGCAGTCGTGATCGGGAGCCGTGAAGTGCGACCGAGAACACGAATATGCGGGGTTGACGAGCAAAAACCTCGCCGACGTAGGACATGTGCTGGCCAAAAAGTTCGTCGATGTACTTTTGCCGGTATGGGCTGGAGGAGCGTGATAGGAACTCGTGCGTGGAACGATCGGCGAGGTCCGATGGGGGGTCGTTGAAGAAATCGCGCGAGGGGTCCGGGGAAACGTGGATGAAGAATTCGGCGTACCCAAGGTCGATGCGCGACGATACATCTGCGGATCTAACAGCCTCCAGGTTGGATTGGGTGTAGCAGCAAACGTGAGGCTTCATAAATCCGCGCCTGTCCTGGCGAACGGTTCTCGTGGCAGCGACGTCAAAGACAAATCCGGGACATCGTGATTTGAACTTGGTGCTCTTATTAAGGGCGACAACCTGGGAACGGGGTCACAAACACACGCAGGGCGGGATTTGTAGAGCACATACCAAAGGATCAAATATCTCCGCGCTTGTATCGGCTTGGGATGGAACCGCGTTGAACGCGCCTCGACTGGCAAGTCTTTGCACCTTGCTGGGTTCAGCAGATTTTCTTGGAGGAAAGAACTTGTCCATGAAGACCGAGGGTGGCATTGGCCCAGCGATATGATATTTGTTCTCATCCAAGTGCTGTCGAGCCCGAAGTCGCGCTCGTTCGGGGTCCATGTAGTCGACATACGAGAGGGGGGTAGGGATGTCATAAACGCAGCGCGACGTGTTATCGTTCATGATGGTGAGGGATCTCGCGGCATTTGCAGAGTAGAGGCGGCATATTAGTCCAGGTCAACATCCATCTTCCCCCCGCGCATTCCATGCGCCCTTCGCACGGTTGGCTTTCCCCGGGCCGGACCAGTCGTGCAATGCGACTTTGACACGCTGATAAGGCGCATAAACGCCGTCCGACCTTCAGAGCTTGTAGGCGCTTACGACTTCAAAGCCTTCCTCAAACCAACGTTGTGAACTATAAACATCCGCGAGCCGCGCGGCCCGCTTGCATTCGTCGTCGCTTCCGGAGGTCGTAGTACAGGCAATACACAGTCGTCGTAAAGTATGTCGAGCGGGAGGTCGTAAACAAACAAACGCGCGAGCAAGAGGTGACGCATAAGGGGGTGAGGTGCGAAGACGTTTCAGTAACAAGGGGCAAGGACGGGGACAGGATCGTGAACGAGCGGAGGCAAGGTCTAGCGAGCCGAGATCTATTATGGCTCAGGTGGAGGTGGGACACGCAGCGGGGACGGGAGCGAAGACGGGGCGCGGCAGGAGGCGGATGGAGTAAGGGGTAATGCAAGACCTTGGGGGCACAGGGCCGGGGAAGGGGGCAACGATGTACGGGCGAAGGCGAAGGGGAGGGTGGAAGGGGGAGTATGCGGTGAATCACAAACAACAAACGCACCATCGAATGACGACGGCTCACGCCGACGCCGACGCGACGAGCGCGACCGACTCGCGCACCTCGCCCGTACGCTGCTCAACCGCAGCGAACCAGCCCACCGCCTTCTCCGTCCGACGCGCCGCCTCCTCTGCGCCGTGCACCTCCCTCCCGCGCTCGTCCATCGCCGCCCGGAAGCGTTCCCGGAGGTCGTAGGACGCGAGCCGGAGAACCTTGCGCGTCTCTCGGCTCACGCGCAGCGCGTGCGCCCCCGCGAACGAACCCTCCTCGCCCTGCTCCTCCGCCTCCTTCGCGATCGTGGCCTTGATCCGCCGTCCGACCGTACGCGGAATTGTGCTCGGGAGCTCGACCACGAGGTATGCCGATACGCCGATCGCGACCGCCCCGAGGACGGGCGCCGCCCAGCGCCGGGCAGACTCGTTCTCGATCAAGTTCCAGACCGGACGATGCCCTCGAGCAGGCTCCGGCGCCGACGACCTTGCCACCGAGCATGGTGAGCGCGCCGAGGCCGATGGAAGCGACGCCGAGTGTGCTGACGGCGACCTCGTCACCCTCGTGCTTTGCGTCGCCGAACTGGACCCAGAACTGGTGGTGGACGTCGAAAATGTCGAAGAAGGTCGTCTCGAGCATGTCGGGGCGCTGGACGAGGCCGATGCCGAGACCGTAGAGACCACCAGCAACAATGGCGCCAGAGTTCTGGCGCGAGCGGCGGCTGCCCCTGTTGCCCGCACGAGACGAGAACATCGCTTCGGGCATGAAGACGCGACGGGACCGCTCGACGCCTTCAGGCAGGTGCTCGTCGCCGAGTTGGGAGATCTTGTTGACTGCCTCCGCGGTGACCAGACGCGCTTCGTCCTCCGCGAGCGTGACGGCAGCGTCCAAGCTGGCGAGCAGAGCACGGCGAACTTCACGGGCGTAGTCCCAGATACCGACAAGACCAGGGTATGAGGGCAGAGCCACGGAAGACGACGCAATGCCGAGTTTGCCAGCGCCAACGCTGTCGAGGGCGTTCGAGAGGATCTCCTTCGTGCGCATCCGCGTCCGCGATGCACCGTTGTCTTCCACTGCCTCCAAGCTTTCCTCCAGAGCCTCACGACCGTTCTTCATCTTCTCGAGCACAGGCTTGGCACGGCTGAGGTCGTCGCGAGCGCGGTTGAGCTCCGTCTGAGCAACAATGGCGTTGGCGCCGACAAGGAGGTCGATGTCGGAGAGAAGTTTGATCAGGTACGTCGATGCAGGGGCAAGCTTCGACTTGGCGCGCTTGGTGAGGACGAAAGAGCGAAGAGCCGATTCGAGCTGACCGAAGGAAGGTGAATCCTCGCCAAGAGCCGCTTGGGAGTCGACAAAGTGGATGAGGTCCTCGGCATCCTCGTAGGTCCGGGGGCTGAGCTGCCTGATCTGCTCGAGGACCAAACGCCTGCACTTGGCCTTGTCCCTGATCTGTTCGTACTTATTGACGACGATGAACAGGTAGGCCTTCTCGTTGCTAGCATTCGTGAGGAACTCCTTCGCAGAAAGTGTGAAGTGGTTCTCGGCGGAAACTACGAAGACAACGACGTCGATCTCCTCCTGGCGGGCGAAGACGCGCGTAGTGTGCGTGTTGTCGCGGTTGAGACCGGGGGCATCGATGAGGGAAATGTCGACGATGCCGTTGTTGAGAAGCGAAGTATGAGGGTCGCGGGGGTCGACAAGGTAAACTTTAAGGACCTGCTTTTCATCCTCGTTCTCGGACACAATTGAGTCGAGGTCCGACAGCTCCGCCCGAGTGAAGGTGCTTTCGTCGGTGACAGAGTAGGTCGCTCCTTCCTTGAGAATGTGGACCTCCTCCTTCCCGCTGTTCTCCGACGCGTCGTGGACCTCGCAGAACGCGGTCGTGCAGGGCTGCTGGTCGATGGGCATGACGTTCCTGCGCAGGATGGCGTTCACGAAGGTGGACTTGCCCGCATTGAGATCACCGGTAACAAGAACCTTGGAGGACGTGTCCTCAATACGAGAGCGGAGCTTGTCTAGGTGACCAGCGGCGTTCAGGATCCGGTCATCGAGGAGGTTCGCGATCGACGACTTTTCGAGCTGCGCGACGAGCGCAGCCGGAGAGGCGGAGGAGCCCTGGGGTCCGAGCTTGAGGTCAAGACGGAAGACGTTAAAGTCGGATGCAGAGACAAGACGATCGTCATCCTCTTCAGTCTCGGCAGACGTCTCCTCCTTGTCCTCGATAGTGGCGAGGGTGACGGAGCGGGTGAGCCCGGCGCGAGCAGGGGAGACTATGACATCGGCTTGGAAGGAGGGGTCATCGGGGAAGGACAGGGAACGGCGCGCGCTCTTCCGTCGGTTGGAAGTGGACTCGGAGGAGGCAGGCTGCTCTTGGAGCTGGGGATAACGAACGACCCAGTCGTCCTTGTTGAACTGACGAAGGTCCCCAAGGATCGACTTGGTGGAGTCCAAAGCGGTGAGCAACCTGAAGTGCGGTGAGTGCCGGGTTGACGGTGCATCGACTGCCTGTGGGGAAGGTTCTGCATTCCCCGCCTGCTTCCGCGCGAAAACACAGCTTGCCCACGCGTCCAAGTCCACTATCCTCGCCGTGCGTGACCCTTGTCCCAATGTCCTCCCCGCACAGGCAGTAGAAAGGCAAGACGAAGACGCACCTGTCCTTATGTTCGACATACGCCTCCTGTATCGCTTCGGTATGTTTGGGAGAGCTCTCGGCGGTTGGCTGTGGCGAGCTCCCGCACGAGGCGTTGGGGAAATACGACAGAGCCATTTTGCTTCGAGCGTGAGCGTGGAAGAAACACTGCTCGAGGTCGCAGCAGCAGCAGGAGTACGATCAGGGCGTGGTAGTCGAAGGTCAAGTTGGTACCGTGGTGCCCTCCGGCCACGGACTTGTTGTCATGCGCTTGACCCGCTCTCACGCCATGTGTTTCGGGCGGAGCCCCAACCTGAGGCCACCCTCGACTCGGAGTTTCGGGCTTGCCCTGGCTTGTCATGGCTACAGGGGTGCGGCGGCGCTCGAAACATCGTCCCGAGGTCTTCCGGCGGGCGGCAGATCGGGTTGAGATCCCGTCCCGTGTTCCGTTCGAGCTCGTTCCCCAGACTGAACCAGCTCGGGCCAGCCGCTTCTAAGTTCTGGCACTGGTCTCGGCCCCGTCACCTGCGCAGAGCCATCAGACACCCTGTTTGACCCAAGAGTGTGAACGACACCGTCTTGCGCTCAAACCTGCCCTCTTCCTACGCCGTCTTCTGCAGGACTGGAGATTGGCAACAAAGTGTGATGCATTGCGGCGTCGATGACACACATCCGCTTCGTATCACATGTTGTCATTCACGCCACGTGCCCGACGACGGAAAACGCGAATATTTATGCGCTTTACCCGATTGCGTTCTCCAAGCTCTGCAGCAGTCGAGCGTCAAGCACACTCGGCTTGGTTTGATGTCCAATGTTGCGGCCGTCACTAGTCTTCTTCCTCCGCTCTAAACAAACTCCCCCGTGGGTTGGCGATGTACAGAATGGCTGAGGCGGGATTTCGCCGAAATCGGCATTGACGTGCTGTACAAGGCCTGGAGTCATCCGGGAAGCTCTTGTCGCAACACGGACATAACAAGGAATGGTTGAAGTCTCAGTGTAGCACGCAGTTCCATTGGTTGTGCAGTGGCATGCCTGCCGCATCTCCACAATTACTTGCCCGTCGAGGTCGTGAACGGCCTCGTGAAAGAGGAATGGCGTCATTGTTGCCTTCACATAGAATATTTGGCTGGAATGCGCCGCAAGCGCCCACCACTCGATATCGCCGGGTGGCGATACACGGCTTCGTTCCTACTCTCATGTGGCTTCGCCCCACTCAAATTTGTAAACCAGTGAGTGGTATTCAGAAACACACCAGTATATAACCACACTCACAGGTCAACCCGCATGGTTCCTCCTCCTCCTCGCCCGCGGCTAGTGTTCGCAGGTTCCGCACAGATAGCACCTTCGACGATATCCCAATCATGTGCGCGGCTTATCCTCTTCTCTTTGTCCAGGACACCCAAAAGTGACCTCCGCCCACTACATTTTCAGAAACCTTCAAGACGCCAAGAGCCCCGACCCCAAGGTCCGGCGCGCGCTAGCAGACGAGATACGGGATGCCTCCATCAACGTCGGCTTCTTCTACAGTGCGTGTGCGCCTTCTCGCCGCGCTCGTCTGCCACCGTCTCACGGCGCCTGCAGTCAAGAACCACGGAATACCCGAGTCTATGATTGCAGACACGGTCGCCGCCGCACAGCAGTACTTTGCGCTGCCGCTGGAGGCCAAGGTGGCGATGGACATCCACAAGAGCGCGAACTTCAAGGGCTACACCGCGCTCCTCGGCGAGAACACGAACCCGGAGAACCGCGGCGACCTCCACGAAGGTTTCGACCTCGGCTGGGAGGAGCCCGACGGCCTCGCCCGCGCGTCCGACGGCGCGATGGCAGGGGAGAACGTCTGGCCTGACGCCCTTCCCGGCTTTCGGGAGGCCGTTCTGGGGTATTAGTGAGCATACTGGTCGTCTGTGTCCACTCGCAGCTACCCTGTTCTCCTTCGCAGCCACGCGGCGGTGCTCGTCGGACAGATGTTGTTCCCGCTCTTCGCGCTCGCGCTCAACCTCCCGGAGAACTTCTTTGACGACAAGGTGCGTACGTAGTCGTTACTGGTGGGACACAAAAAATCATCGAACCTACACTTCAGACGACGAAGCCGGCTGCGATCATGCGCCTGCTCTACTACCCGCCCCAGACCGGCGTAGTCGACGACCGGGTGCAGGGTATCGGCGCTCACACGGAGTTGGTGAACCCTTCTCCGTCCCCCCTTGCACGCTGGCTGACGTCGAGCGGGTGGCACGGACAGTTATGAGGTGCGGTGATTGACGGCACGCGCACATACGTATCACCGACCGCGGATCTTTGCACAGTGCTTCACAATTTTGTGGCAGCAGGAGGACGTGCGCGCGCTGCAGGTCCTGAACGCGCACAAAAAGTGGGTCGACGCTGTCCCGATCCCCGGGACGCTGGTGGTGAAGTCCGTGCCCGCTCTCGCTCCGCGATTTGCCTGGCCTGACCCCACGCACAGCCTGGGCGACCAGTTCGCGCGCTGGACGAGTGAGTGGAAAGGTTCTCCTCATGCTCATGGCTCTCCGTTGTCTGACGACACGCGCAGACGACGTGTTCCGCTCGACGGTGCACCGGGCGGTGAACCGGGCCGGGGTGGGCCGATTCTCGATCCCGCTCTTCTTCGGGACGGACTATGACGTCAAGCTCGAGGTGAGCCGCGGAGCTTTTTTCCCCTCCGCGAACACAGACAGTCCCCACCCACCAGGCCCTCCCGAGCTGCATCTCCGACGACCACCCCGCGCAGTACGAGGTCGTCACCGCCGGCGAGTACGTCAAGTCGCGCCTCGAGGCCACGTACGCCCACTCCAAGGCCGACCATTAGCGTTGCGTAATCACACCGGATCTTGGTACACTCTAAATTGTACACGCTGTATTATATACGTTATCACCAGAGGAGACAACCATGCTGGGGACGGAATACAACACATGAAGCGAGACCTCGGCGTTCGGCCTCCGCTGGCACGAGACCGGGGAACCTCTGTTCGTCTCTAATTCGGATTAACGTCGAACGATACTTCCCGTGTCTTAAATGAAATAAGATGTCCCGGAATGCGAGCGCGGAGCAAGGAGCGGTCGTGTCCCAAGGAGCCACCAGAAACAGGCATGGAATTAGTTACAGAGCGTGCTACAGCTATCGTGGGACGTAGGGATACATGTGAGTTCGCGCGAGCGAGAAGAAGATGCGGCCAAGATGCGGCACGAGCTAGAGAGCTACTTTCGCTCTATATTAGTATACGATTCCCAATCCACCATCCGTTCCAATTCAGCTCCATCAAGAGCCCGCGCGGGCGCCAGGCGCACGCGAACCCACTGCGCAGTGCGAACGCGGGGTCAGTAGCTCGACGGGTACAGCAGCAGCCGTCCGCCGTCGATAAGCTGGACGGTCCCGTTCAGATAGGAACCCGCCTGGGAAGACCGCGGCGCGTAGAGGAGCGAACGGAAGGACAGCGAACGGAGGGAAGAGCGGGGCGAACGCGGCGGACGCGACGGCGCGCGAGAAGGCGGGTCAGCTTCCGTCCGGACGCCGCAGAACACGACGCACCCTGCTCGTCAGGAACAGCACGAGCCCGCCCATGTCGTCGATGGTGCCTGCGCGGTGCAGCGGCACGCCCGCGCGGACGTACTCGTCGGAGATCAGGCCGTCGACCATCTCTGTGTGTGCGTGAGTGCGTCGCGCACGGACGGACGCCCGTTCCGGGGCGTGCACGGCGCACCTGAGGGGAAGATGCCCGGGGCGATCACGTTGCTCCGGATCTGCCAGTCCTTGAGGAAGTGCGCGAGCATCTTGCCGAGGTGCGTCGCGGCCGACTTCGAGAGCGTGTACGGCACGCTGAACACCTTGTCGTCCTTCCGGAACCCGCCCCCGCTCGCGACGGTGATGATCTGGCTCGTCGCGCCCCCGCCCCCGCGGCGGTTCCCCGCGTCGAGGAGGTCGAGGAACGCGACGGACGCGTACCAGACCGCGTTCACGTTCACGTCGAACGCGGCCCCGAACTCGGCCGGCGTGCCCGCGTCCCACAGCAGCGCCTGGTACGTCTTCATGTCCGCCTCGCCCGGGCCCGGCAGCTTCGGCAGGAAGTTCGTCGCGAGCCCCGCGTTGTTCACGAGCACGTTCGCGAACCCGTGCCGCTCGCGCACCGCCGCCGCGACCGCCGCCATCGACTCCCGGTCCGTCACGTCGCCCCGCACGGGGATCAGCTGGCCGTGGCGCTGGGGGTTGGCGAGAGCGCGTCAGCGGAGGGTGTGGGGGACGCGGCGGAGGCGGAGACACGCACGCTGTGCTCGCGCGCGGCGCGCTCGAGGACGTCGAGCCGGCGGCCGACGATGTAGACCGTCGCGCCGTTGTGCTCGAGCGCCTTGGCGATCATGAGCCCGATCCCTGCGGGAGCGCCGGGTGTTAGCGAATATGATAGATGAGCGGGCGCAGGCGGAGGTTAACCGGCAGCCCGTGCTGGACGCACCTGTGCCGCCGCCGGTGACCACGGCGACGAGGCCCTCGACGCCGAAGAGCGACGGGATCTCGGAGAGAGTCGAGGTGGAGGCGCGCATGCTGGAGAAGCCGTTGGCGGAGGTGGGGTTCGATGTCGTGGCTGTGGGCATCGTGGAAGAAGAGCAGTCGGGGACGGGGGAAGGAAGGGGGGCCCTGGTGGTGTGGAAGATGGGTGCAGTCGCGGGCGGCACGCGCGGCGAGAGCGAGAGGAAGAGCGATGAGAGCGCGGGGGAGGCGCGGGTGCAGGCGCGAGCGGGGGCGTGGACGTGGAGGGTGGTGAACGGGGCGAGGGACAGCGGCGGGTGCAGGTGGCAGCGAGCCAATGTTCGGGGGAGCACGCTCTAAGTAGGAACGCCATTTGTCGCTTACGAGACCGGATATCGAAAGTGAAACAGAGATGAACGGCGTGCTCGTGGGCACCAACCTGTTTAGGACTGAGAGGGACGTCGGCCGACACCGCGCGCTGTGACTCTGAGGGTCTCGCGAGCCGCGCGTGGGGCAGAAGTTGCTGATCGGGGTCGGACCCGGGTCGCCCTTGCTGAAAAATCCGGTTCGTGATGGTGCGGGGCGCAGAGGGACACGGGCGCGAGAGCGAAGTCGGAGAGTCCCCACAGTCGGCGGCCTGCTATAACCTCCAGCGCGGTCTCGCGCAGCCAGGATGCGACGAGAGCGCGCTGGACGCTGTCAGGCCCGTCGATGCGTGGTGCGGCCGCGAAAGAAGGGCGACATGAGGCCCCGCGCGGGCAGGAGGAGATGGAGAAGAGGACGAGAAGGCCCGCAGCCGGCTGACGGCAGCTCCGCCCCGAGCACAGGCGCGCGCGCGGAACACCGTCGCATGGCGACTGCAGTATAGACGATCTGCTGCCTTTCGTGCCTGCGGCGCGAGCCGGGGGTACGGACGGGCGAGAACGAGGCGGGAACCTGCCAAGTTGTCAAATTACAGCACGGCGGGTCGGGCGGAAGGTTCGGTGATGTGCATGCTGCCTTCCTCTCGTGAACCTACCTGCGCACCGCCCTAGGCGCCACAAGGTCCTCGCAGCATCAGGGAGGCAAATGAATCGACCAGCACGTCCTGTGGCGACGTCGCGCACTTGCTGGGACGTCAGTCGGCGAGGATACGGCGGCGCTAGCACAGAAGCTTTGCGTAAGGCTGTCCAGAAAGTCCGCGGGGATACATACATGTTTGAACATAAGATAGATCTATATGGTTAGCGTGTGGCAACGTCCGAGTGTGCATGTTACAGAGCGAATCGAGGTCGAAAGCGCAGCAGAGCAGCGGGGAAGCGGTGTCTAAGTGTCCATCCACGATGCATGGCGCCTTCCGGTAACGCCTCGCCGTCGTCGTTAATCGGACGCCACGCGTACGATGAAGCTATAACGAGTCCTGTCAGCACACCCCAAGGCATCAGTGCGAAAACTGTACGTATACGCACTGTCATGTTCATCAAGGCGTGCCTGCGGACAAGAGCAGCCCCACCGCGAGCACCGTCACCAGGAGCAGAAGCGCCTGGGAACCGCGGGACGCCGCGATGCGTGCGGTCGCGCCCGAGGTCTGGATGACGGTGAGCTCGCCGGGCTGTCCGTACACGCGTAGGTACGCGACCTCGAAGAAGGCGGTGTCGTAGTGCGACGGATCTCCGAGGACGAAATCCTGATAACACACCCCGGAGCACGTCTGCTGGAAGATACTCGCCGCCCCGGCGTAGTCTGCGGGAGCCAGCGTGAGAGTGATGTCATGGACGCGGTCCGGCGCCCGCGGGACTCGCGGCTGGGAAAGTGCACTCGAAGAGAGGGACACGCACCGCCGCAGAGGGTGATGTCGAAGACGATCTCTTGGGGCTGGAAAAACTCCGTAACATCACAGCCGTCGGCTGGCCAGTTCGCGACCGGGGCGCCGAGCGTAGAGGTGTCTATCGCACTCTGATTTCCCTGGAGCGAACTCGGGAGAGTCGTCCGCTGTATCAAGGTTGCGAAAAGAGGAAACACGTTCAGCGACACGTTGCACGCGAACGCACGGGCCGCAACCCACGTTAAAGACCCAGATCCTACGAGCCGCGGCCAGAGGCGATCAGCATGCGAATGCGTGGAGCCGATACGCGTCGGTGCGACTCACGAGATCCCCGAAGTCGCGAACTCCGTCACGTACACCCCTCCGCCGGCGTTCGCGAACGCTGCGAGGGCGCACGAGTCGTCAGCGACGAACTTTGGGGCGCGCGCGCATTCCTACTCGTACCTTGGCCGTACGACGCAGGGTCGGGGTTCGTCACGATGCAGCCTTGATTCCCATTCGCGTTGATGTCGCAATTGGTGGAGTTCACGAGCGTGCTCGTCTGCACCGCGTTGACGAGTGCGTGCATCCCTGCCCCCAGTGACGTTGAGTGTCTGAACGCTCGCCTGGGCGGTGGTTGAGAGGCCTACCGGGTTCGTGTGCAGCCCCATGTGGCTCCGCGCGTCCTGATTTACCGCCTCGAAGTATCAATCTGCGGCACAGGTCAGCGCGGAACGGGAGCCCGCGCCACGAGGGGCGGCGTGCGCAGAGTGGGAACGTGGCGGCGCCAGCACGTACCTCGCCTCCCAGGGGCCATATGGGCGCCGAAGACCAGAACGCGCCCCACACCGAGCACTGTGGAGATGGCGCGGGCAGGAGGAGGAGCGCAGGCAGTCAGCGCGGATACAGAGCGCGATAGCGGCGGGAGGCGCACCCCGAACGGAACGTGGAGGATGTCCGTGACCCAGACCGAGCCGACAGTGAACTGGTCCTTGGTCGATATGCGGATAGCGTTGCGGTTCTGGCCGTACTTGAGTACAGAGCATTGTCGACGCGCATGACGGCGTTCCCGGCGTCATTGACGAAGGCGAGCCGGGCGCTCGACGCCTGACTGTCTCCTACGAAGCTGCGGCGAAGCCCGTCAGCTAGGCGTACGCTCGCGGGGGGGAACGTGGCTGCAACGCACAAGGCGTTCCCATGTGTCAGATTGTCGACTGTAAAATGCGTGTGAGCGCAGCGCGAGGCGGCCACCCAAGGAGCGACTGACCGTTGTTGTAGAAGGACCAATCGTCGAAGAACGACGGGCCGGCGTACTCCTTGACAAGGTTGTACTCCTGCGCCACAACCGCCGCCATCAGGGACAGCAGGGCGAGACTTGCGGTTCGAGCTGAGAAGTACATCCAAGCGTGCTGGCGGAGTGCGTGGGGTACGATGGGGACCGCTGGGGGCTAAACGAGACGTCCCTTCAACGCCGAGGACTGTTATAACGCGCGGGGTGTCGCCGAGACCGACAGGGATCACGGAAGCCGGTATCAGGTCCAGGCCCGGCCGTATGCACCGGGTGGAAGTGCTGTCAGCCGTTGAATGGTCAGAGTGCAGCCGTCGATGCAAGAGTTGGTACCTGCGGGGGAACGTAGCTGGTAGAAGAGGAGAAGGAGAACGGCTGAAGAAGGGTAAACGGACGTGGGACAGCATTCGAAGCCTCCGGCGACACTGTCAGGACTCAGCGCCCCGAGTGACCAATGAGAGACGGAGCGGCAATAGTATGGCCTCCGCATACCGGGTGTGTTCGTGGGCCCACTGAGCAATTTCCCGGCCTTATTGCAAGCTTTTCAGCGGCGAGACTTGCCAGGACTTGCCACGGCGAGGGAGTGTATGGAGCTGGGAGAAGCCGTGAAGCACGGACATCACGATAATAAGAGCGCTACTGGCCCCGTTGGATCAGCTTAGGGCTGTGGACGTGTGTCTGCCTGCCACGTCTTTCACGAAGCTATCAAGATGCATGCCGGCGTGCCTGGCCAACCGCAAAATCTTAGGGCGGATGTTTGGAAGACCTACCTCGGAAGCATTCAGCAAAAGTATCGCACGTCGGGACCGGCCTGGCCAGCGGTGGTGGCCTGTGATGGAGTGAGTGCTGCCTAGCCGCACTCGGATTGCTTTGAATCCGCGGGAAAGCGGATGATGGTCCGTAACAAAGCCGTACATAGTGACAGTAGGCGCCTGCGGCCTTAATTATCAGTGCGTGATACCATGCCAGATGCGACTCTCCATGAACCGCATATACCGGAGTACAAAGAGATCGGCAGGCCGGAACGATGGAGATCTCCCGTGAAATCCCTTTAGACTGGTAAGTCTTGAGATGTTCTACGTATACATCCACCTTATTCGTCCGGCCAATGGAGGCTGCATGATATCAGTCGCAGTGCTCATGCCGCCAGTGTCTTTTTTTTTTTTTCTTTTTTTTTTTCCAGAATACAGCATCACAAAGCTGGTTTACTACAAGTGGAGTTGTGCTTCAAGCTTCAAGCCTCGATCACACAAGGCTAGTCGCTGTCGAACCACGCCTTATCGCCGTGGTGCGACAAGAGCTTCCCAGACGACTCCGGGCCCGCCTTGTGCAACACATCAAGAACCATCGACACCGACTTCGTCGGTGTGATCGGCAGCCCGTTCCACTCGGGATAGTTCTCCTTGAACTTCTTCACCATATCCGGCACCATGTTCAGCACCGTCTGGAAGTCGTCTGCAGCGCCCCACAGTCAGCGATCCAGACGAAGACGTAGATCCGGGACACTCACTCGGGTCCTCGGCCATCGTGTTCACCATGCCCGGGTTGATCGCGAGCACGACGAAGCCCTCGGATTTGAGGGCGATCGCGAACTGGGCGGCGATCATGTTCATCGCCGACTTGGACGCCGTGTACTGGCAGTTGTTCGCGAAATCGTTCGCCACCGCGAAGTCCATGTCCCCGGCCGTCGAGGCCACGAAGAGGATCTTCTTCGGGCCGCCCTTGCGGAGGAGGGGGAGGAAGGCGTTCGCAGAATGCGCGGCTCCGACGGCGTTGATGCGGAACTGGGGCGCGTTGAGCGGGAGGAAGCGCGTGGGGAGGAGAGGGCACTTACCCCATCCATCAGGTCGGTTTCGAGAGTCTGCGCGTCGGGGCTAACGAATGCAATGAGCTTAGCGCTGATACAGCGACCTCATGTGAGAACGCTCACTATTTATCGATGGTGAACTGGAAGTTGGCCGTGAGCAAGCGGGCGCCGTTGACGATGAGGTAGTCCAGCTTCCCGCCGGTGATCTTGGAGACGTCGGCGACGGCAGACTAATGCACGTGCTTTAGGTCTGCAGACGACTCTTCCGACTGAGCCTCTTACCTGCAGAGACGCAGCGCTTTCCATGTCGCCCTTGATCATGTGGACATTGGGGTGTGCGGAAACTACGGGCTCAAGTTTCTTCGCCGTGTCGGGGTTGCGGACGACAGCAAATACGGTGTTCCCCGCAACTTTACCCTGCGAAAAGCGTTCAGCAGCGCAGATCAGGGGAGGCTCGTGAAATATATAACGAACCAACTGAATGGCAAATTCGAGCTGTGGTTGAAGTAGTTCGGTCAAATATAGGCGATTTCAATAGAAATACACACTCACCCCGATACCACGGGAGGCTCCGATGATGGCGTATGAAGGCATTGCGATTCACAGGAGACAAGATGAGATGTGAGGGTGAGGTTATCGACAGATGTCTACCCTGTACATATACTCGACAGACGGCGCTGTCTGGGTGAGAAGCGTAAGCATCTTTATCGCGAGGACGCTTCCAGAACACAATTTGAAGTCCGAGTTACATGCTCGGTCAGACATTTCCCAGTGGTTCGGGTGGAGGTGAGTCGAAAACACGGCGTGTATTGCTGACAAATATACCGAGGAGCCGGCCTTTACGGACGCAAGACCGCGATCCAATTCTGCGGCACCTTCCGATCGGATAGACAAGATGACTGATCAGAGGCTGGATTTAACCCTACAAAGAGCGATATCGCCGTGATAACAGTCGAATCCACTGGACACGAGAACGCAGGGCAAGAGCAACGAGAATACTCACTGGAAATCGTAGGCATCACCGCACCCCGATCAGGATGATCATGCCTGGGCCGACGGATTGCACAGTAGACCTCCCGAGGGCCGAGAAGGGTAACCGCGTACTTGGCTGTAATCATGTTGAGCGCCGTCTTCATGACGGTGTACATGCACTTGGAGACAAACCTGGGCCTGAACATTCAATGTCTCAGTGAAAACGCAGGTGATCTTCTCGAAAGCACCGTGGGGAAGAAGGGGCAAGGGTGCATCCACAGAGCGCGCGTTTCATGCAAAATTGGTCCGAAACTCTACAGTCTCTCAGCTCTTGTCTCCAAGGATTCCGGAGTAGTCGGAAAGAACACCCGGCCCATGTCTTCGAGACCAGAAGGCAATGGTTGTTGGGGAAAGCGCACCATGTGCCAAGGGCCGAACGCCGGTCCAAATGGCGTTGATGAGAGCGTAGCGCTGCCAGTCAAAGGGCAATGTCTTGTTCGAAGTTGTGCGTGAACCGGAGACTGCGACCAAGCCCAAATATCTTGCGTTCTTCACATCCAACGGGTACGAGTGCGACTATGGCCCAAAGTTCTGCCCACTGACGTGGCCAGGCTGACGATGTGCAACACCGAAGGTCATAGCTACACGCCCAGTCGTCCGGTATAACTCAGGATAACCTACAGCGGAAACATCTTACGACATCCACTGCAATGTCCCAGTGATATTTGACTGGAATTTCTCCACCTGACATCGGCGCCCATATATACAGTGTTATCTCGTTCGGATATCAGTTCATAGCCCTTGCAGTGTATGCCCATGTGACCCGCTTCGTATTCGACCCGCTTCGTGCGCTGCAGTAGCGGCGGATTTGGGCTCTGGCGGACAGCAAAAATTGTTGTCACAATTACTGACGGGATGGACATGTATGACATACAACTACAGGGCGCAGTCGTAATATAGCTACCATAGGAAGGACGCAGCAAACCGATCATCGACGGATCCATCGGATTGGTCGCAGAAAAGCATGGCAGAACGGGCCCGCACAACACAGAGAACAAACACATGACTCACGAGACAAAGATATTTCGACCTTGATGCGGAAAAGAGGGTACACAAGACGAAGATCCAGAGGGGGAGTCCGATCCTGGTAGGGGGTCTGGCGGTTGAAACGGACGTCGGGACACCCCAGGAGCGAATGCACGACTGAGGGAAATACTGAGTCCGCGACCAAGAAAAAGCGGATGGATGAACATACCTTTGTAAGAGAAGTCGCGAGGGCAATCTTACTGTAGGGAAGAGGTGAATGGGAAGTGTGCTGGCAGGTAGTGGTCGAAAGTCAGGTACAAGTCCGAAGCGCCAACACTGGTGCGCTGTGACTCGCGCGCGCGTGTCGGTCAGCGCTTCGAACTTATGCTTGGCTCCCACCGCCACGTCTGCTGGCTGCAGCCTCCTCAGGCATCTCCTGGTGAGTGTGTAGAGTCCCTTGTTCACCTGCTTTCTGTGTCAGTTGACCTTCGCCACACCCCCACTTGTAGCTCAGTTCAAAATAACTGTGTTGCCCGCCGCCATCCGAGTGTCTTGGCTCTTGTCTGCCGCCCACGTCGTGGTCAACCGCTCACAGGCCCGCTGTTCCTCATATCCCTTAATGAATACAATTATATTAGTTTAGCGCGGAATGTCTAGTGAAGCAATGGCCATGATCCAACTCCCGACCTGTGTGAAGCCTGAAGGTCACCGCTCAATGTTGGAGTCCCAAAGGGGGCACCAGGTTGGTGTCACCGACATAACCCACCGGGCACGTAGGAGCAGCTTGACTATATCTGAACTGGAATATCCCAGGGATATTCTGCCAGCGTGGCTCCGGGTGTATCGCAGTGCCGATACCGTGGGGCTATCACTCGGATATGGAAGCGGTCCCTGCGCGATCCCGAGAGGATCAAATCCAGTCAATTTGTCCTAGGATAAAACGGTCGATTGGCCGTGTAGTAAGGTGGCGGACACCAGGAACCGACATGGTTTAGGTAAGCCGGGCGCCCCACGGCGACGACGAGCTAAGGCTCCCGGCTCACACCCTTGTTCGGCATTTGGGCTGCGGGGACGTGTAGTGCAGACTCGTAGGAAGGCTTCCCAGGAAACAGAATTTAATTTCATGGACATGGGCACCTTCTATAAGCCTTTTTTTTCTGCACTTCTAAGAATGTCGGAATCGCATTTTTGATGCAATTGGGAGTCCCAACGGTCCGCGGCAGGTAGAAATTGAAACGTAAACGCCCATATCACGTGATATGAAGCGCTGGCTGCAGCCAATCCCCCATCCGCAGCACTGCACTGTGAATGGCTCAGGCTGTGTGGGCCCACTGTAGGCATGAGAGCCGCCATATACTACCCTCAGCCATTGCAATTGAGTCAAATAAAATTTCAATAAACTGTCTTCACTTCCTTCCCATCGAGTTGCAGCACTGACTTTCCAAAATTCCGCATCAACACGCTCGATATTGAAACAAGCGCCCGATAGGCGCCCGATTACATAAACCCTGTCGGTTCCTGGTGTCCGCCACCTTAGGGCCCTTGGGTCAGCGTTACTGTGAGCCTGAGGCCTGAACACGGTGGGAGGAGCGAGCGTGAAATTCGAATCGGACGCCACGCCGAGGGTGCCCCCGGGGTCCTCCGGGGTCCCGGCCGACACAGTTCCGGCGCGAGCCTGTTGGGTCCCGGGCGCTAGCCGTCCAACTCCTGCCACCTGTGCACAGAGCGTCGCTGCTTTTCGCTCTCGTGCGCGCCGCCTTCCCTTTCCTCTCCTCACCGACCCGCTTGGACAACCATGAGCGCACCACAAGCATCACGAATGGGACGAACGGCCACAGCGGCAGGCCGCAGCCTGCGCCGTGCGCGGGCAGCTCCCGAGGTCAAGCCCCTCCTCCGCAACGACGCTGGCTATCCCGTCCCCCACGTGAACGTCATCGTCCGCGACACCCACCAGCCCCGGATGGCAGACCACTATTTGAACACCGTGCAGGAGGACGTGATGTACATGTCCTACGTCCACGAGCCCTTCTCCCGCAAGCCCGTGCGCCCTCCCCGCCTCGCCTACGACCCCGCAGACCCGTACGTGAAGCACCGATACAACCCCCCGCTCGGCGGGAACCGCTACTTCCAACGCCAGCCCCCGCCGTCCTCCCCTGACAGCGTCGTCCGCCTCGAGCGCATCCAGATCCACACCCAGGCGAAGAACGTCCTCACCACCCGTGCCAACCTCCTCGGGCCCATCATGGCCCTCCGCGCCATCTCCGGCGCCACCGAGCGCGGCGGCGGCCAGCACACCTCCACCGGCGTCCAGCTCGTCCACGGCCACAAGAACGTCCCGAACTGGACGCGCCCCGGCGCGCCCCTCGGGGCCAAGGTCGACCTCCGCGGCCCGCCCATGTGGGACTTCCTCTCCGTTTTCGTCGAGTTCGTCCTCCCCCGGATGCGCGAGTTCCAGGGCGTGCGCATGGAGGGCTCGTCCCACGCGCTCGACAAGCCGAGCTCCGCCAGCGGCGTCGTCTCCATCGGCCTCCCGCCCCAGGCGCTCTCCCTCTTCCCCCAGATCGAGGTCAACTTCGACGCGTACCCGAACGCGTTCGGGATGCACATCCACTTCATCACCAACGCGACCGGCATGGGGGCTCAAAATCGCGCGCGCACGCTGCTCTCCGGCTTCCAGATTCCGTTCGCGCGCTCATAGGGTGGGTCGCGCGTCTTCGTGGCATTCGTTCTGCTCTGACCTGTGTGGGAGCAGTAGTTTCTAGATGTAACATATAGTCGACTAATTCGCATTCTACCATTGCACTACCTGCTTCATCTCAACTTCGCGCTGTTCGTTATCCGTCGGCTTCAAAGAGCGTCAACACGGCACAAACAGTGAGACAGAGAGTCTGCAGAGTCTTGCAACTGGTTTGAAATGGTGAAATGGTGGTCGTAAAGAGTGAGTAAATCTCTCAAACATTCCTCAGACATGAAAGGTCAATATAAAGCAAGTCGAACAAGTTTCCTCCATCCGAATCCTTTCCATCATCCATATGTTTCCACCCTATCAACACGTCGTCGTCACCGTCACCATCGCTCGTGCCTCCAGCAATCCATCTGGGTCCACCCGCACCTCCGCCGCCTTGTACCTCACCCAAACCGCGTATTCACCTACCGCACCCCCGTCGTCCACGAGGCGCGTCTGGTTCGTAAATTCCGGCACCTCGACTCCGTCCTTGGTCCACGTAATCTCGAAGCCTTCTTCCAATGTGATGGATGTTTCACGAAGATGGGCGAGGGGGATGAGCGAGAGGTTGAAAGTGCGCTCGGGTGGTGACGCGGGGGCGGAGTCAGAAGAACATTCGACAGTAAGGCCATCGATGAGGTCAACGCGGCGGAGGAGCGCATGCCACAAGCCTTCCATGCACACGCTGCAGAAGTCCGGGGTGGTGACGATGCGCATGAGGCAGTCCTCGTTCGTCGGCCGGTACGTCGTCTTGTTCGTGTCCGAGAATCTTCATCCCCGTTAGCCTCCCTCAACGAGCGGGAAAGGGAAGGACACTCACGTCGGGTATAGGCCGTAATGTCCCGGAGTGGACACGAACCTTGAACCAAGCACGTCAGCAATCACTGAACAACATTCTCAAGAGCCCACCCACTCATCCTCGTTGCCGAACTCCAGCACCTCCACGCTGCACAACTGCGCCACGCCCTCCCGCGCACCCTCCTGGAGCTCAAAGCTCACCACATGCTCCCCGCCCCCCAACTGCTCCTCAAGCTCAATGTCGTAGTGCCACCGGTCGACGCCAATGTCCGCGCGCGGCGCCCACCTGAGGTCTTGCCCGTCGAGCGCGACACGCAGGTCCCCCACGCGCGGCACGCCCGCGAGTGAGAACCGGACGAGCCCCCGCGCGAACGTCCCCGCGGAGATGAACGTCGTGCTCCACGGCGCCGACGCGTTGAGCGGGGCCCACGCGTAGTCCTGCAGCGGCATCACCGCGCGCTCGATGCGCACCGCGTCCGTGAGCGGGTGCTGCGCACCGTGTAGGTGCGCGGGCGCGGGCGACGATGCGGGTGAAAGCCAGTGTGCCCAGGGGACGGAGGAGCGCGCGGTGCTGTGCGCGGCGTTGACGCCGTAGTAACCCTCGGCCTCGCTCCCGTCGTACTCTTCGCCTGCCAAGATGATGGAGTGGCCGAGTTCGTGCCTGGGGGCAGGATGGTCAGAGGCTGCAAAGGAACCGAAAGGCCAGGGCAGACCTAAGCACCAGTGCTCCGTTGGCGAGCGACGGGGTGATTGTGCTGTGCATGGTGAGCATCTATATATGTCCTCTTTGCAAGGCGCGCTTGAACTCACGTTATCTCTCCCTCAAGGCCTGTGATGTACTTCAGCCTGTCGCAGAGCAGAAAGTCACGCTAGATAAACTCACCTCCATACAGTGGGTCGTTGCCGACGATAATTGGGTAGTCGCACTGGTCGCCCATAGATGCGCAAGCTGCACGAGCTACGTCCTCTTTGGTGCAATACAAGGCACGCAGCTCGGTACCAGGGCGACACAGTCCGAACACCGTGCTGCAGAGCGCTGTCAGCGACGCTCCTGCTAGACAACAAACTGTGGCATTACTCTTTGGGCACACCCCCTCTCCCAACCCCGCTCTGCACGCAACAACAGCATCAGCGGCGGCCCACGGGGAGATAAAGAGGACACGCACCTCCGCGCTCGGGGTGAACGCCGCCCAGAAGTTGAGCAGCGGCCGAACGGTCGCGAACGTGTGATTCTGCGAGATGTCCCGGGCGAGCCGCCGCGCGTCCTCGAAGAACCTCGCCCGCTCCTCCTGCAAGTCTGCGCCGAGTCAGCCGCGTGCAAAGTACGAGCAGGCACGAGCGCGAAACTCACATCCGTCCGCGAAGAACACGAGGTCGACGCGGTTGCTCGCCGGGCCGGACACGAAGAGCGGCTCGACCTCGAGCGGCGGCGGGTCGACGCGCACGCCCGCCGTCGTGGCATCCGCGCGGTCGAGGGTGGGGTCGACGCGTACGTGAAAGTCCCAGCTGTGCGGGGGCCCGCAGAGCGACTCGGCTTTCTCCCAAGCGTGGCCCTCGTCGAGGGTGACGAACTGAAAGCGTTCTTCGCCCGTAGGGAGGAGCCTGCGCTTGAAGTGGCCGTCGTCTGGGAGGGCCTTGAACGGCTGTGTGTCTTGCAGGGCGAGGAAGGTGCATTGGCCGGTGCCCAGTGCCCTGTTGACGACCAGCTCGAAGGGACGCGTGGTGGATGCGATGTTGACACCTGCGGCTTTCGCAAGCGGCAGCAACAGACCAACGATACATGCGAATGTGACCATGGTTCGTTCCATCTACGGCAGCAGTCCTTGCTTTTGCAGTCGTTGTTACCTATCGTCTGCTGTGGTCCGTGGAGGAGGTGTGGTTCAAGATAAGGTCTGTTGTGCCTGGTCATGCATCACGAGTAGACTGTAGTTGCCGGGCCGGGAGGGCCGTCTTGGACGATAACGCAGTAGATCCCTCAACTCCTTGGCACTCTCGCTGCAAGCGAAGCGGAGAGCAAGAGACTCATTTCATGAAATGATGATGGGGAACGAGGACAAGAATAGAGAAAACGCGTCGCTTGTGTGATTGACGGAACCCGTCTCCCGCAAGTCCACCCAAGCCACGAACAGGAAGCGAAACGCGTCCGGCACGTTTTCGCTCTCTTCAAAGCGTCGTTGCAATACAGCCGCGAAAGCGCGCTGAATGCAGGCTCACTGGCGTCAGTTGGTAAAATGCATCGTTCAGGCGGGGAGGCTGGCATGAAAGTCGACGGTGTCCCATGCGAAGAGGGCCAAGCCGGATGCGTAAATCCAGCTTTGAGGAGGACAGCGTGGTTTGTGATTAAAATTCGGGCCCGGGGAGCTTGAGGCTGAAGCTCCTGGATCCGATAGAAGTCCATACGTTCCACTTGCTACCAGAGTTCTGACCATCGCAGGTCTTCCGCAAGGACGACGGAGCAGGACAGCGGGGTTTCGGACGCCGATGCATGGATGGATTAGGCGCCAATCCACAAGAAAGCCTGCCCTGAACACAAACGCGGTCACATGATGATGTTGGGATCGTTGCGATGACTCTGACGCGTCTTGGGATCGTACCAGGACTTTTTGCAGCTGAGCGATGCTTTAGGAGCTGGTTGTCCACCGGAGCCATCTCCGATGCTACATTATGGCCCACCGAATCCTTAGCGCCGCACATCGCGGATGTCCTCGTGGCACCGAGACGCTCCTTCACTGCCGGTGCTTCGAGACGCTGCAATTGCGGGCGCTTTAAATTGGGGCTCCACAGAATATCTGTCGTATGCCGTAACTCGCCAGTCTACTGGCCCGGGAGGTATGTTCATGCCCCATTTCACATCGCAGGTGTAACACGGTGTGTTGATGTGGAAATTTTTAATGAACAGCTCGATGCGTGCACTGGATCTTCGCTGATTCCAGTGCACTAGACGCGCCCAAGGACGTGATTAACGCCTACCATGAGGAGGAGGTCATGATCTATCATGACCGAGCTGCCAGTGCTCGGCATCGGAGGTCGATGGCCGAATCAATGCCGCACCCACTCAAGTCGTCGTCTTTGGAGGCGACGATGCAGCAGAGTGCCATGAAGAAAGAGTGGTTTATACTCGAATTGACGGACCTGCTGCGCACAGTGCGTATGTCTGTCTACTGAAGTGATGCATCTTGTTGGACTGACCGGCTCCTTCAACGGCCGACTCACCACCTCTCAGAGGTGGCTGGCCCGGCGTTACATTCCGTAACTTCTAAAACCCTCAAGCCTTCGGAATCGTCTTGGCGACTCTCGTCAGCTCGAAGTTGAAACGTCGAAGCGTCGCGCGGAGCACGTCCGATGAGTAGTAATCTTTGCCCGGTCAGCGCTCAGCATTTCCGGTTCACTTACGCCGCTACGCAGACTCTCCGTGATCCTTGGTGCAAGATACTACTTACTCCTGTGCACAGTAGTCCGACTGGGGTAATTATTAGTGATTGTGCCTCTGTAGGGGGCGTCTGTTGCCCGCTAATCCCGCGTGCATGTCATCAACGGCGGCAAACTTACTATACAGGTTCCCACTGCCTCACTGCCGTCGGATGAGCGCACAATCACCGAGCACGCCTTCTGCAGGGTCGGAAGCTTTGTCCCAGGATTCGTCCGACCGGCACCAGTCACACCCATCGTCAAGGCGCCCCTCCTGTCGAAGTATATAAGCATGGGAGGTTCGACCTACATTCCCCGGCTCCTTCCTTTCCTCCTTTGGGCTCCTCTCCTTTTTCTCTCTTCTTACTCCCACTTTTAGCTGGTGAGCCTTCGGTGCCCTCAGCGCGGACGCAATGGTCATGCTCACGCGTTCGCTCCTACAGCTGTGCGGCCTTTCTACTCACGACCCAACTCACCGCATCGTTTGACCAACAACCCACCATCGTTCTTTTTACGAGTCCCACCTGAAAGCACATCATGCCTTCCATCAGCCGCGTTCTTGTCCTCGCCGTTCTCGGCGTTTCTCTTTCCGTCCAGGCCATCCCCGTCCCCGAGGCGCAGTCGACCGACGTCGAGGTATGCTCTCAATATGTTCGTGGCCGCTAGCTCGCGTTGACACTACTGCAGCTCTTTTCCAACGATGCCCGACTGGCTGACGCCTCCGGTATGACTGACCCCGAGATGGACGACGAAGAGGTCGATACCGATGACTACGAGGTCGAGGTACGTTGGTCTTCGCCTTCGCGCCTCTTTCAATACTGACCAGTCAATGTAGTTCGCCGAACCTGAGGACGCCGACGTCGAGCTCGAGCGCCGCGCCGCGGCCAAGGCGAAGGCCCCCGTTAAGGCGCCTGCTAAAGCCCCCGTTAAGACCGCTCCTCCCGCCAAGGCCCCAGCGAAAGCTCCCGCTGCTCCCGCCAAAGCCCCTGCGAAGGCTCCCGCCGCCCCGGCGAAGGCCCCCGCCGCCCCCGCAAAGGCCCCCGCGGCTCCAGCGAAGGGCAAGACGTGCGCCCCGAACAAGTTCAAGAACAAGCGCGACGTGCGCGAGGTCCCCTTCTCGGACCTCGACCACCTCTTCAAGCGCGACAGCCAGGAGTTCGTCGGCTGGCACGGCACGAACAGCGACACCGCCGCGTTCTGGGCGCAGCAGGGCCAGCTCGCGAAGCCGACCAAGGCCGACGGCCTCTTCGATTTCATTGGCCTCGGCCCCAAGAGCGCTGCGGGCAGCAGTGGCGCAGACGCGGAGAACGGACCCGGGGTGTACGTCACGGACGACAAGGCCATGTGCGTACCCGTTGCTCTCCTGTTTGGGGATGAGTACCGAGGCTGACGGGGGTCGGGCAGTGCGATCGCGTTCGCGAACAACAACGCGAAGGTGAACAAGGGCACGACCGCGATGCTCTGCGCCATCTTCGCGAAGAGCTCCGCCAACTGGCGCGCCGCGCTCCGCAAGGCGTTCCTCCCCCAGGCCCTCGTCGGCGACTCCGCCACGGCCTCGGTCAAGGCCGCCAAGGAGCAGTCACGCACGCTCTACCTCCAGGCCGTCGTCCCCGGCGTGAGCGCGGCGAACGTCGTCCGGTTTTCGCTCCTCGACCGCTCCGGTACGTCTCTCCGGCTGCTGCTGTCACTCCTGCCTGAATGGTGCTAACGTTAAATTCGTTCATCAGCCAAGACCGGCCAGATGGTGCTCCCCGCGGGTATCACCAACCAGTTCACGGCGCAGTGCGTGGCCGCCACCTCCGCGACGCTGCCCGCCGGCACCAGCACGTTCCCCGCGTTCACCTACAACGGCGCGTCTCTCCGGAGCACCTGGGACATCGCGGCGGAGCAGACCTGTTAGGCGTGAGGAGACAGTTGCAATCAGATGTTGAGCTTCGAGCATAATGCGGTTGCACCGTGAAGTAGATACCATATTAGTGGCTAATGGGAGATCCGTTCTTGCTTCATTCGTAACTGGGACTGAGCGATTCGAAAAGAATAGGCCGGGCGTGAGTAGATCTGAGTTTGTGGACAATCTGAGTGAGAAGTAGTCCTCGGCTGGTCGGTTGAGTCTGCGGCTGTTCACTGCTTGCACCTCCGGAAACTTGGAGCGGGATGGCGGTTAAGCGCAACCGCCCCTTCGGTCCGGACCGTGAACAACCCCCATGCTCTTCGCTTGAGTGGCGACGACTTGTAAAGCTTTTCGTGGCAGGCCGTGGCAGATTTGGGGGGCACTCGATGCTGGATTGAGATGCTATGTGCAGTGGGCTAGGTGAAATGTGGGAATAAAGAAGGTGCGATGTGTGAGGGGACGGGGAAGTGTTCGTGCGACCGATTCCAAAATATGTCCAGGGGCTCGTGAGGGGACGTGAAGAGCGTGAGCATGACGGGGATGGATACAGCATGGCTAGTGGTACAGAACGAGAAAGCGGGCGGAAAGCGGCGATGTGCTCGACAGATGCAATACGAACGGACGTGCGCGAGGGCAGAGGGGAGCGATACCAGGATACATGCGCACAGCGCACATCAAGGCGACCATCTCAATTGGTCCACATCCACGGGTCGCGGTATTCCTTCGTGAATAATCTTGCGACCGTGCCGCAGTTGTCGCAGGCGCGTTCGTGTAGCTCGTACACCTTGTTGACGTATGGCTGACCATGGGTCTCCGGATGGCGGTCACCAGTGTAGTCGCGGCCTCGACCATTCGTATGGTACCAGCGCGGCTCCATCAGACAATACTTCTTGCCGAAATTGGAGTTGGGGCAGTAGCATGTACCTGGGAGTCGGACATGAGCGCGCCTGTACAGTGGCTTGCCACTTGTCTGACGGAGACGGGCCAACGCCAAAATATCCCTCCAATCTTGGTGGTGGAAGAGGAGGCATCTCATGATACCGAGCAGCAAAAAGCACGCACCTCGCGAGTGGTGCGACTCGCATGAGTCGCATGCCTGATACCCGCAATCCTTGCACATGGCCAAGCAGCGCACTTTGACACCACACCCGGTGCACTGGCCAACAGGTGGTCGTTTGGGAGGGGTAAGAGCAATGCGGGTGGTCATTTCGTTCAACTTCTGCTGAATGCCGCACGAGCGCTGGTGGGTCCGCCAGTTGGCGTCTCGGCAGCGCGTCCTGTGTAACGCAGGGTATGTGGTTGGAGACCCGAGAGCGCACGAGGCATCAGTCAAGGGCCACTCACGAACAATAGCGAGCAGTCTTGCAGGCGGAGCAGGAGTAGGGTGCTTCCTTCATGCAGACCTCGCAGAACGTGTACTCGGAGCGGTCCTCTTCGAGAGCAGGCGGGGGGTCCGGAAGGAAGAAGGCGGCGAGGGTGACGATGACCATGGCGCCAGCGAGCGTCGACATCGACAAGAGGAGCATGATGGCCGTCGATGTCGGGCAGGTGGTCGTGGTTCGGGTACAGGACGACGGCCGGAGCTGTGTCGGATGAGCCGGTCCAGGCTCCAGACGCGCCTGTCACAAAGACGTCACCCGTGACTACACGTGTATCGACGCGTCGACGCGTACCTACGCGTACGGGCGCGTGCCCAGCTGGCCATGGGGTCCTCGGAGGGTGCTGTGTAACGTCTCATGCCCTCGGCTTTTGAAAGGGCGGGGAAAGACAAAGGAAAGAAGAGCAATCGATATTGTACAGTCGGGGTACTGCCTATGTTCGCATCACTGGAATCGAGCAAACGACCGCCATTCCTCTTTAAACACCTTCTTCACCTCTCCGCAGTTGTGACACGCTCGAGGTTCGGGCTCGAACATGTCTTCCGTATAGCAGTCGTCATAATTTTCCGGATGGCGGTCACCCTCGTACGGTCTTCCATTCCCATCAGTGTGGTACCAACGGGGCTCCATCCGACAGTAGTTCCTGCCAAAGTTCGACTCTGCACAGTAGCATGTTCCTGTCGGCACGTTCCATGAAAGATCGTCTACAGAAGGACAAAGTGGCTTACCATTCGAGTGATGGCAAACGCACGACTCGCATGCTGCGTAGCCACAAGTAGGACACAAGTCGTCACACCCGTAGTCTTCGTCGAATTCGACACCGCAGCCCGTGCATATATTCGGATTGGGACGAGGGCGAGGGCGGGACTTCATCTCTTCCTCCGCCTTGTTGAGGATCTGTTGCATCTTGCAGCCCTTCTTGTGCTGCTTCCAATCCAGCTTCTGGCATTCCTCGCTGATAGAATCAGGATACAGAAGGGATAAAACATGGAGCAGTGGCATGAATGACTTACGAACAGTACCGCGTATGTTTGCACGCAGAACATTTGAGGGTCGCATTCTCCCCACAAAACTCGCAAGGAAGCCCTTGTAGACTCTTCAGTAGTCTTTCGTAGTAAGCTGAATCCATCGTGTTGTGCAGGCGTCGCGTCAGGGGCGCGACGGAGGAACAGAGACGCGATAGAGGCGCTCCGTGCGCATAAGTAGGGGGGGGACCCCGGACACCGGGCTGGTATTGGGTTGTTGACGAAGCTAGAACCGCAGGCCACCGGAACTGGCCAACTGCACCTTCGACTCGTCCTCTCGCCGCTCAGCCAAACCCTCCAGCCCGCCACCCGCTGGGCAGTCGATGATCACCGTGCGCTGGGCGGCACTCAGAGTTGACGACGACATTCTCTACGACTTCCACTGCTTCCGCCGCTTTCTCTCCCGACTTCTGGCCTCTTCCGATCACTCTCATTAAACACCTCTAACGTTCTCTATACGCCGCCATGTCTAAGGTCTCGTCATCGTCTGGTTCCGGTTCCAACAAGCTGCTGAGGGAATATGTACGTGTGTCAGGTTCTCACTAGACTGATGATGTACTTATTTCCTTGTAGCAATTGGGGGATTCATTAGGAAAGGGCGCATTCGGCCAAGTTTACCGTATGTGTCGTCCATCCGCTCTGGGAACTTTCGTAACATCAAATGTCAGGGGCTCTCAATTTGGCAAACGGAGAGACTGTGGCAATTAAGGAGATTCAGCTGAGCAACATTCCGAAGAGCGAGATTGGGCAGATAATGGTGCGTGTACTGCGTCGATGCTCACTGTCCATATAATAATCACGGACGCATTCCGTAGTCCGAGATCCATTTGCTCCAAAATCTCATTGTGAGTGCTCAGTCCTGTTCTCTTATCTTTTCAAATCCATCGTCTGTTACGATTCGTGGAGCCAATGCATACGCAGAGAGTCGTATGCTGTGTGGCGTCGTGTGCAAGCGACATGACCGGCAGATGGCTTTGGCTTCAGGCCCTCGCTCTGCTTGTTTGCACGCGTCCTTGTCACTGTTATGATCCACATTGTTTTGGCCTTCTGCGAAGCATCCCGGGCATGTCGGAGTCTTTGCGTGTCTGCGGAACTTAGATGCCGCACTTGACCTCCAAGAACACGTTCCTGTATCCTCCAAGACGCCATTATTTGGGTAGACGTTGCCGCATCATTATGTGTGCCGTCCTTTGGATCTGCATTCGCCCGTTACTTTCGTTCTTCGGTGCTTTGCGATTCCGTAACGCGTCTAACATCTGGTTGCGCAGCATCCGAACATTGTCAAATACAAGGGCTACGAAGCCACCCCGGAATATCTGTACATTATACTAGAGTAAGCCTCTCATGTCTTCATCTTTGCCGCCCGCTTTAGCTGCTTGCCGCTAGGTTTTGCGAGAATGGCTCGTTACACAACATCTGCAAGAAGTTTGGCAAGTTCCCGGAGACGCTGGTCGGGGTGTACATCGCCCAAGTTCTAGAGGGGCTCGTGTACTTGCATGACCAGGGTGTCATACACAGAGACATCAAGGGAGCGAACATTCTCACCAACAAGGACGGGTGTGTCAAGTTGGCGGATTTCGGTGTGGCCAGTAGCACTGCAGCGGGCGCGGTTCGGGACGACGCCGTCGTGGGCAGCCCGTATTGGAGTGCGTCTGCTATATCCTTCAGTCTTGCGTTGAGCTCACAGCCCTTCAGTGGCACCGGAGGTCATCGAACAGTCTGGCGCAACGACCGCTTCCGATATTTGGTATGTCCTCTCTTGAGTTAATGCATGCGTTCGAAGGCGAACCATGTTCCATTTCAATAGGAGTGTAGGGTGCACCGTCATCGAGCTCTTAGAAGGCAAACCGCCTTACCACTTCCTCGACCCCATGCCTGCACTGTTCCGGATCGTGCAAGACGACAGCCCGCCGATCCCGGAGAGTGCATCACCCATCGTCAAGGACTTCCTTTACCACTGCTTCCAGAAGGACTGCAACCTGCGCATATCCGCGAAGAAGCTCCTACGACACCCGTGGATGGCGGCCGCGCGCAAGCAGCTCGCCGCACAGCAGGACAAGGCACCCGAAGTTCGCTTAGGCGGGGCACCCGAGCGGAGGCCACTCAGCAACTACAACTTCGACGACGCTCTGCTAAAGGTGCAGGAGTGGAACGACGCGCTGAAGTGTGAGTCGCTCGTTTTTCTCGATGAGCGGATGTATGGGACTGACGCGACGCCGGACAGCGCCGGCCAACCGGCCCTCAAAGCACCCAGAACGCCATAGGAAGACGTCCGCGACGGCACGCCCAGGGTCTCCGCTCCCGTCGCCGACGGCGATGATCGCGTCGGTACAGGCGTCCCATCTCGCTGGACCGCCGCAATCGATGTTGCTCGGCCGTGGAATGAGCTCCTCAGCGCCGAACGGGAAGCATGTTCCTACCGGCACGCCTCTTGGCCACATTCGCGAGACGTTGCCCATGCCGTTCATCCTTCAGGCTCCGGAAGAACAGACAGACAACTGGGATGATGATTTTGAGGAGGGTATCTCGCTGTCGAAATTGCATGGTATGTCTTGTCAATCCTTCCCGGGTGTTCTTCGCTGAAATTTGAACAGTGGGTCTCGACAAGCAACCCGTGGAAGAGGAGAAGCTAGAGGTAGATGACAACGCGAAGACAATTCGTCCAGGGCACAGCCCTCAGGGCATGGGCAGGAACGCACCTCTACCAGTCTCCAAGGCTCCCCAGCCCCAGATCGCACCCATCGCAGAGGACAACGACTTTTTCTTCGAAGAGGGGGACGAGGACAAGCTGGAGGAGAAGGTTGCTGACCTCAGACTTAGGAATTCAGTTCGCAAGGGCCTCTTCCACCCCAACGACATCAAGATGTTCGGATTGCAGCCTCCATCCCCAGGCCCCATGACCGCCCCTCTTCCTGGCCTCTCCCATCGGAGGTCGCGTCCCTCGCTCAGCATCATGCCGTCGGGACCCTCGAGCGGTCCAACGTCGGCCCGCGCTCACTCCCGATCGTCATCGTACGCAAACGAGTCGTTCGGGCGCGAGGCTGCGAAACGGCTGCAGGGCGACTTCGACAAGTACGCGGAGACGGACGACGAGGACTACGAGGATGTGTTCGGCAAGGTGAACGGGTCGAGCGCACAGCCTATGGAGACGCTGCAGCTCAACACTCGATTGTCGAACAAGTCTTGGGTACGTATGCGTGCTCTGGTGTGAGGACAGAAGCTGACATGGACCGCAGTTTGGCGACGAGGATGACGAGGAGGATCCGTTTGCAGAGGTCTGTCGTCCGACTCCTCCATCTGATAATGAGCTCACGTCGTGCAGATCGACGAGGGTTACGCTGAGGAAGATCTCGAGGCCAATCTCCAGCGTGACAAGTACGCGCGGCTCTCGAACAACGTCACCCAGCTTATCGACGAGCTTACGCCGTCCGCGCCGGATTTCCAGCTGCGAGATGCTTGCGACCAATTGGTACGGGTCTCGGCCTCCAAAATGCTTCACTCGCTGACTTAGTATCGTAGCTCAACATCGTGCAAGAAACACCTGAGATGCAGTCCCAACTTGTCTCCGCCCACGGAATGCTCGCGATTGTGGAGGTTTTGGAGTCGAGGACCTCGCGCGACGTCAGCATTAAGCTACTCCAAATCATCAACGCTGTAAGCACCTTTTGTCAAGCTCTCCTGCATCTCAACATTTCCGGGTTCCGGCTAATGCGGTGCAATTTAGCTCGTCACAACAGACATGGGATTCTTGGAGAGCTTCTGCCTGATTGGGTACGTTCCGCGTTCGTCGCCGTCTCTCCCCGTTCCGCTGAGCTTATTCCATTGGATCTCGGGCCTTCCTCGCACAGTGGCATCCCAGTTATCATGGGTGGGTGTCTTGCATGGTAATTCTTGTCGCCATGGCTCATTTTGTGCTCGTGTTGCTTAGGATTCACGTCCAAGAAGTATCCACCAGAATGCCGCTTGGAAGCGTCGCACTTCATCCGGCTGCTCTGCCACGCGTCCGTACTGACGCTGCAGATGTTCATCTCGTGCGTCGTCTGGATGCCCCTGCTTCTGATGCACTACTGACAGGATTGCCATGGTAGGTGTCGCGGGCTGAAGGTGCTCGTTGACCTTCTGGACGAAGACTACTCAGAGCAGACGGAGCTCGTCGTGCACGCGCTCAACGGCATCTGCAGCGTCTTCGATCTGCAGAGCCCGACGACCAAGAACGACTTTTGCCGGATGTTCATCCGCGAGGGCCTGCTCGATCCGCTCACGGCCGCGCTACTCAATGTCATGATGAACCGCGGGGACGCCGCGGCGGACATGAACAAGAAGATCATCCAGATCATTCTTGTGTTTTGCCAAGTCTCGCAGTCCGACATCCACGTCCGGAACGCGCTGGGAACACGAAAGATCGTCCGCCGTGAGTCGTATCGACCGAGGGGAGATCTCACGCTTATGTGCGCGTCATACAGGTCTGCTCAGAGCGTGCGAGATGCTCCAGCCCGAGTACCTGGTCCAGATGCTCAAGGCAGTCAAGCACCTCTCCATGAACGCGAACGTTCTAGAAGTCTTGCAGAACGCAAACGCGATCGAGATTGTGGTCAAGATCCTTGATGAGCAGTGCTCTGGTCCGCTGGGCACGGTGCGTCCGGTCTCACGTTGTTATCGCGACGCACAGACTCACGCTCGCGGACAGGAAATGTCAAACCACATCATCCAGACGTGCTACAATCTCTGCCGCCTAAACAAGTCGCGCCAGGAAGAGGCCGCGCAGGCGGGGATCATCCCCTGCTTGAAGCGCATCATCGAGTCCAACTCGCCGCTCAAGCAGTTCGCGCTCCCGATCCTTTGCGACCTCGCCAGTGCGGGGAAGACTTGCCGGGTCCTGCTGTGGCAACACGACGGGCTGGGGATGTACCTGCGCCTTTTGGAAGACCCGTACTTCCAGGTCAGCGCGCTCGAGTCTATACTCTCCTGGTACGTTCCCGCGATGCTGTCCCTGCCCAATGATGCCGAGCCCTTCCGCGCAGGTTGCAGGACGAAACGGCTCGGATCGAAGACGAGCTGATGACAACAGAGTCGCTGGACGCGCTCCTCCGCTGCTTCGTCGCGGCGAAGGCGAATTCGTTCGAGAACCTCCTCGACCCGTTCCTCAAGATCTTCCGAATATCGACAAGCATCACGATCGGGATCGCGAAGGCGCAGTTCTTCAAGCGGCTGATCGACAAGCTGAGCTCGAGCAAGGCGATCGTGCGCCTGAGCCTGCTCCGGATGCTCCGCGCGGTGTGCGACGTGCACCCGAACCGGGCGGTGCTCGTCGAGCGCTACGGGATCTACGAGTTCGTCGAGCGGCTGAGCAAGGAGGACGTCGCGGTGCTCGTCCGGGAGCTGGCGCGCGAGATCGTGCCGACGCTCGCGCCCGCGCTCAAGCCGTCGTCGCGGCTGTCGAAGGGGATCGACACGCCGGGCAAGGCGGGCAAGGCGATCGCGCCGAAGCTCAAGCGGCGGCACGCGTCGGAGTCGATCATGGGGACGCCGGCGGGGATGGGCGCGCGCACGGCGAGCGGCGGCGGACCCACGCACGCCGCCGTGAGGAACGGGAATGGGAACGGGAACGGGAGCGGGAGTGGGGGAGGGAGCAGGGAGGGGTCGCGCGGCGTGTTCGCGGGACGCGCGCCCAGGCAGCTGCTGAACGAGATCCCGTGGCAGGGCCAGGACCGGTGGTAGCGGCCGCGGCCGCGTGTACTTGTACGGCGGAGGGCGTCGGCTTGTCCGTGCTTTTTGTTTCTTTGTGTTTCTTGCTCCATGCTTTCGCGCCGCACTGTCCTTCATCGCACACACGCTCGTCGACTTTTAATATTGGCACATAACGAACCCTCGACGAACCCCCGATCCTTACACTCCGCACGTATTATTGCTAGAGCTGGTCTAATAATGTATTTGTGTCGGTGCACAGATGTGGGCCCGGCGCGGTTCACTGTTGCTTCATCACTCTTGTGCGTACGATCGAGCTTGCACCTTGCCAAAGAAATGGAAGTCGTAATTCTTCACCTCGTCTTTGTTGTTGCCGAAGCTCTTTATGCAACAATGATTCGTCGTCTTACTTTGTAGTAAATTCTCATCGTCGGCAAGCCCCGGGGCTGGAGTAGGATAGTATGATGTTCTACGTCGATCATTAAGAACGATGCGGCCGGATGCAAATGTAATGCGCTAGAACATCATCAATATATCATATTCCAGGATTCATCTTTGCGAGCCAAGCGAATAAATCTCGCATGATCGAAGGCGAAAGCAAAAAGAGATCCACAACACGGCGGATTGCTCTCCTGTGACGCTTTGTGCAACATACGCTGACCTTTGTTTTCTGGTCCTGTGGTCCGTGGAGCCGCGTCTGCTGGGAATGGCCTGCATAAGTTCAACGTCGTTCAACTCCGATATTGGCTACGTGAGTATGGACGGAGAGTCGGAAATGAACTTGCCATCTGTTCTGCAAGCGCATGCATTCACGCGTCTATCACGCGCACGAATGGTGCTCGGGAATGTGGGATGCAGCACCGTTTGGAGTGCGCGGGGACGAGCAGTTCCCCCGAGTGCTAAGTAAGGGACGGAGCACCGCGAGGAGCATGCTGCACGTTCTGCAGCGAACATCAGTTTGTTGGAAACCGAACATCGGCTTGCGGCAAGGCACGGCGGTAAGCCGGGGGATAAGCCGGGATAAGCAGTGGGATAAGACCGAGCCAGCCGAGGTAAGGGAGGATTAGCGGAGGCTAGTGATGGATCAGTCCCAGTGGACTAGTCTTGGACTAGACCGGTGATTACCGCGGCGGGCGGGGCGGGCAACTGGCGTCTTGGCCGCCGCTCGTGCCAGACCGCCGCTCTCACCCACAACGACCGTCCGTGCTCGCCGCCGCCGCCCGCTGCTCTTCGTGCCCTCTTCCTCCGTTTCTGCACGCCGTCGCCACTCTGTTTCTCCTTCTCACCCGCCTCTCCCGCCCGGCCAGATGGCCTTGACTGCCACCGCCCAATCGGCCCTGCACCGTGAGCCCGCCTGGGACGAGGCGATAGTGCCCGCACTGCGCAAACGTACGTCCTCTCGCCGCTGCCTGCCCCTTGTCGTGTGCCGGGGCTGACCCCTTTCGCGTCCCAGGTCTCAAAGACGAGAGCAGCGCGCTCGCCAAGCGCATATCCGCCGCCTCCATGGGCTCCAATGAGGACCTCTCTCAAGACCACCACCACTACTACTTACCCCCCATCTCTCCCCCCACCTCCTCCTCCTCGAGCTACGCGCTCCCCAACAGCAAGCCGAGCGCCATCCCCCGCCCGAGCCTCTCGAGCTCAACAACGTCCCCCTATCAGCGCTCGCGCGCACTATCCCAACCGTACGCCGACTTCTCTGTCGACTCGTCCAGCGACCGTCCGACGTCTCCTGCCGTCAACGGGAACGCTTCCAAGAGCACACGCATCCCCGTCTCGCGCACCAGAGCAGGCAGCACCTCCAGCCAGGGCCACTCGGTGTACAATGGCTCCAACGGCCGCGCAAACGGCCGCCTCCCCGACCAGTCCGACGCGTATCTCTACCCCGTCGAAGAGCGCGAGCGGGCTCAACAAGCGCATTCACAGACGAGCCGGTCCACCATCCGCCTCCCGCGACACAAGGGATCCGACATCTTCCAGGAGCCCCCGCCGTTCTCCTCCTCGCCCCCCCGGAGCCAAGACTACAACCATGGGCGGATGTCTCCGGAGCGAGAGAGGATGTCGTCCGACTCGGAGGAACACCCGTTCGAACACTGGTACCGCGGCGACGTCGCCCGCAACGGCGGCGTCGGCGAGCTCCGCGTCGCGAGACGCCAGGAGATGCTCGACATCGCCAACTACGGCCATACCCTCCAGAGCAAGTCCTCGCTGCGGGCCACCCCGAGCGGCCTTTCATCACGGTCACGCTCGAACTCGCGCGGAAGGGGGGAGCTCAACGGGAGGGTTAGGGGGCGCTCGCGGGCGGACAGCGTCGGGGCGAGGGGAAGCGTGTACATCGATCCCGACGAGGTGCACCTCTCGGCGGCGGTGATGGAGGAGCGGCCGCTGACGGACCTGGAGGACGACGGGTACGAGGACCACCTGGACGACTACTACACCCAAGCCGTGCAGCCGCACCTGAACGGCTCGATCTCGTCGCCGTCGCTTGAGCGGAGCGACACGCCGACGAGCCGGATGACCCAAAACACGTCGCGCAGCCGAATACCGCAGCCGTCGCGGTCGCGGACGACGACGCCGACGCCGAGCAAGCCCGTGCGGAGCGCGTCAGACGATGCTGCGCCCCCACCCGGCACTTGGCCCGAGGCCCCCCGTCCGGCGACTCAGGTCAAGACACAGGGTTTGCCTCCGTCGATGCCTTCCCCTGCCTCTGCGCTCTCGGGCTCCAGCCCACCCACGCCTTCGACGCCGTCCGGGAAGCGGATAGTGAAGAGTCCGACGGGCACCGCTGCGCCCGCATCGAAGAAGGCCAAGTCGAGGGCGCCCCCGTCGTCGATGAAGCGGCCCGCAGGACCCCCGCGGAATGAGGAGAATCGACGATCGATCGGACAGTATCCGTCGCTGGACGGCGACGAGGACGCGATTCCCTCATGGACGCAGCCTAAGCCTGCGAACGGCAACTGGGATGACGTTCGTACCGCCTAATTCCCGCTGCGAACGTCCTCATCTGACCGCCCCCATCCAGGTCGTCCTGCCCGTCGTGGCGCGGAAGCGTGGTCTGCAGGATCAGTACGAGCACGCGGACGGCAGCCCCAAGCCGAAAGAGCCAGAGGAGGTCATCTATGAGCCTGTGAGTCCCTTCACGTTCGCTTGCTGCGTGTGCCTTCGACCGACATTCCCGACAAGGCGCCCGGCACATTCGGGTATGATGCAACCAAGTACCGGAAGCGGAACAGCGGTGGCATCGACGCCATCCCCATGGACGAGTTCGGTCAACGGCCACCACCCTCGCCGCACTCGCCAAAGTCCCCCGAGTTCCCCCAACCCCCGGCGAGCCCAGTCGCGCAACCACCTCCCATGGAGCACGGCTCGGGCAGTCCGCTGCAGTCGTCGAGTCGGGACCGCCGTGCGGACTCGCCACCGCCATTCGCGCACTACATGAAGGATGGCGCGTCGACGCCCGCACCTCCACAGATGCAGATGGAGATCCTTCCGCCGCTTGGTCCGCTCCCGCCCGCGAACCACAAGGAGCAGATTCCAGAGGAGGACGTCGGCGGGGGATGCTGCAAGTGTGTCATTATGTGATATATCGTGCCCGTCTTGGTCTTGTTCTTTCGACACGACTCCGCTCTTCGCTCGCATCGCCCTGCGGTCCGCTCCTTCGCACCTCCCTCTCTCGTCACGATTTGTTGCCTGCACGATAGCTTGGCTGAAGGCCCGCCGCCGCCACCGCCGTCCCCCTTCGTTCAGTCGGTCGTTCACGCCCCCGCCCATAACGGACCCCACAGCTTATCGATATATCATGAATCCCGACGGTCTCCTCCCCCCGCTTCCCTTCGTCCTTCGCCGCACTGTCTATATATACTGGCATTCCGCATTCCGGTCCACTGTGCTTTCTCTCTCGCCGCATCCCCCGCATTTGTCTCTTGTCACTACTAGGTCGCCGCCCTTCCGAGCCTCCCTTCTCACCCACGCCCGCGCCCCCCTACGAAGTTCGACCATTCACACCTCCTCCCCGCCACGGGGTGCGACGCGGCGCGCACCGACCGCTCTCTGTCCCAGGAGCTCCCCGCGCCGCCGCCCCCCTCCCACACCCTCCGTGCCGCCCTTCCTTGTTCCCCTCCCGCTCACGCCCGCGCTGTGTACGATTCACGCCCAACCTCACCCCACATGTTGAATAGTACCGCACGGCCCACGAGCGTTAGGTTCCTCCTCCCCTTTCCCCTTCCCCTCCCCTTCCCTTTCCCCTGGTCTTCTCGCCCTTACGAATCGTCACTTGCGCCTTCTTTGCCTGCTCACCCCCCGCGGCGCCCCCTGCGCCCCCGCGCCCGCTCGCGCGGCCACTGTCGGAACCTATCGCTCGTTAATACCCTCCGTACTTTAAGCGTTACTCGAATTATTCCCCGTCCCCCGGCTCGGCCTCCGCCGCCGAGGTGTCCATGTCTTTCAAGTGCCCAGATGATGTGTGGTTCGAACTCCCAAGGGGCGCGTGTCGCACGAGGTCTCTGCTGTTTTTACGCCTGTGCAGCGTCAGTGCACGGTTCATGGCAAAGGGACAACTCTTGTACACCACACTGTTGTCGAACAAGCCGCAAGCGCATTAGAGAAATAGTGGTACAGCGTTTCACCAGCAAAAGACATGCTTAAACAGGGCCGCCACTGACGCAGTGCCATCGGGCCTAAGCTCCGTCGCGAGTAACCTGGCAGCGTTCCATCGTACACGCCCCGACTCCCGAGCATTCCTTTCCTGGTCCGTCCGGCGCGCTCGCCGGTCACTCCGCCCCCGCACTCCGTGCGCCTCGCGCGCACACCCGCGTCCAGCGTTCAACTATGCGACAGTCGGGGCCTCGGTCGTCTTGGGGGCGTCCGCTGGGGGCGCAGAGGCCGCGGCAGACGCCGGCGCGCCCGGGGCGGCGTGCGCGGACGCCTTGTGCGTCTCGTGGATGCGGCGGGCCTCTTCGTGGATGTCGAGGACCTGCTTGGAGGTGGTGGTGTAGAACGCCTTGACCTTCTGGCCGAAGGGGGAGGCGAAGGCGCGGGAGTAATACTGAGAGGGCATGAGTGATTGGTCCGCATATACTCGGCGCGGGGAGCAAGGGGACGACGCGCGCGCGACATGGACGAGGCAACTCACATCGACAGCGGTCTTAGAGATACCGCGTTGCTCGTCGGCAGCCTTCGCTTGCTGTGTCGCGCTCGCGAGGGTCTCCTGCACCTTCCCGGAGATGGTCTTCTCTGGGCCAAGAGCTTTCGCACCTGTGATAAAAGTCAATTATATGCGCTCTCTACCGGCCGGCGGAGCGCGACGCACCAACGGTAGTGTCCAGCGTCTGGATGTACGACAGGAAGCGATTGGAGATGCCGTGTTGCTGGTCGAGCTCGATCGCGCGCTGGAGGATCTGATCCGAGAGTGTGTAGCCCTTCGCGAGGTACTCGGCGGCAACTGCAACGCTCGTCGCGATGAGGGCGATTCGAGAAAAGGGAGAGGGAAGGTCACGCACTGCCCGCGCGCGGCTTGTCGCTCTGCTCGATGTGCTCCCGAGAGGCCGAGGTGTCTTCTTTGTGCACAACGTCGGGCTGATCAGAGGTGATGGCGAGGTGCGCGCCGTCGAGGGTGCCCTCGTTGAGCATGAGCGCGGTCTTGGCCGCGGACGGCTTCTCGAAGTGGATCGCGGCCGTCTGCTTCTCTGCGTTGAAGTCGATCTTGCGGATCGTGCCGCAGAAGCTGTCCAGAAACGGGGCGCGCGCGTGAGCGGGAGTCGTGCGCATACAGCGGACGCCAAAGCGACACTCACGTAAAGAAGTCGTGGAGGTGCTGCTCCGTCGTGACTGGGGAGATGCCGGAAACCTGCAGGATCGCAGAGTAAGTCGCGCTGGACGGGGAGCGAGTGCAGAGGGGCGCGCACGTTGACGGTGAAGGCGTTGGTGGACATGGTGGTAGATGGCAAGAGGGAATCGATGCCAGACCGGGCGAGGCTGCGGCCTTTCAAGTACGCGTCCAGTCCCAACCCACTCTGACGGCTCTGACGTCACCTCTCTCTCCCCTCCCCGGCCCGCTCCAGTGCCCCGTTCAGGAAAAGCGCTTATAGCCTCTTCTTGCGCAGTAACGCGTCAGGCCGCTGCCTCAAAAGTCGCAGGCCTCACAGGTAGAAAACTTGACGTCGTTATCCGTAAGTACTCGAGCATCACTCCGAAACGCGCCTGGATCGCGAATCCACAGAACCGCGAATCTCACGCGCGCGGCTGGCGTGCGTAGCACAAACCCCGATTCAGTTTACACGGCCAATCGACCGTTTTATCCTGGGATAAATCGACTGGATTTGTCCTTCTGGAGATCGTGCAGGGACCGCTTCCATATCCGAGTGATGGCCCCACGGTATCGGCACTGCGATGTGCCCGGAGCCACGCCGGAATGTGTCTAGGATATTCCAGTTCGGATATCGTTTAGCTGCTCCTACGTGCCCAGTGGGTTATGTCTGCGACACCAACCCGGTGTCCCCTTTGGGACTCCAACAATGAGTGGCAGCCTTCAGTCAGAATCAGGCTTCACACGGGTCGGGAGTTAGATCATGGCCGTTGTTTCACTAGACATTCCGCGCTAAGCTAATATATTTGTATTCTTTGAGGGATATGAGGAAAAACGGCCTGTGAGCGGACGTGGTGGTGAGAGCCAAAGCCTAAGTCCGAAGCGCTGACCATGCGCGCGCGAGTCACAGCGCACCAGTGTTGGCGCTTCGGACTTACGACCTGACTCTCGACCACTACCTGCCAGCACACTTCCCATTCGCCACTTCCCTAAGTTTATCCTCGCAGCCTCTCTTACATAGGTATGTGCTTCGATCAGCTTTTCCTTGGTCCACGGACTAAGTATATCCCTCAGTCGTGCATTCGCTCCCTGGGAGTCCGGATGTCCGTTTCGACCGCCAGACCCTACCGGTATTGAACTCCCTCAGCTCCCCCTCTGTATCTTCATCTTGTGCATCCTCTTTTCCGCCCCGGGGCCGAACTACCTTTATCTCGTGAGTCGTACGTTGCTTTCCTGTGTTGTGCACACCCGTTCTGCCGTGCTTTTCTGTGACCTATCCGATGGCTCCGTCGATGATCGATTTGCTGCGTCCCTCCTCTGGTAGCTATATTACGACCGCGCCCTGTAGTTGTATACCATACGTGTTGGTCTGCGTCAGTAGTCGTAACGACCAATTTCACAGTTTATCAGAGCACAAAGCCGCTACCGCGGCGCACGAAGCAGGTCGAAGCGGCACAACACTGCGAGGGCTATCAACTGACATCCGAATGAGACAAACTAGATATATGGGCGCCGATATGAGTTGTAGCAATTCCAGTCAAATATCACCGGGACATCGCGGTGATGTCGTAGGATATTTCGGCCGAAGGTTATCCTGAGTTATACCGGACGACTGGGCGTGTACATACGTCCTAGTAGATCACTTCGACAATCAACAGCAGTCCGCGCACCGCGTCGCGCACCCGCTGGCCCGCCCGCCGCTCACCCGCACCGCGTCGTCACGACGACCGCCGCCGTCGCCTCCAGCAGGCCGTCCGGGTCGACGCGCACCTCCTCCGTCGCGTACCGCACCCGCACCGCGTAGCTGCCCACCGCGCCCCCGTCGTCCACGAAGCGTGTCGCGTTCGCGAACTCGGGCACCTCCACGCCGTCGCGCGTCCACGTGATGATCAGCGCCTCGTCGACGCCGACCGGCGCGGCGCGCAGGTGCGCGAGCGGGACGAGCGCGAGGTCGAGCACGCGCGACGGCGCCGCGGCGCGCGCGAGCGACGCGCAGCCGACGGCGAGGCCGTCGACGAGCGAGACGCGCCGGAGGAGGGCGTGCCAGAGGCCCTCGGTGCAGGACTTGCAGAAGTCGGGCGTCGTCACGATCCGCATCAGGCAGTCCTCGTTCGTCGGCCGGAAGGAGGTCTCGTTCGTCTCCGAGAACCTGCGGCGGAGGTGGGTGTGGCAACGGCGCAAGAGGGAGAGAGCGTCACGTACGTCGGGTACAGGCCGTAATGTCCTGGCGTTGCCACGAACCTGAAAGGAGGTCGGTGCGTAAGAATGGCACTATGGGAGGTAGGACGGCCTTACTCGTCGGCGCTCCCGAACTCGAGCACCTCGACGCTGCACAGCTGTGCTACGCCTTCGCGTGCGTCGGACAGGAGCGTGAAGTTCAACACATGCTCCCCGCCGTCCATCGGAGTCTCCAGCTTGATGTCATAATGCCATCGATCGAGACCGATGTCCGTCCGCGGGACCCAGCCGAGATCTTTCCCGTCAAGGGTGACAGACAAGTCTGAGGCGGAAGGAAGACCGGAGAGCGAGAATCGGATAATCGACCACGAGTAGGTCCCGGAGGAGGTGAAGTTTGTCGTCCAGGAGGCAGAGGTGTTGAGCATCGTCCACGCGTAGATCTGAAGGGGCATGACGGACCGCTCGACGCGTACTGTCGTAAGCGCTTCCTGATCCTGGAGTGGGATCTGCGCGTCAAACGCACGGTTATGGTCGTGGTCGTGCTTCGTGGGAGTGAGCCAGTGAGCCCAGGGAATGCCGTCAATCGTGGTGTTGTGTGCAGCGTTCACGCCGAAGTAGGCAAAGCCCCCGTCGTACTCTTCACCGACCTCGATAATGGAATGTCCGAGCTCGTGCCTGGAACAACCAAAAGGCCGACATTTAGATGCCAGGGATAGTGCATGAATAAAGGGCTGACCTGAGTACCAGAGGCCCATTTGCCAACGACGGGGTGATCACGCTGCCAAGCGGTCATCATCAGGAGGACTTGCATCACGGTCGCTGCTTACGTGAAATCACCCCCAAGACCTGCAGAAGTCAGTCAGTCGTTAAATATTGGTGCACAGAACTACTGTTGACGCACCTCCATACAACGGGTCGTTGCCTACGACCACAAAAGTAAGCGAAAGCACAGGGTAACCATGCAAGCCCAACTTACCCATCAAAATAGGGTAGTCGCACTGGCTGCCCATAGAAGCACACGCAGCTCGAGCAACCTCCGGCTTGCTGTAGTAGACACCACGAAGCTCGGTTCCATCACGGTACAGCCCGAACGGCGTGCTGAACCAGAGCGTCAGCATAGCGATCGTAACGTTGCAAAAGCATAGACCGACTCTTTAGGCTTGCCTCCTATTCCAACGCCGCTCTGAAAATGCGCAAGTGAGACTTTACCTCTGGGTGGATCGTGTCGGCAGCACACACCTCTGCACTGGGCGTAAACGCGGCCCAAAAGTTGAGCAACGGCTTGACGGTGTAGAACGTCTGATTTCCGGAGATGTCGTCCGCAAGCCTCAGAGCATCTTCAAAGAACTTCCCTCGCTCCTTTTCCGTGTCTGGAACCACGCGTCAGCGTCGAGAGCGACACAGGACCACGGCCCGCTACCCACATCCGTCTGAGAAGAAGACGAGATCGACGCGGTTGTCCGCGTCGCCCGAAGTGATGAGCGGCTCGACGTCCAGAGGCGGCGGGTCGACCCGGCGACCGTACTGCGCACCCAGCGCCCCTTGCAGGTCCGCACCGACGTGGACGTGGAAGTCCCAGCCGCGCCTGTCCCCGCAGGTGCGCTCTGCAAACTCCCAGCCGCGCGTTTCGTCGGGCGTGATGAACTGGAGCCCCTCTTCGCCTGTGGGGAGCGCCTTCCTCTTGACGAGCCCTTCGCGCGGGAGGCCCCTGTACGGCTGCGTGTCCGTGAGCTTCAAGAACGTGCAGCGGCCAGAGCGGGGGTCTCTGTTGACGACCACTTCAAACGGCCGGGCTGTGGGTTCTGCGGCTACCGTGAAGGCTGTGAGGCCTAAGGCAAGTGCTAGCAAAGAACGAGAAAACATCTTGTGCGACCCTCTCCTTGCTTGTTGCGCTGGCCCAAAGGCGAAGCCCAGTGGTGGGAGTTGCGATGGAAGAGCGGGCGGGCTTATCACCCACGGGCGCGGGCCGGGGGAGCCGTCCACGCTCATGACATATGCACGACTACTTGTCTCACTCCGGGGAGGCCGTCCTCCACCTGCGGACGTATCTCAAGAGCGCAAAGGAGCACAATGTGTTATGCGTAATGATGATGATGGAAAGGCAGCTACTATACACGCCCCTACTAATACACACCCCACGACTCCGACACCGAAGTCCGAGGTCCGAGTGGAATAGTCCACGTACCGCAAAGACTACAGGCCCTCGTCATACAGTTTCCGACAGAGCGCGACGTAGAACCGCTCGAGATCCATCTTCGTCGCGAGGTCGTTGCGCTGGACAGGCTTCTCGCTCTTCGCGCGCGTCACGTTCGCACCGGACTCCGCAGGGCTAGCAGACGCGGAGCCTGCGGGCGAGGGCGCGGGCGAGGACGCATGGGCGCCACTGCCAGGACTGGGGACTTGGTCCACGATCCAGTCGAAGATGGCCGACACCTTGGCCGTCGAGCTCCGCACGACCTCGTCCGAGTCCATCTCCGCCCTGTCCTGTGGCCGCGTGCGCCCCCAACGCGCGTCTTCCCTCCGATCCGACCTCAGCCGTTCGCTCGCCTCGTGAAGCTCTTCGCTCATGCGCGCGCCCGCGCCCTTCGCCGCCGCCTCCTTCTCCTCGCGCTTCCACGCACGCACGAACTTGCCCCAGTCGCCGAGCGCCCAGCCGTCCGCGCCGGGGAGCGAGGGCAGGTCGACGTCGATGCCGCGCGCGCCGCGGATCTCCCAGTGGTCGCAGCCGTCGAGCACGCCTAGGAACTCGCCCCAGCGCGCGCTTTGGACGGTGACGAGGCCGTCGTTACCCCACCCTGAGTCGAGTTCTGCGAGCGGGTGGGAGTTGGTGCGCAAGCGGGCGCGTTCGCGTTCCTCGAAGCCGTCCAGCACGAGCTTGGGGAGCCAGAGGGGATGCCAGATGTTCATTCCCGGGCAGCGACCGGCGACGCTGAAGTACTTGACAGACGGGTCGTCTGGCGTGTTGGGGTTGAAGACGGTGTTGAGGTAGTGCGTGGTGAGGTTGGCATATGCGGGAGAATCGAGGAGAGAGAGCAGGAGGGTGGTGAAGGAAGATGGAAGAGACGCAAGCGACAGGAGGGTCTTGACAGAAGCTGCTCGTTCCTGCTTCTCCTCCGTCGTTGGTTCAGCGCGAGTGGTGGACGGTTCCGAAAGAGAGTGCCCCGACGGGAGATCTTCCTTGCGTTGGCCCAATCCAAGGTATTGCTATACAACGCACATGAATACACTAATGGTGTAGAAAGGCGCAGGACGTACGCTGCACCAGTCCATGAAAGGACTTCCTCGATGCGGGGTGGCGATGGTGGTGAGGGAGAGCGGAGCGTACTCGGTGGGCTTGATGTGAGAGATGAGGTATCGGCAATCGAGGCCACCCATGGAGTGCGCAAGGAAGTTAATCCCTCTTGCCGGGGCCTTGCTGCGGAGGAACTGGTCGAGGTTGTCTCCGCGGGAAAAGACAGAACCAGTGCTGCCCTTGGTGTCAGAGATGCAAAACGTATGTTTGAACATGTGCTCGTACCTTGGCACTCCGGTGACCAAAACCTCAGCTCCTACACTCTTCCGAAGAACAGCCAAAACGTTCGACCAATAATGCTGCTGCAAGATGGGGAACGCAGAAGGCCCTCGTACATCAAACCCATAGAGGCCTAGTTGCAAGTCAGTGCTGGGAACGTGAGATGGAGCATGTGAGCATACCATGGCAAAGCACTATGGGATAGCGGGGCGTGCGGACAGGATCATATAGAGCAGGATGGTGGATCAGACGGTGTATCTGGTCTTGGTGTTCTGGATCTGAAGAAGGCTTGCCGTGTGGTGGAAGATCGTTGACCTGGGTTCGGTCGGTATATGCGCTGGGCTCGGGGTATGTGGTGTGCGAGTCCACATGGAGCATACGGCGGAAGCCTTGAGGACTGTGATTCGATGCATAACGAAGCCACGCCGGCCATCGGAGGGAATAACGAGGGTCGGAGGGCGAGGGGGATTGGTCGGGGGCGAGGTAGTGCTGGGAGATGGAGAAGGCGGAGACGACGTTGACTACGCGGCGAAAGAGGGCGACGACAGGGACGGGAAACCAGACAGTCTGCATGTCGCCAGTGGCGAGGAGGAAGACATAGAGCGCGAAGAGGGCAGCGGGCTGGCCGTTGGGGGTGGACGTTCTCGACAGCGCCGCCTCTCGATTGATATTTGGGGCCACGGGCGCCATCGCCCATTGGGGTCCACGTCGGCGTTCCACGGCCGGTCCGGATCTCGCTCCCTCCCCATCCACACGTGCTACACGGATCCTCGCAAACCACCATTCTCAGCTGCTCCTTTCGGTCTCGTGATTTGGCCTGCCGCGACAGGCCTTCGTCAAGAATGCAAGTCGACGGCAAGCACACTTCCTCTGATGCATAGGCCTACATACCCGTTATGTAGGGTCATGTAAAGGTTACAGTACACGTTTATACAAGCACACTTTCAAGAATCACGATCACGCTTTGGCTGCGGGAATGTGCTCTCTCGCCCACATCGCTGTCTCCTCCGTCGCGTTCCACAACGTGTTCAGCGGCGCCAGCTTCCAACTCGGGCCCGCCGTCCCATCCACAGGCAGGATTGCCAGGATCGCCAGCGACAAATACGTATGATACGGATCTAGATGCCTCCATCAGCACCCCTTCCTTACGGTACGGATCCACGATAAAGCAGCCCATACCTGGACGCTCTCCTGGAGCCTTTGCAATCCCACCAAACTTGAACTGGCACTCTGCGAGGAAGGCGGCCATCGCAGCCCTGTCGACGAGGTCACCTGCGCCCAGGATCTACGTAGCCCGCGCGCGGTAAGCTTCACCGTCCCGCGCACAGATCCAAGCACGGGCACGAGGGTGAAAACGGCCACTCACGTTGAGTGCAGCGCCGCACCAGAAGCAGTAGCACGCGTCAGCGGGCTTGCCGGTCCGTCCGCTGAACCCGCCAGATGGTGTCTGGTTCTGGACGAGCCACCGGATGGTGCGCGCGCGGGCGGCGCCGGCAAGGCGCGAGGCCCGTGGCGAGGCGGGCGTATTTGGTGCCAGGTAGAGGGAGGCGATGGCGCAGTACGACGTGCCGCCTGTCAAAGGTGTTGAGTAGAACGAAGATAGGATAACAATCGGTTCATGGACCTAAAGCCTCGCCGTTTGGAGTCTGTCCATACCCTCCCTCGTAGCTCTGTGAAATGTCAGCGTTCCGATGTTATATGGGTGGTAGGCCTGTCTCTCACATAGCATCTCTCTATATATGCGATGGCGCGATCGAGGTCGATGCCAGACCAGTCGTCGAGTAGGCTGCTGATGACAAACGCACAGTACATCATTCTGAGATCAGACTCCCCGCCGGTGGGAAGTGCTGAAAAACTGGGACCGTTCACATCAGGGGAGGGAAGTTGTGTGGAGACAGCTCGCACCTGCCATCTTCCTGTTGACATGCACGGATGCAGCGAATGATGCCGGAACGATTCAGTGCTGTGAAGTCGTCTCGTAGCATGGTCAGGCACAGCAGAGCCGTGTAGGTCATCACAAGGTGTGGAGTCTCGTATTCAAGTGGCTCTCCCTGAGAAATTTCTCAGCGACGTGCTGATGACTCCGGAAGGAGCCGTACTTACTGCGTACCCCTCAGGAGTGACATAGGGACTCGGACGGAATCCTGCCCCATATGATCCAGCTGCTTTAAATTCAGCCCAGTGCTTTTATACGCATTTGACACTTCTCTCTCACATGTTTGCTGTTCCCACAACCACTCTTTGTATGTTTGACGGTCTAGTTCGGTTAATTGCTTGTCCATCACTCCGAGGATGTCCAGGCTCCCCAAACAGTAGAAGATCGCCGCCACCCTGTTACAGACAAGTTATAAACTTCTCTTAAACACTACCTGCCGCGTTACATACCTGGAGGGATCGAGCTCTACTTGACTAGAAGGGAGACCGATGAGACATCGACGCACGTGGGAGGCATGCCCAACGCGAGCTAGAGTAGACCCTGCAGACATGACAGTACCCAATGTGTCTGATCTGCCCTGGAAAGCGTAGTGATAGACAACAATTTGCCGATTCGTGGTGGTGGTGACGAGAGTAGTTATAAACGCCCGTGAGATGCATCGGGAAGCCTACGGCCTTTGATCCTAACATGAGCAAACAACGCGAGAGTGGCGGTCGCCAGGCTGGGCCCTGAGACAAATTATTGCCCTCGTCCGACCACGGACTATCACTACGGCCTAAGATCCCGTCTTTCAATCGTTCAACCACGATTAATAGTTGATTATCCACGTTCAGACATCGTTAACATCGAAGCCACTGTCAAGAATTCAACTCCTGACTCCTTCTTTGGGCGAGTCCCTCCTCAAAGTTGCATCTCGCGATTATATTCGCCCCGCAGGGATTCATGGAGGCTTATTTCAAACACTTTGGATGGTGGCCATGTTTACAGGCTGTGAGTGCCGCGATGCTATGTCTCTGTTGTTGGCCCAACGACCTTTTTCTCGAACGGTGCACGCTGTCGACCATTTACACCAATTGAGTTGTAATACTTCGGTCGTGTGGCGCAAATTTGTCGGTTATGAACATGATTACGGATGCTGTGGAAATCCCCACACTCACATGCATGGATTTTGGAGCCGTTGGCACAATGGTTCAGCCTAGTAGTATCCTCATCTTTGTCTCCTCACCACCTATGTTCATTGTGACGTTCTTTGACGACCGTGTACAATATTTTTCTAGTTGGTTGAGCCAACGAAACGAGCCACGATCCGGCTGTTGCGTGACTTCGTATGGTACCACTAACATCTGCAGACCGCCCTCTCTCTGTAACTCTCATGGAGTCCGACAAACCACAACGCCTGAAGGAGTGGCGTGCAAGGTACTTAAACCCTCCCTTGATCCATCTTTCTGAGTCGCCTGATACTGACAGAGCCACCACACCAGCCACCAAATCAGCCAGAAAGGCGATGTTTGTCTGCACACGCGCCCAGCCCTGCATGATTTCGCGCGGGGGATCACCAATGACGAACAGTACGGCCCGCTCGTACGAACCCTCGAGCTCGACTTCTTCCTCGACGGATGGCCAGAGCGCTCCATCTCCCGCGCCCCTCGCACCGTCAAAAGCGACACCTCGCCTCAACACCAAAGCCAAAGCCAAGCCCAACAAGCACGGTCAGGCCAGGACGAAATCGAAGGGGCCGAGGCCACGCTCTCCCCTTCCCTCGCGCGCACCGCGCTCACCGCCCTCCACACCGCGACCATCAACTGCGGCCACTCGACCGCCCGTCCGACCCTCATGCCGCCCTCGCTCGCGGTACAGATCGCGGCGCTCGGAGCGGCGCCGTCCCTCACGCGCCTGGTCCTCCTCCGGACGCGCTTCGCGAGCACAGCGGAGGCCGCGCGTGTGCTTTGGGCCTTTCCGCGTGTGCGCACGATCGAGCTGACGTGGGTGCGGGTCGCCCCGGCGGACGCACTGGACGCATGCGCGGAGGTGGAGAACCTGCAAGAGGCCTATCCTGACAGGCTGAAGGGCCTGCGCGAACTCAGGGTGCGTACCCCGATCCCTTCCACAGCAGAATACCGTAGTATGCGCTGACGAACGGATGGCAGATAACCGAGCCGGGAAGCGTCGACGCGATCTTATCCGTCTTTGCGGACGCACCTGCGCTGCTGTACCTGTACATCGCACCCGGACACGACCGCGAGTCCATCGAAGACGCGGAGGACGTCGGCTTCCAACGTACGTCGCCCCCTTCCCACCCCCCTCGTCCCCCCACGCTGACCGACGAGCCCCAGAACTGCGCAAGCTCCCCGCGCTCCGCCACCTCCACCTCGAGCTCACCGCGCCCGAGTACGACGCGTTCTGGGCCGCCGCGCTCGTGCGCGACTACCTGCGCGCCCGCGCCCCGCGCGACCTGCTCACGCTCGAGTTCTCCGGTGACCACGCTGCCCCGCACGTCCTCCGCGACGCCGCGAATTGGGGCCCCGCGTTCGACGACGCGCTCGCGCGGCAGACCCACCCGCCGCGCGTCGTCGAGCTCCTCTACCGCATCGTCGACCTGCTGGACGACGCGCCCCGGCGCGCGCAGGTCATGCGCGAGATCGCGGAGGGGTTCCCGAAGCTCGCCGCGCACGACCGGTGCGAGCTCGTGGTGGACCCAGTGTTTGAGCCGTGGGGGAGCACCGCGGGGAAGCGGAGCGGGAAGCTGCCGGGGCCGGTCGCGCATGGGAACTAGGTACTGGGGGTCGCTGGCTCGGTCCGTTTTGACCTTACGAGTGCTGCACTCCTTTGATTTGGGTGCTTACCGATGCAAAGTTCTCCGCAGTGCGTTTTACGGACGTGCTTCTAGCACGGCGTTCCCGACCGCGTGGACGACCGTTGGCCCCGATAACTCCGGATCCAGCAGCCCTTTCGCGTAACTGCTCGTCTGGATGGCTGGGCCAGCGTCCCATGCATCTCCTCGGAGACCGTCACGCCTCAGGCCTCCGTTTTCCGGTACAATCGGTTTTCGGTTTGCTCTTTGCTTCGATTCATCGTTGCCAACGCGAGCCTGGTGTCACGGAGGGGCTCGCCAGCGGCCCTTAATGCTCACCCTGAGAGCGTGCGGCACACCGCTACGCTGGTAGGCAACATGCAAGTATTGCGCCATCTCCGACTAGAGCCACCAAGCCGCCCGGCTGAGAGCATTCGGAATTCGAGGTGCGCCCCAAGGTGGAAAGCGAGGTTCGCCGCCCACACACCTCGACGACACGCGCACACTCGCGACTAACCCCGCGGACTTCATCTCCAGTCGGCCGGGAATTGCATTCGAGCGTCTCTTGGCGACGCTCGGTGCACCTGTCGGCGATCGAGTCACCCTGCTACTCAGTACCACCATGTCCGCGGCCAAGCGAGAATCCAACTCACCCCCTTAAACCGGCGCCTAAATAGCTCGATTTGGTAGTCTTAGTAATGCAGGTGTTCTTTCGATGGAATCTAACGCCCGAAATGGGCCGAGTACGGAGGAGTGGAGCGAAGAGGTGCGTGATTTGAGGAGGAGGAGGAGTTTACGGGAGCGATAGGCCGTTCTCGCGAGTGGGCCACAGCGCTAGCGCCCTCGCGCACCACCGCGCGACGGGCAGCGCGAGTCCGAGCGCACCGCCGCGAGCACCGCGCGCGCGTGGCGATATACGTGCACCACGGATCTAAACTCCTCGCGCACGACGAGTCTTGTGGAATGGCCTCTGCACCTGGTGCGAGGGTATGTCCAATGTTCAAGTCCTGACAGAAGGTTTGGCATGATCCCTCGCGCGCGAGCACAATGTGCAGTGGGGGTGCACGCAGAGACATCGCCACGACTGCGCGGTGCTCACGGTGGTGCCCAAGACGCTCCTGCGGGAGAACGGCCTATCTATATTGGAACAGTTGTACTTGCGGGGCGGCATGGGATACGCAAATAACTCGGTGGGTTTCGGTCAGCCATAAGTAGGTGGCTATCTGCGTGCGAGGCGCAGAAAGACTCACGTCAGCGGCGGGAGGCATGGCTGCTGGTTCCTGGCCCCACGGCCCGCGTGCGGGTCTGTATGGCGTTGCTACACTCCGATTGCGGGAGTGACAGAATCCTGCAAGTACTGTCACACAATGTAAAAAAAGCGAGTGTAATATGGGACACTGACTCGTTCATCGGACAGCCGGGACATGCCGTGTACTCGCGCGCGGCACACATGAATAAAACGAGGGACAGACAGAACATTCACTTCCGGATGTACAACCAGTGGCAATAATTGAAAAAAAGAAAACGCGTACACCAGGATTCGAACCATGAGCCCACCACAATTCTTACACTGACTACAGCATCATAGACAGCTAGACTACATCGCCATATAACCCAAGGTATTTTAAATACAATATGTAGACAATGCGCACATAAAGAAGCGTCCCGCAACGACAGGAAGCCTTTGGAAGCTGCCGCCGCCGCCGCCACATCGCGCGCCCCATCTTCCTTGCGCCTTTTCCTTTCGGTTGCGTTAAGGGGGTGAGTTGGAATTTCCGGCCAAGCCATGTGCTCGTGCCCGGAGGACTTGGTGATCGAGGCCGGCGAGGCGAATTTCAGAGATGCAGCGGCGCTCCCTCCTCTCGTTTCCGTAAGTAGGACGGCGAGCCATGCGGGTGCGTGGGCTGGCGTGCGCGCGTGGCGTGCTCGCCGTCGAAGCTGCACTCAGTCGCCGCGGCACTGCGCGAAACCTCGCCTCGCCTCGCCGCGGTGTGATGCATCACGCAACGCGCATACGTCCGCATGCACAGATCCTGATTCATTCGCACTAGGGACGCCCGCCCGGAATCGCCGAGCGTCGTTATTGGTTAGCCGTCACTCTCTGCACACCCGCGGCGCCGCGCGCGCGCGCTCGCGAGGGCCAACAAACGGCACCCCGAACGCGCCCCGGCGACAGACACGCGCACGGGCTGTGCGCACACCGTTCTCGCTGCATAGGTCCTGAACTGAATCGGATCTCGACGCGCGGCGCGCGGCGAGATCTCCTGGACGTGGACGTGGACGTACGCACGGCGCGCGAACCTACGTTGATGCTCACGAGCTCGATGCACGCTAGCCGGGCCTCCCGTCGCAATACATGGAGCCCGCGGGCGCGCGGGCGATGACCGTCAGGGATCTCGATCAGGGTGTGCATCGCGCTTCATGTCCGTTGGTGTGGTAGGTGAATCAGGTGTGAGCGTGATTGTGATTAGGGACCGAGAGCGGAGCAAGAGGTGCGGTACTAAGGACATCGTGGAGATACAGAAGGCGAGGCGAGAGAGAAGGCGAGAGGACATAGCGGAGTGGATAATGTTACGATACAGTGCGGCCGGGTCAGGTACAGCAGACGACGCAGCGGGGGACGGAAGGGGTGCGGGAAATGGGAACGGGAACAGGGACGTGCAAGCGGAGAGTTCGGGTCCGGAGAGAGAAGAGACGGCAGGGATGATGATGTAGTATGTACGCTAGTGCGGGAAGGTCCTAGGAGATGGAAGGAGAACAGGCGTCCGTTGGGCGTCGTCCCGGAGCGGAGAAGAGGCAGGCGATAAGTTATTCGTGGACAAGGGCATAGGCCCCGCGGACCGCTGCGGGCACGGTGTCTGCGGTCTGATCCTGATCGTCAGCGGCGGCGCGGTGGAGGCGTCGGACCTCGAATCCAAGCCGCAGCTTCGCCGCGATGGCATGTCGCAGGCGCAGGCACCCCGGGAGAGGGCGGACGACAGCAGAGGCCAAGGGGCGGGAGGATGGGCGAAGCCGCACAGCCTGTCTTGCGGGCCACGTGGAGCCATGTGCGCCGGTGATTGCGTCGGGCGAGGAAGGCTGGCCGGATGGGGGCATCCGTCCAGGGGCGTGTTCCCGGAGCGCGGCGAGCTTCGACTTCGAGCGCGTCACAGGCGCGTCAAGAGGCGAAAGATGCGGTCCGGGAGAGGGGTCCGGCCCTGACGCGGGCGCGGGGAAGGTGGGAACGATGGAGGAATGGTCGGTGACGGCGGCATGCGAGGGTAGCGTAAGAGGATTATGTTCGGTGGCTTGACCGAGATAGTGTAGGCCCTGGATGTCACGGATGTGAATGCAGAGCGTTCAGAAGAAGACGGGGCCCCCGGTGGAGGTCGCGACGGTCTTTATTGTGGTCTGGGAGGACGAGCCCTGGGTGGTGGAAGTGGTGCCCTTGGTGAAGGAGACGAGGGTGGCAGTTGAGGTGGAGGCCATTGCAGTGAAGAGTGTGTGAACGAGGGCGCGGTGGGTAGGATGCTCGTCTGGCTGTGGGCTGCGGGGTAAAGTGAAGACATACCGCGAAGGAGAGATGTCCTTATATACCGGGAGGGACGTGACGCTGCACCGGACACCAATATCTGCTGTGCGAATGTGGCGGTTTCGATGACGGGGGGTGACTCGGCTAAGAAGGTGCTGCTCTGACCTCCAGCCCGGTCCCTGAAAATCCGGACATCCGTGACTTGTCGACAGCACGATGTGAGCGCATCTCGTCACGCTGCCGGAACGCGGTGGGGCGCTTGATGGGGCGGAGGCAGATGCCTTCTGCGGACAAGAGGTGAGCGCGGGAGAGGGTCCGTAAGGGCCAAGATGGGGAACAACTGGCGGGCCGCATACGCGGAGATGGAGTCGCGTTTCAGAAAGAGACTTGAAGTTTACATAACGCGCGTGAGCGGCGGTGAAGAAGCGTTTGGCCAGCAGAGAACGCGGTCTCGAGTGGGGAGACCTGTGCAGGTCCTTGAGGCGAAACATACCGCTGGGGCCGAAAGCCAAGCACAGCCCGCACGGGATCGCGGGAGGCAGAGCGCGATGGAAGGTTCTGACGAGTCAACGCGGGGCGAGGCGAACGTCGAGCACGGAACCGGGAGAGTGGAGGAGTGCGATGACTCGGGCGCAGAATGGGGCACAATTCTGGGGACGCACCTGGGACGGCGGCCGGCTGTTCTGGGCACGGCGCGCAGGCCTCGAGGCTCGAGGACGGGGCAGTGTGCGCGGGGCGTGTGTCGAGCGCAATCCGCTGGTCGATGAACGAGCAGCCGATGGGCGGGCTTCCTCCCGGAGCGCCGATGCGGGAGTGTGGGTTCGGCGCCCCCGCCGCGGCCCAGAAAGGCGCATAAAGCCGGGGAGCGCGACGCGGGGTGGACGGAGGACGGAGGACGGTGCTCCTCGTCGTCTGCCACGAAAACCGAGGACATTCCCCGGCTCCGTCGGACTCTCCCGCCCGGTTCGATCGCAACCGACTCGACTCAAGTCTCGCGTCACGCTCTGCTACTGTCAGCCAACCGATGTCTCTCGCAATCATCTCGTGCTCACCCGGGGTATGTCAGGGTATGTAGGTTTCTCACACTCCGCATTTATCATAAGTTCTTGTCAAGCGGCGACATGGCCGTTACGTCTAAATGGACGAGCATTGGCTCCTCTCATCTCCCGATCTGCGGCTCGTCACGGCCCTGACATGACCGTGTGGGCAGAACGTTGACAGCGATAATGATCTTGCTATTGGTGTTCCCTTGATAGCATTCACTAGCCCGTCGCCGCGGAAGCCATATTTGCCCACACTGCGCCTAGCCTCACCCAGCCATCGGCCCCACCTGCGAATCGCATCCACGCACCCGCACGCGATGCGTCGTACGAGCGAGCCCCGAGGTTGCCGACGAGACTCATGGCCGCTATCTGTTTGTCAAAGGACTTTCAAAATTGAACTACACTCTGCCCTACCCGACATCGCGGACCCGCATGCCACTAGGTCCGTAGCCGAGGCCCAGTAGGCTGAGTCATGCAGGCTACTTTCCCACGGTTTGTACAGTACTCTACCGCCAAGTAGATCTGTCTGTATCCATTCTATCGTCCACTCCATCATGTCCATCGTCGAGCGTCCTCTCGCCTCTATGGCTCTCTTCCTCCACTGCTCGATTCTCAACAGGGCGCACACGAACGGTACGCCACTCCTCCCTGACATGTCCTGTGCTGACGCTCTCAGTAGATTTTCTTGGCTTCGCTAGTTCGCAGGATGGGATCCTGGGATCTGTCCAGACGCTGATACATCACCCTCTGCCGTACGCACCCTGACGCACCGCCCCCGCCCGCTGCAGCACCGTCGGCGCAGTGGTCTGCTGCCCAGCCAGACCGAGGTGCGCGCGCCCGGTGATCGTGGCCGCATTCAAGAATGGGGGTTCAAGGTTGGAAGACCCGCGCGCCTCCCGGCGTGCCCACAGCCGCGGCTCGCTCCACACGATGGTAAGGTTGGCGTCATGCACGGCCTGCCAGTCTCGGCGGCACGTGCCTCTGGCGTCTTCCCAAATTCAACTCCCTGCAGGCGCCGGATAAGTGCGCGCGCGGGAGGTGAACGTGCGTATGACGACCGCCGCGGTCCCCGTGAGGCTCCGGAAATGTGTACAGTAGTGTTGTAATGACTATATGGAAGCCCCTAGGCCCTCGTTATCAAGTGGGCCGCTACTGCAGAGCGGTCGCTGTCGACGTGTGATGATCCCACCACATTCTCCTTGTCACTATCACAATTGCATCGTTTCTGTCCCACCTTTTCCAGATTCTTGCTTGTAGTAGCACATGTTGCTCTTATCCAACCCATTGGACATGTTCTGAGTGCGTGGTGGTGTCTTTGCGCTCAAGCGGGCAATGTGGTCATAGCCTGAATATTCGACAGATTTTGGTGTCATTTTATGCCACAGGCGCTCAATCCTCATCCCACCGACTCTGACGTGAAAAACTCGCCCCCAGAGTATTTTCTCGTAAAATCATCACATAAATTCATGCATAAGTATGTTTCTCACAGATTGATGTGATGAATTTCCGCTACGGACGTTCTGGACATTGTTTTTCAATTTAGAGGATTGGTCGATGGCGTCCCCCGCCAAAAGAGTGGGCGCTTGTCACGTGATGTGGCAGGCCATGCATGACGCCAACCTTAACTGGTTAGAAGTCGGAACCCTGCGCGACGCTCACAATCGCCGGCTGCGGGACACGGCGCCACCTGCGGGCTGCCACGGCCGCTCTCAAAGAAAGCTTCAATTGCAAGCAACCGGCGAGCGGATGTCAGGAGGCCCCTTCTCGCCCCCTGGGGCCTGCGCCCTGCGCGCGCGACGGGACGAAGGTGATGCTTGCCGCAATCACTCAAATCCGTCGCTTCAGAGTTGAGCCTCTTCGCACGGAACGGCGCAAGAGGTCCCAGCCGCGCCCCGCGCTTCTCGGTCACGGCCCACCGTCCGTCCTCCAGGGTCCTTCGCGGAGAGGCTCAGTGACTGTTCGTACCTCTTTCGAGTCCGGTGTGCACTGCCAGCTTCAGGCACCGTGCCCTCGGTGCCTGCCGAAGGCACATGACGGGCTTGCGGTTCGACAGCCCGGTTTGGCGCGCGTTGTACCTGTCGCACCTCACCGAGGGTGAGTATGTTGGCATCTTCATGGAACCGCGGTGGACGGGGTGGACTGACCGCCACACCTGCAGCCAGCTTCAGCGACGGACATCCACACTCGATGTACGGACCCTGGTTTCTGCCATCTCTCCCGTCCGAGGGACTTCGTGTGATAGAATGGTGAGTGTCCAGACTTCGCCCTCAAGTGCACAAAGACGATGATACACGCGCTCAAGTGACCCTCAACCCACGAAGCCGATCACGCAGACCGGGCGGTCAACTTAGACTCGGTGCGGGGCTGCGGTGCGGGCTTCCCTTCCTGCTCATAAGGGGATCCACAGGGCCGGCCAGACGCCATTGCCAAAACGCGGATTCCTAGGACGCCCGGGGTGCCCATACATGGAAGGAAGAAACGAAACGCGACGGCAGCTCGCAGTCGGACGGAAGCACGGGCGGGTGACCTGTGTGGACCTGGGCGGGGATGGCGCGGTCGTGCGCGCTGCGGCGCGCATACCACGAAGCCGCACTTCGCTTCGCGGCGGCTTCGCGTTCATACCGGACATGTGAGGTTGGAAGACGAGCACGCGCCGCCGTGGCTGCCGCAGCGCGCTGGGCGGTGTCCAGTGAGTCGTGACCGGTTCCGACTCACAGTGTTCAAGCGCTCAACCGCACCCTGCTCCTGCCCGCCAGTGACCCTGTAGGGTGGCTTCTCTTTGAAAACCGCGCAGGACATCACCAGGGCCAGTGGGCTAGCTGCCGCGGTCAAAGTGCTCGCCCCCGCACGACGGTCGCCCCGCGCGTACGTACCCGCTCGACAACATACTTTCGCGGATGTCTTGTTCGCGTGCGGCAGGGTTTAATTTGATTTTCGAGGCACCATCGCGAGTGTTGAGGACACCGCGTCGAGGACACTCCGTCGGGCAGAGGTAACGCATGTACGTGAGCGTGGCAACTAATGTAAATGTATAAAGATACGGGCGGCTTGGCGTGGGTGTCGAGTACGGAAGGTCTTAGGTAGGTAGCGATCCAATCCCAGGACGCGGTCCTCAACGAGCTCTGCGACTAGGATACAGTGCGTTCGAACAGTTACGGAGCAGTATACGAGTTATTACGTTACGAGTCGGGTGCAATAGATACCACTCCTTTGAATCCGCGATCCCTCCACTCCGGCCAAGCACGGCGCCCGAGGCGCCGCTGGGCCACCGCGACCTCGACCTCCATCTCCCAGCCCCGCGACGACGTCCGCCCGAGGCGCGAACACGGGGGCGGATTCATTGCGCGCGCGCGGGAGGACCGCCGGGCGGCCCGTGCGGCGCCCGATCGGAAGAACCGCATGTCGCCCGGCGTCCATACCGACCACCGATGGGAGCGCGCCCGCGCCCGTCCGCGTTCTCGTGCGACGCGCGGCCGCAGGTGGGGAGATGGGGGATGGGGATGACGAGGCTCGAGCGAAGTGAATGTGACGTGCGAGAGGCCTAGGCCTGCGGCGGCAGAAGGGCGATCTGCGGGGCCGCGCGCGGGGTGGGGATGCGGCCATGAGAGGGCAGGGGTATAGCGCACGCGCGGTGCTGTCGACGCGTGGCGTGCGTTTCCCGCTGGTGGTGGGTGCGCGACGTGCGCGACTAGAAGAAGACGGGCGCGGACGTCGCCGCGGTCGCGCGGATGACGCCCTGGGTGCCCGTCGCGGGCCGTGGGCGCGCGGAGGACGCGGGCCGCGAGGGGGACGAGGACGGCGAGGGCGAGCCCGGGCGGGCGACGGAGGAGGTGTACTGCGAGAACGCGCTGAGGGAGGCGAAGAGCTGCATGGTCGACGGGTGGCTGGGAGCACGGTGGACGGCGCGGCGGGCTTATATGAGGGTGCACGGGCGGTGGCAGTGGTGTGTGGTTGCAGGCCGGCTAGCGAGTGGAGAGCGGTTGCGATCTGGCCAGCGCGGGCGGCGGTCTTATACGTGCGGTGCGGCGCAGGGACCACCGCGGATAGGAGTTGCAGCCAGCGGCGGCGCCCGCGTGGGCCTCCCCGTCTTGTGTGCGCCCGCCCGCCCGATCTGGCTGCGTGCTTCTGCGTTCTCGTCCTGGCCGCGGGGGAGGAGCGCGGGCGCAGTCCGGGGAACGCGCGCCCGGTCGCGCGCTTCGACTCCGCCGGGCTGCTGCAGCGCCCCGCGAGGCACGCGCGCTCGCGCGAATGATTCCGCGAAAGGCGACTCAACGCACCTCCCGCGCCGTGCGACGCCGCGCCGCCGCGATCCTGAGCGATGCTTAGCCCGCGCGCTCAGCACCTGTGACCTGTGCGCTGTGCGCTGGGCGATCGCGAGGAGGATCTAAATTGCGCGCGCAGGGACGGTCGACGGCGGTGTTCGAGCATTAAGCTGCAGGTTCTGGCAGCTAATTTGATGAGCCGTCTTGGCCGGGCGCGCTTCCTTGATTCATGCGCCTTGGGGGCCTCCTCCCGTCGATATCAGCATCATACACACGTACTCGCGGCGCGCGCATCTGCATCACCAATGACCGCCGCACTTCGTCGGGTGCGGACCCGCCCCGGGATGCCCCCAAGACGCTCCTTCCGACGCTTCGCGCGCAACTCTCCCCAATCGCGGCGCCTCCGTCCCGCGAGGGGCGAGCTTCGAGCGAGCGTTCCCAGCCTGGCCGCCGGGCACATCGCACGCCCGCGTCTTCGTGCGCGGAGGACCGGCGGCGGGCAGAGTTCCTCTACCGCGCCAAGACGCCCGCGAAGAGCGGGCGCCTCGGTGCTGCGGGACGCTCGAGAGTCGGGGTCGAGATCTCTTCCCGATCTGTGCGCAGGGAGAGCCGTTTAAACGAACGAATCGGTCCGTGACGAGCGCGCCGACGTCCACCCGAGGGTCTTTGCAGGTGGGGGTGCTTCTCGGGTCGTGGAGACTCGGAGGATCGCGATCTCTGGAGCGGGCGTACTGCTGGTGACAGAATATGTTCATATGCAAGAGACATAGAACGAAACAATCTCCGCGAGAACTGCGCCATCTATCGCCGGAGGTCCGCAAGAACGAGGAGAACAACCTACAGACCGCCCACAGACCGCCCACAGATGTCGGCATCCGAACTCGCGAAGAGCTTTGAGAACAATGGCGGACGCTGAGCGCCGAAAGGCACCACCCACGTCCAGGCTGTCCTTCTGCCGTGACATCCAAACACACCTCACGCCCCCTCGCCCGCGCCAGACGCAGTTCCATGTCGGACCCCAACGACCGTTCTCGGCCGTTTGTTTCGCGGGGCGTCGATCCCCGGACGTGACACCGCGCACGGGGTGCGCTCGCGTGCCACCGAGCTTGCTGGGAACCGCGACGATGCGGTTCCATACGTCTGCGGAACCCCACGAGCGGCCCTGAGGTGTGAAGGCGCATAAACAACAAGGCAAGAAATGCGTTTTGGGCGAAGCCCGGACCGACGTGCATGCTCGCGTGCGCGTCCATTCACCTCCACGATGAAACGGACGGCCCGGCGGACGCCTGCGAACCCGAAGCCTTTACGGCGGAGATAGAAGGCGTCGCGGTCAGCCGCCGCCGCGGGATGTCTTGTGCTCAGCACTTCAGTGCGTGCCCTGTGTGGATGCCAGTCCACGTGGCCGAGACGAGGAAGGCGGCCGCTGAGCGCTGAGCGGCGGAGCGTCGGAGGGCTGAGCGGAGTGCCATACAGTCGACCCGACGCGGGCCCTGGGGCCTGAGGCCCGGGGCCTAGGTCAGCGACCGAGCAGGACGGGAGCGGTGTGGCGAGGGCCAGGACCCAGGGGGTGTTGGCGGCAGACGGGCTTGAGCTTGATTCTTGAACTCCGCCGGGGCGGCGACCGTCGGGCGCGGTGGATGGCGTGAGCCGGCGCGGGCCCCAGGGACGGGGCGACTTAATGGGACGCGGGGGGCGGCAGTGGGCACCGCGGGGGTGGAGACATGATGTGCCTCCTGCTCACACGGTGCGTGGTGCGAGGCGGTGGACGGAGAGCGGAGGCGATTGTCGATGGGGCGGGTGCCGTTCCTGGCACACACGTCCATCCACGAATCGACAATCACGGGGGCGAGGCGGTGAGGCAGATGTCGGAGGGATGTAAGTCTTGACGTTCTTGACGGGACAGAACCCACGGAGATGGTCGTGTCCTCCCGAGCAAGATCGGCTTGGAATAATCCACGATCATGTGGGAGTCTTGTCTGCGCGTGCAGTTATAAATCAGTCAGGTCTATGATAACAGCAGCCGTCAAGAGATGCGAAATAAATGCATATTCACGTGGTATGCGAGAGTGGTGGTTCGCTTGCGAAACTCTTGCTCGCCTGCACGGCTCTCTTTTGAGCACGTATGTTTCCTGCGCGACGTGCCCATGAGCTCGTGAACCCTTCAAAAGGGCTAGGCTCCTACCGTGCGCGAAACCCAGTCCAAACAAGACTCGACGGCGCACCTTAGGGGTCCAGAAAATTCACCGATCCCGACCGGCGACCCAAGCGACACAGCGCGGACCCGCCCGAGCCCTTGATGAAAGGCGACACAGAGCGGCGTCGACGGGCGGCGGCGAGGAATGGTGGAGGCGGCGCGGGCGAACATGAGCAAGAGGCGGCGGCGTCCGGCGTCTTGACTTGGTCCGGCGAGGCGCGGGTGTGGGGGCTTCGCCCGAGCTTGCGTCGGGAGTGCGCGCACTGCGAGGAGGGGCGCACGTCAGGAGAAAATTGAGTGACGATCCGGACATGCGGGGATGGCGAGATGGCGGGCATCGGCGAGGCCCACTGGCCATTGCCAGCCCCGCGCCCTGCCCTCTCGAGTTATCTTCAGCGGTCGATCGAATGCAGCGACCCTGGCTCCACCATCTTCAATCTCACGGCGCACCTCGTGGGTCGTTTTGTGCCGTGACCTCTGAGCCTGCTCGGCGTCTGCGGAGGGCGAGTGAGGCGAGCGTAAATCAGACCACGCACTACAATGCATGTCCAGGATCGTGTACGGCGAGACTCGCAGTGACGCCGGGCGACCCCGCAACCCTATCTCGCCGCGCGGTGCCAGCATCTTCGCCCAGGGAACTCCGCGAGGGAGATGGACGCTCGCGCGGCGTCGGCGACTGTGGCTCGGCTTCTTTGCCGCCGCAGGTGCCCCATCGAGTGTGCGTGGGGGTCGGGAGGGAAGGAGGATACCGGGATCGGGTGCGAGCGGCCGCGCACGAAGGTTTGGTGTGCCGTTGGGCGATGCTTGCCCGCGCCGCGATGCCGCGAAGGGCGCGTCACTGAATATGGGGGTAGTGAGCCGCGTGTCGGAGGAATGCCCGAGAGAGCTCGTAACGGCCGTGTGAGTGTGTTCGACGAACATCGTAGGAGAGAAGGAGTCGTAAGACACACGTGAGAGCTATCGGGGTGTGGGGTGTCGATGGGGTTGGTCCGAGCCGTTCGGGGTGGACGAGGACGTGAGTTTGTGGCACTGCCCACTACAGAAAACGCTGACGCGTCGCGCGTCAGCCTCGGCATGGTGACCGGGAGGTACGGACGGAGGTAAAGCTTGAGCGGATGATCATGCCACATGTCATGCCATGAGCCACAAGGACAGCTTGCGGGTGGAAGAAAATGAGGGCAGTGGCAGGGAAGCCTCGAAGAACACCACATGGGCGGCTCCGGTGGACCACTGGAGAGCCTCGTCTGAGCGGATCCGTTGCTGTGGACGTTTCCAGGTGAGTCAGAACCTGTGTCGTGGCCTTAGTTGAGCAGGCCCATTTGAAAATGCACCCGCTCACAAAGTCTAGTTCGGGCGCTAGAGTCTGGATCGAAGTTCGAAGTTCGAACCAGTTCTCCTCGCCCAACTGGGGCGCTACGCCCTCTGCCCAATGATCGTCGTGGAACATCCGCTTCATGATAGCAGTCATCAGAAAGTGTTGTTGAAGTTCGGCGCTAGAGACGCAACCTCGGGCCGCTCGCTTAGGTAATTGTGTAGCTGTTGCACCCGCCACCGCCTGTATTGCGTTTGCTCCTATCCACCACCACCTCCCGCGCATCCGCGGTCCGTCCGCCTGTTACCGGTGCCCAGAGGAGCCCAAGCGCGACGCCCTCACCCTCCGACCTGTCCCGATCGCGTCCTATGATCCCGAAATCCTACAAGTGCAGCTTGAAGACTACTGAGAGACATACAGCGATGGATCAAGGACACCAGTGGCAAAGTGGTGGTTGAAGGGCCCTCAGTGCAGTCCGCGTCCGACTGTCACGCGATCAGCCTCAAGGTCCCCACATGTACTGTACCCGGCCTGTGCATAGACCCTAACCTCACAGATATCTCCCTGTCCAGCACTAGTCGAGCCGCTCTCTCTCTACGACACCTTTTGCTCGTACCGGTATGCAATGTTGAATCACACGCACGTTGTCGTGGCTCTGATTCGCATCTTTTCAGCACGTCTACACAACGTCTGGTGGCGACTCGGCTACATCAGATCCATTCCTTGTTGCCGTACTGCGACACGAAAGAGCCGCTCTGCTCTGGCCCGCTTCGGTTCAGCACGTCCAGCACCATCGACACGGCATCTGCTGGCGTCCGCGGGTTCTCGTCGAAGTCCGGCGCAACCCTTTTGAACGTGGCTGCCACCTGCTTGACGGGCTCAGGGATGCTCGCGAAGTCGTCTGGGCATCACCCGTACTGAATCAGCCCCCCGTCTCCCGTCGAACAGAGCGAAGCGGCACGTACTGGGGTCCTCGGTGAAGGTGTTCACGTACCCGGGGCTGATCGAGAGCACGGTGAAGCCTTCGGGCTTGAGCACGACGGCGAACTGGGTGGCGACCATGTTCAGCGCCGCCTTGGACGCGGCGTACGCGATATCCATGCCCAGCTCGATCTCGCGCACGAAGTCGATGTCGGCGAGGGCTGAGGAGATCGCTAGGATCTGCTTCGTCGGATGGTCGACGACTCGGCGAGCGGAGAGGGGGCGTACGCCGGCCACGAGTTCCTCTTCGAGGCTTTGGGGGTCGGGGCTGCTGGTGGACCATGGTAAGCGTGCTGGCTGCTGTGCGCCGTTGTCTCGACATGCGACTCACAACTTGTCCAGGGTCACACCGAAGTGTTGGGAAATCATGAGGGCACCGTTGGGTATGAGGACATCAAGCTTTCCGCTGGTGTGACCTACGACTTCCGTCGCGGCAGCTTGTCATTTTCTGTGAGTGCTGCGAACACGACGAATGCGTTGGTCACTGCTAGCATGCTCGCCTTGAGAGAATCCACGCTGTCGAAGTCGCCCTTGACCGTGAACACGTTCGATCGCGTCGATGCGAGCGAATGCAGTTGGGCCGCAGACTCCGGGGTGCGAACGACGGCGAATACCTTATTGTCGGCATTCTTGCTCTGCAGGTAAACGAAATTGAGCATCTTGGGCTCATATGATATTACCTTTTGACCGGGACGAAATGTGGAATCAGAACTACAGGCACCCAGCCGGACGAAAAGCATGCTTTGTACTAATTTTCGTCTGCATTTCCTCCATGCAGGCATGCTGCCTTGCCCGTCGTGCGTGCGGTGCGGCGCAGGTGCTGCGTGAAGTGGCGGCACCTGCGCACGCGGGGCTCCCCGTCTTGTGTGCGCCCGTCCGCCCGATCTGGCTGCGTGCTTCTGGAGGGGAGTGCGGGGGGAACGCGCGGCCGGTCGCGCGCTTCGACTCCGCCGAGCTGCTGCAGCGCCCCTTCCGCGAAAGGCCAGGACGCACCTCCCGCACCGTGCGACGCCGCACGCCGTGATCCTGAGCGATAGCCCGCGCGCTCAGAACCTGTGACTTGTGTGCTGGGCGATGGGCGATCGCGACGAGGATCTAAATTGCGCGCGCAGGGACGGTGTTGGAGCATTAAGCAGGCCATTTGATGAGCCGTCCCTTGCTTGATTCATGCGCCTTGGGGGCCTCCTCCCGTCGATATCAGCATCATACACACGTACTCGCGGCGCGCGCATCTGCATCACCGGCGACCGCCGCACTTCGTCGGGTGCGGACCCGCCCCGGGATGCCTTCCGAGGCTTCGCGCGCACCACAGCGTCTCCGTCCCGCGAGGACCGCCGCGCTTCGGGCGAGCGTTCCCAGCCTGACCGCCGGGCACAACGCACGCCCGCGTCTTCGTGCGCGGAGGACCGACGGCGGGCAGGGTTCCTCTGCCACGCCAAGACGGCCGCGGAGAGCGGGCGCCTCGGTGCTGCGGGACGCTCGAGGTCGATGGTCAGATCTCTTCCCGATCTGTGCTCAGGGAGAGCCGTTTAAACGAACGAAACGGTCCGTGACGAGCGCGCCGACGTCCACCCGAGGGTCTTTGCAGGTGGGGCTGCTTCTCAGGTCGTGGAGACGAGGATCGCGAGCTCTGGAGCGGACGTGCTGCTGGCAGTGACAGAATACATTCGTTTGCAAGAGACATACAGCGAAACTGTCTCCGCGAGAACGGCGCAGTCTATCACCGGAGGTTCGCAAGGACGAGGAGAGCCACCCGCAGACCGCCCACAGACCGCCCACAGATGTCGGCATCCGAACTCGCGAAGAACCTAGAGAACAATGGCGGACGCTGGCGCTGAGCGCCGAAAGGCACCGCGTCCAGTCCTTCTGCGTCCAGTCCTTCTGCCGCGACATTCATGCGCACCCCTCGTGCTTCCTCGCCCGCGCCAGACCCAGTTCCATGTCGGACGCCACGACTATTCTCGGCTGTGTTTGTCGCGGAGTGTCGATCCCCGCCGCACAGGGTGCGCTCGCGGCCCACTGGGCTTGCAGGGAACCGCGACGATGCGGTTCCATACGTCCGCGGAGCCCATAGGCGCGTCGCCTCGCCATCCCGCGTCGGGCGAGCGACGACCGCCGGCGAGGCCCTGAGGTCTCACAAACAGCAAGGCGAGCAGGGCGCACAGGGATGAAGAAGCCCGGGCCGACGTGCATGCTCGCGCGCGCGTCCATTCACCTCACGATGAAACGGACGGCCCGGCGGACGCCTGCGAACCCGAAGCCTTTACGGCGGAGATAGAAGGCGTCGCGGTCAGCTGCAGCGGCTGCTGCCGCCGCGGGATGTCTTGTGCTCGGTGCTCAGCACTTCAGTGCGTGCCCTGCGTGGATGTTCGCGTGGCCGAGACGAGGAAGGCGGCCGCTGGGCGGCGGAGCGTCGGAGGGCTGAGCGGAGTCCCATACAGTCGACCCGACACGGGCCCTGGGCCCTGGAACCCGGGGCCCAGGCCGGCGATCGAGCAGGACGGGAGCGGTGCGGCGAGGGCCAGGGGGCTCGAAGCGAACTCCGCTGGGGCGGCGACCGTCGAGTGCGGTGGATGGCGTGAGCGAGCGCGGGTACCAGGGACGGGGCGACTTAACGGGATGCGGAGGGCGGGCACCGCGGTGGTGGAGACACGATGTGCCTCCTGCTCACACGGTGCGTGGTGCGAGGCGGTGGACAGAGAGCGGACGCGATTGTCGATGGGGCGGGTGCTGTTCCTGCACACACGTCCATCCACGAATCGACAATCACGGGGGCGGGCAGTGAGGCAGATGTCGGAGGGATGCAGGCTTTGACGTTCTTGACGGGATAGAACCACCGAGATGGTCGTGCTCTCCCGAGCAAGATCGGCTTGGAATAACCCACGATCATGTGGTTCTCTTGTCTGCGCGTGCTGTTGTGTATCAGTCAGGTCTGTGATAGCAGCGAACGTCAAGAGATGCGAAATAAATTTATATTCACGTGGGATGCGAGAGCGGTGGCTCGCTTGCGCCGTTCTCTTTCGAGCACGTATTTTCCCTACATGATGTACACATGAGCTAGTGAACCTTTCCAAAAGGCTAGACTCCTACCGCGCGCGAAGCCCAGTCCAAACAAGACTCAACGGCGCACCTTGGGGGTCCAGAAAATTCACCGATCCTGACCGGCGACTCAAGGGACACAGAGCGGCGTCGACGGGCGGCGGCGAGGAATGGCGGAGGCGGCGCGGGCGAACATGAGCGAGAGGCGGCGGCGTTCGGCGTCTTGACTTGGTCCGGCGAGGCGCGGGTGTGGGCTTTGCCCGAGCTTTGCGTCGGGGGTGCGGGGTGCGCCCAATGCGAGGAGGAGCGCGCTTCGAGAGAAATATGAGCGGCGATCCCAGCATGCGGGGATGGCAAGATGGTGGACACCTGTGTCTTCAGCGGTCGATCGAATGCAGCACCATCTTCAATCTCACGGCGCACCTCGTGGGTCCGAGTTTTGTGGGATGACCGTTGAGCCTCAGTGGGCCTGCTGGCCGTCTGCGGAGGGCCCGGCAAGTGAGACTTGTGCCTGGGATCCCAAATCTGACCACTTACTACTAGATATCCCGCCACGGTTGCGGCGTGACACTCGCCGCGGCTCGCAGCGACGCCGGGCGACTCCCGCAACCCTATCTCGCCGCGCAGCACCAGCACCTTCGCCCACGGAACTCCGCGCGAGATGAACGCTCGCGCGTGGGCGAAGGGCGTCGGCGACTGTGGCTCGGCTTCTTTGCCGCCCCAGGTGCTCCATCGAGGGTGCGTGGGGATGGGATCGGGTACGGGCGGCCGCGCATGAAGGTTTGGTGTGCCGTCGGGCGATGCTTGCCCGCGCCGCAATGCCGCCAAGGGCTGTGTGGATCAGGATGAGCTGCGCGTCGGAGGAATGGGCGTCGGTGGCCTGAGAGTGTTCGTAACGGCCGTGTGAGTGTGTTCGACGAACATAACGGGAGAGAAGGAGTGGCAGGACACACCTGAGAGCCATCTGATGTCGATGTGGTTAGTCCGAGCCGTTCGGGGTGGACGAGGACCTCATTTCGTCGCACTGCCCACAGAAATCGGTAGAGACGCTGGCTCGCCGCGTGCCAGTTTCGGCGTGGTGCCCGGGAACTACGGACGGAGGTGAAGCTTTGAAGGCTGAGCAAATGGTCATACCGCATGTCATACCATGAGCCACACGGACAGATTGCAGGTAGAAGAAAATGGAAGTGGAAGCAGGCAGTGGCAGGACGGGCAGCACCAGTGGACCGCTGAAGAGCGTCTGAGCGGATCCGTTGCTGTGGCCGTTTCCAGGGAAGTCGCAATTTTAGACTTGTGCTTTTTGGCACCCAATGAGTCAGAGTCTGTGTCAGAGCAGGCAGGCCCCTTTGAAAATGCAGTCACTCACGTGTGCTTTGATCCTTCTCGGGCGGGAGCAACAGCGGGGAGCGACCGTTGCGCTCGTTTGCGCGCTGCGTCCAGTTCGGGCGCTCGAATATGAATCGAACCGGTTCTTCTCGCCCAACTGGGGCGCTCATCGCTTGCGCGTTTTGTGCGACTCTGCCTCTCCCTCCACGCTTCCGCAAATGAAAATAGCCACAAGTTGCTTACGGACCCAGGCACGTCCACCGACTGAGCTTCGGCTCGTATCACGACACGAGCCAACTATCAAGCGCGTCCAGTGAGTCCCTGTCTGCGCTTCCTCCGCGGCTTTCGTTGATGGCGGGTCTCCAAGGCGCGCCCAGTCCGAAACGCTTCGTCAAATCTTCGTTTCGCCGCGCGGCGCCGGTTAGCTCTCGTATAGCAAGCTACGGGCTGGGGGGCATCTGGTGAGTCGCCCTTATGGAGCAAATCAAACGTGTCGTATGGGCGTTCAAGACGCTCGGTGCCGGCGGGGCTGTATGCGCAGCCCCAGGGGCATGGGGCAGGGACGTGGTTGGTGACACTGGCAGACGGGGCATATCGCCGAGTTCATTATGGGCTGCACAGCGTCGTCGGCCTCGTGCAGGTCCAGCTTTCGCCGCCACGCCCTCCGTCCGATCGGAAGGAACGGGCTGGGGTAGGCTCGGACTCGCAGAGGACGCCTTGGAGGCGTGCAGCGTACAGGACCGCTTGGCGTGCGTCCTCTGCGAGATTGGCGCGGGGATTGTCAATGGCATCGGACAATGCGGGGGGCGTATCGCCTCGCGGCCCTGGCGAGTGCCGCTCTGGTGGGCCGAGTGGGCAGAGGTGGGCAGCTGGGAGCAGACAGACGCAGACAGCGGGCACGGGCGCCTGCCACGCTCCCGACAGCCATCGCGCGGCCCTGCGCAGGCGTCTGTGCCCGGCTTCGATTGACGTTGATTGCGCGGATACCTGTGCGGGACAGGGCCCTCGCCGGTGACATGTCCCCCGGCCGCGCTCCCCCTCTATAAAGCCACCCGCCATCTCGACATTCGCTCCCCCACCGCAGCCGGCTCGAGCCCCTCCGCCGTCGCCCACCAGGCCGTCTCTCCCTCTCTCACCTCATAACTTATCCCGACTATCTTATTCCGACGCGCCTCGTCCTCTCGAACACCCCCGCACCCCCTCGCCAAAACCGAAGACTACCATGTTTGCCACCATGTTCTCCACCCCCACGTCCTTCACCCAGCCCACGAAGCCCTCGAAGCCCACGTCGTCGCAGACGTCCATTCGCACCAGCGCAAGCACTGTCGGCGCCGTCTTCTTCTGAGCGCGCCGCCGTAGCCCTCGCGCGTGCCGCCCGCCCTCGCGCAGGCCGCCGCCGCTCACCACCATTCGCCCGTTGCGCCGCGCCCATCACCTGCCACTGCAACCGCGACCGCGGCCAGCCACCCATCCCCGCCTCGCGCGCGCGCGAATCTCCCGCGCCGAGCGCCGAGCAAACCCACTCGCTTCCTTCCTCGCCCCCCGTCCACATCCCCGCATCATATTCCACCCAAACGGCGTCCTGACGCGCCCTAATCAATTAATCACCCCCGGAGGCGGCCTGACCAACCCCCCGCCAGCACCGTTACTCTACCCCAGCACCCCTTATCATACGTAGTCCCTTAGTCCGCCGAGGTCTCTCTAGGTCTTGCGCGCCCACTCTACTGTATTTATCCCTTCCCCGAGCCTGACGCGTCGCCGCATGATGGCGTTTGGCTTTAGCATACTGTACTCCGCCCCTCTCCGAACCACTGTAGTCTCCCCGCCGCGCTTCTGCTCTGCGCTGCTCTGTAATTGTGCGCCGTCGTCGAAGTACGGGTCCGGTGCCTGTAATGTGCTACCGTAATTCTGCATGCCTACGTGGAACTTATTCAGTGAATTTGCCTTGACTTGCCGCCCATGCGTGCGAGATGATGCTGCCCGGAGCAAGTACTAGCCAATCTGAGCGCAGTTTGTCCCAGGCGAAAATCCTCCAAGCGCAGGGTTCGAACGTGCGGCCCGCCACCCTGACCAGGAGGGCGCCTCTGGACTGGGAACCTTGCCCGACTCCGGAATCCCGGTTCGTCACTGAAATCCTGCTAGATCTATCCTACATTGAGTTCAATAAAGCTCTATACCAAGTCTGGGAAGCTTCTGATTCATTTGGAGTGGGCAAACTCGGGCAGATGTCGCCGATTCATCAGAGAGCCTGTGGGGAGCCTACAACGAGTAAGTGCTACTTGTCCATGTTCGCGTTCCTCCTCCTCTAGGTCCTCCTGAGCGGCAAACCCTGCAAACCTACGTACTGTCTCGAAGTTCCCTCCCAGACCAGACTCCGCCTCTGTCTCGGACACTCCAACCCAGCCCTACGCCTCATGGAACGACCAGTCCGGCCACGCCCGCGGGCCATCAACGTCAGCGTCGACGTCGACCCCGACCCCGTCCCCGACCCCCGCCTCCGCGCCCCCAAACGCCGCGCGCGTCCACGCCCGCGGCAGCGGCGCCCCGCGCACGTGCTGCACGAGCAGCTCCGCGACGCCCGCGACGCCCGCGAGCGCGGCGGCCTGCGGCGCGAACGCAGGCGGGACCTGCACGGCGACGCGCGGGGGCCGCCGCGCGCCTCCGCGAGCTTGCGCACCCAGAGGAGCGTCGAGCGCGCCTCGAGGTCGTCGAAGCACGCGACGGCGAGCACGGCGAGGTGCGGGCACACGCGCGGGGAGGAAGAGGAGGAGGAGGAGGAGGAGGAGGAAGAGCGGGAGGAAGAGGAGAGGGCGAGGGCGTCGGCGAGGGCGTACGCGCGCGAGCGGTCGGGGACGTCGGCGTGGAGGAGCGCGAGGCGCGGGAGGAGGCGGAGGAGCGCGGCGGAGGCGACGGCGGAGACGGCGGGGCCGGCGACGAGCAGCGCGGTGACGGACGCGAAGCGCGGGGTGGCGAGCGCGGGGAGGAGCGCGGCGCTCAGGTCGGACGCGGGCGCGGAGGCGGGCATCGCGACGCTGAGGAAGAGCGCGCCGCCGGGGTCCGCGGCGGACGGTGGGGACGCGGAGGGGGAGGGGTAGGGCCCGGGCGCGGCGAGCTCGATGTCGTACAGCGCGATGAGGCTGCGCGTGAGCGGGCTCGTGGCCGGCTCGGAGATGCGGAGCTTCGTGCGCTGCGGGAGCGCGGGGTCGTGGCAGAGCGGGAGGGTGGGGATGTCGGCGAGGGAGGGGTGGGAGAAGTGCCCGATGTGGATGAGGGCGCGCGGGGACGGCTCGAGCCGTGCGAGGATCGCCGTGGGGCTCTGCACGTCCAGCGAGAGGCGGCGGAGATGGGGGAGGGAGACGTTGGTTCTCGGGCTGTGGCCTTCGATCATGTCCCTCGTCGAGTGGATGAGGACTTCTTCGAGGAGCGGACAGCGCTGAAGGAGCCCGAGGATCTGGCCACGATCGGGGTCGATGATTCTGTCTAGTAGGAGATGGGTGAGGTTTGGAAGGTGGTCGGTCGGGGTCATCCTGGAGTTGTAGATGGAGAGCCGCCGGAGGCGTTGTCCTTGTCCAGAGAACAGGTGCTGACCCATATCGAGAGAAGCTGTTCTAGGCCAGCTGTAAAAGTTGAGAGTGCAGGAGATAAGCTCCGAGGCCACCATGGAGAGGAGCTGCCGAGGATCCCATCGCCGAGTCCAAGAGGTGGTATCCGCGATATTGTCGGTCATAAGTAGGTGTTGGATCCGACTCGGGTTTCCCGCGAAGAGCACTGAGGCCTCTTCTACGTGGTCGTGGACCATCACCCGAAGCGGAAAGCTGCGCGATAGATGCAGATACCGTGAAGGCGAAGTGTGCTCCCGGCCTCCGCACAAGACGCCGCTCCAGAGACATGCAGCGGAACGTGCGACGGAGCGCCAGTGCTTGCAGACAAGAGTCAAGCGTGCGGAGCGACGGGGAGAGGTAATCGAGAATCTGCGACTCGCGAAATCGCTGAGGGGTTTGTCTTCCGTGGCGGCGAGCAAAAAAATGAAGGACAGCAATTCGGGAGGAAGGCCATTGATCGGAGCCGCGGCATTCAGAACAGATGATACGGCCGAAGAAGCGTCATTCAACGCTACTCTTAGCAGGCGCAGCTGGGAGACTGGGGTCAGTTCTTGCAGACCATGCATGCTGGTGACTTACCGTTGTGGTATAATCACGGTCCATTCTGCGCCGGATCGTCAGCGAGTCTGCGACACGTTACTATGCAAAACGTACTTTACGGCAGCCAGTCCGCACGTCAAGATATCATCCTTGATACTCCGCACGGTTCCCAGAAGACCTGTTGCATCCCAAGAATCCATGTCCGACGTCTGCGCAGATTGCTTTGGCAAGCGATCGTTGTGTAACATTATCATACACTGGTCATCATCAGAAAGTGCAGCTTAAAGACTACTGAGAGACATACGGCGATGGATCAAGGACAGCAGTGGCACTGCCAGCAACGTCGTGGTTGAAGGGCACCCAGCGCAGTCCGCGTCTGACTCTCACGCGAGCAGCCTCGAGGCCTGCACAGACCCTAACCTCAAGGAGATCTCCATGCCCAGCAAATCCACGGGTCGGACCCTACGGTTCCCAAAACTCTCAGAGAATCAGGCCGAGAGCCAGCTTCTACATACGCGGCAAAGTGCAAAACGCATGAGTCGTCGTCAACACAAAAGTCATGTACCCGGAGAAGACCAATTTTAGTTCTTCTTTTTCGCCCAGCGTTGTGGTATTTGTTTTCTCAGATTCCGACTCCATGGAGCTCATAACCGACGTATCCTCGCTCATGGACCATCTCTGCTGATCCTTCCCAAAATACGGTCGCTTGAAGCTCGAGTTCAACAGGCCCGCCCCTACCGCCCAAACCGTGGATTTCCTTTCCATGGACTCAAATCCCGGCTTCGGGTTGCTGGTGCTGCCGAGAGCGGACATGTTCGCGTGTTTTCGAGATCGGCTCGAGAGAACATTACGGGGGAGCATACCCCCTTCTTGAAGCCTCGGTCAGAGCAGGCGTCAGATGCTGCAGCTGATACATTGGTTTGCAATCGACTTATGAGAGTTCGAACCTCTAATGACATGCTCGTGCGACCTTCGCACAACTACACCCACTCCTTGTTGCCGTGGTGGGACAAGTATGACCCGCTCTGCTCCGGCCCGACCGAGCTCAGCACCTCGAGCACGTTCGAAACCGCACCCGCAGGCGTCAACGGCTTTCCGTCCCAGTCCGGCGCAGCCTTCTTGAACGTCGCCGCCAGCGACTGGATGAGCTGCGGGATGCTCGCGAAGTCGTCTGGACGATCCGAGGACAGGGTCAGCTGCGCTTCCGCGCGCCGAAGGACAGAGACACGCACTGGGGTCCTCGGTGAAGGTGTTCACGTATCCAGGGCTGACGGACAGCACCGTGAAGCCCTCCGGCCTGAGCGCGACGGCGAACTGGGTGACGACCATGTTCATCGCCGCCTTGGAGACCGTGTAGGTGGTGTTCGAGGGGAAGTCGACCGTGCGCACGAAGTCGACGTCGGCCGCGGCGGTGGACATGGCGAGGATCGTCTTCTTCGCGCCCGCGCGGAGCAGGGGGAGGAACGCGTTGATGGCGTGCGCGGAGCCGACGGCGTTGCTGCGGAACTAGAGCACGCGTCAGCGGGAGTCCACCTGAGAGAGGATGAGAGGAAGGCGCACCCCAGCGGTCAGGTCCGCCTCGAGGGTCTGCGGGTCGGGGCTGTGGGTCGAGGATCAATGCATGGCGCTGACAACTGGCTCGAATGAATCACTCACAACTTGTCAAGGGTGAGACCCGAGTACTGCGATCCCATGAGGGCGCCGTTCAAAATCAGCACGTCGAGCTTCCCGCTTGTGACGCTTGCTATGTCGCTCGCAGCAGCCTTTCAATGTAGTGAGCTCCAGGCTGCGATAAAAAGGCTGAATTCCCACCTTCAGAGAATCTACGCTGTCAAGATCGCCCTTGACAATACGCACATTGGGCTGGGACGAAGCGAAATGTTGCAGCTTGGTCGCACTATCAGGGTTGCGGACGACAGCGAACACGGTGTTGTCGTTAGTTTTGCTCTACCAATGTTAGCTATAAGCGGCGTGAAGGGCATGAATAGTGACAGAAACGAACCAATATCTTGACAAACTCGAGCTAAGGAGGGTGATCAGCGGGTTTGTTATGACGCAGAGATCGATCGTACTCACACCCATGCCCCGGGAGGCTCCGATTATAGCGTAGGAAGGCATTTTGTGAAGTGCTCGGCCGAGAGATATGGAGCGAGGAAGTGTGAATCGGGTCGACAGTGAGTTGGGGCTCGTTCAGGGCATAACTGGCTGTATAAATACTGTCTTTTTCGCGGCGTAAGGCGGCGTGCGCTCACGCACAGCGACGAACGCACCCGAAGTGGTGCCTCGGAACATGCGATTGCATGCCCGAGGTTGCTGACGAATCCATGATGGTCGTTGAACGGTGCTCTTGGCTGCCATATTTGAGCCATAAATTCCATGAACATCAGTATCACGGGTTGTGAAGAAGGCTCGGTCAGCAAATCTTCAGCTTGTTGGAGTCGGAGATAGTCGGCAGTGACATGGCCCAGGCTGGAAACGCAGGCATGGACAGGGGTCTTGCTGACCAGTACACCGACACGTCAGCCATTACGAAGGGGAAGTCAAAATGATGCCATGATGCAGCGTGGTCAAAATCAAGATGAAAGACAAATCGGTTCTTATTCTGAAGTAGCGTTGAGTACACTCACCGGAGACGAAGGTTACGTTCATCCCACGTGGACAGCCGGAATGAAAATGTTGAGAATGAGGGTTCCACGTAGTGCCAGATTGGGAGACCACATTTTCCCCCGGTTGAAGGAGTGCGATTTGGGAGGTGGCGAGCTTGAGGAAGACGTGCTGGCAGTACAAAGAGTCGACGGACGCGTACCACTGCGAGCAGGTGAGACCGACTGCAAGGACGTTTGTACGGAGGCGCACATAGACTTCTTTGAGGTCATCCAAGACGACGTGGTCGATCTAGGGTACTCGAGGTGGTTGTCAGCTGCAGCAAATTCATTCGCTCAACATCAACATATATATAGTGACTGTTACCCAGCGCACGACCCTGTGACGTCACGCGTACTTTCAGCGCTAGCGCTTATACGTGTCGCGCATCTCCAATTAATCCTGCTTCGTGCTATATACACTACGACCACATCCAGACCAAGTGCTTTCCAAACGTGTGCGGTAAGTTTCACTCCTCTCGCATATCAACCGATCCACAATACTGAATATTGAATCCTATGCACGTAGCGTTCGCCGCTCTAATTCGCGTCTTGCCAGGACGCCTTCCGGTGGCTACTCGGCTAATACATCAGACCCATTCCTTGTTGCCGTACTGGGACAGGAAAGAGCCGCTTTGCTCTGGCCCGCTCCTGTTCAGCACGTCCAGCACCATCGACACGGCAACCGCGGGCGTCCGCGGGTTCCCGTCGAAGCCCGGCGACACCTTCTTGAATGTGGCCGTCAGCTGCTTAACGGGCTCAGGGATGCTCGCGAAGTCGTCTAGGCATCACCCGCACTGGATCAGCTCCCCGTCTCCCGTCGAACAGAGCGAAGCGGCACGTACTGGGGTCCTCGGTGAAGGTGTTCACGTACCCGGGGCTGATCGAGAGCACAGTGAAGCCTTCGGGTTGAGCACGACGGCGAACTGGGTGGCGACCATGTTCAGCGCCGCCTTGGACGCGGTGTACGCCGTGTTCGTGCCCACTTCGGTCCCGCGCACGAAGTCGATGTCGCCGACACAGGAGGAGATCGCGAGGATCTGCTTCTTCGTGCCCGCGCGGAGCAGAGGCAGGAAGGCGTTGATGGCGTGCGCGGCGCCGACGGTGTTGCTGCGGAACTGGGGTGAGGCGTCAGACTCGAGGATGGGCGACGGCTAGGCGGCGGGAAGGGGACGTACGCCGGCCACGAGGTCCTCTTCAAGGGTCTGGGGGTCGGGGCTGTTGATGAACCGTGGTGAGCGTGCTGACTACTGCGTGCCGTTATCTCGACGTGCGACTCACAACTTATCCAGGGTCAGACCGGCGTATTGTGAGGCCATACGGACACCGTTGAGTATGAGGACATCAAGCTTTCCGCCAGTGTTGCCTGCGACTTCCGTGGCGGCAGCCTGCCATTGTCTGTGAGCGTGACGAACACGACGACTAATGGCATGCTCACCTTGAGAGATTCCACAAAGTCGAGGTCGCCCTTGACCGTGAACACATTCGATCGCTTCGACGCGAGCGAATGCAGCTGGGTCGCAGACTCTGGGGTGCGAACAACGGCGAACACTTTGTTGTCGGCTTTCTTGCTCTACAGGTGAACAGAAGTGAGCATCGAGGGCTTGGCTGGCAGAAACACACATACCAATGTGTTGACGAACTCGAGCTAGATGGTTCGTCAGCAAGGCTCTCAAAGGGGGAGTGGAGTATCGGAGCCACTCACTCCTATTCCACGGGACGCTCCAAGAACTAGATAAGAAGACATTGAGAAGGCGTAGAGATTCAATGTGAGGGGCAAAACTGGGTAGTCGAACGATGCGATGGGCTGTTGCTGACCTCACGCAGCGTTGGCCATATAAATACCCGCCGTTGGCCACGAGTACTCGCAAGTCCCGATGACGAGGCGCTCATGGATTATGGATTGCTGAGGTATGCCCTTGATGCGCTGTCATCGGGAAATAACCACAGGACTCAGCTATTTCATTTAAACACGGCACCTCACACGCCGCCATCGGAGGCGGAGCTTAGACACGTGAGATGGATTGGTACACTCCGTATCCAGTACGAAGTAAGGACTACAGTAGTAGACACATTATGCTACACGGAACCTGAACACCGAAACGAATTTCTTCCAAATCGACGGCCGGCACGTCCCCGTGCTCCCCCTCTTCAAGCCCGCCGAGCACGAGTGCTCGACCTGCTCCGCAACTGGCCCGTACGAGCACTCCGACGTTTCCGACACTGGCGCCGACGACGAGCCCGACGACTGCCACTCCCTCTCCCGTACCGCGACAGCGTGCTGCGCCAGCACAGCAGCCTCCACCGCGGAAGGAGCAGCCTTCCCCGACGTCGTGCTGACAGGGTTCCTCTCCGGGCACGCGGCCTCCACCGACCAACACTTCTGTTGCGTCACGCACGGCACGACGCGCCTCGCCGTGTCCCACGTGAATTGCACGACAGGACCAGCGTCCGCGAGCTCTTCTTCGTTCATCCAGAACCTCTCCATCCTCTCGACCGCGCCTCTGATCTCCTCGAGTGTCACTTGTTGTGGAGCCCGCTTGGTGTACGGGCGGACGAGGAGGATGCGGCGGAGGAGCGCATCGAGCGCTGTCGAGATCGGAAGGAAAGTCCGCAGCGCGGCGGGGTCCGCGGCGTACGCACGGAAGCGGTCGCTCGTGCGTGTGGAGGCCTCTTCCCAGGGGCGGAGGCCGCAGGTGAGTTCGATGAGGATAATCCCGAGTGCCCAGATGTCGTTCCGGCGGGTATCGTACGGGAGTTGCGTCTCCTCGTCTTCGTCGTTCGCGCTTCCTAGTGCTTCTGCGTAGGTGGGAAAAGTCAGAGCACGTCCTGCGCACGGACTGGGCGAGGGAGACCGACCTGGACACATGTAGCACGGCGTCCCGGCACCATAGTCACAGCTCCAGTCCTCGGTCGTCGCGAGCCCAAAGTCCGCGACGCAGACACGGCCGAGCTTCTCGTCGATGAGGATGTTGGCGAGCTTGAGGTCGCGGTGGAAGACGCCAGCGTCGTGGCACGCGGCCACTCCGTCGAGAATGCCGAGAAAGATGCGCTTGACGGTCGCGACGTCGCCCGCCAGGGGCACAGCCTTGTTCCAGACGTATGTGTGCAGGTCGCCCGCGTCGAAGAGGTCGGTGACGATGTAGGTGTACTCGGCGTCCTCGAAGACGTCGTAGACATCGGCGACATTCGGGTGGCCTGCTGCGAGGGACTGAAGCTCAGCTTCGGTCGTCTGTGGATTTGAGGCTTTAGCGTGGTATTCAAGGATAGCGAGAGGGGCGGACGAGCACTTACGTCGCAGTCTGAGTGGGAATACATAATTTTGATGGCGCGTGGGATGGGGTTGGGAGAGGTGGAAGAGTGCTCTCGAGCACTGAAGACGACACCCTCAGCGCCCGACCCGAGGCGGTTGAGGAGCTCGTAGCGTCCATCGGCGAGGAACCGGCCTGCGAAGGAAGAGTCCGTGAAGGGCATGATAAATGATGTAGAGGGAAGAGAGCGGTGGTGAAGGGGGTAAGGTCCTCGCAAACACACGGCCTGTATTTAAACCATGGTGCGATAGGAGGCGGGGCTGCGGAAATCGGGAGTCAGAACCAAGGAGGTCGGATACATAAAGAATCCGCGTCGGTTACAGCAGAGGCCAGACTGAACTGAAACCAAGGGATGAAGCGGAGGTAATGCACGGCACCGGCCATCCGTTCGAGCCAGGACTGGTAGATGGCACGACCCGCAACCTGTCGTGGGCTGTAGCGTACGCGGATCGGAACCATACTGACTGCGAAACGGTGTAGCGGCGGAAGCTAATAAATAAAATTCTTGCAGAGGGAACCCTAGTATGAGCAAAGATGCGCTCACCACATTCTCACTTCTCATTGTCGACGGTCAATGCGCGATAGTGCCTTTGGCGAAAGCTACTATAGTTGGGCGCCTTCAATCGGCGGCTGACGCTGGCTAGAGTTCCAAACGGCGATCAACGAGTCGATTCGAATTTCGAGAAGACGGCTTGACTCTTACCGAACCTCCACATATCGATTTTGTTACCATCTGTAGTCATCTGTCGTGAGCTAGACCCATGCTTCCAAGCGCCCAGGATAGCACTGACTGCCACTCCGGGCGAGGAGAGGGGATTCGGCGCGCCGGTGGAGCCGTACGGCGAGGAGAAAGGCTCTCACTTGATGTTGGGAGAGGGCGTATGGGAAGAAGAAAAGAACCCCGTCCGTAGCGTACTCGCCGGTGGGCGTGAAATGTTCGGCTGTGGCCGCGTGTGCAAGACCACACCCTACTGCGACTGAATACCTGGGCATGAGAGATGATGACCTCGGCTTCAACCAACGATATTTGCAAGAAGGTCGGCGACTCACCTTACTCCACGCTCCACCCTTCGACATCCAGCCCAACTCGTGCTCTCACCAGTGACACCCGAACATCTTCTCGCGAGGGTTGGGGTTTAGCGGTCAGTGAATGGCGCGCTTCACATCAAAACACCGTGTTGCGAGCATCAGACAACATGACGAACTCTAGTCGCTCTAGGATATACTCCGCCTTCGACGCCATCGCTTATTTACCTCACCCCCTTCTCGTTTACCGAGCCGTCGATGTTGGGCAAAGGCCCGACGAACCACCTGCGCGCAGACAAGACCCACGACGCGGACGCGAAGATGAAGACCGCAAGGACGATGACCGACGCGTAGTCTGTCGCGGCGAGTGCAGGCGTCACGAAACGGCGAGGGAAGGCGACAGAGCACGTCACTCACTCATCTCCACCGCGGTCGTGCGCTGGCTGACGGGAAAGCAGAGCACGACGACGACGAACGCGACCCAGGTCACCGCGACGGCGCCGACGGCGGTGGACCATTTTCCGAGCGTGAACGGCCCGGGCACAAGCCTGTCGCGCCCGGACGTGATCCTGAGGAAGATCGGGATCGCGTAGGACGTGTAGAGGCCGACGACGGAGGCGCTGTGAGCACGCGCGTGAGCCGCATGAGCGCACGCCGACGACGGCAGGGCGTACCCGGCGAGGGACGAGAATGCGGTCGCGGAGAAGCCGAGGAGGCCGCAGAGCGCGGAGATGCCCATGACGAGCCAGACCGCGTTCACGGGCGTGCGCGTGTGGCGGTTCATCCGGCGCCACCAGCGCGAGCCGGGGAGCGCGCGGTCGCGCGCGAACGCGAAGACGACGCGGGACGCGTCTACGCCCTGCGCCGCGCCGCACAGGAACTGGGCGTTGTACTGGCTGTGAGGAAGCGGGACATCGCGACGAGGGCCGGGACACGGACCTGCGCTATGATCGTGAAGCTCCAGATGGCGAGCATGCCGCGTTTGCCAAGGACATCGAGCAGGAGCTGGCCCATCGGAAGCGCGAGGTCGGTTTCGAGCAGCGTGGGGACCGAGGCGGTGGCGAAGGATGCGGCGATGGCGAGGATCCAGCCCATGCCGCCGACCGCGGCAACGGAGACGAGGATCGCGATAGGAGCCGCGCGCGCGGCACCGGAGGTCTCCTCCGAGATGTGCGCTGCGGAGTCGTCTATTAGGATGAGAGGATGAGCGCCCCGGAGGATCTTCTTGTGCGAACAGCGGTACATACAGCCCGTGAGGGACCACATAGGCGCGGCGAAGGAAAGGATGAACGCCCATCCGTCGTTGGACCAGCCGGTGTTGTTCTCGAAGAGGGTGAATGCTGTCTTCGTGGACACTTTCCCATCGCCCGATGCAACGAGGAGAGAAATGACCGCCGCGACTGTCGCCCCCGCAGTAAGGATGCCGTAGAAGAGGTTCATGCGCGCAAGGATTCGCGTGGCCGCGGAGCAAATCACCCCGTGGACAACGAGAATGGCGATGAGTATACCGTATGTGGGCCCGGCGCCCAAAACGACCGTGCCATCGGTGGCAACAGCCACGGCGGTGGTGATCATCTGCGCACTGACATATCATCAGCATAAATGAAGTGGGTATTGGTCTCAACGTACACAGTGTAGTCGATGGAGCACACAAGAGTCACTTGGCCTGTGACATTGGCCCATCCGGTAATCCAGCTCGCAAGAGCCGAGTACCGCTCAGGCGCGAGCTTTGCAGAGAAATAATACAATCCTGCGCTGGTACTGGGGGAGGTAATGAAAATGAGTGGTGGATTTGGGCAAGTTTCCAAAACTCACGGCATGGACGAAGCGAGTTCTGCCATTGAGGCAGCAATACACATGATGAAGAGACATGGGATACCCCAGCCCCAGATCATCCCTACGTGGCCGCCTGTATTTTCTCGGGCTCAGAACGGGCGTCAGTGGGATAAGGAACACAAGTACCTGATAAGAGTCCGAAAGACAAGGTCGACGACACACCGCCAATGACAGCCATAATGGAAAATGCAAATGCCACGGTCTCAATGGTCTAAACATCCGTCAGCTTCGTCGACGCAGTGGATACGAGATGATCGATGACATACGGAAAACTCTCGCTTGAACTCGCCCTTGTATCCGAGCTCTGCTAGTCGAACGTCGTCGATATTGCCAGGAACCACAGACGTGGAAATAGACTTCTCATCCGAAGAGGCTTCATCCTTGCGACCGGCATTGCACTGCGGGCCAGCCTCCATGACAGTTCTTGAGTGCTGGTGGTATATGCGAAGCAGAACACCCACCACGCCGTTGTCTCAGGGCTGTAATACACAGAGCAAGTCGGATGTGTGAACTGTGGGCAGCGCGCTCACACGCTCGCTGATATTGAACGTTGAGGGCGCTTGGGCGAGACCGCTCAGACAAGAATCACGTACGCGGGTTCCACGTGCCAACCAAGCTCCGGCGAGTGGTGAGAAGCGTTGGACGAAGCGGGGATGGGGGGACGCTGGTGAGCGTCAGCGACGACAGCGTGCCGCGCGCGGGAGGCCGCATGTGCTGTTATGTATCTGATCAGCATGCTCTTATGATGCAGATTAACGACATACCTTGCCAAAGCCAGGGCACGAATGTGTGGCACATGTCGATCCAGAGCGGAATACGTTTTAGTGAGCTGAATGAGAAGGGGAACTTCGTCGACAGGGTTGTGCATGCGCAAGACCGCATCGGTCTCCTAGGGGTCCGACCCCCGTTCCTGTTGCTGCATTCCATACCGACTGGCCCGTGTCTGACGACCGCATCTTCGACACCGAAGGCGTGCGGTCGTTGGAGAGCGGCTCAGGGAGCGCCCAAGGGACTCGCAGCACCCCGGACAGCGCACGGCCCCCGACGTCATGCAAGCGTCCGTTGTTGACTGCATATATAAGAACGGCGCCGGAGTGGACTGCTCGCACTCCCTCCGCTCTCTCCTTCTCCCCAGACCCTCCGCTCGCTCTTCTCGCATCGTATTTATACCATGCTCCCTTCCGCCGCGTCCAGTCGCAGACCGTCCCCGCTGCGCCCCGGAGGCTCCCACTATGACCCCGTTACGCCCATGGACGACGAGGTGCACCCCGTCATCCACGAGGGCCGTGTCGCCGTTATCACCGGCGCTGCAAACGGTATCGGCCGCGCTGCTGCTGTCGAGCTTGCAAAGTGCGTGTCCCGCTGCCGCCGCGACTCCACCCTCGCTCACGCTCGTCCAGGATCGGGCTCAAGATCGCGATTGCGGACATCGACGAGGTCAAGCTTGAGGAAACCGCGAAGCTTGTGCGCGAGATCGTTGGCGACGCGAACCTGATCACCCTCCCGACGGACGTGACCAAAATCGACCAGGTCCAGCGGTTGCGCGACAGGGTGATCGAGGCTTGGGGCGAGGTGAGCATGCACCCTTCTGAACCCGCTTGCGCCAGTCGTTCCCGCCCTGCCTGCCGCGCCCGCCGCCCCGCATTGCGTGCGGCGCGGTCTCGGCGGGGGGCGGCGGTACCTCACACCGCCCTGTTTGCGTCTGTTCCCTCAGGTCGGGCTGCTCTTGAACAACGCCGCCATCGGGCTCAAGGGCACGTCCTGGGACGGGTTGGATAAGTGGCACACCCTCTTCGAGATCAACTTGTTTGGGTGAGTAGCGTCTACTGCCGCGGCGAGGGTGCTCGCGCGTCCACTGAGTCTGTTTGCTGATGTGGTGTATTATCCTCTCGCACGCGTACAGAGTGCTCAACGTCCAGCACACGTTCGTTCCGAACATGCTGCACCAAGAAAACCCTGCCGTGATCATCAACACGGGGTCAAAGCAGGGCATAACAAACCCGCCGTGAGTGTCTTTGTATCACTTACTTCCCTCTCCCTCTCCGCGCCCGCGCCCGCGTCGACTGTGTTCGCTGATCCGCATGATCTTGTCTCCAGAGGGAACGCATCCTACAACGCAGCCAAGGCGGCCGTTAAGAGCCTCACCGAGTCGCTCGCCCACGAATTGCGCGAGACTCCGTCGTCGAATCTCAGCGCCCACCTGTTCATGTGCGTCCCTTGCACTCGTTGCGGCGCCGCGGCTTTATGCTCACGGGATCTGTAGCCCGGGCTGGACGTGGACCGGGATGACGGGCAGCGATTCCGGCAACGAAAGCCGCTGGGGCGTGGACTGCGCAGGAGACGGTACTGTACATGGTACGCGTTGCGTCTTTAGTCGTTGCGGATGGAGCTGACCTCCCTCGCCGCAGCTTGACAAAGTCCGTCAAGGGAAGTTCTACATCGTCTGCCCCGACAACGAGACCCGACGGGAAGTCGACCAGCTCCGGATTATGTGGGGCGCGGGCGACGTTGCGGAGGGCCGCCCCGCACTCTCGCGCTGGCACCAGGACTACAAGGCGCTATTCCAGGAGTACATACGCGACGGGCTCGAGGCGCTGGACTAGGTGCGTGATCTTGCGTTCTACACGTAAACGTGTTCGATACGAGAGGTGCCGTGTGTAGAGAGGGGGATGCCGCGAAGAAGAAGAAAAAAGATGCTCTGTAGATGTACAAATAGCGTTTGGGAGTATGGAGGTTACTGTGGCATGTCGCGGAATGCTCGATCATGTCGGAGGTTTACAATAGCTGGACTTGACAATCCATTAGACCTGTGTTTCGTCCTAGGGGCGAGGTTGAACGTTGAACGTCGGATATGTGGATTTCACAAGAGTTACAAGAGCTCACGCTTTCTTCGCGCCTGTGACGAATTTAATTGGCAACGTGACTTCCGGCATGGCGTGTCTCGCGCAAACGAACGCAATACACGTTCGCCCTCACACAAGCCTCCCCCCAAACCTCTGCCCGCCCAATCCGCGATCGACGACGCGCGGTCTCGACGCCTGGGTTCGTTCGCCAATTCAACGAATGCCCGCCCCAGGCCAGCTGCCCTGCTGCCCTCTGCGTGAAACGGCAGCTGACTGGAACCGACTGGGGCAACAGCCTCTCCACCTGCGACTCGCCCGGGAAGCTGCGCACGCGGCGCGGTCACATGCGGCGCTGACGCGTCCGGTGTTGCTCGCGCGAACGTTCGCTAGCTCCTCGACGCGCTGGACTGCCCGCGCGCGGTCGCGACGAGGGCGGCATGGAGACACGCGCACGACGCGGATGGACGGAGCTTGCAAGACGAGGAGTTACGGTACCCCCGGTCCGACCTGTACTTACCACTGCCGTCGGACGCGCTGCCGACGGGGCGCAGCGCGCTGACCAGAAATCCGAATTGGCGGGGGCGATGGTCCGCCCGCGGCGGTGCTGCCACCGGCTGGGGCTGAGAGGCGGGGTCCGGAGGGACGAAGAGCGTGATGCGCGCGCACAAACGGGCATGTCCCGGCCGAAACGGCGAGGCGGGCGACGTGGACGACGAGCGCAGGGGTGTGCCGGATCTTCTGACCAGTGACCTCTCACCTGGGCGCGCGGACTATGAGCGTGCTACGGCAGCAGAACGCATTCCAGCTCGTTGGTGAGCGCGTATTCTGGGCCGCGATGTGACAGAGACGCTCAGAAGCAAGCACATTTGTGCGGAGATGCCCCAACATCCCCGCGCGAAGGAGGTCTGTGGACGATCTGCAACGCGCGAGACGGGGTGCGGAGGGAGGACGTCGGGGCGGAACTTGAGAGGCACGGGGGCGGGGCTGAGCGCTGGAACTCTTGGGCGCCTGTTGAGATGGAACTCTCGGCAGCGACCGCACGTCTGGATCTCCTCCGAAAACGGTCCACCCCAGACGCAATGGTCGCCTGCACACACTGGCCGTATATAAACCCTCCGCCGCCCACTCCCGCTCCTCGACGTCCACCACCCCCTCCAACCTGCTCTCCGCCCGTCTTTCGCTTTCGCTATCCCCGTTCTCCCATCCTCTATTCCATAGCATATAACGAGCCTCGCCCGACGATGTCCACGCCTTCGAACACCTCGGACACGGCTGGTCATCTACTCGTCCCGGGCCAGCACCCGGATGCCGTTCACCGCCTTAAGAACGTGCCGGGCTACACCACCCCCGTCTTCAAGGGCAAGGAGGAGCAGCGTGCCAAGGTCCAGGCCAATGTGGCTGCAAAGGTACGCTTCCTTCTCCCACTGCGCACACCCCCGCCCGTGCTGCCTCCGATATCGCTTCACGCCTCGAGGTGCGAAGTATGCTTCCTGGTATCTTGGGCGTATCCGCGCGCTGCGTGTTTTACGTTGACGGAGAGGCGGCCCCGTGATGGTGGCCCCGCTCTCTACTGTCTCCAGCACCCGTTTGCCCTCACTATATGCGCGCCGCTTTAGAGGGCACAGTCTCCAGTCTCTCGGACGGTGTTATAGCGCGCCGCTAGCTTCTAGCACGCCGCTACACTCTTCCGTCCGGCGCGGTGCGGAGCAATGTACACACCAAGTGCGCGATAGCAGCAGGCACACTCCGAGCGCGTCGGGCGTTGTGCGCACTGTCTGTCGGAGTTTAGTCACTGACATGTTCTCGCGGTTCGCAGGGCTTCATTCCGCGCGAGCTCGTCCCGAACGAGATCACCTGGTTCTACACCCACCTCGGCATCGACGACACGTACTTCCAGGCCGAGTCCGTCGATGTGATCTCGGACCACATCATCGCGCTCTTCGGTGCAAAGGTTCTCGCGTACACCAAGCACGACCCGTCCAAGCTCGTGATCGACCTCGAGAAGATCGACGAGAATGGGAACGGCGCGACCTTCATCCACACCAGCGCCCCGGGCATGACCACGACCGAGGGACCCGGCTCGACGTGCGAGAGCCGGATCGACGAGCTCTTCCTCGACAAGTCGACGCCCGAGTGCGCGTACCGGCTCGAGACCTACCGCTCGCTGGGGAGCATCTCCGCGACGGCCTCGCAGCAGCTCCGCTGCTACTTCGTCACCAAGTGCAACTTCCCGGCGAGCCCGCCCGCGTCGACGCGCGCAGATGGGTGCGTTCGCGACTTTCGCGCGTGTGCGCGTTCTGGGCCGGGGGCGTGCGCTGACGTCTGCGAACGTGCGATGGCAGGCAGACCGACATCCGCACGGTGTCGGACCCGATCTTCCTCGAGAAGGCGAGCGAGCACACGCTCGAGATCTACCAGCACGTCATGTGGAACGTGGAGAAGCGGTTTGGGCCGGTCATTGAGGTGTTCGAGGTCGAGGGCTCGCGCGAGCGCCGGATGGTCATTGGCTACAAGACAGGCGGGACCAAGAAGCTGTTCAGCGCGCTCTCGAACCTCTACCACTTCTACTCGCTCTACTCCGCGAGGAAGTATGTCGGTGAGTATTCTGCGCGATCTGCGTCTGGTATGGGGTGCTCACGGGTTGATGTGCAGAACAATTCTCAAACGGGATCACTATCATCTCGCTCTACCTCAACCCGCTCCCTGGCGCCAACGCGCCGCCGATCGAGCACTCGATCTTCCAGGTCATGAAGGAGGCTTCGCTCCTCTACTGTCTTCCCAACAACCCCTTCTTCTACGCTGGGAAGGGTCCCAGCGGCGACCACGCTGTGCAGGAGGCGACATATGCGTGTGAGTCGCGTCGAGTATGATCTTAGAGTTGAATATAGTACTGATGGTAGGCCGAAGACTGCGGTTGGATATTCGCGCAGCACTTCTGTAACAGGCTGGGGTCGGCATACATCACGCTCAAGAGCCTTCTTGACGACACGAACCCTGCCCACGCGACCGTGCTCGATGACATCAAGCGTCGGTTCAGGGAGGAGACGTTTACGCGCGAGAGTATCGCGGAGGTCATCCATGCGCATGCTGAGCTGGTAAGCGGACTGGTCGCATTGTCAGATGCGAAGCTGACATTCTCCGTCTAGATCAACCTCCTTTACGTCAACTTCGCCATGTCACACTACCCTGAAACCGATGAAGCCGCGAAGCTCATGTACGTATTCGCCGAGCTACTGTGTGTGTGATGTCCTCATCTGGGGCTTCATCAGGCCTACGTTATCATACCAGCGTCTGCGTACTCAGATGCCACTCACCGATGCGGAGCTACACGACAAGATCCGGAGGACGGTGACGAACAAGCATGAGCTCCAGGTCTTGGAGAGCTTCTTGATCTTCAACAAGTACGTCCTTGGGCATTCTTGAAACGCGAGTTCTACTGATCTGCTTTTGCGCTCAGGAACGTCCTGAAGACTAACTTCTACCAGCCGACGAAGGTCGCGCTTTCGTTCCGTCTTGCACCCGACTTCCTCCCTGAGGTCGAGTACCCGAAGAAGCCGTTCGGCCTGTTCTTCATCATTGGTTGGTTGTTTATCGATATCGCGAAGCCCGGTTGCTGAATCATATCTGCGTTGACAGGTGGAGAGTTCCGTGGATTCCACATCCGGTTCAAGGATGTTGCTCGTGGTGGCATCCGTATCGTCATGTCGAGGAACAGGGAGTACGTGCTGCCCCTTACCGTCTCTACGAAACGTACCCTGACACTACCTCAGGAACTACTCGATTAACCAACGTTCACTGTAAGCGTTCCGTTAGCCACGGGTCCCAAACACCGCTGATGTCATTGCTAGGTTCGACGAGAACTACGCGCTCGCGTCGACGCAGTCGCTCAAGAACAAGGACATTCCAGAGGGCGGTGCCAAGGGCACCATTCTGCCTTCGTACGTGGATCCGTCAGCTTCAGCCTGTGCTTTGTGCCCATGATGAATACAGCCTTGGCGAGAACCCGAAGCTTTGCTTCGAGAAGTATGTTGATGTATGTAGCCAATATCGTTACTCCAAGACCGCTACTGATGCCGTTCCAGGCCGTCCTCGACCTCCTGATCCCCGGGCAGACCCCTGGAATCAAGGAGAAGCTTGTTGACCTCTACGGCAAGCCCGAGCTCCTGTTCTTCGGTCCTGATGGTTAGTCTTCCTTTTGTTTTTCACATACGCAAAGCTAACGGAGCATCGCAGAGGGTACCGCCGACCTCATGGATTGGGCAGCCAGTAAGTGGACTCAACGTGATCACAGTAGCGTGATACTGACTTCTCATAGTGCATGCTCGTGCCCGCGGTGCGGAGACGTGGTGGAAGTCCTTCACGACCGGCAAGAGCGCGCAGCTGCTCGGTGGCGTCCCCCACGACGTGTACGGCATGACCTCAATCTCGGTTCGCCAGTACGTTCTCGGCATCTACAAGCAGCTCGGTCTCCGCGAGAAGGACATCACCAAGGTGCAGACCGGTGGCCCCGATGGCGACCTTGGTTCCAGTGAGTAAATCTGTGAGCATATGCTCGTGCGTTTGCTAAGTGCGATGGTACAGACGAAATCTTGCTCAGCTCGGACAAGACCATCGCAATCATCGACGGAAGCGGTGTGCTCCACGATCCTGCTGGTCTCAACCGCGAGGAGCTCGTCCGTCTCGCCAAGGCTCGCAAGCCTGTGGGCTTCTTCGACACTTCCAAGCTCGGGAAGGATGGTTATCTCGTTCGTGTCGAGGACCAGGACGTCAAGCTGCCCTGTGAGTACCTTTAGGTTACTGAACATCGACCTCCCTGATATCGTTCTGCAGCTGGCGAAGTTGTGCTCGATGGGACCGAGTTCCGGAACGGCGCCCACCTGCGTTACAAGGCCGACCTGTTCGTCCCTGTGGTGGTCGTCCCGAAGCCGTCAACATCTCCAACGTTGCCTCGCTTACTGATTCTGACGGCAAGGCCAACTTCAAGTACATCGTCGAAGGCGCGAACCTCTTCCTCACACAGCAGGCGCGCCTCTACCTGGAGAAGCGCAAGGTCGTGCTCTTCAAGGACTCGTCGGCGAACAAGGGCGGCGTGACCTCGTCCTCGCTCGAGGTCCTCGCGGGGCTCTCGCTCGCGTCGGACGAGTACGAGCGGCTGATGATCTTCAAGGACGGCAAGCCGTCGGCGTTCTACGAGGCGTACGTGCGCGACATCCAGCGCGCGATCACGGAGAACGCGGCGAACGAGTTCGGGTGCATCTGGCGCGAGCACGCGCGCGTCGGGGGCGCGAGGCCGCGCACGCTTATCTCGGACGAGCTCTCGAGCAAGCTGAACGACCTCCAGGAGGAGCTCGAGGCCTCGGACCTGTTCGACGACGAGCCGAGCCGGTGCGGGGTGCTCCGGCGCGCGATCCCGAAGACGCTGGTGGACGAGGTCGGGCTCGAGACGCTCATGCAGCGCCTGCCGGTCACGTACCAGCGCGCGTTGTTCTCGAGCTGGGTGTCGTCGCACTTTGTGAGTCACATTTGTTGTTGGTGTGCAGTGGTGCGGGAGCTGACGCGATCGACGGCGGTTCTAGATCTACAAGTACGGCGTGAACGCGTCCTCGGTCGACTTCTTCCATTTCGCGCGCGAGCTCGCGGCGTAGAGGCGGCAGTGGGGCGGATGTTTGGAGTATTGTGGGGCCGCGACAGCAAAACGCGGAACGACCCCCGTCCCGCCAACATGGAAAGTAACGCGGACTTGATTTGCATAGCACAGGGCCTTAATAAGGGGGGATAATACGGCGGAGCAGCTCACGATAGATAGATGTACAATGTACCATGGACCAGCAAGGAATCTTCGGAGAAACTCAGCTTTCTGAGGAGTGAATACTCGACTCGCACTACGTCCTCCTCCGCGCTTCCAGTAGAGGGGGTGCTTAGTCACCATCTGTACTTGAGCACGGCGGCACTTGGATGAGATGGAGAGGCCATCGAACAGAATATGTACACCGGGGTGCATCGAGAGGAAGGGTGTCTGAACCTGCCGCGGGCTCAGGGGCGAAACACCGGACACCGACGGCATGATCAGGTCCACCGACATCGGGAACACAAGTTCCGCATGGCGAGAGGCGGGCCACACAGCGATCGCCTCACCATTCCACGCATTCCCCCCTGCCTAGAGCCTGAGGCCTGAGGAACGAACTATAGAGGAGGTCGGGTTGAAGAGGAGCGACCCTTCAAGCAGGAGAAAGCAATATGAAGACCAGTTGATGTGATTGAAGCATGATTGACGAACAGACGGGCGGTTGTCAGCGACGAGTAAGCGCGATCTCGATCAGCGGCCGTGATAGAGATGGGCCCCTTTCGCTGATGCATCCGCACTAAACTCGGAGAGCTTCCCGACGCGCGATCCACCTCCTCTCCGACCGCTTCCTCTCTACTAGAGTCTAAGGCGGGTTCTAAATGCCAGATTGCGCAGCACTCAAGGCGTATATAATCCTACACTGGGATCGAGGTCCCCCAACCTCCCGCTCGCTCTCCTCCTTCGATCTCAGACATGTCTTTGTGCAACAACTGTATCACTGGTCTGCAAACTTCCTGTCCAGCTCTTACTTCCTCGATCACTGACTGGAGATGACAGGTGTCCGCCATGAGGGCACTCCAACCGGTTCGTCTTCCCAACTTTTCCCTCAGCTCGAACACTCGTAACCTTTGGCTGCGCTGCAGGGACCCTCACCAAGATCGGCGGGACCGACTGCTATGTCGCCACGCCGTCCGGAGAGTACGCCAGGGACAAAGTCCTGCTCTACTTCCCAGATGCCCTCGGCATGCAGTCCCCCAACGCCCACGTGAGTCCCTCGACCCGCTCCCGCGCGCACGCACGTTCCGCCGCTCACCCGCACCCGCCGCACCCGCAGCTCCTCGCGGACGACTTCGCGCTCAACGGCTACAAGACCGTCGTCGTCGACTACTTCGAGGGCGAGCCCGTCCCGCACGAGCGCGTCTTCGCCCCCGGGGGCGCGCAGGGCTTCGACCTCCTCGCCTGGCTCGGCCGGCACCCCGCCCCGCGCGCGCTCGAGACCATCCGCGCGGTCATCGCCGCGCTCAAGGCGGACGGCGTCGCGAAGTTCGCGTCGACGGGCTACTGCTACGGCGGGCGCACGGGCTTCGACCTCGGGTTCACGAACGAGCTTGCAGTCGTCACCACCGCGCACCCGTCGATGCTCAAGTGCCCGGAGGACCTCGAGGTGAGCGCCGCCTGCCCTGCCCGGGTCTCTCGGGAGAAGCGCTGACGGTCGCCGCTCGTGCGTGGCCGCAGAACTACGCGAAGACGTCGCGCGCGCCGCTGCTCATCAACTCGTGCGAGGTCGACCCGATGTTCCCCGTGGAGGCGCAGAAGAAGGCAGACGAGATCTTGGGTGGCGGCAAGTTCGCGCCGGGGTACGAGCGCACGTACTGGGAGGGGTGCCACCACGGCTACGCCGTGCGTGGAGACATGGTGAGAGCGTCGCGCAGCGAGCGGATGGCTGTGGAGTGCTCACTGACGATTCCACCCCCAGAGCAACCCGAAGGTCAAGGCGGGCAAGGAGGGTACCTTCGAAGCCACCGTCAAGTTTTTGAAGAAACACTTCTGAGCGAATGACGGGGTTGCATGCTCAGGGCCAGGAGGGACTTCGGCGTGTATGTTTATTTGTTGTAATAGGAATCAGGATGAGTCGGCTTGGTATATAGGAGAGTCTGAACTTGCAGCCTGAGGCGTGTGTCCTTGAGTGTTGAAATTTGGTTGATTGAGAACCAGTATTGCCCAAAGCAGCGTCCAACTCGTCAATCTGCGACGGGTGCGGTCAGCGGGGACAGCACAAGACGAGCACGGCCCCGGGGACGCCGATAGAGAGCGCACCGATGCCACGATCGCTTTGACATCGAGCAGCGCGACGATGCCGTGGTGGCCGTTCTTGGTGGACTTGGCCACAATCACCTCTTCGAAGCACCTGGCCTCACTCTATCCATGGGGTGAGTGAGTGTTGGAGATTGAGAGGGTGGTAACTTTTAAGCGCGCCGCCGACACTATCGGTCGAATCGACCAAGGTGCCGTCCACGTCAAAGAGACTGTGCGGGAAAGATCAGCGGCGCTAAGTGCAGTTGTCCCGCAGACGATCGCAGGACTGCCTTACATTGCCTCGAAGTCGAGGGTGACTTCAAGAGGCATGGTGGATGGAAGGCCCGCAGGCTTGAATCGGAACAACTCGGATGCTTGCCGGGATACTCCGCCTAGTCGAGACCAGGACTGAGCGTTGAGCGGCCTACCGGGCCGGATGATGCACGTGCAGCCGGCGAAACAAAGAAGGTAAGTATTTCCCAACCGCCATGATCACCTCCGTGGACCGCGCTAAAGGCACGGTCCGGCGCCGCGCGAATAAAAGTAAATTGATGAAGCAACCGACCCTTGAAGTTTCGCGCGCGGTCTCTTCACTTCTTACTTGCTGAAGGCCGTCGGAAGAATCTACCTCCAGGCGTCAAGGGCACATCCGACAACATATACGACGCATTAAAATTACACACTTGATTCCTGCATGCTAGGTTACGGCACTGTTCTATCACTACGATTTGATACTTCTCGCCTCCGACTCCTCCTCGACTCGCCGCGCCCACGGCTCAGAGGCCGTTCCAGTCAAAGACACCAATGAGACCCGCGTCGGGGTGGTTGATCTGCCCCGTGTACAGCCCGATGACGAAGCGGAGAGGGCTGGACTGGCCGCCGCGGAAGTCCTCGAGGCTGCTGACGAGCGAGTCGATGTCCTGGTCCTGGATGTCGTGGATGACGCCCTGCTGTATGGTGAGCGTGAGCTGGACGTCCTCGATGTCGCCCCCGAGCGGCGTCACTGCCCTTTCTTCCTTCGCAGGCCGGTTCCTCGCCGATGGACGCTACGAGCTCCTCAACCGCCTCGAGTCAGGCGCTGAGGGCGTCGTCTTCAGTGCTCGAAAGCACTCTTCCACCTCTCTCAACCCCGTTCCGCGTGCCATCAAAATCATGTATTCACACTCGGACTGGGACGTAAGTGCTCGTTCGCCCCGCTCGCTACTCTTGGACACTTTGCCAAAGCCTCACATCCACAGACGACCGAAGCCGAGCTTCAGTCCCTCGCTGCGGGCCACCCGGATGTCGCCGATGTCCACGACGTCTTCGAGGACGCCGAGTACACCTACATCGTCACCGACCTCTTCGACGCGGGCGACCTGCACACATATGTCTGGGACAAGGTGGCGCCCCTGGCTGGCGACGTTGCCGCCGTCAAGCGCATCTTCCTCGGCATCCTCGACGGAGTGGCCGCGTGCCACTGGACGCTGGCGTCTTCCACAGCGACCTCAAGCTCGCCAACATCCTCGTCGACGAGGAGCGCGGCCGTGTCTGCATCGCGGACTTTGGGCTCGCGACGACCGAGGACTGGAGTTGCGACTACGGTGCCGGGACGCCGTGCTACATGTGTCCAGGTCTGTCTCCCTCGCTCAGTCCGTGCGCAGGACATGCACTGACTTTTCCCACTTATGCAGAAGCACTAGGGAGCACAGACGACGACAATGAGACGCTACTCCCGTACGACACTCGCCGGAACGACATCTGGGCGCTCGGGATCATCCTCATCGAACTCACCTGCGGCCTCCGCCCCTGGGAAGAGGCCTCCGCGCGCACGAGCGACCGCTTCCGTGCGTACGCCGCGGACCCGGCCGCCCTGCGCACATTCCTCCCGATCTCGACAGCGCTCGACGCGCTCCTCCGCCGCATCCTCCTCGTCCACTCGTACACCAAGCGGGCTCCGCAACCAGTGACGCTCGAGGAGATCAGAGAGGCGGTCGAGAGGATGGAGAGGTTCTGGATGGACGAATAAGAGCTCGCGGAGACTGGTCCTGTCGTGCAATTCACGTGGGACACGGCGAGGCGCGTCGTGCCGTGCATGACGCAAGAGGAGTGCTGGTCGGTGGAGGCCGCGTGCGTGGGGAGGAACCCTATCAGCACGACGTCGGAGAAGGCTGCCACTTCCGCGGTGGAGGCTGCTGTGCTGGCGCAGTACGCTGTCGCGGTACGGGAGAGGGAGTGGCAGTCGTCGGGCTCGTCGTCGGCGCCAGTGTCGGAAACGTCGGAGTGCTCGTACGGGCCAGCTGGGGAGCAGGTCGAACAGGCGTGCTCGGCGGGCTTGAAGAGGGGGAGCATGGGGACGTGCCGGCCGTCGATTTGGAGGAAATTCGTTTCGGTGTTCAGGTTCCGTGTAGCATAATGTGTCTACTGTATTCCTTACTTCGTACTTGATACGGAGTGCACCAATCCATCTCACGTGCATGTGTCTAAGCTCCGCCTCCGATGGCAGCGCGTGAGGAGCCGTGTTTAAATGAAATAGCTGACTCCTGTGGTTATTTCCCGATGACAGCGCATCAAGGGCATACCTCAGCAATCCATAACCCATGAGCGCCTCGTCATCGGGACTTGCGAGTACTAGTGGCCAACGGCGGGTATTTATATGGCCAACGCTGCGTGGGGTCAACAACAGCCCACCGCATCGGTAGACTACCCAGTTTTGCCCCTCACATTGAATCGCCGCGCCTTCTCAATGTCTTCTTACCTAGTTCTTGGAGCGTCTCGTGGAATAGGAGTGAGTGGCTCGGATACTCCACTCCCCCTTTGAGAGCCTTGCTGACGAACCATCTAGCTCGAGTTCGTCAACACATTGGTATGTGTGTTTTTTCCAGCCAAGCCCTCGATGCTCACTTCCGTTCACCTGTAGAGCAAGAAGGCCGACAACAAAGTGTTTGCTGTTGTTCGCACCCCAGAGTCTGCGACCCAGCTGCATTCGCTCGCGTCGAAGCGATCGAATGTGTTCACGGTCAAGGGCGACCTCGACTTTGTGGAATCTCTCAAGGTGAGCATCGCCATTGTAGTCGTCGTGTTCGTCGCGCTCACAGAAATTGGCAGGCTGCTGCCACGGAAGTCGCAGGCCACACTGGCGGAAAGCTTGATGTCCTCATACTCAACGGTGTCCGTATGGCCTCACAATACGCCGGTCTGACCCTGGATAAGTTGTGAGTCGCACGTTGAGATAACGGCGCGCAGTAGTCAGCACGCTCACCACGGTTCACCAACAGCCCCGACCCCCAGACCCTCGAAGAGGACCTCGTGGCCGGCGTACGTCCCCTTCCCGCTCGCCGCCCAGTTGTCGACCATCCGTCGAATCTGACGCCCTACCCCAGTTCCGCAGCAACACCGTCGGCGCCGCGCACGCCATCAACGCCTTCCTGCCTCTGCTCCGTGCGGGCGCGAAGAAGCAGATCCTCGCGATCACCTCCTGCGTCGGCGACATCGACTTCGTGCGCGGGACCGAAGTGGGCACGAACACGGCGTACACCGCGTCCAAGGCGGCGCTGAACATGGTCGCCACCCAGTTCGCCGTCGCGCTCAAGCCCGAAGGCTTCACCGTGCTCTCGATCAGCCCCGGGTACGTGAACACCTTCACCGAGGACCCCAGTACGTGCCGCTTCGCTCTGTTCGACGGGAGACGGGGTGCTGATTCAGTGCGGGTGATGCCTAGACGACTTCGCGAGCATCCCTGAGCCCGTTAAGCAGCTGACGGCCACATTCAAGAAGGTTGCGCCGGGCTTCGACGGGAACCCGCGGACGCCCGCGGTTGCCGTGTCGATGGTGCTGGACGTGCTGAACAGGAGCGGGCCGGAGCAGAGCGGCTCTTTCCTGTCCCAGTACGGCAACAAGGAATGGGTCTGATGTAGCCGAGTCGCCACTGGCAGAAGTTGTGTAGACGTGCTGGCAAAAGCCACAAATACTACGTGCATGGGATTCAGCATTGTACCTGTTGAAATTGGCTACGAGCGGAAGCGGCGAAACCCACCGCGCATGTTTGGAAAGCATCTAGTCTGGATGGGATCGTAGTAGTACTTATAGCACGTCGAAGGAGCTGACAGTGGCGCTCTGGATCTATGCGTGATGTCACACATATGGTCGTTGCTAAGTGACAGTCAGCTGATGTTGGCCCTGCCCGCCCGAGCCGCTGAATGCTGGCAGTCAACATGGGAAGCCGGGCCGCCGCTCTTCAGGCTCGACTCCCGAACTATTCCACATCGTCTTGGATGATCCCAAAAAACTCTCTGTGCGCCTCCGTACGGGTGTCCATGCAGTCAGTCTCACTTGCTCTGTCCGTGTTTCATCGGGATTTATCGCGCGCAGTCACCTCCGACATGATATCCGTGAGTCTAACAGGAGGTGGCTTATACACCAATGCTGACCGAATTGAAGTTTAGACTGTCTGCGGACCGAACTAATCGGATCTATAGCGTCGCTTCGGGGACAAAGTGGAAATAGCTAGCATGTATGAAGTCAACGTGGTCGGTGCAAGGATGGTCGGTGTCTTCTCTCTCTCTCTCACGCACTCTTCAAGGACCACACTACCATGTCTCTGTGCAAGGACTGTATCACTGGTGCGCCGCTGGCTTCATAGCCATTTAGAAACGCTTGCAAACATCAGCTTCAGGCGTCCGTCACGAGGGAACACCCACTGGTGCGTTCCATTGGAACTAGATGAATGTTTGAAGAGTAACACGTACTAAACGAGCCACAGGTACTATCGCCCAGATTGGAGGATTCGACTGCTACGTCGCGACACCCACTGGCGATTACGCCAGGGATAAAGTCCTACTCTACTTCCCAGACGCTCTGGGCATGCAATCCCCCAACGCCCACGTAAGGAACCCTCTACTCCCGCCCGTGGGCGTGCTATCAACGCACCGTCTACCCGCTCATACGCCTCCCTCCGACGCACTAGCTCCTCGCCGACGCCTTTGCGACCAACGGCTACAAGACCGTCATCGTCGACTACTTCGAGGGCGAGCCGGTCCCGCACGAGCGCGTCTTCGCCCCCGGGGGCGCGCAGGGCTTCGACCTCCTCGCCTGGCTCGGCCGGCACCCCGCCCCGCGCGCGCTCGAGATCATCCGCGCGGTCATCGCCGCGCTCAAGGTGGACGGCGTCACCAAGTTCGCGTCAACGGGCTACTGCTACGGCGGGCGCACGGGCTTCGACCTCGGGTTCACGAACGAGCTCGCGGTCGTCACCACCGCGCACCCGTCTCTCCTAAAGTGCCCCGAAGACCTCGAGGTGCGTCTCTTCTCGGCGCTTCCGGGAAGACGGTGTGCTCGTCGGTCTGTCGGCGCTGATGATCTTGCTGGCTGCAGAAATACGCAGCGATGTCCCGTGCGCCGCTCCTCATCAACTCGTGTGAGGTCGACCAGCAGTTCCCCGTGGAGGCGCAGAAGAAGGCGGACGAGATCCTGGGTGGCGGCAAGTTCGCGCCGGGGTACGAGCGCACATACTGGGAAGGGTGTCATCACGGTTATGCCGTGCGTGGAGACATGGTGAGAATACCCGTCCGCCTGGGGGTGTCTACGTCACGCTCTGACGACGGGTTGGCAATTAGAGCGACCCGAAGGCCAAGGCAGGTATGGAAGGCACCTTCGAAGGCACCGTCAAGTTTTTGAAGAGGTACTTCTGAGAACTCCGCGCTGTACGTTTAAGATGGGAAGAATTAGTTATGCCCGGCGGAGGGATTATGGGTATACATCGCACTCCAGAGTCATACGCTTTGAACTTGGGTAGTTAGTCGCACACCGTCTTACACTCCCATTACTCCACATCGCACAATGCCAGCATCCATGTATAACGATTTAGAAGTGGCCCTGTTGGTTCCGAGTTCCGTAGAGTGAACAGAATTGTAATTCAGAATCGGACGAGCAAGACAGACGGTCAGGACAGAGTCCCCTCGACGGGTGCCTAGCGCTTATGTGCTTATGCGCCTCACTCCCACCATCATGCACGACCATCCCTTGCCTGTCCCCGTGAAGTACAACGAAAAGTAACCGCATCGTGAACGATAAATATACAGATCGTGGGAGACGTGGGAATAAGCGGGGGTCGAACTTATGCTCGAGGAGGGGTCTAGCTGGGTATCTTTCATGTAACTGGCCCCATCGCCCACCTCATCGTGTGAAGCCTCACGGTTCGCCTTCGCCTTGTCTCCGTGCTTTCACCTCTCCGAACGGCTTTCAACCGTCGTACCATCCAAGCTCAGTCAAATCTCCCCATGAGCTCTCTGCGCATCCCGATCGAGGTCGCCGAAGTGGTCATCGACGCCGTGGCGGCCCAGGAAGACTCCTCTCGGGCCCTCGCGCGCTGCGTCCTGGTGTGCAAGTCATGGTTTCCCCGAAGCCGCCACCGCCTCTGGCACAGGCTCATCATTTCCAGAGGCGAGCAGCTATCCGCGATCTACAACACCCTCGCACGCGACACCTCTCTGCGCTCGATGATCCAAATCGTCCGGCTAGAGGATACCGTACTGGACTCGAATGTCGACCAGCCAACAATCTTCCCGATCGCCGCCATCGTGGTCCTTCTTCCCCACCTAGGCCACATCACCGCATGGGAGTTCCATGGGCGGCTTCGTTCTTCCGACCAGTCTCTCTTCCCGACGTCCCCAGCGATTCTAGCTTGTTTGCGGCAATATCGTGCTGTGAGGAAGCTCATCCTGCGGGTATGCTCTTTTGAGACTGCTCTGCACCTCTATCGCCTTGTCAGTGCCTTTCCTGCGCTGCGGGACGTCCGGATGGATTCTCTCTCTTTTCGGAAACCAATCTCAAACATCTCCCTCCTCACGCCCCACACGCATCGACTGGGCCTACAAACGCTGCATCTGAATGAGGTGCGCGCCTTCTAGCCCGAACCCGACCTCGTGATTGATCTCGAGGTTTTGAGCTCCCTGCAGCTCAGCCGGAGTGTACCGCGCGGTTGATTTCTAACACGGAGTCCCTGCTGGATATAACGCTGAGCAGCGGCACCACAGTAGGATCTGGCGGGTCCTTTCTGCTTATTTGACGTGCAATCCGCTAACGTTCAATACTCTGTACTAGGTTTCGATATTTCTCTTTTCACAAACTTGAGGCATCTATCTATTCTGCAAGAACTCAACCATAGCCCCGACTTCGAACTTTACGAAGCCTGTCTCGAACTTCCGAATTCACTACTTTCGTTTACGTTGATATTCCGGAGTTCTGTGGTGCACTGGGACAGCGCTGGTTTGACGCAAGAACAGGTGTCCATCGTACAGCAATTGACTCAAGTGATATCGCAACACGCCGGCCTCCGATTGACAGGCCTCACGTGCGTCATACAGATGCCCAGACGGAACCAGATGCCTCGTTGGACAACCTTGCTGGAACAATTATTCTCGCCGTTGTTAGAGAGAGGTCTGTTGCGTATCGCTCCTCCAGACTACTCGAGTACGTATTATTCCTCTGAGAAAATGCGCACGCAAACTGATTCCTGTCTGTATCGCTCAAACCAGCCCACAAGAAGCACATTTCAGAGCATGGGCATATTCGACAGCCGGATCGCCTCGTGTTTTCTCCTAGTGGAAGGTGGGCAGCAAGCACCCTGTGGAATCCCAACTGGGTGTTTGCGTCGACCATGTCCGAATGCATCGTCTGGGACAATCAAACCGGAACATCACTCCCCTCCCAATGGTACCACCTCGCAGATCCACGTTCCTACGCACATTTTCCATCTCCTTTCGCTTTCTGTCCGACTGAGAAGCACTGGGCCATCGCATCGCGCCACGATATAACCGTATTCCCTCTTCCGGTCGAGACTGCATCGACAAAACCTACAGATCACTCTCAACCTGTCGGGCACATCAAGCTTCATCTGGATGGTCTGGTTATGAGACTCTTGTGGTCTCGGGACGGCAGCCAAATATTCGCTCAAGATTCGGCAGCCAATGTCTACATCTACGACGCTCTGACATCCAGCCACCTCCGCACCCTCTCTCCCCCACCCATCTGCACAGCATCGCCGTTTCTCAGGCTTCGGAGCCGTAGACGGCGTGCGGGCACTTTGGCGCTGTCGGCGGACGAACGGTACCTCCTCTCCGACGTCACGGCGATCTCCCCCTCCACCCCAGCCGCACACACCGAGTCGATCTGCGTCTGGACACTGGACACCGGTTCCTGCGAACCCCACTTCCCCCAACACCGCGACAGCGCACCGCCGGGGACCGACACGCAGATCTGCGCGACGTCCCTCCGCGAGCATTCGAGCCCCGCCGCACTCGACCACCGCCCCCACGTCGTCGCGATGTGCGACAACGGCACCCTGCTCACCGCCGCGGCCGGCTCGCCCGACGAAGTGGCGGCCGTCCGGCCTGCGGGGCTCCCGGCGGACCTCAGGTCCATCTCGCACGCGTCCTTCTCCGCCGACGGGACGCGCGCGGTAGTCGTCGGCGCGCGGCGCACCCCGTTTTGCCTCGTCCTGGACACGTTCACGGGCGCGACGATCGCCGTCCTCGACGACCGCCGCGACCCCACGCTCTACAGAGACGTCGACACGATCGTGGATCTGTCGGGCGACGGCCGCGTTGTGGCGATAAAAATCACGAGGTCGGAGTGGTGGCTCTGGAGGCTTGAGGACGGCACGGTGCGCCAGGTTCCCAGACGCGAGGACGGACAGGATGTGTGTAGATGTGCGCTGTCCCGGGACGGTTCGATGGCTGTATGTGCGACTGAGGAAGGAGAGGTGTTTTTTCAGAATGTGGGGGAGCTCAGAGGCTCTGTTTTGGTGATATAGTCGGACGAACGTAGTAGGCCGAACGAACGCAGTGACCGTTGACGACTATCACGACGAGAGAGCGGCGGTGCTGGCAGACGAAAATACGATCTTGCCTTGTCCAACGTCCTGCGGTCCATGCATGTCGTTCATTTACTAGATGGGAACAGCAGGGATGAGCGATATGTCGAGCAGGGTGGGGACAACATGCGGAGGAATCCACGTCGTCGACGCTCACATGACAATCCCAATCGAATCTGAGGCATACATACGTACTAGCCCGAAGCCGCGCACCGCTCTAAATCCAGGTCCTCCTCCGCCTCCACACGCCTACCACGAACCCCCCGGTGAGCGCCCGCCTAGAACAGCAGGTCATCGAAGCCGTTGCCCGCCTGCTTCGGCGGCGCGGCGCTCGCAGCACCGCCGAACGCGCCCGCACCCGGCTGCTGCTGCCCACCCCAGAACGACGCCTGCGCCTTCTCCTTCTCGAGTGCCTTCATGCTCTTCTGCGCGCCTGGAGCGATGGCGGCAGGCTTGGGCCCCGAGCCGAGCGACATCGACCAGAGGTCGTCGAAGTTGGCGGAGTTCTTGGGCTGTTGAGCGCCTGTTCCGGGAGTGGTGGCGGTCGTGCGGGACGGCGGCGACATGGGTGTCATCACACCCTGGCCCATCAGCGGCGCGCCCATCATGGGCGGGGGCGAGGCGACCATGGGCTGCATCATGCCCATAGAGGCCTGCATGGGCGCCGCGGCAGGGGTGGATGACAGCATGTTGAACAGGCCATTGTTGGAGCCAGGCTGAGGCTGCATCGGCTGCATCGGCGGAGGGGACATCGACTGAGCGGTGATTGGAGGCGCGAGAGCAACTGGGGCAGGGGCGAACCCGGAGGTAGCCGGAACAGCTGATGGAGGGGCACTCTGGAAGTCGTCGAAGTCGTCGTCGCCGCCACCTGGAAGCTGTCAGCTTATGCAGAACGCGAAGACCAATACACGCGCGTACCAACTAGCGAGGTGGGAGCAGCAAGGGCAGGGAGCGCCTTTTCCGTGGCTGCAGGCAAGGCGCTGCCGAAAGCGTCGTCGTCCATACCCAAGAGATCCACTTCAGGTTGCTTTGCTTTTGGAGGTTCGGGAACAGCGGGTGTGGGAGCGGTGTTTGAGCGAGACGGAGGAGCAGAGTGAGACGACGAGCCGCCTTTCGAGACGGAGTTCGAGCGCCGAGCAACGTAGTCATCGTCACCGGCGTCGTACTCCTGGAACTGCCTCCGTGAACTGGAGGAGGCGGAGTGCATGTCACCGTTTCCACCACTGTAACTGTCGTATCCTGTCCTATGTGAGCATAGAATGCATATGAGAACAAAAGGCACTCACCACGGCCACCATCGTATCCACTACCGCCACCACTGTAACTGCTGCTCCCCCCTCCGCTGTAGCTGCCATCACCATAGCTGTCGCTTCCAAATCCACCATAGCGGCTTCCACCAGATGAGAAACTCATAGCCTCGTTGCCAGTCCCGGTATATTTGTGCTTGTTGGCTTTGGCCTTACGCCGCTCTCCACGGATTTTCTCGACGTCACCGAGAAGCTCGACCAGTTCCTTGGACCGGTTGCGTACTGCATTCCATTTCAATGGGCGCCGCAAAGACTCGACATATGAAACATACCGTTGATACCCTGATCTTTTCCCTTTTCATCCACGTAGTAGAAGTTCCTCAGCATCTTAATAGTGCCGACATGGGAACGTGCATCGTCAACCACTCGTTCGCTGCCATTCTTCACCAGGTATTCGAGCAGTTGGAGAGCCTTCAACGCACCATTAGCATGAACTACACTTCGAGCGTTGACACCAACACACCTTGTAGATCTGACGCCATTGGCGTGCCTCTTTCTCCATGAACCGTGCGTAGATAGCGGGCATGATCTCGTTGAAGTTTTGGCTAGATACACCTTAGCAATAGCCCCTTCTCTTCAACAACGTACTCACAAGTTGAATGTGCTGTACGTAGTGTGATATTAGAGGCAAGCACTCAACGTAAGAACGGAACGGGACGTACCCTTGGGCAATATCTTGCATCAACGTCGAACTCGCACCCCTACGGGCCAGAATCAGACATTGCTCCGCTATCACTCAATCACACATACCAGGGCTCATCGTTGGTCGCGTCGCGGACCTTTCCCTCCATCTCGCTAACATTGAACACAACATTCTTCGCCTGCGTGCTGTCAGCGCACTTGTAGCAATCTCATCCGAACAAGGGACGGACCTGGTTGTACATCGACTTTATGTCGTAGATCGATATTTGGGAAATAGCATTTCCGAGGGATTCAAGACGGTCCATGGCGGGCAACGGATGGGGAGAGAAGGAGGACGTGGACGTTGTGGACAGCACCGAGCTGAGCGATGCGCGCCGCGTTGAGCACCGTGACTTTTCGTGACGTGCGTGACTGGCGGTGCCCGGCGACGATGCGGTTACCACCGGACCGATGGGGCCGGCTGCCAATAAACGTCATACCACATGACCAACGACTCTTCAAGCTTCAGCACCCTGCATGATGACTTGTTGCAAAGATTGCAACTTGATGGTGAACTACATACAGCTGCCTGAGAACATTCATCAGAAATAACCATACCTCGCCTCTGGACCTCATGTATGCGCCTATCTTTCAGAAGTTTTGGCAGCGGGGAATCGTGTCGTCCCGATTTGGGATGCTCCTGCGCATGAGCGTCGGCTCTGAGACTCGGAGAAGACTTCTCAATCTGATGTCTCTTGCCGCGAACATATAAGTAGGACGCCCTGCACTACAGTGCCTTCGGCCCTCCCGCTAGTCAAGGTGAGCACATTCCCAGCTCGTTGACTGTTCCACATCATCGCGAGCTTGATGACTTTAGTTGAACTGATCGTAGTTCCAGGATTCAGGAACGAACTTCACGACCTCTCAAGATCTCACGACTCAAGTCTCAAGGTGTGCTGTTACGCTACAGAAGCGGTGGTACATATACTGAACCGATGGTTCATCGATATCGACAGTCATGCCCTCCATCCTCTCGCGCCTCCGAAGGCGTGCACTCAGTCAGCCTGGTCTCGTTCCTACCCAACCAGACACCCCGCCACCAGCTCCGCCAGAGCAGCCCACACTTTTGCCATCGCGCTCAGAACCTTTGCTTGTGGACCGGCGCATCGTCGAGGACTTGCCGGCTCTCCTTGACTCAATCGAAGCGAGTCAGGTGACACCCGGTGCTCTCAAGCCGCCCGACCTCGCAAACGTTCAGGGCTTGGTGCCTTCGGTCTGGGCAGCAAGTATGATAAGCCAGCGACAGATCAGCACTCGCGCGAAGGCTCGGAGAAGGAGAACAGGCACCTTCCCGCCGCCCCGTCTGCGTGGAAGGCAAAGCAGCACGCGGCGCGAAGTTCCCAGCTGCCGTCCGCCACCAGTTCTCCATGGTCGACGTTCGGACGGCATCGGCGCACCGCCCGCTCACCTTACGGCAGCTCCTCCGCGCGGGGTTCCCGGAAGGCCAGCGCAGAGTCGACCACAGCGCGCAGTGCATCCATGGGCAACGTCGCGGACAGCCACGGAAAATCCAACCTCGTCTCTTCCGCCTCCCTCGACCACTCCCGCTCGCGGCTGACCGACAGTGACAGCCCAGACTTCTCGGTGCTTTCTGCATTGACGGGGTCCATCTCGAACATATCCGCCCGCTCCCACGCCTCTGTCGCGGTCACGTTTGGACGGAACAGCCCTTCGCCGAGGGTTCTATCGCCGATTCACTACCACGAGCACGCGGGACCAGTCCACACGTCGATGCCGGTGCTTCCATCGGTTTATTCGAGCGACAATGTGCCGCAGCGCGGTCATACGTTCCCTCGACGCGACAAGCGTCACAGGAGCCGCCCCAGGTCTGTACAGCGAGGCGTAGAGAAGGTGCACGAAAGTAGTTTGTTAGACCGTGATACTAGGCCAGAAGCGGAGGGGGCGGAGGGCGGAGATTATAAGCGCCGGGAGGGGTGCCTGGAAGGCAGGGTGGCAACGCCGGGCGACGCCGAGCCTCGTTGTGCGCGCGCGTTGTTGCGCGAGGGCGAGGGCGAGCGTTGTCCTCCTCCCCCTATACCCCGTTCCCGGTCCTCGTCCTCGCACTCGCCGTCAGCACCTTTAGACGGTGAGTCGCAGTCAGGCCACGCCGTCTTCTCTCGCCAACCTTCCTCATTCTTCGTAGCGGCGACCCCTCAACACGGCATTGCCGATCACTTATCACCCCCCTCTCCATATTCCAACCTTGTCGAAGAACCAGCGGAGAACCCCTGCATGGCGGAGCCTCAACATGCAAATGACACGCTAGCAAGGCATCCCAACGGCACGCGTCGATCCGGTACAACGTCGCAAACAAGCACGCTCAGCCGCGCACGCAGCAAACGCGCTTCCGATGCCGGGGCCATTCCCTCTGGCTCCAAGCAAAACGGAGGTGCAAGCCTCTCGTCCGCTGCGTTCCCGATCGTCGAAAAGTCTAGTCCGTCTTCGGCGCCACAGAACATTCCCCGCACCCCCCGTACTGCGAGCGAACCTGGTCTACGCTCTGTGTTAGAGAAATCGGGCTTGGAAACGCCGATGAACAACAAAGGCAAGAGAAAAGCGGAAGAGGTCGACATCACACCCCCCGACCAACGCGCCCATCACGCGACATTCGTTATCCCGACAGAGGGTCGTCGTGAGTGTTGTTTCATCTCCTTTTCGATATGCTGTGTTCACTCACCTCTGGTGTGTCGGCAAGGTTCTCACCACGTTTCCGAAGTTTCTCGCGCCCCCTCTTCTTTCGCCGGTCGCAAGCGTGCTCGTCTCTCAAGCCAGTCTCCTTCCTCAACCCCCTCCCGCTCGCAGTCTCAAACCCGCCCCTCGTCGGCCACCCGTCACCTCACCGACTCCTGGCCCAGCCGCACCAGCATCCCCGCCCCAAGTCTTCACCGTGCCCTTTCCAAGACTGCGTCGATGCGCTCTGGTCGTCCCGACTCGAGGCGATCTGGAGCCCCTGACCTAGCCAACGGTTATCGTCAAGCGGAGTCGCGTCGCAGCATGTCAGAACTCTCGTTCCCCATCTCTGCGCTCGTCGCCCCACACGCTCCTTCAGTCAGTGTACGTTCTGGAGGTTACTATATGCGCGATCCCCGCAAGCCTCCGCGCGTTCAAGCCACTGGATGGACGCTTCGCTTCAACTCCCGTGAAGAACAAGGATCGCCTCTGCACGCGTGGGCCTTTTTCATCGGCTTCGTCCTCTTCCCTCTCTGGTGGATCGCAAGTTTCTGGCGAATCCCACAGACCAGGAGGGTCGGTGGGACGGACACGGAGAAAGCAGTCACATTGGATGATCCCCAGGTCGAACATGGTGAGTTTCTCATTCCTTGTACGGGATCTCGTCCTGAGGCGGTTCGCAGACGCGAGATCCTGGAGAACACGGTGTCGCGTCATGTTGGTCGTCTCTCTCCTCACCTACATTCCCTTCATCGTCCTTCTCGTCGTCTTCGTCCCCCGCGGTTGATTATCCGACTGCATATGCGATGCATATAGCCCTTCCCGTCATCCTCTTCCGGCATCCATACCGGCCCACTGCATTCGAGCATCCCATCCGCATTCTACCTGTCCCTTCTCTGGGCTTCGTGTAAATCTGTCACTCCTTTCTTGTGTCATTCCTTTGAACAATGCACATGCCGTTTCGGTCGGACCATCGGCACCGTTACGAATAATCTACTATTGCATCATTGGTTATGTTGTGCAGTAGATAGCGATACATGCAGCAAACAATAATACACTTCTGTCTAAACATCCGCGTCACGTTCCGTGCTAAGTAGAGGATGAGGATGCTATAAGGGAAGTCATCCATCATCCTCAACGTCGAGGTCACCTTCAATGCCGACGCCCTCGCCGTTGTCGTCAAAGACCACTTCGGTCGGATCGAAGGTACCCCAATTACCCGGATCGTTGTACTCCTCTTGGTATTCCGAATATACCACGGTTTCCGCTTGCATCTCCTGCGAATTATCGCCATTGACAGTGCCTTTTGCGGCAAGTTCTTGCAAGGAGCCTTTGACGGCGTTGAGCATGTCGTCCATACGTTCTCCAAAGCGATCTTCGAACTCTTCCACTATCTGGACATAAGTCAGCACAGCACGAAACACAATTGCATAGAGACATACCACGTAGAGCTCCACAGCCTCAGTGGGTGCCAAGTTCACAACCTGGAGCTTCTCAGCCTTTGTGAGATCCCACTGGCCTAATGCCCGCGTGAGCTGCGTGATTCCCTCGCGCTCTGAGAGGCGGTGGGTTGGAAATCCGCCGAAAGGTATTGAATGGCCTAAATCACATCTGTGATGAGTTGGCCTCCGGTCGTCGGTGCACTAGACGGGCGGCAGGTACTCACCTCTACCTCGACTGTCCGCAGGTTCTCGGAGATGTCATCCGCCGGGTTCTGGTATTTTGGAGCAAGGCCCGCCGCCTCATCCTCCTTTTTGATACGAAGAGCCGTCTTGGTGCGGGCAAGGTGGTCGCCCTCCAGCTCGCGAAGGAGCGTCAATACTTCATAGTTGGACAGCAGCGCCGCGCGGTGATTGAGGACCTTGGTTGGGCGGTTAGGGCACTAACTCCGGCCGGCCAGAAAAAAATCGACGGACCTCCATGGCGAGCCTAGGTTAGACGGGAGGGCATATAGCGAGGGCCAGGAGTGCAGCAGGCGTCCGAGGGCGCGCTCAGCGTGGCGGGAGAAAATGAGGATTTTGGCGACGTCGCGGCTGGCGGTCAAGCCATCGCGGGCGCTTGCAAACCATTCCCGCTTTCCACCCCGCCACCACCATCCGACACCGCGCGCAGAGCTTCTATCTTGCCATCCCCTCCTTCGCGCGTCATCTCCCCTTTTATTCCCTCGGAAAACATGCATCGACCAGGTAATCGCACTGGCCCGGGAGACTCGCTCGGTATGTTCACATCGCGTGCAGGTCAACCACCCAGCGGCCCCCCAGCCTCGGACCCAACCCAGCCATTGGCGGTGGACCCTACCGCGGACCCTTCCCGGGATATGGCATGCCTCAACGCAATGTCATGCCGGGTACCCCAGTCTCCCCACCCAGCGCACGGTCGTCCCCCAGCCATCGCCAGGACTTTTCCAACAGCAGCAACGCGGGCAGAACAGCTTTCCCTTCAACGCCGGAGCCCTCCAGCAACAGCAAGCACAAGCACAAGCAGCTCTCCCTTCACAATCCCTCTCGCACGCCGCACACCAGCAACAACAGCAGCCTCAGGGCGCCGGCGCCAGTGGAACGCTGCCGCCGCACCTAGCACAGGGCGGAGCCACCAACCTCGCCCCTCCGTGTCCTCCCAAAGCGAACTTGGTCTCGACCCAAACGACTTTCCGGCTCTGGGAGCGGCCCCGGCAAGTAGCACGCCTGCGGCTTCAAGCGCGAACACGACGAGCTACGCGAGCCAGGCGGGAACGGGTGCAGGCGCGAGCGCGGTACAGGCGGTTGCAGGGCTGGGTGGCGTACAGCAGCGGGAGTTGACGGCGGAGGACTTCCCCGCGCTCGGTGGGCAAAGCCAGTCGAATCAGCAACAGCAGCAAGCACCGGGGCCGCAACAACCCGCGGCTGACGGGCACCCACCAGGCCTCAACGGCTTCCAGCAACATGGCGATCGGCAGCATCAGCAGAACCTGCTCGGGTCGCTCGCGGGCGGCGTGCAGCAGCAACCCGGGCTGCTCAACCTCGGACAGCAAGCGAGGGGGGTCCTGCCGGGCTTCCAGTCTGATGCGGACAAACAGCGGGTGAGTGTCGCGCGCCGTTGCGGTGGACAGCCCGAGCCTGAGCCTCTCGCTTCACAGGGTTTCACGAACAACACAATGAAGCCCAACACGAACCACAGCGGTGCGGGCGCGGCGGCGTGGGCGTCGCCGAACGCCAACCGTCCTCGCAGCAACAGCCCACCGGCGCGTTCCCCAACGGCCAGCAGAACCACACCCAGTCGCAGCCGGCGGCGCCACAGCAGCAGACACAAGGGCCGCAACAGCATCTGAACGCCCCACCAGGCGTGCCACCACCCGCGGGCTTTCCGCAACAACCGACCCCCGCGCAACCTACTCCGTACGTTGCCAACGGTACCGGTGCCGACACCCCGCACCACCCTTCACAAACACCGGCCCACGCGACGAGTGCCGTCCCACAGACGCCGGCCCAGCAAGTTCTCATGTCGCCAGCGGACCGTTGGGGGCTTCTTGGCCTGCTAGCGTTGATAAAGAGCGCGGACCCGGACCAGAGCTTACTGGCAATAGGGACGGATTTGGGGACGATGGGGCTGGACATGCAAAATTCAGGGTGAGTGCTGCCTTCAGTCATCCTGCTCTCAACAGTCTATCAACTTGCGTACGCAGAAGCCTATATTCCACGTTCATCACCCCATGGGCAGACTCGTCCGCCGCGCATACGGTAGAACCGGACTTTCACCTTCCTGCATGTTATAACGTTCAACCCCCACCTCCCGGACCGAATAAGGCTGCTGCGTTCAGCGACGAGACGCTGTTCTTCATGTTCTACTCGTCACCCAGAGACGCACTCCAGGAGATCGCCGCGCAAGAACTGTGCGTCCGCCTGCTTATATTCGCGTGCTTCACCTAACTCCCATACTCTCTTTCAGGTTCAACCGCAATTGGCGATACCACAAAGAGATGCGAATCTGGATCACGAAGGAAAACAACACGCAGCCGTCAGCGAAAGTTCCCGGGGGCGAGCAAGGACGGTACGCGTACTGGGACCCAGAGAGCTGGGAGAAGGGCCAGAAGGAGATGTCCGTGCTCTATGCCGACCTCGAGGAAAAGAACCACCCAGTGTTCGCGCAGGGCCAACTTCCGGCAAGTGCGGCACAACCGCACACCGCGGCGCCGCCCTCGCGAGTAGGTCAGGCGTTCCAGGGCATCAGCATGGGTGCGATATGAAGAGCGCACACTTCAAGTTCCAAACGTCGCAAGACGCCTCTCCTCACGCCTCAGGACTTCAACGTCGACTGGACAGCATCGTTTCGACCCATCCCTGCCAGTCTCCGCCCCGCTCGTCTATCTCGTTCACCACTCCCCATTCCCTAATTATCCACACACCCACCACCTCCATTCTGTATCGTGACATTCCTTCGTGCCGGTGCTGCTATCCCTCCTCCCCCTCCTTCCCATCATCGAGCTATCATACGCTTGTATCTGTAAACCACACTCTGTTTGAACCATATCATCGTGCCCTCCAGCGTCTTTGGTGTCGAAGCCGGCGCGGATGCCATGCTTCCACGTGCAACGCTGTGATAGCTCTCGGACCTCGGCTGGGAGGTCTAATCCTGGCTGGCGCTCGTTTCAGCTTTCGGCATCCAATCTCCTGCACTCAGCGGGTAGAATAAAAGGAAGAGGTCGTCTGCCCTCGCGGATGCCCAGGAACAAGGTATCTTTCACGGTTGCTTGTGCTGGTGATCGCCCTCTGGTGATGTGAGGAACTGCAACCCAGAGATCCGAATCACATTTGGTCTAGTCCGGAGCTGCAATACGCGAGCTTTGACCTAGCCGACGAGGTCGAGCAGGCAAGCTCGAGCAGAAGTGCAGAGAATTGAGCCATCGAAATATGTTGCTCATGAGCATTAATTCATGAGCAATTTCACGAACCCTGGATGTGGTGCATGCGTGATCTTACCACCAAATACATATTATGGACCGCCACGTTAGAAGAAACGCGCGCACCCCTCTCTATCTCCTCCTATCATGTCCTCGACACATTCCACGAAGTTGCAACCTTCGGGCTCGCACGGACGGCCTCGTCCACGTCGTCGATAAAGTTTCAAACGACATAGAAGAGCAGCCTCGGGGTAGCCACCAGTGATGGAAAAGTCAACGGAGGCATCATGCGACCTCATGCAACCCCATCGCCTGATAGCCTTCCGACTCCCGAGCCTGTTGATCAAGGTTACGGTATGGTTGGACCGCATGCTCCAGTCTCAGTGGCGTGCAAGTCTCGACGATAAATGGTGCTCCCCGTGTGCGTCGGCCGTCGCGCCTCCCGCCCCACCCCCGCCCTCTTCTTTCTCCTCCCCCCTCCCCCTCTTTCTACCATGGCTCGCTCCTTCCTTGCCCTGATGGCATTCGTTGCGCTTGCAACCACCCCTGTCACCGCGCTATGGCCGGAACCTCGGTCTATGAACGCGGGCAGCACCATGCTTCGGCTCGCGCACAACTTCCAAATAACGACCTCTGGCCACATACCCTCGGACCTGAAGGCCGCCGTCAAGCGCACCGAAAAGAGCCTCGCTGACGACAAGCTCGAGCGGCTCGTCGTCGGCCGTGGTGCCGCGCAGAAGAGCGTGGTCGCCTCCGCGAAGACGCTCTCCCGCCTCAAAGTCTCGCTCGCCGCGGGCGCGGTCTCTGCGAGCGTACTCAGCGAGGCGCAGAAGGCCCCCGAGGCGCGCGACGAGGCGTACGCGCTCACCGTGCCCGCCGACGGCTCCCCTGCGACGCTCACCGCGAACTCGACCCTTGGCTTGTACCGCGGGCTGACCACCTTCGGCCAGCTCTGGTACGAGCTCGACGGCACGACCTATGCGGCCGCGACCCCTCTAAACATTCGGGACTCCCCTGCATACGTGCGTCGTTTCGGAGCACGTCGTGTTTTCGTGGCCTAATGCGTCTGCAGCCCTACCGCGGTCTCATGCTCGACACCGCGCGTAACTTGTAAGTGCTTATATGCGCTTCCACAGTCTCGCAACTAGTTTCCTGACACGTTTTTAGCTTCCCCGTCGCGGATATCAAGCGCACTCTGGACGCTATGAGCATGGTCAAGGTGAGTGTGGTCCTGCTTTTGCGCATACAATCAGCTTCCCAATCCCCGTGCCTCTGCGAAAACGCACACATACTCCATCCGACGTTTCTCCGCTTCCGCATGCAGGATCGGGAGGCTGTGGGAGATAGAAGGGGGATCGCCCCGCAGAGTTCGGGACGCAGAGTTGTTGCATTCTCGTTTTCTAGCGCGCATTTACCCCGCTAGGAATGCTCATCCGCATTTGATAGCTCAACCAGTTCCACTGGCACGTCGTCGACAGCCAGAGCTTCCCACTTCAGATCCCCGGCTTCATGGACCTCTCGAAGCTCGGCGCGTATTCGTCCTCCCAGACCTATAGCCCGGACGATGTCAAAGACATCGTCGAGTACGCTGGCGAGGTGAGCTTTTAGTCCGTTTGTGATGCGTCTGTTCATCTCAGATTCCCATCCTTTAGCGTGGCATTGACGTGATGGTCGAAATGGACACTCCTGGCCATACTGCGATCATTGCTGACGCTCACCCTGATTTCGTTGCTTGCCCTGGCGCCACCCCTTGGGCCACCTACGCTAATGGTACACATTCTATTCTTGGAGGCAAAGCGTTATCTGATAATCTATTCAGAGCCTCCCGCCGGCCAGCTCCGCTTCGCCAACGAGACCGTGACGAAATACATCGGGGACGTCTTCGGTGCCATGTCAAAAATGTTCCCTTCGACTCTCTTCAGTACGGGCGGTGACGAGCTCAACACGAAGTGCTACGACATTGACGAGCCTACGCAAGCCTCACTCAACGCCTCTGGGAAGACCCTTGAGCAAGCGCTCGACACCTTCACGCAGACGACGCACAAGGTGCTCACCGACGCCGGCAAGACGCCCGTTGTGTGGGAGGAGATGGTCCTCGTCCACAACGTCACACTCGCGGCGGACACCAAGGTCCTCGTCTGGATCTCCTCCGACAACGTCAAGGCCGTCGCCCAGAAGGGCTTCCACCTCATCCACGCCGCCTCCGACTACTTCTACCTCGACTGCGGCGGGGGCGGCTGGGTCGGCGACTTCCCGACCGGCAACTCGTGGTGCGACCCGTTCAAGACCTGGCAGCACTCCTACTCGTTCAACCCGACCGCGAACCTCACCGACACCGAGGCCGCGCTCGTCCTCGGCGGCCAGCACCTCCTCTGGGCGGAGCAGTCCGGGCCCGAGAACCTCGACCCCGCCGTCTGGCCCCGCGCCGCGTCCTCCGCGGAGCTCTTCTGGTCCGGGCCCGGGGGGAACATCAGCGCCGCGCTCCCGCGCCTGCACGACGTCAGCTACCGCATGCGCACGCGCGGCATCAACTCGATCTCGCTCCAGCCCGAGTTCTGCACGCTCCGCCCGGGGGTGTGCGACCTCACGGCCTGAGCTGGAGAGGGGGGCTCGTTGCTTCGTTCCGTTCCGGCATCCGAAAAGATGGACACATACATCGGATGTGTGGACGGGGACTTTGACATTTGTACACTCTGGTATAATGGATGATGTCGCGGTTGGCTCTATTGCAAGACGGCTGGCGTGTGACAGTGTACGTGGTCCCGATAGCCTTCCTGAGAAGTAGTTCATGTACATCGCCAAGTCACAATGGGGACTCCAGTAAGGAGTGGCCACGTGTATGTAGATGAGGTGATAGCACACCACCATTTGCTTGTGAGACGGATTGCATGGAAAGTGTGTCGGTAGATTCGCGCCACAATTTACAAAAATTGACATCAACGATCTCTACTGGTAGGTGAAGACGAGACTGAGAAACACACGGGCCATGCAAGACAATTGGCGCCAATCGACTTTGCATGAACGGCCCGGACGTCCCAGTCGCGTCACGCTCACGGCTCGAGTCGGAGCGAGCGTGGCAGCGACCGGCGCTCCTGGGCTCGGCGACTCTCACCATTCCCTCCTCCTCGTCTGCATAACCTCCGGCCACTCCGGCGTCCCTTCCTCGTTTTTGGGCTGTATTCATACTAGAACATACCCTTCTTCTTCAGCAAGTCCCTCGATACCATGGCCCTCTCGAGTTCGGTAAAGAGAGCTCTTTTCGACGGTGAGCTTTCTCGCATCCGTGCGCTCTTTACAGCCGACTGAAACTACGCCTAAGCCGCACTTTTCACGGCCTCACAAGTACGTTTAGATTTTGTGAGCTCGTTCTGGTCCTGACAGCCTCTGCAAGATAGCTCTCTACTACACCATCCGAGTGCGTTTGTTTCTTCGTCCTCCACTTGCCTGCCACTCATCTTCACTCTCAGTGGGTACTCGACTCCGTGGCGTCACCAGTAGAGAAGAAGGAGGTCAAGCAGAAGAGTCTAGAAGCACTAGAGAGTCTGGGCCACAAAGACCTCAAGTTGGATGAATATGAATGTATGCCTGCCCTTGATTTCTTCCCTTCCTTGTCCTCAAAGCCTCCCAGCGCAGATAGCGTCCGAGGTAATACACCCTGATGACATTGACGTCCGCTTCGTCGGTGAGTACTCTCTAGTCTAGCCCCATATACCATCTTTAACTCTCCCCGCCTCCAGACATCGGCGGTCTGGAACCCATTATCGAGTCCCTCCGCGAATCCGTTATCTTCCCCCTCCGCTTCCCGCATCTCTTCCAGTCGTCGTCACTCCTGGGCGCACCGAAAGGAGTCCTTCTCTTTGGCCCACCCGGATGCGGCAAGACGATGATGGCGAAGGCACTCGCGAAGGAGTCCGGCGCGACATTCATCAACATCGCCGCCTCGGTGCTCACCAACAAGTGGTACGGTGAGAGCAACAAGCTCGTCGCGGGTCTCTTCTCCCTCGCGCGCAAAGCGCAGCCCGCGATAGTTTTCATTGACGAGATCGACTCCTTCCTCCGCGAGCGGACCAAGGGCGACCACGAGGTAACGGGGATGATGAAGGCCGAGTTCATGACGTGAGTCTCCTGCATTCATTGGTCGTTTCCGCGCTTGGGTGCCAACAAGAGGACAGGCTGTGGGATGGATTGACCTCGAGCACGGACCGGATATTGGTCCTCGGGGCGACGAACCGGCCAACCGACATCGACTCCGCGATTCTGCGCCGTATGCCGAAACGGTTCGCAGTTGGACTTCCGGATGTGGACCAGCGAGAGAAGATTTTGACTCTGGTGAGTGTCCCAATTAAGCCCTTATCTTCTCTCGTGTCCCTAATTTCGCGATAGATGCTCCGGAATACGGATCTCGTCCCTGGTTTCAACTTAAGATTGCTTGCGGAGCAGTCCGTGGGGCTCTCAGGTTCGGATTTGAAGGAGCTGTGCCGGAATGCTGCCATGCTGCCGATGCGAGAGCTGCTCCGGGAGTCGCACGGAGACCCGGAGAAGCTGGCGGGCATTCAAACAGAAGTACGTCCTACCTCGCTCCTGTCAGCTTGTGTGAGGCTCATGCGTGTATCAAGGATTTCAAGCTACGTCCGCTGAGCATGACCGACTTCTTCCAGCGAGAGGCAACAAGTCCGCTGCCTGTGGACTGAGATGGGTGTGCTTTGCTTTGGTGGGCGGCGAGTTCACGAGTTCTCACGGTGCACGACCCCTGGTGTATATGTACGCGCGTACATTATAGTCATCTAATGCATGATAGACGTGTTGTTCTTATCTTGTTCGCGGCGCTTGACTACCCGCAGCTCGACCATGCACAGTTCATGTGCAGCGGCACCCACGTCAGCACGTCTCCATGAAACATGCTCCACGCCACACAGTTCGTCTAGGCTCCTCTCCTTTCCCGGCGTTTGTCTCACCAGCTTCTGCTGCAGGATGTTGGCGCTTCGCCTCATTCACTCCAAAAGGATTCCTGGTATCGAATCGAAGTATAGGGCGGAGAAACGCGTGGGGCATGGTTGTGCCAGGGGCTCGGGCTAACCTGGGTACCCGCTAGTCTCCGTGTCATGGCCGGTGCGGTACCGCTCTCGTTTGTTCCAGACTAGTCCAGCTCTTTCCAGGAAGCTTTATGCTGGGTTTGAAAGTTCAAAATCCAGATATCCATCCCGCCGTTATTTCGCAATCACTGCCACGGTTCTCTAGGATCCGAAGGAGGCGATGTTCCCATGGGAGAGACACTCGCTCCTAAAGTGCGCGCTTGACCCTGCTTGACCCCTCCCGTCACGATTTAACGCGATACTGCGCCGACCTGGGGCCCGCTCACAGAGATGGTGACGCTAGGCTTACAAGGATTTGCGGATGTAGAAGCTCAGTTATGAGCTGGATATCTCGACACCCACTCCTTCTCATTTCCTTTCCCTCCCAGGAAAGGGCTGATCTCTCTAGTTCATGATATCTTGCTACTCGTGCTCACAAGGTACATAAAGCTGGATGAGAGGCCGCTGTGCGTGGGCACACGGAACTGCCCCTCGAAAACTCCGTCGACATGCCTCTCATCGTCTCTACCCCAGCCAGCGGGGGCGTGTACAACAACAGCAGCATCAGCAACTTCACCCTTATCCAAACGAGTGCAACGGGGGAGAACTGTGAGCACTTCTTGTACGTGCGCGGCCTACGTATGCTTACACTGAGCTCACTAGGCCTTCTGTCCTCCCACCCCTATACGTTATGGCTATGGATCGTCCTCGCGGTTTCCGCCGCCGGTTTCTTGGCAATCGCCATCAGAAAAGGAACGAGGGCCGTCAACAGCCTCACACAAGCAATATTGGCCGCGGGCACAACCGCTCTCTCGGACCGCACCGCCCTTCTCCCGGCGCCTCCTGCTTGTACTCCAAGCGACACTCCCACTCCATCCGAGCAGCCCCCGGAGGACTCAGGAGGAGGGAACCATTCGGGTTCCGCGGGGTTTGCGGGGCTCAGGACAGCGTCGCAACGCTGTCGTGCCAAGGTCAGCGCGGCGGGGAAGTTCGTCCTCGGATGTGTCTTCTACGCCTTCTACGCGTCCATGATGGTGCTGGGCATCGTCTACGCCGGGGATGCTCCGTCGTTCGAGCTGCCTGCCCCCGTTCTCGCCGTGCGAGGAGGACCACGTTCTCAGTGAAGTTCCGAAACGGTGGAAGAACAAGAGCAGCGATCACTTGCGCGAACTTGACTAGGTACCCGCATACATAGAGAAAATCCCGGCGGCACCGTTGGAACTGCACTTATAAAGGTAGGAGGGTTGCTTGGTACTCTGTTTGGCGCGAACCTCATGTCTCAATGTGCATTCTTGGCAGACTCACCCTGTGAGTGGTGGATGGGCATGTACATTACGTGATGTTGTACCTAGCGTTAATTGTCTTTCAGAAGTCAAGACGTGAAGCCTGTTACGAAGGCGATACTGCCCTCGCGGACAAGGTGCACATGGCACCCGGGCGCAGGGAGAGCTTTCGGGGGCCTCTCCGGTGTCTCCAGGGACGGGCTCATCATGGCGCTGACTGTAACGACATGTGGGCGTCCTCGACGATCCCATCCTCGACGTCGACACGCACCGCCACGGGAGCTTCTTCCGGCTCGTCGGAATGCTTCCGAGATGGGCGGAAATCCGGGCGTCACAAACTCGCGGACGTCAGGCTGCTGCGCACTGGTTGTTTCAAGGAACGTGGATCGGCGTAGTGTGGTTGTGAAATAAGCTACAATCATATGCCCCTGCCACACCGCGCTGTAGGTCGTATATACATGAGATTATCGTGCAATGTTAGGTGCGGAACTGATCCGCGAGGTGGGTAGTAATCATGACGAGGTATCGTGGTGCATGAAGAGGGGTGTCCGTAACATCAAATGCGATAGATAACAACTAACAAGTCATGAGAAGGGCTGTGGGCCGTGCGACGCTCAGAATGTCTTCGAGCGCGAGGCGGGTTTCGGCTCGTCTGAGCCTGCATACGGTGGTGCCCCTGCTACCATCGGGCGAAGGAACGCGAGCGGCGGTGGTGGGAACGGCTCTTCCGGGGCTCCAGGGTATGGCGGAAGATCGTCCACAGGCCCTTCGGGATCGGTGGGTCGCCGCGTTGGTGTGCGCCGAGCGGAGGCGGCGAGAGTGGTCGTGGTTGTGGACGCATTTGCAGCTCTGCGACGTCGTCGATAATGCATGACCAAGGCAATCATGCCGAAAATTAGGACCACTGAAGGAAGCAAAGGGCGTCGTCAGTTTGGTGGTCAGACCGGGGAATGAGCGAGGGCACTGACATGCGACGGCCACGACTGCACCGATGATCGCCGTGCTGTTGTTTCCTCCTTCTGAATCGGAAGAGTCGACAACCCGGGCTTGGAGGAAAGCCGAAGAAGAGGAAAGGACAGGAGCCATGTGTAAGAAGGTTGTCTGCCAGTGACCTGTATATGTACTTGGGAGTAGTTGTACCGCCCGGCGAGGCACCGACACACCGCAGTCGGGAGGGTTTCCGAGCTCTCGCTGCACACCCCGAGAATGAGGGGAGCCGGTTGTCATTGTAGATGACAAACCCGCGCAAGCGCAATACCTGAGGTCAACAGATCAATGCCTCATTTCATCCGAGTCTGTGCCACATCAATGCTTACTGGATGATGGGCGCAAAGAAGTACGCTGGCTCGACGGTCGGGCACAGCAAAGTTGGGGGAAGATTTCGTCCGGCCGATCCTGGGCAATGCTGTGTAGTCCAGGACTCGGACGTACTGGCGAGGCATGAGGTCCGCGAATTTGACAGACTCCGACGAGCACGGGGTGGAATAAACAGATCTATTGCAGGAGGCCGGAACTGGGGGTATACATGATGAGGAGAAATGTACAGAACCACCGTCCCATCCTCCTAGCGATGAGAGCAAGGAAGACATGAGGGCACTAAGACGTCTGAGTCACTCTTGACGCGGCCTGACACTCCAACGACCGCGTGGAAGAAGGCAGTCATGAGCAACATGGGGAAAAGCTTGGCCGGGTCGCCGCACGAAGGAAAGCAGCAACGCGTGGCGCACGGTCTATAAACCGAGGGCTTCAGGGCAGGTCATGACATCAGTCACGTGTCTGCGCGCCCGCGCGTCGAGCTCACCGATGGCCGCCGCGCTCTTGACGATGGTACCATGGCTAAACTCGATTCCTGCTCCCTCTCACTGCCTGCGACCGTCTCTCTTGCCAATGCTGGCAAAGGCGACGTAAATCTCACCGAAGCATCACTCTCGGCCTCTGCTGCCTCCTGTATCGCCTTCTGGGGCCCTCCTCCAGGACTCTCAAACCCCATCGAATCCACCGACAAACACGACGCGCGCACCGCGCAGAGAGTCGCGATAGGCTGTACCGATGGTTCAGTATTTATCCTGGACGTCCCAGCTCCCACAAGTCCTTCAGTCGCACCCCGAACCCCGCACGGAGACCCACTCTCTCCCCCACTTAGTCCAAGGCGATACCTCGGACTGGGCCACGCTTCTTCGCGGTCCGCGTCGCCTTCTTCCACCATCCCTGCCCTCTCGCCCTTCCACGTGACGCGCTCCCGCATCGTCTCCTCCGTCACCACTGAGCAGGCGGAAGCCCCGAAGAACTATGTCGACTTCGAGGATGAGCAGGAGAGGCTGAAGGGCATGCTGAAGGGCAAGGAGCAGCGGATGAGGCACGCGTCGCGGTCGCGCACTCGCCCAGAACGCAACTCGTTCTCGACCGACCGGTCTCTCGCTGCCACCCCGAGCTCCTCGAACGGCGGGGGCAGCAGTCAGAAGAAGGAGGACGCGCGAAGTTACCTGTCGGCGGCTCTATCTCCTGCTCCATCCACGCTGTCCCTGTCTGGCCCGCCATCTCCCACGTTGTTTCCAGCAGTGTCGTCAGAGTCTAACTCACCTCCCACTGCAACTTTGCGCTATCATGTCTTTCCTCCACAATCTAGTACCGGTCGGCCCGTCTCCTCCGTGAAGACGCACGACGGTGGTCGATACTTCACATGCCTCCTTGAGACAGGGTGAGTGTATGTTCAGTCTATGCGCTCATCATATACATGGGTGCCGACTACTATCTCCTAGGGCTCTGTCTGTCCACTGTACTTCTGATGGACGATGTGTTGCTTCAATCACGGCGGAGGTCAAGCCGCCTCCCTCAACAGTCGCGGGAAAAGTTCAGACAACGCCTCCTATGTTGTGGGTTTGGAGGTCATTGCTTGTTGCGGCATCCGACGAGGTGCGCTGCTTCGCCTCTGGTGGGGTTTCAGTGTTAATGTCTTCATTTTTATGTACCTGTGTACCGTATAGTCAATTGCGATATTTGCATGTGCATCCCCTCACGAATTTTACCCTGCTGGCCAAGTCATGGAGTCCGTTTCGGACTCAGAGCGTCAAGCTATCGTGGCGGTTTACGAACTTATCCTTCCGGGAGAGGCTCAGGCCGGGGAAGCAAGTCTTGAGCATCTGGGACAGTGGCCGGTCAATGGGCAAGTTGACACTATCGGATTGCGCGCCGAACCCGATCGTAAGCACCTGAACATACACTGCCCCGAGCGGGAAATCTCTAAGCATTATCTCCAGACAGTTTGACGCTGTTTCACATCGGTCCTGCCGGCCACTTCAGCTCGCGTACCGTTCGGGTTCTCGGCCCCCTTCCGGACACTCCGCCAGACCTACCAGAGTCTTCGTCGACCCATCTTCCGCTCCCCAACCCCTTCAAGGTCCTCAAGTCTCTCTCAACGGACCATCTCGCGGGCACCAACAAGGATCAGCCGTTGACGCGACTCGAGCTGAGCAACGACGTGGTCACCGGCGAGATCAACTCGGATTTTCCCATAATTGGACTACGAGCTCATGATAACGGCGACGCTGTGCGATGGTGCGCTTGGTCTGCGCAAGAAATGATGGTGTGTGTCTTCGCATCCATTTGTACCTATATGTCACCGACGTACGGCAGGTTTGCGACTGGTCGAACGATCATCTTGAACAAAGCGCCAGCATCCCTGCGACGAAGGTCCGCGATGTCAAGTGGATGGACCATGACTCATTCGTGGCTCTCTTTTCCGACCGAGCTGAAGTCTGGCGGGTGGCCGCCTCCCCAGGTCGAACACCCTCAGACATCCAGTAAAGTCGCATGTTATATGTCTTGCGCACCAGCTCACTATCCCGTAGGTGCCAGATGGTCCAGAGCGCGCCTTTCACCCCTGGCGATGCTGTAAGCCTGGCTCCCGGGGGCCACATCGTCTCCACGCACTTGAAAGACAAGACTCGCAGAATACACTATCTACCATTGGAACCCTCTATGAGCCGTCCTCCGCAGTCACGCACGCTGTGGGCAGGACACCGCAGCGACGGCGGCGCGAAGCTCCGGTCTCGTATATCATATATGCTGCCGCTCGAACTCGACTTGATCATTGCCGGCTACTGTACGCCCATCCTTTCCAACCTTTTCTTGACTTGGCTGATCGGTCTCACAGCTGACGGCTTGATCCACCGAACTTCGCTCATCGACCTCATTCAGCATACGCGCCAGGATAAGTCAACATCCGATATATCTCTCGGCGGCGCGGTCGTCCACCTGGATATTGTCCAAAACCCGAGGACAAATGAGCGCGTACTCGTCGGGGGCTCGGATGACGGGGCGATTGCAATCTGGGATATCTCGTGAGTGTGGTGATACCCCTGGTGCCAGAGATCGCGCTCACCCGTGGCTCCGGTTGCAGGACCTTGGCGGCATGCGCGCGGTGGACGGTGTTCACCACACCGCTCGCTCAGGTGATATCGCTGCATGACGAGGACGTCGGGCGATTGCACGGGTGTGTCCTCTGCGTCTCTCAAGACGGCACGGTCGCTGTCGTCGCCATCGATGACTACCAATTGTGTGTAAATTCCAGTATCCGATGCGCGGACAGCTCACCGGGCTTTATCTAGTGTGTATCTTGTGCCTGGCTCTGCGGCACCGCTCGCGCGAATATCTCTTTCGGAGGACAATATGTTGTTGGTATATGCGGATGGGCGGGCACGGCTATGGGATACGCGGACGCGAGAGTTCTGGCGCTCTATGAGCATAGAGAAGGGAGAGGAACTCATTCAAGCCGGCGGATGGTCACAGTGGTGCGTCACCTCGGCTTGGCCTCCCTGGATGAGTTTTGAGGTCCAGACGCAGGTCCATCGGCGATCGTCCCGAGACCCGCTGCTCTCTCAGGGCGTTGAATCACGGCGCATCCCCGGACGCAGGTGAGCATGTCGTTCGACAATGTGCCTTCGGCGGCTGATCGAAACTCCCTCTTAGCATCGACACTGCTCCTGGACATCTCATCGGTTTTGAGGCAGCTATCGGCAACCCCAGCCTTGGCCAGCAGCGCTTCCAATGCTCTCAGCCCGAAGGCGAAACTCGAGAACGCCCGCGCCGTGCTCTCCATGCTCCTCACCTTTGGCGTAAGCGAGGGAGTCGACTCGATTTGCACAGAATCCCTAGGCATCGCCCCACATCCTGCGCCTTTGGGACTGTCTAGGTCAGCATTTCCACCGCGAACATGCACATCGCTACTGAAAGTTGATTTCCAGCAGCGACGCCGTGTCACTTTTCCCGTCAACGGCACGTTCTGATGCGTGGACAGTGTCACCTGAAGCTTCAGCGGATCGTGCACTTGTGATCTTGTCGCTGCTGCATTATCTGACTCAATATGAGGGTGCGTTCTCGCCTTATCATGAAGTTGCACAGCTAAGTGACATGCTTGCTTGACGCAGATCTCGCTCAAGATGCCAATACCGTCATGACATTCTACACGGCCTCTGTCGGACAGCTGGTGCTGGAGTCCTACCAGCCTCCCAGCCTCCCTCGGTTGGGACAGCATCTTCTGAACACCCTGTGTGAGTGGTCGAGCATCGTTGTCGGAAGACCAGGTCTGATGGTGTTGCAGCTTCGGAAGTCCGCCACACAGCACGATTGCTTTTTGATGCTGGTGTAGCACGATTGTCAGACCACGAGACGACCGAGATCATGGATAACTGGCAGAATTACCGTCCGTCGCTCTATTGTCTTTGACTGCAGCATGATTGCTTACAAACTCATTTTCTTAGTGCCTACGCTCCGCTCGGAGAAGGAGAAGGAGTCGCAGCAGAGTGCTCTGGCGCTTTGTGTGTGCGGGTTCATTGCCGTGGACAAGTACACGTTATTGACGCCAGGGTCTGTCGTTCAATTTGATGGCATTCGAACCCAACCTGACCGTAATACAGCACCCTAACCGAAATCGCGAAATCAATCGCCCTCTACCTCCACGACGAAGCCTCCCCTTACCGCTCCCTCGCCATCGACCTCTGCTCCCGTGGCTTCCAAGTCTGGCAGCAATACGTCGACGCAGTCGAGATGCTCCGCGCGCTCTTCACCCTCGCGACGACGACGAAGAAAGAAGCGATCGCGGCACAGAACGTCGGCGCGCAAGCGCGCACGGCGGTCCTCCAGATCGCCGCCTCGAACTCGCCCCTCTTCATGACCACGCTCGCGATCGACATCCTCCACCCGCGCTCGCCCACCGCCCGCCGCGCCGTCCTCCAGCTCGTCGTCTTCCTCGTGCGCAAGCAGCCGCTCGTGCTCTACGCCGGCCTCCCGCGCCTGCTCGACGCCGTCGTCAAGGCGCTCGACCCGAACGCGTCCGCCGCGCGCGAGGCCGCGCTCGACCCGGCGACGGAGATCCTCAGCCACATCGTGCAGACGTTCCCGACCGTCGACTTCCACGGGCCGACGCAGCGCCTCGCCGTCGGCACGAGCGAGGGCGCGGTCGTGATGCACGACCTCAAGACCGCGACGCGCCTGTACGTGCTCGAGGGCCACAAGCGGCGCACGACCGCGTGCAGCTTCTCGCCCGACGGCCGCCGGCTCGTCACCGTCTCGCTCGAGGAGGCGGCGGTGCTCGTGTGGAAGGTCGGGAGCAGCTTCACGAGCTTCTTCCTGCCCGGGGCGCCGCCGCGGCAGGGGCACGGCGGGTCGGAGCCGTTCAAGCGGCTGAGCTTCAACATCGGAGAGGCCGGTGAGTCGTCCGTCCTGTCTCGCGCTCCTCTTGATGCCGCGCTAACCCTCGCTGCAGCACACATGAGCCTGGAAGAGACGCTCGTGAACGTGCGGTTCGAGTGGGCGGGAGACCGGAGCGTGAAGCTCATGGTCAAGGACAGCGTCATGACATTTAGCACCTAGTGCGCGATCCGTACGCCGCTGCTGGCCGTCTCTGTTGTATCCGTCGCCTTTCGCGCTCATCCAAAAAGCCGTCCATTATTACTCAGATATACGTCCTAAAGTACACGCGGAGAGAACCCACTCGCTCGTAGAGTACAGTCGTTTTCACAACCCGCGCGACGCCCCGGCGCAGCCGGTCGCCGTCTCGGTCTTCAGAGCGGGTACTTGAGCGAGAGCTCAATGACGAACGACATCGCGTCCTTCCGGAAGTCGTCCGTCGTGATCTTCGTCGGGGTGAACCCGTCGAGGAACGTCATCAGCTGCGGCTGCGCGACGGTGTACTGCGGCCACGCCGGGACCGTCGGCCCGTTCGGGTCGAGGTTGTTCGTGAAGTTGATGAGGTAGTCCGTGAGCTCCCCGCCGCCGAAGACGTTGAGCACGTCCGTGACGTGGAACGCGCCGAGGACGGGCGTCACCTTGAACCGCTTGCTCACTGTCGCTGGCGTCAGCACGCACGAGGCGGAGGGAAGGGAGCCTGAGGGAGCGAGCGAGAGAGGACGCACGGAAGGAGTACACGGGCTGGTCCGCGGCGCGCTGCTGGAGGAAGAAGCGGCGGGCGGCGTTGAAGACGAGGTCGCCCTGGAAGGCGGCGATGCGCTTGAACTGGGGCGTGATCGCGTTGAAGGCGCCGGTGCCGAACGGGGAGCCCGCGGAGGGCGTGCTCGGGTAGAGGGAGAGAAGCTTGTCGAGCTCGGCGTCGGTCGCGTTCGGGGTGAAGACGTCCTTGATGTACGACCGCGCGCCGGCGTCGGTCGTCACGTTCAGCGAGGAGAGCGAGAAGAGCGTGCCCTCGTCCTCGCAGTCCTGCGGGCGGGGCGGTCAGCGGTCAGCGGGGGGAGCGGCGCCGGCGGGCGGGCGCCGGGACGGACGGCGGACGCACCCCGGAGACGAAGGGGATCTTGGCGACGCTGCCGTTGACGACGAGCTGCTGCGACGGCTGGGTGAGGAAGACGCCGTCGACGCGCGGGATCCAGGCGAGCTTGAGGGCCTGGAAGGAGAAGAAGGAGGGCGAGGCGTCGACCGCCTTCTTGAGCTTGCTGAAGTCGACCTCGCGGAGGCACTGCAGCGTGTCCGCGGCGCCCGTGCAGCCGGTCTGGGACACGAGCGCGTCGTAGTCGCCCTGGCCGTGCTCGATGTCGCCAACGGGGATGGGCGAGCCGCTCTCCATGAACGCGCCGCGGAAGAGGCCCTGGGGGTCGCCGCCGTTGGAGACCATGTGGAGTGCGATGGAGATCGCGCCCGCGCTCTCACCCCAGCTGCGGGGCGCGGTCAGGGCGTGCCGGCAATGCAGAGGACCGGGGAAGGCGGACGCACATGGTTACCTTGGACGGGTCGCCTCCAAATTGGGTGATGTACTTCTGTACCCATTGAAGTGCGAGGCGTTCTGGACGGGAAGTCAGTGGATGACGGTGCCAATGAAGGGAACACGTCGCTCACGGTCTTGGAGGCCGAGATTGCCGACGCCGGCCGCTTTCACTTCCTTGCTGGCAAGGAAGCCGTACGCTGCGTGCACCCATCAGCTTCCTGTAGTAGGGTGCCCCAAGGAGCCAGGTGCTCACCAGAGACGCTACATGAAAGAATAAGCTGACAGCATAGTGTTGTCCCAGATGGCGCTCACCGATAGTTCATGCTCACGAAAATCATGGGCGACTTCATAGCGGCCGAGCGCTTGACGATGCCACCCCCGTCGTATCTGCGCACGATACTCAACGAGCCGCCACCAATGCGCAAAAAGGCGCCCACGTACATGTTAGTGCCGCCGATCTCGAAGCCACCTGCGCACCGGGGATAAACGTTCGCGTCAGCCGGATGTGCCCACGCTCGCCATGCGCCGAGACTCAGGTGACCCAGTCTTACCTCCGAAAATCCACTACCGCATGGTCAGCGAACGATGAACGGGAAGCGAAACAGGGCACGCACCACAGCGACGGGCAGATTGTCGCCTGCTTTGGTCCCATCAGGAACCATCACGTTGAGCGAGAGACCTGGAGCGGGCAGAGGGCAGTTCGTCAGTGACTGCCCTTGAGCACAGGCTGGTGGCCGCGCGCAGACATACAGTCTTCGGCGGAAGGCTCGATGAGCGAAAGGAAGCCGTTGACGACGGTGTCTGCGGCATCGGAGAGCACACCAGAGAGGACCGGGAGCGAGAGCGCCTGCTGGGGGCACGCCGGTCCGAAAGCGGTCGCGGTCTGAGTGCCGTTGTAGGGATCGACAGCAGCGGGGAGGTTGAAGCGCAGGTTGCCGACACTGCGGGGGGAGTCCAGAGTCGGGGCGGGAACGTGAGCGACGCTGGAAGGACGGGGGGGATGGAAGGGGGGACGAGAGGGGGACGTACGGGGCCTTGGCGAAGGGGATGCCGAGGAACTTGTTCACGCTGCCGTCCCCGGTGCCGACGAAGGTGGCCTTGTCGAGAGTGACCTTTGGGGAGGTACGCTTCTCGAGGACAGGCGTGTCGGGCGCGGTGGGCGCGGCGAGTGCGGTAGCTGCGAGGAGAAGGGGAAGGCAGAGAAAGCGGATGGACAGCATCGCGGGGGTGGGTGGACCGGGCGAGCCGGACGAGAGGAGGGGCGTGGAGCGGGGAGGTGCTTGGAGGCCCTCGAGCCCGAGCCGCGCATTTAAAGCACGCGAGGTTTGGAAGGAGAAAACATCCTCGGTCACTAGAAATCTGCGATCGGGGCAAGGCAAAGAAGCAAGCGGAGAGCGGAGAGGGAGCTGATGGTTGAGGCCGGCGCACGTGGACGGGAGAGTCTGATAGTCTCACCCCGCCGCTCTCCGAGTTGCGCATGCGTGAGGCAGACGGTTCTCGTATCCAAGAGGCCCCGGGAGGGTCACAGGGCCGGGGCAGCATGCGTGGTTGATGTTGTCTGAAGCGTCGTGTGATGGGCTAGTGGACCGACTTCCGTAGGGCTCAAGCCAGGTTTGGTGTGCTCGGGTCCCAGCTTCTTGTGCGGGCGGGCCCACCTGAGACATCGCACAAGTCGTGAGCCGACCTGAGCCGACATGAGCCGACGCGTAGAGACGAGCCTTCAGGGCACACGTTAAAGGCTGTCGTCGCGCCTGTCGCGCCCGACGCCTGTGCGACGCGCGCCCTGCAGCTAGCATCCGTACCCGCACGACGCGACGTCCGCTCGTGCACCGCGAGTACACGACGTCGCCGCGCGCGGTGCTTTCAGAAGATTTGTTCCGCCGGAGGAGGACAAGGGACGTGGCCGTCTACTACGACGCCAGCCGCGCAGACAGGCACGTCGACCGTGTGACGCGCTCGTCCTCCCAGTACGTACCAGCTCGGGCGCACGGGCTCAGTTTTAGACTTCGTGTTCGAGTCCGCTCGGGCTCGCAATCGCGGCGCGTGGTCTCCAAGAAACTTGAAGCGCGCGGCAGAGACAACCCATAACCCACAGGGGCGGACGAGCGCGGCGAAGTGCAGCGCGAAGCGTAGCGCCATCTGCTCGAGGACGAGGACGAGCGGCGCCGTGTCTTGAATCCACACAGGGCTGCAGCGCGCGGAAGACGCGGCGAAGACGAGGTCCTCTCTGCACGAGATCGCATCCGATATGCTCTTGTCGACGATGAGCTCGACGCTGTCCATCGCCCGCCCGAGAATCTCCGGCCGCGCCCGCACAAGAAGCTGGGTTCGAATTTGCTTGTGAGCCGAGCCTACCCAAGCACATCAAACCTGGATGGCGCCCTGGGCACGAAAGGCACGTATAGCGGTCGCGTGGCCCTCGACCACGGTGCAGGGCCCAGCGGGAGGCCTTGGGAGGGCGCGTCGGATCTGCGGCTTGATCGCGAGTGGTTGGCTGAGCAAAGTCCTCACGAGTCACGGGCTGTGCAGTTGCGGGCAGCGCGTGCGCGGGATTTTTGCATGGCACCAGGGTGCGGACTTTAGCGCACATGGGATCCACTGCGATGGAGCAGGAGTGCCTGTAGAGACCGAGCTGCGAGCAAAATGTTATGGAGAAAGAGGTCTTCAGACGTCTGGTAAGGCAGAAACTTTTAGCGAACCCCAACATGCACGGGTCAGTGCGAGCTGGCAACAGGCGAATGGGTTGATGTGTATGAGTTACATGGGCTACTTTCCATGCCTTTGATATACGAGACCACGGTTCAAGTGAGTAGACACTATGGTGTCGAGTCCAGTCTCGATGGCATGCGCGACGTCCATGGCACGAGGTCCGCGGCGGACGCGCAAGCAGCCGAGTGAGTGGGCCCACAATCGGATCGCACTTTGTACCCTCTGAGATCAATATTTCTCACCCGAGTCGTGCATTGCTAGGCAACCTTTTTTCGCAATGGAGGGCGGGTGGGACCAAAACGATTGTATCGATGTGAGAGCGGGGTTTCGAAAGGGAACGAGCGCGTGCTCGAGCCGACAATTGGCCCCGGTAGTCAGCACCCCTCACGCACAGCACGCATGTCGACAACTCCCCGCTAGAAGCCCGGCGCCCGCTCGCGACTGCAGGCCACAGACTCGGGGCGTCATGCAATGCATACGTACAGCTGGACCCTGGTAACAAAACGATAGCCGACCGATGGGCGAGCTCAGCGCTCAGCGCTCGCGTGTGCAGCGCGCGGGGCAGCTCGCGCATGGTGGTCGCAGTCCCAGCTCCCTTGTGCACCCCTCACGATGTGGTGCTCGTCGTGAGCACGCGGAGGTTGGGTGCATATCTGTAGAACATGGATTCTGACAATGTCCGTAACGGGGTTCAGCGGCGCTTACCTCCTCGTCTAGCCCGTGGCCGTGGGTTCGAATCCTGCTGTCGTCACTTGAGCCGTTCAGATATGATTTTGCCGTTTGGGTCAAGATCCGACAGGGAGGACAGCCAACGGTGTCCCTACATCTGCCTCTCCACTCGTTGCCTCTCTCACAATGTGTCATAAGCAGCGAGTTTCGGGCCTTTGTGTTCGATTCTTAAACTTGCCTCAACAAGTGGCGGGACAGCCTCTCTGGGCGTCTCCCGCCTTGTCTCAGGCCTCAGCGGTCCTTGACTCCCCATCCTCGGCCTCGGTCTCTCACAGCTTTCTTTCCCGGCGACAACCCTCAATATGGTGAACCTATCGCCGATAGAGCGACATCTTAACTTCTACCGGATTCACCTCCTCGCATTGTCAGTTTGTTCTCCTCACCTCGCGCCAAGCGCCAAGCGCATCATGATGCTCGGGGCGGACTGACGTTGTAACTGTGCACAGCATCGTTCTTCCGCTCCTCTGGGCAGTCGTCTTCTGGGCCTGCAACGGCGCATTTCCCGTCGCCTTCATCGACTCTCTTTATGTCTGCATCAGCGCCGCCACTGGCACCGGCCTTCTCACCCTCGACCTCAGTGGTCTCACCGCATGGCAGCAGGTGCTCATCGTACTCATCGAAATCGTTGGCAACCAGGTCAGTCAGCCTCTGCTTCGGTCGACCCATCGCTCCCTTTGTGACGCGAGCGGCGTGGTTGGTGCTCGACGTGGCGATGCATGTTCAAATTGTTGAAAAATGTCAAAAAATGTCTTCTCATATCGGGTGCTTGGTACAGGGGTAAACCCTTCATCCGGATTTCTGTTGTGGCGTTACATATAGAGCCGGTCATCTAATCTTCTCGAAATCTCCTTTCAGGCATTCGTTGCGTGGGTTGTCGTAGTCGTGAGGAGGTAACAACTTCTTAATGCTTCCCGCGTCACTCGGTACTAATCATCAATCATAGATCGTACTTCAGACAGAGGCTCCGCCACATCGTCGAGGCCGAGATGAAGAGAACATCTACCATCGAACATTCGCAAGACGTCCCTTCTTCTACGCGACATATCAGAGAGACTCTGAAAAGACTGAAATTCAAGCAAGAAGAGATGGAACGAGCCTCTCGTGAAAACTCCAAGCTTCCCCAGGCTCCCAAAAGCGTCGTTCGTGCAGATATGATCCGCAGACTAGATGTCGCGCCCCGGCCTATCGACCCTATGGCGTCCATGCCCACTCCTTCCCCGTTGACCGCGGATACTTCGCCGAGACAACAGGGATCGACATGGCCCACCGCTCCCTCAGTCGGCGCTCGCAGCCCTCAGGCTCAGGACACGTCGCTCCCCGGTCCCGCCTGTCGCCAGCGCCGCTTCCTCAGAGGACAGCTTCGGCGGGTTTCCGAACGTGGTCGAGCTCGCCTCGAGACTCCTGCGCCGGGTCGCTCCTCGCGCGGCCCGCAAGCTACAGCGCACGCTCACGATGCCCGCGCGGAGACGTTGGTCCCTACCGGCGGCGGCGCGGCGCTGACACCAGAAGGCCCGGTAAAGTCGGTGCCGTACCTGAGCTTCAGCGCGACCGTGCGGCGCAATTCTGCCTTCTATGGCCTCACTGCGGAGAACATCGAAGAGCTTGGAGGGGTCGAGTACCGCGCGCTCAGCGCGCTTCTGTGGATAATCCCTGTGGTGCGTAACTCGCAGGGCGCACGCGACAGATGCCTGACTGTGTATTCCCTCCTGATGCGGCGGCATGGCGGACGTCCTGCAGTACTACTTCGGGATCTTGGCGGTCTCGTTCATCATAATCGCGCCGTACATGTCCCTGCCAGAGTGGGAGAGCAACTTCCATCCGCCTCTGCAACATCGTGTCATCAACCCAGTCTGGTGCGTCACGCGTGCTGTGCTTAACGCCGAGTCCGCAGTAATTCCCCGCCCGCAGGTTCTCCGCGTTCCAAGTGATCGGCGCGTGGGCAAATACAGGCAGGGCCACTTCTGTTCAGTCAGGAAATACGTGTGATTCTCACCGGTGATGTCGGTCTTGCTAGGGATATCGCTCGTCGACCAGAATGTAGTCCCCTTTCAGACGGCGTACATCTTCATCCTCGTCCTCGTCTTTTGTGTTCTGGCCGGCAACACATGCCTCGTGAGTTCCCATGCTAAATCATGTCGGCCCCCGTTTACTGACGCCGCGCGTCCCCCAGCCCGTCTTGTGAGTCTCCAACCCTTGTCTTCAGGGAACGCCTCCGCTGATCCACGCCCCTCCGTCGTGCAAAGTCTCCGCTTTCTGATGTCCGTGCACCCATTTTTGTCTCCACGTAGCGTTTCACCTCACATACCCGTCCGTGTTCTAGCTGGACGCTATGGAAACTCCCCGGCCCGGCCCGGTACAAGGAGGCCCTGCATTTCCTGCTCGACCACCCGCGCCGATGCACGATCTACCTCTTCCCCGCCCGCCAGACGTGGCTCCTCATCGGCACGATCATGGTTCTCAAGTGCGTCCCCTCCCGCTCCCCCAATTCAGTCTCCCTCCCCCGGTCGCCCTCCCGTGCCCGGCGAGCCCGAGCCCCGGTTATGTGCCCCCACGCCTCGCTGACCGCGCGTGCGCAGCCTCACGAACCTGCTCTTCGACCTCGTGCTCAACATCGGGAACCCGGCCACGGAGGCGCTGCCCTTCGGGGTGCGCTTCATCGACGCCGTCCTCCTCGCCGCCGCGTGCCGCAACGCCGGGTACCAGCCTGTGTCCGTGGCGGCGCTCGTGCCTGCAGTGCAGTGAGTGTCTCTCGCCGCCGCCCCTAGGGTCGAGGGTGCTGACGCGTGGCAGGGTGCTCTTCGTGGTCATGATGTACATCGCCATATACCCGATCGCGATGAGGTGAGTGGCGGGTGCGGGCGGGTGCGGGGCTCGTTCGTGGCTGATGCGCATATGGTGCCTGGCAGCGTGCGCGCGACGAACGTGTACGAGCAGAAGTCGCTCGGCGTGTACGAGCAGGTGCCGGAGGACGACGAGATCGACGACGACGAGCACTGGAACCGGCCCACCGAGTCGCGCGTCGCGATCTGGGGCAAGTACCTCCTCCGGCACGCGCGCAGGCAGCTTTCCTTCGGTGCGTCATGCCGCCGTTTGCGGCGCAGCGGTGTTGATGCATGCACTGCAGATATGTGGTGGCTTGCGATATCCCTTTTTCTGCTGTGCATCATAGAAGTAGGATTCTTGCCACGCAGGACGTCGCCTCGTTTCTAACATCCTTCGTAGCGTGACAACCTAACCGACAGCTCCATGACGTCTTACTTCAACATATTCGCCCTACGTGCGTTCCCTCCCCCGTAGGAACCGCGTCAACACCCTGACCCTTCTCCAGTGTTCGAGCTCGTCTCCGCGTACGGCACCGTCGGCCTCTCGCTCGGCATCCCCGGGGCACGTCCCACTCCTTTCCTCCCCTCCTAACGCTGACCGCCCGCCCACAGGAAAACTTCGCGCTCTCCGGCGGGATGCACGTCCTCTCCAAGCTCGTCGTCTGCGCCGTCATGATCCGCGGCCGGCACCGCGGCCTCCCCGTCGCGCTCGACCGCGCCGTCCTCTTCCCCTCCGACTTCCTCCCCACGCGCGCCACCGGCCCCTCCGAGCCCGAGAAGCCGCCCGTCGCCGCGGAGGAGGCGGAGGCGGAGGTCGAGGCGGGCGAGGTCGTCGGCCCGCTGCGGGACGCGCCGGCGCTCGCGGCGAAGATGCGGATGCGCGCGCGCACGGTGAGCCTCGTCGTCGCGGAGGAGCGCCGGGCGCCGGGCGCGGGGGCGGGGGTGAACGTACCTGACCCGGGCGGGGTGGCGCGCGCGGATGGAGGGGTGTCGGTGGGGAGCGTGTAAGCGTGCGTGCGGGCGAGGTGGTCGCGGTGGAGGCGGAGTGGGCATTGATAGTTGAGTACTCGAGACCAAGACAAGACTTGCGACGCGACATGGCATGGACAGGGTATTTGTGGGTGGTTTACGGCAGAATAGACTGTACTTTTTAGCACTTGGGCAAACCGAGCCGGGAAGCGGCCCGCCAGACGTGTGACAGCGGATGATGCGTAGGCGCCCATATAAACTCTCCTTCTCACCACCACGAGACCTGGGGCAGTAAGATGCCGGCGGACACACAGCGCATTCTTCCCGTAAGCGAGACGGTGCGGGACCGGTAACGGCACGCTTTCTCCTTCCCACCTCGTTCACCGGCCCTGACCTCAGATTCCTCCCATAGTAATCCCTCAAACACCCCTCCTTGGCGGGAGCTGAACGGAAGAGATGTCCAGACGATGGCGGCCGTTTGTTCCCGCGGAGATGTGCCCCAACCCCGGCGTCGGAGTAAGAAGACGTCGCACGAATGCCGGGACCCCTCAGAGGGCTCGCTGAGTGATTGGACTCCCGGTATGCTCGCTCACGAATCTCAATCGAGGAGCGGAGGAACTCGGGTAAGGAGGGTCACCGGGCCAGACATCTTCTCTCAAGCTCCCGCATCCCTGGAGGAACACTCGTAAGAGCCCTCGACGGCTTTCCAAAACGCTGATGACCGAGATTTACAGTCCCGGCGTTGCGAGATATTCGGAGTTCCTCATGCTGTCAGTCGTCGCCAGACGCAAGCATCGTACAGATCGACAGGATCACCTTCCATATCATTCCGCGACGACCGAAACATTCGGCCTTCGGCGAGGACCACACCACACGATTATCCAATCCTCATGCAATGTTCCCGACCCATCGGCTCGCCTCTCAAAGATGCGCGTCCCGAGCGACACTTCCATTCAGTCGGCAGCTCAAACCCGACAAATCCTCCCCCCCAGCCAGGCTTGCCGTCTCGGCTCGCCGCATCGAAGCTCCACTCAAGCGACCATAAGCGCATCCATGGATTCTTGATGTCGGCCGTCGGGCTATCCGCGCCCAAGGACGAAGGCGAGCCAGCGAGCGGCCTCCCGCTCTAAGCCCGCACGTGAGCGCGGGGCCATAAAGCCTGTGCGTGTCCACCCGCGCGGGTCCTCCCTCGCCCCCGCTCGTCGTCCCGCGCCTCTCAGATCACCGGCGTCGGAGTCAGCAGCCCGCCATGGTTGTCCTCCCGCGATCGTCTGCGGACGCAGACAAGACGCAGATCACTTCGCCAAAGGTGGCCACGAGCACGGTGATCGGCATGGTCCTCGGTATCCGTGAGTCTCGCCGTCTTTTCGTGGCACGTCACTGTCTGACGCTGCGCACCGCCGTCCTCTAGTGTGTCTGTTCACGATGATCCTGAGCTATCAGTTGCTTTCCTGTCCGCGCAAGAACCGTGTTCGCCGCGTTCCGCGCTACGGGACCACGCCTCCCATTACCACCCTCACTCCACCGAAAAAATCACGCTCCTTTTTGTCATTAATACCGTCATTCCTTCGTTTCAAATCTACCACACCCGCCGCGGAAAAGAGTCCGAACGGAACGCGCACCAAGCTTCGCGGAGCTGTGCGTTCCTTCTACCTCTCCGCAAAACAGAACCCGTTCTCCAAGCCCGATCCTCCTCCTTCCGATGCCGCAGAAGAGAAAAAGCCGCAGACGCTCCGCGAACGGCGTGCTCTCCGCAACCTCTACCTCAACACCAACCCTGTGAGCACGCGAAAGCAATACCCCACCTCCCCGTCCCCCGCCTCTCCTCTCCGGCAAATCGGGCGCGTGGGCCGTTTCTTCGGACACGCCTCTCAAGACACCGGAGACGTCCCCGCGCTCCCACGCAGCCCCCGCGGCCGCCGCAGCTACCAGACGCTCGACGACGCCGCCGCCGCCGCCGCCTCACCCTACTCCGCCTGGTCCAACGAAGACGCCTCCCACGGCCGCCCCAAGGACGCGCTCCTCTCCCCCTGGTCCCCAGACGAAGCCCAATACCCCTACGCGAACCCGTTCCTCTCCCCGATCGCCGAGGTGCTCACCCCGACCCCGCGCACGCCCACCACCCCGTACCCGTCCAGCCCGTCCAGCCCGCACACGCCGACCACCCCCACGCGCGCGCCCGCGCGCCGGCCGCCCTCGATGTGGCCGCCCGCGACCCCGCCGCCGCTCTACCCCCCACCGCCGGCGTACCTGGCGGACGTCCCGCGGCGGGGCGCGGGCGGGAGCGCGCCGTCTACCCCCACCCGCACTCCCACGCGCCGCGACGTGCAGCTTGCGCCCGCGCCCGAGCCGATCCCGAGCCCCGGATCCGACAGCCCGAGGTCGCTCGCGGCCGACCCGCCGGTGTCCCCGATCGTGGCCTCGCTGCGGGAGGCCATCGACGGGGAGATTGGGGGCTGGACGGAGCCGCGCGCGGACGCGGACGAGCCCGGGGTGTTCGTGATCTCGAACGACTCGGACAGCGAGGACGCGCACGACCTGGAGAGCATCAGCATGTACACTGACGAGTCTGTGGAGCCGTTCAAGTTGTGACCTGGACCATATATTTCTTACGCCGTGTGTAGTGAATAGATGCGCCTTCACCTGTGTATGTGTGTATGTACTTGTAGTCTTGCGGGTGTAAGATACCAATGAATACCCTCGGCTTGACGAGGACTCGTCGGTGCTTAGGTGATGAGTGGTATGAATAAAGCGGGTTATCACATCTATAGGGTATACAATGTGGTCCATCGAGGCGACATATGTCCGCAGCAAAGCCTCAAGCCTTGCACCTACGACGAGCCCGCCGACGCGAACCTCGACCGCAGCCTGACCACGATCGCCCGCGTCCTCGCCTCGACCCCGAGCCTCGGAAGCCGCCGCTCGAGCCCCTTCCCCTCGCCCACCGCGTCCACGCTGCCGTCGCTCGGCGTCCCCGGCACGGCGCTGCTCGCCCCCGACGAGCTCCCGCACACCGGCGCCGCCCGCCGCGCGCACCGCACCAGCCTCTGCGGCGGCGGCGGCGGCACCCCCCACCCCTCCCCGTACCGCTCCGCGAACGCCTGGTCCGCGCCGTCCCGCCGCGCGCGGATCTCCCCGAACCGCGGCGACTCCGGCGCGCGCGCCTCCCACGCGTCGCCCAGGTAGTCCGCCCACCGCACGGACGCGTCGGCGCGGAGGAGCGTCGGGGCGGCGGCGAGCGCGTCGCGCGCGGCCGCGGCCGAGACGCGCTCGCGCGGGTCCTCGGCGAGCATGCCGGCGAGCACCGCGGCGAGCGTGGGGTCGATCGGGAGCATGTCGAGCAGGAAGGCGGCGGGGCGGGCGCGGAACTGCGTGTAGGCCGTGTGCTCGCGCATCGCGCGCCACCAGAGCACGCGCCCGGTGAGCACGTTGAGGAAGACGATCGCGAGCGCCCAGACGTCGGACGCGGCGGCGGACGCGGACTCGGGGACCTCGAATGCTGTCGCGGTCACGCACTCTGTGGGGGGAGCGGGGGCTCGGTGAGCGTCGGGACGGGGTGGGGGAGAAGGGGGCGACGGAGCGTACCTGGGGGCATGTAGGACTGGGTGCCGACCCGGCGGGTGTACTGCTCGTCCTCGGTCGCGAGCCCGAAGTCGGCGAGGTAGACGTGCAGGGGGTCGGTGTCGATGAGGACGTTCGCGGGCTTGATGTCGCGGTGGTAGACCCCGTGCCCGTGCATGAACGCGACGGCGTCGAGCAGCTCGGTGAAAATCGTTCGGAGGACCCGCTCGTCCGCGCAGGGGCGCTCGCTGGAGGAAATCCAGCTCTCGAGGTCGCCACGCGAGGAAGCGTCCATGACGAAGACCGCGAAGTCAGGCAGTTCGAAGGTCTCGTGCAGGGTGATGATGTTGGGGTGCGCGGAGACGCGGGAGTGGAGGTCCATCTCGCGTCTGAGCGCGTGCACGTAGGCCGGTTTGCGACCCGCCTTCGCGACGACCTTGACGGCACGGGTTCGCGTCTCGTCGTCTCCTTCGCAATCGGAGTCGATGGCTTTGTAGACGACCCCATAGGATCCGGCACCCATTTTCGACATCATCGCGTAGCGGTCGTCGATAACGATGCCGATGAGGTTGGGGACGTAAGCGGTGCGGCTCGGCATAGTGACTAGGTCTTTGAGGAGTTCGTCGGAGTACTGGAAGGTTCCGAAGGTGTGATAGTGAAAGGTGGTGAAGATCTGAACCTAGGATGATGTTCGCCAGGAACGAGATATGGGGGTGTAGAGCAAGATGTGGAAGTGTCTCAACACCGGAGACATACCGAGCATTTATACCCACCTCGGTCGGGTCAGGGATGTGTTCCGGCAACGGGAACTGGAACTGCGCAGGAAGAACAGGGGATCGGATGTCGTGAATAGTGCCGCACACAAAGTGCGACCGCTCGCCTGACCCGTCTACATCCATCGGACATCCAAGGGTCAACCCCTGGAGTGAGCCGTGGGTGTTCCCGCCCGGAACGAGGCTGCGGAAACGGCAGTATGTGAGGAGGCCGGACCTGTCGCGGAAGCGTGGGCAGAACACCAGAGGAGATTGTATTCCGAGCCCCTATCGTTGAATACATTACAGTTTCGTCCCGTCCGCCCGCCTTGCATCGGTCATATCCTCTTTCACGAGTTGATGTTACACTCTCCCGGACGGAGGGCGCACCACGTAGGCTGAATGAAAATAGCGTTGATCCCGCGCTGGCGCATGCGGAAGCCGAGGTCATGCAAGCGCGGAAGGGCCGTCACGCCGTCCCCGCCCGGGCCAGACCAGAATACCTCCGCGGACGCTGCGGCGCGGGGCCATGCGATCGAGTCGAGATTCTGGGGGCCAGACTGCTCTGTCCAGAGGAGTTGTTGTCCTGGAAGAACAGTTCAGAGACTGGAAAAGATGAAGATCGAGGCAACGCACCTCCGAGGACGAGATGCGTCTGAGCTTCAGTGATGTTGGCAAGAGGGTCAAAGGTGTACGCCTAGGCGATAACCGGCTGGTTAGTAAGAGGGTAGTGTCGAGAATTGGACCACATACCTTTTGCCAGGTCTTGAACGGATCACACCAACTGTTGCTGGAACCGCAACGCAGGTTAAGAAGCGCAACATCTCGACAAAGAGCGAATACTTACGCAACGTCGTCCCCGAGCCACTCTCCAGCACCGCAATCCTAAGATGTGAAAGTCAATATAGATCACCGGCATCCCGGACACCACGCATACATACAAGATAGAAGTAGTCGGAAGGCCCATGGACGATTCGGAAGTTCTTCGCCGCCACGGCCGCAGCATTCGCAGACGAAATCCACACGCTGTGTGCATCCAGGTCAGAAAGCAGCCATGGCACAATGATGAAGCCCGTACATGACGACAGTCTCGTTGGATAGCGAGGTGACGTTGTGGTCCAGGACCATTTCCTCCCAGACGGCCGGGGTCTTGCCTTCGGCGACGAGTGCTTTGTGAGTTGCATTAGTGAAGACATCCAATGCTTGTTCCAGGGTGCGACCGGTCGCGTTCAGGTCCGCTTGGGTCTCGGGATCTTGAGCGTAGCATTCATCATTGACCTCATCGCCTCCCGTGCTGAAGAGGGATGAAGGGAACATGCGAGCGACTGCTGAAAGCAGGCTCGCGGTGTAATTGGTGGTGGAGGCAGATGCGAGGCGAAGCTGACCAGCAGGCGGTTCTGGCAAGCAGCTTAGCTTCGGAACTCTATGGATACAATCGATGCATACCTGCGGCGAATGTGGTCCAAGGAGACGCCTTGTAGCATGCGATATGCTCCGGGTGAGCAGTGGCAATGACCGCCGTGTGGCCTGGAGTGTCGATTTCCTGAGAGGAATAAGGTATACGAGCGCGACTCTATGAGCATTGAACAACTCACGACCATAACATCAATGCCACGCTGAACAGAGCCGTGTTAGACGTTATTTCTCAAAAGAGAGGATCTACTCACAGCGCCGGCATAATCAACGATGTCTCGTACGTCACTTGTGCTATAGACACTCGACGCGTCATACGCCCCTTTGCTCGCCAGATCCGTGAAGCCTGGTACCTCAATTGGAAAGCTTTGACTGTCGACCGCATGCCAGTGGAATTGGTTGAGCTATACACGATGTCAATACAAAATGTGATGACGGCGAGGTAAGTGATTACCTTCACCATGCTCATGGCGTCCAAAGTACGTTTGATATCAGAGACTGGAAAGCTTGAACGTGCATCTTTAGCTCCACGCATTGGCCCACAGAAACATACTCACAAGTTGCGTGCAGTGTCGAGCATGAAGCCTCTCCAAGGCTGTGACGACCCGCAGTTTGAGCCGGAGTAAGGCGCATAGAAGCAGATATGCAACTTACGTAGGCTGGCGAGTCCACGATTGAGATAGGTGCTTCTGCAGTGAATACCTGCCCCGACACCGCGTAGAATGCCTGACTGAACGTGGTAAGACCTCGGAGAAGGCCCAGGGTTGAGTTTGCCGTGAGGGTGGCCGCAGAGCCGTCCTCAGGTATATGCAACTGATACTCTTCGCTCCTTGATCCAACGGGCAACCTCGCCTCCTCGGTGATGCTCCGCACGGCTGCCCCAGGAGTGAGGGAGACTTCAAGTGCGCTCAAAGACTTCGCCCTCTTGATATCGCCAGCATCCGAAGAGCCGCGGTCTGGAGTTAGTGGTGCGAGCTGGTCGTTCTTCAGGAAGGACGTTGTGCGCGACACGGCGTTGGTGAGGTCTGACGGGGCATTCTGGACCTTGAGGTGGATGCTGAAGCTGGAGGAGAGCTTCAAGGTGGAGTTGCCGGTCGAGAGAGAGCGGGGGAGGGGCCAGAGCGCAAGGGCTCCGCCGATGTGTGCGAGTGTGAGCAAGAAGGCGAACCTCATGGTCGGACTTCAGGTGACGATCGCAATCCGTTCCAGCCGTCCTGGGTCCTTATATGCGTTCCCAAACGACTCGGCCCACCTGACCGTCTGCTGGAGGCCATCTGGAGCCAAAAATACTATCGGCGCGCGAGGAAGGCAGATGTTGAGTGGGTCCACCTCTTCGTTGACGTCGAAGCTTCCTTCCGCATGGCGCATGGGGGAGCCGAAGCCGCCGTGTTGCATGATGGCGTTCGCGACTCCGTTCTAGATAAGAAAAGGTGACCAGCAGAGTAGTAGATGCGGAGTAAAATGAGAGAGTTGGGGGTCGTGCAGGTTCACGTTCAAGTCAAGGACGCCCTCGGTCGACTGCACGTGTGGCGCCGCTGTGTGAAGCGACTGGAGGAGATCGGCGCCGATTGCGCTTCCGCCCTTCCTCCTACACCATGCCTCCAAAACACTTTCTTACGAGCAACTTTCGGGTCGCTTTCGAGGAGTACTTCAAACCCGACCAGCAACGGAGCGCCGTAGACAATCTCCAAGAGCATATAGCCACCATCCGGGACGGCACGGAAGAACAGCGCCGAGAGCAGAGTGTCCTGCGGCCTCAAGACACGACCCAGGAGCAGATGGACGCGCGCGTCGCCGCGCACCTCGACAAATGCTACTGGCAGCTTGCCCAGTTCTACCGGGTAAGTTGCGCGGATGCAATCTATCTACCCCTCCTCACGCAGATACCTCGCGCACAGCTGTTCGAGGATGTCTAACACGAGCTCACAGTACTCTAACCCGTGCCGCATCGCAGAAGCCGAACCTTGCCTGCGCGAGGTACTGCGTTACGCGCGGGAGAAGAATGCAAAGCGCGATGTGAACCCCGAACTGTACCTCGCGGTCGCGATCCACGCCGTGCCTGGGAAAGAGCAGGAGGCCCTCGACATCTTCGCGTCAGCATTCGACTTCGTGGACATCGACGACGCGCCCCCACCGGGGCCGCGGTCGGAATTGTGGGCGCGCGCGAGCTGGGCGAGGTTGCTGCGGAAGATGGATCGGACTTCGGAGGCAGGAGCGCAAGAGGCAGCCATCTTGTGAGTGTTCTGCAGCATCTATGCGATCGCTTCCTCATCAAGAGGTGGTAGGAACTGGGCGTTGGCACACCCATTGGTGCTGTCTCCTGCGAAGTTGAAGGCGTTGGTCGGCGATGAGACGGATAGCGGGTTCCTCAACAACATCTCCGAGAACCCGGACCTCCTTGCGGCAGTTGAGAGGGCGCGAGAACGGGCGCGGGGGCGGAAGGACTGAGGCATTTTTTTCCTCGCACATATAGTTTGTTTCAGCGAATGTCGGGCTTCCTAGGGGAGAAATCCACTTCGTGAACGCGTTCAAATTCGCCGATGGCGCTTCTCCATCCAACTTGTCTTCTCCCACCATGTTCAATCCTATCTCCACGTCTCCTGTTCACCTGCCACTGGGTTTTTCTGATCTGAGCTTTGGCAGATATCGACTCCTCGCGGATACAGGCTCGCCCCGTAATGCCGCGCGGGTCCGGAGGTGCTCGCGCCTGTGCAGCACAAGGGTGACGGTAAGCGCGGCAGTTCGTGAGCTCCTAGATGCGGTCAAACAAGGTGCTCGGCGTCGAGGTGCTTCCTAAGGGTATGGCTGTGATTTCGGGCAAAACGGATACTGTGTACCCGCCTGTATATTGCCTTGTACTATGCTACATAACACTCATATTGAAGTCACAGTTCATTTCTACACCCGTGCCGTGGAGGGGAAAGGACAAGGACGGCGCTTGGATGTGCTTGTGCTCAGTCGATGTCGTAGGTCATGCCATGAAACTCGGCGGACGGATACCTTTCCAGGATCTGTTTGATAACCCACCACATCGGCGTACCGAAGGTGACATGGTTGTGGGCACCCCTCGGCATTCCTGAACACAACAGAGCGAGGGCGTCGCCGTCGCCCGTGAAGATGAGGGAGCCCGAGTCGCCGGGGGCCGCAAAGTCAAGGCCGCTGTTGTAGACGGGCACTGCCCGGGACTCGAGTCCGAGTGCGGTGCAGAGGTAGGCCTCCATTCCGGAGTAGCTGCCCAAGGTCAACTTCGTCGCGTTGCCGTACTTGCCGACGATGGAGCCGCCTGCATATTTGTTGCCGGGATTGATGGCGAGGTGGCGAGGAAGAACGCGCCGGATGGGGAGCTGGAGGTCGTCTGGGATTCTCCAGCGCATGCGACGCCCAAGCATGGTGCTATCGTATTGGTTTCCTGAAGAGCTGGATGTTAGTAAGCCAGAGGGGAATGAAGGGGGCAACAGGCCGAACACACCCAGGTCGACAATGTTAGACTCGAAATTTTTAACCTTCTCCCTATCGACCACGAACGTGGCGATGTCGCGAGTGTAGTGGGGGTAGTCGACACTGACGGAGACTTTGGGAGCCCAGTCGACGATACCTAACTTACGCCCGTCGGTATCTCGCCAGTCGGCGTTGACTTCTTCCAAGAAGGTCTGAAGAGCGGCGATGTCCTCGATCTTGTGCTCTAAGGCGTACATTATGCGTCTCAGGATCATGTCGTTCTCCTTTGAAGTGCCCAACTTCGACTGCTGGTCCTTGACTTGTCGGACAAGACGAACGAGTTCGCGGAGCCCCATGAGGAGGGCGTTCTCGATCGCAGTGATGGCCTCGTCGAGATGGCGATCACTGCATACGAGAATGTGCTGAGGGTTGGTCCCATCGAACTCGTAGTCGGAGTGCATGTCGACGGAGGCGACGTGCTTGTTGGTGAGGGCGAGGATCCTGTCGCTCGGGTCGCCGCTGCTCGTCTTCATCTCCTTGAACAGGAGCGTAAGGGTGCCTTGCGCGTCGTCGGACTGCCTCGCGATGGGGATGCCTAGGCCAGTGTTAAAGGGGTGGTTGAGGCCGAATATGGGGCTCGTTTCGTGCTCGACGCTCATCAGACTTGGGGGCGGCTTGACGAGATCGACGACCTCCCCGTCGTACCACTCGACGACGACATTGGTGATCTGGACGTCAGCGAGGATGCGGAGGATATCCGGTGTGGCATCCCGAACGGCCCTGGAGTTGGTGGTTTCGGGCTGTACAGCGATCCAAAGGACAATCGGGCCAAACGTTTTGTGCATGTCGTCCCCGACGGTCGAGAAGCGAGCCGTCTTTACGGCGGAGTACTTGAGGCCGCGGGCCTTCATCGACGCTATAATCCGAGGGGCGACATCGTGCCACACGTGGTTGAGCGGCGTGTTGAAGACGCCATGGGCAGTCTTGGCGGGGATCGTAAAGAAGTTGGACCCAGGCTGGGGAAGGGGGAAGGGGTTTGTCTCAAGATCGGAACGCCACATGAGCTTGGGAGGGTCGCCGGAGATGCCGTGGTACCAAAACCTCATCTCATACTGGGAGATCAGGTCGGGGGCGACGACGGTGCGGGCGACCGAGTCATCGCCGAGGATGGGGCGGAGGGTCTGGGCCTCGCTGGGGATGGAAGAGGTGGGAGAGACAGGGGAGACGGGGGAGACGGGCAGATGAGTAGCGTCTTGTGGGGGAACCTTGACCGGGTACTTGCGCTTGAACAAGTCGACCATGAAGCAGGTCACGGCTGAAAACAGAAGAAGGCGTGAGTATGTGGGAAATGGAATGTGCAAAGAAGGAATCAGAGACACTTACTGCCCAGGTGATCAGGGTTAGCCTTCACCTGGTCAACAATACGTTTGACGCTTGGAGCAACATCTACAAGGTGAAGGGGTAATAATGAGTGAGAAATGGACGTGTGCAATATTGACACAGGGGCCCACCTTCGCCCAGGAATCCGAGGGTGATGAGTTCGGTGTCGCTCAAGTCGACGATCTCTGCGGGAAAAGCTGAGCACTGCTCGCAAACGAAGGTAAACAACGGGCGCCACTCACTCTTGCGCTGATAAGATGGATCCATGGCGGAAGTGGTGTGAACGGGAATGGGAAAACGCGAAGAGGGAATTGTCCTTACGTGCACCACCCCGGGCAGGGGCCCGCGCGAGCCGTATTGGACGACGGCTTGGTCGAGGGGCCGGTAGGGGCTGCGCCCACGGAGCTGGCCAGGGGATCGCCCGCAGATTCGCCAGATGGGTTGCCGACGGACCAGGGGACCACCTTCGCGCATAGATTCCAAGACGCCGATGATGAGTTACGGGGATGAAACATGCTGCCAGCGAGGAAGCGAGGTGGCCGACGTGTGGGCCATTGCCATGCTCGAGTACGGAACAGGGGAGAGGTGCGCACCTCATTGCAGCGACGGCCCTTCCGCCGCGGGCAGTGCGGCCTTCCCCGCGGACAGCGACTCCCGTAGGGCCGTATCTCCTCAGGCTTGATTGTCTCATCCCCCAATTCCTATGCCGCTTCCTCCAGTCGGCCCTTTTCCCTCGCAAAGCCGTCCATCTGCGCTGTCAGATCCTTCGCCACCTCTCCGTCAAAGCGTTCCCTACAAGTGTGGTTGACTCGTTGTCTAGCACCGACGTCGCATGCACGCCTTGGTTGTCGCTCCTTTCGTGTCGGTCGCACACTTGAAGAGCCCGCTGATCATAAACTCGCGGCTCGGGGCTTGGCCCTCGGGGATGACGCCGTGTTGCTCGAGGAAGTTCCGGGCGGAGGCCAAACTCACCCCGCTAAGCGGGCGCTTAAAGAAGCCGCCACATGGGCCGCGCCAACGTTTTTTCGGGCCCATGGGCGCCTAGCGCGTTCTGTGAGAATCTGTGGCGGACCTCTGGGCTTAACGAGCTCGGAGATTCAATGGCTCGCTGCGTAGAAAATATACTAGCTTTCGTGGGACAAGACATAGCTCACTGCGAAATCCTAGCAGCGGGTTCACTACATGGCATCATGCCGGCTTCGGTTTCACGCACCGCCTAGTGTGCCTAACAGTGGTACAGGCTGTATTGAGCAATGAGGACTGCCATGGCGCACCCACCACAATTTGCGCGCCCGCCGGCCTGTCGCCAGGGCAATAAACAGGCATATAGGTGTTACCTGAGCTCCATCACCCCTCCAGATCACCGGGTACGAGGAGCATATCATGTCGCAGGGGCAGGTACGGACCTTACTTGTGAGGCACTCGTGAGGTCGTACCGCGTCAGGGTGGCGGAGGAGAAAAATGTTGAAGATATTTGCAACTAAAAAGGTTTGTCAACAATCAGTCTCGAACCCCATCACCTCCACCCACGCCGATAGTGTTACCATTAGTCCATCAGATCATTGTTCCTCAGCTTTGCAACAATATATACTAGTAATACTTTCACACATTTGCCGCTGCCACCCCTACTCGGCTCCCCATGCACTTCGTGTGTTCTATAGCACGTTCTCCTCGCTCCCCTTAGCGGGGTGAGTTTTTATTTCGTTCCGGGCCTGGTCTGGGACTGGAGCCGTCAAATGTTCGTCGGTTGCCGCCTCCCTCGGTGGGGTTCGCGGGGACACTGCTAGACACTGAGACTGCTCCGCGCAACTGGGTCATTCGTGATGGTGGGCGTATAAGATAGAGCGTGGGAAGTTGTCGTCAGTGATGGCAAGAAGCTAGTACAGGCCTGTATAGGCTTGCTAGTACAACGGTGACAGCGCCGACATTTCGACAGAAATCCTGCCTCTTCGTTCACAGCGGCATTGGTTTTGCTGGGGCCTCAAATCAGGGCTTCTTGATACAAACGAAACCCCAGTACAGCACACAACCGCGACTCCCGCATTCGCCACCCTAACGTTCCGCCACACGACCTCGTCCCTACGACAACACGGCGCGCTGCCTCGCAAACGCGACCCCCAGACTGCCCACCGCGGACACGAGCGCGCAGGCGCCGACGAAGAGCTCGACGGCGCCGTACCCGAACCGCCCGAACCCGTGCGCCATCGACCCGCCGTCGCCCGCCTCGAGCAGCAGCCCCGCGACGATGGGGCCGATGACGGCGGAGGTGCCCTTGAAGAAGGATATCCCGAGAACGCGAGCCCGTTGTGCTCCGGCTTGCTCCGCGTGCAGTCCGCGGCGGCGTGCGCCCAGGAGGAGGACGCGCCGCCGCTCTGCCGGTGCCGCGCGCGAGATCAGCTTCGGGGAGTACAGGAAAAAAAACGCGCGCGCGAGCTCACCAGGGCCCCGAAGACGATCGCGAAGAAGTAGAGGTACGTGGCGGAACGCGCGAAGCCCCAGAGGAAGAACGCGCCGAGGCCGCTGCCGAACGTGCTGAGCGCCATCACGAACGGGTACGGGACCCGGTCTGTGAGGTGGCCGAGGGTGACCTGGCCGACGACGGCAGAGCAGTTGAAGAGCGAGAGGACGATCGTCGCGGTGAGCTGGCTGGCGAACTTGCGGGTGAAGGTGGCGATGTAAAGGGAGACGGGGAAGTAGGAGACACCTTGCATGAGCGTTGCGAACACCTGCGGGGTACGTCTGAGGTAGGCTAACGCAAACACGGAGGAGGACAGAACGCACAAATGTCCAGAAGACGGGCTTTTTGAGGAATTCCACCTGCTGAGGAACGAACTTTGGCCGACGCTGTCCCGGTGCGAATTTCGGGATCGGGAAACGGCTGCGCATGCCCAGGAGTGCGATGCCCGAGCATGCGGAGGTCCCGATCGCCCAGACTCTAAGCGCCCACTGCAGACCGACCTTCTCCAGCAAGGCGTTCAGGGCGAATGGGAACACAAATCCTGCACCGGGACTCAGTATTCCTTCCTCTTAGGGAGTATGATCGAGCCGTACCTCCAAGACCGCAACCGGAGAAGATGATGCCTGCAGCAAGCCCTCGGCGTTCCGAGAACCATTCGGGAAGCAGCTTGATGACGGGGATATACAGCAGTCCCCCGCTCACACCTACGCCGATGCCTTGAAGAATGATGAGCTGCCAGATCTGGATGGTGAAGGTTGCCTGTCAGTTGCTAGGCTGCTATATCTGTTCGAACCATACCTGTGTTGCGAAGCTAGAAGCGAACAGCGATACAAAGTAAAGGGCTAGACCGCTCCACATCGCGGTTCGCAGATAGTCCGGATATCTAGAGAAAAACAGGGAAAGGATCACACACTAGGCGCATTGGCGACCAAATGAGGGCGCTGACGTATACGGATTGATAGGACGACTGACCTCTCCATATTGTATGAACAAAGCTACAGTTCCTACCGCTGCAATCGCAACGCTAGAGTCTTTCTCGAAGGGAGGGTTCGAAGTGTAATAATCTAGAAAGATGGAGAGTGTCAACGTTAGCGAGAACAAGGCTACAGACGCGGACGAGCCTTGGAAGATTCCATAGCTGGAGGTACGATGAGCGATGAGCGATCCGTGCCATAATCTCGCAGAGTCAACGAAGCCGATCCGTTACCTAAATCCGAAACCCCACACCATCATCTCGAGCACAAACGCCGCCGCACAGAACGTCCATGCTCCTACACCTCTATCTACGGGAGGAAGCTCTTGGAAGTTGACGGGAGTGCCCTGCTCAGAATCCATGACTCGTATCGCCGTCACGGACGACTGGGATGACAATACTGCTTCAGTGGCGTCCGGGGCTCCCTTCGAGGACATAACCTGTAATTCATGAGAGGCCTCAACGTGGGGGATGATCTCAATGGAATGCGAATCCTTCTGCGGGCTCATCCTGGGGATATTGAGGAAGGTGTGCGAGAGAGGCAATGGCGGGCGGCCAAGTAGTTATAGTCCCCGGCTAGTATTACAGCCGGGCTTCAGGCCTCAGGATGACTCGGTCTGCGGGTATACGGTCCGTGATTCCGTCAGCGCACGTTTCGGTTGGTTCGATACGGGTTTCTGATTTGACGGTGTGTGTACGTCACGTAGGCCTATCGATGTGCGCAGCGTGCAGGGCCGATCTTGGACGAGCCAAAGGAATTTCAACACCAATTCACCCAGCTGATCATGACTCTGAGCACGCACCCCTTTGCCACTTCTATCGGCGCTCGAGAACCTCTATACATACCTCGAACTGCCCTCATGACAAGACCCGCTGTCGCGACAGCGCGACGGCAACACCCCCGAAGCTCGACACGAGAGCGCACGAACCCACGAAGAGCTCGACCGCGCCGTACCCGAACCGCCCGAATCCGTGCCCCATCGACGCCCCACGGCCTGCCTCGAGCAGCAGGCCAGCGATGATGGGGCCGACGACCGCCGAGATGCCCTTGAAGAAGGCGAATCCTGAGAACGCCATGCCCGCGAACTCGGGCTTGCCGCGCACGCACTCCGACGCAGCGTTCGTCCACGTCGCAGAGACGCCGCCGCTCTGTTGGGGTCCGTTCGTCGGGGGAGAAGATATCTCAGGAAGGGGCTTACGAGAGCGCCGAAGACGGTGGCGAAGAAGTAAAGGGCGATGGACGAGCTTGCGAAGCCCCAAAGGAAGAAAGCGCCCAGCGCGCTGCCGAGGCCGCTGACCACCATGATGGACGGGTATGCCCAGCGGTCACTGAGGTGGCCGAGAATGACTTGACCGACGACAGCAGAAGAGTTGAAAAGTGCGAGTACCGCGGTTGCGGTGATCTGGTCGGAGATGCTCTTCGTGAAGGTGGCAATGTAGAGCGAGACTGGAAAGTAAGAGAGCCCCTGCATGACGGTTGTGAAGATCTGTTATGGGGGATAAAGACGTGTTAAAATGAGCCGGATACATAAGATAGATCGACGACCGTACAAATGACCAAAAGAGAGGAGACTTGATGAAATCGACTTGTGGCGGGAGGAACTTGGGACGTCGTTGGCCGGCAGTGAACTTGGGCACGGGGAAGCGACTGCGCATGCCAAAGAGGGCGATACCGGAGAAGAGGGAGGTTCCGATAGCCCACACTCGGAGGGTCCAGCGGAGGCCGACCTTGTTTAGGAGGGTATTGAGCACGAAAGGGAAGACAAAACCTGTCTCACGGGGTGAGCATTTCGACTGGGGGTGAAAGCCTTCAACGTACCTCCAACACCAGTTCCTGCGAAAATGATGCCTCCCGCGAGTCCTCGGCGTTCGGAGAACCACTCTGGGAGCAGCCTGATCACCGGCATGTAAAGCAGCCCGCCGCCGACTCCGACCCCAACGCCTTGTAGTGCAATCAGCTGCCAGACCTGAAAAGCGACAAACCCCGTCAAAAACACCCGAGCAAGGGGGAAAATGAACAATACACACTTGTGTCGCAAAACTTGATGCGAAGAGCGATGCAAAGTAGAGAGCCAGTCCGAACCACATCGAATGCTTGAGGTAGTCTGGGTACCTTGAGAATATCAAGGATAGAGCAACTGTCTGGGTAGAGGTTGTCAGCATCGGAACATCACATAGAGAGAACCGGCGGACGAACTTCTCCGTATTGGATGGCCAAGGAGATAGTTCCGACAGCGGTGACGGAGACGCTGGATGCCGACTCAAACGGAGGATGCGAGGTGTAGTACTCTGAGCGCGTCTGCATCAGCCCGAAGTTCGGCGTCAGAAAACTGGCTCGAGTTACGCACCCTGGAAGATACCATAACTACGTTCGAATTACTGTCACAACGTTGTAAAACGAGGACCAGATGGACCCACCTGAATCCAAAACCCCATACCATCATCTCAAGAACAAACCCTGCTGCGCAGAATGTCCACGCGCGCACACCGCCGTCGGCGGCGGGAAGTTCTTGAACATTGACACCATCTTGGGGGTCGACGGCCCGCAGAGCGTTCATCGATGATTGCGCTGAGAAGGTGAGCGGGGTGTCTGCTGGGGTGGGGCCATCTATGAATTGGAGTTCCACTGGTGCTGTGTTCATTTTGAAGTGTGGAAACTGCGCGCGCAAGTCCCTCCCTTTTGCACGACGCAGTGGTCAAAGTCGAGATGTAGCGCTCGTCGCAGTGTTTGACTCACGTAGACGCCAGCTTACATCACCGCCTGATGGCGCTGGCCAATGGCCATCGACCATCCAGAATGTTCACGATGCTTGTTCATGAGGATCCGGATCCAGCCTACGGACGCGTTTTGCGATGCCGAAGGCCCACCACGCCCAAGGTTCCCATTCCTCACTTCTCGTGACGAGTTGTTCGTAGCCCCTTGTCAGTGCTCCCAAATATTGGCAAACAACCACCTCCAAATCATTCACTCCTGAGTTGAGAGTCAATATCCGAGAGTTGCCTAGGGTCTGTCTGCGCGGGCTTCGCAGGGGGCTGGGCCGGCACAGAGTAGTGGCAAACTCGTACGTACCGTGCCGCATTTTGCTCCTCCTCCCGCTTCATGCAAATCATGTCGGGACCGAAGACGCCGGGATGCCCGGGGCCGAGCGCAGAGGGAGAACCCATCGCGCACGCGCGCGAGGAGGATGGAAGGATGGAAGGCGTGCCCGCGCAGGGAGCGTTCGGGATGCCAGATACCGAAGAAAGTAAACCGGCTCCCTCCCAGGGCCTGAGACGCTGTATCTTCTTGGAGAGTTGACCATGCTTGCCTCTGTGGATGTGTTTCGAGCACTCCTCCGTCGTCGCCGTCGTCGAGTCTGATCTTGTCCCTATTGTATAAATCGATACACAATGTGCAACCGGATTGTGTCTGTCTGTACAATCCAAGGTACCTTTTGTCAAGATTCATTATCAACGACGTCGTGCCGCCCGGCGGGTCCATGGCGCGCTGGTGGACCCGTTCCGCGCCCGCGGTACCAGCGGAGACAGTCTTGATGTCGAGTGCCGGCGCTGCCTACGTGATAGAGGTCCCATACTCCTGCAATACGAAATCAACACCAACGCAGCTCAACTTCCCTTACCTACACGCGAGCTTGCTGTAGTCACGACTGATTGTCCCAACAGTAACATTCAATTACGTCAGCCACATGTCGTGCCCTCGTCCCTGGGCGTCGGCTCTCCGGTTGGTGCAGGTTTCGGTGCCAGCTGGCTGCTTGATCGACTTGCCATTGAAGTTCTTGAAGGGGTCAGGTAGGTAAGTTCAACTTGCTTCAAGCTGATCAGTTGGCAGGTCATAGTCCAGGAGATGTTCTCACGCCACGGGGATTATCACGTGATCTTTGTTTGGCGCGCGCGACCCTTTTGCCGAAAGTCAATGGGCTTCGCTCGTACTTCACATTCAAGCTTTCAGCAATACCTCTAGTCTCTCGTTTACACTCGTCTGGACTTCCTAAAACTGCAAGAGCTCTTGGACCTCTGTCGAGATGGTATGTGAAGAGATCCAGGATCCAAGGTCGTCGACTGACCTCTTGCACACAGACAGTGTGCACAGATTGCGGAGGGACAGTGATCGAGTATGATGCGGCAGCCGGGAACGGGTTCTGTATCCAGTGCGGAACTGTGGTGGAGGAGAACACAATTGTAAATGAGGTATGTATGCACCCTCTCCGCACCGTGAACCTGTCCAACCCATCCTTCCCCCTGTCAAGGTTACGTTCGGGGAGACTAGCACTGGAGCCGCCATGGTCAGAGGAAGTTTGGTGGCTCAAGGCGCAAGTACGTTCTTCCCCGTGCACACTGAAGCCCCTTTTTTCACGCTCTGGTAGCTCGCGCACGCGTCGGGGGAATGTTTGGTAACCGAGGGAATTCAGAGAGCAGAGAGCAGACCATCGCAAATGGTGAGCACTGTTGACGATATGAGCATCGCGGTGGTGTCTTACCCAAGTTCAGCGAGTCGCAAGATCCAGCAAGTTGCTACTGCCCTTCGTCTGTCCGAAGTGGTATCCTTGGCTGCAACGCGCCTGTATACTCTCGCGGTGGAGCACAAGTTTACCAAGGGCCGGAAAAGCATGAACGTCGTCGCCGTGTGCCTTTACGTGGCATGCAGGCAAAAGGAGACCCGGAACTACATGCTCATCGACTTCTCAGATCTGTTGCAGGTATGAGTGACCGACAGTATGCGCATATAGCTAGCCTCATGTGTCCCACAGGTCAACGTCTTCGAGCTCGGTCACACCTATCTACAGCTCGTTCAGACCCTCAACCTCCGCCTCCCCCTCGTCGACCCGTCACATTACATCTCCCGCTTTGCAGCTCTTCTCGAGTTCGGCGACGAGACCCACCAAGTTGCGATGGACGCCGTTCGACTGGTGCAGCGATTCGACCGCGACTGGATGACGAAGGGACGTCGACCTGCAGGGATTTGTGGTGCGTGTCTCCTCCTCGCCGCACGCATGAACAACTTTCGGCGAAGCGTGGCGGAGGTCGTGCAAGTCGTGAAGATCGCCGACACAACGCTCAAGAAGCGACTGGCGGAGTTTCGCAGGACGCCCAGCGGGCCCTCACGCTCGCCGACTTCCGGACTGTGTGGTTGGAGGACGAGATGGACCCCCCGGCTTACACGAAGGGGAAGGAGAAGGAGGAGAAGGAGCGCATCCTACGCGAAAACGGCGGGGTCCCGCCGGAGGAGGAGGGGAAGAAGAAAGGAAAGGGCAAAGGCAAGAAAAAGAAGCGGAAGCGGAACGAGAGCGACGAAGAACAAAACGAAGACATCACGAACGCTGAACAATCCGCACCCACAACGACTCCCTGTCCCCCCGCGGAAGTCGCTCCTCATCACAACGCACTCGACCCTGCTCTCCTGAACCAAGGCATCCTAGTCGGTACCAGCCACCCCCTTCCACTGTTCCTTCCGGAAGATGGCGAGCACGTTGACTTCGGGATGCCCATGCCCCAAACCTCCATGGCTCCACCGATTGACCCGACACCGCTCGATCCGGACCCGACACTCGTCAATCCACCCGGCATCAGCCTCCCGGAGCAAGCGACACGAGATCCCGGTTCTCCTCCCGACAAACCTCTCTCAGTCCCCGTGCGCCTCCCTTCGCCGATTGAAGAGACCGTCAACGCTGCGGTGACGCAGGAAGTATCCGACTTCCTGACGACTACCCAAAGCACTTTGCTCAACGAGGCTCTCGACGATGCGGAGCAGAGGAGACGCGAGCACTACACTGGTGACGACGAACTCCTCGGGCTCGATGAGGACGAATTGGACCGTTTCATCCTCACCGAGGAAGAAGTTCGAATCAAGGAACGAGTTTGGGTGGAGATGAACCTAGACTACCTCGAGGCAATTGCAGGTGAGATACTGGCAGACTGTTGCCAAACTTTGGCTCATTACACGGTCGCTCAACGGTATGGCGCAGCGAAAGCCGAGCAGCAAGAAGAGCAGGGCAAGGAGAAAAAGACGCGCAAGGTTCGAATCCCACTTGCGCATCTTTTCCTATACCATTTCCCATTGTTTGCGTGTGTTTGCACGCCTATCCTAACTCTCCACTCATTTCTCAAACGACCTCTTTACAGCGCCGGAAAACGAACAACAAGCCCCGGGACGCGTCAACGCCACACGGGAGCACAGCGGCGGAGTCTGTGCGCAACCTGATCAAGAAGAACCCAAAGTACAGCAAACGGATCAACTACAATGCGCTGAAGGACCTCTTCACCGAGGACGGTTCATTGTTCCAAATGCCCAACGCCGAAGACGAGGACAAAGACGAAGACGGTCAGATCTACACTATGGACGACAAGGATGATGATGAGGGTATGCTCGTCGAGGAACCCGGTGGGGTGGAGTCGGACAGGTCCGACCAACGAAGTCTCGCTCCGCAGTCTGGCGCCGAATCCGAACGCGGCGTCTGCGAGCGCCGATGTGGTCACGGCGGAGGCGGAGATCGAGGGAGACGAGGAAGACGCAGAGGGCGAGGATGACGTGGATGAGGACGTCGATAAGGATGACACTGCGTACGGCGAGTGGGACGCATACGAGCAGGAGGTCTGATGAACTAGTACTGTGCGCCTGTCTGTCACCTCTCATCGTGTTCTCATGTTGACCCAAGGTGCGGCCTATAGCGTATTTATACACTATTGCATATTCGGGTTCAAATTGCCCCCTCTTACGGTGTTTAGACGAGACGCGTTTCAGAGACCTACAGGAGGCCTACGGCGGGATTTCAGCGTTCCGCTTGATCGGGTGACCATGGTAGAGTGCACGCTTTTCCCGCTTTCAAAAACGCAGAACCTTGTAGAGTGGCACGCACCCTCTGGGACGCCTCTTCAAATCTTTCTGGCACCACACTTTCCACCACTGGTACGTTTGACCTCAACTAATGTTCTTTCTGCATTCGTCAGTTGCCAGAACTCTGCCCTAGATTATGGACTGTAGAGCACAGCTCATGCCGAAAGACTTCCCAGGAGGATACGCCATCTTGTCGCGTGTGTGCTTGCAGCCCAACCTCGAACAATCCTTCCAGAAGATGCACAAGATTGCGCTTGTCGAGCCAACATCGATGATCCCTGTGGACCACGAGTGCATAACCTTCCGATCTGCCGAAGCAAGGATTGGCTGACACCTCCTCTTGGCAGTCCGACGGATGCCCATCACCCACTCCAGATCCACGCGATCACACATTCGTCCGCCTCCAAGAGGAGATCATGAAGACCTCGCCGCGCTCTCTCCGCGCTAGCCACCACGTCGGCAACGACCCCCGGAGCCGGGTGTACACGCACGCGGATGCGCCCTGCCTCTCACGCCGCACACGCCCCGGGCAGAGCAACCGCGACTCGCCCCGCACGCGCCCCACCACGCTGTGGGTGCGTAGTGACTACGGGGAGGGTCCGCGAATTCTTCCGCGCGCCCAAGGCGGCATGTACAGACCGTTCCACGTGCGGCCCGTCTCGTTCGCCTTGGACGTCGTTGGAGAAAGCCCGTCGGCGGAAGGGGACCGCGATTTCCGCCTGGGCTTTGGCGACGCCTGCACCTCGCTTTCAAATGCGACGGACGAGCACATGGATCTGCCACGCTTGAGTTTGCCGGCGAGGGGACACCGTGGGTGCCGCAGCCTAGCGGCGAGTGCATGCGGAGTCAATTGCGTCAGGCTTTCTCAGGATGGCATACATGTCCAGTATGCCACGGTGTACATATCATATACGACGGAGACATCGCGGGGGAGGTGGTACGCGTGCTGCGCCCGTAGGACTTCAAGGGATCGCATCAGCGACGTACGGCCCTTACAAGTTACGGCTCCCGCGAAACCACGGGTCGGTGCACGTGCGCTTGCAGTTGGCTTGCAGTTCAAGCCGTGCACGCCCAAGTTCCGAACCCGACCGGAAGGACCCGCTCTCTGTTCGGTGCTTGTGATGGCTACGATGTCGCGATCCGCGTGTATCGGGGGAGGACAAGCAGCGGACGACCAGTATCGTACAAACGACTGTGCATGGGGTGGGGTGGGGGGCTCAACGAACGGCGGCGGAATTACAGGATCGCTGAAGTAGTACAACAGACAACAGGGCGACCCCCGCCCCGCGGCGGCGCTCGTCCTCGTGTCTGCGGGGCCTGGGGGCCTGGGGTATGCGGGTATGCGGGGGCATAAATAGGTATACGTATCATCCACACGATCTCGTGTCATCAGTCCCTCGCGCTCGTCAGACGGGGCTCATCATGCGCCCCTTGCCGGGCGCGCCGGCGCCGGCACGGGGGTGGTCGCCCTCGACCTCGGTCGTGACCTTGATGTCGACGATCGACGGCTGGAGGACGGCGTCGCCGACCTGGGGCACGTTGAAGCGCTCGGCGGTCGCGAGGCGCTCCGCCGCGGCGAACGACATCCCGCCGCGCGCGAACTCGCCAGGGTTGAGGAGGTACATGTTGTTGTGCTGCGACAGCTTGCGCGAGTTCAGGCTGCGTGCGGCGAACGGGAAAAAAAAGAAGTCAGATCGAGAGTCGGGAACAAGAAGGATGGAGGGAGGGGCTTACACACTGAGAAGAGTCGCGATGTCCACTATGGGAGGGTTAGGGCGAGTGGAGAGCGAGTGGGGAGACGGGACGCACGATGAGAGGTCGTCATATAGACCATGGCCCAGTACATCGTGTCCTTCTTCGTGAGAGCCTGGAGCGGGTTAGTGCTCACGCTGCGGGCAAGGTATGAGATCCGATGAACTCACCAACAAAAACGCCAGAAGGTCTCCAACGCTGAAAATTTGGGATGAGATATGTTCGCTACTCATCTATGAAAGCAACATACAGAATGAATCCCCCTAGAACACGTTCTGTCAGTAGTTCGTGGTGGCGGAGAAGACGGACAACGTACCCGTGTTGACGATATTGACTACGATCCATGCGTTGACGGAGTCGCCCCTGAAGGTAAAAATGTGTTCAGCGGACACAAATATCGCTTTAGAAGCATTCTGAACTCACTTGTGCTGGCCATTATTCGCTCTTCGCAGAGCGATCAAAAGGCAGCCGGTTATGATGAAGTTGGCTAGTGAGGCACTACCTAGTGCGATGTCGAACAAAAGCTACAGATGGTGTCAGGTATAAAAAATCCAAATGAACGGCGCGTCCTCACAAGGTTCGAACTGAAGAACTCGATAGAACTTGTCTGAAATCTGTATCATGGTGAATTCTCATGAACTGATCGAGACCCCTGGAGCCATACCCTTTGACGGCAAAAACTGCGAGCACGCAGACGATCAGAGCGCGCCCTTCATCGCACCATCAAAAAGTAGAGAGCACTGACTCAAGCCACAAACCAGCTTGACGACTAATAGCGCCGCCTGATGTCACGTGAGTACCAGTGCCACGATTAACGGTATCAAGGGCAGTTCGCACCGAGACCACTGCCGCGATCTTGAATTTGAAACCCACTGAGAAATTCGTGAGTCTACATCGACCACTTGTAAAGGTGCGAGGATAATTTCACTGACATAATGCTACACGTGTGAGGAAAAAACTGTTCTCGTGATGAGAACGGTGCTTATGATGCGACCCGGTACAATGCTTACCTTTGCGACGTGATTGTGATCATAGCCTAGTGTAAGTGAGATCGAGCTTGAGGAGGACGATGACAGAAGTGACTTACCGCAAATGCAGGAACGAGCTGCCGTGATTCACATCCATATCAACATCGTCTAAATACTACCACGTGAGAACCTACGTCGAAAGACCTGCCATAGCCAAGTGAGGATCCAGAGCGAAGGGAGTAAGCAGCCAAGACGCACCATACGGCCTTCAAGAGGGCGGCAGGGTTGAAGTAGTTGATGACCAAATAGAAGTATCTGCACCGGTGGGTTCGTGAGCGTGGGATTGTAAGGGATCGCAAAAAGACATACATCGAATGCGTAACGAGTGCCACTTGAGTCGTGTCGAGGAGTCTAAACCTTTGTGTTAGGAGTTGGAGGTTTTAATTCACCGGATGCCCACTGACATAACAACAGCGACCTGGAGGACAGAACGTTGAAAGCACAGACGCAGCCAAAATGGGGATGGACGCACCAGTAACCGGAGGATGGGCGAGTCCGAGTATTGACTACGATAGTAGCCATATGTCTGGTGCATGCAAAGTCCGTATAAACTGGAGGAGTATGAACGATGCGGTGAAAGGGAGGAAGGACGGGGAGCTCACATTACACTGAGGCATCCGCCCAAGAAGATGGCCCCGAAGGTCGACTCGATGTGTATCGACCCGGGGAGGGGAACAACCCCAAGGTTGACCACGGTGGCGTTGGAGGCATTGGCCATGACGAGTGAGGTCGTAACTGGGACGGCGAGCGCATCCTGGGGTTGATAAAGAAGGACGGAAAGCAGGACCGGTGCGCCTGTTGAGAGGATTCCCGGTCGAGTGGGTCTGGGATGATATCAAAAAGCAGGGCGAACTCAGGGCGAAATCGGGGCAAGGCGATCCGGGCGCTGCGATCTTTCTAAACGGAGAAGCACGCGAGAAGGGCGCAGGTGTGTTGCCCTGGCAGATAGGTACGTTCCGCTGTGATCAGAAGAACGTGGCTTGGGGTTGGGGAATGCCTCCGTGGTTTCATCACTGATGAAGCAGTGAATGAATTGGCGACAAGCGACTGGGAGCTGCTGCTTACCGATGGGCTCGCGTAGAACGATGGAGGTGTAAGTAGGATCAGTTGCCTCCGGTACTTCGAACGCGGGATTGGTCGCCGACTTGAACTTGGCCTGTGGCCATCAACCCCAGCGAAGCGCCCTGCCTGATCGCCCTTGTCCTCCCACGACGGGGTTAGGGCTTGCCACCCGCCGGAACTCGACCACATCAATCCCGGACTCAACATTCGACCATCTCCCCATCCGAGCCTGTCCACTCAGTCGCGGCGCTTCACATCTTCCGCCGTACACAGTGGCCCACCAGACGAAGCTGATTGCTGGATCGTGTCCAAGTGTGCATCGCTTTCGAGAGAGACAACAGTCATTTCGAGCTCGGTCGTCGGTTGTCTTCTTTGCCCTAAGGTATGTCTTCCCAATCCTCAGTTTGAAGTGCCGAGTGCCAGGGTCGGTCCGATTGGTCCACTTTGACCCATCATCAATCGCCATCATGGCAATGCATGGGCGCCGGGCGGCGTCAGACGATGCTTTTTCTCGCTTGAGTCGTCTGATATACCCAGCTCGCTCACATCGCCCCAGATCTCCTCACCTTCGTGTCAGGTCGCCGAACAACGAAATCGAGCCTCTCTCCCAAGTGCAGCATGGCTAGGATCGCCTTGTGTATGTAGATCGATACCGCAGTAACTTGAATGCTGACTTATCTGCTGAAGAGCAGACCAACGACGAACACGTTCATTCGCGACAGCAGTGACGTAACGTCGCGCCCAATGTCAACCTCTGGTCTCGACTCTTGAGCATGCCTCAAGCTCCAGGAACCAGTACGAACAGCTCTGCTCCGGCCGTGAGTGATTCTCCTCGTCGCCTCATGCTTATCGACGGCCTTATCGCGAGGCTCCTTCGGGAGGCCACACATGATTTGCGGACTAAAACTAGCTATCATGCCATTTCCCAGGAGGCCTTCCTCCGGTTCTCACATCCTCGACCCGTAACAGAGGGCCAACACATCTGAAGCCATATGAAGACCGGTCGTCGTGGCTTGCGGTCATGTGCTCACACAACCTCTTCCATTGAGCCTCGCCTCTGCTGCGCTACGAGGTACGACGGACCATATAAGCATAGTATACTGATTCGTATCGTGTGCTCTTCGTTCACACACACATACATGACAGTTCCAATTTTCGCATACTTCCACGGACGTACGACACCTACCGTCCGATGGGAGGAAGACCGCATGCTACACCTGCGAGCATATCCTCTTAAAAGTCAGCTTGCCAAGCAGCACCAACGCACCGGGACGCACCTCTACGAGGAGCCCGCCCTCCCTCCCCCCACCTGGCACCCTCGTGATGCGTCTCTCATCCTTAGCCTGGGCCCTTCCCCTGGTCGCTCTCGCGTCCGCTCTCCCTGCGCGCCGCGCCGACCTCGTCGTGCACGAGCGGCGCGCATTCGAACCTCTCGACTGGGTCGCGACTGGACGCCCAGCGGTGGATACGGTCTTGCCACTTCGCTTCGGGCTCACACAGCAAAACCTGCACCGTCTCGAGGAACTGCTCATGTCCGTCTCGCACCCCACATCCGCGAGCTATGGCCAGCACTTCTCCCCGGAGGACGTCGTCGAGCTATTCCGCCCCAGTGACGTCACCGTTGCTAGCGTCACGGAGTGGCTTGTCGGCGAGGGCATTTCGCCTGACCGGTTGAAGATGAGCGCGAGCAAGGGCTGGATCGAGGTCAACGCGACGATCGCGGAGGCGGAGGCGCTTCTTGACGCACAGTACGAGGAATTTACGCACTCTTCTGGTGCAAAGCAAATCAGTGAGTTCGCCAGATTCCATTTCAAATTTACACCTCAATGAATTCCCTCGCACAGGTTGCCACTCTTACTCCGTCCCTGAGGCCGTACGCCCACACATCGACCTCGTCAAGCCCACTGTGCACTTCTTGCACCGCATCCCGACGTCTGACCAGCTGCAGACGCGCAAGAGGTCGTTTGAGCGCCCGTCGACTCACCTCAAACAAGGCGCGAAGAAGTTGAGCGCGGATGTGACCATAACTCCAAGTCTGGAGAACTGCGACGAGCTTATCACGCTTGACTGTCTCCGTGCTCTCTACTCCATCGACCACACCCCTGTGTCGACAGACAAGAACACCTTTGGTATTCGTGAGTGCCACGTTGGGTGCTATGTGCGCTCGATACTGACTTGATTCCCAGTGGAGTTCACTCCTCAGGCCTTCCTTCAGAGCGATCTCGACATGTTCTTTGCGTACGCATCCTCGTCCATTCGTGACACACCTTTGTGGTAACCCGCTTCCCACAGCAACTTCTCCCCCAGCCAAGTCGGCACGGCTCCCCAGCTGATCTCCATCGACGGTGGTGTCGACCAGACTCAGATGACCGGCTTCAACTTCAACGGCGAGAGCGACCTCGACCTGCAGTATGCCTTCGGCCTTGTGAACCCACAACCTATCCTGCTCCTCCAGACTGGCGACCTCGTCGAGGGCGCGTCGTTCAACAACTGGCTCGACGCCGTCGACGGCTCCTTCTGCACGTTCGAAGGTGGTGACGATCCCACTCAAGACGGTATCTACCCCGACCCTCTTCGCGGTGGATTCGATGGTACGTTGATAACGCGCCAGAATGCTTCCTCGCTCTGATCGCACGACCCAGAGCCTGAATCGTGCGGAATCCTTCCGCCCCCTTTCGTCGTCTCGACGTCCTACGGTCAAGACGAAGCCACGGTCACCGCCGCGTACGCACAACGCCAGTGCGCCGAGTACGGCAAGCTCGGGATGATGGGTACCACCGTCCTTTACTCCTCTGGGGACGACGGCGTCGCTGGCGGCGGTGGCGTCTGCCTCAACGCGCAAAACCAACCTAGTCGCCGCGGCACGAAGTTCAGCCCGGATTTCCCCGTCACCTGCCCGTTCGTCACCGCCGTGGGTGCCACTCAGGTGAACCCGGGCTCGACGGTGAACGACCCCGAGGGCGCGTGCGAGCAGGTTATCTTCTCGGGTGGAGGGTTCAGCAACATCTTCGCGATGCCGGACTACCAGGCCGAGGCGGTCACCAGCTTCTTGACGAACCACCCGCCGCCGTTCACGGCTGCACAGTTCAACAATTCCGGCAATGTGCGCGCCTTCCCCGACCTGTCGGCGAACGGCGCGAACTATGTTGTCGGTAAGTGTCATTCTCAGACTTTGGAATCAAAGGAGTGCTGATCCCTTGACGACTCGACAGCGGTCGCGGGCGAGTTCGAGCTCGTGTTCGGGACGTCGTGCTCTTCCCCTGTTGTGGGCTCTATGATTACTCTCGTCAACGACGCCCGTCTCGCCGCTGGCAAGGGACCTGTTGGTATGTACTACACTATCTCGTCTACTTTTTTTAACTTATGTTATTGTTTTTAGGCTTCATCAACCCCGCTGTGAGCAATATCCGTAGCCATCACGTGAGGGAATGCTTTTCTAAACCCCACACTCCCGCAGATCTACTCGGACGCTTTCAAGGGCGCATTCCATGACATCACCATGGGCGGAAACCAGGGTTGTGGCACCGCCGGATTCACTTCGTGAGTTTCCGCCGTCTTCGAAGTGAAGCACGTTCTCACCTTGACCTGCAGAACCGAGGGATGGGACCCTGTGACTGGTGTCGGCACCCCCAACCTAGCAGCGCTTATGCCTCTCTTCTTGGGCCTTCCCTAAACGACGCGACGATGGGAGCACTAAAGTGTATATAGCGTTGGAGCGTCACGAATTTATCCGACCCCACTTTCATTGAGTGGGTCGGTATGTTGTATTTTTGTCCCCAACTTCCGAAGACGGGCATTAGGAAGCGCCACCGATGTCGACGACTGTTGCTCCGGTGAACAGGCAGAATGCATCTGTCGAAAGAAGTAGACCTTCGCGTGACCGTGCCTAATTGTGCCCACTTACGTGCAAGAGTATCATCGCGGCGCTTGCCGTTGTGTCCGGTAAGTATTCAACCGAATATTGTCCCCGGATCGCCCACACTAACTCCTGGCCCCATAATCCCCGATCGACCATTGCACCTATAAGGGCGTCGCGCTGCCAGCCAGTCACCCCATACTCTCATACCCTCAAAACACTACAATGTTCCCATTTCTCAAAGCCAATGCGCTTGTCGCTTCTCTCGCTCTCTCTGCCGCCGCGACAGGCGTCATTTGGGATGGCCGAGCACCTCTCAACCTAACCGCTGCCGACCTCGATTCTTCCACTGGCCCGTTCCTCACGTGAGTATCCCCACATCCCCAGGCTCCGTGAGTCCGTACACTCGTTGAATTTCTGCGCTTCGCATATTAGAGTAGTGAAGGGTTCTGAAGCTGCTTCTCATGTGAGCATGTCCTCCTTTTGTCCTCGTCCTCCGTACTCCTCGCTCACCGCTCACCACCACTGCACCCCACACACACAGTACTCCCAACTACTCGGCGACACCCTCGCCCCCACCGCGCTATGGAACCCCTACGGGCCGTCCGAGCAGGCGCTCGCGGTCTCGATCGACAACTCGTCCATCTTCGTCCCCGGCAGCGGCGGCCCGCAGAACGGCTTCCGGCGGACGGACATCATCGCGGCGGTCGACGGGCAGCACGACGCGCTGCTGACGCAGATGGAGACGGGCGTGACCGTCTTCCACTTCTCGGTCATGCAGGACGCCGCGCGGCCGCTCAACTACAGCCACGAGTACCAGATCGTGTTCATCGAGCCCAACGACGGCACGCACGTCTTCGATCTCCAGCTCGGTGCGTCCTCCTCGCGCATGCGTCACACCGTTGCCGCGCGCTGACGCGGGCGCGACAGGCTCGCCGTTCACGAACCCGACGGGCGCCGTGCCCGTCGCGGACGCACACTCATTCAAGCTCCGCGACCACGCGCGCGACGTGCTCTTCGAGACCGGCTTTTCCGCGGGCGCGTGGCACAACTTCGCGGTCGAGGTCGACTGGAGCGCGCGGACGCTCGCCGCGTTCTACTCCCAGGACGGCGCCGCGCTCGCGCAGGTCGTGCCGCCGACGGGCAACCCGACCGCGTCGGCGGGGACCGCGGGCCAGGGCGACTTCCACTTTACGGTGCTCAAGGTGCGTGGGGACGGGTTCGCGATCGTGTGTGGGGAAAGACATCTGGGCTGATGCTTGAGCGCAGCTGCCGTTGGTCAACCCGGCGGACTCGAGTGCGGACCAAAACGATGTCGTCCACTTTGGTATTCAGGAAGGTACGACGGAGGGACTCATCTACTCTGGGGTGTTTGTGGAGGGTAGTGCGGGTGGGATTAGTGGGCAAGCGAGCGACTAAGGACGGGAAACCGTTCAAATGTGGAAAATGTACAAACATAAATCAAACCGCGGAACGCGGAAGAACATGATATGTTTGTTTCGCTCCTGCAGGACTTGCTCGGTGTGCGGCTGGAGCACGCTGAAAGCAATCTGCATCCTCCTGCCGCGGCTGACACGACGGTATCCGAACAAGGACGATGGTCAACCTCCGGAAAATGCCGACTCGTCCAGCCTCTCACCTATATATTCCCCTCGAGCCCGGTCGTCCCGCTTTCCTTACGACCACCACATACATTCCCCTCTCCGTCCTCCTGGGCATTGGTGGAAGTAGTGTTCCTCCAGCCGGCTCTCTAGTCCCCTTCCCTGCGCACGTGTGCATAGGGAAGCAGACGACCACGGCCTCAGCTGCGGCACCGCACTCCTCGACCCCCACACCCACCCATCCCCGGTCATCATCCCCCTCGACCACCCCGGAGTGCGCGGAACACTTGGGCATGGAGGAGCAGCTCATCTAGTACGTCACCCGCTTGCCTCCACCTGCTTCCGTCCACTAACGCCCTCGTCTCGCCCCTCAGCCCGCAGCGTGCATCGCATCCCCATGCGCGGCTGACGCTCTCCTGCCGTCGTCGTCGTCAGTCCACCCAGTGGCATTCGACGTTCGCGCCGCCCCCGCCTGGCTCCTCTTACCCGTCGCGCGGTGCCGACCCCCGATGTCGGCGGCGGCGAGCGGTGGATGGGCCAACGCCGTCCGGTCACGCCGCCTGTCTGGGACGGGCGGCGCGGATGTGCGGGGTGCGGAGCGGCGCATCGCTGGGTCGAGGTCCCGAGTGGTGCGTGCTGTGCCTCTGCCGTACTAGGTCAAGCTGTGCTTACCGTGAAGGCGCAGCGTTCGCCGTGCGGATCTCGCCCAGTGTGATCGTCGAGGTGAGCGTTCCATTCGTTCTTGTCGTGGTTGATGGTCTTTTGCAGGTCCAACAGTGCCACAAGAGCATGCCAAGAGCAGCGCGACCTCTTCAAGAGCGATCGTGGGTATCCCAAATCTCCTCGGTAAGGCACTGAGTCGGTTCTTTTCAACTTCTTCTGCTGACGTACTGAGTGACGACCATTTCAGTACCCATCGCGTCTGCAGGCCGAGGCAGTTCAAGAGCCCGGACGTCGCCGTCAAGAACGGTCGTGGAAACCGTGGCGATGCAAGTGCCCCTCGGTAAGATGCTGTCTTTTCTTCGCCGACTTACTGATGGCTAGACGCGTCAAGGACAGGGTTCCGTCGCCGACAAGGAAGATTACCACAACACCGAGGCTGACAACGCGTGACGTCAACACGAAGGTACGTAGGTAAAGATGCTATGACCGCGACTCGCGACTTACAGTGCTTCGATTGCTTCAGATCCGGGAGAGAAGGAGAGGCTGGCTGAGGATTGCTTTGGAAGGGTGCCAAGGGTGCATTGAAGGTCGTTATTGGAGTCGAATTTCGTCCTGAGACTCGGATCATACGTGACCAACACCTTGACTGAAACGCTGAGTTGGATTGAACGGTTTTCGTACATACACTTGGCTGGTCTGCGTCACGTCGGGCAATTCCGGAGAGTGGAACGGAAGAAATCCCAAAAGGGGTTGACGCCGAGCACATGGGCGCCTCTGAGATTGAAGCGGAGCCTCGGCGGTCGCCGCAGGGCGCATCTCGTCGACCTGGGCGAGCGTCGCCGCCGTTCGAGCCAACGCCTACCCCGCCTTCTTCCTCCCCTCCACGTCCAACTCGTCTTTCTCTTTCGCCACCATGTCTGAGTTCTGTCCCGTCTACGCGCCCTTCTTTGGTGTCATGGTGCGTGTTGGCTCCGTCTGCGTGCGCCCTGGCTCGCCGAACTCACGACGCATATCCTGCAGGGCTGCACCAGCGCCATTGTCTTCACCAGTATGTTGCTCTCCTCGTCTCCTTCCCCCGCGGCGCTGACAGTGCAATCTGCGCAGGCATTGGTGCCAGGTGAGCCATGGAACGCGACCCGTCCTGCGGCTTCAGGAGACTAACAAATGCCCGCCATTCACCAGTTACGGTACTGCGAAGTCGGGAGTTGGCATTTCCGCCATGTCCGTCCTCCGCCCGGATCTCATGATGAAGTGCTCCATCCCGTCATCATGGCTGGTATCATTGCTGTGAGTCTCCCTGTCCTGCGCGACCCGGGCCTGACTGCTCATGAGACATTGCGCAGATCTACGGCCTGGTCGTGTCCGTGCTCATCTCCGGCAACCGTGCGTACCTGTGTATGTCCTCATGCGCGGATGCGGTCAGCTAACGCAGGGCTTTCTCAGTCAGCATGGAAATGACCCTCTTCCAAGGTTTCGTCCAGCTTGGCGCCGGTCTGGCTGTGGGTCTCGCCGGTCTTGCTGCGGGCTTTGCCATCGGCATCGTTGGTGACGCTGGTGTACGGGGCACCGCGCAGCAGCCCAGGCTCTTCGTCGGCATGGTGCGTTTTCCGTGCATGCATCCTCCTGCGCTAGTCTCATACCCCCGGCAGATCCTCATTCTCATTTTCGCCGAGGTCTTGGGTCTGTACGGTCTCATTGTTGCTCTCATCATGAACTCGCGAGCGGGTGACTCGGCGGGCTTGGTAAGTCTCCGGTTATCGTGCATAGTGTGCTCTGGGCTCACCCTCTGGCCAGTGCCACCCGTAAGCTCCGTCTTCTCGAAGAGGAACCAACCCGTAGTGGCGGTAGGAGCAGGGGACACCTTGCCTCCGGACGGACAACACCCACGCTACGATCCACATTCACGTAGGATTCTTCACTACGCGCTGCAAAGTGCCCTCTGCTCTTATAGTCATGTGCTTTACCGTGCATATAATACCACCTTGGTCGGATGCATGAGAACGGAAGGTGTGAGAAGCTGGTCGGCGTGTCCGCCAGGGACGGTTCGCAGGGCCTCGGATATGACGTGGCTCGGCGCCAGCTCGGGCGAGGCATAAACGCGAGTTGAGCAGGCTGCAGCGAGCGTCGTATAGTATGTCTTCTGTCTAAAGAGTTGAATACGCCTGTGTCGGCACCGTCTTCGTCATCAAGATGCTGTGGACTGCATCACGGATGGTGGTCATGCACGGAAGTGAGATAAGATAACTCAATGAGCAAAGCCATGGGCGCCATTCCCTGACCCCCATCCACCACCACCGACGACGTGGCGGCAGTCGACGACGGCCAAGACAGCAAGGAGGGCGATGTTCTCGTTGCTTCCGACGTCCCTGCTAGCCCTCCTCCTCTCCTCCCCGGTTCTCGCGGGGCCCACGACGCCCAATGATCTCTTCCGGCCCATCTCCCTCCAAGCACCTAAACGCACGGAGGAGCCCGTGTGCTGTCTAAGGCCACTTCCGCCGTTGGAGCCGCCCCCGTCCGAGGACGATCTGCTCCCCTCGTTTGAGGACTGGAAGACAAAGCATCTCTCCGACCCCAAGGACCAGGATGGACCCCCTCGACCAGCCCGCACGGAGAACCTTTCCGCCGAGGCGAACGGCAGCGCCGACCCCGCGCATTCCTCGCACCACGCCTCTGACGTCCCCGTCGTCGACACCGCGGACGGCACACTGGGCGACGCACCCGCGACGGCGCCGCCGCCGTTTCGCGTGCCCATCCCGACGAAGGACCGGTTCAACTACGCCTCGCTCGACTGCTCCGCACGGGTGCACGGCGCGCACAAAGGCGCCAAGTCCGCGTCGTCGATCCTGTCGAGCAAGAAGGACCGGTACATGCTCTCGCCGTGCAGCGACGCGCACCGGTTCGTCGTCGTCGAGCTCTGCGAGGACATCAGGATCGACACCGTCCAGCTCGCGAATTACGAGTTCTTCAGCGGCGTCTTCAAGGACTTCACCGTCAGCGTCGCCAAGCAGTACACCGACGACCCGGCGCACATGACGCACGCGGGGACGTTCCGCGCGAAGAACGTGCGCGGCGTGCAGGTGAGTGCCATCGATGGTGCCCGTTGTCCGCGCTGGGCAGCTGCTGAACACGAGGCACAGACGTTCCACCCGCCATCAACGCTCCGCGATTTCTACCGCTTCATCCGGATCGACTTTCGCTCGCACTACGGGAACGAGTACTATTGCCCCGTCTCCCTCCTCAGGGTTTATGGCCTCACGCATCTCGAAGAATGGCAGTGGGAGACGTGGGAGGAGGAAAGCCGGGCGAGGCGGTCGGCGGAAGAGGCAAGTTCTCTCGTCGACGTCAGTGCGGAACCTCCGAAACCAGTGCATACACCCACCTCCGACACACCCCACGACTCCAACGAGACCGACGCGGCTGCCCCGTCCTCGGATCCGGCAGACCCACTCACTAATGCCGGTGGCTCGTCAAGAGAAATCCTCGAGTCGCTCCAGTACAACCTCTCTACCCCCATACCGGACCCTTCCCCGCACACCACCATGGAAACCACGTCTCTCATCAAAACCGTCTCCGACATTCACGACTCCGCACGTTCTCAGTCCGACACATTGTACAACACGCATGTATCATTATCAACCGCCTCGTCCACACCCACTCCACGGTCCTTAACAACTCGACCTCTGCAACCGTATTTATCGACACGCAACATACTTCGGATTCTCCTTCCTCCTCTCGCTCCTCAGTCTCTACGGATGGCCACTCTATCATCTCTATCACCCCTTCCTTGTCGCCCCCAGCCCGCCCACACCAACGGGGGCGAGTCTATTTACCGCCTTATTATGAACCGGCTTACAGCGCTCGAGGCCAACACTACTCTGTATGCCCGATACGTCGAGGAGCAAACGGCAGGCATGCGTGAGGTGCTCCGTCGGCTCACGGAGGACATTGGTCGGCTGGAGGGTATGTGAGTACACACCCACTCATACGTGGCCGTCTGCTTACGCCGTCCGGATTTAGAGCAAGGCGCAAGCACAACTGTACCAGCGATCCGTAGTCGAGCTTGAGAAGCAGACCAGACGGCTTGAGAAAGAACAGCACGATCTACTGTCGAAGGTGGAGAACTTAACGGACGAGGTGCGCTGTAGCACGACCTGCTTCTACACCCTTTCTCCTGACACTGGCGGCCGTAGGTTCTTCTTGAGAAGCGCCTCGGCATTGCGCAACTCTGTCTCTTGCTTACCGTCCTCGTCTTCATGGCCCTGACGCGTGGCTCGCGTGGTGAACACGCCTACCGGAACAACGCCGTGCGTGAGTGGGGCCGCCGTACGCTGAGCTTCAGTGGCGGGCTCGTCAACCGCCTGCGCACCCGGAGTTCCACCCCTCCCCGTCTCACTATTACCGGTGGTCAGTCCCACGCGTTCGCAACCTTAGCCACGCGAACAAGCTAACCCCTCCCTAGACAACGTTGCCTTCCCTACAACAGACCCCGACACCCCCCAGCGACCCCGCCGCGCCCACCATCTGCACTTGCACCCTGTCGCGCGTAAGGCCAGCGGAACCGCCCTCACTCGCCCGCACACCCCCATCTCGCTCCGCACGCCCACCTCCCGCCACCTCGCGCACCACCGTTTCGCCGCGCCGACGTCACCCATCCGCCCCGGGATGCAGCGCTCGAACTCCGGGTCGCTCTCCCTCGGCTTCGGGGGCGTGGGGCCCGTCCCGAAGAGCGCGAAGCGGTGGGCGCGCAGCGCCCACCTGCACGAGGTCAAGGCGTCCCCGCACCGGAGCGCGCTCGAGCTCGACGACACCGCGACGCCCGTACCTTCCACCTCCGCGTCCGCGTCCACGTCGTCGTCTCGGAACGCCACCCCGAACTCGGGTGAGCGGCACGGGGACGCGTTCGACCCGACCGCGGAGGGGCAGGTCCTCGTCGTCCCCGCCGCGCTCTCCGCGTTCGACGCCGGGACGGGCACGCTCAGCAGAAGCAAGGGCAAGCTCGTCGCGCGGGGTCTCCGCCGGCCGGCAGGGCCTCCCCCGGCAGAGGGTGACGGCGAGGCGAGCGACGCGTGGGTGGACACGGACGGAGACGACGGCGAGACTGAAGGCGAGGTGGACGATGGCGCGCGGGAGCGGTCGCGGACGGTCGGACCTGGTTCTGCGGGGCTCGCGGCGCGGAACGCTCTCTGATCAAGCTCGGGCTCGAGCTGCACACAAAACGGCGGATCGGATAGGATGTGTATACTGTACATAGGGCTGGCTGGCTGGCTGGGCGGGCCGCCCGCCCGCCGTGCTTCGCTTATCGTTGCTGTCGTTTGTCGATTCGTGTACATGTTTTGCTGCTTTCGTCTGGCAGCTTGTTTTCTGGAATCCGCGTGAACCTGCAGACATCCAGTATGACAGAACATCACAAGGCGAGGACTTGTGACAGGCGGAATACACTGAGTATCCGAGCGTTGACCCACATATATTATGTGCACATCTTCGCGTCTTCCGTCTCCCGCGGCTGCAGGAACAGGACGGATGTACATGATAGCACTGCTCAGCCACCCGGTAACCTGTCCTATGTACTGTCTGCTGTGCTTGGTTTGTCGTTGCTGTCGTCAGTTCGTGGACTCTTGTGTCCGCTGCTTTCGTCTACCATAGTAGCTGTCCTCAGTCCTCTCTTCGCAGCTGGTACCCTTTTGCAACACGGTGTTAACGAGTCGACGCAGCCTATCGTCTAGTCATGACGACGGTAATTGCTCCGCCAAAAGGTCTGTGCAAACCGGAAAAGACATCGACAGATGCGATTACAGCTACAAGTACAATACACGAAAGCGAGGGACATCACCGAATCAAGGAACCGGGTCGGATATCGCAAGCCCGCCCATCGGGACGTCGCGCAGCTGGTCCCGCGCCGCGTCCGCCGCTTGCTTGCGGGCCGCAGCCTTGTTTTTGAGCTCCTCCACTTCGGCGGCCGTCTTCGCCTGCAGAGATCCGTCAGCTCGAGCCTGCAACGTGGCCGGGAAGGGGATAAGACACGCACCAGTTCTCTTCGAGGTCCGAGAGCTTGAAGATGGAGTAAGGTGGTGATGCGGACGCCTTCTTGTCACCTGCGAACACGGGGATGGTCTCGGACGGCGGGTGAAGCGCTAAGGAGAGGAGGCTCACCAAACGCGCATGCATGAACACCTCGTTCATGTACTCGTGGTTCCGGCGGTACCGCGTCAAGGCCAGTGTCCGCGTGGAGATGTTCTCCGCCTCGTCTGCTGCCCACCTCCATGAGCGTCTCAAACGCGAGCGAAACGCAAGAAACTGACGCACCGGCCGAGTCCTCGTCCTCCACCAGCCGGTTCATCGGCGGCGCCCGCTGTTGTTGCTGTTGCTGTTGCTGCTGCTGCTGTTGCTGCTGCTGTTGTTGTTGCTGCTGCTGTTGTTGTTGCTGCTGCTGCACCATGCTCATCCCCCGCTCCCTCTGCGCCCGCCGCTCGAGGACCTCCATGTTGCTGTTCTGGTGCGCGAGCATCGCCGCCGGGTTCCCGGGCAGCGGCCCTGCACCCATACCGCCCATGCCACCCATGCCCGCGCCCGCACCCACGTTCGGCGGCATGTTGAACTGCACGATCCCGCGGTCCGCGCTCGCGGCGAGCGGCGGCGCGACGCCGTTCGGGTACACCTTCTGGCCCTGGCGCTCGCCGAGCACGAAGATCGCGGGCTCGTTCACGGGGCGAAGCGGGTAGTTGCGGGCCGGGGAGTTCAGAGAGGGGACGATGGCTGTTTGAGGGTGGCGTTGAGCCGAGGTCCAGGAGCGGGAGGAGGGAGTGGAGAGTGAGATATGGACGTACTTGTGCTCTGGCCGCGCGAGTAGTGGATGAGCATGAGCTGCGGGTGGCCACCCTTGTACATGCGGAAGCGTCGCCGGACGCGGTACGCGAACTGGTCGACGCCGGGCACGAAGCCGAGTTTCACCTCACATACTTCGAGTTCCTGGACGGATCGGTTTAGATTCGAGCGGCTCCAAGCGGGACGACGGACAATACCTTGTTGTTTCCGCACGGGAGGTAATACTTCTGCTCTCTGTCCTGGTACACGATGCCGTCTGGCGGGCATTGTAACTGGGGTGTTTGGAAGACAAGGAAAAGAGAACCGTCTGGGAAGACGTTGAGCGCGAGCGGGCATTACAGAGAGACACGCACCTGGGGGCTTGTCGATATACCCCCATCCGAACGGCGTGCTCTGCGCGAGGGAGATGGCACGAATGAGCATCGCCGCTGCGTTCTCCTGTGTTACTTGGGGATAGATCCCCAGGGAGTCGGGATAGCGCAAGCAGACACCATCTGCGTGCGCGGCTTGTAGCGAGGTCATTTCGCAAGGCCGGATGAGCAACGCGAGCGAGGATGAGGAGGTGGAGGTCAAACCGAAGTTCAGCAACTCGCGCGGCGCGACAGCCCCTCGTTCGAGCGCGCACGCCCACGTGGCCGGACCGCGCGCTCCTGAGTCCTGAGGATCGCCCAGACTCATGAGCACGAACTTGTCCTCCTTCGACGAACTCGGTGACTCCAGTATGGCTACCAAGTACGCATCTCGACTTCTGGGCTGGCCTCGGCCTACAATCATGTTTGACAGGTCCCTCGCCAGTTGCCTTTTCTGCAAGATCATCAAGGGTACGCTACACTTAGTATTCACAAACCACCTCTTGCCACTGATAACTGCGCGATTCGTCCCAGGTGATATCCCTAGCTTCAAGCTGGTAGAGACGGAGAAAGTGTTCTCATTCCTCGATATCGGTCCTCTTTCCAAAGGCCACGCGCTCGTCATTCCCAAATGTGGGCGCTGAACGGAATCGCACCGTCACCCATCGAATAACTGATCGCCCCCAGATCACGCGGAGAAGTTCCACCAGCTTCCTGATGAGGACCTCGCGGACCTCCTCCCGACCGCGAAGAAGATTGCGCTTGCTCTGGGTGCCGAGAACTACAACATTCTTCAGGTACGTGACCCCTTTTGCGTCGAATGACTCATGCTGACAACTCGTTGGGACCGCGCAGAACAACGGACGTATAGCCCATCAGGAAGTTGACCACGTTCACTTCCACATCATTCCCAAACCCTCCGCCACGGACTCGGAGGGCCTCGTGGTTGGTTGGCCTGCCCAGAAACCTTCCATGGACGAGCTGAAGAAGTTTCACGAGGAGCTCATTTCGAAGCTATGAGTATGAATCATAAGGACAAAGGGGATTGTATGATATCACACTGGACGAATGAAGCCATATCCGAGCACACTGACTGATTGACCTCTCTGATGCACCTCGTGATATGTACCCTTTCGCCGGGAAGTTCTTCCAAAAGGACCAAATACGCCCGATCCGTCGATTGAATTGGGATGGGACACAAGGTAGGCCATCCCTGTTGCTTTAACGGGTACAAGGAAGCTTATGCGCCACTCTGGAATTCCTAGGAACATGCTTCTATATCCACATAACACACACCGTCCCAAACGCATCGGTCAAGAACACCGTCAGGGGGTCCGAGGAACCCACCTACAACTCTACTGTACGACCGAGTTTTCGAACGAGTTTCAACTGAAGACAACAGTCAATTTTTTGCCACGCTGTGTCTTCTGAGTGGCGCAAACGCTACTAGTGCATAAATTTCGAGGACGGGCACCCACTCTTCGTATCATTCCCGCTATCCCTTCTTCAACCGCTCTCATCCTCCCTCATCACAGTTCGTTCTTATCAACAGCCATGGAGGAGGTCCCCAAGGAAAATCATGTCCGCAAGATCAACGACTACATCACTCTCCGCCGCGTTTTCGTCAGTACTTGAGACATCTCGCAGATGTAGCGCTTACCCATCTCTCCCTCACTCCTTGGAAGGACTCGGCCCCCGCTACAGGCTCCTCAAACAAACGTCCTGCGGATGCGTTGGAACAATTGCATGTCTCAACCCCGCCAAAGCACCGCACCGTACAACCTGTCGCTGAATCTCAAACCATCGCTGGGAAGAAACGGAAGACGGAATCCTCACGCATGAGTACTAGTAAGTCCTCCTATATCCCACATGCCGCATCGATATCTCGCCCTCATGTTTACCGCGAAGACGGTGCGGACCATGCGACGCCGACCCGGTCAGCGACCAAGCCCTCGCTCATCACGTCCTCTTTTCAACCCCACGCGCCGTCTCGCACAGCTCCCAGAACGCTCTCCACCTCCCGCACCCAACCCCCTACCGAAACCAAACCTGCTTCCTCACAAGCCCCTCCCCATCCAAACCCCTTCCGCGACCGCCAGGGTCGCCCTCAGGAAACCCCAACGCGCCGCCCGCGGCAAGACCCAAAGTCACTTCGAGCCACTGGCCCAGCACCAGCGCCCTCGCGCGCCCACATCCCGACGCCATCCCCCCGCCGTGAGGTCGCGCGCTCTCCACCGCCCCCGGGGCGCAAGCCGGTTCACGCGCACGACCGACGCGCTCGCGATGCCACCCGCCCCGCCCCGTCCGCGCGCCCGCGTTCCCCCGCGGCCCCGCGCACGTCGGACGACGCCGAGGCGCGCCGCGCTCGGCGCGAGGCGGAGGTGGCGGAGCGCGATGCGATGGAGCGCGAGCTGCGCGCGGCGGGGAAGCTCGCGGCGGGGGAGCACCTCCCGCGGCTCCGGTTCGAGCTGCCCAAATTCACGAAGAGGGCTGCGTGAGGCGGGCGTTCAAAGTGCGAGGTGCAGAGAGGTGCAGAAGCTGTCGAAGCACAGCGCGATGGGCGTGAGTAGTGTGTTTCGTGGTAAGGTCTATCATCGATGATCGATGATCCTGCATCGACAAGCTATCTGGATGTGGGTATAGTGTGCTGTTGTCGCCACTAGTACTTGGTGGCAATGTTATAACAAGGACAGAAGTGCAGATTTTTCAGCGCGGTCGTGGGTGACATCTTGCGAAATTTAACGAACAGGGCTTCGTTCAATGGCAGTTGTCCCAAGTCTCCTAGACAGGCTCCTCGCGACGTCCAGAACCTCTGAACACGCTGACAGTGATGTGGGCGCGCAACGCAAACAAACGGCGAACGAATGCGCATGGAGTCGGGGGCTCCGCAAGCGCGTTAAAATTACAAGCATGCGGATCTTGAGTTAGCAGGTGCCGTCACTTGGTGTATAGCGTGACCCCAGGTCTATTTATCCTACTGAGCCGAACCAGGCGGAATACAGAGGGCCCAGCCGTTCACCGCTTGCTGTGATCGAGCCCGTCAGCTTTTCGATAAATATATCCGTGTAAACGCCGCACACACCTCTAGTATGAGTGGTGATGCGAGGACGCCTCTCTAAAACCGCCCCGCCGACGTCTGATCAACTCGGAGGGCTCTCAAAGACGACGCGCTCGCGCAACGTCCATTTTTGCGCTGTGACTGCGACGTCACGACTGGCCGTCGCTGTGAGAAACATAGGCTGGCCGATATGCGCCGCAGTGTCCGGGGACCCGTTTGTCAGGCGTTAGGGCGGGGAGTTACCGTTCTTTTGCTGATGTGGGGTGACTGCAGCCTCGTGAAGGGGGTCCCGAAAGTCTTCAGATCAGCTCCGGTCCGGGGCACTGGGCTCATTTCTTCAAATCCAAGCAGTTGAGGCTGAATGTCGGCCAGTGTGCGATCATATTGGTGATCGACAATCGTGTGCTGAAATGCTGGAAGGCAAGATAGCGGCCAGTCTCCGCCTGGATGAGTCAGTCGCGAGTCGCTTACCAGTCCAACGGTGAAAGAGGCTCTGAAGTATTTGCAATGCGCCGGACGAGGGCCGACCGATGATCGCTCGCTTTGCGATGGTCTGCCGCCCGACGTGTATAGAGCACAGACATCGCAAGGCGACGACGAAGCAGCACAGACAGCGCGTCCGCGCTTCAGACGAGCCCATTGAGAACCAACGAGTGCAACAATACACGACTTTGGAATGCGGCAAGTGTTCCAAAATCGCGGACTGCTACGTTGTCAGCGTGTCGCGGCTTTCAGCCTTCCGACTGACAAAGCCGAGCCACGGTCGACGTGCATGACGAGACATGGTCAGGTCCCAACACTTGGCGATGCCGATGGCAACAGATGCACCATTGATAACGGCGGCGGCAGGAGTCGGGACGCTGACGACGGCGAGCGAGGTCTCTGGGGCGTTGTGCTCGAGCTCCGACACACACTCCGACGGGGCGATGTGTCGGAGTTCCAAGCCGAGTGGAAGAGCTCACCAGGACGGATGCGCAGAATTGCCTCACAACGTCGCGGACATCGCTCTACCCCTCCGGTGTTGGCACATGGGACCCTTCCACTCCATGAGTGTGTTGCAGACGAGGCGTCGTCATCTTCTTGAAAGTACGCGGGCCTGAAAGAAACGTGCCAGGTGATTGAGTGAGATACAAGGACGACACAGGGTACGAGGACGACGCACCCGAACGTTGAACTTGTCGACGAGCGGGCCTCGGGGTTGAGAGGTATGCTGCCCAACTGACAATGTCAATGGATATACTGCAAAATGCTGCCGAGGGGGCACTTGGTCGACTTGAGGCAAGGCGGAACGGGAGGAAGTGGGGGAAGGGAAGCAAGGAGGTGAGGCAATTTCGCGCTGCAGAAAGACGCCCCGCGGCAATTGCCGGACGGTCCGGTTCACCGGGGTGCACGGACCTCCCCGAGTTGAGGGTAAGTGATCCGGAACACAAGAGCACTCCTCCTCATTAAAATGCGCCAACAGGCAGCACTGAACACAAGATGGTGGTGTGAAAATACAAAATAGGCCGAGAACTTCCTGCTTCGACGGTAAGCTCAGTGCCCGGAGTAGGGAGGCAATTCCACTGCATCTCTGTGTACTACGGCAGCAAAGTTCGATGTGGAATACGCCGGAGCGGCGGCGGAGTCCGCATACCCCGAGCCCCCGTCGGAATTTTCCTGTTTCTCGGGGTGATCCTACAAACAAAGTGATGAGAACTCGTGTTTGGATGACGCACAAACTAAATACACAGAAACCCAAAGGACGCACCGTTTCGTTCCTGCTCCAGTTCCAGTCTATAGACAAGGGGTCGATGCGGCGCCAGGAGCGGTGACCGTTGATTTCGTGTTCGAGGAAGTCGGCGTAGCGCTCGATGATCATAACGCCTTCCGACAGCCCGGACCTAGTCGCGGCGATAAGGTCGTGCTCTGCTTGTGCAAAGCTGCAGATGGTATCGGGAAGAACGAGTTCGAAAGTTGCCGTTGGGGACCCCGGCTACGAATAACGTGTGAGCGGCACCATTGGATATGAAGAAGGGCGATGAAACTGACGTGAAGGCAGAGAGAAACCCGATAGCCTTTCCGAGCGAGAGCAGTGCGAACTTTGTCAATCACCGCACTAAATTGCTGTAGATTCAACCGCAACGTGGCAGAGTATCGTTTCTGCGCCAGATGTCAGAGCCCGCGAAATCGGACGTATACATATGCCCACCGTATATGAAACAGTTGTTCCGAATCCCTCTACGACCGAGGACGATGCCGGTGCCACAGCATCGGAAGTCACTAGCGGTGCCAAGGAAGGATCGGGAGTCATGGCGTAATCTAGGAGGATCGGGTTGTAGGAGAGCTCGAGGGCAAGTATTCGCGTGCCTGGGTGCAGACGACGGAGATCCATGTGCCAGTAGTTGCACTCCTTCGGGGGTCGTTTCGCTATCCGTTCTCCTTGAATATACCCTGTCTCCGCAACGAAAATGTAGACAGACATGCGTGGTTGCCAATGAAATGTATGCCTCGATTCTAGCGGCCTATCGCAATGTTAGTTTCTGGATGTGAGCGGAGCTTGGAGAGAATCACCTGACACCGCTGAACTCGATCACTGTTTCCACTTCAGAGTCAAGTTTGTCTTCGTTGACGATGAAGCCTAGTCAACAGTGATCGGCTTTATGAGCCAATACGGATATGGTTCAAGCACAAGAGCGTACCGTAGCCAATGTCAGCTGAATGAGAAACATGATTGAAGATCTTGGGACTGGGATGAACGCAAGGGATCGGATCCTGTGTAAATGATCACAGCTATTTTATGTCTATGCCAATGTGGTTTCGGGACCTACTGTGAACCAGAACGTCGGAGGTGTTGTGCTGTAACTCTTTTGCAATGATGTCTGCTGACGCGACTGGATCGAACCCTTGACAATGAGAATTCAACCGCGGTGAGAGCATGGGCACGCTAACCTTGATAGGCATACACGCCTTGATATTTCGACAGCCATTCGACGCAGAATAGGCGTAACTAAAAGAGCGAATTGAGTTCATCCGTCTCGTGGTCGTGGGCACTCGACGCACTCGCTTGTCCAAGTGAAAGGGTCCGTCTTGTCGTTTGCTGCGGCAGATTACGAGCATGCCCTTCTTTGAAGAAAGTATGATTCACCGTCCGGTTTGAAAGTTTGAACCCTGTGAAGAAGTCAGAGAAGTTGAGTCGGAGACGCGACGCGCACTCACCGCCATGCGAGGGGCAGGAAATCCTCATATGCACCGGCTGGCTCGAATGCAACGACCACGGTCACGTTCTTGTAGTTGAGTGAACCGCGCCTGCCAAACATGTGATCAGTGAGACCGAATCCGGGGCCAAGAAGGCGATGCAGAAAAATGCGCCCTACGCCTTAATGATGAACGTCTTGGAGGAACACAACATAGCCCACGGGCGAGAGCGCCAGCTGATAGCACCCCATCTCTACTAGGTAGCGAGAGATTGGCAGATAAAGCTTCCATTCATCACTCGACAGCAGCAAAGACTCCGGCGGTGCGGGAATTTCGAGAATGTTCTAGCACACACACCCTGGCGACAAACACTGTCGTCCTATTTCCGGTGACGAGACACGAATGCATGGTCCATAGGTGATGGCAAGATGCGGCGCGGCGGGTGTTGAGAACACAAAACAAAGAGGTGAAGGCAATGATCGAATTGGCGTGCACGTGTGCAGTACCGCGTCGACTAGCGCTCGCTCCGTCATGTTACTGTAACGAATATCACGGTGTGACCGCACGTTACTGTTTCGCCGAGCAAGGGCCGGCCGCGGACCCTGCGATGGACGGCTGGAGTAAGAGCTGGATTCGGAATCTAATAGGTGATGATACAGTACGATCCTATGGAAGGTGGGGAGAACCATCCATGCAAACGAGGCCAATGCGTGAGAGACTGCCGAAAGGTGTGTCGTGAAGAACATATATGTGCTGTAGCGAAGTGAAGGACGAAACTGAGACAGTGCGATACTGATACACGCGGTAAGCTACAGGAGGGCACCAGAGTCCCGGGGAGGGCTGCGATGATGCGTGATATGGGTACATCGCGGGTACGAGCCAGGCGGAAAATGAAGCAGCTGAACAAAGTCTACTTTTCCCCGGTTCAGAAGGACTGCTCCGCGAGCACCTCCGATATCTTGATGGTCAGGCTGTCCACCTTCCGCATCTCCGCCGGGAAGTACGCGACGCCACCCAGGCCTTTTGCGATGATGGTGCGCTCGATCAGGCGGTACGCCTCCGGGTCGTCCTGGCGGCGGATGCGGCAGACCAACGTGCGTTTCCGGTTGAAGACGACGAGGTCCTGCACGCGCGCGTTCCGATTGTTGGTGCAGACCATCAGCTCCGGCAGCTGGATTTTGACGACGAGCTGCTTGACCTCGCCGCGCGCGATGGTTGGCTTGTTCATCGAGCGCAGGCTGCGTTTGTCCAGGCGTTCTATCGGGTACCCGTGCGCCTGTCGAGTCATGTCCGCCACGTCCATGATCGGGCCGATATCGTGGTAGAATGGGAGGACCGTGACGCTGTTCGCTTCCGTGAACGGCACGCACTTGTTCTTGTGCCTCGGCCAGTCCGCTCCTTCCCAGAACAAGACATCAGCCCCCACACAAAACAACAAGACAACAAGGAGCGCGCGCCGGGCGACTCAGCTGAGGGGAAGCACTCACTTTGGCACTCCTTCGAGCAATACTGCGCCGCGTGGCATTTGCTGCAGAACTTCACCTCGCCTTGCTTCCGGCACGCCCCGCACTTGCGCTCCTCCAGCACCCCCTCGACGCCCTCGCGTTGTCGGATCCACTGCTGGACCGCCGAGCGCGCCTTGGACCCCGTGCCCGGATAGAACTCCTCGGGCGTGACCCCGTCCGCGTCCGCGACGAGCAGGTCCGCGCCGTGCTCCATGAGCGCGTGGATCACCTCAATGGCTGCGTTTTGCAGCGCCGCCATGATCGGCGGGCTCCCGAACCGGTCCTGCGCGTTCGGGTTCGCGCCGTGCTCGAGCAGGAGACGGGCTAGTGACGGCTGCGGCGGGTTCATGCACGCGAGGTGGAGGGGCGTGTAGCCGACGACGTCCGGTGGCGAGGTGGGGACGTCGAGGTCGAGGAGGAAGGCGAGCACGGCAGCGTGCTCGCCTCTGTGTGGGCGCGAGGAGTAGCCGTGCGAAAATTGGGCGCCGTAGATGGTGAAGTGGAGGTAGCTGTATTCGAACGGCGTTTCGTGTCCTAGGAGGTCGGGCGCGGAGCCCTCTTCGACCATCTGTGAAAAGGTTGTGAGACCGTGTGCGGGCAACGAGATATAACGAGTGTACCTTTTTAGCGGCAGCTAGGTCTCCCCAGAAACAATTTGCGGCAAATTCGCTTAGGAGGCCTGGCTGGAGAGCGTTCGTACCTGGTGAGACTGTTGAGCTCGGCATCTTATGGAATTCTGGAATACTCACCTCGTTTGTACAAGATCCTAAGTAACTGGCCGCCCCGGTCGGCCTTGAGAGGTGCCGGTAGGCTCAGTATCTCTCGCATGTCCGGGGGGATCACGAGACCGCCGCTTCCATAGTGCGCCCTTAAGAGCATAGCCATGAGACCAGAGCAGGCTTGGCAGAGAGGAGGTGGGCTTTACAGATGCAGAAACAAAGGCCCGATTTCGAGGTAGAGATGGACACTGATGCGCGGGGCAGCAAACAGGATAGTTGACTTGTGGCGAGGTGGAAGTGGAAGACAAGCAGGGCGGGGCGCTGGGGCAGTGTGCGAGTTTTGTCACGCCGTAACTGCGTGTATGTGCATCTGACAGAGACAGACGGTACTAGGGTTCGGATAAAGCTGAACGTGGCCCTCTGATCGCTGCTTCGGAGGCTGGAGAGGGTGGTGGCTTGAGTAGTGGCTTGAAAAGTTAGTAGACGCGGCTCGGAGCATGCAAGACCCCGGCGCCAGTCCGCAACTCCGACGAGTTCCGACTCCGCCCGGGCCGGGCACCCAGCGAACACTTGCTTAGTCATCATTCCTTATCGTGGCTGGCTGCGCTACTCCCATGGCCACTTGATCAAAAGTAAACCACGACGTCTTCCAAGAGCACGATTCAATCGCCGCAATCTCCGACATGGCAGTACAGCTATCTCCGGGGCATCCAGTTCCCTTCTTCTCTCCCTCGTCCGAGTAAGTATGTGGTTCCTCGACTCAATCCTGTTCAACCTCGCCGGGGGCCTGGTGTCTCTCGCCATCTTATCTGTGGTGCATCGACTTTGGTTCTCTCCTCTTTCGAAGCTCCCTGGGCCAGCGATATGTGCACTCACACGTTTACCCTTGATGCACCACGAGTTTCGAGGGGGCAGAACGAGGTTCATACACGCGTTGCACATATCCTATGGCCCGGTGGTTCGAGTGGCTCCGGACGAGGTGTCCTTCGCCAGCGCAGACGCGGTGAAGGAAATCTATTCGTCAGGTGGGGGAGGATACGACAAGTCGTCCTTTTATTCCCTCTTTCAACAATTCGGAACGCCGTGAGTCCTCATTCAAGCTTCCGTAAGTCGACCTATACTGACGTGACATGTCAGAAACATGTTCTCCACCTTGGGAAGAGGCGAGGTGGGTTTTCATCGGCAATTGAAAATGACCGCACTCACTCACTTACACCCTTTCATAGCATTCTGAGAGGAAGCGGAAATTCGCAGAGCGCTACAGCAAGTCGCATGTCATGAGTACAGACGCTGCTGCCGTCATCCAAGATCACGTCAACGACTTCTCCGCCAAATTAGAAGAGCATATAGGCAGGAGCGTTGACATCTATGTATGCCATGCCGCGGGCTCCTTCGAGCAGAACTCTCACTGCGACCTCGCAGGATTGGCTACACTGCTTTTCACTTGACAGTGTCGCTGGGCATCTATTCCACCCCAGAGATCTGCATTCCCTCACTGACGAAACCGACCACAAGATCATGGTAGAACTGACCTACTCTAGTACCCTTAAAAGTGCGCTCCCTTGGTCTGGACCTCCAGCCGATGCACCCTAATTCTCCGTCTAGGCTTCTACGCTCAGCACTACTTCCCCATCATGAGCCGGATTTGGTCAACGCTCATGGGCAAGTCCTTTCGCCGCACCGATGGTCTCGCTGCACCCTACTGCCTCTCTGTCGTCCGCGAAGCCAGCGTCTCCTCCCACACTGTCCTCTCCAAACTCCGTTCTGTATACGCCTCCGCCCCGTCCCAAGACGTCGACGGCGATTCGAAGTCGACACCGCCCGACGCCGACCTGATGTCGATAGCATCCGAATGCATGGACCACTTCGCCGCCGCAATCGACACGACTGGGGACGCCCTCTGCTGCCTCATGCATCACCTTTCCCTTCCCACCCCGGCCTCGCGCGCGGTGCAGGCCCGCCTCCGCGCCGAGCTCGCGGCCCACACCGGCGCGGCCCCCGACACGCTGCCGTATCTCGACGCCGTCGTCCGCGAAGGCCTGCGGGTGTTCGCCCCGATCCCGATGAGCCTTCCCCGCGTCGTGCCCGCCGGCGGCCGCGTGGTCGCTGGAGCGTGGCTTCCCGCGGGGACGGTGGTCAGCTGTCAGCCGCACACGCTCCACAGGTTCGATGAGGGGGTGTTTCCGGACCCAGAGGTGTTCAGAGCGGAGCGGTGGCTGGAGGAGGAGGGTCGTGCGGAGAGGGAGCAGCTGTTCTTTGCGTTTGGGGCTGGAGGGAGGGGGTGTATCGGGAAGCAGTGAGTGGGTCGCGTGGATTTTGATATCGGTGCTGACCTGCTGGTGTGCACAGCTTGGCGCTGCTGGAGATGAAGATGCTGCTGGCGGAAGTCTATTCTCGGTTCATCACGAAGGTCGCCCCTGACATGACGGCCTCAATGGATCAGGACGACCAGATTATCGCGTCCCGTCCTAGGGACCAGAAGTGTCTAGTCGTCTTCGAGAGGGTCAAATAACGTTGCTAGAATCGATTGCTCACTGTTTTCATACGCTGAATGCGTCTTGCTGTTCCAGCTGTTACAGGTGAGAAGCGGGATCAATCGGATTGCTCGTCTTTGGATCGTCTCATCGTCGACGAGTCACTTGTGACGACGATTCGACAAACTATAGTCGCTCGACTAGCAATCGCATCAGCTTACTTACTGTTTGACTGCCATCATGAATTATGCTAAGCTCAACCATGCGCGCAATAGAGAGAAGCGACTGGACGCAGCTCACTTCAGGGTTCTAACCACGCCGATAAGCACGCAACTAGAGATCACCCTATCAGCTTGTTACTTACTGGTAGTGACCAGATAAGATAAGCGCGTGCCGACATCATTCGCAGGAACGCGTTCGAGTTCTCAAGCTCTACCACCATGTCCCCACCCCACTACTACCAGCCTCTTCCTCAGGAGAAAGAGACTCATCCCAAGGGCTTGCCTGCCCACAACCAGGCTCAGGACGATGTTGAGGCTCTCGGGCACACAAGACCGGCGTTCTCTTGGAAACGTGCCCTCTACTACACCGTGTCCGCCGCCGTCCTCCTCCAGGTTGCCTACGTTGGCGTGCAGTGGTCCTTTGGGGGCCATACTGGAGGCCGAAGCGGCCGCGGTCACCGCAGGCTGGGCACTCCATGCCATGGCGCTCACAAGGACAAGTCGGTGTACGGTTCGCTCCCCTCGCACTACACCCTGCCGTCTGGCGACCGGATCCCGTCCGTCGCGCTTGGTACGTTTTCATGTCGATACATGCTTGTGGCGCCGCTTATGATAGGCCTTTCTGCGTACAGGTGTATGGCAGGCGGAGCCCAACGAGGTCGGCGAGGCAGTGAAGGTTGCACTCAAATCTGGGTACAGGCATATCGACGACGCGTGGATCTACAAGGTGAGCCCCACTTTTTGATAGGATGAATGCGCACCCAACGCGAGAGCTACAGAACGAGCATGAAGTAGGCCAGGCCCTGCGGGAGAGCGGTGTCCCTCGTGAGGAGATTTGGTTGACATCGAAGGTGAGCACCTCGTCCATATTCAGCGGTCACGCGCCATGACCTTCGTTCGCGAATTCAAGCTCTTCAACTCCTTCCACGCTCCCGAAGATGTCGAGGAGGCCCTCGATGACTCGCTCACGAAGCTCGGCGTCGACTACCTTGACCTCTACCTCATCCACTGGCCCATTGCTGTTAAGAAGGGTACCGCCGATGTCGTCGACGAAGACCTCACGGCGAACCCATACCCCACGTGGAAGAAGCTCGAGGAGATGGTTGACAAGGGCAAGGTTCGCAACATTGGTATCAGCAAGTGAGCTTATCTGCGTGCTCCGCCTTCGACTACAAAGCATTGATCGTCTGCGGCTATAGCTTCAACATCCCTCGCATCCGCAACCTGACTGCAAACCCCCTCAAGTACAAGCCCGCCGTGAACCAGGTCGAGCTGAGCTACTGGAACCCTCAGCCCGAGCTCGTCAAGTGGGCAAAGGAGAACGACCTTCTGCTCGAGGCGTACTCTCCCCTCGGTGGCGGCACGCTCGTTAAGGAAACTCTCGATCTCCCGGTCGTGAAGGAGATCGCTCGCGCGCTTCACATCACTCCTGCCCAGGTCATCATTTCGTGGCACGTTCAGCGCGGAGTACGTGTTTCAATATACTTCCTACTTCGGTTTTGTTGGCTGACCCTCTCCCGCTCAGACTGTCGTGCTCCCCAAGAGCGTCACCCCCTCGCGCGTCGTGGAGAACTATCACGGTACGTATGCATGTTTTGGCGTATCTCGTTCCGTCCTCACTACGACCTTTTGTACGCCCTGTAGTCACGAAGCTTCCCGAGACACTGTTCCAGAAGCTCGAGGACGCCGCAACGTCTCACCCGCCGAAGCGTGTTCTCAACCCGTCCACGCGTTACAACCTAGGCTACGATCTCTTCGACGACGATGGTGGCGTCATTGTGCCGGATGACATGGAGTAAGATGCTGTAGAAGTGCGGTAATAAAGGTTTGTTTTGTTCCGCCAGCACGATACAGCTACGATCAGAAAGTTTGTCCAGCAGACCGTGCGTGAATTTATCTGCTTCGTTGTGTCTTTGCGAATGCCATCTCATGAACTCGATGCGGATCAAAATGTGTGCGTGCCCGAAGCAGACGGCTAAGGCGTTGGCGACAAAGTCTAAACAATGCTCCGAAGACTGAAAAGAATTATACTGGACGCTTGACTTGATTCGCACACGTACCACAACAGCACTAGGATTAGTAAGTGGGAATTGGTTGTGACCGGTGATCGGCGACTGGGCGTGACATGTTGATTTACATATGTAGATTGGGGCAGGACCCGAGACACCGCGGTAGCTACCATTGGCATGGAGTTCGCCCGGTACTCGCCCTGCAGCCAAGACTCGAGATCCCGAGGGTCTCAGAAAGGCCGGCACTTGCGGGCTCCGAGGGTACTTATATTCAATGTCGACGATTCGCTGCGTCCCTCGCCCCTCGCCCTGCTTGCACTCGTCGTGTCCCTACGGAGAATCACGCCTTGGCGAACTGTCTCTCCATGGACGATCCCAAGACTATTCAGTCTCCCGATAATGCGAACCAGGCCGGGGCCAGCGGAGCACAAGACCCGGAGAAGGCCAGTGCGACCTCGGAGAAGGTCTATGTGGGGGCTGAAGCCGAGGCGACACGGGCACAAGTCGAACAGGACGAGGGGGTGACGAAGGCGGAGGCTCTGTGTACGTCGTCATCGTCCCCCCCTTCCCTCTGACATCCGCTGACTCAACGTCCAGTACTTGTCTTTGGCAAGGGATGGAAGCTCTGGCTCCTTTGGGCGTGAGTCGCATTGCTCGCTCCACCGCTACCTTTGGCCTCTCACACACGCGCCTCACAGGTCCATTCTTCTGATGGAATACGTGTACTCACTCGCCAACGGAACGACTCGCACGTACGTGCAGTACGCTACTTCCTCCTACTCCGAGCACACCATCCTCGGAACCATCTCGGTCGCTACCGTCCTCGTGGGCGGTCTCTCGAGCCCGTTCCTTGCCAAGGTATGTGCCCGCAGTCCCTTCTCGCACCCAAGTTGCCGACCAGGTGCAGCTCGCAGATATCGCCTCGCGCCCTGTCGCGCTCTCGATCTCTGTCGCTCTCTACACTCTCGGCTACATCATCGTTGCGGCCTCGAAGACAGTCACCGCCGTCGCCGCCGGAGAGGTCATCTACAGCATCGGCAGCTCCGGCCTCTATTTCGTCACCGGCATCATTGTCTCTGACATGACCTCGCTGCAGTGGCGCGGCTTCGCGTACGCGGTCACTGGCTCCGCGCCGTGGCTCATCAACACCTGGGTCTCGACGTCCATCACCACCGGAATCTCTGCCTCCACAGCCGACGGCTGGCGCTGGGGTGTGAGTGCGTCGCGCCTGCATTGCGTGCTTCTGCGACTCACTTAAAGCGTTGACTTTTTAGTTTGGTATGTTCGCGATCATGATACCCGTGACGCTTACGCCCGCCCTGTTTCTCCTCTTCTGGGGCGACAGGAAGGCGAAGAAACTGGGGGGTTCGTGTGTGTTCGGCGCATATATTTGACGTGACTTCTCATATCCCCCTCGCACAGCTCTGTCGCTCGCCGCATCCGGCCACACACGCCGCAATGTCCTGCAGGGAGACGCGGATTCGCAACCGATACTGAAGAGGATCCTCACGAGCTGGAACGCCATGGATGGCCTTGGCCTCCTGCTCATCGGCTTTTCGTGCGCGATGCTCCTCATCCCTTTCACTCTGTCCACCACGGCCAAAGAAGGCTTCCGTAACCGTAAGCGTCTTGACCTCGCTCACGCTGTATGTCATGACCTTGTCTCACCACTGAGCAGCGTCACTCATCGCGATGTTCGTTGTCGCGGGTGTCCTGTTGATCGCCACGGTGGCTTGGGAGTGGAAGTTCGCCCCGCACCCGACCATGCCCCTCCGCATCTGGAACCGGACGGTGATCTTCTGCGCGTTCATGGACGGGGTCTACTTCTTGTCCAGCTATCTATCAACGACGTATTTCAACTCATGGGTCTTCGTGATCAAGAACGACTGGTCGGCGAGTACTCCCCGCCCGCTCCTGCGGCCGCACCGCGCGCTGACGCGCGTTCCCACCAGCTCTCGAAGTACACGTACTGGAGCTACACGCAGCCCGTCGCCCTCTGCTTCTTCATCATCATCGCCGGCATCCTCCAGCGCTACACGCACCGCTACAAGTACCTCCAGGTCTTCGGCCTCTGCGTGCGCGTCATGTCCGTCTCCCTCTCCCCCCGCACCCGCGCCCCGCGCTGACGCCCCGTAGTGGCCAAGGCCTCCAGCTCCTCGCGGTCTCCAGGCCCACGACCGCGCTCCTCGTCCTCGGCCAGCTCGTCACCTCCCTCGGCGCCGCCTTCCAGATCGTCGGCTCCCGCGTCGCCGTCCAGGCCTCGGTCCCGCACCAGGACATGGCCATCGCCTCCGCGCTCCTCGGGCTCTGCTCGAGCATCGGCGGCGCGGTCGGCTCCGCCGTCGCCGCCTCGGTGTGGAACGCGGAGGTCCCGCGCGCGCTCGCGCGCCTCCTCGGCGGCGTGTACGACGCGGACGCGCTCGCCGGGATCTTCGGGAGCATCGTCGTCGCGCAGGCGGTGCCGGAGCACGCGCAGATCGTCCAAGGTCTGTCCCGGTTGTTTTTTTTCCACTCAGTTGGTTCCGAGCGACTCACGCGCGCGGGGCTCCACAGCGTACGACACCGCGATGCGCCCGCTGCTGATCGCTGCGCTCGTCACCGCGGTCCCGCCGATCGCCGCGGGCCTGCTCACGGAGGACTTCTACCTCGGCACGCGGCACAACGCGATCGAGGACAAGGAGGGCGCGGTGCGCGACGCGGACGAGGTCGCGCGGCTGCAGAAGGGCGCGGCGGGGGCAGTCTGAAGTCGACTTTCTGCGCTCGAAGGGGGCTTTGCGTTTGTGTACCTCCAAAACCGTCAGATCCGGCCGAGTGGGAACCAGGGGAAGGGGGCGTCACGACGACGACTAGCTGCTTTATTTTACGCACTATCGAGTACATCACTGTACGGATACCGCAGGGTTGTCCCGAAGCCAGTCCTCACACGCCAGCGACCTCTTGAAATGGAAGTAGGACGCAGACGTGGGGAAGCCGGGGAGGCTAAGTAAACGGGGATAGGAAGGAGGGGATGGAGGCGTGACTGCGCGCATGGGCTTGGGGGTAACCCGGGACCGACGAGGCTTGAGTACTTGAGTATACACAGGTGACACGTGCGCTATATTACAACTACAGATGGTGTGGGGCGTGGCACTGAGAGAGACTGAAGAGACAGAGAGAGGGAGGACCAGGGAGAATATATATGTATGGGTACAGCGACGACGACGCGAGCCCGACACTGGTAACACGATGCGCGTGGTGAGATGGACTACGGTAACAGTGATGTGAAGATGGCGACGAGAGCACTGGAGACTTGCATGAGGAAGGAGACATTGACATTAGCGAAAGAAAGGGAAGGGGGCACTCGGACCTGCTGTCTGGGCCTGGGGGATAGGAGAGAGCGAGACAGGGTATCAAAGAGCGTGAGGAGGAGAGAGATGAATTGGGCAGGACATGTACTGGGCGCCCGAGGCTGATGCAAGCCGCCTCCTATGACGACCAGAGGATGCACGGGGCAGAACAGCGTGGAACGAATAGTTCACCGGCGTCCAAGGCTCTTGCTCCGCGCGCCCGCGCCGATCCCCGGGATCGGGATGGGCGTCGCTGGGGTAGCCAACGCGCTCTTGGAGGGCGAATTGGTCCAGGCGGATGCGCGCCCCGCGTCGAGAACCGGTGGCATGCTCTCGTTCCGGCGGTCGCGTGGGCCGCTATCCGCGCGGCGGCCCCGCGAGACCGGCCCCGCAGTGTCCGAGGCGAGCGACCACTGGGCGATGTCGTCCTCGTCGAGCGTGTTGAGGTCTTCGGAGCGCAGCTGCATGTGTGCGGCGGGCGACTTGGGCCGCCGGCGCCTCGGCGCGTCGAGGGAGACGTCCTTGGGCGTCATGGGCATCTCGCTGTGCGGTGACCGGGAGCGGGAGAGTGATATGTCCTCCACGGTGTGAACGCGCGGCCGGGGAAGACGTCCGCGGTGGGCGCGATCGGAGAGGACGGAGTAGGTAGTGGAGCAGGGTGACAGCGGCTGCATGACGATGGCGGAGTCATGCACGCTGGAGGACTCGGATGAGCTGGAGGAGGTGCGAAGGATGGCTTGGGTGAGGGACGAGAAACTTGGCTGCGTCGGCAGGGGGTGCGGCTGCGCGGGGTGAGAGTCCGTCTTGAGGAGTGGATGGGGATGCAGCGGGTTGTGGTACGCGTTCTCGTACGGGTGATGTGCGGGCGTACGAGATGTGGAGCGGTGACGTGCAGCGGACCTGGAACGGCTTGCATGACTTGCAGAGCGCGAGGCCGACCTCCTCGTATCGCGATCCTCGACGATATGCTCCTGCCGAGGCTTCGAGCGGGAGGTTGAACGAGACGCACGGATCGCCTCCGGCGGTGGAGAAACGTCGTCGGTGGCCGAACCCCAGCCAATTCCCCACGCAAGTTCATCGACCATCGCGACCGTCCACCTGTCGGCGACAGATCGCTCGATGCACCCGTGAAGCACCTGCTCAGCACTGCGTCCGATGCCAAGCGGCATTTCAAAGACGCCTGGTATTCGAAGAGAAAGATAAGGACCGTGTCGACTGCGAACGTGATGGCATTTACGTACCGCGCAAGATCTTCATCTGCAAACGTGGCTCGAACGAATCGGAGAAGGGCAGTTTGCCTGTGAGGAGGGTGTACAGCATGACGCCCAGGGCCCATACATCCTGCGCTGGATGCGCAACATACGAGGTTGTGCTACTTGGAGAGTGTAGTAACTCGGGTGCTGCGTAAGGAAGAGAACCCTGAGCGAAACCGCGATTTGGTACCGTCGCAGAAGCGCCAGCCTCTGGGTACGGACTGGAGCTGCGCTGGCGCGCGGGGTATGGCGGCGGATGAGGGAGAGGTGGTGGGGGAGCTTTCCGACTTGATGCCCGAGCGGACGATGCGCGGGCGTATGAGCTTGAGAGATCGTCCGGGCGCGTTGTGGACCGCCGTACTTCTTCTCCCGCTCCGCGTCCCCGTCGTCCTGGGCGAGATGACCGCAGTCGACCTCCTCGCCGATCTGCCGTGTCATTCCAAAGTCGCAGATCTTACAAACACCCATGTCGTCTACCAGCACGTTCTCCAGCTTCATGTCTCCATGCACGAAGCCCGCCTCATGCATGTACCGCAACCCTCGCACCACCTGCCTGAACATCATCCCCGCATCGTCCTGGGGGAGCGCCGGTCGTCCATCACGCTTGAGGATGTCGAAAAGACTGCCGGCAGGACAATACGCAGTGAAAAAGAAGTCGGCGTGCGGGGTATGGGTGACGGTAAAGAGGGGGAGAATATGCTCGTGGTTAAGCGAGGCCCATGTATCCGCTTCGCGGTCGAGGCTTTTGCGCGCCTGTGTGGGGTTGGGCTGTTTGTCGAGGTCAGCGCGCTTGACGATTTTGACGGCGACAGTGCCTCCTTGTGGGGAAGACGCGGTGCGGATGATGGAGAAGCCTCCGTGTCCCACAACGGGGCCGAGCGTGTATCCTGCTACGGTCGCGCCTTCGTCGTCCGGCGCGAGCGATCGCTCCGAATGGGTGGGGCTGAACACAGAGAGGAACATGGCGGCGGGGGAGGAGCTGAGGTCGACTTCGGGAATGCCATCGACGGAAAGCGGGGAGGCGAGGGGAGAGGAAGAGGAAGCGGAGTAGAGGGAAGCGGAGACGGAGGGGAGAGGCGGAGAGAGAAAAGACAGGCCTAGCTCGGCGGGGGCATTTTGGTCATGATCAGCAAAGACGGCAGGGAGCCCGTCGATGAGGGTGTTGTGCTCGTCGGTGTGGATGGTTTCGCGCATACAATCAGAGGAGAGCGCTGTGGCAGAGACGGTGGTGGGGCAGAGTCAAGCGTGTTCGGAGCTCCGCCCGCTCTCTCGGCGTCCCAGCCCTTATGTAAGCATCATTTCCCCACAGTTGGCATTCTGAACCGATGTCCATGTCTCTCGTCCCAATTGCAAGCTCCGACTGCGCCCTCCCGCAGCGTCGCTGTGTTCGAACCCCTCCCTCATTCAAGTCTGCGCCGACCCGCGCCGACAAACGTCGGGCCGGTACATAATGAAATGACATCATCTTTACTGCGTCGGAAGCGCAGATTATTGCTCGTCGCACAGCAACCGCCTTCGAGAACCAAAAACACTCTCGGTGCCGCAGACGAAAGCCGGCACATCATAGATACATGCGGAGAGTGTGGAGGACGTCCCGGTCAATGTTTGTACACCACCAGATGCGTCACTACGCCGCGCACAGTGAGGATCAGAAATGACACGTCCTTTGCTGCGGCTCAAAGAGATTGGACCTAGTTCAGCGCCCTGGCGTAATCAAATAACACGGCAATGCAATGCTGTGACAGTCGAAGACGGAGTTAAAGAGGGGGGTTTTCATCAACCTTTCTATTCGTGACACAGGAAACCGTGAGCGAGTGTAATGCGTACATCTGGGTTTTGATACTTCTTGCATCGGCTCCGCCAACACGCACCCCCAATGCGCGCCGCCCGTCCCCTACCGCACCTTGTACATCTGCACCAAAAGTTCCCCGGACGGCGCCGGGTCTTCAGGCTCCCGCACGGAGTAATGGATCTCGACGTCGAGCTCGCGCGAGTTGTCCGCGTTCTTCCGGCACTTGAAAACGCCCTCGACGACCGTCCCTTCCGCGACGCTCACCGGCTCCCGGAAGAAGAAGATCGTCTGCTTCCAATGCGTTGGGACCGACGCCGGTCCGGTGCTGAAGCTCGTCACCTTCGGCCGGCCCTTGCCCTTGAGTGGATCGCCAGTCGACATGCGTCGCGCTTGGTACGCGCGCCCACCGAGGGGCCAGACCTCTGCAAGGATCGGGTCGCTTTCCTGGATGACGTGCACGGGAGTGTCGGACGGTAGGGGCTCGCCGGTGGAGGTGAAGAAGGTGTCAAAGTAGAGGACGAAGGCGTGAACTTTGATGCGGCGTTCGGAGGTGGAGACGAGCTTGAACGGGGCCGAGAAGTCCAGCTGCTTGGGCGTGATGGTGCCGAGGAAGAGGTCCTAGAGAGCGGGCGACGGTGGTCAGAGTTGAGCGCATACAGGGGCCATGCATGCGCACCTTCACGACCACGGGCTCACTGACGACGGTCCGAGGGCCAACGACGTCTACGATTGCTTCCTCGTAGACGTTTTTGCCCATCGCGGAAAGATCGAACCCTGAGTTGACATGAGCGCATTGCTGCCGTGCGCGTGAACAACCCCCTACCGTAGACGTCTGACCAGAAGCCGATGCGTTCCTTGAACAGCTCACTAGCTTCGCAGAGAGCGAACATCATCTGGGCTTGACTCGGCGCCATGACACCCTCGGGTTGGAGGAAGCGATCGCGGGCATGAAGGACCGAATCCAGCATGGACTCATACAACAGCCCGTACCCCATCCATTCCGAGATGATTATATCGACCTTCTCGAAGCCCTCCGGGAGTTTTATGTCTTCGACCTTCCCGCGGATCACCCTGGGAAGCCGGTATCAGCGTGGCGATCCGGACGAATGATACAAAAAACCTACGTGATGACGTCGGAAAGGTTGTTCGCCTCGACGATCTCTTTCGCCTTCTCTACTATGTCGCTGGCGTCAACGGAGAACACTCGCTTCGCGCCCGCCTTGGCAGCGAAGAGCGAGAGAATGCTGGTTCCGCATCCAACGTCCATGACAATGGCGTCCTTGAATACCTCTTGGTTCGACAAGATGAACTTAGCGTAGCTCGCCGTGCGAACTTTGTCGTTGATCATGACGGAATGGATGTCTATCGAGCGTGTCAACATCAGCTCCGCTGAGACATGAACGTTCTGCGATGCGTACCGTTCTGCGCATAACTCTGGAAATAGTGCGAGTCGTCATCGCGCAGAGGGGCTCCAACATGCGTGCTTGGGGAAGCCTTTGCTTCGTCCACGATACCGGTCAAGTCGAGGCGCTTGTTGACGAAGTTGCGATAGTGGGCGATCCCATCCTTGGCTTGCTCCAGCTTTTTGCGGAGAGCCCTGATGCGTCGCGCGGCTGTGTCGAGGTCTTTGGGCGGCTCTACCGTCTCGGGATCGACCTCGTCGTCTGAGTCTGACAAATCATCGGGCTCGATCTCTGCAGAACATGAGATGAGCACGAGTGAACAGCCACCACGTGGAGAACGTATCACGCACGGAGGAGCGGATCGTCCTCCATGCTGGGCTTGAGATATTCATCGGAGGAGAAAAACGCCTCCGCGCCGGTGAGCGCGGCTACCGCAGCTGGTGTAGGATGCTTCGTGTACTCAGATGCGATATGATGGTCAGCATTGCGACAAACTTACCTCTTTCCGGATCCAGTTGATCAGGCGGATCCGTTTGTAGTGATCAAGGCCTGGAAGGACGAGATCAGTAAATGCAGCGAAAAGGACCTATAATCCGAACCTAGTGCTTGAGATGTCGCCTTCAAGCTGAAACCGTGCCTTGTCTCGTCATTGAGGGTGGCCTCCTGTACGGTGTCGAATGTATGATCTTCGAATAGGGACTTGCAAGGCCGTTTGTCGAGAGAGTCCGACATCCAATCGTCCCAGGTCTCTTCTTCTTCTTCTCCGTCGGAGCTGGGATCGCTCCCGCGGTCTTCCGAAAAATCCTCTTCTCGCTCACCGTCCAAAATGTGAGATGAATGCAATCTCAACGCCATTGCTGGAAGTTGAAAGGATGTCAGAGTATTTATAGAGGTAGATTATATGTTTTTACCTTCGAAATATGTACTTGTGGGAACTAAGAAAGAGGCGTTCGTTGAGCGAGTTGGATGAAAACTTGCTCCGGTCGAAGTCGGACTGCTGAATTTACAGGCGCCGCCGTCAACGGTAAGCGCGGAGATCAAATCGGGGGAAAGGTCGAGGCAGCGGAGTCCGAAACTACACTCTCAGTCCCAGGCTCGCGACTCAGTGTCGGCGAAGGCATGTTCTAAACTTGTTCCCTGACCTCCACCTTCCACCAACTTGCACGTCTGTTTTGACCCTCTGATACACTGTTGCCATTTAGGTGTGTGAGGCTCGACCATATCGAACTTTAAGCTGATGCGTGAGTTCTAGATGAGCATGACCAACTTTTCTTTGGTTGGCTCCATATTCGAGCGAAAGCCTACCTCGAGCCCTTCCATCAAACCTGCAACTACTTCTACTGCGGGGTTTCCTCCGGTACAACATCGCTCCCAGAGCGCTTTTGCACGCGCTCGCGGACAAGCCCCGAAGCGAGCACGCGAGGTCCCAGTGGTACAGCCATCCGAACCAGCATCCTTGGGCCGTTCGGTCAAGACAAGGCGTCAAGATGCGGATGAAGCAGACGACTGGCGCGCCCAGGCGGAAGAAGAGAACAGTCGCAGAGTGGCCGCGATGACGGAGGAAGAAAGGGAAGAGGCGCGTGCGGAAGTGCTGAGGATGATGGGCTCCGATGCGGGCGACATCCTCCGTAGAATGAAGGAAAAACAGGCGAGTACCCAACCGTCCGCTTCAAGTTTCCCCCCTCGCACCAGGCTCGACGAGCAGAAGAGCCTTCTCAGTATGTACATACACTCGTGCACCAATATATCTCTTCGTGACCTCCAACCCAGCGAGCGTGCTGCGTCCGTCGTCACCCCCTCCAACCTTTGCAAACAGCACCCGCCCACCCAGCCGCGCAGATCGCAAGATCCGTTTTGCGGACGTAACACCCGGAGACATCCATGTCTACGAATCTGCCCCACCATCGCCTCGGAAAAAGGCCTTCGCGCTCCCGGCTCCCACCCCCAATGACGGCCCTACCGTATCCATTGGCACCTGGAAGCCTTCAGTACGACCTCGGAACGACCCTCTCACTCTCGCTCCACCTCCACATGCGCCCGACGACGCGGCTCATGCCGAAGAAGGCACGCCCGAAGACATCCGCAGACGGTTCTTCCCATCGGCGCCCGCGAATGAACCGTCCCTCGAGTGGATCCAAGCCGATCCTACGGAAGACGAAGACGAGTCTGCAACCCCCACCGTCCGCTTCGACCTCACCGGCACCCCGATCCCTGCAAAGCTTTCATCGTCTCTCCCCACTCACCTGGGCCTCCACCATCATGCCGAAGGTTCTCATGCCGGGTACACCCTCGAAGACATCTTCCTCCTGTCGCGATCGACAGTCCCGGCACAACGCGCGAACATGCTGGGCGTTCTCGCGAAGATCGCACACAAGCTCGCGCGCACCGCTACGAATCCGAAACAGGGCCTTCCAGAGCTTGCCGGCCAAGAGCTCAAACTGCGCAAGCGCATGCTCGCTGCCGGAGCCGAGGCGATGGGTGAGCGTGCCGGAGTTGGAGCTCATGCGGTCGAGCTTCTCTGGGAGTGTACGGCACAATGGGACGAGGGGGTCATGGAATTCGACGGGGTAGAGCTCAAGGACGCGGACAAAGGCGGCGCGCTGTCGTCGATTCCTCTGGACTTTGTGCTCCCCCAGATTGCAACCACCCTCTCCGTCGCAGACCTCCCCCAAGAGAGCCTGGCTCAGCTGCTCGCGGTGCTTCACCGGCTCGCACTGCACTCGACCGCAAACGCTACGGCCATCGTCACGGCCAAGGGTCTCGTCGCGAGCGTGTTCCAACGTTTCCTCGTCACCCCGATACCGCCAACGGAAGAAACGTCCCTCCCTGAACCCCGCGCTCTCCATCTTGTCCGCCTGCTCGTATCGTCGTCTCGCGAGAATGCGCAGGCCCTCATAGACCCGACCGATTCTCTCCTGCGATACATCATCACCCTCCCGCCCGACTCGCCATTCCCTCTCCCTCTTGCCACCGACCTGCTTACAGAAACGCTCAACCTTTACGCCGCCCTCGCATCATACGGCCTCTACTCCCACGTTACGACGACAGCACAGGAGTACTTCGTCCGCCTCAGTGCCTACGTCCGCTCGTCGCGATATCAATCACGGCAGCTGCAGGGAGCGTGGCTGCGGGCCCTGTCGGCGTGGATGGTCTGTGCTCGCGATCCGCACAGAACGACGCCCGATCACGACATCCTCTGGAGCCAAGTCGTGGGTTGGGGGTGGGCAGAAGATGTTTTGGACCTGCGCCTGCAACTCGCCGAAACGGACGTATCAATTTGGGCGGAGTCGTGGGTCGCGCTCGGGGCATTCCTGGAAGGCGCCAAGGTGAATGGTGAGAGGAGTGGAGAAGACGAGCAGACGAAGATTGTTGCGGCCATCAAGGACGGCTTCGCAGGAGGACAAGAGAAGCGCGTCGTCGAAGCTGCTCTCCGAGGTGCTCGCGAGTCCTCTACGAAGCTGGTCTCAGGCGTTTGCCAGGGCATCCTCCCTACGGACGTCCCAGCGCTGCACGATCTTGGACGACATGCGTACGTCCTTGCGGCCGCGATCCGGCTGTTCCTCGCGTGTCTGCCGAGCGCGACGAGCCAAGGCTCCGGATCTCCTCCCTTTATACTCCCCTTCGCAGACATTTCGACTTTCTGCGCAACTCTTACCACACACCCTCTCTGGTCGTCGCTGTTCACCGTGGAGTCGGTCATCTATGGGCATGTCCTCTGTCGCCCATTGTCGTCCCTTCTGTCGTGCTACCTCCGGCTTTCAAGAAGGACTCCGGGCACATCCACCGACCTATGGATGGCACAAGCATTCGCGATCCTCGGCCGCCTGTTCCCAGGAGACGAAGCCTTCGCGCGGAGTACCGTCAACGACATCGCGGCGGAGATCTCGCCCGATTTCTTCGGCTCTCGTGGTTGGCCGGTCCCGAAGGAGGTGTGGGAGAAGGGAGGCATGAGCGTCATCATGCCTTTCCTCATCCAGACCCTTATCCCGTCGTCAGAGACCACAGTCGGGCCAATGTGGCCGACACCCCAATCGCTCTCGATGGCCGCGACGCAACGCTTGCCGCCGCTTTCGACACTTCTCCCCACAGAACGGCGCGTCGACCCCCTACCTCTGGCCAATGACTGGCTGTTCTGCCCGCTAAATCACCTTCTGAGATCGGGAGAGTCTGAGGTGTTCAAGAACCTCCCGAAAGACTGGGACGCGTCCGAGGCCGAGCTCGTCCGCGCCGCGCTCCTCTTCGTGCGAACTTCTCAAGAGGTGCTGCACCTGCACGGCCTGTCGAGCATGCTCATGAGTCGCGAAGAGACCGTGTTCGGCTGCATGAAGATCTTCATGCTCGAGCACGGCCAAGGCGCAGACGCGTCCGTCGCCCCGCCCCCCGACGCCTCCTCCGCCTCCGACGAGGTCTTCCGCGACCCCGTCGTCGACACCCTCGCCACCGCGCTCCTCGCGCCCTTCGCCGCCGCCGCCCACCCGCGCGCGCTCAAGACCCCGCCCCCCTCGCTCCACGCGCCGACGCTCGACGACGTCGCGCGCCGCTTCCTCGGCGCGGGCACGCCCTTCTACCAGTGGTACACCGACTTCGCCGCGCTCTACGACGCCGTCTCCTTCGCGCACCCGCTCTTCGCGCGCCTCCTCCTCCCCCCGCTCGCGATCGCCCGCTACCCCGCCGACTTCCGCCGCTGCCTGTGGGGCGACCACGGGCACGCGCTGCGCGCGGTGCGCACCGCGCCCGCGGACGTCGTCGCCGCCAGCCTCGCGGAGTACCTCTGGCCGGTCGAGGGCGACCCGGAGGTCGTGGGCGCGTACGTCCGTGCGCTCGTGAAGGGCCCGCTCGAGGGGTTCGTCAGGCTCGTCGCCGTGCACCACGTCGCGTGCAGGATCTGGGCCGACCTCGGGGCGCTGTCGGAGGCTGGTAGTAGCGGCGACGGCGGCGGGGCGGAGGAGCGGGCGAAGAAGCTGCTAAAGGCGGTCCTGGGCCAGGGCGGGCTCGAGGCCGTGCGGGACGTGGTGCTGTATCGGCAGAACAGGGAGGGTACGCTGCTGCTCCCGCCTGCGTGCTTCGAACAACAGGGCGCGTGGAAAACGAGGAGGCTGGAGTTTGCCGGGAAGTGCGGAGATGGCGCGCGCGAGCGGCTCGAAGGGCTGTTGGCTGTTTAGAGACACGATTAGACGTACGTGTAGCAATGCAATGTAACACCCTTGGTCGCGATGATATGTGGTATATGGTGCGTCTGGTGCGTCGACGTTTCTGGCCCCTATGAAATGCGAGTCATTGTCGTCCCCTCAGTTTGCTGATGATAATGAGCATCGGAAGCGGAGTCCAAGGGTTCTCACCAATGTCGCCGACTACAGATACTTTCCTGGGCATGGGAAACTAATAGACCGCGAAGGTACGACACACGCACCACCACCATGGGAGTGTGTGACCAAGGACCCTGACGATAGAAGCTAGGAACGATGATCGAGTCATCGTGTTGTATTCATGTGGCCACTGGGTTTGAGAAGGTGGTCCACGAGGACAACCGCGATTAGATTCTCAGAAGAAAACACCCCACCGCCTGCAGGGACAGCGGGACAAGTCTCCCGGATTCCAGCCTACGTCACGATGAATCGGACGGGGAGGGCGCTGGGGTATGAAGCTCGCAGTTGTAGTTGGCTGTGTCGTGGAATGCAAAATAATCCGACTCGTATTCGAACGTGCAGACTTAGGACAGCAAAAGAAAGATCTCTCGTATATGACTCCTCATCCCCGAATAACCTTGTTTCGAAGGACAGCGTGTCTGCGCACGCACGAGTGTGAGCGACAAACCGGTGCAGCGCGGTAAATTGCGTACCTAAGGGTCCTTCGGAGGATGCGTCGCTGTGAGCGACACCCCGAGGGAGGCTCTTAACGGGGTCCAGTGAAGGACGGAGGGGGGACAGAGCCCTTCGGAGATGGCGGAGCCGCTTGCGACGCCGTCGTAGATGCAGAGGAACCGTCCGCCCTGCCGTCCTTCTTCGCCTTCGCCTTCGCCTTCTCCTGCTTGGCCTTGGCGCCCTTCGAAGGGACCGCCACGAACGACTGGGAAAACCCATACGACGTGGAGAGCGCGCCGAAGGCCTTCTCGTAATCGCGCGGCGCAGGTGTAGGCGCAGCCTTGGCAGAAGGCGGCGCGGTGACTACGGGTTTGGACGTCGAGACAGACGTCGACCCTCTCCCAACTTGGGCTGGCTGGAATTGCGTCAACAAGGATTCTCGGAAGTGCATGCCGATAGAGTACAACAAACCTTGGGCAAAAGCTGGGCAGTGGAAGAATTGGGTGTCGCGGTAGCAACGCTTTCGGTGGTGCTGACCAGAGAGACGGTCGAATGGGAGGGAGGGATAGGATTCATGATGGGGGGCGAGGCGATGAGACGATGAGTCCAAGTCCTGTGGTGGTATGAGGCGCGAGGATCGAGCAACACAGAGTGAGGGGTTGCCTTGAAAAGAACCGTAGCTCACCCCACCTTTTATACCGCCCCCGCATGACACTTCCGGAAGAAGTAAGCTGACTTGCATCGGTCCCGTAGAATTCAGTGCCTTATCACGGAGATAACGTTTCGCATGGCTTGTCCGGGTACAGGCGCATATGTGCGGCTGCGTTTGGGTGCTATGTATGCCCGATTGTCAGAACACCCATAACACTTGTCTTTGATGATGCAGTGCGACTGCGGCCAGACTGCCAGAGTGAGCTCTAAGTGATAAATTTGTCGCTTGAGACCATCGCTTGAGACCAGACTCAGTAGAGCAACTCGATTCCATGAAAACTCGCAAGTGAGGTACTGCGCGATCCAAAGGCTCGCAGTAGCTGCTGGCTGCGCCGAACCTCTAGAAATATTTCAAGTCAAGATTGCCAATACTCCCTCGGTGTTCTGATCTGAGTCAGCACACGGTCAGCAATTTCAAGAGAATTATGAAAGAGATTCCCACTGCAGATCTGTCGAGAACTTGTTCGGCCCAGTCGTTGAGCACGTAGTAGTACAAGTTCAGAATCGGCGCCGGCGTCAAAGTACTGATCATATTTCATGTGATGTGACGTTATGGTCACTTCCTGTGACAATCGTCTACAAGCTTTTCGGCGTCTGTTATTGAACGAGTCAGTCTGGACCTCCCACCTGAGTCACCGTTGTGAGATGTCTCTCGTCCGAGTCGCAAACGACGCCGATTCGGCGTCGGCCTTCCAGCACATTCCCATAATGTAACAACAGCCCGCGGCGCAGTCGGCGATAAGCGCAGCCCACTGACACCAGGGCTCGCAGAGACTTGCGGGACATCGACAGTTCAGACCCGGATGTCCGCCGCGCGCTCAGCGACGAGGTACGGAACACCTGCATCAATGTGGGCTTTCTGTACGGTACGTCTTCTCTTCCGGGCTCCAAGGTCGTCAGCTGACAACCCGGGCCGCGCACAGTGAAGAACCATGGAATCCCAGAGGAGACCATCCACCAAACGTTCGAGGCGATGAAGGAATACTTCTCGCTCCCCTTCGAGACCAAGATGGAGGTGTGTGACCCACCGCCCATACTCCGCTCCCCCTCACCTCCCGTCTCGACCGCCCCGGCCCCAGCTCGACATCAAGAAGACCCCGAACTTCAAGGGCTACAACGCCGTCCGGACGAGCAACAACGACCCGAACGGCGCCGGCGACATGCACGAGGGCTTCGAGTTCGGCTGGGAGGAGCTCGCGCCCCGCGCCGACCCAGCCTCCGCAGACGCGAAGCGCGCCCACGACGGCGTCATGGCCGGCGCGAACGTCTGGCCGGCGCAGGTGCCCCGGTTCAGGCCCGCGGCGCTCGGATACTAGTGAGTCCCGGTGCCTGATCCACCCCAGCCCGCAGGCGGCGGACGTAGCGGAACCGGGGCTGACTGGTAGCCACAACCACGATCCGGACCGCGCAGCCACGCAGCCGTCGCGCTCGGCCGGAAGCTCTTCCCGCTCTTCGCGCGCGCGCTCGACCTTCCGGAAGACTTCTTCGCGGACAAGGTGCGCGCGCTGCACCCGCATGGTCACCGCATCGCATCCGCGCGCTGACGCGCTGCGCTGGGGGGGCTCGACAGACGAGGAACGTCGCTGCGCTCATGCGCGTGCTCCACTATCCACCTCAGACCGGACCGGTCGACGACCGGGTGATCGGAATCGGAGCGCACACTGAGTACGCTCTTGCTCTCGTCTCGTACACGGGAGGATTACTGACTCGACTGGCCTGCTGCGCTTCGCAGCTGGGAGGTACGCCAGTGAGGATGAATCATTCGTTGTGTGCACGGACTGGGTATGGGTACGCCCGGCATGCCCATACCTGGTCCATGCACCAGCGATATTCACAACGATGGGAAAACAACTCACCGAACTACTGTACAGTGCTTCACGATCCTGTGGCAGCAACCCGAGATCCAAGCGCTTCAAGTCCTCAACCGGCAAAACCAGTGGGTCGACGCCCCGCCCATCCCCGGCACGCTCGTCGTAAAGTCAGTGTAGACTCCCCATGTCTCCCTGCTCCTACCCCCCGCTGACGCTCCCACCAGCCTCGGAGACCAGTTCGCCCGATGGACGAGTCAGTGCCCAGTCCTCCCTCTGCCTCCTGACCCTGGCTCACGAAATGACTTTAGATGACGTCTTCAAGTCGACGGTGCACCGCGCGGTCAACCGCAGCGGCGTGCGACGGTACTCCATCCCGCTCTTTTTCGGCACCGACTACGACGTGAAGCTCGAGGTGCGTCTGGGGCTCTTTACCGTCCTGATTGGCGAAGCAGTCGCTCATAATTGTCCGGTCGCAGCCCATCCCGAGCTGTGTCTCTTCGGAGCGGCCGCCGAAGTACGAAGTCATAACTGCGGGGGAGTACGTCAAGGAGCGACTGAAGGCGACGTACGGGCATTGAGAAAGGCACGGGTGTATTTAATCGAAAGTGGAGGCAAGGGTCAGTGTGAGAATACAGAGAGGGTAGGAATACATGACGGCTTTGCTACACGCCACCAGTCAAACGTCGATAAGTACATTCAAATTCATGCCGTAGCCTCCCGGGTGTACGGTGTCACCAGGAGCGGACATTGGCTGCCCTCCCTCGGCTTGCCCATGACGTACGGTCGAGTCAGGACCCTGCGCGGAAGAAACGAAGTGAGCGGCGGGACCGGAGCGACCACCCAAGCCAAGGGACGTACACATTCGCCTTGCCGACCTTGTCGGCCTCCGCAAACTTGAAGCTCGTGAGGAGCACGAAGACGAAGGCTTTGATCTCGATGATCGAGAACTTCATCCCGATGCACGACTGCGGCGTAGGGGCTCGTGTTAGCCAACCGCCCCTGAACACGAGGACGCACAACCGAAGCCCACACGGGCACATGCACAGCAGCCGGCCGCTGCGGCACAGCACGACAGCCACGAGCGGGAGTGACTCACCCTGGGGCCTGCGGAGAACGTGAGGATGTTGTTGTACAACCCTGGCTGCGCCTTGACTGCCTCGGGCAGATTGTCCCACCGATCGGGGCTGCAGACAAAAGACGCGCAGTCAGCACCACGCGGTGTACCTTCCTTCCGCAGCTTTCTACGGGTCCGAATGCCAAGGAAACGAGGAGTGAGGGACACTCACTTAAACGCCCAGCCGTCTGGCCCCCAGACCTCCCGGTCGAGGTTGAAAGCCTCGATAGGGACGTGCACGCAGCTGCCTTTGGGCATGACGAAGCTCGTGACCTCCTCGTGGTCTCCGTACTTCGTGAGCATCTTCACGGGCGTTGCGGTGGGAATAACGTCATCGCGTGTCGCAACGCGGATGGAGGAGTGTACTGGAGGAATGAGCCGGAGTGTCTCGCGAATGACGTTCTCAAGGTAGGGAAGCTCCGCGATCTTCTCGTACAAGGAGGAAATTTCGTCTTGCGAAAGGGACTCCAGAGGAGCAACGGGGGTGATGGAGAGGAGCTCTGCTCGTAGGCGTTCTTGTACCATTGGATATATGGCGAGCAAGTAAAATATCCAGGTGACGGAAAGCGAACTTGTGTCGGACCCGGCGAACATGAATGTGTTGATGGTGTGGAGGATGTCTTCATCGGGAATGCGCTGGTCGGCAGGGAGGTCGGCAGCGGTATTCGATCTCACTACCAGGAGGTTGGGTTTGGGAATGCGAAAGGTGGAAATGAATGCACGTACGGAGATTGCTGAGAAGATCCTTTCCGATATATGGGACCCCTACCCTCTCAGCCTCTTCGATCTTCCGCTTCTTCTCCTGGATGAGCCGACCTGCAACACGCTGAATAGTGTCCTGAGACCTCTTCACGACGCCGAAGCGCTGACCAGGCTGAGGTCCTTCATAAGCATGTCTTCATACGTTGCCACGAAGCATGAGACTTACCACAATCCGGTCCAGGAAGGGGAAGTATAGAATGGCTAGTTCCCAGACCCCACCGCCCTGTTGAGATACCGCAATCTCGAACATCTCCTTGTACGCGGCAAACAGTTCGTTCGACTCATTGTGAATGGCATTGAACTCGTAATCAAAGCCTGCACCGCAGCGTCGTCATGAGGAGGGAACCACGTGCGCATCCTTCGACACTCACCTGCGAGCCCAATGACGTCGAACGTCGCCCGGCTGATCCAATGGCAGACGTCCAACTTCGACCACCCAGCACGCTTTTCGTCGTCGGGTGGAACTGGCGAGTCGGCGATGAGGTCCATCCATCTGTTCCTGAGCTCGAGGCCCTTCTGGAAGGCGACCGGGATGAGGGCGCGCATGTTCTGGATGGAGAAGGCCGGGGTGGCGACGCGCCGCTGACGTTTGTGCACCTGTCCTTCCGCGGCGAGCATGCCGACGCCGATGAGACTGGATATGAGGAGACGGGACTGCCACGGCTTCTCGTAGACGGTGGAGTGTTTGAGGACATGCGCGAGGGACACGGGGTCGAGAGTGAAGAGCCGTTGGTCCCACTGTGCTTGACACTGAGCAGAGAACAGCGATACGCAAGGGAGGTGCTTACAGGGAGGAAGCCGCGTATCCTGACATTTCGGCCGTAATGCTTGACAAAGGCTTCATGCACTCTGGGGGATCGTGAGGGGCTGCAGATGGGCACCTAGTCAGCGATTTCTCGTGAATGAGAGCCTCAAGCATATATTTCGTCGAGACGAAGTTCACCCAGCACCCAAGCCACAAAGAGCAGGGACATGAAACACGGGGGGAAGAACGACGCGCATATACGCTTCTGAAAACAACTATACTCACTCTAAAACCATGCCCATGTGATTTCCGAGGATTCCTCGTGTCGGGGGACCGGGGAGGTTGCGAAGGGGGTTCCATAGCGGGAGCAGTATCGCCAGGTAGAAGAGGTATAACGCGCATGCCACGAAGGAGGCAGCTACGAGGGCGTAGAACGGCACCATGCAATATGCTACGATACTTGGAAGGAGGAAGACGGGGATGAGGATGAGAGGTGTGCTTCGGGACGGGTAGCCATCCTGTTGTATACGTCCTATTGTCTTCCCAGGACAATAGCGATGGCTGGTTTTTCGGCGTCTTGCGGTCTGGAGCAAGCGCGCCCTCCACGAGACCTGCGTGCAAGACGAGATGCTTGGAAAGGCGAGGATGGCAAAGAGGATGACGATGTGCAAGTCAAACAGCAGCAGGACAAAGGCGAAGATTGATGTAGACGATGCGCACGGAGTAATATTTTTCCATATATGGAATATGTCCTTATCTTGCTATGGCGTCTATACGTGGCTGCTGCGGGCCAGGCGCCAAGTAAGCGCCCTTTCACTCAGCCATCAAGTGTTGGTCCCATACTTGTTCGACACAGCTATCGCGTTTTATTCAAGATGGTTCTTTTCTTCACCTCTTCATGTGCGAATTCTTCAGTCAATGCTAACTCGTTACTAATCTGACCAGAGCCGTTACAGCCCACAATCCTCCCGTCATGATCTACATGGGAAAGGACAAGTTTGAGAGTGCGCAGGCCCATGACGCGAAAGAAGTATCCTGAAGACACTCGTTTTCTTACAGATGAGGACTTGATCAAGTACGCATGGCCGCAAGACGTCTGGTTCCACGTCGACAAACTTTCTTCTGCACACGTCTACCTCCGAATGCCAGAAGGCATGACCTGGGACACAATACCCGAACCCCTTCTCATCGACTGCGCGCAACTCGTCAAGGCGAACTCCATAGAAGGTGTGGAGCCAACGCAGCTGACGTTCGTCTTGATCCGCCGCTTACGCCGCTAGCGACCCCTCAGGCAACAAGAAGGACGACATCACCATTATCTGGACGCCAGGCGACAACCTCAAGGTACGTGCTCCACGCGGTCCCGCCCGTGTAGCGCACCCGCCCAGCTGATCCCCGCAGAAATCCGGCGATATGGCGGTCGGTCAAGTCTCGTTTCACAACGACAAGAAGGTTCGTGCGGCTCGCCGTCCCCACCCGTCGGCCACCTGACGCCCCGCGGCCCCGTTCTCCCAGGTTAAGCGGAGTTAGCCATCCCGCCTCAACTGACTCCCTCCACGACTGCTCACGTCGGTGCCTCCTTGTCCTGCGCAGTATACGTCGCGAAGCGCGAGAACGCGATCGTCAACCGCCTCAACAAGACCAAGACCGAGCGCCAGGTCGACCACGAGCAGGAGCGCGTCGACCGCGTCAAGGCGGAGAACGCCGTGAAACGGGCGCGCGGCGCAGAAGGTCACTCTCACGCCCGCCCGCGCTCCCCTCCCCCTCGCCGGAGACTGATCCCCGGTTCCTTTGTGCAGAAAAAGGCGGACGCGGAGCTCGCCAAGGCCCGCGAGGCGGAGAAGGCCGCGAGGTCGTACGACAACCTCTTCAACGGGGACGGAGAGGGCGACGACGACGACGACGAGCCGAGGCAGTCCGTGCAGGAGATGATGGACGATTTCATGTAACGAACGGTCCCGGAAAATGACGATACAAAGCTTCGACTACGACGCGGCGCGACGAGAGTGGGTGAGAAGGTAAGCAGATATCCTAGACTGGGTTGATCGGCAGCCGATCGGACGAGGACGAAAAGCAAGATATGGGGATTCGACAGGGATGTTGTTGCTCGGGGCGTTGGCCGCTGTTGACGTCGACTTCGGAGGCGGCGTCAGCACCGCCAGCTGTCGAGGCGTCCGACGCCAACGCAAGAGCGGCGGGGATAAGACTCACGTCGTGCTCGCAGATTCACCCGCCGAACGAGGGGCGTGTCGCGGTGGGGGCGGCCCATCCCTGGGCCTTGGCCGCCTTCGCGAAGTCGGCGGCGGAGGGCCGAGCTTCGTCCCGTCGTTGGAGGAGCCTTGCCGTCCGCCTTGCCGTCTTTGCGTCGGTGAGGGTGGAGGTGTCCGAGGCGATCGACTCGGCTGGTAGGCGGCAACGCTCGTCAACGGCCGTGCGATGAGACGGAGGGGGTGATGGCGACTCACTGTCGTAGTTGGCCGCCTTCTGGGCAGGAGCATGGGTGGTTGTCTGGCTGCTCATGGGGATGACGAGGGGGTGGTCGGGCGGGTGGTCGGGTGAAGAGTAAAGAGGCCGCGAGGTGGAGGTTAAGTGTGTAGATGAGGCTCGAGGCGGTGGTGATTGGCCCTCTGCCCAGGGTTTCGTGGGGAGTTTTATACTGACGCCCCTTACTAGCCGCTGGTTGGTAACGTCGTCGATGTGAACCGCCCCAGCATTTGATCTCCTTGAGCAGCGGCACATATCTCTGTTCAGTTCGCTGCCCATCTGCACGATCGGTGCTCTGCGGATGACATGCACAGGCCAGGCTGCGGCCCCCCAGCTTCTTCCCCGGGAGGTGCCAGATGGTGCCTCTCCACCCGGTGGAAAATCTTCTACGCAGCCAAAGCATCGCGTGGTCGAAAGGAAGTTCCTGGCCCGTCTCTCAATTCCCGTGTCTCTGCGGAGCCGTGGCAAGGCGCCTAACCCCACGACCAACCTTGTGCACCAGTACGTGTGTAATTCCAAAGGAGCGCACGCCAAGCCTGGGCCTGCGCAGCCACCCCCGTGCACGAGTCACAACCGTGTAAATGCGTACTCTCCGGAGGTTGCGGGTCGGGTCCGTGCGGTTTCCAGCCATGTGCTGCGCGGTTCAACCCCGATCGTCTCCCCTGGACTGTGACCATTGACCAACGTTAGTGCGTCCGCTGTGTCAATAGAAATCGGGTCGATGTGAAGTGCGCACCCGGTTCTTTCAATGGTGGTGGTAACGGTGCACCGGCGAGCGACCGCGCCAGCAATATCCTCGTCCACGCAAGATAAGTGCAATGCCATGAATAAGTATCCGCCAACTTCGCGGTGCTCCGTGCTCCCTCGTCGCCCGCGGAAGGTCGGACGGACACACAGAGAGCGCACCAGCCAGAGACATCCGGCCCCTGGGCACAACGCTCGCTACGCCCGCAGCTCTCGGCTGCTTGCAAGGAAGGTGGTCCGCGTGCTAGTGGATCCGCTGTTCCACAAAGGCGGGCTGCGCCGACGCCACACATAAGTGTTCTTCTTTCTCTGAGTCATCAGTTAGCTTACGAAGCAGGGCCATGCTTACTGTCGTAGTAGTACCGCACTGGAAACGGGACCGTGCGATTATTGAACCTACCCTCTACCCAAGCCCTTTGCCCTCGTGGCAACTACCGCGGCACACCCGGCCCGGGATGAATCAACCCCAGACCCGGTCCGCAGCCAGCCCTCTCGGGAAGAACCGGAGCGACCGGTTGACGCGCCCGCCGACTGAGACCTACCGAGGCTCACCCCCTCTGACAGTGACATGCGGCGTGCTGCGCGCAGAGGGTAAGTACAGACCTAACTCGAAAAATCTGACTCCAAAACTGCGGAAACCTGGCTGCGCGTGGAAATGAGACCTTCCTCCAGCTCAGCGCCGCTCAGCATAATCTCGGCGGACGCGTTCCATCGCCGGTCCCAAAGTCCACGAGACGAAATACCGTCCCACGCCAACTCCGTGACATGACGGAGCGGTCTGCCGAGGTCGGCGTCGTCTCCCTTGGGGCCAGGACACTAGGATATCATACCGTCGACACCCCCATATCCTCCGGCGTTCCAACTGTTTCCCAGCGCAGACGACGCTCCTCGGGATCCCTCTCGCTCCGATCCGCACGCAGGCGATCGTCCACACAGACGGCGAGCTCGCGCCCGCGCCCGCTCGGCGTCTCCGTCGTCGCCAGCGGCGCCGTCTCCTCGCATCCCGACGCCAATGGTATATCGGCGCGCCCCGCGGCCGCGCACGCGCACGCCCCGCCCGCTCCCCACTCTCACCCCACCGCCCGCTCGTTCGGCGTTTGGGCGGCTCCCCGCGAGCACGTCCGGGGCGCGGAACGAGCTACCGGGTGTGCGCTTGGGCTTGGAGGGGTAGCCACGTTCCCGCAGTGCGCGCCCCGGGCCCGTTCCTGACGTCGAACAGACGCAGGCGCCGTTCTGCAGCATACGTTCGCGGCGGCGGTCCGGCGCTGGAGAAGGCGCGGGACCCTGGCGTTTGGCCTGGCGCGAAGTGGTAAACGGCGCAAACGCCGGCGCGTCCCCGCCCGTGCGCGCGGCGCTTCGCCGTGGGGGTCTAGACTTAGCGGGACGGACGCGCGCGCGCGCGCGGACGTGCCGTTGCGCACGCGTGTGGCCCGTGGGCCCTGCGCGGGGCGCCTTATGCATCGCGACAATCTGGGAGAGTCTATCTGCATACGGTTCATCGGATGGATGTCGCCGCCGCGGGACATGGACCTGGACGCGGGGCGCGGGGCGCAAACGCACTTTCCAGCGAGCCGGACCTGCGCGTCCGTCCGTGGGCGCGTCTGGCCTCCGAGCGCGCGTTGGGATACGATTCGGTCCACCTCACCCGGTGTACATATGCGCACGCACCAATCGATCCGGCTGTCCAGCACGGATTCGTGCGTCCGGCGGCTCGTGGTTGTGTGGACGGACATGCCTGAAGCGCCGGACTCTCTCAAGGAGATGCGGAGGCGGCCTGAGCCCTCGGAGCGCGACTATAGAGATAGCTTCCGAGCCGCCGCGCGCGGGCACAATGGTCGTGGACACGGCCTTACGACTCTGCCGATTTCAAAGGGTATCCTGGCTAGGCTCAAGCTTCAAGGGACTCGGACGTGCAGCCGCCGCGTGGCCGGTACGGGAAAGGAAGGTACCACACGCCCGGTTCCCGAGCTTGCAAAGTTTCAGCACCTTTGTTTTCCGATGACGGCATAGGCGGCGGAAGAGCGCAGGCTCAGACGTGGGCGCTTCGTCGTCGGAGCAGACTGAAAGCAGATCAATGAGAGCGTCGATTGCAACGGAAGGACACAGCAAGACAGAACAGAGCATTACAACAATCGATTGCGTGGATATACAGGCTGAAGATACACGCGCAAGACTGTAAAGCTGTAAGTCCAGATACAGAAGGAGGCGCCGTCGGGGTCATCTACTAGCACGGTGGGCACGAGGGTACAATGCACGTCTCGCATCAAGCGCCGACGTCACGAAGGGAGTGATGGAGGGATGGGTATACGGAAGGAGAAGGCATTCTCCCCTAGCTCACCCGCAGGACGCGTGAACAGGGGAGGAAACACTCGCCGCCGCCGCGGGCAGCAGAGGCGCATCGGAGTGCCCGCTGTCCGAGATGCCGTAGCCAGAGCTGCTGCCCAACGAGCGGACGCTCATCTGCGACGCCGACCGCAGGCGCTCGCGCCCGCTCCCGACGTGAAGCGGCTGCGGGGCGACGACGGGGCGGGCGACGGCGACGGTCCGGTACGCACGTGGAGTAGTGATCGGGCCCAGCGCCGTCTGGGCGGTACGTGGGAAAGGACGATGGAAGATCGGACGGCTGGGGTGGCCCGTGGTGCGAGCGCGGGCCCGTCGAGTGTGGAGGGCGGCGTAGAGCCAGGTGCGTGCGGCGGAGGGGGCGGAGAGGATCCACACGCCCCAGTTGACTCGGATAACCAAGACAACGAAGGCGATGAAGAGCACTAAGAGCACGAAGGGGTATCACGGTTGGTACGGGCTCGGATGGAGATGCTCATGCAACATGGGGCTCAAGGAGGTGACTCACGGCCAATGCTACACAGTCCGATGATCATGTTGGTGGACAGAGAGCCGGGAGCTCCGTCGGAGATGGAGGCCGTGGTGTCGCGGAATACGGGGGCCATGGTGAGGAGGACGGTGGGCTGCCTGGGCTGTGTGGGGGAGCATTCTGGCGGTCAGCGTCGGTGGAAGATGTGCAAAGAGTGAGGGCAACTTACACAGGGGGATGATGCGGTGCCTTGGAGACTGTGGTCCGGAGCAAAGCTGGGGAGTGCGGTGGTGTGACCAGGGGCGGAGAGACGAGGGGGGGATGGAGGGAGTGGTCGAGGACAAGAGCCCGCAGTTAAGTACTGAGCGTCGACGTCATGAGTACGCCGAGCGCGGGGGCGAACGCCCGAGGACGGCCGGTCTGCCCAGTCACTCGCCCGAAGTCGATGCCCAGTGCGTGACGGAAGGGAATAAAGGATACAGTGGGCGTCTGGAACACGCAGCGGCATGACTAGCTGGACGATCGAATTCCCAGGGTCCACATGAATCAGTGACGGCGGTATTTGTGCGGAGACGGCATTTGGATCCAAACACCAGGAGGCTGATGACAGATCTTGCCAAAACATCTCATGCTGTTCACGACCGACGTGTTGAAAGCATCATTTAGGCCTCGGCGAAGCCGTCGCGACCCGTTTACGGTGCGTGAGAAAACATGGAAAATGGCGTCACGGCTGGGCATGAGCACAGGTCTGCAGATCGAAGGGCGCATTCAACCTAGTACAAAATGGCAGTACGCACGATATGAAATTCACCAAGGCTCTATGCTTCCTCTGCCAGGGAGCAGTGAGACGGGCCGGGGACCACTGCCACATGGCTCCACGAGGGTCGATACGTTGTGCGAATCTAATCTTTGAAATGTATAAGATCGTTCCAACGAGTCCCCGAAAGCGGTTGAAATCCTGTGAGTATGTCGGGTGACGCGAATTCGGAATTCGGAAGCTGTGTGTGTTCCTCAAGAGTTACTGCACGAATAGTGTTGTTCATATGTAGCAAATCCCGACGCCTCTGGCCGCGCACGCTCTCGGGTGGATCCATCGGCGGACTCCGGAGCTTCGCGGCTTGGGAGAGATACGTATAGAACGGCTGGTTCTACTGGAGCTTCGGCCGCCCTTCGAATACCGGTTGGACCTTGGACGCGCGTCTCTCCGGAGAGCGAGGCTCTCTGTGACTTTCGGGGGGACTCTGGCCATGGGGGAAACGTTAGCAGCTCCGACAGCAGAGAGCAGGTTGGACAGGGGAAGCGCCATATCTGACGGCGACAACTTGCTTCACTGCCGCGATGGCGAGGCGTCGCAGTGGAAGCCGCCGGTGAACGCGAGAAGGCACAAAGAAGCACGAGACGCACGAGATGGCAGGCAGCAGGCCTGGGGGGGATGCCAGGAGGTCCTCGTTCGCGAGCTCCGGATCCTGGGAGGGAGAAGCGCGCGTCGGCAGTCTCGGCCCCGAGGTTTCCGGGAAGGTGTCTGTGACATGACCCCGTCCGGCGGAACTTGCTGACAGGACGTCCCAATTCTTCCTAGGATAGGACACATCGGCTCAGAGCCAGAAACGAACGACTCTTGTCACGGATGTGCACGAACATGAGGCTGGCACAGCCCACCTGCGGTTTCTGAGTAATCCCTCGAGCCCCACAAAGGCCTGCCTGGACGTTCCTCCCTACACACCGACCGACACGCGGCGCAGACACGGATTGCCTTCAGCCACTTTTTTCCCGATCTGGGTCTCGACTTCTGCGATCTCACCCGTTTGGGAGATCTCGGTGCGAAAGCGAATACGGCGTCGGCGTGGGTATGACACGAAGTGGCACGCACGCCCCGCGAGGCAGCGCCGCTACAGTCTGGCAGAAGCCCTCACTGTGAGTATGTACATACCAGAATTCGGATGTGCTCATGCAGACGCTCCGGCTCGGCCCGGTAGACACCACACCCTGGGACTACATGTAAATCGCGTCTCATCGCGCTGTCCGTCGGGTGGATCCGTCGGAGGGGCCGTGAAGCGGGAAATCTGGAGGACCATTAATACCAGACACAGGCGGCGGTACTTGGCATGAGCTACATGGGAGACATACTCCGGAAATCACACCTGAGCTAGGATTGGGGTGTTTGTGAGGTGCACGACGAGGCGCGTCGGCGCGCGTATGAAGCAAGTTCTCCGGAAAACCCGCGGCGCTTCCCTGGGGTCTTATGTAAGTGCCGATCAGGGAGACGCCGCAGCCCCCGACGGAAGCGCTTGCCGCACATGAGTACAGCAATGAGAAACTCATCATGATATGAAATACAGGGTGCAGAACAGCAGCGAAATAGCTGTGCGTGGAACAGCACGAAGAATAACGGAACAATGCTGAAAGCGCAGTGTCCCCATTTCCTCTGGCACGGCCGCGCACGCGCGTTGGAAACTTCGACAGATAACCGGATGGGCCTTCTGTTCCCCTACTATCACGACCCCAGTGTTCGGACGGGCAAGCGCCGGCCGGGGTAGTTCAACGCGTCCTCGTCGCCCCCCTCCACCGATAATCTTCAAATTTTATAGACACAATTGAATTTTTTGTCTCCATAATTCTGCAAACTTTGGAGGCGAGCGGAGGACATATGCGTGTATAACCGTTGAAGGAGTGCACTGATCAACCCTAGTGTTCGGACAATTCTCCGCACGTCGTCACAGGCGCGGTCACGGCGCCAAGCTGCAGCCGACGTCAGAACCTGTCATAAGAGAGCCATTGCCGAGCCAAATCGAGTAGGGCGCTGAGAGGTGACACACAAGCGCTGGATTACTGTCACGCCCCCAGAGCTCAATTCTGTACCATCGAAGCCCACGAAGGCGCATCCTCTCGGAAAATTTAGCTAACGCTTTGGAAGTGGGAAAGAATTGCATTCCCAAAATTCCAAGTGGAGCGCCGGGGTGGGTGTTTCAGCCGAGACCCGTCAAGGGCGAGACTTCTCCAGGTGAGATGAGTGTATCCTTGAGATCGGACGCAGCTTTGGCCGGGGGGACACGAAACTTCTAACATAGGTGTGTGAGAAGTTATCCTAGCTCAATCTAAAATTTCATGGTTATCGGTTGAGGTACTGGAGCGCAATTCGCGTTTGTCCGAACACTAGGGTCTGTCCGAACACTGGGGTCGTGATAGTACTGCGCAACATCACCGCAGGGCGGTACGGAAGTGTTCCCGTCCGCGCCCGCCATCCTCGGGCAGTTGCGATCGCCCACGTCCAAACCCTGCCCTGCCCCCCGCTTTGCGGCGGGACCACGGCGGCGCGCTGGGGGCGGATGGGCATCCGTGGCGCGGCCGTAGGCGCGTGCCGGGCGGGCGGGGCGTGGACGCGCGCACGAACGGTAGTGGTACTACCAATGGCGCGCGTGTCCCCGCGCCCCTCCCCGCGGGGGAGCGCGAAGTGACGTGCGCACGCGTCGAGATGCGCGTGGACGGTCCCCGCGAGGTCGAGCACCCTGGCGCGGAGGCGGGAGTATGCGAGGATGTGCACGAGGCTGATGGCCGCGAGAAAGATGACTGGTATGGACGGTTAGCGTCTGGCAGGCGGCGAGACGTGGACGGGGGTGGGATAATGCTGAGGCGTTGAAGGCGCGATGGAAGGTGTGGAGAAAGGGTGCGCAGGGAGCACTCACCTACTCCGCCGACGATACTGCCAATATCCTTTGGTGTAAGGGGAGTATTCGTCTCCACAGGCACAGTATTGGTGGTAGTGGTGTTGGCAATGTCCGTGAAGTCCTGTCAGGTGAAAGTCGTTCAAGTCAGAGGGCGTATATCAGCCGGATCCTGAGACTCACATGAAGAGAGGGCATATCGCCTGTGGATCGAAGTAGCCAGCGCAAGCGTAGCGAGGCACGAGTACTACTTTAAGGAAAGGAAGGATAATGGGGATACCCATATAATAATTGTGAGATGTAGCCAAGACAGCAGGATGTCAAGAAGCGCTCATTATGCGTGGCAAAAACTACACCGCTCTTGCGGACCACGTTTCACGTTCGGAGGGAAGGATCCAGCGTGGTGACCACTCGTGATAGAACTCTGTAGATCGTAGGCGCACGTCACGGAGGCGCCGCGAAAAAAGGCGCCCCTCGGCGACATACGACCCAGCTGCGCGCTGCCGCGGATCTTCGTATGTGGAAGGTCTTCCTGTGGGAAAATAGCCGCAGATAAGATATGCCCCACGAAGTGCATCATCCATAAGTAGACACTCGCCGTGGGGCAAGTACTTGCCATTTCGCGTGCCCACTGGGTGTGCCATGTGCTGAGCAGCACAACCCGGAACACAGCCTTTCCGACACGAACGCAGCAGGGCCTTCTCGTGCGGCGGCGAAACAATGGCGTGGTCCTGCCAAAATTAAACTCACCGTGTACGCTGAGTCCTGACTAGGACTGCCGCCGTCTTCCGAGGCGACCAGCGGCTCGCTGAGTTCGAATCCTCATCGACATCTTTCGAGCGAGAAGCAAGCATTGTCGCCCGGGGCATGCCGCATAGACACGACGCATCCCAGGCGTGCCGCAGGACTCGGAACTCAATACCCAGTACTCAGGTCTGGGTGTTTCCCTAAGGTATTTGGAAACCTTCCGGACAGATGGGAGTCCGCCACGGCTGAAGCGTCATTTTTGCTTTCGAAGGTTAGCGCTGGGTGGATCATGCGTGAGCAAAGCAAGCCATCATAGACGTAATCAAGTGTGCGCGCACACATAACGGCCGACTCGTTTAGAGAAGGTGGATGATCGATCGTGGACACCGTCAACCACTCCCGCGCATGGGGCCCACTGTGTGACGATGGTGCTTTAAAGATGGCGATTGTTTCGTTCCAGTGGCGGGAAACGAGGCGTAGGGGGAGCTGTCTATGAAAGCCAGGTGGGGGTACGAGATTGCCACGATTGGGCGTCTAAACGACGACGTGAGACGGGATCTGAACGATCAGCAGACTTTATGTTGCCTTGGGCACTGCAATCACCGGCACTGCTTATCGACAGCCGAAGCTCGAACCGGGGAATCGCCAAATAAACACAACGAAGACCGCCCATTGTCATAGATGAAACAGTATACAACTCTCGAAACCCCAGCGGACGGAGAGTCGGTCCGACCCACCCGTATTTGCGCACGGGCCCCCTAGGCCTCGGACGACAGTGATGATCTCAGTCTGGGCTCCTATCTCCCGTGAGTGAGCCGACGACACCATCGCCGCTGAATCTCCTCATGCGTGTTCTCAGAAGGCTCTCTACGTGCGTTTCCCTTACGCTTATTGTCATGCAGGTGAGACTCATTGCCCGGTCTTCCAAAAGTTCCGACGTTGTTCTAAATCAAGCTCCTCTATCCTTCCGAATCATTGCGCCCATCGATTGTCGCGGGATGAAGCGCACTGTGGGACGACTACAACCGGGATAGGCCTGACATCGGGGCTCCCATGCACCCGGCCAAGAGACGATGCACCCTCGAGGTTGTTGTCCGATTTCCTACAGCCCGCCGTGCTCGCTTATCCGCCCCTGTGCAGCGGTCGCAAATGTTCCGTCTGCTCTCGCCCTTCGGACCCTGCACGCCAAGTCCTTCCGCTCCGTCCCCGCTCACCCCGAGCAACCTGCCCAAGTAGCCGGGTCCCATTTGCCCGTGCATCCCTGAGGCTGCCACCACCCCGCTCGCGCCATCCTTCCGTTGCTTGATCCGCCTGCAACCGGAAACCTTACCTCGCGTCGTCGCCCTCAGTCCGGCCCAGATCACTCACATTCAATCACCGCCCTCTCCCCGCGTCGCCGCTGCCCCCGCTTCCCTTCTGCCCACGGAATCGTAGTCAAGGCAGGGGCAGTCACTGCGCAATTCGTCGATACCCATTTCGGGGCAGGCTCGTCAGCCGCTGCGCACCGGAAGCCGTCTGGACACCGGGGCATGCCTCCTGCACGCGTCCGACGCTCACCGGACGTGTGCAGGGCGCAGTCGCTCCTTCACCCCGTCGGTTCATCCCAGCACGGACAGCAGTGGGGTGGACACGCGGCGCGGCCCGAAGTCCGCAGCTCGATCGAGGCTTACCAGCATCTCGGAGATGTGACACTCGCGGACGAAACCATCGACCCTGGTCGTGGGTCGGTGCGGCCGCCGTCGCGGAACCACATATCGGCTCGCTGGCTACGGGACGCAAGGGTGTCCGGACGTCGCATACTAGGAAGACGTAACGGGCTTCTTCCCTTTGCACCGGATTAGGCAGTGTTCCGCAGGGTCGCCGTTGTTGTGGGATGTACGTGCCAACACAGGCAAGGCTTATGGAATTCAGAGCCCGTGCCATGCTGCCGTCCCTGTTGTTTTTACATCATGCACAGTGGACCACCGGGGGCGCGGTGTGTGCGTCTTCCGAGGCGAGGTTCTGCGGCTCGCTCGTCGCGGCCGCTATCATACCTTGCTTCTAACCGCAAACAAGTGGCAGATCAGGAAAACATCGCCTCACTCGCACGGCCTGGGCGATGGACGCGCACCGGGGCCGTGGCGCGGGTCGCTCCAGTGGATTTGACTCCTGAGTATCCGCTTTGGGGCCAGCGGCGGGGAAAATTCGTAGGACGGGCTTTCCGGCAACGTCGGGAGAGGTGTAAGGACGACAGATGATTGGGTTCGCTATGTGCGAAGCTCGGAAGAGCCATCAGTGTATTTACCTTGAAATGCGCAATGCTGCCGGCCGCCTAACATCGGGATTCCGATGACCAACTCGGGTAGAATTAGGTTTGGGGGTGGCTAGTATCGTAAGCAACATAACAGGCCGAATGAAGGACTGTAATCAGGCCTCAGGCCCAGGGCCCAGGGCTTATTGTGCAGCACCCGTGTGCAATGAACGGGTGTGGCGGGCGCAGACCGGGCATAGAAGGTTATCGGGCGCGTCTCAAGATCCTCGGAGCGGACACCAAAGAAGATGGTGGATACCACAAACTCGGTAGAATGACACAACAACGGCCAAAGCCACACAGCTTCGCAGAAGGCGCTTTTTCCTGTTCTTCGTGGCTCTCTACGAGCACACGACGCAAAACTTTCCCCGTCGGGTTCTCCGGAACCCGCAACCGCGCGCCATCAGCACACGGCGGGACGGGGATGCGAAGAGAGACGCGGCACGCACCTCATCGACGACCTCGATCCCCCCGCGCAGCCACTTGAACCGACTGAGGCTCTGCCGGACCCATGCTTTCGAGCGCGCGCACGGCGGCGGCCGCCCCGCGCTGCCGCAGCACGACCCACGACGGATGTGGCGGGCACAGACCGGGCGTAGAAGGTCGTCGGGCGCGTGTCAAGATTCGCAGGTGTACTTCGGGGCGGACATGAAAGAAGATGGTGGGTATCATATGTGGCTCCGACGTCCAACAGGGATTCCAAACTCAGTCGAAAGATACAACAGTCGCCTCAAAGCTTCGCAGAAAGCGCCTTCTGCCGCTCCTCGTGCCTCTCCACGAGCACTCGACGCAGCACTTTGCCCGTCGGGTTCTTCGGAATCTGCAACCGTGCGCCACCCTCAGCACCAGGGACGGAGCGACACAGGAAGGAAGACACGACACGCACCTCGTCGACGACCTCGATCCCTCCGCGCAGCCACTTGAACCGACTGAGGCTCTGCCGGACCCACGCCTCGAGCGCGCGCACGGCGGCCGCCGCCCCGCGCCACCGCCGCTCCTCGCTCAGCACGACCCACGCGCGCGGAACTCTCTCGTCCGCGGGCCGCGCGCCCGCCACGGCGGCGACTGTTACGTCGGCGACGAGCCGGTCCGGGTGCGCGAAGAGGACGGCCTCCGAGAGCTCGGTGGGCGAGACCTGCTGGCCGGAGACCTCGAGGGTGTCCTTGACGCGCTCGACGAAGCCGTGCCGCCGCTCGGGTCAGCGGAAGAACAACGGAAAAGGACAGGACGACAGGGCGGGGGACGTACAAGAAGTGCTGGTCCGGTCCCCGGTGCGCAACCAGCCGCCGCCGGTGAACGTCCCACCGCCGCGCGCGCGTCGCCCCAGTAGCCGAGCACGACGACGTCCCCGCGCACCCAGAGCTCGCCCGGCTCGTCCGGGCTCGCGAGCGTGCCGTTGTCGTGGACGAAGCGAGCCTCCAGCCCGGGCACGAGGATCCCGGGGCTGCCGGACTTCGGGCCCCCCAGCTTTTCGGGGCATGGGCGAGTGATGGAGAGCGTCTGCGGGGAAGAACGAGTGCGGGTCGGCGGCGGGTCGGAGAGGAGGCAATACAGCGAGCGGAGAGACGCACGGTTTCAGACATGCCGTAGCCCTCGACCAGCTTGGCGTTATTCGCGAGCCCAGTGAAAACCCGCGCGAGCCGTGGAGGCAGGTACGACGCACCACTCCCGAGGCTGATCACGGAGCTGAGGTCGGCCGTCTTCACGCGCGGGTGGTTCAAGAGGTGCAAGATTGCCGGCGGGGTCAGGTACAGCACGTTTATGCGGTGGCTGTCCGTGGGGTAAGCTAGCGATCGTCGCGGGAGGCAGGTCCGGAACGTACCGAGGAATGAGGTCGAACACGAGGGCTGGATCCCAGCGCGGCAGGAGCACGGTGGTGGAGACCGACGCCTGAGGCTGGATGCAGAGGCAGTGAAGACCATAGCTGTGGTAGATGGGTAAAAAGCCGAGGGCGATCGCGTGGTTCGTCTAAGAAAGATATGAGAGACATCCTCGGACCAATACCTGATGACATGAGCGTTTCCCTGTCAGGCACCAGGCTTCCTGTCCGTCCTCTGTCTGTTCTCTGGGAGGACATGCAGACTACTTACCTCTACCGCAAACTTCCCTTTGCCTTCGTGGCAGCTAAGGCGGCAAACCCGGCCCGGGATGATCAACCCCCGACCCGGTCCGCAGCTAGCCCTCTCGGGAAGAACCGGAGCGACCGGGTGAGTCGTGACCCACCCGCCGACTGAGACTGCCGAGGCTCACTTCCTCCAACATGCAGCGCGCAGTAGTCTCCCCTAGGCCAACCTTCTGACGACGAGCACGCAGAGGGTGTGGGGTTTCGGGGTCGTAGGACGTGATCGGGGTAGGTCGGAGGGTGAGGGCATCGCGCTTGGGCTCCTGTGGGCACCGGGGACAGCGGACGGACGGCGGATGCGCGGGAGATGGTGGTGGATAGGAGCAAACACGTGGTGTACCACACAGGCGTGGCGAGTACAGTACCTACACAATTATCTAAGCGAGCGGCCCTAGATTGCGCCTCTAGCGCCGAAATGACAACATACGCAGGCTCCATCACGACAATCTGCGGTTCATCGGATGGATGTGGCCGCCGCCGGACGTTTCTCGGGTGCGGGGCGCGGATGCGCAGGCGACTTGGGCCCTCAGAGCGTGACTTGCCTCCGAGCCACCGGGCCTTGCGGGTCTGCCGATTTTGAGGAGCCTCCTGGCCAGGCTGTGCATCGGAACACGTGGCCGTCGCGTGGCCGGTACGGGAAAGGAAGGTAACCCACGCCGGCCCCGGGCTGGCAAAGGTCCAGCACCTTTGTTTTCGGATGACGGCATCTGCGGCGGAAGGGCGCGAGCGCAGATCCCAGACGTGGGCACGTCGTCGTCGGAGCAGACGGAAAGTAGGGGAATGCAAAGCATTGATTGCATCGATTGCAACGGAAGGACGCAACAAGACAGAACATAGCATTGCAACAAGCGGTTGCGTGAACAGACTAGGGATACACGCGGGAGACGTAAAACTGTAAGCCGGGATACAAGGAGAGGCGTCGTCAAGGTCATCTAGCACGGTGGGCACGGGAACGGGGCGCGAGGGTACGATGTACGTCTCACATCAAGCGCCGACGTCACGAAGGGAGTGATGGAGGGATGGGTATACGGAAGGAGAAGGCATTCTCCCCTAGCTCACCCGCAGGACGCGTGAACAGGGGAGGAAACACTCGCCGCCGCGGGAGGCAGCAGAGGCGCATCCGAGTGCCCGCTGTCCGAGGTGCCGTAGCCAGAGCTGCTGCCCAACGAGCGGACGCTCATCTGCGAGGCGGGCCGCAGGCGCTCGCGCCCGCTCCCGACGCGAAGCGGCAGCGGGACGGCGACGGGGCGGGCGACGGCGACGGTCCGGGTCGCACGTGGAGTAGTGATCGGGCCCAGCGCCGTCTGGGCGGTACGTGGGAAAGGACGATGGAAGATCGGTCGGCTGGGGCGAGCGCGGGCCCGCCGAGTGTGGAGGGCGGCGTAGAGCCAGGTGCGTGCAGCGGAGGGGGCGGAGAGGATCCACACGCCCCAGTTGACTCGGATGACCAAGACAACGAAGGCGATGAAGAGCACTAAGAGCGCGAAGGGGTATCACGGTCGGTACACGCCCGGATGGAGGTGCTCATGCAGCATGGGGGGCTCAAGGAGGTGACTCACGGCCAATGCTAGACAAGCCCATGATCATGTTGGTGGACAGAGAGCCGGGAGCTCCGTCGGAGATGGAGGCCGTGGTGTCGCGGAATACGGGGGCCATGGTGAGGAGGACGGTAGGCTGCCTGGACTGTGTTGGGGAGCATTCTGGCGGTCAGCGCCGGTGGAAGATGTGCAAAGAGTGAGGGCAGCTTACACAGGGGATAGTGCACTGCGGTGGAGACTGTGTCCCGGAGCAAAGCTGGGGAGTGCGGTGGTGTGGGGGGCGGAGAGACGAGGGAGGGATGGAGGGAGTGGTGGGGGACAAAACGCAGTTAAGTACTTGTCAAGGCACTGAGCCTGTCTAGGGACTGCAGACGCGCGAACGCGTCGACGTCACGAGTACGCCGAACGCGGGCGCGGGCGTGAACGCCCCAGGACGGCCACAGTTACTAGTCGATACCCAGTGCGTGACGGAAGGAAAAAGGGATTTGGGCGCTTGAAACGCACGAAGATTCAAATATTCATCGGAACTCCCAAGGAGGCGATGCCGGCGGCATCCCTGCGGAGACGGCATTTGGGCCCACGTGACGCTGGTAAGCTGACGACAGTGACATTTATGTGGCACTGTTCAATACCGTCGTTGTCTCTCGTGCTCTCGTGCTGAGAGCATCGCGTGCACCTACTGTACCATTTCGAATTGATCGAACCGCCGTTTGGAGCGTGACGGCAAGTTTGGTCGGGTGGATTCGAACTTTGACCGGGCCGTCACGGACGGCCCGGAAATTTCGAACCCATTATCGAATTTTGGGCACTTTTACACCCAAACCGAGGGGGCGCCGTCAAGCGCCCGCGAGATGCTTTCGAACTTCGACCTTGTGAGCCGTGACTACCCCCGAATTTTCGAACTTTTGGACGTCCTTGTGACGCGTGACGTTCGATTAATACGAAATGGTACAGTATTCCGGCTTCGTCGAATCTCTCGCAGCTCATCTGTGAGGGTGCGTGAGAAAACATGGAAAATGGGTCACGAGTGCGTCAGGGAAACCCCCAACTCCTAATTAGGACTATTTAGCACTAATTAGACCAATAGTCAGAAATAGTTGATTAGCACTATTTAGAAGTCCCAAAAACTAATCTAGTCAGATAGACAGGGATAGTCATAGGCATAGGCAAGCATTAGTTCATAGATCTGGACATAGTATGGCAGCTCAGAAAATAGTTCAGATTAGCGGACCAATATCACACAGATAGAGGTGATGAGAACGAAATTTATTGGCAAAGACGACTAGACTACACAAAGTATCGTACAAGACAACCAGCTATTTACAGACGGAGGCAGGCAACATGGAAGAGAGCGACACGGAGGTGGGCGACGTGGGCGGAGGGCAGCGCAGGCGGAGGTGGCGGACACAGGCGGAGGACGCTGGCGACGCGAGAGGATTACGTGGGCGAGATGGGCAAGGGCGAGACAGGCGAGCCAGTGGGTGAGGGCAAGGCGGACGAGGCGGGCAAGGTGGGCGAGGATGACGCAGGGGTGCGCGGACGCGGACGATGTGGACAACGTGGGCCCTGGGTGAGAGTGAGGGCGACGTGGGGGCGTGACGTGGGTGACGTGGGGGAGATGTGGGCGGCACAGACAATTGGGAGACGTGGGAGACGTGGGCGAGGGGGCGGGGCGGGGATACTAGCAGCTAGACTGCTGGATTGTCATGCAGTGCGCGTGCGGGGGCAGCTTGAGGGCGATGTGCGAGGCCGCCGCCGGGCTCAGGGTCCGTGTCGGAGTCGGTTCTGGGTAATGTCCGTCGCGACGACGCATGGGCGCGCAGAGCCCATCGGACGGTGTCAAGCGGCACCGTCTGGCTCACGACGCCGCGTCCCGACGTCGCGTCTGTGCCCTCGCTCGCACACGCCCCCACCCCTGCTCTAGTCCCAGCAACGATGATCAACCTGTCTGGGCCGAACACGAGCATCGGCGGCAGCAGCGGCATGACGACAAGCACGTCCGTATGGTTGGTGCGTCAGCGACGCGGAGACGGCGACGTGAGACGGCGACGCAGGCAGGCGAGGACGAGGTAGACGAGATCGACACAGGACATGACGGGTGATGGCGAGACGGGCGAGAGCGACGCGAATAAGGGCGCGGCGGGCGACGCGGGTGACACGGACGAGGTCAAAATGGGCGATGAGGGCGAGACGGGCGAGAATGCGTGAGCGAGCGAGTGTGGGGTAGGCAAGACGGAGAAGACTTACCTCCGAGCACTGAGGTCGTGTCCTCCTCCGTACCCTGTCGTCCGAAGGCGTGACCCTTTACATGCGTTACCGCCGCGGTGCAGGCCTCTTTCTCCTTCGCGGCCACTCGAGATGGGCCGTGCACGAGGGTTGTACACGGGGGGCGCGGGCGAACGGCGTTGCGGTGCGCGGCATTGCGGCACGCGAGTGGTAATGACGGCGCACCACGGCCACATTGGCGGAAAGAGTGTCCCGCCGAGTATGCCTGTTGGGACGTGCTCATTGAGGGAACGGGGACGATGGCGCGGCCGGGGCCTGGGGAGGCGGTGGGCGAGGTAGGAAGCGCAGGACGGTGGAGTGGGGGACTTACAGAGGCGAGGTGTGGTCGCAGACGTCGTCGGGTCAAGAGATTGAGGCGAAGGGCGCAGAATATGGGCTGGGGAGACGAAGAGGCCTGGATGTGGAGGACGGGGAGGACGAGGTGTGCTGGCAGGTGGTGCGCACCGTGGTGTGCGCAGACGGCGTGCGTGCGATGTGCGACACAGCGGCAACGGCCACGCGGCACAACCGCATCGAAATGAGTGTCGTTGGGACGGGCTCGTTGTAGGGACGAGGTCGATGGCATGGCCGGGGCCTGGGGAGACGGTGGGCGAGGTGGGGAGCACAGGAGAGCAGAACGGGGGACTCACCAAGACAAAGGGGGCCGCAACAGCTCATTGAGGAAGCGGCAGGTGAGGTGCGCGTTCGCGTGGTCCTCGGAGATGTCGCGCCAGGAGGAAAAGACGGGAGGACGAGGAAGGGCAGGACGTGGAAGACGGGCAGCGTGGAGTCAGAGCGACGTGCTGGCAGCGCCGGATGCGTGGGAATCGACGCCCGTTGCATGGACTCTTGGCACTGCCAGCAACCTCCTCGACGCTCGTCGTCACCTTGAAGCTTGAGTCTTGACGCTGCCCTCGATCCTCTCTGCCTGGCTCCCGTCCTCGCCGCCCCGACGCCAACCCTTGCCCCGTCTTCTCTAATGCCGCCCACCGAGCCCAGCAGCAGGGAGCACAACTGCTCGGAACGGCCCGCGTCGCCACGTCGCCCACTTCACCCGTCTCGCCTGCGCCCCGCACCTCGCCCGTATCTCTATTCTCACCCCCGCCTCGTCCGTCTCGCCTGCCTGGCCCGTCTCACCCCCCTCGTCCGTCTCGCCTGTATCGCCCACCTCGCTCGCGTTACCCCGGATCTCACCCGTCTTGCACCGTCTTGCACCGTCTTGCACCGTCTTGCACCTGCCTGGCTTGCGTCACCTATCCCGCTCATGCTACCCACGTCCGTCGCCACCTCCGCGACGCCCGCGTCTTGCGCGCTTCTTGCCCCTCTGAGAGTACGTCTCGCACCTCGACCGCGTCCCCTGCGTTGACCACGTCGACTGCATCCCCTGTGTCACCCACCTCGCCCGCCTCGCCCGTGTCGCTCACCTCGCCCGCGTTGCCACGTTGCCCCCTCGCCCTCGCTTGCCTTGCTCACATCGCGCCTGCCGCCTCGCGCTTGCCTGCGTCAGTCTGGCCCGAGTCGCCACCTTGTCTGTCAATCCCGCTTCTCGCTCGTTGCCCTTCTCGCTCGTTGCCCATCTCGCTCGTTGCCCATCTCGCTCGTTGCCCATCTCGCTCGTTGCCCATCTCGCTCGTTGCTCGTCCCGCTCTCCTTGCCCATCCCATCCGCCTCGCCTGTCTCGCCCGCGTCGCACTCCCGTCTTGCGTCATCTATTCCACCCACTTCGTCCTCGTCGCCTGTGTCTCACCCCTGCGTCGACATGTGTCTCGCTCCTGAGTGGCTGCGCGACCCGCCTCGTTGGCCCACTTTGCCTGCGTCCACGTCGCCCTCGCCCCCACCCACGTCGCGTTGCGTGTGTCCGTGCCGCCCACATCGTCCACGTCGCCTCCCTCTCCCGCCTCTCCCATCTCGCGCCCGCGTCTGCATCATCCATGATGCTTACCTCACCCACCTCGCTCTTGCCTGTGTCACCCGTCTCGCCCGGGGAGGTGTTCAGTGTCTTTGTTTGTAGTCTACTGTGTACCTTGTAGTGTAATGAACACAAATATATTTGCTTCTCCTTCACGTTTGTGTGATCTATTGATTGCATTAGTCACTACTTCTTGATATCTCGACCTCCAAAATTGCAGTAGTTAGTCACTGGTTAGACCTGTGCTAGCTGTGTGTGTTTTGGCTAGACAGCAGTGTCCAGTGATAAGTGAAGTAATAGTTGCAGATAGATATATTATATGAGGGGCTCAAGCACTAGTATCCCTTTAGTATGTGTTAGAAGGTCCAAAACTCAGTAGTCCCATTAGTGAAGTGATAGCACTAGTATTATACATGATAGTACTAATTAGGATTTTGGGGTTTTCCAGATGTGCAAGTGAGGGTAAATGGCAGTAAGTAAGCACGATATGAGTTCTTTAAGGCTATGCGCTTCCTCTGCCGGCGAGCAGCGAAGCGAACTACTGCTACATGGGCCTGGCCCCACGAGGGATACGTTGTGTGTATATTATCTTGGTCACGCGTAAGGCCGTCCATTATGAAACAACTCCCGAAAGGGAATTCGGAATTGCGAAGCTGTGCGTGCTCGTCCGGAGTCCCTGCAGAAAATGCCGCTCCGTTCATCAAATCCCGACGTCGCCGCTGGCCGCGCACGCTCTCGAGCCTATCGGCAAAACCTCGCAGCTGTAGACGGGGACGTATAGAACAGCTAGTAGAGCATGTCTCCGTTCCCGGGGACGACGCCAAAGATCAAGATCGCGGCCGTCCACGCTTGACGGGCAAACAGAAGGCGAGCTGGTCCGCCATGCCTGGCGCGCTGCTCTGCGCAGCTTCAGAATGGAAGCTCGTGATCGCGACAGGATCGGCCGCCGCGCGTGAGTGCGGTGTCCCGTCTTCAAGACGCCTGCTGGGGCACTTCTTCTGGAGCTTCCGCCCTTCAAACACCCACACCCATTCCTTGGACGCGCACGAGAGAGTTTGGATTCTTTGCAAATTGCGACTTTGGGCAGGGGGGCCCGGCTCTGGCGGGAACGTTGACAGCGTCGACAGCAAGGAGCAGGTTTGGAGAGGAGCGGGGGGCGCAGCCTATGTTGACGTCGCGCAGCGCGCGCACGCGTTTGGGCCCAGAGAGATGAACGCAGCGCGCGCCGCGATCCTGGGTTCCCGCCGGGAACGTTGTGTCCGATGTGGCAGACGTCGAAATCGCTGTCGCGCATTGCAGCCATTATAGTCTATAGCCGTCCGCGCCCCGTCTGGCGGAACTTGCTGACAGGACGTTCCGATTCTTCCCGACCCACCCTAGGACAGGACACATCTGCAGCTCAGAGTCAGATTGAACGGGTGACTCTCGTCACGCATGTGCATGAACAAGAAGCACAGCCCACCTGCAGGTCCTGTTCAATAATCTCTCGAGCTCCACGGAGGCCAGGACGTTACTCCGCCCACACCGAGACCACAGAATACGGCGCACACGGATCGCCTCCAGCCCCGTCCTCCGATCGAGAACGAGATCTGGGATAATGGATTCGACTTCTGCGATCAGATCTTGCCTATTCTGGAGAGCTCGGATGCCCGAGCGAACTTTGCGGCGTCGGAGTGGGCGGGACGAGGAGCACGCACGCCCCACGAGGCAGCGGCCCCCGGGCGCCGTTCAACGTCCAACGTACCAACCCGAACGGTATCCAATTCGGGCGCTGCGGCCTGGCACTGAGAGGCTCCCATGAGTGTACGTACCAGGATTCGGAGGCGCTGATGCAGACGCTCCGGATCCTGCTCGGCCCGGTAGATATCATGTCTTGGGAGTACATGTAAATCGTGCCGCCATCGCGTTGTCCGTTGGGTGGAGCCGGAGTGGCCGTGAAGCGGGAAATCTGGAAGGCCACTCATACCAGACACAAGCGGCGTTACTTGGCATGAGTTGCATGAGAGACGTAGTCCGGAAATCATAGTACCTGAGCCAGGATTGGGGTGTCTGTGGCTGCTGGCATGGATGGCGGGCGAGAGATGAGTCCGAGCAAGCCGGAAAATGCTCCCCTGCCATGCCGAAAGGGGAGATACCGCGGTGACCGAAGCGGTCGAAGGCGCTCGCTGCGCTCATCGCTCACGAGTAAGAGAAGCCAGCAATGAGAACATGCATGATGATATGGAACACAGTTCGGCGTCGAAAGGGCGGTGCATGACATAGGACAGCACAAACAATAAAGGAACAACGCTGAGAGCGCGCGCAGCGCAGTGGAGTCTAAGTCTGCGCGCACGCTTCGGAAATTTCTATAGAGAACCTCCCTCCACCCCTACTGCGCGACATAACCGAGGGGCGGTACGGCATCCTCGCCTGCGACCGCCATCCCCCGGCAGTGGCGCTCGTCCACCAGTCCCGCGGCGCCTGGACGGGCGACCACGGGCGCCACGGGCGGACGCGCGTAGCCGCGATGGGTGTCTGTATTGATATTCGCGTCGGCGATCGCGATGCCCCGCTTCGCGGCGTCTCGCGGGACCACGACCGCGCGCGGGGGCCGGGTGGGCATCCGTGGCGCGGCCGTAGGCGCGTTCCGGGGGTGCCAGGCGTGCGCGCGCGCATGAGCGGTAGTCCTGGGGCGCGTCGCCCCGCGCTCCTCCGAGCAGGGGAGCGCGACGCGACGCACGCACGCGTCGGGGCGCGCGGGGGCTGTCGCCACGAGGTGAGATACCCTGGCACGGAGGCGGGGGTATGCGAGGAGGAACATGAGGCTGACGGCCGCGAGGAAGATGACTGGTGTGGAACGGTTAGCGTCTGGCAGGCGGGGAGGCAGGGACGGGGGTGGGATATTGAAGCGTTGGCTGAGGAGCGACGGACGGCGTGGAGAAAGAGTGCGCAGGGAACACTCACCTACTCCACCGACGATACTGCCAATCTCCTTTGGTGTAAGGCGAGTGCTCGTTTCCATCGACACAGTATTGGTGGTAGTGGTGTTCGCATTGTCCGTGAAGTCCTGTCGGGCGAAAGTGGTTGAAGTCAGAGGGCGTATAGCAACCAGATCCTGAGGCTCACATGAAGAGCGGGCATCGTGCCTTTGGATCGAAGTCACAGTCAACGCAAGCGTAGCAAGGCACGAGTACTTTAAGGGAAGGGAGGGGAATGGGGATACCCATATAATACCTGCGAGCTTAATGAGACGCGGCCAGGAGAGCAGGATGTCAAGAAGCGCACATTATGCGCGGTTTGCCCAAGAGCTCCTGCCCATGATGTGCCCCCGCGCCAGTGGACGTCAGACGCTCGGAAGGAGTGGCCGCCCATGGAACTCTGAGGATCATAGGCGCCCGCCCCGCCACGGATGGAAAGGGAGCGTGTATGCCATATGCCGGCGCCCCGGCTCAGGCGTGCTGCCGCGGATAAATCGGTAAGACATGCCCCACGAAGCGCGTCGTCCGGGGTTATAGACACCCGTCGTGCGGACAGTCGCCCGCAGCTCCCGCTTCTGCCGCGTCGTGCTCCATCATGCGCCCATCGGATCGTTCCGAGCGCGATTCTTCAAGCTTCAAGCGCGGACCCACGTAGGAGGTATAAGCGTTAGTGGCGCCGCGGAGACCGGTTCGCCTTCCTGCAGCGCCTCGAGGCGTACCAGAACCTCAACGCATCTATCACCAAGGATGACGGCGCTTTCGCGTTTGCAGACGCGCCGTCAGGGTAGCGCATGCGCGTCAGACGGAGAAAGCGCGCGATGGAGAATGGGACACGCACGAAGGGATAGGACCGCCCGGCGGCACTTGCGACGAGCACCCAAACAGAGGTGCGAACAGCCCGTAGATGCAGGCCCACATGCTGAGAACGTGCATCGAGTGTCACCGGTGTAGAAACGCCGCACCTGCACTACGTACACGGGATATGACCTCAAAAAAGACGCTTTTCGTGGGGCAAGCGCTTCGCGGCGTGCCCAGCGCCATGTGCTGAGCAGTACAGCAAACTCTTTCTGACAAGGGCTTTCTAATAGGGCGGCCCGACAAAAAAGGAACTCACCCTGTGCCCTGACGTCCTGTTTCCTCCTCCTCGTCCGAGGGGAACAGCGCTTCGAACCTTCAGGCGAGAAGCAAGCATTGTCGCCCGGGGTATGCCGCATGGACACGACGCATCGCATTAGCGTGCATGGGAGTGCGCAAGTTGCCGCCCGGGGTGCGCCGCATAGACACGATGCACGGCGCACTAGCGTGCATGGGAGTCCGCCACCGCCTCGGAAGCGTCAGTTTTGTTAACGCTGGGTAGATCATGGGTGAGAACAGCGATCCATCATGGACGTAACCTCCTACCGCTGGCAGAGTCGAGTGTACGCGCACACATAACGACCGAGTTGAGAGGAGGTGGAACGCGTGAGGCGAAAGTTGAACCGTGAGAGACTAGTTCGGCTCGACGCATCAGCGGACCCAGCGTCTAATTTGCCTCCCAACCACCAGCACTCTGCTGGCAGCGCTGAAGCTCAGACCGGGTTTGAACTGCCAAGGCAGCGGACGGATCAGTCCGACTCGCTCCCTAGGCCTAATAGGACGATGATCCTCTCTCTTCTATCTTCCGTAAGTGAGCAGATGAAACCATTCTCGACAGTTCCTGATACGTGTCTCCAGAATGTTCTCTGCGCGCGTATTCCTCGCGCTATCTGTGATAGAGCAATGAGATGAGACCCATTGCCCGGCCTTTCAAAACCTCCGATGATTGAGCCAACATCTGCTAGGCTGCCATGCAAGTACGTTATCTGTACATATCCTTCCGACCTTCGACCCCATGCTCATCGCACCCATTGTCGCAGGAAGAAGCGCGCTGTGGGACAACTTCAAGCGGGAGATCAGAACGCCGGGGCGCCGGGTCTGCCAGAGAGGCAACGATAGAACCCGATCGAGCCTGGTCTTTGGCGTTCCGCACAGACTGCGATCTCGTACAGCAGCGCTCCCAGCACCGTCGTGCTCCGGGCAGAACGCCTCGCGCGTAGCCTATCCGCCTCCTGCCCGTGCGGCGGCCGCCTTTCGGACGTCAGCTCCTTCCGCTTTGCCCCCGCTCACGTCGAGCACCCCGCCCGAGCTGTAGTAGGGTTCCCGTCTGCCGCGCACGCCTTGCTGTCGCCACCGATCGTCCCTCGCTCACACGCTGCAGGGTGCTCCCCGTTCCGAGCCTCGCGACCCTTCCTCACCCTCCTGCCGCCTGATCCGCCTGCCATCGGGGACCCCTCCGACAGGCAATTCCTGTCCCGCGTCGGGCCAACAGGCCTCTCCCCGCCTCATCGCCGCCGCTCCCACTGCGCTTCTGTCCACGGGATCGTAATCAAGACAGAGTCGATACCGGCGGGTGGCATTGATTGCAGGCTCGCGAGCCGCCCGGCCGCGCATCGGACGCCCTCTGCACCCCGGGCACGCTTCCTGCACACGCCCGACGCCCACCGAGATGTGGTTCCGCGACCAACGCATTAATGCCGCGTCCGCGCTCCGGGATGCTCAGCCCAAGCCTGTCGACCTCGGGACTTGTTCGGGCCGCGATGACGGTGTCGCCCACCGTTGTCCGCAATGTTTGGGATGGGCCGAGCACGTACTACCACCGGGGTTAGGAGCGGCTGCGCCGAAGCGCCCCGTTGCGGGTCGCAAGCTTCGCTCGCCGCGCCATCACACTGCAGCGCGCGCGCGCGCGCGCACGGGTCTCCGCCGCAGAGGAACACGTAACGAACCTCGTCTTTTTCCACTGGGTCAGGCAACGCGAGCCCATGCGAACATGATGCATGACCAGGACGGGAAAAAAAACGGCTTCGGCCGCGCGCCGCACACATGCATGCACGCACGCATGTCCTCGGCGCTCGCAGGGTCGCCGTGGACCGTGGTTGTGGGACAGTGGTGGGGGATCGAAGCAGTGCTGCCAGTCCAACACAGGTACAGGCTTATGGAATTCGGAAACCGCGCCGTACCGTACTAATATCTCCTTCACGGTTTTGGCACAGATTGTGTATATCTTCCAAAGGTTCTCCAGCTCCGTCGTCACGCGTCACGCCTTGCTAACCCCATCGGAGTACAGGTGGTGGAAACAATTGCCTTGCACGGCCTCGACGTACTTAATTAGGGCCCGATGGACGGACTTGCCGCCGACGTCGGCGGATAATAGGGTTCACTATGTGCAAGGCTCGCGAAAGGAGCGGTGCATTTATTGATTGTTCAATGCCGCCGGCTGCCTAAAATAAGAATCCCAATGACCAGCTCAGGCAGAATTGGGTCTGGGGGTGGCTAGAAGCGACACAACAGGCCAAATGAGGGACTGTGCCCAGGCCCCAGGCCTCAAGGCCTCAGGCCCAGGCCCTAGGGCTTGTTGTGCAGCACCTGCGTGCAATGAACGGGTGTGGCGGGCACAGACCGGGCGTAGAAAGTCGTCGGGCGCGTCTCAAGATTCGCAGGTGTACTTCGGGGCGGACATGAAAGAAGATGGTGGGTGTCATACGTGGCCCCTGCGCCTAGGAAGAGATCCAGACTCAGTCGAACAATACAACAGCCGCCTCACAGCTTCGCAGAAGGCGCCTTCTGCCGCTCCTCGTGCCTCTCCACGAGCACGCGACGCAGCACTTTGCCTGTTGGGTTCTTCGGAATCTGCATCGCCCACCACACTCAGCAGTCGGGACGGAGCGCCACAGGAAAGAAGACGCGGCACGCACCTCATCGACGACCTCGACCCCCCCGCGCAGCCACTTGAACCGACTGAGGCTCTGCCGGACCCACACGTCCAGCGCGCGCACGGCCGCGGCGGCCCCGCGCCGCCGCCCCTCCGAGCTCAGCACGACCCACGCGCGCGGCACCCTCTCGTCCGCGAGCCGCGCGCCAGCGACGCCTGCGACCGCGACGTCCGCGACGAGCCGGTCCGGGTGCGCGAAGAGGACAGTCTCGAGCTCGGTGGGCGAGACCTGCTGGCCGGAGACCTTGAGGGTGTCCTTGACGCGCTCGACGAAGCTGTGCCGCCGCTCGGGTCAGCGAAAGAACAACGGAGACGGACGGGACGGACGTACAAGAAGTGCTGGTCCGCGTCGACGCGGATCCGGTCCCCGGTGCGCAGCCAGCCGCCGCCGGTGAAGGTCTCCGCCGTCGAGCGCGCGTCGCCCCAGTAGCCGAGCGCGACGACGTCCCCGCGCACCCAGAGCTCGCCCGGCTCGTCTGGGCCCGCGAGCGCGCCGTCGTCGCGGACGATGCGGGCCTCCAGCCCGGGCACGAGGATCCCGGGGCTGCCGGACTTGGGCCCCCCCAGCTTCTCGGGGCATATGCGAGTGATGGAGAGCGTCTGCGGAGAAGAACGAGTGCGGGTCGGCGGCGGGTCGGAGACGAGGCAGTACAGTACAGCGAGCGGAGACGCACGGTTTCAGACATGCCGTAGCCCTCGACGAGCTTCGCGTTCTTCGCGAGCCCGGTGAAGACCCGCGCGAGCTGCGGAGGCAGGTACGACGCCCCGCTCCCGAGGTTGATCACAGAGCTGAGGTCGGCCGTGTTCCCGCGCGGGTGGTTCAAGAGGTGCAAGATTGCCGGTGGGGTCAGGTACAGCACGTTTATGCGGTGGCTGTCCGTGGGGTAAGCTAGCGATCGTCGCGGGGCGCAGGTCCGGAACGTACCGAGGAATGAGGTCGAACACGAGGGCTGGATCCCAGCGCGGCAGGAGCACGGTGGTGGAGACCACAGCCTGGGCAAAAACCCGAGGACGATCGCGTGGTTCATCTCAGAACGCCACGAGAGACGTCCTCGGACCTTGAATACTTTATGGCATGAGCGTTTTCTGTCGGGCACTATAGGCCTCCTGCCCGTCCTTTGTCTGTTCTCTGGGAGGACATGCAAAGTTCAAACTACCTCACTGACCTCTACCCAAGCCCTTTGCCCTCGTGGCAGCTACGGCGGCAAAACCGGCCCGGGATGACCAACGGCCCTCTCGGGAAGAACCGGAGCGATGCCCCCGTCGACTGAGCCGTTCACCTTCTCCGGCATGCAGCGCGCAGTAGTCTCCCCTAGGCCAACCTTCTGACGACGAGCACGCGGAGGGTACCGACCTAACCCGAAAAACATCACTCCACAGCTGCGAGAACCTGGCGCCCAGGGCGTCCCATGCACATATGCGGGCTCCATCGCGACAATCTGCGAGAGCCCATCATCCACGGTTCATCGGATGGATGTGGCCGCCGCGGGACGTGGTGCGGGGCGCGGACGCGCTTTCCATCGAGCTGGACGTGCGCGTCCGTCCATGTGCGCGTCCGGCCGCCGAGCGCACGTTGGGACGGGGGTGAGGAGGGACGAGGGGCAAGAGAGCGTCGAGGGGATACGCGGGGCGGGCCACGGCGGTCGCGCGATGCGATTTGGTCCGTCTCACAGGCACCATGTACGCATGCGCACCAATCGATCCGGCGGTCGTCTCGCTCATGTCCGAGCACGGATTCGCGCGTCCGGCGGCGCGTGGTTGTGCGGACGAACGTTGCTGAAGCGCCAGACTCTCTCGAGCCGTGCAGTCGAGATGTAAGTAGATGTGCAGGCGACGTGAGCCCTCGGAGCGCAACTGTGGAGAGTGCTTCCGAGCCATCGGGCCTTGCGGGTCTGCCGATTTTGTGGTCAGGCTGTGCACCAGAACGTGCAGCCGCCGCATGGCCGGTACAGGAAAGGAAGGTACCCCTCGCCGGCCCTCGGCCTTGCAGGAGTCCAGCACCTTCGTTTCCGGCTGGCGGCATAGGCGACGGAAGAGCGCAGACTCAGACGTAGGCGCGTCGTCGTCCGAGCAGACGGAAGGTAGGGAAAGCAAAGCATTGATTGCAACGATTGAAGAGCACTTGAACAAGACAGAACAGAGCATCACAACAAGCAACTGCCGTGAGTAGACTAGGGATACACGCGCGAGACTGTAAAGCTGTAAGCCGGGATACGAGGAGAGGCATCGTCGAGGTTATCTAGCACGGTGGGTACGGGAACGGGGCGCGAGGGTACGGTGCACGTCTCGCATCAAGCGTCGACGCCATGAAGGGAGGAAGGGATGGGTACACGGGAGCCCGGAGGAGAGGGCATCCTCCCCTTGCTCACATGCAGGACGCGTGAACAGGGGAAGAAACACTCGCCGCCGCGGGAGGCAGCAGAGGCGCATCGGAGTGCCCGCTGTCCGAGGTGCCGTAGCCAGAGCTGCTGCCCAACGAGCGGACGCTCAGCGGCGAGGCAGGGCGCTGAGTAGAAGTGCGGGCGTCGGAGGAAGGCGGCAGTGGGGCGGCGACGGGGCGCGCGACGCCAACGGTGCGGGTCGCACGTGGAGCAGAGATCGGGCGCAGGGCCGTTTGGGCGGTACGTGGAAAAGGACGATGGTAGATCGGGCGGCCAGGGCGGCTGGCGCGAGCGCGCGAGGGAGTGTGGAGGGCAGCGAAGAGCCAGGTGCATGCGGCGGAGGGGGCGGGGAGAATCCACACGCCCCAGTTGACTCGGACGACCAAGACAACGAAGGCGATGAAGAGTACTAAGAGCGCGAAGGGGTATCACGGTCGGTACGGGCTCGGACGGAGGTGCTCAAGGAGGTGACTCACGGCTAATGCTAGACAAGCCGATGGTCATGCTGGTGGACAGAGAGCCGGAAGCTCCGTCGGAAATGGAGGCCGTGGCGTCGCGGAAAACGGGGGCCATGATGAGGATGATGGTGGGCAGCTGCCTGGACTGTGTTGGGGAGCACTCCGGCGGTCAGCGCCGGTAGAAGATGTGCAAAGAGTGAGGGCAACTTACACAGGGGAATAGTGCAGTGCCGTGGAGACTGTGGCCCGGAGCAAAGTTGGGAAGTACGATGGTGTGGGGGCGGAGGGACGAGGGATGGAATGAGGGCAAGATGCTTGGGGAGTTATATATGACGAGTAGTACGGAGCGCTGAGCTTATGAGGGGACTGCGGACGCGCGAACGCGTCGACGTCGCGGGTCTCTCGTGTTGTGGGCATCCTGCACAGGCCTCGTCGAAACTGTCGCAGCCCGTTAATCAACGGTGCGTGACAAAGCCTGGAAAGTGGCGTCACCTCTATGCTTCCTCGAAACGGGTCGGCACATGGCGCCACGAGGGGTGTGTGTGCGAATTTAATCTTGAAAATTTGAACGACCGCTCATGACACAGTAGCGACCTGTGAGTACGTCAGGTATTGCGAAGCTGTGCGTGCTCCTCCCGAGTTCCTGCACAAACACACGCAGCAGAGCGTGTCACCCTTCGGGACGACGCGATCGCGGGCGCCACTGCAGGGCTGCTCCGTGAAGGTTTAGCGGATGTACGCAGTTGCTTGCGTAGCGCGCGCCAGCAGAACTGCCGAGATGGTTCCCGGGAAGGTGTCTGTGACAGACGTCAAAATCACCCATTGCCGTCTGCACCCCGTCTGGCGGAACTTGGTGACAGGACGCCCGGATTATGCCTGAATCCAACCTGACTCGCCCTAGGATAGCACACATCAGCTCAGAGCCAGATACGGGCGCACATGAACGCTTGAACAGGAGGTACAACCCACCTGCATGTTCTGAGTACTACTCTCTCGAGCCCCACGGAGACCCGGACGTTACTCAGCACTTACCGACCGACCACAGAACGGGGCGCAGACACGGATTACCTGCAGCCACGTTTTCCGAGAACGAGATCTGGGTCTTGACTTCTGCGATATTAGTACTCACTCTGGAGCACCCGGGTGCCACAGCAAATGCGGCGTCGGCGTGGGTAGCACGCGCGCCCCGCCCCGCGGGTGCGAGGCGGCGCCGTTCCTGAGAAAATGGCGTTACGATTCTGTGTAGAACTGGGCCCGGGAGATATCATCTCTTGGGACTACATGTGAATCGTGTCGCATCGCGGTGTTCGTAGCGGCTGCCGTGAAGCGGGAAATGTGGAAAGCTACTACTAGACCCTGGAGGCGGTGGTATGAGCTGCATGAGGAACATACTCCAGAAATCATACCTGAGCTGGGCTTGGCGTTGGGGTGTCTGTGAGCTGCATGACGAGGCGCGTCAACACGCGTTCTCACCAGCGGCGCTTCTCCGATGCCGTTGTAAGCGCCAATTAGGCGGTGACTGGAACGCTCGAAGGCGTTTGCCGCGCATGAGAAATTTTAAAAGAGTACATTTCTAGCAGCGAAGAAGTTGTGCATGGAACGGCATAAAAAATAAGAGGACAACGCTGAAAAGCGTCTGCAGCGCAGTGTCCTCATCTCCGCGTGCCTTGGAAACCTGTGCCCCTGCTCACCGCGCAGCGCGGCGTAACCGAGGGGCGGTACTTACGGCAATCTTCCCACCTGCGCGGGCGGGGCGTGCCGAACCTATTTACGCATGAGTAAGCACTGGCGAGCGTGTCTAGATGCACGGAGATGGACGGCCGCCGTTGACCCTGGCACGAAGGCGAGAGTATGCCAGGATGTTGCTGAGGCCTGCTGACGGCCGCGAGGAAGATGGCTGGTATGGAATGGTCGGCGTCTGGCCGGCTGTGAGACGGGAACGAGAGTGAGATATTCGAGTGTTGGAGGAGCGACGGACGGTGTGGAGAAAGAGTGCGCAGCGAGCAACGATAGACATAGTATGGGTGGTAGTGGTGTTAGCAATGTCCGTGACGTCCTGTCAGGTGAAAGTCGTTGCAGTCAGAGATCGTATATCAGCCAGATTCTGGGACTTGGGGGAGGTACTTGCCCGTGTAATGATTGCGGACTTGGTGAGATGTGGTCAGGATAGTGGAACGTCAAGAAGCGCTCTTTGTGCGCGATTTGTTCGAGGTCTGCTCCACAAGGCTCCACAGCGCCTGCGGACGATGTGCCACAGACGCTTGCGGAAGGAAGGGAGTAAGTAGAACGTTGAAGGCCTGAAGGCCTGACAGCTATCTCCACTTTTCGTCAACGCAGCGATCGACGGCCTCCGGCCGACGCTTAGCACGCTTAGTGCTTCCGACACCCCGCGGGTCGGATCGAGCCCACGCTGTCGGACAGCTCGGCGCGCGCACAGCTCTGCCCGAATCTGCGGCAGACAATGGTGAGTGCTTGAGCACGACAGGCACGAGAGTTGTCGCGCGTCCTTGGAGTGAACCTGCCGCGGGACGCCTGACTAGAGCGTATTAGCAGCAGGGCGCCTAATGGCGCCAAACGCGAGATTCGAGCCCGTAGCGCCTCGCGGTGGAGGAGGAGGAGGAGGTTGGTGACTTCAGTCCAGGGGTCTGTTGTAACTGTAACGCGTTACTCTCGGACAAGCGCCATCCAGGTTATGTCGTTACAGAACTTATCTGTGTCTACGACTTCTGATCACCCATGATGTTCGTTCAATGCTACTTACATCCACCCAACGTCGTTGAGCCAGGACTACTCGTGGTCGGAGTCGCGGGGAGGCGTGACAACGACTTATGGGGGCGTGATGAGCGTCTGTCTGGGGTGACAAGGAGCACGCGCGGTACTTACGAGAGCCATGGGCGCCGGATCCATGGTCGTGCGCTGCTAAACGCTCTACTACTCCGAGCGCAGGCCACGCTCCGCCCGGAAAGCGGCGCGCCTGTGGCCACGAACACGAGACTTTCGAAGGGTGCCTATGTAGAAGCAGGACGCTATACAGCCCGGCGCATCTGAGCCTGGATCCGACGCTGGAGACGCACGCGTTTCCTGTTGACTAGCCCTCCCTCAGACGGTCATCTGAGTCGGTCAACCGGTCAGCCTCACCCGCGTCGGGCCCAGGTCGCTCAAGCGCTCACATCGACAACCAGGGCCTTCTCCCCGCTTCGCCGCGCCCGGCCGGAGCATCTCTGAGAGAACACTCGCGGACGCGGCATTGCGTCAGTCGCGGAACTACATCTCGGCTACAGGTCGCAAGCCTCGCCCGCTGCACCCCTCACATGTACAGCGCGCGCGGATGTCCGCCGTAGTGAAAGACGTAACGGGCCTCGTCACCGTGCACTGGGTCGGGCAACTCGAACCAAGACAGCGGTGGGTTGAAGCAATGCGACACAGGTACAGTCTTATGGAATTCGGAGACCGTGCCGTGTTGACGTCCCCTCTGTTTTTGCAAGGACTGTGTACCACGTCTGGATCCGAGGGTTCTCCAGCTCCGTCGTCACGCGTCACGCGTTGCTGACCGCACCAGAGTAAGTACTAGTGCTGGTGGTGTAAACAATTGCCTTGCACGGCCTCGACGTACTTGGGGCGGACATGAAAGAAGATGGTGGGTATCATATGTGGCTTCTGCGCCCAGGAAGAGGTCCAAACTCAGTCGAACAATACAACAGCCGTCTCACAGCTTTGCAGAAGGCGCCTTCTGCCGCTCCTCGTACCGCTGCACCAGCACGCGACGCAGCACTTTGCCCGTCGGGTTCTTCGGAATCTGCATCGCCCACCACACTCAGCACTCGGGACGGGACACCACGGGAAGGAAGACGGGGAACGCACCTCGTCGACGACCTCGATCCCCCCGCGCAGCCACTTGAACCGACTGAGGCTCTGCCGGACCCACGCGTCCAGCGCGCGCACGGCCGCGGCGGCCCCGTGCCGCCGCCCCTCCTCGCTCAGCACGACCCATGCGCGCGGCACCCTCTCGTCCGCGAGCCGCGCGCCCGCGACGCCCGCGACCGCGACGTCCGCGACGAGTCGGTCCGGGTGCGCGAAGAGGACGGCCTCGAGCTCAGTGGGCGAGACCTGCTGGCCGGAAACCTTGAGGGTGTCCTTGACGCGCTCGACGAAGCTGTGCCACCGCTCGGGTCAGCGAAAGAACGACGGAGAAGGACGGGACGACAGGACGGGGGACGTACAAGAAGTGCTGGTCCGCGTCGACGCGGATCCGGTCCCCGGTGCGCAGCCAGCCGCCGCCGGTGAAGGTCTCCGCCGTCGAGCGCGCGTCGCCCCAGTAGCCGAGCGCGACGACGTCCCCGCGCACCCAGAGCTCGCCCGGCTCGTCTGGGCCCACGAGCGTGCCGTCGTCGCGGACGATGCGGGCCTCCAGCCCGGGCACGAGGATCCCGGGGCTGCCGGACTTGGGGCCCCCCAGCTTCTCGGGGCATGGGCGGGTGATGGAGAGCGTCTGTGGGGAAGAACGAGTGCGGGTCGGCGGCGGGTCGGAGACGAGGCAGTACAGTACAGCGAGCGGAGACGCACGGTTTCAGACATGCCGTAGCCCTCGACGAGCTTCGCGTTCTTCGCGAGCCCGGTAAAGATCCGCGCAAGCTGCGGAGGCAGGTACGACGCCCCGCTCCCGAGGTTGATCACAGAGCTGAGGTCGGCTGTCTTCACGCGCGGGTGGTTCAAGAGGTGCAAGATTGCCGGCGGGGTCAGGTACAGCACGTTTATGCGGTGGCTGTCCGTGGGGTAAGCTAGCGATCGTCGCGGGGCGCAGGTCCGGAACGTACCGAGGAATGAGGTCGAACACGAGGGCTGGATCCCAGCGCGGCAGGAGCACGGTGGTGGAGACCGACGCCTGAGGCTGGATGCAGAGGCAGTGAAGACCATAGCTGTGGTAGATGGGTAAAAAGCCGAGGGCGATCGCGTGGTTCGTCTAAGAAAGCCATGAGAGATATCCTCGGACCAATACTTTATGACATGAGCGCTTTTCTCTCAGGCACCAGGCTTCCTGCCCGTCCTCTGTCTGTTCTTGGGGAGGAAAAGCAAACTTCGACGCATTTACCCTCTTGATATTCTCTTTGCGTCAAATTAGGTTGCTTGACCTCCCGAAGAACAAGCAATTGGCAGGGTGCCTTGCACGTGAACGTCGCATGCCTAGGAATCTCCCCACGTCAGAGATGTAATTCACGACTTACCGCGAAATACGGGTGTGGTCCGTCAAACGCTACGGCCCACGCTGCTGTCACCATCTTCGCTATCACATTCTTGTGCGATATCATCACCGCTGACAAGCCGCCCGTCAGCAGAGGCTCAGCCACGCAGGCGACACGCACCTTTCGGCAGCCCGCCCGTCCCGCTGGAAAACACCAAGTAGAGCAGCGTGTCGTCCGTGACCGGCGTCGACGACACCGCGGGCATGTCCCGGTAGCGGACCTCGTCGACCGCGGACATGAAGTCCGGACGGTTGCTCGAGAGCTGCCCCGTGAGGACGACGACGCGGGTCTGTGGCAGGCCCACTTTCTCCGCGGCCCCGAGGGCGGTGGCGAGGGAGCTCGCGTGCACGAACAGGCGCGTGGCGTTGGAGGTGCGGAGGAAGTGCTCGAGCTCGAACGGCGTCGCGCCGGAGGGGACGAGCACGAGGGGGATCGCGGTCTTGAAGAGGGCGTGCACGAGGATGATGTATTCCTGCGAGAGTTTTGCTCAGAAACAGGGACAACGTCGACCTCCCAGCACCAAGGGTTCAGCAGCACATTCTCAGGACGAGCCGAGCCCGATCATTGCGCACCCTCTGCCACGACGCTCGAACCTGAAGAGACTCACCACACAGTTGGTGCTCATCACCGCGACGCGCTCTCCCCCGAGCGCGATCCCGAACCCGCCCTCCGCCTCCGGCGCGACGAGCGCGGTCGCGGCGTCGCGCACGCCGTCCCGGACCTCGTTCCTCGTCCACTCCCGCCCGGAGAGCGGCTCGACGAACTGCACCCAGTCTTCCGCCCGCTGCTGCGCCGGCGTCGTGGCGAGGAAGTCGTGCACGTTCATCACGGGCGTCGGCGGCGGCGGCGGGTAGAGCGAGGTGTAGTGCATGTTCGGAGGGCTCGTTCGACGTGCCGGTGCTGGTGAGCGGGTTTTAGATGCAGAAGAGGTTGCAGGCGGACGGGCTTGAAGCTTGAGCTTGAAGCTTGAAGGTGCGGCGGGACGACGATGGAGACGGGCAAGAGGTGGCCGGACTGGCCCATTCGTGCCGGGAGAAGCGCACTGTCTCCGAGTCTCCGCCGGCTGGGAACTCATGTACCCCCCGCGTGGGAGGATGAGGCCTTGAGGTGGGGGGCATGACCGTACGGAGCACTGAGATCCGAGACGTGATTGAATACCGCGCAGGAAGTTGGAACCGCAGAAGCAAGAAAACCAAGGCGAGGCCGGAAGATCAGGAGCAGATGCGCGAAGTTGACCACAACCCGAGGCTGAGTTGAGACCCAGACTGCAGAGCCTCGAGAGCATCACGTGTCCAGCCTTCCAGAGTCGAAAGATCCGATCGCCTCGGCTTTTGTCTTCGGCCCAGGAGCGAGAAATAACTTGAGGCAATCCTCTACAGATGATCCTGAACGTATTCGCGGCACATTCGATGGGAAATAACATACAGCGCACGATACATGTCTAATAACACAGATGCCCAATGGTACCTCTATGGCGGATATAACAAGAGCAGAGCAAGAGCGCACTCGGGCCACTCACTCCTCAAGCCCCTCCTCCTCCTCCGAAATCAACCGCTCCGCCTCGAGCGCCGCCATGCAGCCCGTGCCCGCCGAGGTGATCGCCTGGCGGTACCGCTTGTCCTGGACGTCGCCCGCGGCGTACACGCCCTTCACGCTCGTCTGCGTCGTACCCGGCACGGTGACGATGTACCCGTCGATGTCCGTCTGGAGCTGGCCGCGGACGAGCTGCGTCGCGGGCTCGTGGCCGATCGCGTAGAAGAGGCCGTTCACGGGCAGGTCCTTCTCCTCCCCGTCTGCACGTTCTTGATCCGCAGGTTGTTCAGCAGGTCGCCGTCCCCCTGGCACTCCGTCGCGACCGTGTTCCAGAGGATGGTGACCTTCGGGTGCGACATGAGCCGCTTCGCCATGATCTTGGACGCGCGGAGCTCCCCGCGGCGGACGAGCACGTAGACGTGCGAGCCGTACTTGGTCAGGTCTATCGGTCAGGTAGAGGGGGGGGGAGCGATCCTGTCAGGAACCGCGCAGGTACACGCAAATAGCAAGGAGAGACTCACAGGTCGCCTCCTCTGCCGCCGAATCGCCGCCGCCGATGACCGCGAGCGGCTTATTCCGGAAGATGGGCACCGCGCCGTCGCACACCGCGCACGCGGAGATGCCGGACTGCCAGTACGTCTCCTCGCCCTGGAGGTGGAGCCGCTTCGCGGACGCGCCCGTCGCGAGGATGAGCACGTCCGCCGTCTCCGGCTCCTGGTCCTCCTGGAACTCGCGCCAGTACCGGAACGGCCGCGCGGAGAGGTCCACCTTCGCCACCGTCTCGGTGATCACCTTCGTCCCGAAGCGGAGCGACTGGGCGCGGAACTTGTCCATGAGCTCGGGCCCGAGGATCCCAGATGCGAAGCCGGGGAAGTTCTCGACTGCACAGGGGTGGCGAGGGAGAGGTTATGAGGGACGCGAGAATGTGGGACACAGCGAGGGACGCACCATCGGTCGTCGTCGTGAGCTGACCGCCCGCAGCAAAGCCGTTCGCCATGAAGCCCTCGAAGAGAACGGGGTCGAGGTTCGCACGCGCGAGGTAGATGGCCGCAGTGTGGCCAGCAGGGCCGGATCCGATGATGACCTGGCAATAAAGTCAGGAATCTGTACGCCCGTGAGGTGGAGACGTTGGACGTACCACTTTTGAGTGCATCTTCGTGCTCTTGGGGACGGTGGCTTCGCCGGTGGGGGCCATTTTATCGTTAAGTGGAGGAGATAGGAGAGTAGAGAGGGTGGGAGCAGGCGGGGGGAGGGGAAATGAGGAAGCTGCCACCGAGGCGTGGCGAGAACTTATAACAGTTCATCGTTGCGGTCACGGTACGATATCACTTTCTTGACCAAGCTCGACGGCGCTCGTCACGTGGCCTGCAAAGCCGCCTCGGGGCTGACCAAGACCCGTCGCGCGATTCGCGCGCGCCGCAGAGGGCGCTGCAGCACCGGCGGTCTGCTCATGTGCGCGAGCGGAGGACCAGTCGCGGCGCGACTGTTGGGCAGAGCATTACGGAGCGGGTGCGGCGCATCACACGAATTCCAAATGCGTGCGCCAGAGGCGACACGACGCAATCGCAGCGTGCGGAATACACAGAACACATCTGTCCACCCTACGGGCCAATCCCAGGGCCGGGTTCTACACGACGTCGCTACGGGGGCCCGGGGCGGTGTCAGAAATGTGGATTACTCTCCATGTCACATGCCCAACCACGAGCCGCGTTGACCAAGCTAGTAGTTGAAGCTATGGAACGCCAAACAGGCGCGGCTTCCTGTCCTCCCGGAACGTCGAACTCGTCCCCGCCCGCGCAAAGTCTGGCCGCGCGACGCCCGCGAGCGCACGCACCAACGTCTCCGCGTCCGCGCGCACGTCCGCCGCCGTGAGCCGGTACCGCTTCGGTGTGACCCCCTTCCCGAACGTCCGCGTCACGTGGTTCGCGCACAGGAGCGCGACGGCGACGTTGAGGATGTGCAGCGGCACGACGCCGAACGCCCCGCCCCACAGCGCCGCGAGCGCCGCGCGCTCGACCCGCCACAGCGCGCCCTTGCAGCCGGGGAGCGCCGCGCGCGCGTAGCAGCGCGGGCTCGCGGCGGCGTCGTGCGCGGCGCTGAGGAAGCCGCAGCAGCCGAGCGCGTCCTGGACCGTCCGCCGGCCGCGCGTGGTGTAGTACTGCGACCAGGCGAGGGAGAGCTTGCGGTCGAGCGCGAACGCGTAGCGCTTGTAGGTGGGGTAGCCGAGCGCGAGGATGGCGCCGAAGGCGGGCCAGAGCAGGAGCGCGTACACGGCGAGGAGCGGGCGCGAGTTGAGGAGCGTGCCCGCGAGGCCGATGAGCGCGGTGAGAAGGAGGATGGAGGAGGCGAGGGTGAGGAGCACGAGGAGGTCGTAGTCGGCGACGTACGTCACGTCGGCGTACTGGTAGGCTGGAAGAACGTGTCAGACGTGCTAGATGAGCTGGAGGTTCGTGGACATACTGCGAAACCAGGTCATGAGAGCGCACACGAGGCCCACGCCTCCGTATCCGAAGACGGTCAGGACGGAGAAGAGGAGGAACCACTTGGAGGCCGTCCAGCGACCGACGCGCTCGACACCTAACCCTGCACCTTCTTCAGCCAAGTCTGGTGGCAGGTTGCCCGATTTTGAAAACCCGCGGAGGCGAGGGAACTTGTGCGTGAACTTGTCTACGGTGCCGAACGAGCGAGCGAGCACCATTCGCTTGTCTTTGAACGCGGCTGGGATGGGCTGATGACCGGGTGAAGGGAGCAGGTGCTGCTTGTCTGTTGACTGTGTCGAGGTGCTGGCTTCCGAGGCGTAGGAGTAAGTCGATTCAGAAGGGGAACGGCGTCGGCGATGAGCAGTCGAGAAGTAAGACGTCGCCTCCCGTGTCATTTGGCTATAGTCGGGAGGGTAGGTTGGGGTGGGGAGCCGTGAGACTGCAGTGAAGTGGACAGAGTCATCCTGATCGCTGTAGTCCGACCGCGTGGATTCTCGAGATGGGGTGGGCAGCGTATAGTAGTCGTCGGCTTCCTCCGATTCGTGTATTGGAATAGGTGTGAGCGAGGGAGAGAGGTAGGTGGAGCTTGTAGTCGACGGCTTGACTAGCACAACAGTGGGGCGTGCATCTTCTGAATGTGCAGGAACTTGGTCGAGACGAAAGACGCCTGAGCGACGCCGAAGGGATCGATCGTGCCGGGCACTCGAAGTCGAGGGCGACCCGTGGATCATGGCGAGAGACACGGAGACAAGTGCATCTTCAGGTCTCGATTTGAATTGAGGCCCGAACGTGCGTGCCAGCCTCCACATGAAGCAGCCCGGCTGACCGGGAGGAGGGCCATGATTCGGTCAGGATTTGAGCAGCTTGGGTGGCTGAGATCCTACAATCATTCAAAATGATGAGTGGGTATGAATCTCGGAAGAGTGTATACCGATCTCTGCTTGGCTGGTCTTTCTGTTCATCTGAACGAAGGGTCGGGTACCTTGTGTATTGAAGGATCCGAGGATGAAGAAAAGAGTGACAAATGAGATAGTGAGAGAGGATATGATGGCATAGGCTACTACGGAATAGAGACTAGGCTGAGATGCGTGCGACAATGCGAGTAAGCGGGATAAGCAAAGGTCCGTCTGGCTGTAGTCCGTTCGCAAGAGAAGTATCGAAGAAGGGGCAAAAAGAGTGAGAAGGGGCCGAGAGGATCAGACCGAGTTCAACGGAAGCTGGATGGGGCAGTCAGCCTCTGTGACTTGGGTCGACGTGCTGTGTGTGCCGATGAGTCCAGAAATCTTCATATCAAGGATGAGTCGGAATTGAACGGCTGAAGGGGATTATAATGAGAAGCGTGCTAGGTATACATGGCTGATCACGAACCTGGTCGCTTGTTGTCGGTATAAATTGCCTTGTTCTTGCAGGCGGCGTACCAGTTGTTCCCTACATGCACAGTCAGAGACGACGAGGGATGCGAGTGGGGGAACGCACAGGTGGTGTCCGAGTCGTTCACTGCCGAGTACGTGAAGTTGAGGTTAAGCCCAATGACAGGAAGCGATTTGGCAGGAAGCGTCAAGGAGCCCGTGTCGCCACTCGCTACCTGAACACTGGTCTCGAGATCGTATAAGGAGCCGTGAATGTTGGAGAAGTGCAGAGGAAGGAAGTTATCGCCGGTGTCCAGCTGCAACTTCATGAGGCCCGGGAAGGAGAAGTTTGCAGGAGAGCGGCTGAACTCCGTCGTCACGGTCTTGTTGTAATCGGATGTTGCAGGAGAGAGGGGTTGGGAGACGTTCGTGCTGAAGCTCGGTACCCGGGGATGGTGAATACCAGGATGAGAGCGATGCTACCAACAGGTCAGAAAACAAGTTGGTTCAAAGGGCCGAAGAGGGACGTACACAGCGATCAATCCGAAGATGAACCATGCCGTGAATCTCCTCGTGAAGTGGGACCCGCACAGTCCCGACTCTCCTCGATTCCACGCCTTCCACTTTGTCGCCGCCTTGTCAAGTTTTTCCTCCCTTTTTGCTTTCTTTGACATTCCCCGCAGCTCTTCCGCCTTCCACTCAGCCCGAGAGCGGGCACAGTGACCATCTCCACATTTCCGGCGGCTCCGTGGGCACCGCTGAGGGACGCCGCGGATTGCTTGCCGTATCTGCTGCGCCGTGAGTGAAAACGCTGTCATGGTCAGATCGACAGTACGTACGCAGACGTCTGGGGGCTATATGGTGTGGGCGAGGGCACCTGGCGGTACCTGCCCAAACATGAACATTGTAGAAAGTAAAGAGTGGCCACATGAACGTACCCGTTGTCACCCATACCAAACGCTGCCGAATACCTCGGTCCAGCGTTGTTGAAGTCCGCGTAGACATCCCATGCCGCCTCTTCGTCTCCACCCTTCACTGGCTCCGTGCGTCCCTGATCTGGGTACGAGTGCTGGTTATACCCGGCTGTTGCGGCGTCGTACATATCGGCGCGAGAGTTGCGGTTGGGTCCATAAAACGAGTTGGTGGACTCGACCCGTGCGCGCTGCTGGCCGGCTGGGGGTGGGAAGTCGGAGCTGAGGACATCGTTGGAGCGGCGGCTGCCGTAGAAGGAGGAGACCGTCGACTTGCGATCGTTGGCCATAGCGAGAGCAAAGAGGGTGACGAAGGGGTCGTGAACGGCGTCGACTGAGAGGGAGGATAGAGAGCGGGGGGCCGGGTGGGCGTCGAGCGGAGAGATGGGAACGGCGAGAGCGAGACCGAAGGCAGCCCGTATAGACGCCGGGGATGGGCTCGCGTTTCACTTTTGGCGTCATCGAGACACCTCCACGACGACCGCGCCACATTCTCGTTCGACGCGTACTCGCCACCTACATCCCCAGTACTTGCTCTCCATCGGTCTTCGATGCTCCTCGGTCTCCTCGTCTTTCTCGTCACTACCCTCGTCGCCTATGTCGCAGGTCATGTCCTAGGTTTGCGCCGGAGGAACACAAAGCACCGCACCCAACTATTCTCGGAGCTAGGCTTGGAGGAGTCGAGCTCGAAGCGGATTGTGGGCTTCTTCCATCCATACTGGTGAGTTGTACGTCCACTCCTGCGAAGAATGTGCCTCTTATCTCACCTAGCATTATGAAGTAATGCTGGCGGAGGTGGCGAACGTGTCCTATGGGCCGCGATACACTCAATCCAACAAAATGAGCCAGACATTGTGTCTGTCGTCTACAGCGGCGACGTAGACGCAACTAAGGATGTCATCATATCGAAAGTCAAGGTGCGTCGGTGTATGCGCCCAATTTGCTTGCGGATGGAAGTAACACGTCCACCATTCATGCAGGCGCGCTTTGACATCGAGCTATCCCCCAAATCACTGCACTTTGTCTTCTTGGAGTCCCGAAGGCTGGTTGAGGACTCGACGTGGCCTCGATTCACCTTGTTGGGGCAGAGTTTGGGCTCTATGTTCCTTGCATGGGAAGCGATGTCTTGCCTCATCCCAGACCTCTTCATAGGTGAGCCGGTAGACCTGCTTCGCAGACTCCGTATTTACGCCACATTGTTAGACACAATGGGATATGCTTTCACGTTTCCAGTGGTGTCGCTCCTGGGCAACATACCCGTTGGCGCATATACGCACTATCCGACTATCAGCACTACCATGCTGTCAAGAGTGAAGGCTCGGTCGGCAGGTCATACAAACTCGGAAGCCATTTCCTCGTCAGTCATTCTGAGTAACGGCAAACTTCTGTGAGTGCCTGTGGTTATTGGGTGAAGCCTTCGTTCCGAGCCTGGCCAACAGGTACTATCGCATTTTCATGTATTACTACGCCTATTCCCTCCGTCAAGCTCGCTTCATCATGGTCAACTCAACATGGACCAAGGACCATGTCGACTCGATCCTCAACCACAGTGATCGGCTTCTAGACATGATCCACCTCCTACCCCCCTTCGTCATCCTTGAGTTCCTTTCACGCCGACGATCGGAGTGCCCAAAGCTACTCAAGTCGTCTACCCGTCATGCGACACCCAGCAAATGGCAGCATTCCCCTTTGAGGGGCGGGAACGCATGGTACTAAGCATTGCGCAGTTCAGGTAGGCTATCTGCGTCTGTCCACGTGGACTACACCTGACGAAGCTTGCACAGGCCAGAGAAGGACCACCCTGTCCAGTTACGCTCGTTACATTCCCTGCTCGGGCAACATCCGGAATACCGGGGCGAAGGTCCTTCTGCCGCAAAGCTGGTTATGGTTGGTGGGAGTCGGAATGCCGGGGACGCGGCAAGAGTAGAAAGTCTACGGGCTCTCGCGAAAGAGCTTGGCATAGAGGTAACGTCATCACCCACTGACGGCTGCCCCTTGTAACTCATGATCCTCGCAGGACCAAGTCCAATTCGTGGTCAACGCGCCCTTCCCCGAGATGCTCAGTCTTCTCTCCCGCGCAAGCGTCGGGTTGAACACGATGGTTGAAGAGCATTTCGGGATCAACGTCGTTGAATTCATGGTACGCTGTCCGCATTTGGTGTTTGGAGTGGAGGACTCACTGCACACTTAGGCCGCTGGTGCTATACCCGTGGCCCACGCATCTGGTGGTCCTCTCCTTGACATCGTCGTGCCCTACAACGGCGAGCGAACTGGATTCCACGCAAACTCCCCCGAGTCGTTCGCGGAGGCGTTCCACACCGTCTTCACGCTGCCTCCAGAAGCTGATTTGGCGATGCGTCACCGAGCAAGAACATGGGCGGTGCAGAAGTTCTCCGAAGCTGAGTTCGAGAAGGGGTGGAATGCGAGCGGATGGCGGAAGTGGTTGTAGATCGGTGTACGTTGTCACACCGCCCATGCAATGCAGGTCATGCGTTGTCTTTGCTGGATGGCACGAGTGGTCGAGGACGATTCCCGACGAAATGATCGGAACGGCTGGGGTGTAATCGCTCAGACGTTGCACACCTTACCCGTGAGTCGCCGGGTGGTTCGCTATCTGTTCTCCACTGACATGTACACGTTTTGACCCCACTTAGAGTCATCGGCCGGACACGGATTTCTACCATCAACCTCTCCGTTGCTTTCGGTGATTTGTCGAATCCGTAGGATCGCTGATACAAAACTGCCTTCATATACAAGCATGAGCATGAACGTCGCAGTCCCGATGCAACTGGAAACACAGCGTTGATTATGCGGCTGTTCAATGGCATTAGCCTTAGGAGACCTCCACATAACCTCTGTCCGCACAACATCCGATGGGCCAGCTGACGCACGTGCTGGTACAAGCTTGCGACTGCCGCGGGCCCTCATTCGCTCACATCAAATTTTCACTCCTTATCTTCCGGCCGTTACGGCTACAGCGCTTTACGTCCATGATCCTCTCTTTCCCCAGGTACCCGGACATGGCCAGCTCGTACGTACCAGACTTTCTCACTTCGTCCAGAGACCGTTCTCGACCCCACTTTCTGCTGTGCAGAATGTGCAAATCCCGGTCTTTCTGGTTCCGCCTTACCGTCGATGACCTATGCGTTAAATAGCGATGGCGAAGCAGTAGTTCTGTTCACCGCCCTCCGCTCACTAGCTTGCTCTCGCCACCATGACCACCCCGATCCCGAGCCCCCCTGCCATTCCCTTCCTTGGTCACATCACGGCCATCGACAAGGACCTTCCACTCAAATCGATCTCTCTTCTCGCCAAACAGTACGGAGAGCTCTTCGAGATCAATGTGTTCGGTGAGCGTTGTCACCGACTCTTCAAGACCCATCCCATCTGCTTACATGTTTGACTAGGGAGCAAGCGGCTCTACGCGAACTCTTACGCTCTCCAAAACGAGCTCTCTGACGAGAAGCGCTTCTTCAAGAAAATCCACCCTGGTCTCGAGGAGGTCCGTGTGGCTGCCAAGGACGGATTGTTCACTGTAAGTACTTCCAGACCTTTGCGCGATTCCTGCCATAAACATTTGGATGCCAAGGCCAAAGTTCCTGCAGAGGAGAACTGGTACATCGCCCGTATGTGGTCACGCTTTCCTTGGAGCGATTGCTCGTACTTACCCTAATCTCTAAGACCGTCTGCTCATGCCATGCTTCAACACTGCTGCCGTTTTCGGAATGTACGACGATATGCTCGACATCGCTACGCAGCTCATCCAGAAGTGGGAGCGGTGAGTACTGCGTCTTGGTGCTGATGAGCTGCGCTAATGTCTCTCGCTCAGCTTCGGGCCGTCCGAAAAGCTTGACCCTGCGCAAGACTTCTCCCGGCTCACCCTGGATGCTATCAGTCTGTGTGCCATGTCTTACCGGTAAGTATCCAGCTTCTTGGGGCGATCTCCAAGTTATTAATGCCTCGACCACTAGCCTGAACTCTTTCTACCGGGTATGTTATGATGCCTATTCTACTATATTGTTTCTCATCTCGAGTTCTTGGTCAGGACGAAGCACCGGAGTTCGTGACTGCTATGGGGGAATTCCTCATCGAATGCGGCCGTCGCTCGCTCAGACCTGGCCTCGTCAAAGCCGCGATGGTGAACTCGAACGCCCAATTCATGAAGAATGTCAAGATCATGGACGATGTGGTCACTGCAAGTAAGCATGCGTGCCGTTGAAGGTTGGTGAGAAATACTGATGACTATGAACAGTCGTCGAGGACCACCGCAAGAATCCCCCGACCAAGCCAGACCTTATGCAAACCATGCTCACTGGCGTTGACAAGGAGACGGGTAAAAGGCTCGAAGAAGAACAGGTGAAGGTCAATGTAAGTGAATGCGTCAATAATTATCAGTTCGCTGCTGAAATCGTCTTAGTGCCTGACCTTCCTCATCGCTGGTACGTCCCTTTCACGTCCTGGTCCATGATAGTCAGACTTATGTATGTCGCTAACGATGATGCCCCTTAAGGCCACGAGACCACTTCAGGCCAGTGCTGGATTCGTGGGAAATGACGCCTATCCTTCTAACGACTCTTGATCAGGCATGCTAACTTTCATGTGCTATTACCTCCTCAAGAACCCTGAGGCAATGCGTAAGCTGCGTGAAGAGATCGACACAACTCTCGCCGGCCGCCCGTTTACGATCAAGGACATCAACAAACTTCCTTACCTCCTCGGTAGGCTTATGCTACTCCATGTTATTCTCCGTCTGATGAACAATCTGCCGTACGTAGCTGTCATGCGCGAGACACTTCGCCTCTCTCCCACGGCGCCAAACCGAACCGTTGCGCCGCTAGAAAACACCGTGATCGGGGGAAAATACGCTGTCGAGAAAGACACGCTCCTCAATATGAACATCTATACCATGCACAGGGACCCAGCGGTCTGGGGAGAAGATGTGCGTGTATTTTGCACTGCTACCACTACGTCACCTAACGCACCATAGGCCGAAGAGTTCAGGCCCGAACGTTTGCTGGGCGAAAAGTTCGACCAGCTCCCGGTCCGTACACGTCTATCATCGATTCTTTTAGCCTTGGGCTGACCACTTGTGCACCCGTCCAGCCCAATGCTTGGCAACCGTTCGGATTTGGCTTACGGGGATGCATTGGGCGACCTTTTGCCTGGCAAGAGGCGCAGCTCGTCATGGTCATGATTATGCAGCACTTCGACCTCGTTCTCGATGACCCGTCCTACGAGCTTCAAATCAAGCAGACGATCACCATCAAGCCCAACCACTTTTACATCCACGCCATCCCGCGCAAGGACCGCCCAAGACTCTCCGTCGGCCAAAGCGTTCCTGCGTTGATCGGCAAGCCCGCGGAGGCTTCCCCCGGAGTGGCGACGGGCGCCGCTAACCTTAAGCCCTTGTACGTGCTCTACGGCTCTAACACTGGGAGCTCGGAGTCGTTCGCCCAGCGCCTCGTCTCCGCCGCTCCCTCTCACGGTGAGTACCTTCTTTCGCCTCCAGCATGTCTACCACTGACCCCATCACACTTCAGGCTTCCACGGCTCACTCAAGCCACTCGACCTCGCTACAGAGCACCTCCCCACCGACGGCCCAATCCTGATCGTCACCGCGTCGTTCGAGGGCCAGCCCGCGGATAATGCTAAGCACTTCGTCGAGTGGCTCGAGAACGTGAACGCGCCCACCGGGTTCGTCGGCGTCCAGTTCGCCGTCTTCGGCTGCGGGAACCGCGACTGGACGGTCACGTACCAGCGCATCCCGACTCTCATCGACAGGGTCCTTGCAGAGCACGGCGCGACAAGGCTCGCGGCGCGCGGGGAGGGCGATGCGTCCGGGCCCGAGTTCTTCGACTCGTTCGACCAGTGGGAGAAGGCGACTTGGAAGGCCCTCGGCGAGGTACGCGCAGACGAGTGTTGTTTCGTTAGAGGTCGTCTCATGTGCTGTTTTTTTTTCAGGCGTACGATGTGACGACCAAGACAGAGAGCGTCGGGCTCGACATCAAGGTCTCGTCAGGCAGCAACGGTCGAGCGGAGGTGCTTCGCCAGCGCGACATGGCCTTCGGCACGGTCGTCAGTAGCAAGGTCCTCACCGCCCCAGGTGCTCCTCCGAAGAGGCATATTGGTAGGTGCTTTACCGAAAGAGTCAAACATCGCCTGACCTTGTCTATAGAGTTCGAACTCCCAGAGGACATGACTTACCGAGCGGGAGACTACTTGGCAATGTACAGCTGCATATCTCTGCCGTGAACCGCGACTTATCATTCTTGTGCAGTCTGCCGTTGAACCCAGAGCGCGTCGTCAAGCGCGCTCTGAGCCGTTTCAAGTTGTCCGCAGAGCAGGAAGTGAGTATCTCTTCACGCGCCGGGGGCTTCTTTTTCTCAAGAGATTCTTCTAGGTTGAAATCAGCTCTGCGGTCCCGACATCGCTTCCGACTAGCAAGCCCATCGCGATCTTCAACCTATTGAGTGGTTACGTCGAACTCCAGCAGCCCGCCACTCTGCGTGACCTCGAGATCCTTCTGCAGGCGAAGAACTCCGACGCGTCCACCGCTGCGCTCAAAGATTTGGTTGCCAACTACGCAAGCAAGGTGTTCACTTCCCGCCTAAGCGTCCTCGACATTCTCGAGGACAACAAGGACATCGACGTCTCGCTCTCGACCTTCCTTCAGATGGTGCCCGCAATGCGCATCCGCCAGTACTCCATCTCCTCGTCACCGCTCTGGAACCCGCAGCATGTGACGCTCACTCTTTCCGTCGTCGACGCCCCCGCGCGCTCCGGCCGCGACGAGAATTTTCTTGGCGTCGCGTCGACCTACCTCGCTGGTGTCCAACCAGGCCATAAGGTGCAGATGGCGGTGCGCAGCTCGAACGCCGCCTTCCACCCACCCAGCGACCCCACGGTGCCGATGGTCATGGTCTGCGCCGGCTCGGGCCTCGCGCCGATGCGCGGCTTCCTGCAGGAGCGCGCGGAGCAGAAGAAGGCGGGCCGCGAGGTCGCGCCGAGCCTGCTGTTCTTCGGGTGCCGCCGTCCGGGCGAGGACTTCTTGTACTTTGACTCGGACCTCAAGGAGTGGACGGAGCTCGGGATTGTGGACGTCCGGCCTGCGTTCTCGCGCTGCATCTCGGACTCGTACGAGTGTCGCTACGTGCAGGAGTGAGTGGTCAGTGCCGACGGTTTCAGCTGGTACTGATCTCGACCTTGACCAGCCGTATCGCTCACGACAAGGAGGACGTCAACAAGGCTTTCGATGCAGGGGCTAGGGTGAGTGGGCTCTGCGACAGTCGATGGCGGACGTTTCTGACGACCTATTCCAGTTCTTCGTTTGCGGTGTCGGGAAAATGTCGACTGGCGTGAAGGCCTCGATGCTCACCCTCGTCAAGGAAAGGACCAAGACAGACGACGCTGGGGCTCAAGCCATCTTTGACAAGGTTCTGAAGGGCCGTTATGCCACCGACATCTTCGAGTGAACCTGGGGCATTGTGACATGATTGATGCTGTACGACAAATACTGGAGTCTGGCTTGTCTACTTCCCGTGAATTTCTGTACAAGTTTGTATTGGGCCCTGGCCTGGAGATCACAGACCGGTATCGCCCATCTGCGTGCACTCCGGGATATTTATTCGAGTGACCGTCTTCGTGGTTTCAACTATTGCGCCGTGTTATGCGGCGCTTGATTCTACGCGGAGTGCTAAACTTTGTTCGGCGAAAGAGCTTGATCCAAGCGGCGCCTGGGCCCTGTGGTTGGAAATATAGGCGCCTGTTTTGCGCCCTTTGAATGCGTCGGCCTCGACTGAGTCAACTTTCGACTTTCGACTCTTGACTCTCGGACGGGCTATCTTTGATGGTCATTCCTCTCCAGGTCTGTCTTTGTTTTAGGGCTCATAGAGATGAAAAGGCCTGTTCAATCTACAGATTGACAGCGATTCCCTCGGGGGCAACTCAGAGGGGCTTCATGACCTCAACTCCCGCTGAAATGGTCTTTCGGCCCGCCTAGAATGACGATCGACGATCACAGTCTAGGTTGTTGAACCGGGCGAGCAAATCCTTCACTTGGATTACTTGTGAAACGCTTACGCTTTCAAAGTTTCAGGTCAATGCTTCTTAGCCGCAGAATCTAGTTGCGATGTCGGGGAGGTCTACGTAGCAGCAGCTCTGGGTTTACGCTGCTGTTCGCCGATTGGCGGTATGAGCCCCTTCATTTTCTGCACCGGCAAATGTTGACAGGGAGTGTCAAGACATAGGGTCGCGACCCGAGGGGCCGCACCCATGCAATGAAACGGAGGATCGACTTAGCAGTATATAGAGAGGGCGAGCCGGAAGTGAGTGGGCACAAACCCCTCCCATCTACACGATGTCTACGCCAATTCCCAGTCCACCTGCCATCCCCTTCTTGGGCCACATTCACACCATCGACAAGCAGCTCCCCATCGCCTCCATCCGTCTTCTCGCTCAGAAGTATGGGGAGATCTTCCAGCTGAACGTTCTCGGTGTGTATCAACTTGCCTGGAGTCGTGACTTCCAACATTCAACATTCTCCTTTGAGCGCAGGTGATACGCGCTTTTACATCTCCACGTACGCTCTCTTGAACGAAGTCTGCGACGACAAGCGCTTTGAGAAGAAGATAAACGCCAATCTGCTTCAAGCGCGTGGTGCGGTCTCAGACGGACTCTTCACCGTAAGCACCCCTTCGATGTGGTTCGATTTAAATACTCATTGCGTTTTCAGGCGCAACCGGGAGAAGAGAACTGGGGCATTGCTCGTAGGTGGATTCAAAATACTCTCATCGTTGCAGCCCTTATCTGCCACATAGATCGGCTCCTTATGCCGTGCTTTAGCCCGACGGGCATCCTCGATATGTATGACGGTATGATGGATGTCGTCTCTCAGTTGACTATGAAGTGGGAACGGTGAGGCTGCGCGATACGAACTTCGTCACGAGCACACTCTCATCATGCGCTACATAGGTTCGGTCCACAAGATTGCATCGACCCAGCGGCAGACTTTACGCGTCTTACATTGGACGCCATCTGCTTGTGTGCTATGTCCTACCGGTGGGCTTTTCAACGTATGTGTAAGGTCTTCGTATTGTTAGCTCACAGGCTGTGTGCTCGTAGCCTCAACTCTTTCTATCGGGTATGCATGATCAGTGGCATTTTCAAGGAACGTTACTGACGTCTCTTAGGAAGAGCCGCATCCTTTTGCAAGTGCGATGTCGGATTTCCTTGTTGAAAGCGGGCTTCGGGCCAATCGTCTCAGCATCGTACAAGCTATGATGCCCAGCACGAACGCCAAGTACGAAGAAGATAGGAACACCATGACCAAGCTCGCCCAAGATAGTAAGCTCGTTTTCTTGTATATACGAGCATAATTTTAACAGGATCATAGTTTTGGATGATCACCGCGCCCACCCGCCCAAGCAGCCGGATCTAATCTCGCGCATGGTATCGGGAATAGACAAGGAAGCTGGTCGCGGTCTTCCGGATAGTAGCATCATGGCCAACGTATGCATGCTTCGCACGATTGATTGTGTCGTAACTGATCATTGCTTTCACAGCTGCTGACCTTCCTCGTTGCGGGCCACGAGACGACATCCGGTATGCTTACGTTCGCGACGTACTATCTCCTCAAGAATCCGGAGGCTATGCGTAAGCTTCGCGAGGAGATTGACACCATGGTTGGTGACCGCCCCCCGTCGAAGAAGGATGTAAATAAGCTGCCTTACCTACTCGGTGAGAAGCATCGATTTTGCGTTCGCATCAAATGGGCTGATACATCGGACAGCTGTCATGCGCGAGAGTTTGCGACTCGGTCCCCCAGCATCACTGCGTACCACATCGCCTAAAGAAGAAACTATCCTTGGGGGCAAGTACACGCTCGGGAAAGGCGCTACCATCAACTGCAACATCTACGCCATCCATCGTGACCCTGCGGTGTGGGGTGATGATGTTAGTTGTTCTCCCTCCTTCACCTTGCGAGGTCTGATCCGCATTCCATCCATAGGCCGAACTTTTCCGCCCCGAGCGTATGCTCGATGGCAAGTTCGAGGCTCTCCCTCCGAACGCTTGGCAGCCGTTCGGCTTTGGCATGCGTGCCTGCATCGGCCGCGCATTCTCCTGGCAGGAGGTCCAGCTGACAATGATATCCATCTTCCAACGCTTCGACCTCGTCATGCGCGACCCTACATACGAGCTCGAGCTGAAGCAGACGCTCACCATCAAGCCTCACAACTTCTTCATCCACGCCATTCCCCGCAAGGACCGCCCGCGCCTGCTCCATATCCCCAGCGGCCCCACGGCCCAGGCCACACGCGGTGAAGAGAAGCGATCCGCGGCCTTTGCGACCGCTTCGAAGGATATGAAGCCGCTGTACGTGCTGTATGGCTCGAACACAGGCACTTCGGAGTCGTTCGCACAGCGCCTTGTTTCCGCGGCGCCGTCTCACGGTGCGTACCTCATCATATGGCGTATCAGTAGAAAGGCTCAGTTTTTCTGTTTGATGTCAGGGTTCCGTGCCACGATGGAGACGCTGGACAAGGTCACCGAATATCTTCCCACCAACGGTCCTGTTCTCATCGTTACCGCGTCCTACGAGGGCCAACCTGCCGACAACGCGAGGCACTTCGTCAACTACCTCGAGAACATCAAGGCTTCAGACGCGTTCAAGGGCGTCAACTACAGCGTATTCGGATGCGGCAATCGGGATTGGACGACGACGTACCAACGCATCCCGAAGCTAATCGATGACATCTTGGGTGGACATGGTGCCAATCGACTCGCGCCCCGAGGCGAAGGGGATGTTTCCGGCGCCGAGTTCTTCGACACGTTTGATCAGTGGGAGAATACTGTTTGGGACAAGCTTACACAGGCAAGGGCCGATCCGCGTTGGTGTCGATCTCGCTACTTACGTGAATCACAGGAGTATGGGACCTCTACCGAGGAGGCAGCGCCAGCACTCAACATCAAGACTGTCTCCACTGGTACCGCGCGTGCGGAGCGGCTCCGCCAGCGCGACATGGGGCTGGGCACCGTCGTTGATACCAAGGTGCTTACAGCGTCTGGTGCTCCGATCAAGATGCACATCGAGTTCAAGTTATCGGAAGGCGCGACGTACAGAGCCGGCGACTATCTTGCCATGTGAGGATGTTATCCACTTCGGTCCCTTCAGTACTCATTCACGTATGCGTAGCCTTCCCAAGAACCCCGACCGGATTGTTCACAGAGCCATGGCGCGCTTCGGGCTCCAGGAAGACATGGAGGTAGGCTTACCGCCTTTGTTCTACTGATTGGACCTCATACTTTCTCAGATTGAGCTCGATTCTTCCTCTCCTACGTCTCTCCCACCGGCACTCCCATTACCGTCTTCAACCTTCTGAGCGGCTACGTTGAGCTTCAGCAGCCTGCGAGGACGCGCGACCTCGACATCCTCCTCCAAGCCAAGAACTCCAAGGCTTCGAAGGCTGCGCTGAAGGACCTTAAGGCCAACTACACCAACAAGGTGTTCGGTCCGCGCCTCAGCGTTCTCGACATTCTCGAGGACAACAAGGCTATCGACCTTCCGCTCTCGACCTTCCTCACCATGCTCCCGGCGATGCGCATCCGCCAGTACTCCATCTCCTCCTCCCCGCTCTGGGACGCCGAGCACGTCACGCTCACCCTCTCCGTCGTCAACGCCCCCGCGCGCTCCGGCCGGAAGGAGAAGTTCCTCGGCGTCGCGTCCACGTTCCTCGCCGGCCTCCGCCCCGGCGACAAGGTCCAGCTCGCCGTCCGCGCGGCCAGCGCCGCCTTCCACCCCCCGCAGGACCTCACCGTGCCGCTCGTGATGGTCTGCGCCGGCTCTGGGCTCGCGCCGATGCGCGGCTTCCTGCAGGAGCGCGCGGAGCAGAAGAAGGCCGGGCGCGAGGTCGCGACTAGCTTGCTGTTCTATGGCTGCCGCGCGCCGGGCGAGGATTCCTCTACGGTGAGGCGGAGCTGCGGGAGTGGGAGCAGATGGGCATTGTCGATGTCCGCGTTGCCTTCTCGCGCTGCGACGTCGAGCGGGCCAAGGGGTGCAAGTATGTCCAAGAGTGAGTCGCGCTTGATGGCTCTTTCTGTGGCGGCGATGCTGATCGTTCTCAGCCGCATTGCGCTCGACAAAGAGGACATTGTGAAGTCGTTCCGGGCAGGCGCCAAGGTATGATCGTTTGATGAGTCGTGCGCTGATAGCTGATGTCATTGCTGCGCAGTACTATGTTTGCGGCAGCTCCAAGATGGCTGCAGGCGCGAAGCAGGTATTCATCCGCTTTGTTCAAGAGACGAAGAACCTCGATGAAGCCGCCGCTACGGAGCTGTTCACGAAGGGTCTGCAGGATCGTTACGCGACTGATGTCTTCGAGTGAATTATGACAGAAGGTGCCTCGGATTGTACAGTAGCGACAGACATGATATGGTGGGAAACTGTGAATCAGTTTGTAAAATAGGAACATGAACAACAATACACTAGCACTACCTCCTTCTGCGTGCTATTAGCTAAGCTGTTGACGGAAGTCCTAAGGGGGCCTGGTACGCGAACCGTTACGCGCCAACGGTGATCTCGCGCCGATGATGTTGAGCGTGCTCGCGAAAAGCGAGACTTGAAGTGGGTAACCCCCGTCTCTGTCGTGGAACACAGTGAAGTGCGCCCACTTCTACGCATCTCTATCCGTCGCGCCCGTCCGACATAGTCGCAGAGTGGCGGCAGTGGCCGCAGAGGTACGACTCCCAGGGATGCGTCCAGCGTACCACCCTCCGCCGCCGCCGCCGGCGGCCCCGCGACCTCGATCACGACAGCGCGGGGTTGATCATGACGGTGGGGGATGCCATTTAGAGCATTGCCCCCGTCGCGCACGACTGCCCACACTAGGTGGAGCAGTCGCAACCCCGTTGTTTCGATTACGCTAGGCGCGCGACAGAATTAGGAGGGGTGCGTGAGAACCGGGTTCGGCCGCGCGTGCAACGCGGAAGTGGTGTCGATGTTTGACGTCTTGAATCGGAGCGGTCGATCGTGGAAGGGAAGGCAATGGGGGCGTTGGCGGTAACAGGGAACACAACGGTATAAGGAGTTGCGAGCGCGACGCCGCGCCCGCACTCCCTCATCCCCGACGCACATCCACTCGGACTCGCCCACGATGAAGACACAGTTGGAACTCACCAGCACCCATATCCTCTTCGCCTTCCTGTCCACAGCTGCAGTCTTCGCGCCGGTCGCCGCGCGCGCATCGCCCACATCCCCACCGCCATCCTACTACCCATGCGACGGTCGCGGAAGCCTATCGTGCTGTGAGACCATCGAGTCGGCATGGTTCGCGTCAAAGCAGTTGTCCAGAATGGAGATCTTCGTGCGGGACCCGTCGGTCCCAGTAGGCTGGTCGTGTCGACCGTTCAGCGCGTCGGATATGCTTGGAGGGTACGGCTGGTACGTTTGCTCCGCCTCCTGGATGCCCGCAGAGGGCTAAGTGTCGTCGCAGCGCGGCGAACACGGTGTGCTGTCGAGACACGTCATATGGTGGGCACCTCGATACGATCTGGCGCACTTTCCTTGCGCAAGCACTGACAACATTGCACAGGCGAGGTGCTCGCGATTGGATGCACCCCAGCCTTTCCCTCAGCTCCTCCGCAGCTCGTGGTACAAACCACACCTTTTCTATGACACCTTGCGCGGGTTTTGTTCCGTTCTTGCTGGTAAACTGACACTCGTTCATCGAAATCGGAACGGGACCTCAGATTTGTTGTAGTGTACTCACAGCTTCCGATGAATGTAGCCTATCACCTCTTCGCAGAGCGGTACGATTGAGCATCCTCGTGCGTCAAAGATGGTCGCATTGTGCAGCGTTGCATCAGGAATTGGGGACAATAGACATAGACCGAGGTCCGAGGATGGCGTTCCGGGAGAGGTCCAGCTTGCTCAGCGCTCAGCGTCCAGCACGCGCAGAGCGCGCTCGGGTGTCGCCGGCCCGTGTCGAGTGCGCGGCGGCGTCGAGCAAGCGTCGAGCGTGTCTTCTAAGTGCTGGGTGACTAGCGGGACATTTAAGGGAGCGGGAGAAATATTCAGTTCCTTGAACTTATGAAGGATGCGGATATCAACTGAAGAAAGAAAGGAGTTGACTGGAGCTGCTATCAATCCTCATGCCACACCACGGGTGTACATTCCTTGTCGCGCCGCCTCGTCCAGGTTTCACATCTCGCTGGTGTCATGGTTGTGTAGTAGGGTTAAAGGCATTACGAAGCATTGCAAGACTAATCGACCTGATACTACCCAGTGTCCATTTAAACCCGGCTACTACGACCAGGCTGCACGCGGCGAACGAGAGCGGACACGTCCAGTCTCCCTCTTGAGGTGTGATGAGCTGGCGAGACGCGAACGCGACTTCCCGGAGAGAGGCTAGGTACATATGCGGCAACGGCGGGAGTGAGAGGGGTGGTTTCGTCCCATTGGAAAGATGGGTCGGGCGATTCGAAAGCGGCGGGGAGGACGTGGGCGGCAAGGGTAGGGTGGGAGGTGGGAGTAGCTATGAGGAGGGGAATTTGCGAGGAACCGTTGATGTAGATGCGGCGGTACTAAGTAGAGCCGGGGTACGCCGAAAGCATACCACGACGTGCTTGTGAGACAGATTGCGTGGAAGGCGAGCCTGTAAGCGCGAGGAGTGGATATCTGGCGAAGTTCATGTGCGATGAGACCAAAGATCTCCAGTGGCAGGTGAACAGGAGAGGTGGAGCCAGGATTGAACGTTTGAACATGGTGGGAGAAGTTGGATGGAGAAGCGCCATCGGCGAATTTGAACGCGCTCACGAAGTGAAATTCTTCCCTAGGAAGCCTGACATTCACCGAAACAAACTACATGTGCGGGGAACAAACTGCCTCAGTCTTTCCGCGCTCGAGCCCGTTCTCGCGCCCTCTCTTGAACTGTGGCAAGGAGGTCCGGGTTCTCGGAGATGTTGTTGAGGGACCCGCTATCCGTCTCATCGCCGACCAACGCTCAGTTCCTACCACCTCTCGATGAGGAAGCGATCGCATAGATGCGACAGAACACTCACAAGATGGCTGCCCCTTGCGCCCCTGCCTCTGAGGCCCGATACATCCTCCGCAGCAACCTCGCCCGGCTCGCGCGCGCGCACAATTTCGACCGCGGCCCCGGTGTAGGCTCGTCGTCGGTGTCCACGAAGTCGAATGCTGACGCGAAGATGTCGAGGGCCTCCTGCTCTTTCGCGGGCACGGCGCGGATTGCAACGGCGAGGTACAGTTCGGGGTTCACATCGCGCCTTGCATTCTTCTCCCGCGCGTAAGGCAGCACCTCACGCAGGCAAGGTTTGGCCTCTGTAATGCGGCACGGGCTAGAGCCTTGCTGTGAGCTCGTGTTGAACACCCTTGAACAGCTGTGCGCGAGGTATCTGCGTAGACAGATTGGATCGGCATGACTTAGTATGTACCCGGTAGAACTGGGAAAGCTACCAGTAGCGTTTGTCGAGGTGCGCGACACGCGTGTCCATCTGCTCCTGGGTCGTATTTTTGGGTCTCAGGACGCTCTGCGTTCTTCCGTGCCGTCTCGGATGGTGGCTATATGTTCTTGGATAGTCTACGGCGCTCCGTTGCTGTTCTTGTTTGAAATACTCCTCGAAGGCAACCCTAGGCAACCCGGATGTTGTTGGTAAGAAAGTGTTTCAGAGGCATGGTTGAGCAATGAGGAGGAAGGGTGAAAGCGCAATTAGCGCTGGCTCTTCCATTCGCTTCGCGCGGCCGTCGGCGGTGCCCCGCTTCCAGTCAACCGAGGGCGTCCTTGACGTGAACGTGAACCGACTCTATCATCTTGCCTCGCGTTTACTACTCTGCCGCCACCTTTTTTTATCCAGAACGGACTCGCGAACGCCCTCATGCGACGCGGCGGCTTCGGCTGCCCTGTGCGCCGTGCGGAAGCAAGCTTCGATGTCAGGACTCAGCGAAGAGCTGGGGCCTCCAGCAGATGGTCAGGTCGGCCGAATCGTTTGGGAGCGCATATAAGGACCCAGGACGGCTGGGACGGATTGTGTCTGCCTAACTTCGACCATGAGGTCCGTCTTCCTCCTCGCACTCGCACCCATCGGCGGAGCCCTTGCGCTCTGGCCCCTCCCCCGCTCTCTCTCGACCGGCAACTCCACCTTGAAGCTCTCCTCTGGCTTCAGCATTCACCTCAAGGTCCCGAATGCCCCATCCGACCTCACCGACGCTGTGTCGCGCACAACGTCCTTCCTGGGGAACGACCAGCTCGCGCCGCTGACTCCGGACCGCGGCTCTTCGGATGCTGGTGATATCAAGAAGGCCACGTCTCTGAGCGCACTCGAAGTCTCCCTCGCTCCTGGGGCCGTCGTGCGGAGCATTACCGAGGAGGCGAGGTTGCCCGTTGGATCAAGGAGCGAAGAATATCAGTTGAACATACCTGCGGACGGCTCTGCGGCCACCCTCACAGCAAACTCAACCCTGGGCCTTCTCCGAGGTCTTACCACGTTCAGTCAGGCATTCTACACGGTGTCGGGGCAGGTATACACTGCGGAAGCACCTATCTCAGTCGTGGACTCGCCAGCCTACGTAAGTCTCATGTCTGCTTCTTGCGCTCTCCTCCGGCTCAAACTGCGGGTCCTCACAGCCTTGGAGAGGTTTCATGCTCGACACTGCACGCAACTTGTGAGTAAGGAGGTTTTGTGCTCCAATGCGTGAACCTAAAGATGCACGGTTTAAGCTTTCCAGTCTCTGATATCAAACGTACTTTGGACGCCATGAGCATGGTGAAGGTAGTCACTCTTCTCGCCGTTATTGGGTTTGTATTGACATCACGTACAGCTCAACCAATTCCACTGGCATGTGGTCGACAGTCAAAGCTTCCCACTCGAGATACCAGGCTTCACGGATCTCGCAAGCAAGGGGGCGTATGACGCGTCGAGTGTCTATAGCACAAGTGACGTACGAGACATTGTTGATTATGCCGGCGCTGTGAGTAGATCCTCTCTTTTGAGATATAACGTCTAACAAGGCTCTGTTCAGCGTGGCATCGATGTCATGGTCGTGAGTTGTTCACGCCCCTAGAGCCACGCGCGTATGCCTTATTCTTCTCAGGAAATCGACACTCCAGGCCACACGGCGGCCATTGCCACCGCGCAACCAGAGCATATCGCATGCTACAAGTGGACCACATTCTTCTCAGGTATGCAACGATTGTATCCATCGACGTCTGAGGCTAAGCTGCTTGCTAGAACCACCTGCGGGGCAGCTTCGCATCACATCTGCCTCCACCACCAACTACACGGCAGGCCTGCTTTCAGCTGCCGCTCGCATGTTCCCTTCATCCCTCTTCAGCACGGGAGGCGATGAGGTCAACGACGAATGCTACGCTCAAGATCCCGAGACCCAAGCTCAGCTGAACGCGACCGGTCGCACCCTGGAACAGGCATTGGATGTCTTCACTAATGTGACTCACAACGCACTCGTCGCCGAAGGCAAAACCCCGGCCGTCTGGGAGGAAATGGTCCTGGACTACAACCTTACCTCGCTATCCAACGAGACTGTCGTCATGTACGTGCTTCATCATTGTGCCATGGCTGCTTTCTGACCTGGATGCACACAGCGTGTGGATTTCGTCTGCGAATGCTGCGGCCGTGGCTGCGAAGAACTTTAGAATCGTCCATGCGCCTTCCGACTACTTCTATCTTGTACGTATGCCCGGTGTACGGAATGCCGGTGCTCTATTGACTTTCACATTTTAGGATTGTGGTGCTGGAGAATGGCTCGGGAACGACATTGGGTAAGCTTCCGCTTCTCGCCGAGATGTTGCGATCCTTAACCTGCGTTGCGGTTCCAGCAACAGTTGGTGTGACCCATTCAAAACCTGGCAAAAAGTATGTAGTCCAATTCCCGACACCACCCTCTTACTAACCGGCCGGTTATCGCCTAGGCGTACAGCTTTGACCCTCTCGCCAACATCACTGAAGCTCAGACTCATCTCGTCTTCGGAGGTGCGTTGCCTCAATATTTCCTTTCCATAGTCTCTGATATGTTCCTCCAGGACAACAACTCCTCTGGACAGAGCAGTCTGGCCCGCAGAATCTCGACCCGATCGTATGGCCCCGCGCCGCAGCGTCCGCCGAGGTATTCTGGTCTGGCCCGGGCGGGGACAGCGCGACGGCCCTTCCGCGCTTGCATGATCTCAGTTTCCGCATGCGCCAGCGCGGGATCAACGCTATTTCCATCCAGCCTACGTGGTGCGCGCTCCGTCCGGGGGAGTGCAACGCCCGCTCGTGAAAGAGGATTTGACCGACACATCTTGGAGGCTGGACGGGACTGAGCTGTAGTGTATCCACCGATAATACAATCTCCTCTGGTACTCTGCCCAAACTTCCGCGACAGGTCCGGCCTCCTCCCGCTTCCGCAGTCTCAGTGGCGAGTCTTTACGCTCCTATCTCTGCGGTCTTTGTGCGCAATGTTCCAGTAGGCTGCTGCTTGCTCGTGCAAGTCACGCCCCTCGGGTGGCCCAGCCACTACTACGGCGCGCGACAGAACTAGGAGGGTGGAGAACGGGGTTCGGCCGCGGGCGCGACGCTGGAGGTGGTGTGGACGTTTAACGTCTTGAATCGCGAGTGGTCAGATCATGGGAGGGAAGGCAATGGGGGACGTTGTTGGTAACAGGGAGCACGAGCGGTACAAGGGAGTCGCGGATGCGACGGCCGCCCTCGCAGTTGGCACTCACCAGCGTCCATATCCCGGTCTCCGCTGTCCTCTCCGCAGCTGCAGTCTTCGCTCCGGTCGTCGCGCGCGCATCGGACACGCCCCACCGCCTTCCCCTCCGCTCCTCCGCAGCTCGTGGCACAAACCGCACCCTTTCTATGACGCCTTGCGCGGGTTTTTGTTTCGTTCTTGCTGGCAAACGGACACTCCTTCATCAGAATCAGAATAGGACCTCGGATGTGTAAGGTTGTACTCACGACCCATGAACGTAGCCTATCCGCTCTTCGCAAAACGGTACGATAGATCATCCTCGTGCGTTGATGTGCAGTCAACTCCGTGAAGAGTCAAATGTGGTGAGGGCGAGTGAGCGAGCTCGAGCAAGCGTGAGACGCGGGAAGTCGGAGAGTGAGCGAAGAGAACAGCTACGACGCGCCGCGTGAGGAGCGAGCGCGAAGAGAGAACAGATCGCGGGATCGCGCGAGCGCGAGGAGGACGAGTAGGGAATAGACGCGGAGTGAATAGACGAGATCGCGCGCACGCGCGGCTCTGGCGAAGGCGAAGGGCGTCGAGGTCGTGGGCGAAAGCGTGGGCGAAAGCGTGGGCGAAAGCGTGGGCGTGAGCGTGGGCGAAGTCGAAGTCGAAGGCGAAGGCGAAGGCGAAGACGAGGTGAGACGAGGTGAGCACACAGCACGCGCAGACGAAGCGGGAGAGTGAACTGGGCATCAATAAGTAAAAACGTGAGCCTAAGTACATGCGACGCACGGGGCGAGTATGTAAACAGATCAATGTACAGTCCGAGACCCGAAAATGTACGAAATCGAGACCGAGAATGAAGGGGAAGTGGATACGAGAATACGAAATGTACGAGATGTAGAACAGGAGGACATACTAATCGTGCAAGAAGAGGAGGGGAATGAAGATGAGGAAATGGACGAGGTCGGCGTACTGTAGAGGAGGTGGATCAGGTGCGTGCCGTGCCGGCCTCGGTCGACGGTCGTGCGTGAACTGCGGCGTGGTGTGTCCGTAGGCGTCGCGCCTGGCCTGGAATGCTGGAGCGTCGATATGGAATGCTCGCGGACTGATCGCGATGGGTGCGCGCGGCGGAGAGGTCGAGGTACGTGAGGACGAGCGAGGTCGAGGTGGACGGCGACGCGCGGGCGCTAGTGTAGTCGCGGTGCACCGTACAGCGGCGGTGCGTGCGTATCAGCGTCAAAGACGGCCACATTGCGCGGCGTTGCATTGGGAATACTAGGCGAGGACAGACGTAGACTGGGGATGATGTTCAGTCTGGCAGCTCGCTCGGCCGGACGGCGGAGAGGCTCGGCCTCTTGCGGGCTCGGGTTTCGCCGGGCTATGAACCAGCCGCTCGGCCGCCCCAGTGGCGGGCACTGCCAGCTGCGCCTAAACCACATCAAGTTACCATCGACCCAAACAATGGTACGCTGCAAATTCCTCCGTCGTCCAACCTTCACGGGTCTTATTGATATCCTTATTGTGTAGTACGACAAAAAGCATTACAAAGTACCACAAGACTAATGAACCCGATACTACCAGGTGTCCGCGGATTGAACCCGGCTACGACCACCGCACAACAACACACCAGAATCAAACACAATAAACCGCAATGTCCATGGCCGAAACAACCCGTCTCTCCTCAGTCCCTCCTTCCGTCTCCTCGCGCCGATATCCGATGTGAGTGTTTAGAAACTGGATATTGCGGGCGTGGAGACGCCGTCGGCGGAACCGGTCGCGAAGACGCCGGACTTGGGGGGCTCAGAGCTGGAGCAGTACACTGGAAGCGATCCCCGTTGCCGACGCGAAGACGCCAGACTCGGAGTCCACGAAGGAGGCCACCTGGGAGGCGATCGCGGTTGCGGACTCGAGGACGCCGGTTTCAGAGGCCACGGAGGAGGCCACTTGGGAGGCAATGGCGGTTACGGACCCAAAGACACCGGATTCGGAGGCTACGGAAGAGACCACCTGGGAGGCGATGGCGGTCGCGGACTCCACGGAGGAGAGTTCGGCGGTGAGCTGGCGCCTGTCGATGACGGCAGCATTGCCTACGGATATTCCTATCAGCATCCCAAGTCGGTAACTCCGAAGTACGCCAAACCTACCTCCAAGAACAACGAGGGCGATGAAAACAAAGCTCGAGAGGCGCATCATATTTGCTGCGAAAAGCGAGGGAAATGTGTGGCGTGAAGGTAGGAGGTTGGAAGGAAGGAGGTTGGACAGAAGCTGAGGAGAGAAGAGGATGCCTTCACTCACCGCAAAGACGTGAGGTTTTATACTTATTCACGTCTGCAGGCATGGAACGGCACGGCGTCCACACGCTTATGTCACGTACCCTCGATGTGATTGCCGCACGAGACCACCTCTCGGATGCTGCGCCGGACCAGCTTGCTGTATTAACGTGTTTGGGAATCTCGGACACCGCTGCTGCGTAAAGTGGGCACATGAAAACATGCCATCCGTGGTGGAAGCATTGAGAATGACGACCACAGGATGAGCAGCCTGTGCGAATCCACCAAGCTTGTCCCTGCAAAGTTCTGTGATGAGTAGCGACGAGGATGTTGAAGGGAGTAGGAATGACTGCACCTGCAAAGCATCTCGCAAAGACCCAACGATGTTTCAGACCAGAGTGAAGCGCTGGATGAAGGACGCGAACGCGGCCTTCGTTGGCCGTGAGAGAGTGTCGTCACGGTGAATTACCGTGCGCAGCCTGATAAACACAGCCACCCTTTTACACACCAGCTCAGTGTTGCGCCTCTCTCTTCTTCTGCTATGCCCGCAGTCCCTACTTCTGCTTCCCTCTCTCACGTCGCCCATCAAGCCTCTGACTCAAGTCCATCTTTGCGCAGTCGAATTGCATGTCTCCCGAGCTCGAGTCCGGCGAACGGCGACGCGCTGCGCAGCAGAGACACATGTGGTGTCAATTGGCGTTGAGCTCCTGACAAAGTTGAATCACGCCTTGTGCGCCAGTTTGAACTGCGCCCTATGGTTACGCCATACCACTTCAGGGAAGGTCAACTCGGCCGTTTTTGAAGACCTCTAGACGATTCCTCGTCGGCAATGTCACGAAAGAGGACGGTCGTCGCTCAAGCGCTCACGACTGCGAAATCTCTTCAAACACGGCGTGCGCGGCTGGTCATGAGTGCATGCAGTTCCCTTCTTTCAAAGTTCATCCGAGATTGCTAAAGGAACAACGTATCAGGAATCAGGACATGTTGAAGCACAGCTGCAGCCTGCGACCCATGCCGCTGGCAGTGCGCGCGGGGTCGCTGGCCGGGCGTGCCTCGATTATCATTGCGTCCGCGCAATCTGTGCTACAGACGCCGGACTGCTCTGTGTCACTGATACTACCTGCTTTCTCGTTTCGCCCCGCCCTCAGAATTGCGCTCTACATGGACGTGCCGTGCGTTACTGAGGCCACCGCGGATTCACTAAAGCCGACCCTGTCGCTCATAACCTCGTCGCGCTGCGCTACGGTATGACGATGCTGAATAGAAATCCAGCAAGGACGGGGGTTGATTTCCGCAGGGTCGATGAAGTCTCAGGAATGATTTTGGAGCTTGACTAGCTAGTACGAGTACGCCGCCGGTCTACTCCGCAGCTCCCGTGTCAGCAAACAGGTGCTCGATGCGATAGCGCTGATCAGGTGAGTGATCTGTTCTTCCATTTCACCATAATGACAAACATTTTTAGACCCCCGTACTAGATTATCTGTCTGGATGCCTCGCGATTACCTGCGGAGAACCGTACTGAGCTACAATGGATGCACTACCGGCGCGCGGAGGACCACGGTCGCTGGCAAAGTTCATTGCGGCTCTCTCCGGGTACTGTGTCGTGTCCTCAGCAGCACGTTCTCGGCGGACACATGCACTGTCGGTTCAAGTAAACAGTGTGGCGAGAGAGTGGCCATGAGCAAGCCGCCATGTTCTCTCACGTCCCGTACGTGTTCACCGGGTGTCTCGGTCTGTGCACATCTCACATTGCATGCAGGTGCCAGCATTTCCCTTCAAAGATTCTGCGTGAGATCTTCGGAGTCTAGTTGGAGATGTGAGGTGGTGAGTCTTCTCGCTCTCGTCTCTTCGTGGACTGCTGCTTGCCCGCGCAAGTCACGCCCAGGCTCGGGTGGCTCAGCCACTGCGGTTATGCTGGCGGGCCCAAGCGGGCGGCTGCTCCCCTTCCCGTTGCCACCGCCGGTCTCCGACGGCCGAAGCATATCTCCCGTCTCGTTCTCGTTATATTCGATGCCTATTTTACATCCGAACATTGAACGGCGTGTTGGGGACGATGGCGCCTTTCGCATGCCATGACTCCGAGTCGGCCCGTCGACTGTCCACGGGGTTGCTGCTTACGTTTTCCAGTCGCCACTACATTCCGCTCTCTGAGATCTAGATTGACCAGTGCCGCGGGACAAAGCGGAGTCCGTCGCGCGAGGCCTTAGGGTAGCGGAGCGCTCAAGCATCCGTCCCTCCTCCTTTGTCTGGCCGCCTGGCTCCCTTGGTCCGGCCACTCTGAGCCTTGAGGTCGTGTACACGCTTTGTCCAGCACTCTGGTGCCGCATGCTTCCCCGTTGGGCATGTCGAATTGCGTGCGGACTGGTGTCTACGAGACCGCCTGCCTCGTTCAGGTCGCGCGACTGTGGCCATTGCGGTCGCGCGTCTTGACTGAGCAGGCGGTAGCGTAGTCTCAGAAGCGACGGTGAACAAGGAAATCCAGCAGGTGTCTGTTCAACGAGGGAAGAGTGCCACCCAGGCGCACTCTGCTCTTTACTTTGATGTGGCCGCAATCCCGAACAGGGAAGTGCCCTCCTCCGGCCTCCCGTTCAGCGGCTCGGGCGAGCAAAGCGGCGTCGCGCTCGCTTGGTTCGTGCCTCTGGTCCACACTTTCGCTTTGCTCTTGCGCAGGGGGTATTTCAGTCTGCACTTTTCGACGGCATGGCCACCACCCCTCCTCCAAGCCCGGGAGCTCTCAGTGTTCCGTACGTCCCACGTCCTACCCACCGCCCCGGCTGCAACCGCCAGCGCCCGCAAACTTGCAATAATGGGGAAAAACGCGTCCATCAAGAACCCTCCCAATGACAATGACCCGTGAGTGGAATCGGGTGTGCCTCGTGTTACCGGCTCTGATTATCGCGCGCAGCTGGGTTTGCCCCGAATTCCCGCAGTGCATTCACATGAGTAGTCAACATCAGAACGTGCTCGAGCACTATGTTGTAAAGCAGTAGGTCTTCTTCTCTTCGCATTCGTTCCACAGGTCTCACGCACTTCATGCAGCACCGATGAAAAGCCCCATTATTGCACCTTCCTCATCAACGGGAACCAGCCTTGTCCCAAGCGGTTCGCGAGCGGGAAAGACTCCAGCAACCACAAGCGGTCCGCGCACGGCTACGACTCGAAAACCGCGACGACCGAGGAACGCTCGAAGCACATCTGCAGAGGCAAGCACGACAAATACAAGCATCTCGTGCTCCGTCTCTCCGAGAAGATACGCCGTCCCGGGTTGGACGGGGCCGGCTCTTTTCCTTCTGGCATCAAGACAGAAGAAGACCCATACCCCGAACGTTTCCTGCGCGGCCCCGTACCCCCACAAACGTCGCAGTACCCTGTGCGCGCGCACGCTTTCCATCCCTACCACCATCCTCGCGCGCCGCGCGCGATGGATCCTCCCTCTGCGCTCGGCCCCGGGCATCCCGGCGTGTTCGGCCCCGACATGATTCGCATGAAGATGGAGGAGGAGCGAGACGCGGGGCGGCGCGTCCGCCACTACTCCGTGCCGCCCCAGCCCCCGGCGTACCAAACGCACACGTTCGCGCGCGCGCAGACGGACCCTCTGAGCCGCGCGCCGCAGGCGTACCGCGCTGCCTACAACAACTTCAAGCGCGAGGAGGTGGAGGCGCCGAACCTGTCTGGGTTGTGGCCACAGACGCCGTTCACGATGGTGCCGGGCCAAACCGCGTTTGTGAAGCGCGAGCAGTCGGTGGTTCCAGATCAGTGGATGCTGCATGGAGTGCCGTATGGTCATCATCAGGGAGGGATGTCGAGAGCGTGGTAGTCGCCCGTCTCTCCCGGCCCACGCGGTCGGACGCTGTCACGCTTTCTTGCTTGTGCTGTCGCCTGCACTTTTAACTTACTCTACGGACTAATCTCGGGATATATATTCGTCACTTCTGCAGTTCGCTTGTTCGATGTAAACAAACAGCCACTCAGCGACATTTAAGGCTGCGCCCTAGTGCATACTGCAGCCATCGGTCGGACACTGCAGCGCGAATAGGAACGAACGACGACAACGAGCCCCGCCTCCAGCTCAAAACCCGTCTACGTCACCTCGCTCCGTTGTAGGATGAACCGGTTACGAAACTAGTAGTACTTGATCAAAGAAACACGGGGACACCCAGAGAACGACCCTGAAGACAGACGCCTCATTCACTGCTGTGATGCCTCAAACTTCTTCACAGCATCCTCGCACCACGCCCACACACGCTTGCCAAGTCCGTCATCTGTTGCACTCGGGCACTTGCCTTCGCGCGCCCACGGCTTCAACCACTGGAGAGCGTAGATCAGTCCGTGTAAACAAGGAGCCAGAAACACGCAACGTACCCCGCCGTTGTGCTTGAGCGCATCAGGCATCGTACCAGCGTACAGTTGCGTGAGGGCGCCCTGCGGGTTCGGATACAGCACAGTCTTCCGCTGCGAAGGAGATGCACGCCGATCAGTCAACTGTCGAACGCAGAATCACCAAAGAGACGCACAAGGATGGCGTGAACGAGCGAAGGGAGGTTGCGGTACAGATCCGAGTCAAGATTCCCTGCAAGCGGCGCGCGAGCGTCAGAAGACTCATAAGGGCGTGGGGAGCACGCAGACGGCCGACGCACCAGGGTTGAGGCTAATCGAGACGATCCCCTTGCCCGCGTACTTCTGCGCGGCCTGGTGCGATATGATCGCATTTCCCTGGGCGCACGCTCGTCAGCGGGTTCTCGGTAACGCGAGAGTTGGGTCTCACCAGCTTGCTCTGCCAGTACAGCGGCGTCTCCCCGACCTTCTTGCGCTCAGGCGTGTCCGCCAGCGCCGAGAAGTCGACATTGCCCACGTACGACGCGCTGCTCCCGGTCGTTATCACGCGCGCGTGCTGGTCGGGCGACGTCCTCGCGCCCTGCTCGAGCGCGGGGAGAAGGAGCTCGGTGAAGTAGAAGTGGCCGAGCACGTTCGTGCCCCACTGCATGTCGTACCCTTCCTTAGTGAGCGCGTCGATGGGGGCGCCATCACCCCACTAGAGTCCAAGTGCGTGTCAATGAGGATGCCTAGGGGCCGCGAGAGAATCGAGTACGCACGCGTTATTGAATAGCACGTGCAGCGCGGGCTCTTTCCCTTGAACTCGACCGCGGCGATGCGGACGGAGGTGAGGCTGCTGAGGTCGATCGGGAGGAAGATGGCTTCCTTGCCGGTATCCTGCTTCAGTCGCGCGATCGCGGCATCTGCACGCTCCTTGCTGCGCGCGGCCAGGTAGACCTTGGCGTCATGCTTGAGGAGCTCCTTGCAAGTCTCGTAACCGATGCCGGCGTTACCACCTGTGACAAGGATGGCAGTTCCGATTCAGGCTGTGGTAGATGACATACTAACATGTTGGACGGACGTACCAGTGACAATAATCACGCGTCCAGTAAGATCAGGAATCTGGTCGACGGACCATTTCGCCTTAGGCGGGAACATCTCTGCCGTCGCGGACATTGTGGCACCCATGACTTCGTTGATGCAGCGAAATTGGGTGTGGAGTTGGGGCGGGGCAAAGTGTTGTCTGAACAAGGGTACCGCTTTAGCCTCAGAGCAGTGGCCGAGTGTGCACAGCGAGAAACTCACGGGAGCTATGAGAATAACAACGATCAGGTATCGACTGGTCCGGGATGTTGGGTGATGAACGTTCTTTTCCCTGAGGTCTGAGCTTTATAGGAGGGGCGTAAGCGCCGCGATATCTTTCTCTTCCGCCTCCTTCGAACCGTTCGCCTCGGGTCTCGCATGCTATGGCCCTCTGGAGTGAAATGCTGGACGATAGCGCGGGGATGCTGAGCCAGGAATACAACTGGGTTTGACAGGAGACGCGGGTGGTCTGCGTGTCCGATCGGCACAGTGACTACAACGGCCAGTATTTGGAAGCCGGCCTGCGGTCATGGTCGGCTTGGGTGTACTCCGTCAATACAACGCGACCGTGAGCGAACGCCACCTCCCAGAATCTGCGCAGATAAACCAGATACGGAGGCCCAGTGGGTGCTCCGGGCTCAACAGGAGAGACGAGGATGTGGGGAGAGAGATATGTATAAGTCGCCGATGGTGGAGAATTACTGCGTCACAGGCGCCTAAATGGGCGTGCGCTGGCCGGACCGTGCTTCGGACCGGGGGCCGTAGGGCTGGCGGCTCCGCCGATGGACATGGAAAGCAAAAGGTCGACGTTCTTCGTCTTGCCTCGTATCGACTGGCGCGCAGCAGAGATGACTTTAATCCAAAAAGCATACTCTCATAAACTCATTAATACTACTTTTACATCACATCACATCACATCACATCCGTCGTTGCAAGGACGTGTCCAAGCATAAAGTCCTCACCAAGTCCTCACCCCAAAAGGGCCCAGGCCGCGAAGGTGAGCCCACCCATGACGAGAGAAGACAACGCCCGAGCACCAGCTGCGGCAGCGCCCTTCGACGGCGTCGTCGTCGTCGTGCCCACCTGCTCGAGCAGGTCGGGGCACTGCGGCGCGACGAGCACGTCGCCGTACACGCTCGCGACCCAGAGCACCGCGCCGTTCGTCCACCCGAACCCGGCCTGGACGGTGTACTCGCCGCCGCGGCCAGCGGAGTCGATGTCGTTCATCGAGAACTTCTCGAACATCTGCGGGCCCGACACTCGCGTCAGCTTCCGTCGCGGCGGGCAAGCGGGTCTAGCACTCACGTTCCCTGTGTTCGTCACGCTCTGCGTCACGTTGAGCTCCTTGTCGGACAGGCGGGGAAGGAGGTCCGGGATCGAACCCCCGGTCGCGTGCCAGCTGCACAGCGCGCTCGCGAGGTACCGGTTCGCGAGTTCGCGCTGCAGCGCGCTCGCCCAGCCTTCGCCGTCGGTCTTCTTGCCTCCGTTGACGACCGTGCCGTCGAGGCGACTGATATCGGCGTTCGATCCTGTCGCGCTCGCATTGACAGTGGGGCTGAGGGCCTGAACGGGAAGCGCGTTTTCGGCGATTCCGATCTGGCCGGAGGGGATCAGACTGTAGGTCGACTGGCCGTTGCTCGGGGTGGGAAGAGAGCCGGAAGTGACGTTCGAAGGAAGTGCGCGGAGGGCCTGGAGAACAATGTACTGGTGAGGCGGCCACGCGTTGGGAGCATCCCTGAAGGTTCCATCAGTGGAAATCCGCACGATGTTTGACTAGTGCACTTACCACTGCAGGCTAGTCTCGATGAACGTCACAGGGAAGGTTCCGTTGTACCGGTTCATGACCATGTTCAGCGAAGAAAAGAACCCGAACGCCTTGTCGCTTGATGCCAGAAGCTCGTCAGGTACGATTGAGTTCCAAAGAGGGTAGAAAGTGGCCGCCGAGAAGATCTCGCTACGAGCGTTGGATGTGGTGTTGAAATCGTAGAAGGCGAGTTTCGACGCGTCCCAGTTGAGGTCAAGCACGCCCTCACGGATCGGCTCCGCAGTTGCCCGGTGCGTCTTGGCGGCGTCGGAGTTGCCCTGCTGGTCGTAGAGATCGGCGAGGAGCAAGTGTGCGTTATCTACGGCACGTCAGACGCTGAAACTCAAGGACGACGGATAGCGACGCACAGAGGATGCTGTTGAGATCCACCGGAACGATGCTCCGGATGTTCAGCGAACGGAGGATCGGGTTTTGGTTGGTGGCAGTGCCGGCGAGAGGCTCCTTGGTCCAGCGGGACGAGTAATCCCATCCCGACTCCGCTCCAGAAGCCAGCTCGGCGTAAAGGTTTGAACGTTCGTCCTCAGTGAGAGGTGTCGTAAGTGCAGGATCGTTGACAGTGAGATAATCTATGTTCCGCAATGAGTTGGTGGTCTTGAACGGGTGTCATCGAACTCACCTGTCAGGTACGACTCAGGCCGAGGGGCAGTGTTCGTGACAGAATAGCGTGCCATTGCGTACGTCTTGTTCGTGAAAGGACTCGTGATGTTGGTCGTACGGTTGTCTGCCCACCATTTCAGCTCTGCTTCGGCGAGAGGAAGGGCGCGCCGAAGAATGGCTGTGTCGTTGCTGGCAGAGACGTAGGTCGACAGCATCTGCAACTAATGTATCAAACAAGACCGACGCAGACGGTGGACGTTATATGCTCACGCGAATGAAGAGGGGCGGTTGAGACCGGTTCAGGTCTGCATCAAAATATCTCAATGCACGCCTTGATAGAAGATAGAGGGATAACTTACAGTATATGCGCCCTCCGTTCGGAATGAAGCCGAAGTTCTCAAGCTCGTCCATGAAGTTTTGGAGCGTGTCATTCACGGTGGAGAACAACTCCGACTCAATGAGACCCAGGACAATCCAGTAGGAATCCCAATAGTCTGGTTAGACCGTCAGCGGCAGTGAGGGGTGCGAACAACGGGCTTACTCACACTGCTCGCGGAAGCGACCGCCGGGAACCACAAACGAATGGTTGAGTGGGATAAGTGAGCTCTCACACGACCCGCTCTCGGTTCCCTCCGGGCATAGCGAAGAGTCGTTGGTGTTGCGGATGAGTTGAGACCAGAAACCATGAACGGTTGAAGAGAACGCCTTCACAAGAGGGTCGGCGATCGTGTTGAGGAAAGAGGGCTGCGAGGTGAAGTTCGCGAGCGCGACTGCCTCGAGCTCCAGGCCTTCTCCCCGGAAGTTGGAATTCACGAAGTTCGACAGGTCCCCCTCCGTAGCGCTGGTGTTGCTGATCGCGTCAAACGCGGCGACAACGTCCTTCGAGGACTTTGACGTGGGCTTGTCCACGAACGTCTTGGGGTCCGCGTACAGCTGCGCAACATTGACAGTTTGAAGGATCTGGGGCACCGTCCTCGTGCTCAGCCATCATTTCTCCCCACCCACGCCGCCGACGTCACAAGAACTCACCTCGCCCGCACAAAAGATCTCACTGGGGCACCACGCTTGCTTGGGGGGCAAGGCGACCTGGGACGGAAGTGCCGATGAGAGGGGCGCACTGGGGCTGGCCACGACCGTGGAGAGGGTGATGGAGGGCGGGGCGGTCGCGGTGCTGCCTTGCGGCAAAGCACGCGCGAATGAGGCGAGACCGAGGGCGAGCACCAAGGAGGAGACCATCGGGGTGAACGTCGAGGTGAGGTCAAAGGACGGTGGGGGCGCGTTATATGCGCGCAGGTAAGGCTGATGGCGGGTCAGTCTCATCGGTCCATCATCTCATGACGTTCTTGGGCGCGCTGTGCGTGCTGTAATGGAAAAGCGCGGCAGGTCAGCAGACCGTTCCTCGGCGTGCGATCCAAAATACCTGCTTCCGCCCACGCTTTTTGAGCTCCGTTTGCGCCGGGGACAGAACCTAGACCGCATTTAACGACCGCTCGTAAACATTTACGGCTTCCCATGCGGTCACAGACACATTGAACGGGACAAGAAGCACTCACGGGAAGACTCCTTCTTGGGACCATCAAGTTGACCGTCCGACGTCCCTGTCTTCGCTTGAGACCGCATCAAACGTGAACATAGCACCATTCGCTTGAGGTCGTGTGGTCATGGCGGATCAACAGCATAGCGGTGGAAGAGAAAGCGAGAGACGAAATCGAGTCGACCGTATGAGCAGAGCAAGCGTAGAGTCAGTCAGTGCTATGTAAGAGCAGGCTTGAGCGCCAAGCTCAAGAGTCTTCAGCGGCGGAGGCGGCAAATTACTTTCGGACTCTGAAAGGCTCCTAGAGAAGTCCAGAAGGAATTTGAAAGTCCGACGTCTCCGGAACTAGTGTGAGACCACGGCCTGGGCAGACATCACCAGAACGTCCATCTGCTTCTCCCCTCCCCACAACTTCGCTTGCAGCCCCGCTGCCTTCGTGCCCTTTGCAAGCAGAATGCAGCCTAATCGGTTAGGACTCGGACTCCGCCCCCCTATGCCTTCGTATGGCCAGGGCCCCTCAATATCGGCCCTTGCAGCACAACAACAAATGCACCATGGCCCGTCCTTCAACTCTCCGCAATCTAAGCCTACTACGCTCTTCATTGGGTCAATATCAGGCGGGATAACCGACAGCTTTCTGAATGAGATCTTGAAGGTACGCCTGTTGCCACTTGCATCGTGGAAAGCAGTTCCTGAGGACTGCATAGGCATGCGGACCCATCTCGTCGTTCAAGCGACTCATTACCCCGGCGAACAAGCCTCAAGGGTTTGGTTTTGCGGAGTTCCAAGACCCCGACGGTGCGTTGCGAGCTATGGCTCTGTTGAACAACGTGGAGCTACCAGCTCTAGAGGACGGTTGTGTGAATAAAAAGCTTTTGGTACGTCGTGATTAGCTCATTCCGGTGCACAACTTGATGTCCATCGCAGGTCAAGGCGGATGAACGTACGAAGGTATTTCTCGACGCGTACGCCGCGCAGAAAATGCGGACAGATGTACGTCCTCTCTTCTCCTGTCTTGCACCCATGTGTCGTCCTGATAGCTCATGCGCTGCTGCGGTATTCCAGGCCGACGATGAAGCCATGCGGCAGGCCAAAGCCAGGGTCGACGCAATGGTAGGCGACATAAACGCGAAGTCGCAGGAAGCGGCGAGCAGTGGGCTCCTGGACCGGGAGAAGTACGTTATCCCCCCGCATCTGCACGATCTGCAGGAGGCCGACCTGCCCGAAACCCAACGCGGTCTCGTCATGACCGAAATCGCGCAGTTCCGCGAACGGGCCGCCAAGCGCGAGCGGGAGAAGATGCGCGACGTACGCGAGCAGATGCCGACCATCCTCGCCGCCCCCGCGCCGTCGGGCCCCAAGGTTCGCGAGTGGGGCAAGCCGCAGCTGCAGGGCCAGCCGGAACCGGCGGGCGGCGCGAAGGGCTTCGGGCAGGGTGCGCAAAGCTACAACAAGCCTGTCGGGTTCGTGAGGGCTATGGACGACGAGAGCACGGTGCCTAACCGTCAAACATCGGCCCGCCCAGGGAAAACGGACGAGGAGCTCGAGGAGGAACGGAAGGTGGCGAGGCAGCGGGACGAGGAGAACTCTTACAAAGATGTGAGTGTTGTCCCTCATCTCATATGTGTGGGTGCCCATCCATCACACCCGTTAGCGTGAGCGGCGGTATGAGCCTCGCGAGCGTGCACGAATACAGGCTCTGGAGCGGGCTATCGCTCGGGAACGTGCCATGAAAGAGGCGGAAGAACGGGACAAGGTCGAGATGCGAGCCCGGCTCGACGTCTGGGACGACGACGAAAGTGACGAACCGTTTTATACCGACCGAGCGCGCTGGAGGGGTCTTCGTGCTCGGCGACTGGCGGCGGAGCAGGCGGCGGACGAGGAGTCACGGCTTTACGAGGAGAGGGAGACGGACAACCTCCGGCGCGAGTCGGAGGAGTTCCTCGCGCGGCAGATGGACGAGATGCAGGCACTACAGGAGGAGCAGCGCAAAGCGGGGATGTTGCTTGACGACGGTGCGCCTGTCAAGCTTGCTGTTTCCCTTGCCCCTGTCCCGAAGGACGCTGGCCCCGAGAAGAAGGCAGCAGTATTCACCCAGGAAGAGGAAGAGGAGGATGCGATTCGGAAACGGAAGATTCCCATGCCCAAGTTGGATCTCGCCGAAGGTGGGGAGAAGACGAAGGAAAGGTTGGAGAAGCTGCGGGGAGAGGTGCCACGGGACAAGGAGACACTCTTCAAGGGCAAGGTTCGGTGGGATGGCGTATCCGACGTGAGTACCATCACATGCTCTTTCGTGTCATTCTCTCATACATTCCCTGCAGACTATGATCGACCGCAAGCTGGAGCCACTCATCAAGCATCAAATGACGAAGTACCTCGGCGAGCTAGAAGACGACGACCTCATCATGTTCGTCCTCGAGCACCTGAAGGACCACAAGAGTCCGCAGAAGATGATCGAGGGTCTCGAGCCGGTGCGTGTTCCCCTCATATGCGCTGTCTGCTAACACATCTGTGTACTTTCGTTGATGGTGCTGACCACCTCGCTCTCCCTTAGGTCCTCGAAGAAGAGGCATCAGAGTTCGTCATCAGCATTTGGCGCCAGATCATTTTCGAGAGCATGGCGTACGGCGAAGGTATCCACACCGAGAAGATGATGGTCGACGAAGACTGAAGTCCATCCATCCTTCCTCATCCTCACTGTCTCCTCGCTATCTTCTTGCTCATGCTCGGTCGTTCGGTTGGAGCGTTAGAGGGTGCCTCCCGTGTTCGGGGCAGAGGTGCGTTTGTGTAGTATCGACGTGCTGTCCACTAAGATGTACAAGAACCGCGGTCGCGAATACTCTACAATCTGCTTGTTTTACGCGTTCCCAGGGAAGTCGGGACCGGGACCGGATGCGGCTGCTGTGTCGTGAGTTGCCCATTCATCAAGCGTTTTGGTAGCACCGATGATGTTACCCTCGTTCTACCTCAACCTGTGACCCGTGGATGTCACACGAACGAATGCTATACCAAGACCACCACCACGTTCAAGCATAGTCGAGAGTCCGTCCTCCGCTGATGAGTGCTAGTATTTCCCTACTTGGTGAAACTTTGACGTGGTTGTGGTGCGTTATGTGTAGGACCGCACTGGTGATACGTGGCTTGTACACTTGAAGCCGTTTGACGGCAACCAGGTATGCTGGTGAGTACCAATCTCAGCATATAAACCGTCGCGAGCAGCCACGAAGCCATCCGCGTCATTGCTGTTCGTACTCTACACGTCGTCAAACGTTCACCGGGTATCACGTACGACCACTGAGCGCAAATATGTACATATTTCATTGTGACGAGACACCGAGCAATCCAAACACAGATGCCGAGAATGATACATGCGGTGCGACACATCGGGCCTCTACATCTCACTAGTACTCGGACCGGTCGTCGAGGTAAACAGAGGCAAACGAGAACCCCTCGGCGAAGGAGGGCAAGCGGGGCTTGCTTCCCTGCCCGACAGCGCCCGATTCTTCGGGGTCGTCGTGCTCCTTGCAGAAGAGGTTGCGCAGGAAGTAGATCGGCGGCGGAGGGGGCATCTGTACGACCGCCGTTGCCTGTGGCGGGAGAGGCCGAGTGAGAGGAGGACAGATATCTGGGCTAGGCGGTGGAGGTGGCGGAGGGACGGGAGAAGAGACCAGGACCTGAGGCGGAGGGGGTGGAGGATTCCTGCCGACTTTGAGAGAGGCGGGGGCGAACGTGGAAGGTTCGGAGGCGGGCTGGTATACCGAGTGCTTGCGTTGCGATGGGACAGAACCGGCGTTGGTGGGGTCGGAAGTCCTAGAGACACCCACAGGGAGCAGGAATGATGCCGGCAAGAGCTTGCGTAGCTTCGTCTGGGGTTCCGTGGACGGCTTTGAGAGGATGCCGGCCACCGAACGTTTCCCCTGCGCGGCGTCTCCGAGGTCCCGGAAAGGACGCCGGTGGGCTTCAACTTCGACGCAGCAGTGGTTGTACTGGCTCAGGTCCGGCAGCTCTGGCACACCGATGGCTCTGTAGTTGGCGATGCCGTGCGCCTGCTGCTGGTGCTCGACGATGGCGCGGATGCCCTTCGTTTGGTAGGTACAGTAAATGGTCGGCTGGTTGAAGGAGCCGGGCAAGAAGCACATGCACTTGAACTGCAACAGCGGTGTGCTGCGATGGGAAGGGGGATGTAATGCGCATGAAACGGCGAGCCAAGCGGGACACTCACTGGCTGACACATAGTGTAATAAGACCTGTCTTTTCTCTGCCGCTTCTGATCCACAACGTGTGCACCTATACATCCTTAACTTTGTCTGTGAGTGAGATTCTTAGGAAGACGTATGACTACACACTTGGAAATTGAACTAAGGCCAGGTGCTTTCGAAGGTGGCGCACGAATTGTCCCGACCTACGTGCGACCGCACAGATAATGCGCTGTTTATATGGCAAAGAAGAGCTAAGCAGGAATCGCGGGTGAAAATATGTGTATGAGCTCACCAGCAAGAACTTGGAGCGCACTGCGGAGGAGTCGATACGAGGCAAGGTCCGAAATGGAACTGGAATCCTGTGGCAGACGGAGGCTACAAGGCCATCGACAACATCATTGCTCATGGCCTGAACCATGTACGCAGGCATGTGTGGTCTGCTGCCAGGTGCAGCAAGGCCACCATTGGTCTATGTCATAGTTCCCGGGCTCTTCTTAGGCCGGGTTGAACCTCGCAAGGATGAAGACGTATCCAGTACTCACTTTGCGCGGCGTGAACCATACATGCAGCCATGGATCCGCTTTTTCTCTGCCATCTTGTACCGCCCTCGATCTGGGACACCAGCATCGCCGTGCCTGGTTCATGCGACTCAGGTCTGAGGCTCGGGTGGGTGCCGCGCACTACGGTCGGTCCGACGGAGTACAGTGCGCTGGAGGACACTTGGTAAAAGTAGGGGTCCATATGCGGAGGAGGATGATGAAGGCCACTGAGAGAGACAACTTGCGAGAGTCGATTTCGGGCTGAGGCCGATATCAGGAAGAGACGCCAGTCGCCTCTCGTCTCGGATCCCATGTACTCATGCCGACCCATCATCACTTGCCCATGTTTTCGTCTGCCCCCCGAGAAAGTCACTAGCAGCGTAGCGAGACGGAATCACAATGCATGCCTCAGTACAATCATGATAGCAGCATTGATGTCGCGGGAATAGGCGCATCTAGCCGTCTCCGCACTACACGGGTACGTTTGTCCAACTGTCAGCATTCCGTTGTTGCGTTTGTTTCGTTTCCGCACACAACACTCACAAGTAGGCACGGGTTTATAGGAATCCTGGAGACGAAGGTCAATAATGCTTTATCCTATCATCGGCCTGCTGGCGAAATTCAATCTGGGACACTTGCTTGTTCTTGCCTCGTTGCACTCGATTGACTGTTCTTCTGTGAACGATTTGTGTTCAAGTAAGTGATCGCAGTGCAGGCCTATTACGTTCTGGAAGCGCAGCCTTCCGTTCTAGAGCGTGGAAGTCACTCGGCGTCGGCATAAGTGTCTAGGCGCTACGCAAGACAATGACCCGGAACCGGCGCATTACCCCCGTTGTCGTACACGAGGCGACGCACACAAAAGGCGGGCCTTATGCATTGTATGTTCTGTGAAGAACAACAGCGGGACTCCACCCGCCACCTTCCCACCTGGGTTACGTCCACCGCCAGGACAATAAGCCCTGAATAGAACGCAAACGCCCCCGTATATGGGGCTCCTCTTGTCGACTGCTGTCTCAGCGCGTCTGCCGTCGCTGAGGTATATAGGTTACCTGCGGTTATGGCTCCCATAACATCTCCAGTCCCAGTCGGCCCTAGCGGTCCCCCACCTTCCCCTGACCCGCTGCCCCACCCGCTATCTATTCCCAACTATCCCGACGCTGGTCAGCTCTCATCCCCACGTAGACCGTGGATTATCGCTCATCATACCCTGTAGCGCGTCCGACCGCCACCCGCACCCCACTCATCACCAGACATGGCCCGCGACCAGCTCACCCGCATCAAGAACACCCTCGCGTCCAGCGACTCTTCCTCCGTCGACTACGCGGACAACGTCCCGCTCCTCGGCGACAAGCGGCACCGCGACCGCGCCGAGTCGCGCCCCGCACACATCTATCCTCCCCAGCAGCCCGCACCCGACTCCGCGAAGCCGGCGAAGAGCCGCGAGATGAAGCACGCGCGCCGCAAAAGCCTCTTCAGTGGCAAGCGGGACGCGGACGCCGTCGCGGCGAGCGCGAAGAAGGAGCGCCCGATTCCCCCGGGCAGCCTCCAATGTCTTGGGCTCTCTGCGAGCGCCGGGATGTCGGGCATGGGCAAGTCGCGCCGGTTCGTGGAGGGCGAGGTGCAGTTCGACCAGATCTGCGCGCCGTTCTCGTTCTGCTGAGCGCCCCGCGCGCGCGCGCCCTCGGACTCGGACTCCGCTACGTCTTTACACTCTGGCTTGACGACGCGACGAAGTAATGAGGACCCGCAGGCAAGCTGGATCTTGTCTGACGTGCTGCATAGGCTCCCTACATCTCCGATGATCTCTGTATACCCCACGTCTCACGTACCTGATGATGTGAACACCCACATACTATACCCTCGCATACTTCTGTACCCTACTACACCCGCAATATCATCTGTAGCTAAGTTCTATACACATTGCGCGGTGCGTCGCGCGGAGATCAGCCTCTCACACAGGTTCGTTGAAGTGTGCTTCCGTCTGACGTCAACTGCGACTGGGCAACGCCTATGAGGTCGCGCGCAGTAGTACTGCAGACTTTACTCACACTGGGCATGAGTGTGCGGACGGTGCCCCTCATGACGGTGCAGCAGAACCACGTACGCGCGTGTCACCGTACAAATACTCTTTATTCCGCGGTCCATATACTACTACAAAATCTAATCAAACACTTCCAAGGCGCAGGCGCAGCGTCCGCAGAAAAGCTCTCAGCGGAAGAACATGAAGATCCACAGCAAGTTGACGACAACCACAAACAACACGCACGCTGTCGCCACAGGCTGCGTGCTGACGCGCTGCAGGGGGGAATTAACGGCGCGCGGCGCGAGGAGGTCGCGAAGTGTATCTTGCCTGCTGAGTCGCCATCAGCCTCCCCGAGTGCACGGGGAGAAGCGGCGTGCTCGAAGTGGCTGGGGCCGCTCGAGGAGCCGGCTCGGGGAGCGAGGCGGGGTCCACCGCGGCGGGACGGGCGAGGGGCGCGACGGCGGCCGAGGTGTTCGTCGGCGAGGATGCGGGGGACCCCATGGGCTGTTCTTCAACCCGACCGGGGGCACGGGAGACCGTCCTGGGTCTGAGGGCCCGGGGTCTGGGCAAAGAAGAGACCAGAGCGGAAGGTGGTCCGTCCGTCCCCGACACGGCGCGCCACGCTTGAACCCGCCCCAGCACGGACTCGCGCGGGAGAGGCGAGCCTGGCGCAGGGCGGGCGGGAGCGGGACCCGCTACGGGCGATTCGAGAGCCGGGCGAGTTGCAGCGATCCGACGAGAGGCTGACCCGGGGCGGGGCGCAGACCCGGGGCGAGACGCAGACCGCGAACGAGGCGCAGAGGTCGGTCGAGGAGTGGAGGGTGGAGCAGGAGCAGGTCGCGTCAGGAACGCTGCCGCAACAGCCTGCGCCCGCCTCGGCAGAACCGTCGGTGACTCGGGCGCAAGAGTCGGCGACGGCGACGGCGACAGCGGCGCGGCCCCGCCCACCGCGCGCGTAATGAGCTGCCACCGCATCCACAGCTGCGCCTCCCCCTGCTCGTGCTTGTACTCGGACCAGAAGCGCCGCACCTGCACGGGCGCACCCTTGAGGTCGAAGGGGGCCATCCAGAACGACTTGAGGTCGCAGATCTGGGCGCGCAGGTGCGTGAGCGACATCGCCGCGTCCGGGTCCACGGTGAACACGCGGTTGAGGATGGCCTGGAGGCCGAGCGAGATCGGGAGCTCGGTGCGGAAGTAGATGGGGCTCGCGCGGAACGCGCGGTAGCACGGGTCCCGCGCGGACGCCTCCTCGAAGGGATCGATGTCGAACGCGAGGTTGACGAGGATGACACCGAGCGCCCATACGTCGTTCCGACGCGTGTTGTAGTCCGGCTGGTCGACGTCGTTGTTCTCGATGCATTCTGGGAGAGGGTGTGAGCGAGGGCGAGAGGGGTCGGAGCGTGAGGGACTCACCGGGACACATGAACCGCTTCGCGCCGACGCCGAACTGACTCGTCACGGTGTCCTTGGTGGAGTAACGGAAGCCGCCGATGCACGCCCTGCTCAGGGTGCTGTCCACGATGATGTTGTCCAGGCTCAGGTTCCGGTGGTAGATGCCCATGAGGTGGCACGCCGTGACGCCGTCCAAGATCTGGAGGAAGAGGCGCTTCACGGTCTCGATGTCGCCCAGCAGCGGGGCGCGCGCGTCCAGCGCGTCCTTGAGCGACCCGCCGGACATGTACTCAAAGACGAAGAGTATGTATATGTCGCACCGAATCGCGCGAACCAGGCGGGTGACGTTGGGGACCGCGTGAGCGGCCAGGTAGGCAAGCGTCTTGCGCTCGTGTTCTTGACCCGGGGTAGAGTTCCCCGTCCGCGGGTGCACGCGCATGATCTTGATCGCGCGCGGGGTGGTGGTGGTTGTGTCAGGCTCGCTTTCGTGGGCGAGGTATACCGCGGCGTGTGGGCTTGAGCTGAGGCGACGTTCGAACTTGTACCGATCTACGGTATACGAGGCGAACTCTGGGATGGTGCAACGACAGGGCATGGAGGAAGATAAAAAGTATCAAAGAGAGGCGTAGCTTGTTGTAAAGAGGAAAGTAAGACGAGAAAGGGTGCCACTGGGCTGGGCATGATGTACCGGCCACTGAGGCTGACCCATGCTCGACCTGGCGGGTGACTCCAATGCGCGTCGACCAGAACCGCAATCTTCCCAAAGCTTGCTACTATGTGGACGGTACTACAGAAGAATTATCAGCTGAATTCACCCACCCAGTCCTAGCGCTCCTCAGTAAACGTAGTAGTTGGAGAAATATCCGAGGCGCTGCGGCCCCGCATGAGAGATTAGCGCTGTCTAGTGCAGATTAAGGCTGAGTCTCAAACTTTGTGATGGCTTCCCACTTGATTATGACGGAGTCTCAAATAACGCTGAGAATATATAGACGTATGCAGTCGTACGTGATGCCTCTCACGAGGCTGAAAACTGGCAAAGCTTTGCCTGAGGCTGTGCGTTGGCTTTTCCTTGTCTGTGAACCTGTGGGGGTCCTCTCTACTTCATTCCTACCCATCATGCCTGTCTCAGAGTGTGCGGATTGTTTTCATCCTCCCAGGTGGGTGCTCACTGAGACCAACGGGTCTCGTGTGCTAACTTCCTTCCCTGCCGTGGACTGTCAATGTCGCAGAGATGGAGCGGTCACTCTCAACATCGACGTTTTCCGAGCCGTTCTTTCTTTCCTCTCAACCTCAGAGCTCATCGGAGTCTCTCAATCCTCGCATCTCTTCCATGAAGAAGCCTGGAAAGAAATGCTTTCGCGACCTGTGTTCCTCAACAGCCACAAGCAGTTCGCATCATTTCACCACTTCCTCGCAAACGGAGATCCCGTACGATACTGCTTCCTTCGCGTTCTGTCCTTGTATAACATCGTTGCGGCTACCGATAACATGGTCCAATGGTCCGTCGATGCACTCACGCAAATCATTCGCTCATCCATACACCTCGAGAAGCTGGACATCCTGGGATGTGAAAAACTACTCTTCTCCAGGCCACAGCCAGACTTCGTGTCGTCTATTGCTTCGCTCCGCCATCTTCGCCATATCCTCTGCTCGTCACATGTCAAGGAAACACATCCCCATGCGCTTGAACTACTACATAATCTCCCACAGCACACACTGAAATCGTTGCAGTTCAATCACTTCCCAGACATGATCAACCTCCTTACTGCCGACTTCCTCAACCTTCTGGCGCAGCGCCAGCCACAACTCGAAGACGTGTCCCTCACGTATCCGTCCATCGTAAAGGGTACCTGGAAACCGTTCGCAAACGTAACAGTCCTAAAGATCACCATCGCAGACGGCTGGATCCACCTACCTCAACTCGTCGAGATGTTCCCTCGTGCCATGGAGGTCTGTGCCTCCTCCCTTACGCGTATGTTTACGGACCCGAACCCCGCACCGTTTGAGGAACTGGCGCAAGATCCTTCCCGTGTTGCCGCCCTCGCCTTCCAGGACTCCGGACGCGGTTGGCCGCTTTTGCACTCTCTTTCAGGCTCCAGTTTCGATCTCTTCTCGCTAGCGCTCACCTGTCCTGTCCGTCGCGTCGTCATCAATCCATACGAGCCTCATAGGGCGTGGCACGAGCCTCAGCGGGACATCATTGCGCGTACGCGTCCAAAGCGTGTCGACCTGACCACGAGCTGCGCGGACTACGCACGCCCGCTTCCGTCCGCGGGGCCGAATTTGTTGGTGTACGACTCCGGTCCGACTCCTGGGGCAGTCACCCATCTCGTCATCGGGCTCTCGGTGTTCATGTTCCGCCCGCCGCCCAATGTCACCGCGAACATACTGGTACGTGGTTCTCCCGTATATCGCTTGCTTCGACAGTACTCAGGCAGCGCTCCACAGGAATCCATCGCGCCCTTCTTGCAAGGTTCGCGCGTGGAATATGTCCATCTAGCCATCGCCGAATACTTTGGGTGGGGAGAGATCGACGAAGACGCGATCGTGAACCCTAATCCGGCTCGCATCAGCGACAAGAACGCGTCCGTTGCGGCCTCCATCGACATTGCCCTCCTCGTTTCTGGGATCGCGGCGACGGCACCCACGATTCGCGCCGTCGTGCTCACGATTTCGATGCGGGAGCAAAGCGTATGGGAGATCCAGAGGCAAGATGGGCACCTGATGTCGAGGCGCCTGGAGCAGTTTGCGGGACGGAGGCTGGTGAGGGAAGAAGAGCGATACAGGCCCTAGGGTTTCATTTTTCGCCAGGCAAGTTTCTTTTACCACCCCATTTCACTTGTAAAGCTTATGGTATGCATCTCGCAGGCGAGAGACTCTAGGTTCGATGCGGCGTTGCTCCGAGCTACTGTGGACATGGAGAGTACTTACTCGCGATTGCGGCGTCTTCGCGGCTTGAATTCACCAGTCTGCCTCATGTTGTATGTCTTCGCGTGGGGACATTTTGAGAAACATTCACGAGACATTGATGATCAGCCAATCAGAACCCGAATTTCCAGATGTTACAAGGATGTTGCAAGAATTTTTCGGCGCGATAACATACTGCATGAGGCAAACATGTCGCATCAAAGAAACGCCGGGATTCATTGGCCTATGCCCCCAGTGTATACAACGTCCGTCCGCCCGGGTACTTCCGGGTTCCTTTGCCGGTAGGACGCGGGATGCCATCATCCTTGATCGGTGCACCGCCTCACCGCGGCCTGGTCCCGTTTCTGACGAATGCTGCCTGCAGTCTCTTACAAACCCCTCGTTCTGCACAAACCTGAAGCACCTACCGCTCGTAATTCTGGGAGAGACACCAGCGAGGCACTCGGCAAGATCAAGCATGTAGTCATCGCATTTCCGTTCGGGATTCCGATCGGGGGCTGGTTAGATAGTATAGGTATTGCCCAGATGCGGGCTTTGGGTACACATTCGGCTCGCAGCTCTGCCCGTTCCCTCTCCCCATACCCTCGCGCTACCCTCGTCTATCCACCATGGGTGCCACAATGTCGGAGGCGTTCCCTCCCAAGGCGAATTGGTCAGTCACTCAGATCCCTGACCTTTCTGGACGCGTCATGATCGTCACTGGTGCGCACACTCCATGGATTTCTGCTATCTTGTACTGAACCCCATACCGTAGGTGGGAACACCGGTGTCGGCTATGAGACCTGCAAAGAGCTCCTCAAGCGTGACGCCAAGGTCTACCTGGCCGCGCGCAGCAAGGAGCGTGCAGACGCTGCAATCGCGCGATTGAAGCAGGATACCGGCAAGGACGCCATCTTCCTCCCACTCGACTTGAGCAGCCTCGCCTCGGTCCGCACCGCGGCGACCGAGTTCAAGGGCAAGGAACCCGCGCTGCACGTGCTGTTCAATAATGCGTATGTATACAATCACCCTGCAGCCGCCCACTGCATTCACATTGACGAGCCGGGCTTGATTCACAGCGGGGTGATGTCACCGCCCATCGACGCGCTCACCAAGGAAGGGTACGACATGCAATGGGGAACGAACGTGCTCGGCCACTTCTACTTGACCGAGCTCCTGCTTCCCGCGCTCGAGCAGGGCGCGAAGACCTCTCCTGATCAGCACGCGCGTGTGATCACAACAGCGAGCAGTGCGGCGTACTCGGGCAAGATCGACTTCACGGCGATGGCGGACACGCCTGAGCGCAAGAAGGTCGGGGAGACGTCGCTGTACTGGCAGAGCAAGCTGGTGAGCCCTAACGCCTGCGACACCAAGAAATTCGCTGACGAGCGTGCGCCCAGGGCAATGCGATCGTATCGCACCAGGCCGCGCAGAGGTATGCGGGCAAAGGAATCGTTTCGATTAGCCTCAATCCCGGTGCGTCCGACTGTGCGCTACCCACGGCCGCTCGAGCCTTCTGACGCTCGCGCACTGTTTGCAGGGAATCTTGACTCGGATCTGTACCGCAACTTCCCTTCGCTTGTTCACACCATCCTGGTGTGTCTCTTCTGGCGTGGTCGTTCCTCAGAAAGTCGACTGATCGCCGTGCCCATCCCTCGCAGCGGAAGACTATTCTGTATCCGAACTCGTACGGCGCCCTCACACAACTGTACGCGGGCACGATGCCTGAGGCGCTCAAGCTCAATGGCGGGGTACGTATCCTTGTTCCTAGGGTGTCTTATGCGCTCGTTCTTACGCATATATATTCAGTGGATGAAGCCATGGGCGCGCGAGAGCAAGCTCAAAAAGGCTGAGGACGACGTGCTTGGGAAACAGGTGTGGGCATGGTGTGCGGACGCGGTGAAGAAGTTCGAGCAAACACAATAGTGGATGTGTATGTGTTCCATAGCCGTCGGTACCTTCCTTCTCACCAGTGCAGTATAGTAGGTTACTTGGCCTGAATCTCGGGGTACTCAGTAGCATATATCCAGCGCCTCAGAAATTGCCTTTGCGGAGCTCTAAAATATTAGTCGCTGCGTCACGCATTGATCAAGCGGAGTCTGAACATCGGGCGCTTGACCTCTATCAGATGCCACTGAGTGGAAATTCCACGGCAAACCTACCTAGTACCTACCGCCATCCTCCCGACATCCTCACGTCGTCAAGAACTGGACAGTGAGAAATAATGGACCCCAGTAAGCCGGTACGCTTCTTCTTTGCATCACAGGTCCACAGGGGGTCATTTTGGGTATACCTTTCACACCAGATGCCACGAAGTTGGTCATGAAGCTCGGGGTTCGAAACGCAAAACCCAATGCAAGGCTTTCATAAAGCCCCGGGGTCATGCTGACTCCGCGTCTAAGCTGCGGTCGCGTGGGACGTCATTTCAGTATAAATGGCTGGACTGTGGGAGTTGTGCTGCGGTACATGCTTCAGCTACAAAACCGCGCTTCAACAGCCTCGAGTCCTTACCCCAGACAGGATGTCCTCCAACTACTCATCTCGAGGAAGACCAACAGGCTCTTCTTATCGTGGTCGGGGGTCACACTCCAGCTACAGCTCAAAACAGCCGTCGTACCCGCCCCTTCCTCCAGATCGCGTGCTCACCGAAGGGCTCACCCGCATTGCCATTTGCACCTTGAACAAGCCGAGCGCCTCCAGCACCCCTGGCGTTACCATCAAACCCGAGAATCTGAAGTACATCGGCTCATACAACTGGGTGGATGAGCTCAGCCCCACGATCATTGTCCCTGGTGCGTAAATATGCTTCGCCGAGACTTCACTCTAGCTGACCCTGCATTTCTACACACAGGTTCACCTCCCGAGTGGCGGAAGCGACCGTTCCCATACCGGGTCCCTTATGATACTGGGCCTCGGATGGTGGATCAGAACGGCCACCGTATGGGAAGCGCCTCTACCTTGCTCCCTCTCCTCCGTGCTGTCGACGTCGTCGCGGAAGCCGATGCCGACACTTCCTTCGACTGGTCATCCATCGATGTGGTCACCGACCGGAACGGTCTTCGCAAGCTCTTGAGGTGGCTTCACTATGACCCGTCGTCCAGCTCAGATCCTCCCAAGGACTTTAGGATCGATATTCAGCTCGGCGGCAATAAGACCCTGCTCTTCCATCGCTGGGAGAAACGCAAAAGGGAGCTTGCGGAGCCCCCGCGATCGGGATGCGGCATCAACTTTGAACGCGAGAGCACGACCCCGGCGCCCGGCTGCAGCCGCGGAACGGGTCATCATCGTATCGTGCAATATGTGCGTATAATATTCCACGATCGACCAACACGCGTATTGAGACCCTCTCTTCTAGGACCTGGGCGGTCTGAAAGTCGTCGTCCGTTTCGAGGTAGATGCTTGCGTCGCAGGAACCGCGAACAACAGCGCTCCCAAGTCTCCTACGCTCGCCTCCCCGACTCCCAAGCGCGCTACTGGCAACGTCGACGACCTCGCCGACCTCCTGTCGGGACTCGACGTCCAGTCAGCCGCTGGAACTGGCTCCTCATCCACGAGCGCCGGTATCACGGTCATCCCAGGGGGCTCCAAGGTCCCCCAGTCCGCGATCATCGAGCTCACGACTCGCTCGATCAACACCGTCGAAGACTTCGACTGGCAGGAGCAATTCCCACAGCTCTTCCTATCGGGCACGCCGAACCTCTACCTCGCTGTCCACCAGCGTGGCACGTTCGAGCGCGCGATCGAGCACCGGGTCGGCTCTGAGGAGATGCACTCCGTGGAGCAGGGCACGCGCACCCAGCGCGGCTTCCGCCAGCTGGTCGCGGTGCTGCGGCAGCTGCAGACCATGGCGCGCGAGCACGGGAAGCGCGTCAAGCTCTCGTTGGTGTGCCAAGAAGGGGTCCTCAAAGTCTATGAACGTGGTGGGGAGGGAGGCGTCCTTGAAGACGCCGATCTAGAGCGCTTTGGCGTCTAGATATAGGACTGTCTTCTATGTGGTCCAAGTGTCGTGATGTGCGTCTAGTGCCATGTGTACGAATAGCGTTCAGATAGTGCCGTATGTCGACTTCCATCTCCGTCAGAATTCAATCGGCTCATCTGTGCTGCGGCAGTTGATTTAATGGCCGTCCTCGGCTCGACGTCGCTGACTCGTACGGTGACCATCGAACCGCGCAACGTTCAATTTGTCGCCTCCTACAATTGGGTCGATTCTGAGACACAGCCCACGATCCTGGTACCCGGTACCGTCACCAATCTTATGATGTCCCATTTTTCTGCCTTCTGATCAGACTCCTAGGTTCTCCACCGGAATGGCTCAACAAGCCATTTCCCTACCACATCCCATACGATCACGGGGTCCAGATCAGCAGCCACAGCTATGCTCGGATGGGTCCCGCAGCGTCGCCATTGCTCCCCCTTTTCCGTGCTGCCGACGTCCTTTCTGCCTCAACCACGGACGTGGTCGATGCCGTAGATTGGCCCGAAGTCGATGTGGTCACCGACAGGAAGGTCCTTCGCAACCTCCTGCGCTGGCTGCGCGCGCCATCGATCGCATCGAGCTACTACCACCCCGACCAGGACGTCGAGTTCCGCGTCGACATCCAGCTCGCTGGGAAAAAGACGCTGCTGCTCCATCCGTGGGATGCCTTCATCTGGGAGGACGTGGGGCCGGAGAGCCACACCGGTCGCGGCGTTGGGTTCGAGCGGGAGAGCACGAGCCCCGGCCTGGGCTGCGAGCGCGGCGAGAGCCACCACCGGGTCGTCCGATACGTGAGTCCTTCTTTCGCCTTCCCCGAGGTTCAACGCGGATGTTTAAAGTACCGTCAGGACATGGGCGGGCTGAACTTCGTCGTGAGCAGCGAGGTCGACGCGTGCATCGCTCCCCAGGCTCGCCAGAGCGAAGCCTCCGCCCAAAGCTCGCCGTCGACCCCAGACAGCCCGCTCCCGCCCCCGCCTCACACCGCCGACTGCGCCGTCCCGCGCGCGCGCGTCACCTCGACCGCCGACATCGCGGTGCTCCGCGCGGGCGCCGTCGTCCCCCACGACCGCGTCGTCGAGCTCAAGACGCGCAGCCTGTGGGAGACGCCGTTCCAGTACCACTGGCCGGAGCTCTACCCGCAGATGGCGCTCTCGCACACGCACAACCTGTTCGTCGCGCGCCACGCGGAGGGCGAGTTCCGGGAGCTCGACCGGCACACGCTCGACCAGCCGCACTTCCGCCAGGCGGGCGCGCACCCGCGCATGCAGGAGCAGCTCCGCCAGCTCGTCGCGGTGCTGCGGCGGGTGCAGAGGCTGGCGCAGGCGCACGCCGGGGGCAGGGGGAGGCTTGCGTTGGTCTGTCGGGATGGGAAGGTGGGGCTGTTCGAGCAGACTGGGTGCGGAGGGTTGGCGTTGCAGGAGGAGGATTTGAAGCGCTTTGGGCGACTCGGATCGTCGCTGTAAGGGCTTTGTTGTTGCGCCTCTGAAAGCTGTTGGCCGAGTGATCCCCAAGAACCAGCCTTCCCCCCCCCACTCCTTCACAGGCGGGGCTTTGTTTCATTCTTACTTTAAAACGGACACTCCATCGTCAGAATCAGAATCTACTGTACGAGTCACAACTCACATAGCGCGTGCGTCAAAGGTGGACGCATTGTGCAGCGTTGCATCCAGAATTGACCACAATAAACGTAGACTGAGAATGGCGTTCTGGGAGAGATCCGGCAGGCTCGTCCAGCACGAGTAGGGCTCGCGCGCTCTGGTTTCGCAAGCCCGTGAAGCCGACCGCAGTGAAATCATTAGTGTAAGATTAATCAACGTCCATATAAACCACCACAACACAACAAGCAAACCAAACCGCGGTGTCTATAACCAAAAAGTTCCGTCCCAACCACTCCTTCTCTCTCCTCACACTCTTCGCTACCTCCCAACACATCCGACGCTGGTGTTCGGAAGCTGAAGGTTGGTGGGACGACACCGGACTCGGAGGGACCATCGGGGCTCTACACGGTGACGTAGGCCTTGGAGTAGGTGATCAAAAGACAGTGGTGGCGGAGGCAGTGGGGTATGTGACGTGCACGGTCACTGTGCTCTGGGGGCAGACGGACTCGGTCGCGGAGAGGGTGGGCCAGGTGCCGTATATGACACTGTCGGACTCGGTCGCGGAGAGGGTAGGCCAGGTGCCCCATATGACACTGTCGGACTCGGTCGCGGAGACAGTGGGGTAGGTGCCGTAGGAGACACTGTCGGACTCGGGGTAACTGGTCGCAGAGACAGTGGGGTAGGTGTCGTAGATGACACTGTCGGAGTAGGAGTAGATAGTCGCGGAGACACTGTCGGACTCGTCGGGGTAACTGGTCGCGGAGACAGTGGGGTAGGTGCCGTAGGTGACACTGTCGGACTCGAAGGGGCCGGTGGTACCGTACACGGTCACGGTGGCCACGGGGCAGCCGGTCGCGGAGGCGCTGTAGGACTCGGTTGAGGAGAGGGTGGGCCAGGTGCCCCATATGACACTGTCAGACTCGGTCGCGGAGACAGTGGGGTAGGTGCCGTAGGAGACACTGTCGGACTCGGAGTATGTGGTCGCGGAGACAGTGGGGTATGTGCCGTAGGTGACACTACCCTTGCGCCTTTCGACGACGGCAGCATTGCCTACGGATAGTCCTATCAGCATGTCAAGTAGAAAAGTTTAAAACACGCCAAACCTACCTCCGAGAACAAAGAGGGCGATGAAAACAAAGCTCGAGAGGCGCATCATGTTTGTCGCGAAAATCAAGGGAAATGGGCGGCGTAAAAGGAGTAGGGTGGAAGGAGGGTGGAAGGACCGGGCTTGGGAGAGAAGAGGCCTGGGATGCCTTTAGTGAGCGCAGACATCGAGCTATATATCCTCACGGAACGGAACGGCGTCCGTACACCGATAGACATTCAGCCGATGTGATTGCCGCACGAGGTGACTTCAGTACTGCTGCGGACTCATGTTTGCGAGTCTAAGACACCGCTTCTGCTCAAAGTGGACAAACGAGGGTATCTGTGGTGGAATACAGAGTTTGACGACCGTAGGGTGAGCAGGGCCAAGTCCACACTCGTCCCCGTAAAATTCTGTGATGAGTAGCAACGAGGATGTTAAAGGAAGTAGGAATGACTACACCAGCAAAGTGGCACCTTTCCTAGACTCGACGGTATTCCGGTCTGCGCTGGAAGGAAGCGAACCCGGGCTCCATCAGCCGTGTGGTGAGACAAAAGGCGAGTGCCGTTCAAGGTTCCGTAACTGGCCGTGGTGACCAACACAGCCACACTTCCGGTCCCTCTCTCACGGCGTGGTCGCCCATCGAGGCCGGCTCTACGTAGTCGAACTGCACGTCTCCTGCTAGTCCCGGTGCCAGTCTTTGGCCATTCTCCCTCATCATAGTAACGATTGTGTTTGCCCACACTGCCAGTCGTGAGCGCTCAGTAGTTGCAGACAGACGGGTGGAATTCGCGAGTGGGAGAACTCAGAAGGGAGAGAGAGGTGAACCGAATGATCGACCTCTGCCTGGCCGGCTGCTGTCCAACATCACAGGCAGTTGCCGCGTAACTTTCCCCGGACGAACTCGAGCGCGAGGGCTGGCTACTCGAGCTGAGAATAGAGCGGCCCTTGTCACTTATACCTGCATTCCAGCTGGGTCCATAACGATAGACCCTCGTGTCGCTCCGCCGTCAGACTTGGACTCTGCATGAGCGCGCCGTGCTCAGGCCGCTGCGTCTTCACCTGTAGCCCATAACCCGGTCGCGCTGCGGTACGGTGCTGAGTCTGAATCCGGCAGGACGCGGGTTGGTCTCCACAAGATGTATGTAGGCTGGGCCGCAATGTCCGATCGGAGCCCCGGATATTGGGCCTAAGCGGTGCCGTCGTGGAGTTCTCCGTGAGGCATTTCCAGCCGCCCCATCGTGTCGTTGTCGAAGCCAGCTGGCCCGAAATCCTGTTCCTCACTGTATCGTAAGGCTCACCCTTGGCTACGAGCCAGGCCGCGTTGGCTTTCGGGACAACCAGAAGGAGTCAAGGACATCCCACCGTCTGCGACGGCCCATTGCACGCACGTGCCGAGCGTCGCGCGCGGGGTCGACGAAGCCGTCGCGTCCTTCGCCGGGCCAGGCTTGTCGGTGACAAGCTTGTCGGTGTAGAAGCCGTTCGCGGGGATCTCGGGTGGGGCTGGGCTGGTGGATAATGCCCCCGCGATTGTGATCAGGTCCGCGGGGTCCATGTAGGGGCTCTGCTTGCAGAAGTGAGTGCTGTAATCAGTGCTGCCGGAGTTCGATGGGACGCCTCGGATTCACGACAAGCGCGGGGGTACCGGCTCAAGGATTGACTCCTACTAAGTACCCCGCAGGCGTTGTGATCATAAATCCGTGGCATTTCGCTGTGGACTAATAGAGAGCAATGGTTTGTCAATCGGTTTTATGTTAAATGAGAGACGAGATGATATGGCATCTCTTACCATCCGTCTCGACGTGGAGAAAAGTACACATCTTCGCCGAGTATATGCCCGAGTCCACGACCTTCGGTACTGTGCCATTTCGAATTATTGGAACGGCGGTTTTGAGTGTGACGGCCTGTTTGATGGATCCCATTCGAACTTTGACCGGACTGTCCATGATTGCCCGGAATTTCGAATCCAGACGCTCTGTTAGGGCACTTTTACGCCCGTATTGAGCTGGCGTTTTCTAAGCGCACAGCGTTGTGAGCCGTGACGCGTGATGTTCGAATAATTCAAAATGGCACAGTATGCTGCACAAGAAACACAAGATACGAATGGCGCGCGCTCGATATTGTCGAACACGTACGTTTGTTCTGAGACGTTTGGGTTCGGAGAGAGAGAGAGGGCGAGAGAGATCTCGATCAGTTGCAAGAGGCTGTGCGCGTTTGCCAGCGAAGAGGCTTAGTCAGCACGATCATGTCTCCTTGGCAAGCGGGTCTACCGCATCACGAAACGCGCCCGGACCAGAACTAGAGATGGTCACGGCAGGTCATGTGCAGTCTGCAGAGATCATCCCTTTCTTTGTCGAACGGACGGTGTCAATTTATGACAGAAATTTGTCATGGTGGAACGGGACCGATCATCCCAGACGGGGGTGATGAGCAGTGACGAGCATTTGCAAGGGGATGAATGATGGGTACTTATCATGTCTGGGCTTTGCACAGTTCAAGGTATGGTCATTACATAGGTGTGGCTTGATACACAACTATCATGTGTACGTGAGAGATAGAACAGGGCCGTTCGTCCACCCGGGTCGGGCTGAGCAGGGCCGGTCATTCACTCGGGCCGGGATGAACGGGGCAGATCATCCGCTGGGAACACCATGTTCGACCATGAACATCTTCTCTGAGGGTGGCGATCTAGGCTGATCGTCGTTGGGTGCATAGACGATCTGGGATGGGGTGCGTAGTGATAATTGCTCAGGTTCGAAATGATCATGGTGGTTCGTGGCACAGGGATGAGATGAACATGAGCGCACATCAAGACGATCACTTCTGGGCGGTGCAATGACCTGAAAAGACCGAAAGTTCAGATGTACCGAAATTTTTTGCTATTGCAGGTCGACCACAAATGCCCGTATATGCGCGTAATCCAGTATTATTCAGGTCTATACAGTATGGTAGGTACAATATGGATGCGAGCGAGCGCGAGCGAGAGATTGAAATGATGACAGCGGAGTTGTCCAAACGCGAACACTGACAGGACGAGTCGGCGACAGTGGCAGGGTTGTTCAAACTGGGTGTGACTGTGTGAGATGAACTTCAGATTGGGCGACAAGAACTTGGAGACCGCACCTGAAGGCTCACCCGTACCCACTCGATGGCTTCGGGCGATGCCACACGCCGCGGCGCGGCGCCGGGTAGTTCATGGGCGACTCAATGACAGGGCGAGTTCATCTCGGAGAGCAGCAACGCCCCAATAAATCTCGAGCCGATGGCAGATTTTGTCGCGCGCGTAACGCGAACGGCACCATCTGACGACACACGCAGCGCGTGGCGGCGCTGCGCTCGCGGAAGGCAGCCGCGCAGAGCAACGAGGACGAGGAGGAGCCGGTCCACGTCCTGGTGGTCTTTCACGGCGGACTGATTGGGACGCCGATGACGGCGCTGCTCGGGAGCCGGCGGAAGGACCGCGCGGGCAGGGGTGTGCTCGTTGGCCGGTGCTTCAACGCATCAATTCTGGGTTTCGAGCTGAACGAGCAGGGGAAGGGCGTGTTGGTGAGCTATACGACTAGACGGGGAGGAAATGATGACTCATAATGATCTCATACCGCCATTATAACAGCGAAGGTGGATTCTGGGTCAGCACCCATGACGTCGTCGTGTGCCTCCACAATGGACGAGAAAATATTTCTGTCGTCGTTCGTCAGCTCACAGGCGGACAGATCGCATGAGCAAACCAGCACATACTGGGGAGAAATCGCAGTGCTGGACCATGATGTTGCCTTGCATGGCGGTGACGGCGACGCTGAATGATATTGTGCAGTTATTCGGAATGCGAGAAATAAAGGATTACTCACCGTACTTCCGGGTCTCTACCATACTTGACGATGGCTCGGTGATGTGCGGGGCAACCCGTGGTCGCGCTAAGGGTTGAAAGTCGTCGGTGGCGAAAGGGAAGCTTGAGCGAGAAAGAGAACGGGGCTGGAAGTGCGGAGGAGCGGAGCGCGAGCGCGGATCTTGGGCGACAGGCGGTGCGCGCGAGGACGAGGCGTGCCTGTGCGATGAGGACGTTGATGAGAACCGATGGGCATGGTAGCTGGTCGAAACGCGGCGCGGTGAAGGACATGCGCAATAGCGACTTTGAGGATACGGAGGGCAGCGGCACTGGGCGCTGAAAGTCTGGGTCGTCTGAGTTGCACGCATCTTCACATAGCGTGTGCGCGGACGTAATTGGATGGACGCAATAGGACTAGGGAAGGGGGGGGAGAGGGGGAAGACGCCAGAGAAATAATGAGGGGCGTACTCGAGGGGGCCGATGGGCTATGGTGTCTCCGTGCGGGCTGCTTGCGAGTCGTGTTACCGTTGGTGTGAGTCTGTTTGGCACATCGGCGGTACGCTTTTCAGGTCGGGGCGCCTTGCGTGAGGTGCCGGCCACGGCGGTGGTATAGAGGGAGGATGGGGACGGAGAGGAATTGAGGACAGGTTGTCCGTGCTCAGCACTCGGCGGCGGAGAGTACCGTGAGGCTGAGGTACTGTACAGTGGCGGATTTAAGGTTGAGACTCCCCTAGAACGTACCTGGCATTTTGTTGGGGGCTAGGATAAGAAGTGCAGCTATTGGTGTATAGAACCACGAATAAGCAGGCGTTGACATGAGAAGAAGGAGAGACGGGCTGGATAAGCGCGCACGTGCGTTACAACGTTTCAAGCATCGCGTCTTCCTTGCCCTCTCCCACCACCTCGCCACTCCTATGCGTTCAATGTTGAGGCCGTTGAGGCCTGAGGCCCTGTGCCCACCCTTCCCCACCCCCCTCATCCACTTTGCGTCTTCCCTGGGTATCAAGATGGTATGGTGGCACGCCGGGCGCAAGACGTCAAGGGACGGCACTCTGGGGGCCCCGCAGCGCGAGCGATTCGGAGCGCGAAGACGCGCATACCCCACAGGGCGAACCCAGCCTCGGTAGGCTTGGCGCACGGCTGTAGCAGGCGGACGACGACGAGGTGGGGCGAAGGAGTGTGGACAAGTACTGCGATCGCGGTGCGTACAGCCGGCAGAATCAGGCGCCGGCCCGAGTTTGAAGTTAGGTGCTGGCACATTGAACTGATGTCGGTTGCGCAGCTCCCGCACAACCTGGTCCCGGCAGTTCCTCCCGGGGGAGGTTTATCGGGCGAGCACGCCAAAGTGCTGGACAATATGGTGCTCAACAAAATCATCCTCAAGGTCACGACGGGTGTGGCCGATGATCACTTTATCACGCCTGTGTCATCCACCTCGTCCCCTCGTCCATTTCGTCCGTCTTGGCCTCCTGGCCCATCTCCCCCACGTCACCCGCACCACCCGCCTGGCCGTGACTGTGTCGCCTACCACACGAACGTCACCCGCCTCGCCGCCTCGCCGCCGTTCCTGCGTCACCTCCACGGGCATGTCACCCACGACATACGCTGAGTCTCCCACCTCACCCCTACGGTCATTTATCTCGTCCACATCGCATCTCGCGCTCGCAATCCCTCGCGGGGGAGATCTGTCGGCCGATCACGTCGACGTACTAAGCAGCACAGTGCTCAACGAGATCATCTGGATGGGCATGGCCGACGTACACTGTCATTGCCTGCGTCAACCGCCTCCCCCGTGTCGCCCACCTCGCTCACTTGGCCTGCCTTGTCAATATCGCTCGCCTGACCTGCCTGGTCCATCGTCGGTCTCGTCGGTCTCGCCCATCTCGCTCGCCTGTCCCATCTCGCCTGCCTCGCCCACGTCACCTGCACCACCCACCTCGTCCTTGTTGCTCCTGCGTCGCCCGCGTCATCCACTGCCTGGCCCGCCTCGACTGTCCTGCTCACCTCGTACGTCTGATCTCCATGATCGATGCCGCTGCCGTCCCTATGTGGTGTCATGGACAAGACCTCATGTCCTGCTGTGGAACTCCACCTCGCCTGTCTTTCCTATGTCGGCCACATCTCCGTTGGTGCACTGGGTGGCGCCAGAATACCCTGCCACTGGCGTTCATATCAATGACAACATACACCGCTACTGGCGTTCGGATAAGCTCATATGAGTGGGCGCTCTATACCTGCTACTACCGTCTATATGTACCACATAGCCACACATATGAGTGCCCTCACACCCTGCCACCTATACATATTATAAAAGTGGCTGCTTATATGAGTGCATCAGTGTCTTTCCCTCATATGAACTTTGTAGCGCCTTGCCACTCATATGAGCTCGTCCCCTCATATGAGCTCGGCGCTCGCCCCCCTCATATGAGCTCGCCCCCCTCATATGAGCTTGCCCCCTCATATGAGCTCGCCCCCTCATATGAGCTCGCTCCCTCATATGAGCTCGCTCCCTCATATGAGCTCATCGGCGTCTCACCCCTCATATGAGCTTATTAATATCCCACCCTTAATATGAATGCACCAGCATTCCACAGCTCCCATTAGCACATCTGGGAACTGGCATACTCTATTGCATGCCTGTGTTTCTTTGCATGTATAGGTGCACCCATGCCAGAGCAATTCTTCAGCTTATCATATCACTGAGACACAGGAACTGTACTCTGAAAGGACAGGAAACTGCACCAGCTGTGCAACCGAAACAGACAGAATGGGTGCCCATTAGTTCCATTTTTATTCACACAATGCGCAAAGAGAGAGCAAGAAACCCATGATAGAAAGTGCAAGGCTCAAGCCGATCTCCGCAATCGGCAATTGACTCCCCCCGGGGTCACCTCCGGGCCGGTAATTGACTCCCCCGGGGGTCGATCTCCGAGTTTTTGATCACCTGTGTATCTCCGAGTTTTTGACCACCTGTGTACCTCCAACTTTTTGATTGCCTGTGTATATTGTCAGCCTTCATTACCAGACTGCCTGTATCTATTACCGAGTTTTTGGACATCTGTGTGTATTACTGCTTTCATTGCCGAGTTTTTGATTGCTGGTGCCTGTTACCGGTCCTCATTACCAACTTTTTGACTGCCTCAATCCATCACTGAGTCTTTGTTCGCCTCCAGCCTTTGACACCGAGTTTTTTATCACTGATATTGGTAATATTAGATGAGTTAGTATGCCTGTACTAAACACCCTCTCCACAGCTGCATGTGTTGATGGAAATTGACCAAGCTGTTTGCTGGATCAGGTAGTAGCATGCAAGAGCTGTGGGTGTGCAAATCTGGAGGGCAGTAGCTGCAAAAGTGAGGGAGTAATGGGGTATGATATTCTGAAATGACATACCAAACACAGACATGGGATGAGAGTGTATCACATCCCAGACACCTAGATATATTCACAGAGGATGATTTAAATGCAATGCAGGAGAGAGCGCACAGAAATCAGGATTTCTGATGAAGATACAAGATATGTGTGGAAAGTGGAAGTTCTGAGAAAACACAACATGCATAAGTTCATGTGCAGACATTATATCAACAGGCTATTTGCTGCATCACAATTGAGTACTATTGGGGTGCTCAGATCGGAATTTGCAAGCTTATCGGTGATGAGATGCATATGGGGCACCATATGTCATTATTTCATGACATACAGTATCCTGACACAGCATATGCTCCGATTAGAATGCAAAAACATGGAATAGAACGGGGTATAACATAGCTATCCAACGCAGAAAAGACCTTGAAGAACGGTTGAGAATCAGTGGAGATGTGCAAGGTGAGCCAGAAGTGTGGTTTATGCTGAATGTACTCTGACCTCGCTTTTCACTGCAACCACACTTCTGGCTCACCTTGCACATCTCCACTGATTCTCAACCGTTCTTCAAGGTCTTTTCTGCGTTGGATAGCTATGTTATACCCCGTTCTATTCCATGTTTTTGCATTCTAATCGGAGCATATGCTGTGTCAGGATACTGTATGTCATGAAATAATGACATATGGTGCCCCATATGCATCTCATCACCGATAAGCTTGCAAATTCCGATCTGAGCACCCCAATAGTACTCAATTGTGATGCAGCAAATAGCCTGTTGATATAATGTCTGCACATGAACTTATGCATGTTGTGTTTTCTCAGAACTTCCACTTTCCACACATATCTTGTATCTTCATCAGAAATCCTGATTTCTGTGCGCTCTCTCCTGCATTGCATTTAAATCATCCTCTGTGAATATATCTAGGTGTCTGGGATGTGATACACTCTCATCCCATGTCTGTGTTTGGTATGTCATTTCAGAATATCATACCCCATTACTCCCTCACTTTTGCAGCTACTGCCCTCCAGATTTGCACACCCACAGCTCTTGCATGCTACTACCTGATCCAGCAAACAGCTTGGTCAATTTCCATCAACACATGCAGCTGTGGAGAGGGTGTTTAGTACAGGCATACTAACTCATCTAATATTACCAATATCAGTGATAAAAAACTCGGTGTCAAAGGCTGGAGGCGAACAAAGACTCAGTGATGGATTGAGGCAGTCAAAAAGTTGGTAATGAGGACCGGTAACAGGCACCAGCAATCAAAAACTCGGCAATGAAAGCAGTAATACACACAGATGTCCAAAAACTCGGTAATAGATACAGGCAGTCTGGTAATGAAGGCTGACAATATACACAGGCAATCAAAAAGTTGGAGGTACACAGGTGGTCAAAAACTCGGAGATACACAGGTGATCAAAAACTCGGAGATCGACCCCCGGGGGGAGTCAATTACCGGCCCGGAGGTGACCCCCGGGGGGAGTCAATTGCCGATTGCGGAGATCGGCTTGAGCCTTGCACTTTCTATCATGGGTTTCTTGCTCTCTCTTTGCGCATTGTGTGAATAAAAATGGAACTAATGGGCACCCATTCTGTCTGTTTCGGTTGCACAGCTGGTGCAGTTTCCTGTCCTTTCAGAGTACAGTTCCTGTGTCTCAGTGATATGATAAGCTGAAGAATTGCTCTGGCATGGGTGCACCTATACATGCAAAGAAACACAGGCATGCAATAGAGTATGCCAGTTCCCAGATGTGCTAATGGGAGCTGTGGAATGCTGGTGCATTCATATTAAGGGTGGGATATTAATAAGCTCATATGAGGGGTGAGACGCCGATGAGCTCATATGAGGGAGCGAGCTCATATGAGGGAGCGAGCTCATATGAGGGGGCGAGCTCATATGAGGGGGCAAGCTCATATGAGGGGGGCGAGCTCATATGAGGGGGGCGAGCGCCGAGCTCATATGAGGGGACGAGCTCATATGAGTGGCAAGGCGCTACAAAGTTCATATGAGGGAAAGACACTGATGCACTCATATAAGCAGCCACTTTTATAATATGTATAGGTGGCAGGGTGTGAGGGCACTCATATGTGTGGCTATGTGGTACATATAGACGGTAGTAGCAGGTATAGAGCGCCCACTCATATGAGCTTATCCGAACGCCAGTAGCGGTGTATGTTGTCATTGATATGAACGCCAGTGGCAGGGTATTCTGTCGGCATGCGCTGGTTGGTGCCGTGCACCCGCATCGCTCATCTTGCCCGTGTTACCTGCGTCAGTGGTCACCCACCGTGTCCATCTCACCCGCATCGCCGGCGTCATTCATGTCACCTGCACGGTTGCCCGCGTCCGCGTCGTCCACCTCGCCCACCACCACGTCATCCCCATTTCCGGCATTGCGAACGGTTGAATGAGGCTGTGTGCCTACATACACGGTGTCTGTGTCGTTGTTCGTAGTATATAATACTATGTACTTGTGCCTCGTAAAGTAACGAATATAAATTTGTTTGGTTCTCCTTCATGCTTGACTAGGTGCTGTATAGCTGTCGGAGTCGGGGTTTAGCTCATGCAGAAAGGCAACCTGATCCATAGAGAAGAGGCAGCCGTTGAAGCACTGCGGTGAGCAGCCTGAAACGCCTGCGACGCGCATCAGATCACGTGGTATCTGGTACTTCCCAGCCACTGGGGCTTGATCAGCAGCCGATCGTCAGATGGTCGTTCACAGGCCATCTAATGTTCTGCACTCAGTGTGCCCGCGATCCTTTGCACATTAACAGATCTAATAATTGTCAGGCAGATTACAAAATGATCGAAATCTTTCAGCTCATGACAATAGTTGATCACGTTTCGTCTACCAGACGAACCATGATCATGCGCTATATCGATGACGAAAACAGTTCATGCCGTGATCAACAGGCGCTTTGGAGATCGTGACCGTTCTATCTTGCGCGCGTTTCGTGATGCGGCGCTTGATCGATCTTGTTCTCTTCGACCAAGCGAACCGTTCATCGAAGTGTTGGCCGGAGTTTTTCCCACTTCAGAATTGCATGACGCGGATGAGTAAGTTGATTTTCAGAATGGGGGTGGAGACACCGGCATGAACGTTGCCTGGCATGATGTTCGACTCACGCGACATTCGGCCGAGAGAGACATGGCGTCTAACAGTGGCGAGGAGGCCATATCTATTGGCTGGAAGCAAGCGAAACTACACTTGAGGCTGCATCCAGCCCCCCGAGGTGAGTGA